CGTGAGTGAGCGCCACAACGAGCATCTCGGCATTCTTGCACATCGTCGACCTAGACACTGGTCATGATCAGCACTAACCCAACCGCTTTCGGACGCGGGAAGGGTAAAATGTCCTGTGCGAAAGTTGGTCATATTGGACCCAGGGTTTGTTGTTAGAACGCATGCATACACGAAGGAAGATGCTTGTTCCGTGAGTCGTGAAGTTTTCTGCTCTGGCCGCTGATCTTGAAACGCCAGGGTAGCATAGTGCTGGTCCGCTGCACGGGAGCGAGGAAAGGGGTGTGGGTGTGGGGCAGGGCGATCCGATTCGTGCGCGCTCAGATCTAAGCTAACGGCTTCCCTTGCTGCTGCTGCATCTTGCGTATGTAAGTACAGAGGCAAGCGGCAAAACGTTGCCTCTAAGTTGCACTAGAGAACCGCAGCAGAGTCCACCAGCTGCGAGCAGAGCGTTTTTCTGACTCGTCCCGCGCCTTCAGGCACACAGCATGCCGGCCATGAGCTCGAAATAGGGGTGTGCTTCAATTGCTAGACACGAACGCGAAAAGAAGTTGTCATTGTTGATCCGCAAGAGACCTCCAGTAGTGGCAGAGCGCAGGTATCGCAATCAGTCCGTAACGTACGCGCTCGGAACGGGCCACCGTGTGGTCGCAGCCATCTTTTGGTCGCCGGTGTGCCGCTGTCAAAGCAAAGGATCCGTACAGTGGACGTCAGCTTACAGGCCAGAACTTAGAAATGAGGTAGTCACTGCTGCCAATTGGCGGGCATAGAAAAGGGGGCGAGAAGCAGAGCAAAAGCAACAAGAGTGGATCGCTGCGGGTGTGCGGGTAAGTCTCAAAGACTGACGGCGAACTGGGGATCCTATTGGGCGGTGCGGATACCTCGTTAATCTGATCTTGAAGATCGACCCGACTAGGGATCCTTGTTGGTTTCTGACATAATGATTGGCTCAACAAAGTGGAAACCAACATAGATCAAGTATTGTGGGAGTGCGAAATGTTGCACGTATCCACTGAAGACGAGGATATGATGCGGGCTGGCCAGGTTGAAACAGATGCACGGTCAAGTACGTACTCGCTGACCCTCGTCCCCCATAGCAGCGGACACGGAGCAATCCGCCCGACAGATATTGAAGGCGGGGCAAGTCGCACATGGCAAGGTTGTGAGCGTGCGAGCGTGTAACTTGCCAGGGTTCAACGTCGCCGACCTGCTCTGTATAGTGATGTGTAGCACGGCGCAGAGGTTCATTGATTGACCCACGCCAGCAGCACCGTTTTCATTACCTGCGTGCTGGGTGCCTTGTCTCGATAGGCCATCGCCTTGGGCCAAAGCGTGCTGCGTGGCGCTCTGACAGCCCTGCGAGTCACATTGTATGGACCATCGTTCAAATCGCCAATAGTCTGCTTGCGCCGTGACGAAGACTCAGTGGACAGGCCTCCAAGTGTGAGGGTAACCATGTAGTGATCTCGCAATGACAAGTAGAGTTTCACGAGTAGTGATCTATTTGTGAGTCCATATAATCGCGGCAGAAGGGCGAACGAAAAGGCACCGCAGCTGCACAGGGACCAGCAATCTAGCATCGGGACACGGTGCAGCATCGATACTATGTCTGCAGAAAGCCCGAGGAAGTTCGGCCCTGAGTTTTGTTGCACAAATGCGGAAGAAGCGAAGCCTCGATTATGATTTGCGTACGAATCCGAAGCCGAGGGCAGGCACTGTGTTGGACACGACATGAGCCACATTTAATTGCTGGAACCACCGTTAATCCCAGTACACAGGAACAAGGCATGCTTTTTGCTGGGGCTGACGTCTCGTTGGCCAACCAATCTTAGCAAATTAGCAGGGTTTGTAACTCGCAGGCGCCTCCAGGAGATGAACATGTTTGTTGATAATTATGACATTGCTGCACGCGCCTTCGTCTGGCATCAGAATTAAGGACACACAGCAATCGAGTATCCCGCGACAAGCACCCAGGTCCCAACGACTGTTGAGGATGGGGAATATGTGGGATAACGTGTAGGCTTGGCGTACAGTCGCAGCTGGAAAATGTTCTTACGGGCAGCCAGATTGCGACATCATTGATGTCAAAGCTTCCCCACGATGCATGCATCATAGATGAGGAACTGCTCAGGTGCAGTCTCTTTGGAACGTCTTCTGGCGATATTCAGGCTCGATGAGATCGGTGATGGCGGCCGTTGAGCTATCCAGGCTCTGGGGTTTATTGCTATGGACGTATGAGCCGTTATAGGCAAGTGGACGGCGAGGTTGCTGCGTTTGTACGAGTCTGTATGCAGGCGGCTGAGGCACGGCTGCTGGTGACGAAACAATCTCTCGGAAGCGTTGACTCCCGGGTCGCACTTGACTGAAGTGGGTCTAGACCAACCCACTGTGCCGGAGACCTGTTCCACCCCAGGATCTGCTCAAGCCACAGCACAACGCCGCAGCCTCACGTTCAGGACTACGGCCAGCCCGAAGGCGTTGTCTAAATAGCTGTCGCGTGGGGAAACAAGGGATAGACGTGCGACTGAAGCTATTCTTGCAGCGCTGCCAGGCCCAGCGATATCAGAATACGGACAAGTGACTCCTGGGGCTGGTGACAGATAAAGTGACAACCATGCGACTACCCACCGAATGGCGTAATGGGCCAGCAGATTCGGTGGTCGCTGGGCGGTATTGAATGTCGACGATGCTGTGCAGTGAATGAAGTCAACACTCGAAATGTCGCCGACCGAGCACAGGCAACACAGCAAGTGATTGGGAGACGTGCCCGTTGATGTCCGCCGCCGGCGCTGGGTCGTCTCGTCAAATTTGCCCGCATTCGATCAAGGGCGCTGGATCCTTCCGGTAGGCGTGCGGACGGTGCTGGCCTGGAGCGATGATGCGCTCTGGATGGAATGGGCGGGCAAAACGTTCTGGTGTGGGCAGGACCGCGGCCCTGCCCCTTCCCAAACCGTGCGGTACTTCCCAAAGAGGATGGGCACTAAAAAGATTTGAATTCGAATGGCAGCGTTGGGTTGGCCGGCGTTTTCCAGCAAAGTGGGCTCGCTGTGCGTCGTCCCGCCGGCAGATCACAGCCAAGCAACGGCGACCTGCAACGAGCGTTGCGAGAGCCGCTGCAGGCTGACTGTGCCCGCGGCCTGGGTCCTGAGGCAAAGAGTGTCGCTGGCCTGCGACGCCTTAGGAAACATGTGCTGTGTCGCTGCAGGTGCAGCAGAAACCGTGCAGAAACACCGCCGTCGCTGAGGCCGCGCGCGCTGACACCGTCGAGGCCGATGCTGTTTGTCGATTATCGCGCTGGGCGAACGACAGGGCCGAAAAGGAGTGCGGTGAAAGGCCAAGCCCACCTCGCCGACCTCGTGTGCCCCACCGACAAGGACCGCGACGATCGCGTTATGCCGTGCTGGGCGAGCGGCAAGCCTCAGCACCCGTTTGATCGACGCGTGAGTGGTGACTGCAACGTGCATCGTGCGGCGCTCGCTGCTGGGGCGCGAACAGCTGTCGGTTCAGGTCACACAGGGGCAGAAACACCACCATGTGTCTGCTCGCGGCGAGCTGAGGGCCGCTGTCACTGCGTCCTGTACTCGTCTGTCGCTCTCTGTGCCCTCCTCACCGCGTGGCTGCTATTCATGGCCGGCGCAAGGGGGGCGACAGGCAAGGGCGACAGGCGCGGTTATAGTCCGGGAGATGCCTTCCCGCCCGCCGCCTACCAGGATCACGGTACACAGTGCCAGAAGAATGGCCAGAAAAAGTCTACCGTCAGCCAGCTCAAGCGAAAGCTAAAGCTAATACTGTGCAGCTGGACACAGCAAGAACGAGCCCCTGGTCGTCTTCTCGTCCCCCGGGCGGGCTGAGGCTGTCCGGTAATGTTTGGTTTTACAGCGGGCAGCGTCGTGAGTGCATGGATAGCGCGTCGAGTGGGGGTATTCCTGACTGTGCCCATGCTGTCGAAGAAACACCTCCAAGTTTCTCGGCCGCCCATGCGCCCCGTCGATTCATGGCGAAACGGCCAGGGCCCCTGCAACTGACAGCCTGAGGCGAGCGCTGCGGGCCTGCAGCGGGTACAGTCGATGCAGCACGGTGGCTGTTTGGCCGCGAGCGTTGCAGGGGCAGCCAGTCACCAGCGCTGTTCCAGGATAGAACGCGAAGCTCGGCGCTGGCAATTCGTTTTTGTGCCGCTAGCACGCTCGACAGGGTGGACAGGCTGTGACAACCCGCTCTCCTGTAGCGCCCAAAGACGCCCTGCCACGATGTGATACAGGGTTAAGCTCAAATCCGACGATCTGGCTCACTTCCAGGGAACCGCCTGCTTGTGGGCATCGACGACAACGATTACTTTAGCCCATCACCGTCAGGGCCCAGCTAGCGAGCCAGAGCGCCGCATGACGCCCCAGTGCTCCCGACCACCATCTCACCAGTGCCTTAGCCGCAGACTCTCAAAAGCAGAGCCCTCGCACTGTCAACCGTCCCGAACAGTCAATAGTACCTCGACCACCTTGGCGCCCGTCCACTACACGAACCCTCCCCGCGCCCGCTGAGATATATACCGCTCGTCGCCGCTTGCACGTTACCCTTGGCTCTGGAGCATCCGTCGACCACTCTTCCCATCTCTTCCCTACACTGCAACAATTCATTCGTGTTCTTGGTACAGTACGAATTGCCAGTAAGTCTGCCGTCGCCAACATCACCATACCCCTCGTCACCATCACTGCCTTCCATCATCCCACCACTCCCTCATATCCCCCAAACAATTGTGCAACCTACTGCAGAAACCACCTTGTCTTCACTGTTGCACTTCATTTTTTGTTTTCACCACCAAAATGTCCTTGTCGACACTTGCTCTTCCCTCACACAACATGTGGCTTCAGTCACTAACGACTACCTCAGTACACCGTGACAACAGCTGTCACTCAAATTCATTGACGAGGAGTATACCTTCAGTGGCATACATCTCGCCATATTCACCACCCCAACCAAACTTCACACAGCAACCAGACAAATACAATATGGTAGCTCACCGTCGCGGCCCCTGGTCGCAACACGAGGACCAGTGGCTTGTTAACCTCGTTGCACGCAATGGTCCTCACAACTGGGTACGCATCTCACAAGAGATTGGCTCGAGATCGCCAAAGCAATGCCGTGAACGCTACCATCAGAATCTGAAGCCATCGCTGAACCACGACCCTATCACACCCGAAGAGGGAGAGCTGATCGAGAAGATGGTAGCCGAGATGGGCAAGAGGTGGGCCGAGATCGCCAGGAGGCTGAAGGGACGTAGCGACAACGCCGTGAAGAACTGGTGGAACGGTGGCCAGAACCGCAGGAAGCGCAACCCAGAACGTCCTGACCAGCGACCCCGCGAGTACTCCCAAACATCCGAGCACTATCAGTACCCTTTGGCATCCCAACATACTCATCACCACGACGATCAACACACTACCATGACTCCCGTCGTTCTTCATTAAATGCAACCATGCACACGACATACGGTGTCAAGCTGCCCCAACCCCAGCGCTTCGAACCATACCCTGGATCACGACCACAGTCACTAGAGCTCTACGGACAGCCCGCCAATGTACGCGCACGAGGCTTTGAGACGCCGATGCCTTCTCCCTCAGGCTATTCATCAGTCTCAGCCGATGGCGCGCCGTCCCTCATAACCGACACTGGCTCTGAGTCAAGGTCACCCCGCGGTGCCGCATCCCCACTCGACATCACCCTCGCACCTCTTGTTGGCAATAGGGATGAGCGCAAGAACTCCAGCACTCGCTACCTGCCTTCCACTGGCTTCGCAGTCGAAGATGACATGCACTCTGCGACATACGACACTTACAGACGTCGTGGCTCCTTGCAGTTGCCTCCCCTCCACCGTGAGGCTCAAGCACCTGCCCAGGCCTACAAGGAATCGCCGTTCACTCCACAACACCAGGCTCAGCCATTGCTCTCTCAGCATACACCACAGCACGTGCACCACCATTCGCTGCCTCAGTCATCCAACTTCAACGTACCTCAGCGCGCACTACCAAGCTTCCACTCTCTGACTGAGCCTGTCTTGTCTCTACCTTCGAGTTCAAGCGCAACCAGCCCTGTCGCAAGGCAGCTCCCTTCACCATACGCACGGTCTGCCGAAGCTCTTAGCGCACCAGTCTCACCCAGGGACAGGATGAGCTTGAAAAACATCATGTAGATGTCTGTCCATGTTTTACGCTACCCGTTATACCCGGTCCTATTTTTATACCATGTACACACTGCGAGTTTCACATTTACATACTATTAATGGTTGATCATCGCAGCGTGTCATCGCTGGCTAGCATGTCATTGCTTATTTCAGCTCTTCATATCTATTTCATTTTACTTGCATACTAGGGTGTGGATTACCACAGCGGAGGGCGGTTTACTGGTTGTTGCATCTAATACGATACGAACAAGAAGATACCCCACAAAACGGTTTCACGATGGAAAGGAGAACCATCCCATAGCATTGAGCGAGCGAGTCAGCGTTCTCGCACTCGACCTCGCTACGATACCCATCAGCGACTCAGCAGGGCATTGCAATGAATCAAAGTTTCATAATTCAAACAACTCAAATCAACCTCCCCACACTTCCATGAATCGTGAATCCACGTCCTGCTCAGCCACACCCTCAGCCGAAATCGCCTGTCTAACAACGGTAAGATCTTCACCTGAAGACCCTCGTAAAGCGGCGGCCATCTCGGGGACCACCCTGATCTGCAGCGCGCCAGAACGACCTCAGAAAAGATCCGCAGCGTAGCGCCATCTCATCCCGACATGCGTAATCTCAAAAATCGATCAGCAACAGCATGTCAAATCACGCGCACCTTGATCCACTGCGCTTGGACTTGGGCCGCTTGCTACCTACTCACTTTCTTCTTCCAGTCAATTATTTTCAGATCGCACACTTGACCGTTGCAGAAAACAAGATCAGCACAAAATGCTCGAAGGGGGCAGGGGTACCCCTCCAGGAGATCGCCCCGGATCGCCAACTCAGCTGGCCATGCACATCAACATTTCTGCTGTGATCCCCACGCGCCCGTTTGGGCATGAGTGAGGGCTGGACGGCGATCTTGCAAGTGCATCACTGGGCCAAGAACGAGCGTTGGAATTTCAATACGATTTTGATCGATCAGCTGCATGTTGAACTCGCGTCATGGATGTATTGGTGGTGGTGGCAGGGGTGTTGGATGCACAGGTCGCCGACCATGGGTTGGATCAACGTCTACACCACGATCTGGGTGGGGATTCCGATCCAGCCCTCGCGAAGTCCCGATCCGTACTTGCGGATACGTGGTCGGCCGTGACGAGTATTGCTAACCATTGGACAGAGATGTAAAAAATCCGGCATATGCATCCTGATACCGGACGCTGCAGCTGAATGACATCTCAGGGTTAATCAGAAAGTCAAAACGCAAGTTAACATTAAGTGATATCAACAAAGGACTTCACGGAACGTTATTGGTTGAGAGGGAGATGTAATTATTCCGTACTTGTCTTTCACTGGCTGGGCTTAGAAAGTGTCACTCTCCATGCACCTAAAGACTGCGTATGGCGGAAAGTTACCCACTGAAAGCTCGTACAGCAGTGTGTGTGACTTCAACAACATAAACATGCTTGCTTTCGGTCCAGAACGTCATTGGATGCGGGCTCCTCTCCTTCTGGTCCCTTTGCATACCCTTTGAGGAAGTAGCCGACCGTTCCCAGACCTCTGGAGCGTATGCAGCTAAAGACTACGGACGGCGAACGACCTCTGCACCGGGTCCGATCTGTTGCGTTGCTCCCCATGCACGATCCGAGAATGACAGACATACCTACAGGTGACAAGACACTGTAGCCGAAGTCTAACCACAGTGACATGCGTCCAGCATGAGATGACTCGCCTGACGCCTACTGTACAGTGATGTTTGGATTTATCATGGTCTAGAGTAAGGGGCATCACGAACAACATGTGTACTAACACGACATCCTCATTTCCAAACGTTCGCTTCCACGTTTTCTCTCGCATTAATCTCTCCGACCCGTTCACTAGACGTTCCTATCGACCAAGCTCCTTCCATCGTTCACCACCGCCTCCAGTGCACCTTGTTAGCAAGCGCCCGAACGCTCGTCCCCGGTGCAGGAGGTACACAGTGCCGACACGACAGTCTGGTAGACTATTCGCTAGACAGGCCGTGTTCACCGGCCCTACACACTCGCCCAGTCCAAGGAGCGGCACGTCCGAAACGTTAAACAACGTTTCGACGGATTTGTCGTGCACTGCAAGCCCGTCCGTCAACCGTCACTACCGTTTCGATCCAAACTTCTAGTCGCCGACCTTCTCTAGGGCATTCCTAGCTCCGCCAAAATCCCATCTGAGCCGGCCGGCGTTGTTAGTGCATATCGGAGCCCGTTCGGGTCGCTTTAGCCCAATTCGGCTATTTGACTGCCGACTAACTGATTCGAGGGTATAGAGTTTGAGCATGGTCTGCGTTCGGCAAGGCGTGCACAATGGCGCTTTGGGCGGCAATTCGTGGTGCCTTCTGGCTTCGAGGGCTTTGATGATTGGCGACGTGCTGTTGCTTTTGGCGCGCAGTGCAAACTAGCGGTTCTGGCACCGCGCCGTTGCTGCAAACAACGAGGATCCCCCCGAGACCCAACTCCCGCGCTCGGTAATCCAAACTCTCTTTGATGAACACGGACGCCCACTACCGAGCACTCCTGAGCGGGATGTTATGAAAAGCAACATGACAGATGCGAGTCGGAGCTGCACTGCACTGACACGTATTGAGGTGGATACGCGGGCTAGAAAACTGTCATCGCTTCAGGAAGATGTGCAGAGGCTTGCAGCGGCGCTATCGTGAGCCTACGCCCTGGGCTACCAGGGTTCTGTGGTCTGCTGACTATAACCAGGTAGCATCAAGATGCTGCAAGTCTGTGCAGGTCACGCAGTCGGCAGGCGCCTTCCTCCACACCATCTCAGCTTCCCCTAGAATGAACCGCCGTTTCGTTAGCCAATGTTCGCCTACAGAATTTGGTACCCAACCTTCGTTTCGAGTAGTGACAAAGTGCTGACCCACTATCCACGCAAGCAAACAGCGGTACTGTGGAGACAGTGGTGCGTGGGAGTGCTCGCCCCGTACGTGAGCGGCAACGGAACCGTTGTCAGCGCAGCTCAACGTTACCGTTGCAGACCTCGCTTTCGCGATCGGTTGCGAAACGAGGTGGAGAACCCAACGTGCGATGGTGACCCGTTGTGGCCGTTCCATTGTCTCCACAGCCGTTGGGACAAGCGTACACGCCAGTGATGTCTCGTTAACTCACCGCTGCTCTGACGACTAGATTTTCGCTGGCCTCGCTGTTTCGGATGCCGTGTGAGTGTTCTGGATCGTCATAGGTTGGGACGCGTCAGCGATACCTAATGATCGTTGTTGTTGAATTTACTGCTGACGCCTTCATGCTGCGAGGAGCGAATGGGGAGGTTTCCTGTGGATAGAGAAACCCTGTTCAGAACCGATCGATCGCGCTCTTGTGCGCTGCCCTTTCGGAGATCTGCTGCACTGTTCCTGCACGCAGTCGTGATGAAAATACACAAGTAGCGAGATCCTACATTAGGATCTTATCTCAGATGTTGCTACGCAGAATGAACTTGCGCACTTAGCAAAACGAAGAAAAAGCAGAGTCTCTCGGAGCAGAACTAGGCAAATGCGGTGTGTACATAGCTTGGCCAACTAGGATAGCTCACTGAGCAACTTCGGCTGCCCAAAGAGCCAGCATGGTTCCGCACTGTAATCTGTTCCTTTGTCAGGAAACCTGGCTGCGAAGAACATGAGATGGCAGTGCACATTTGAAGTGTCATTAAAGGCTTGGAGATTCATACAGTTTGAACGCTGATGCTCTCTCCGTCGTGACCAACTACGGAACAAGTGTCGTACAGCGAAATAGGAACAGTGTCCATAGAGGAGTATAGTATCTGACCATATGAATCACCAGTCGGAATCTTGGTCGATTTAGGACTATCTTCTATACTTGCTGAAACACATTAGATATGTGCCTCGTGACCTAAGAACGCTATATATTGGTGTCAAGAGCAGCCAATACCCAATATGACGAAGAAGAAGACTTCAATACGGCGTCTGGACCGTCCAACAGGCTTTCTGGCGCTTATCGTACATGCATATACTACACAACTGCAATGCCGTAAAGCTTCACAGGCTTCCAATGGAGACAGATTCGATCAGATAGTGCCAACTCAACTCCTGCTCTATACTGACAACCCATGTTAAGTTTCACTTCCACTGCACATTACATCCCGCGAGATGACACTAATACCTGCAATTCCCGCATCGCCAGCCAAGATAAATGATAGCGGTGCTGCCCTCAATTTCCCATTCGTAACACTATGGATGATACGTGTAGCACGCCCGCTCTTGGTCTGAACAGTTCTCACACGCCATAGCTGCGCGCACTCCGTATTTCCCGCGAATCATCTCCTGCTGCGTGTACCTGTGGGATGCCTCCTTTCGGTACTTTGATTGCACTCCAGGTAGATTGCGCTCGTTAATGAAGTACTTCTGGGCAGCTTTGAAGTCTGCGACCCAGGTATGTGGTGTGATGGAGGCGGGAAGCGGTGGTATATTTCGAGAATTGGAGGTGGTCTTAGTCCGGATATGTGAGCAGTGGTTGCCTCGAGATGTTTGCGGAGAAAGTTCATCATCCTTTGTGAGTGTTCTATCCAAAGACCGGTGCATGGAGAGCTGAGTGCTGATTCCAGATCCTCGGTGTAGTATCGAAAGTACGTAGTTCCACGACTGAAAGTGTGGGATCAGCCTCAGAGTGCCATCCTTGAGCAGTTTCAGTACGAAATAAGTGCCTTCGTCCCATAGGTTGGGCTTCAATTTGACCTCACATCGGTGATGGGATTCAAGGTGGAAGTGTACGTAGAATTGATCACGAGGATGATCAAAGTGCGTGAAAGCTGCTTCCTCCAAATTCTAGCTATGTTAATGGGCACCGAGGGGACGGCCTGTACAGGGAATACATACAGTATACTTGTCGAAGTGACCAGAAATCCTCGGCTCGTTGCAAGCAAGACCAAGGTTGTCGCGCTCGCCGAGCACTTCAACGATGGATGTTCGCGACATGAATCTTTCATTCATATGCGAGGGACTGCGTGGCTGTAAGATGATTGCTCAGAAGTTTGTACTTGGTGTCGCAGTCTGAGTTGAGAGAAATCACACCTGAGCGCGTGGACAGCTGATAACAAATAAATAAATGAATAATGCTGCCACAACAACAAACAAAAGATTGGCCTTCGCTTCAAGGCAGGGGCTAAGAAGAAGCGATTTCATAGTTGACTGGAGATGCCTGCTGAGTCCAAAGAAACACACGAGTAGATAGCCTACGTTATTTAAGCCGTTCTGTCCGGATGCTCTTCCTTGAACCGTGGAGATGGTACAGAATGGTTAGTATTTCATTTCGCCCCCCAAGTCAGAACACTGCTGCCCTTCATCTGTCCTTCACCTGCCCTTCAGATACCCTCCGCCTGCTTTTGAACCACTCTGACCTGTGTGGTAGACACTGTCGCTCCCGAAGTCACTTGTCAAGATCTCTCCGGCGTCGTTCGAAACAACACCAATCGCTATAGACTTTTCCACTCTCCTAAATTCTGTTGCCTGTACGGAAACTGAGATGGTACAGTATCATATACCTACAACGCGGCACCTACCTTACTCAGTCACAGACGAGCCAGCTAGGGTTTGGAAGCGTCTATCATTAAACTTCGAAGTCAAAAAGGAAGAAGACAATAAAACGTAATGGGAGGGTGGGCGGATACCATCAATATCATGAGTGTACGTAGAATGGTGGGCGATGTGGGCTATCTGCGGAGTTGGCAACAAACAAACGTTTGATGGTGAGCAAACTAATATTAGCTCTGTGACAGCCTTAATAAGTCTTTGCGCTGGAACGTTCGCCGTTAAGCATATGTTTGTCGCCAACTCTGACCGAAGTCGAGTTGAGCAGATTAGCGATGAGGTCGCTCAACCACACCAGTAATATTCTTTAAAACGAGGCGGCTAGACAATAGGGTGTGAATTAGTCGACAAACACTGGACACCACGCACCAGACGTAGTACATCGTCGACCTGGTGTTGAGTTGACCTCGGGAAGAAAAGCCCGCGCGATAGATGTGCAGGCTTAGTCACTAGCGTGGCCGAAGGGCAACCGTGTTCGACGCTTCTTGAATATTGCCTAATATGGTAGCTGCCCCTCGGCGTTCCGTCATCTTCCCTAGCTGACGTGTCGACACTGTACCCAACCACACTACAACTACATCTTAGTTCAGACTGCCAGCTAGATTACGCGATCAGATTCACGACTTCAAGCTTCAGTTATCATGAGTGCAGCGTTGATGCGAACAGCCGGACACTTTCAGCCGTATGTGATACGGTGTGATCGTCGTTGACACCTCCGTTCGCTTGTATCGATAGCAAGTACTGTCACGTCGAGATGGGCAGAAATTCAAGGCATAATCATGGCTATGTCACAAAGACGTCTCACGCAATGGCCCCAAGCGGCCGTACCTGCAGTAGCGAAGACAGTAATGTAGGAGACGACAACACCAGTCTGCACACTCTTGACTTCTCTTTGGCCGAACGATGTTCTGAAACTTCAAGTCAGATGCAGGGATGTGGCTCGCGTATTCGAAAAAAGTGAGAACAGCCAGGAACCAGTAGTCGTACCAGCAAAGCTGATAAGCTGAAGACGAAGTATTTTGCACGGGCTCGAAGTCTACCCACAACCACTTCTGTCTATATCGTAAAGCCGATATTTGGGAGAAGACATTAGATTGGTAGTCTGGTCTTATACTGGCGGTTTGACTCCGTCGTCCGAGTCGCTGGTATACGTAAAAGTATGAGTTACCTCGACTTTCCTTCTAATCCCACTCCCAAGCCCCGCCGAATCCGTTTCCAACGAGGATTTTACCTGCGTCACAAGCTCGACTTCGTCAGAAAATACTTCTCGACCACCATGCTTTTTAGGTTTCCCTGTTCCCAAATGCGCAGACTTGAAGGTCGACAGCTTTTGTGCTCCGGATGTATCACCTCGGCCTTCTGTTTCCCGACTAGAACCGTAACCAACGCGGTCTCTCATGATGTTAAATTGAGCAACAAATGCGGGCAGGCAGGTGCAGATCAAGGCAATCCCAGCTTCAGCGTTACTGACACTCATTAGCTGATTGCGGAGTGGAACACACGACATTTTACTTGCCCTGACATTACTACTTGGACGAACAAGATGGTGGTGTCTTGTGAATTTCCATCTGTCAATATCAAATTCAGCCTCCAGCCACTGAAAGCCGTCGCAAGGCCACCGACTGCAAGCATGCCTCCAACGCGAATCTTCTTTATTGTGGGAAGCTGCAAAGACCAGGTCAAGGGAAGAGGTAGGACCAGCATGATAGCATCTGTGACTGTGGAGATAATCGAATCGGCAAGTATTACTGCCGATTGATCCAGGCACTTACTCATGTCACCCTGCCAGTACGCAGCGATCGGCCAGCAGACGCGTATCTTTAGGACGAGAGAGGTGATGTAGTATATGACAAGCAACCCTCCGAGAGCATATATGCCTTGTATCATCTTCTTGTACGGCGAGAAAATTCGAGCGATGAGAGTGAGGAGGCTCAGTTTGATGGCGAGAGTCATAGGTGCGTAAAAGATGGTGGCGGCGTATGCAGTCTGCAGGAACTTCTCGGCAGTTTCCTTTGAGATATCCCACATATGGTAACCTCCGCCATGGACACTCACTTATTCGGTCAGCACTATCGATTCAAAGGTGGAAAAAGTTTACTTACAGATGAATCCAGAGATACAGTAACCTGTCATCAAAATCCAGGATGCAAGCGTCAGATCTGCCATTGGTGAGCTTTCTTTCCGTAGTGGCTCAATCTCTACTTACAGTCGTCGACAGCTAAGTCGAGGCCAATGGTTCTGAGCTTGTGGTATCCTCTGATCCAGACGAACACCGTACAAACGGTCAATGTCAGGGCCTGTGTAACAGTGTTGATCGTCCTCAATTCATCTTTAGGGTGGAGCAGGTCCGACGAATATCCTGGGGGCGGCGATGCAGCTGCTGTAGCCATTGCGAGAAGCACTCGGGTTTGATCGGACACTCAAATTCCAGCTACGAAGGTAGGTGAGTTTTGACGCTGTGCTTGTCATTAGGTGCTGCCGTTTTCACCTGCATCTCATCGCGCGCTAGGTCCCACTTCCTCTATATACAGGGTTATACAATACGGACTTACTCTGATGCAACACAGAAATTCGTCTTCCGCTATACTGGGTCGAACTCAGGAGAAGCAGCTATACGTGCCGTCCTGGAACTCCTGCACGGTACGCAGCTTCTTCGCCCCAATCACAAATAGGTACTACGGTTGGTGGCATAAGTTTTGTGGGCGGATGAACGACCGGGGCGACTACTACCGGTAATTCTAACGTAACGTACCATTACCTGTACAACAGAGGCGACTGTGCATGGCATTATCGTTGCTGATTTGTTAAGAAGTGTGCACAACCAGCTGTTGCTAAGCTGTTGAACGGCTGTGTAATTATTACACAATCAAAAGCAAGCACTCACAGGATGCTAGCCCCAGCCATACAATACCAATAGTAGAGCAAAATGAGCAACAGGATTTCGAACTCGAAACAGCAATGCACCTGCTGGACCTTGGCTAGGCCACCAACCACCTGATCGCGTAGACGGCTCCGCTGCGACTGTGACCTCGGGAGGCTAAGATCAACATGCTATCAGTGTATTCGGGTTAACGCAACCGAAATCCGATTTAACCATGATTACGAGCGACGTGATCCTTGCCCAAATTGTTCGCTTGTGCACGGGTCGACCTTGTCCCGCTTCTACTTCTCCTGTTTTCAGTTAAGACTTGTCATAAAACGGTTATCGCGGGTTGGACTGAAACGGATCCGAGGACTTGCATGATTCAGGGGCTGAAGGAACGCTTGGACACCATCAGTGAGTTGGAAGCCCACACATCACACCACCATAAGGACAAACAATAACTCCAACTCTCCTTCTGTCGCGCGCAACAATAATCCAAGATCAACGGCAATGAATTATGAGAATCTAGAGACATAGATTGTGGAGAAGAGACCACTCTGCAAGACTCAGATCAGAAGGCTAATCTTGTGTTGCGGTGAGCAAATTGTGTTCGTAGACGGTTGGCTTCCCAGGTCCCAGAGTGCCGGGAATTGGAACGGCCTCGTGCTAAGGCTATTCACTGCCAAAGCGACATGTTGCATGAAGCAAACTCCATGGCGAGCATGCGGGTGCGAGAGACCCACTATGACGTCTTGGCGGTGCCTCGATGAGGCAGCGACTTGGCTGATAAGAGGACCCTTGACAGTATCGGCTACACACCTAAGATCACGTTTCCGCAACTGCTCCTTCGGACGGTGCGATGACCAGATACGGTATCTGAGCAAGCGAGCCTGCTTTGATTGATAGGAGATTGGGTCCGGCATGGCGAGTGTTAGTTCCCACCGTCGCATGGCAGCAAGCGACACTAGGTATACCTGACTCTGTGTCCCCTCCCCTGAAGGATCAGAGAGGTTTAATATCATCCCATCTGAACGACGTGTCTATCTCGTAGTCTCTCTGTACAGTCGCAATGACGACCCCCGCGGGCCGGACTTCGAAGCTCTTCGAGCCGCTGACCATTGGCAACGGCAAGATCAAACTCGACCATCGTGTGGTACTTGCACCTTTGACCAGGAACAGAGGAACTCCATTGAGTGCAGAAAGTACACCAGAGGAGCCGAATCGCATATGGCTTCCGAACGACCTTATGGTGGAGTACTATACTCAGCGGACTACCAAAGGAGGACTTGTTATTACCGAAGGCGTCCCGCCGTCGCTTGAGGTGGGTACATTAGACATTAAAAGCTCGATTACTATCATCTGTTTACGAGTTCTCTTTGCATGCCATTGAAAGAGCTGGGTGCATCGTGGAACTGAGACAGCTTGAACGTTAGCAAAGCTGACTTACATGGCAGGGCAATGGAATGCCGGGCGTACCTGGGTTGTTTATCGAAGAGCAGAAAGCCGGCTGGAAGAAGATCGCAGATGCTATTCACACACAGGGTGGCTTTGCATATCTGCAATTGTGGTATGTCAGCGCACGATGGGTTTTGAGGATCAAACTGACGAGAAGAAGGCACTCAGGACGAGCCAATATCCCGCAAATGACGGGCACACCAATTGTCAGCCCTTCCGGTTTGCCCTGGGATGATCCAAATGAGTGCTTCGCATACCCACCGCCTCACACTTCCAAGCAAGCCCGCTATATCGATAACCCTCCCATCGAGCTCACCGTAGAGCACATCAAGAAGACAATACAAGACTACGTTCGCACGGCGAAGTGGGCCATGGAATGCGGTTTTGACGGTGTGGAGTTACATGGGGGAAACGGATATCTTCCCGAACAGTTTCTTGCCTCCAACGTCAACAAGCGGACAGATGCATACGGAGGTAGCCCGGAGAAGCGTTGCACTTTTACACTAGAGCTCATGAGAGAATTGAGCAAGGCAGTCGGTGACGAAAACCTAGCTATCAGGCTGTCACCGTTTGGACTGTTCAATCAGATACGCTGTGAGCAGCGTATGGAGACTTGGAGCACGTTATGTCGCAAGCTCAAAGAAGCTCATCCGAACCTATCATACGTGAGCTTTATTGAGCCTGTAAGTCTGATTTTTCCAGATGTTGATCCACACTGATGAGATTTCAAGCGCTACGAGCAGATCCACAGCGAGTCCGAAAAGCAAAAGTTCCTGGATTCATGGGGCTTAAGCACAATCGATCTTCAGCCATTCCGCGAAATTTTTGGCAGCACACCGTTCTTCTCAGCCGGCGGCTTTGACGACACGAACTCCTGGGGCGTGCTCGAATCCGGAAAGTACGATGCGCTATTGTACGGCAGGTACTTCATCAGTAACCCTGATCTGCCGAAGAGGCTGAAAGAAAGCCTACCGCTCGCTCCATATGATCGAAGCAGGTTTTACGGGCCGTTCGAAGATAACACCATTTGCTACACAGATTATCCAGAATGGGAACATGCAAGCACACCTTGATTCTAGCCTGGCATCGCCTGGGGTGAGAGTGCATTCTGGGTAGAGCTTAGCTTAGTCCTCCTACGATTCAACAACAGTTTGTAACCAACGCCAGTTATACATTTCGCCGTGAATATGAAGCGATATGGTGTTCAATTTAATGCTTGTTTATTGCTTCTTTACGCTTTCTACCATATAAAGTATGAGAACATAGTTACAAAGTGAGTGAGCGCATATGGGCGGGGTAGGACGACACTCGATTGTTAGCACTGCACATACAGGCAAACATACTATATGAAACAACATTACCAACAATCTACAGAGTAGTGACTGGAGCACTATTGCGTTCAAATGCTGGCAGAAAGATCTGAGCTTCTGCCTGTCCAAGATCATCTGGCCCCGTGTTGGACATCGTATTTGATTACGGAATGATGATCCGAGTCTATCAACGCCATTGATATTGCTAGTCAAGTACCTACGTCGTGAATCTATGGGACCTTTGCTTTTTTTATCAAGCTGACTTCCATCTGAGCAGAGTGAAGGAGTGCTTCGGGAAAGTGAAAGCACCCTTACCATCCCATGAGCTCTCCTTGATACCAACCTGCTGGTCCTCAGCAGTGTTAGTAACCTGTACATGCTCACCAGTAACGGTATGAACCTCGACATTCTCCGTCTTAATGCCACTGAGGTCAACTTCAAAATCCTTCTCTTCGCTGACATTCGTGACGGCCAAGTTTGTATAGCCGTCCTCACCAGCTACAGCACAAGCGTCGAGGTAGGGCGTCTCAATTGTTCCACGAATCCACTTGGGGTTTGTACGGCCAGTGTACTCAGGTGATTTGACGTTGATGGCGATGGTGTGACCGCGCATGTACTTGCTAAACAGAAGCAGCGGCCACCATATGGTCTGTTTGATAAGCCCGTCTTTGCTCGTCATGAGAGGTGAGATGACGTTGACAGACTGTGCGATATTGGCCATGCCCATGTCCTTGGCCTGGCGGATGAAGCCGTTCAGAAAGACGGCAACAGCGAGAGCATCCGAAAGTGTATACTTCTCCTCAGCACCCTCCTCACCAGGGGCCCGAACAGGATCCCAGACGTTCCACTCGTCGAAGCAGATTGTTGGTCTTGGGACGGTTTCGGGTACCTGGTTCTCAATTCGCGCAAGATCAATGAGCGCGCTTGCCATCTGAATAGCACGCTCTGCGGCTCGGGGTGCGGTAGCGTTAGGCAGGTGTTCATTGTCTGCTGTGTAGAGGTGAATGCTATGCATGTCGATGAATGACTTGGTAGTAGCGTCACCGCTCAGGCCATGAATGGACCATTTAACGCACTGATTGAGGACATAGTAGTCCCAGGACGAATAACCGGTCTCACCACAAAGAATGAGTGTAATGGTTGGGTCGAGCAGCTTCAGAGCCTTAGCCCACTGCCAGGCCTTTTTGGCATAGTCTTCTTTCGTCATCTGCTCAACTTGCCATGGTCCCCAGCATTCGTTGCCAAGGGCCCAGTATTTGACCTGCAGTGGAATTGAGCGAGGGGTAGCATAAACTAATGCGACATGACTTACGTTGTATGGCTTCTCACGACCATTTTTGCGGCGGAGGTTGGCGTAGTATGAGTTGCGATCTGAATTGCAGTACTCGAGCCACCCCAGAGCTGAAAGAATACAGGTCAGTACGCAATAGGAAGAAAGCTGACATGAGCAACTGACCTTCGGCTAGAGTTCCAGTACCGAAATTGAGGCAAAGATATGGCTCAGTACCGACAACCTCGCACCATTTCATGAACTCATCAGTGCCGAATTCGTTTGTCTCTGTGCCGATCCATGCAAGTTCGGGCCTGCGCCAATCGTTAGTGAGCTACATGCACAGTACGTCTCAGAGCATGCCCATTGGATGCATCGGAGCTATTCCAATATCCGATAGACGACCACTTGAATATAATAGTTGCCTTACCTGCCAGGCCTTTGATCTCTAGGACCAATGCCGTCTCTCCAATCGTAAGTCGCGACAAAATTACCACCTGGGTAACGGACGACAGGCACCTTCAATTCTTGGAATGCCTCAATAACGTCCTTGCGAAAGCCATTTTCGTCTGATAACGGGTTGCCAGGATCGTAGATGCCGCCATAGATGCAGCGTCCCATATGCCTACATTCGGTCAGTGCGGCTCTGCACTGCAGACAACCTTGCCTCTCGCTAGGCTTCCGAGGTTATGCTTACTCTGTAAAACCGCCATAAATGTTTTCGTTGATCTTTGCGATTTTGTTGGTAGGGTGAACGCTAATCGAGGGCTTCTCGCCCTCTGGAATGCTCGTGAAGGTTGCCATATTGATTTGAACCTTGGTGACAATATGGATGGTGGACTGGGCAAGACGCAAACATCGCAAGGGAAGTTGCTACGGTGAATCTCCGCGATCATTGACATGACACCACGTGAAGTCGCTCAAAACTCCGATGAGCGGCTTTCCCGAGGGCCGAAAATAGTTAGGCGCCCGGCTGTCAAAACCTCTGCTCTAGCCATGCGGGGGATGGCTCCCGGAGCGGTGCAGATAAGCTTCAAAGCTCGGTCGCAAAAAAGCCACCAGTCATCGCTTCATCGTTATACCGAGCCACAGTTTTTAGCCATCGGAGCGCACACGCGGTGCACGAGACCACCGGGTACGCAAGTAATCGGCGTAGCCACCTCCGGGGTACAATGATCTCGGTCATTCAATACGGCATCCGCTGTCGACAGTATCGACGTAGCGACAAGCAGGGCAGCTCGCGACCTGCTTGGCAAATAAAAATTGAGGCGAATACAAGGAGTTACTGTCAATTCATCGATGTAATACCCAGTCGTCCATTAGCGATAGTGCTTTGTCGCATATGGCACTAGACAATGACCTCTTAAGTTCGTCGCGCGAGGAGGGTGGTCAACGAGTAAGGAGTCAGTTTCTCGATATGAAAGTCACGACTATTGTCTTTCACGGGACGAGAATGGTGTTCGCGCTGAACTGTCAGAGTTCGATTCTGTGGTAGTGTCCAATGCCGAATGGTCTGCTGATAGGATCTCTAGTTCATGGCTAGCCTCTTCGCTCTCTTTGGACATCTCACGTATCATTATTATCCGGGTGTTATTGCACAGGGTTTGGTCTCGAATGAAGTCGAACCCAAGTTCCAACCTGCCATGAGCGAAGCTGGTGTAGTTGTATCAGTCTTTATAGGTGGCGCCTTCTTTGGATGATGCTTTGGCTTGTTACGTTGGTGCTACCATTAGTTTCTCGGTGGTACTATCTGAACGGGTGAACAGTCTATGCTCTGATTGCACTCCGGTCGAGCTATCGCTGGTCTAGGGAGAGTCCTGGATCAGTACAACAGGTCTCCAGTGACATTTACATGATCATTCATGTATACCAAGCCGAAGTAGATCACCCCAGCAGTCCGTGTTGGGTATCTGTGCATTGATGGCGAGATGGATCTCTTATGGAACCCACGTTAGTTTCGCATCGACTTATAACGGACAGTGGCAATCACCTCTAGATATTCAGGTTATCCCCGCTCGCCATGCTCATCATGATATTCCCCGAGTTTCTGAGACGACCGATTGATCACGGCAGGGTTGACGTGAGTCTAGAGACGGTTGTGAGGCTCCACGCTCATGGCGATGAATATAACGAATGGGTCTGGGCCAAACAAGTTCATATACAGAACACGATTGCGTGCGGAAACGAGCACGAGTAAAAGTCGTGCACTGAGCTATCGGCCGACAGGTCTTGCTTCCGCCGTCTCTTCCTCGCCTGCGCAATCCAAGGTTCCGTCCAGATGACCGGTGTGCCCAGTATCCAGTACTACTCTGTCCGGATAGAAAGTCAAATGGCATTACCGGTGCTGACACGTTGAAGTAGCATGCTTTGTTTTCCATCATTACGCTGGTAGCCTATGCTTCGTTCACCCTTTCATCGATGTCGACGGACTCTGATCGTAGGTAAACCATGTAACATGATCACTTATATCGTCTCGACCACTTTATTACTGTGTTCCCCCTATGGTTCAAATAAGATACCACGGCAACTGAGTGTTTCATCATGATCATCTGGGTTTATGACTACAATTTTAGCGCTCGCTGTGCAGACCGTCGTCCTGGATGATCCTCGCCGGAATTATCGACACAAACACCCGTTCGAAGAATATTGCGCTCGCTACGATGCCGTATTTCGGGCTCAATACTGTGATCAGGTAGGCCGCCGGGCTTGCAATGGAGAATTCTGTTGGATTATCACTGACTTCGTTGTAAGCAACGGGTGTTCTTTTGACCAAGGCTCACCAATACTAACAGAACGAACAGGTGTGCATTCCATCAAATCTTCTACTGTTTCCAGTCCGAGACAGCCAGTCGACTCCTTGAAAAGATGAACTAACTCTCCACCGACGCTCCCTACTTTTTTCCTAATATGAATAAGCGTCACAAGCAGAGCATCGACATTGAGCGTCATGATGCAGAGAACGACCATAAGCAGAAATTATCCCTGATCACAACAGCACTTTTGAGTATAACTACTAAAATGATCACTGCATGACTTTGATCTTGTCGGCTGCTGGCTGCTTGCTTCTTTGGTGGCTCGAAGCGCCGAGACAACCCCGTTTGCGCGCGCTGCGTGAGTTGAACGAGCGTCGGAATACGGAGGTTTTCAGAAGTGCACTGATCAATCATACGATGCAGCCATGACTGCAATGATGCCCGAAGGAGAAAGTTGACACTGCGGTAGTTTATAGATGACTTTCTGTTGGAAGACTCTCCGAGGGATAATAAAGATCGACAACATGTCTGCTGTTCTGTCAATCGGAGGCGCTGCCGGCTAGGTACTTGGCAAGCCCCGCTTTTAAGGCGAGCCGGCTCAACGCGTTCTCCACCGTCACCTCTGGTGCATCTGTGCAACACGCAAAGACATTAATTGACACTTGCGATACGATGACTTGCGGAACGCTCATTGCGATGATAGGTGTTCCTTTGTAAGCCTCATAAGTGCCTTGTCCGTGCTGGAGGACCTGTACTGTAATGCAAAGTCGCAGTCTTTCTCGGAGCATGGCAGACCCGCGAGCAGACGTCACGACAAACAGTTTGACTGGAATGAGACCAAATGGAACCTTCGTCATCTTGTTCGAGACATCTCTCCGGAAACTTTGCCGCTTCCATACTGGTTTGCTTCTCCAGGCGTGAGCCAAGCCAACTGCAATAATGCAACATAAACACCAACACCACACATTCACCATCATTTTGTAGGGCTGACTCCACACAGCCATCCGGAAGCTCGATAGGTTTTGAAGATTGCAGAGCAAGCGGCTACCTCCCGCGCCAGCGTCTCACAATTAAAGTACACGAGTGGCGATGATTGGCCAACCTTAAGTTACGCCGGCTGTGTGGCTATGCCGGTTTCAGATCGCCATTCATACGTTATGCTCCGAACGTGCATTCCAGCACTCTAGCATTGAGACTTACGTTCCCCTTCTGCACTTCAACACAACAAACAGACTGCCCTGATAGTATTGACGACTATACTAGCTCGACCCATTGCTGGACCTAAACACACGGCCAAAAGATGTGGTTCAAGAAGAAGGAAAACGACATTGAGATGTCAGGAATGAAGAACCAAACAAAAAAAGCTGGCCCTCCAGAAGAGACAGAATACCGACCCGTCGACTGGAAGAAGATCTTTCTGTCACCAAAATACATCCGTACGTCGTTCTCAGGCCCGCAGCCCTATGCGCACGCTAACCAACTCCACAGCATGGCACATCTTGGGCATAGCGCTTGTGATCATCACTGTCTTCTTGACGCTGGAACACGATGCGGTCGTTGAAGTATGTTGTCCTTATTCTGTCAATCTTGAGGTTTCAGTGCTGACACAACGCCCCTCCAGAAGCTTCGCCCCTTTTCAGAAAAGGTCCGTGACCTGCCGGCCGGGTGGCTGATCCCCATTGTGATCCTCGTCATCATATCATTTCCTCCACTTTTCGGTCACGAAATTATCGCAGTACTATGTGGTGTCATATACGGGCTATGGATTGGGTTCGCCATTGTGGCAGCAGGGACGTTTATAGGTGAAGGTAAGTTCTTTTGGGGCTGCAACTTCGACCAGGCATTGACAACAATACAGTCGGCACTTGGTTCGCGTTCAAGTACCTCTTCCGAAGCAGAGCTATTAAACTCGAGCGCACAAATCTCAACTATGGCGCTATGGCGCGCCTCACTCGCGACGGCGGATTCTTCATCGTCCTCGTCATACGACTCTCCGCGATCCCAGCACACTTCTCAACAGCTGTGTTCTCGACCTGCAACGTCAAGTTTTGGCACTTCGTCGTCGCTACTTTACTCTCGCTACCAAAGCAGATCTTCCTTGTGTATCTTGGTGTTCTCCTTGTGCAGCAGAGCAGCGACAATCTGATCAAGACTATCATGTTTGGTGCTGTTTTCCTGGTCACGGTTGCTATGGGCGCATGGATCTGGATCAAGATGGCGAAGATCAAGAAAGTGTTACTCGAGGAGCAAGAGGCCAGGCGAGTGAAGAACGCAGAGGGTCAGGTTCAAGTTGTGCCGGACATAAAGAGTGCTTTTGAGAGACGGTACGAAGAGGAGCCGTCGGAATTCACGATGCAGCCAATGCAGCCGACGAGAATGGTGTGAGCGCTGCGCGCCGTCCCTTTCTCGTTGTCTTTGATTAAGCTGTGTTACAAATTTCTTCATAATGATAATGACAATTTTTTGATTCCTGTTTGCTGGTTTGCTATCGATCCCTCCACACTAACCGCGCGTCCGCATCATCTGCAAGGTCCACTGAGTTTGCGTTAATCAATCGCCCCCCGTTCTCCGCCCGCAATATCCACAGCTGCCGACCTATCAAGTACAGCCCCCCGTACATCAACAGCGGGATCAACACTCGCATCAATAACCTCTCCCACGTCCATTTCTGATGGATACCCGTTCTGTTGTCACGCGTTTCCTCACCCCCCTCCTCGATCTCCATGTCCTCGTTCAAGATAACATTATAGCTAATACGGCGGAGCAGATCATGAACCACAATCATAACAGCAAGACCGACCAGAGCACCGTTACCCCAGAGAATTTGCGTTTCCCAGGGAGAGTGTGATCGCCTCCCCAAACTTTCGAACAAATCATCGAGGCATTGCACGCCGATATGGATGAAACGCGGCAAGACAAGGATGGCCATGGCTGTGCCGACAATCCTGAGGAGGGTAATTGACAACCAGGTCGTAGCATGCGTAATGTGTCGAAGAAAGGTCCGAGGCAGTGATGACGATCGACTGGTGTGCAGAGCTGGGTCCATATTTGGTAGGACTAGCATTGTGGAGTTGAACGAAGGCCGTGGCAGTGTGATGTCGTGGATGGTTGGTATTGTCTCCATGCGCCAAATTCGTAATTCGTGATTCGCCGTTTGCGATATTTGTTGCTTGAGTAAGGAGCTAGCGATGTAGTTCCGTTTCTCTCAAAGAATGTCGTTGACTGAGCGGTGTTGAGTCGGGGTTCTACTGTGTACCCCTGTGAAGCGGACAATACGAAAACGTGTGCGGTAGTCCGGATGTCTTTTTGGCTCCACTTTTGCTGGGCCAGGAATAGGTCGTAGTATACAACACCGGAGTTGTGAGAGTGATAGTTTTCCTTGAGAAGGTAGCCTTGATGTTGTTCTGCTCTTGAGGGGGGGTCTGGCCCTTTTCGCCCTGCAACTGTCTCAGTCCTCGTTGCACGAGCACTCCCGCCAGCGGCTACAGGGCGGTAACGCTGTCTCTATTAACGTCTTCTAACGACGCGACAGTCTCTGAGTACTGCGCGCTCTCCACGCGTAGTGTCGCGAACGATGCCTCGGTTCGATTTTCTGTTTCTCCGTTGATGCGCCAAGCCCCCACCCGCTGTTCGATCTGCAGCTTTCTACCGCCTCTTGCTGTCTGTCTGTCTGTAGGAAGACACTCGATGGTTTGGATCAAACTTTTAGATGACGCGAAGATCGCACAAGATTTGGGACGTCGCGCGGATTTGTACGAGGTGCGACGTCGTTTTCGTTCCTCTCGTACTCAAACACGCCGTGCTGCGCCTTAGGCGTACTGCAGCGCCTCGCCGGGCAGGCGTGGCGTTTGCGCACTGGCGTGGTGCGGGGCAAACACCCGCTAAACACTGCCTCATCACGTTCTGATTGGCACAATGTCCGTATGTAGAGAAAGGGGGTTAGCAGCTAGACGGGCGAGGGAAATTGCAAAGCTAGGCTGGGTAGGTGAAGGGTTGAAGGATATCATTTACTCGTTCACGTGGTATACGGCTGCTTAGGCCTTCCGCGGACACGGCAGACGATTTGTGCGTCCTTCCAGCTATGTGCAACATCTACTCTCAGCCTTAAGCCTAGTTTGAAATGTCTCCGAACCGTCTTCAGGCCAGATTATCGTTCAGGTGGTGTATCTAAACCATGGAACATTATCTGCAAGTTCACGCTCTAACAACTTCTGCTCTTCAGTCAAGTCCTGATTACCTCTCTCCTGGATGATCTTTTCCCTTCGCGTGTTCTCAAGGCGACACCAGGTCGACATAAAGAGAGTAAGACAGAACGCCACACTTTCAGCATCAGTAATTATCAAGAGACCAGGGCAGATGACTTACGTGATGATGGCAATCAGCAGACAGTGTCCCTTGATGTATCGAGGCCCATCGCGGCTGATGTAGACATAAGATGCAATGATCCCTCCACAGTTGCCTCCCATAACCTGCATGGCAATTCCCGTGCCTCTCTTTAGACTTCCACCAATATTTGCACTGTTCCATGCCATCCCAAGTGGAATCTGGGGATAAATGCCGATCGCAGCAAGGACCGTTCCAGCATACTGCACGCGTGGCTTTGCTGTAGCTGCAAGCATTGAGAAGCCAGCAATTGCGATAACCTGGAAACACAGCATGAAGATGCCTCGTTTGCGGACACGATCAGCGTACCAGCTGGCTGCAATGGTAAAGAAGCAGGCGCATACGTAAGGAGGTACGGACATCAGTTGCGCATCGTTGGCTGAGTAACCCATATTCCTACGCAAGGTCAGCGAGGGACGAGTACCAAAGGGGCATGACGCACTTGATGATCGTCGGAAGGAACAAGGCAAAGGAGTAGATCGGACAGAAACCCGCCATGCAAATGAACATGAAGATGTAGATCTTCCAATCGCCGATCGCTTGCCAGACATACTTCATATCGAAGTCGTTGGACAGGTGGCCGTGATCTTCTTGGAGGCGGCGTTCGACTTCGTCACGCTCCTTGGGCGACAAGAAGGTTGCGCTGTAAGTATGAGATGTCAGAATGTGGATCAGCATTGAATTTGGAAGAGCGCTTACGTTGCAGGATAGTCATGAATGCACCAGTATGCACCCATACTGACTAGAATGCTGAGGAGCCCTTCTAGGATGACTATTGCTGTCAGTTAAAGTCGATTGAGAGGAGAATGATAGCGCACAAATCCATGACCACGCAGACTTTCCACCGACACCAGACATCTCAGCGATGCCTCGAGCCAATATGCCACCGAAGGCGCCAGCCAGCGTTGCAGCTGAGAAGAAGAGTGCCATCCGAAAGCCGCATTCGTGTCGCTGGTACCACTGCGAAATATAGTAGTTAACTCCCGGGAATAGCTGTTACACTGGTAAGCATGTTTTATACAAGAAGAGATAGGACGAACTTACGCCGCCTTCGAAGACGCCTAGGAAGACTCGGGTAGCCATCAGCCCAGAGTAGTTCGATACGAAGCCCTGTGCAATCATCGCTGCGGACCAGAAGAACATAATAAACGACAACCAGATCGAAGGTCTGGTCAGCTTCATCATGATGTTGCTGGGGATCTCAGCCGCAATGTAGAATGGAAAGAGGACAGCAAGGCAGTCATTATATTGTAAGCCGTGGAGCTTCAAGTCTTGCTCCAGATGGTCGAGGCGTGCGTTGCCTATGTTAGTTCTATCGAGAAAGCATCTGTTCGCAAGTTAGGGAGCTATAAGGGTCAGAGTTGCGGCGCCCTCACAGTAAGTAGATGAGTGACATGAAAGGAATGATGTGCCAGTCCAGCTTCCGAAGTAGCTTCTTGGTGGCGGCATGATCGAATCCCTGACTTTCTGCTTCTGCACAATCGCCAGTGGAGAGATCAGGGGTGGAACTAATGCCAACCTTTCCGGTTGTCTTTTCCTCTGACATGGCTGTGTTCGTAGGGCTGTTAAACTGGGGTACCTATTTGAAGGTCAGGTCCTTGACCTTAAGTACGGATTGTACCAAGTGAGACCCTAGCACATGGGTGAGGCTGCGTGCGACCTAGACCTCTCGAATCTAAGCAGCCTTCATGCAGCTTATCTGACCGTTTCTCTGGCACTACGAAGCAATTGGCGCCGAAGCTCAGGCATCGTGGTACCCTTTATCCTCATTGAGAGTAGCACCGAAAGGCTGGCGACGTTGTACAACCGTAAGCACTCTTTCAAGGGCGGGAGGGGAAGATCAACCGCTCGGTCGATAGACCATAAAGAATGTGAACCCCGACCAGTTGCAGTAGACTATAAGGAGAAGATCTCTTATCTGACTCATTCGGAGTATTGGCGTTGCTTGAGTGGTCAAGCAATCTACTGGATCTGTAGAGTGGCTGACATGCAGCTGCAAGCCCTGGTCAAGTTTCAGGCCTATATTTTCTTTGCGCTTTGCGCCGTGCAGCCGTCCAAATGGTCGTACACTGGCAACTTGTGGTTGTCCAGAGCAAAATGCAGAAGAATGTCGTTGCAAGCTCGACTTTCTCCAGAAAACAGCTTGGAAATAATCAAGAGAGTCTAAACATAAGAATTGGTTTCAACTCCATGAGACGGCAGAGAGTTTAAGGTGTGATGGATTTTGTCGCATAAGGCTAGTGCGATTCGGCAATGTCTGGGGGTGCGTGGCCGAGACGACGGGATGCTGCAATGAAAGAGGCACATGTGACAAAAACCCTGACTAAATAGAAGCGCAGAAGAATCGCCCCCAATATGCGCTCAACATACGCATCGTTCGCTCGACCTCATTTTGTTGTGATGTCAACATCGAGAGTTCTAATTGAGGAGAACTCATAACGCGCTATCACGTGCCCGCGTCTTCCAGAGTGGGGCCACAGCTTGGCGAACTGTAGGCAGCCGTCACGACACCAAGTGGCCATAGCCTCACCCAAACATCGACCTGTTGACTGACTAGCTAGACACTATGGAGTGCGCTTCTCATCTGCGTCGACTATATAATCCGAGCGCCCTGGTGTGCGCTCGATCGTCCCTTTCCTCCACTTCCCATCATGCCCGAAGGAAGCGCGTCTTCCGAGACTGTCGCTCACGATGACCTCTGCCCTGTAAACTTTTTTGGCTTTTCTCTGATAACACTGAGCTTATGACTGTCAGATCTGCCAACTTCTGCTCTTTACGCCGGTGAGAACGCGCTGCAATCACCTGCTGTGTGCATCGTGCATGGCGCAATGGGCCGATGCTTCTACCACGAACAATATCGTGCATTCCAGTTGGGATGTCGAACTTGAAGACTTCGATCCGAACTATGATCCCACATACGACCTCGAGGCAAATTGTCCCATGTGCCGCACGCATACCACTGCCTCGCCTGATCATGCGCTAGCAGAACAACTCATACAAAAATATCCCTTGACATACGCGGAGAGACGAGTGGAAGAGGAGGTCGAGAGAGGAAGTAGGGTTGGTCAGAATGGTGTCGAGGGAGTCATGATCCTGATCGGCAACAAGCATAGTCTGGTCAGCGAAAGTGAGGACGCCAATGAGCATGATTGGACTTTCTTCGTTAGAACATCGAGACCAGAGCTCGTGGAAGAAGTCCGCATAGAGTTGGTGAGTCTTCTCGAACACTGCAGTGAAACCAACTCAACATAGATAGCATCCAACCTTTCGACCTCCTCGCGTTGTCCTGCGCCGGGCGCCCTACCAAGTTCGCCGACTAGGCTGGGGTTACTTTACACTCGAGGCTGAGATAATTCTCAGGGCGCCTTATACCTGGGTCCCAAGCGCCTCTGGAGAGAGACAGCGAGGTCTTGAGCTCACTTGGACACTTGACTTCACAGGCGAAGGACGGCAAGGCAGAGTCAAAGCGAAAGTGAAGAGGCTAGAGGAGCCACATGGGCGGACACTGCGCATTAGGCCATTGCCAACTGTCGCGTCGCACAATGATGATGATGAAGAAGACGACGAGGACTATGAAGACGAAGACGAAGACGAGGATGAGGACGAAGACCAGTCGCACTACGAAGAAGAGGACCATAGGAGACGGTAGTGACACATCTCTTCCTGGCGTTGTGCTCAAAATGAGCTGGTCAACGCAGGGTGATTGGCAACAGTGCAATGCTTCAGTCATTATGAACTCATATTGGGCGCAGATGATTCCCTGTACGATATGCTGCTTCATTCGACAGACCGGATCACTGGCTTTCACTTTATCGCTTACTGTATATCCCTAGTTCCGGGCATGTAGGTTGCACAGACCCATGTGCAGACTAAGGACTAGAACCTAGCTATTCAAGCCTAGCTATAAGGGTTCTCCGCACACGCAGCAATCATGCGCCTACCTATCTCGGCTTCAATGTCCTGGTACGATAATACGCGATCGTTGTTTGACCAACATTGTCACTGTTCAGGTTGCGATCAACACGTGCAGCTTGTACAATGTATCTGGCACAACATCTTTCCATCAACCCGAGCTGGATGCTAAACTCAGCGAACGTCATTATAATTAGTCTGTGAATTAGGGCTGACCGAAGATGCCGCCTCAGCACTAAAATGTAAGTTGAGAGGGCCAAGGTAAGCCCCGGCATGCATGTCGCTGCACCTCGGCCTATCTACAATCTACCTTGCATTAGCGGGCTTGTTATCCATTCACATTGCCTAGACGATTGGCAGCCCTCGACACTTGCTCGAATTCCGTTACGCGGTCAGGCTAAAGTCGGTCCGCAAAGCTGTTCTTACATGCTTCACAGACTCAATAGCTCTTAGTCTTGGAAAGGCTCACCTAGTGCTCACATACAGGTGTCGCAGATCCCAACTGGCGGCGTGAACGACCTTGTATTGGCATACAGTGTGGTTTGATGAGTACCGCTATCAAGATCTGATCTCCCAGCTCTGCTTATTTGTACGTGACACGTGTGGGTCCTTGTGGCGAGTTGAGTGCACGCGACCAATACTATACGCAAATGTACCTGATGCGTTTAACTTCAGTACTTGGGCATGAGCACATGAGACGCGTGCGGAGTTGGCGACAAATAAACATCTGATGTCGAACGGAACATGAAGCAGTCCGCGGAGGTTACCACAGAGCGTCGCTTGGTCCGCTCGCCATCAATACGTAGTGTGTCGCCATCTCTGGGCGCACTGGCAGGACGCAGCCACTTCCGCAAGTCTTTCGACCCAGCAATAGACAGCTTCATATTCCTCCCGAAGCCCTGGCGCAGCTAATGCAGATGTTTTCCTGACAGTCTCAAGACCCTGATGTCAACACAACTGCTCGCCCTGAGGTCTCGCCACACAAGAAAAAGAAGAGAACGACGCCGATCGCCCTGTTGAATCTAAATCAAGGGATAGGAAAGATCACTCCCTGAACGGCCTCAATCTCGTCGCGACAGCTATCTGTCACATCTATCAACAGGCCCCCCCAGGAAGAAGTTAAATGCACTGCACTTTTGTAATGTACATCTCACGATCCTCCCACGTGTGCATCGTCTCGAATCTAATAAGTGGATCACCTTGTGAACAATGAAACTGTGTGTTGTGGGTGTGCCTATTAGCATTAAATATATTCTACCTTGTGATAATCGTTGCCTAGTTTGGAGCCATATCATCATATCCTTCCACACCCATTCGCTGTAACACCAACGTTCGTGATCCCTCTATCCTCCTTTTGTTATGTACTACCTGAAGCCATCCAAAAACACCAAACACCGGGCTAGAATGCATGCAACGACTATGTATGCTGTACGTAGGCTTAAATCACGCCTGACAATTGTTGCTATTGAGCTTATGCTTGGGCCATTTGTGACCTGTCTCATCCCAATGCTGTCATCGGATTAGCTTCTGATCATTAACGGCCTGGGTCAATCGGCTTACGGTAAAGTTGGGGTTCGTGTAAGCATTCATATGCTTCTTGATATACCCGGTCGTTTCAAAGCCTGGCGGATCGCACGTAACCAGTTTCTCCTCGTCCTTCTTCTGATACCATCTGACGTAATCGACTCTCATCACTGCCGGGAATTTCATATGCTCCCAGTCGATCCAAGTCCAGGAGTTACTGATGCCAAGGTTGAGGATCAGACTCATGGGCTCCTCACTAATCTGGCGTGCTTGGATGTTACCGTTGGGCCCGATAGAGCGTCCATCCATCATGAACATCATCTGATCGCCGACTTGCCAGCTGATATACGAGTCTTTGCCCTCGCCGGGGACATACTCGAAAGAGTATCGTTGATATTGCTGGCCATCGAACCAGTCTTTGTTGAGGTTCGTGGTAGCAGAGATAGCTTGTTGATACGGACCGCCAGTGTAGCCGTTATACCAGCTTAGGCTGTAGTCAGGGAAGGCGGTGAAGTTGTAGTTGGGGTACCAATGGATGTCGAAAGGAGCAACTTGGAAGGACTGCGTTGCGATGGGCATGTTGTGAGGCGGGTAGGTCGCGCCGACCTCGATGATGTCAATTTCTGGCGCGCCGCGACCAGTGCCAGGTGTAGGGTGATCTTCGCCTGGGCAGGTGCAGGAATTGAGACGTTGACCCGGGAGATTAGAGAGACCATCCGAGGAAGATTGATTAGGTGTAATGCCGACGTCACACGCTTGGTAAGTGTATGGCCACATGCCATCTGTGGTTGCGAGGTAGCCAGGCCTCCCAAGGTTCCCCATAGTCCACGCGCCAGGCCACATGCCTGGCACACCAGCCGGACCGGGCAAGGACACGGAAACCTCAAATATTCCACCCTTGAAGCACAGGTGATTCCAGCTATTCAACATTCCAGACCGGAATTGCAGACCGTGGTTGGGAAATTTATCAAGTCGTAACTCTAGAGTGCCTTCCCAGGTAGTCACAGCGTCCGGATCGTACCATTCCAGGTCCTGTGTAGCACCATACCAGATGTCAGGAGCAAAGAAATACGGGTCGTCTCCTTCGTAAAAGGTGCGGTTATTGTCGTTGAACTCGTCGCTGAAGACTAACTCGTATTCGTCGCCAAATTGGCCCTTCTTCTCCATGGCAGACTTGGGTGTGTCGGGGTCAATCAAGCCTCTGCGCATGTTCTGAAGTAATGGATATTGCTTGTCGTTTACAACCGCCCAAGGCTCAGGCTCCGGATAATGTGACATTTGGCCCAATGGCGTCTCAAAAACCGAGTTGTAGTCGATGAGACCCAGAGCTGAAAGGATCGGAAGTCCGAAGAACACAAACGAAAGTCCCACGATCATTATAAACAGTCCCAGGGTCGAGGCAACGTTTTCTCGTAAGAAGTGATCCTTGAATTTCGCTTTGAATCTGATGTCATCATCAGGTTGTGGCATATGCATATCATCATCAGGCTCAGCTTCATCACCTATCAACGGCCAAGTTGACATGCCCTTCTCTTCGTATAGTGCAGAGAGTCGATCATCGATAAGTGAAACATCCTTCTCTGACTCATTTAGTATGTTTATTCTCGTGGTTGACGCAGTTGGTGTCATATTAGGTGTTAGGAAGGGGTTCGTGGGGTAGACCGTTGCCATTGGGGTAGTGGCACCGGACGTTGGCGCTGAACGAGACATCAGCTTCTCGGATGATGCGCTCCTTGAGCCTGCGAAATAAGGGTTGAAGTATCTTGTGTAATCGCTGCCGAGATCTTGCATTGTCAGTGGACTGCTGACCGTCCGCGCATTCTGACTCGTCAGATCTTGTGTGCTTGTTCGTCGGGTTCGCAGCGGATGCCGTTGGGGAGGTCTGAGGAGCGGACGTCGCTGCGATGGTATTCCAACCGCAGGTGCAGATTGGCTTGGAGGAGAGGATGCATCTTCGTTTGACGTCGACTCCTTTGACACAACGGTTCCTTCACTGTTGGTAGATGACCGCACTGGCTTCAAAGACGTCGTCGGGGATTGTGAGCGAGAGGTAGGTTGGTGTGCTTGAGACATTGATCGCGTGGGGACTGACTCGGAAGTCGATTGCGAACCATTGTCTGGCACTGTCGCTGGCATTGGGGTGGGCGGCGTTGAGTCGAGAGCTGCTGCTTCTGTGGTGAAGGCTTGCAGCGATGATGCTGCCCTCTCTGCATTTAGATTTGTGATCGAACGTCCTGCCTGCTCAGTATCTCCTGCTTCTCTTGCCAGCAATCCTCGCGACGCGGGGCGCGACAGGACCTTTTGTGGAAGAGGAGGGATCATCGTTACCACTCTTTCATTCCAAGGTTCGGCCCTTTCTTCCCCCACAACACCCTTCAATTCTACGGCCTGCGACGACCGATAGGATCAAGCTTGCTCTTGCACAACGATCAGGAAATCCTCATCCAAGAAAATATCGAGTTTGGCGAGGCGCACAATTCGGTTGGAGCATGCAGTATTTGAGCTGTCCTACAAAGGCGCCTGTCGTTCTAAAGCCTCCAGGGCTGGGAAGGGGTGTAACCACGGTACTAATATTACACCGGAAGGGAGTGACCTTTTTGACTGCGTCTCCGTACCGGTCTGCGTGATCTAGCGAGCGAAGGGTGAATTATTCCATGCGGTGTCAAAGCGAGCGAGGTGGGTGCGGAACCAGAGCAGCGCACACGACGCTTTTGTTGGGTCATTAGATATCCAAGGAGGACGAGAGCATAGCTCGTGTTGATAGTGAACCCGAGCAGCGGGTAAACGTTTTTGGCCAACCAATCAGCAGCCTTTTTGTTTTCACGCGAAGATACACTGGACCCGCATCGAGCGTAGTTGAAATGAGCTCAACTTCGGCTGTGCTGATACAGCACGAGCTTGCTGAATGCATGCGTTCGCCCGAGACTACTATGCCGTACACCTGGAAACGTTTGGGAAACACGAGGCAATTGCATCTCGAGGTACAGGTATGGTTGCATCGACATGTCGATCATCATATGGTGGGCGTTGAGCGACATGCACGAAGCCAGTTTGTGTAGCTCACTGCTTTTCTTGTTTAAAGTTGCAGATCAGGTACGTTCGGGCAGCGTCCGCATCCCTACGATTGATTGAACCACTTAGGGATCGTGCGCACGGACTCCCGCAATATCGAATGCGCTGATGCTCTAGAAGCGGCTGTGTCGAACTGTAGAACTCCAGTTGTATTCTTGCTGATTGATTTGCCGCGATAATCGTTGGTGTGTTGACTGTCCGTACAGAAACGCGCGTGTAACAATTTACAACGCATCTGATCGACATGGCCGTCTCGAAACTCGTGATTGAATTAAACGCCGAACAACATCTCAGCTGCCTATCGCGTGTCACGGCGCATTTGCCGTGTTTTCAGGCGAGGAGGAATCCCTGTGACGTGCAATCTTGTGCGAGGCATCAACACGAGCGGTGCCTGTCCTTACGACGTTTGTTCTAGTGGTGCTCGTTCAACCGTGAAAAGTATTGGCCCATCTGTCTCGACTTGCACCTCATCAGCCTTCACGTGGTTGCTTGTACTGACCTGGCCACCTATCTGTGTGAACCAGTCCTTGACATCCCATTCGAGTCCAGTTGTGCTGATGATCGCTGGGCCGTAGACAGGAACAAGCCCAAGATTTTCTGTGAACAGCCCGCTGGACAAGAGATTGCACACGACCGTCCTTTTGCTTCTGAGAATGATTGAAAGACTTGATTCAGAAAAGAGCCACAGGCGCAAGTTCGGGTGCTTGGTCTCTTCCCTTGTCATTTCGTGCAGGAGTCCAAGGCCTTGGTCTACCCGACCCGCCAGTGTACCAAGAATCAACACGTCTTTCTGCGACGATGCATTGTCTCTTGCAGAGATCTTGGACATTGTCTTACCGAAGTCTGTGCTGTACTGGTCACCATCTCTGAGTACCTCAACGTCGTGCGATTCATAGTACGCGCGCACATCGTCGCGCAAAGAGTCAAGATCGCCATGAATTATACTTGGAAGCTGCGCGGCGTCAGTGGATTACATCCGTCGAAAAAGAGATGGCCTTCTCACATATTGGTCTCTTTGACCCTCAAGATCGCCTTTGAACATGTCATGGAGCCTATTCGCACCACCATCTGCACAAATGCGATAGCTGCTGTGTCTCCATAAGCGCGAGAACGTAGCAAAATCGGTGATAGGCTGGTTCAGAATGAGCAGATCGGGCGGATTGGCGGATTTTTCAGGATGATCGCCATTGGCCAAGAAAATGGTGGGATCCAACCGGCTAATTTCAGGTGCATTCATATCTGCAAAACACAAACACACAGTCTAATGAGGATGTGATTCAAAAGTCCTGGTCAGTGGAGAAAGTGATGATAACGCACGTGGACGGAAGGCACGTTGAACTCTGGCGCGATTAGGCGAGACGCGCCACCATAGGCGCTAGAAGGCAAAAGACCAACTTGAACCTCCACACTCCCACTCTCTGGCATTCGCTAATCTTGAAGGTCGTCTGGAAGATACTTCTTCACTCTTCTCACACTATGAGGCGCGCTCGCAGGTGCGTGACTCGAGTTTCCAACGTGACTCGAGTTTCTAACGTGCCTCGAAGAACGCGGTCCCCGAAGATCAACCCCGAGTCCCGGTCAACACCGAACAGTGGCTCCAAGGCAGTGCTGCTTTCTCATACAGCCTGTCTTTTCTCCACCATGCGATCATTCTCCGGGAAAAAGATAGTGGCCCTGCGTTTGTCGTTCTTCCTAAGCTGGCGTGGCTACTAGGATATGCGCAAAGAAACCCCTCGTTTGAAACGATCACTTCACAAGCGAGGAGTTGAGCCAGCACATGGTCAAATCCATGCGTGCAACTCTAGATGACTGGCTATGTCACGAGGTGCCAAGACGAGATGAAGTTCTGAGGAAGAGTCTGTTCAATACCGAGTGCTTTGTGATTCCCGCTCTTGGCGATGAGCGCGATCTCCCATTCCTGCTCATCAGTACAACGTATCGCTCAGCCTCAGATCTGAGAGTGCGAGAGACTTCTGTCACCGATGTCCGCGTTTCAGATGGCGAGGTGGGAGCGAAGTGAACTTCTAGCAGCCTGGCCGCAAGGCCGGTAGGTGAGTAAGGCTACGGAAGACAGTACAGTAAGCTCTCGGTCAGGCTCATCCGGACTTGACCCCTCGCCTGCATTGTATCCGGCCGTCTGAGTTGGGGCCAGCTCACAGGCAGGTCCAGGTACAACGCGACAGCTCTATGACTCGTTCTAAGCAGACAGCGATATTTGCGACAGAAGTCACGTTCACAAGAGTTGTGCTGATGGCTGGGGCTGATGTGAGTAAGTTCGGAGACGAGGGTACATGCTGCCGGCTGCAGGGGTACCCCAGTCACTTTTTCCAAAAACAGCTCACGAGTCTATGAACACCACACATCGTTAGCACTGCTCTCTCGCACTGAATTTCCGGCGTAATCTGCTTATACTGAATAGCTGCGTTATACGCTTCGATCAGACTTGTACGACACCAAAGCTGAATACCAAGATCAGCAATGTCGCAGCTGCATAGTTCACAGTAACGACCCTGTGATACGGCCTCGCTACGGACATGTACATCTAAACCATGTCAGCGATCATGCACTGGTTCCTCGGGTTGAGGCTCAAGGGCCTGCATCAACTCCGGATTTCGAGTATGATTAAGCTTCGATCGTCATCGAGGTTCTTGTGGATGTGCAGGACGCACCCCTGCCAATCCGGACCGATGAAACCTGCACAGCTACCTCGAAGTGCGTCTCTCACAGCAGCCATACCCGGCTACTCCGGGCTTCTATCCAAATCAGGCCTACCGAAGTACCCTGGAGCTACGTTACAGACTAGCCTGACAGCGCCGCAGCCATGGTAGCTCGACCGAAATGGGCATCCTTCACTGCTGACTGCACAGGCTGTCTGTCGCGGGTGGGTCTAGCGTTATGGCGACTACTGCACCGGGCGGCCATTATTTCGACCATGCAGTATGCGCCAAGCCCGACAAACACTCGACTTGAAGCGTATATCACTGAAGTCCCGGACTTTGGGATGACTGCATAGAACAACTCAACTACACATTCATTCATTCACTATACCAGAGAATCGAGCACGGTGAATACAGGAACAGTACTCTTGTATCCAAATCCACCTCGAGCGACCTTCATTTCGGAATCAACAATGCACTCATTAGCAATGGAGCAAAGATCAAAGATCAAAACAGTCCCTTCCAGCAACACACCAAACACCGCATATCCCGCCGCAGCATCATCAACCACTTCCAACCCCTACGCCCGCGACCCAACACGGAGAGCCATCGCATGCGTAACCTGCGCCAAGGCCAAAACCCGCTGCGACAAAGGCGTACGTCCTCCCCTCCCCTCCCCACCGCGCCCCCCTCACTAACCCCATCTCAGCTCCCCTCCTGCTCCCGCTGCATAACCAAAGGCCTCAAATGCTCCCCCCGCTCCACCCGCCGCACCTCAGAACCCACCTACCGCAACTCTCCCAGCAAAAAGACCCTCGCCGCCCCGCCCCGCCCCGGCACACTCCCCTCCTCCACCCGCCCCCGCAGCATCATGCGCGCGCCCTCACACATCGACTTCCGCACAGCCGTCAAGCTGAGTCAGCAAGCCGCCCTCATCTCCAGCGCGCCCTCGCTCACGCCGCTGCCGACATACCACGCCCAGGTGGAAGAGTGCTACGCGTACCCACAGCCAGGGGACCGGTTCACGCCCGAGCTGCGGTACTCGCCGGACGCCGACGAATTCGCGTTCTCGCGGGGCGCAACACCACAAACGCCCGCAGACGCGTTTCTGAGTGTCGAGGGGCTGCCGGCGCTGGACGCGCTCGACGCGGATCTGGATCTGGACATGCCGTATCTGGGCGCGTGGCCGGCGGCGCTGGATCCGTCGCTGGGGCCCGTGGGGCTGGGGTTCCCGGTGCCGATGGAGCACTGGACGCCGGAGCCCATGCAGAGTCAGAGCGGGGAGGGGTTCGTGCCGCTGTGGGATGGCGCGTTGGATTCCGGCGTCGTGATGCAGGGCGAGTGGGCGCAGCTCCAGTCGCAGGCGTTGTCGATGTCGCAGCCGCAGGCGCAGTCTGTGTCGCAGTCGTTGGCACAGCAGCAGCAGCAGTCGTTATCGAACCACCAACAGCAGCAGCAGCAGCAGCAGCAACAGCAACAGCAATTGAGGAGAGATGGGTTCATAGATATGGGGCTGGTGACATCGGTACCGTACGTGCCGAAGGTGCAGGGCGGGAAGGGCGGGAAAGGGGTGTGGGAGGATGTTTTCATGGCGGGGGGTTTGGCTTATTGAGGGGTGCCACGCTTCGAACGAGATAGCACGGGGAGTTGTATATAGAGTGAGGGTGGTGGTGTACGATTTTATGTTCTGGTGGGTGTACATAGATTACGAGACGGGAATTATCAATTGACCAGTACCTATACTTTTCAAGCTTTCCTGGGGATATAAACGGGCATGTCATTTTAGTAGTGTAAGGCAGATGCATGCACAGCACGATCGACTCAAGTATGCAAGACTCCGAATTCAAGAACAAGCTAACTGCCGTCAAGCCCCAGATCCCCCGCTATGCAAAACACACTGACAAGACACACAGACCAATTAAACCATACATAAAACTACTCATGGCTCCCCTTCCCCTTCCCATCCTTATCACACACCTTGTGGAAATCCTCATGCTTCTTCGCCCCCTTCCCAATCAGTTTCCGGAAATCCTTGAACCGACAACTCGCGCCCGGCCCATCCTGGCACGCGGGAATCGGCCGCGGGGCGGTGTTGGCAATGAAGCGGATGAAGTCGCCTGGCCCGTCGCCGTTGACGGCCCCGCGGTCGCACGTCATCATCTCCATGCCCACGTGGCCCAGGAACGGGATCAGGTCTGCCATGCGCCAGGCGCGCGTCCACTGGAAGAGTCAGTATGGGGGGAGTGTGTGTGGGGGTGCAGGGAGATATTTACGTTGATGTGGTCGGTGGGGAACTCCTCGGTCGCGCCGGACGAGGAGTTGAACAGGCCGAGCGCGGTGGCGATGAAGGGCGGGACCTCGCGGTGCGTGAAGCCGAGGAAGAAGCGCTGGTCCTGCGGCCAGGCGTCGCCGGGGTGGTGGCGCTTCTGGATGTTGCGGAACAGCTCGGACTGGGTCTGCAGCCAGGGGAAGCCGAGGTAGGGCGAGAGAGGGTTCATGGGGCCGACCATGTAGGCGTATTTCAGGTCCCAGGAGTACTCGTAGGCCATCCACTCGGCGTCGGTGAAGACGGCGCAGATCTCAGAGCGCTTGCCGGTGATGGCGCTCTCGTAGCCGCAGAGCTGTTGGAGGCCGACGACGTCGAAGGGGGTTAGCTCGAAGGGCATGTATGGTCGCAGACGCTTCGAGGCGCTCTTGCCGTAGATGTTGATGAATTTATCCTGTTCCTTTGTACCCGGCGCCTTGGAGAACTTCTCGCACGACTTGTGGGGAATGAGAGACTCCATCGAGCCGTTCTCGTTGGTGGTGACGCGCACAATCTCGATCGTGTCGTTTTGAGGGAAGGCTTTGATGAGATTCTCCGCTGTGTCGTAGGTACGTGACTTCTTGTCGGCAAGGATTCGCTGAGTCGTTGGGATTATGTCGGGGTAGCGCTCGAGCAGGTGCTTGCCGACGTTTGTTGCATCGACGGCGCCGGAGGGCGTCAGGTCTTCGAGCTTGTCCTCGAGAACGGGCGAATGCCACTTCGCCATGAAGGCCAATGGCCCAGACCATGGACCATCGCGGTGCTTCTCCAACTTCCACAGGAAGGGCTTAATAAACTCATCGTATTCGTCGTCATTGGCGTAGATGGCGCCGTGACGGACAATGTAGGACGCTGCCGTAACATTGCAGCCCTCGGGCGCCGTGTGCTCGAGACCGAAGCCGACAGCGTCGAAGTACGGCGAGATGCCTGGCAAATGCAGGAGCGGGTCGAATCGGTACCCCTGGGAGTGTCCGAGAGGCTGGATCGGCTGCTGCTGCGCGTCAAGGTAGGCAGGGATTGCCAGCGCCGGGGTGGCCAGCAAGAGAGCCTTCGAAAACATGCCGATGAATCAAGACGCGGAGAAGAACAACAATCAATCAATTGACCTGTCGCAACAAGCTGAAGAAGCAAGGATTGCAACGATTCATTTTTGACATCCGAATACTTCCATGACGTCAATTGCCTGTTCCTGGCGACCGTGTCGAGGCTAACCAAGGCACGACCCGCACGCCCAGCATGCTAACTATTCCTGCGAGACGCGAGACGCGAAACGAAGGTGCGTTTCCCAGTTACTATCCCCATTTGGAGAGGCGGTGTCACGCATGGCACATATCAATTGACGATTGATGATTGCTGACAAGGATGACGCGTGGTCCTATTTAGGTCTAGCTTTTCTGTCTGATCTTTGGGAACACGCTGCACGACCTATTGATTGACCTGACTCACATGGGCTACGGATTTATGTCGTAATACCTCTCACTTCTACGGTACATGACGAAATGCTCTCACGAAACTCTCCACACACAGCAAGTTTGCATAGATCTCATAGTGGTAAAACTCATAACCTGTCTTAATTCTTACACCTATTCCGTCCTATTTTTCCCAGATGCAAAAACGACAAAGATTTGGTGTAGCCCGAGGCCCAGATGCAATATGTAACAATAAACAACGCCGTCACCGGCCGCCGGTGCCCTTGCCCGTAGAATGAACGCACGTGCTGCCTGGAGCGTGATTAAATAGTAGTGGTAGATGAGACACAAGCCCTGCGTGGGGGCTGAACAGAGTCGTGAAGCGCGGACAGGCCGTCACCGCGTCGCTGAAAGGGGAGAGCGCTTAATGCATTTGCCCGTTGATGAGCAGTTGCTCGACGGCTTCACCGATGTAAGCCTTCTTGAGAGACAGATCGCACCCGAAGCTGGTAACAAGGTTAGTGACTGTTACATAGCCGAGGGATGCGGAGTGACTTACATTTGTTCGAGCTGCTGCTTGACGGACTTCTTGGTTACCGTCATGAGGTCGGAGTTGGCGAGGATGACCTTGATCTGGTTGAGGATGTCATCATCACTTGGCAGGTTCGCCATCTCCATGCTGTCACCGCCATAGCCGCTCTGCGCCAGACTCATACGTGACTGGTTACCATAGCGGGGAATGTCGAGGTGAGACATGGGCCTTGATGGAGGCATGCCACCATATTCTGAACCGCCCATGACAGAGCCAGCACCGAACGGCCTCTTGGTGGCGTAAGTGTAGCCGGAGACAACAGACTGATCGTCCCTGGTGGTGTGCTGCTCCCACATCTCGGCTTGATACTCCTCCCACCTCTTCTTGGGGATACTAGCAGGATCGAACTTGCCCTCGTCTGAGACGATGACCTTCTGACCAGCCTCACCAGTGACAACACGAGTGTTACCCCAGGAGAAATCATCCATGTGCCAGAAAGCGTACAATGGAAGACCCATGGCGAAAACAGGGGTAGCAAGGATGTAAATGATCATCCAGCCGATCATCTCCCACTTGCGACGGATGATGAAGATAATAGCCTGTAAACCGTAGATGGCTCCGAGCATGATGAAGGCTGTCATTGGAACAACGCCGGGGTTCGCGACCACAGAGTAGATGAGGTAACCAATGTAGACGACGATAACCGGCTGTACAATAGTCGAGATCAGATCCATGAAGACAATGAAGCGCATACTGAAGCAGCAGAAACCACAGAGCTGCTGGAGGGGAATGAGCTCTACGAGGTTGTGCACCGTAGAATTGATCCAGCGACGACGTTGAGACATGAAGACGGACCAGCTATCAGGTGCGACAGTCCAGGCTTGTGCTCGCATAGTGTACTTGGTCTTGTACTTGGAGTGGAACTTGATAAGCAGAGTCGTCAGGTAACGATCTTCACCCAGATGCAGCAAGTTCTTAGTGTGCAACGTGTCGACGCGAATTTCCTGGTACGCTTCAACGACTTCCTTGCTCACGAAGAGAGGCTTGCCAGTCTCTGCAGCGCGGATGCGGTACATGGTGAAACAACCAGGCAGACAGGTGACGGAACCAAACAAACTCTCGAAAGCCTTGGTCAGGTTGTGAGAGATGAAGTATTCGTAGACTTGCATCATGGTGGTGAACGAAGATTTGGCGTTCGACAAAGCAGTTTCACCGCAAATGGCGATGAGGCGGGTGTCGTTAAGGAAGGCGGCAACAAATCGAGTGGCTGAATCGGGAGCAATATTGGTATCGGCATCAATCTGGAGTAGGAACTCGTAGAATGTTGGGTTCACACCAATGATGTTCCTGATCTGATGATGCATTTCCAGCTCGAGGGGGGTCATAGGCAGATTGTAGTGAACGCGGTTCAAGAACCTCATGAGGAGAATCTGGGAGTCACGCTTTCCACGGTTACCAGGCTTGGAGACCTCGGAAGGCTTACCGACCTTGACAACGACCAGGAAAGGTACGATGTGACCCTGAACTTCATAGAGACCGGAGTAGCACTTGCCCATGTTGTGTTGCTTCATACCCTCTCCCAGACTCTCGAAGCTGAGCGGATCGGGATCTGTAGCCTCGGGCACACCAAGAATGTCGAGAACAATGCGGGGAGTGGGCTTGTCGTTGCCTTGGCCTATAATCATACCGTCGCAAATGATGAACAGGAGTTTGCGCTTGTCGTCGTACTTTAGCCGGGCAGCCGAGTCAATAGCACGGCGAAGGGACTCTTCATCTTCAGTATAAGCTGGGACTGTAGCGATGATGAACTTGTCGATGTTCTCCGGCAAGTTGTTGCCGCCGAATTGTAAAGCAGCAAGGAACTTGAAACCAATAACACTGACCAAAAGGATGGAGATGGCGAGAAGGAAGTAAGTGGCGAACTGACACCTGGTAGAGCTTCTGGTGTCTAGATCACCAACGTAGAACAAACGATCAAGGCAGACCTGCATGTTCTGCTTCGTTGTTGGGTTCAAATTGAGATTTTCCCAGTACTTGCCGACGTCCTTGCCAGCTTGAACGCGGAAAATGTCGACTACGCTGTCTTCCATGAAATTCACATCAGGTGTCTCTGCCGCCGGCTCCTCGGTGGGAGGATAAAGAACGCTACGGCCTCCGACCGAATAGGCTGTGAGGTCATACACCTTGTTGTTCATGTAGGCGATTGCGTTTTGCTTGGAGGCCAAGGTCTTCAGGTACTTAGGGCTGTAACCAATACGTCCCTTCATGTAGTTGGCCTTCATGAACATCTGCTGTTCGAACCACCAGTCTGGACGCGAATCGTTGGTGTGCCATCGGAAGTCGTGGTACTTGGCGTTTTGATCGGTGGTACTGATAACGTTGGTCGATGTCTCGGTATAGTTCGAGTTCCTGTAGTTGAGCTGAACACCGGGGTGTACACTGCCGTCCTTGCCAGCGCACAACGCTGAGACTTGGACTGGGAACAGGTTGGTGGCATCCTTTCCAGCGTATCTGTCGAGCAGCCTCTCAGGAACGATACTGGGGTAGTGGGCAGGAATGAAGTCGCCAAGGTTGTAGACAATTCCACGGATACCAATGTATGATGCAGCACCGTCTTCGCCATTGTAAGAGCTCAGCTCAGCGGTGGAGTACACGTGTTGAGTAGGGCAGACTACCATCGGAAACCCGATCATCAAGAAGATGGTAAGTGCGCAACTGAACCAAATCAACATGTTGATGGCAAGCTTCTCACGCCAGGCCATGCGGACATCTTTACGCTTTATCCGTCCGAGAACGCGGATCAGATAGTCGGGAACGAACCAGGTGAGAGCGTACACGATGAAAACCCATCGCTTGCGACTTCCAGAAATGGGAACAACATCGACCTCTTCCATCTTGTCATTGGCCGCCTTTTCATCAAGGACGTTGTGCTGCTCTAGGCCGTGGAACATATCGCCAGTAACGGCAGAGGGAGCCTCAGAGCGAGCGTCGATATCCTTGCTGCCAAAGTAGTTGCCCCCCTTGTCGTTGTAGTACTCGCCGGCTCCAGGTGTCAGTAAACCAGCACGGGCGTCGCCGTAAGACCGGCCTGCCTCTGGAGTCAAGAGATTGTCGTCCGAGCCAGTAAATCCTCGGGCGGTGGGCGGCAGATCTGCAATGTTGGCAATTTCAAGCCAACACCTCTCACTTAGGAAGACACCTGTGGTCCCAACGCGGACTTCATTCTCCCGCCACGGCCTGCTGTCCAAGACCATCTCGACCTTTTCTCTCTCACTGCCAACGATGGCTGTGTCTGTCTGCGTATGGCCTAGGAACTCAGCAAAAGGCATGAAGATGCTGTAGTCCGCGACACGAAGCCGCTGACTGAGTTCTGGGATGCTGTACGCTTGCAGCTGTTGGCGAACACATCTGCTGTCGAACTGATTGGCAATGCGGCGATCGTTCGGCTTCAGGCAGAACACAAAGTAAGGATTGGCTTTACGAAGCTGATTCTCAATGGTTTTCAGCGAACTGACAAACTGACCAGCAGCTCCGGTCTGTTTCGATTTCGACGAGGAGTCACCTTTCTTCCCGGGGCCTGAGATAGTGCTCTCGGTTTCGCTCAGAGCCTCGTCGTCAAAAACATTCAGCTGGCGGCCGTATCTGCCGGTCTTGTCCTTGTTGCGACGAGCCATGCTGGGCATACGTGTAGGCTTGGAGCTGACCGAAGCCTGGACAATGGCGGACTTCTCCTTAGGATGAGAAATCTTCTGAAGCACATCCTGACCAAACAATTGCTGAACAAAAGGCGATCGCGAAGCCTGAAGCAACTGCATCATGTTTCCAGAGATGTTATCTGCGTTCTCCTCAACAAGACCCTCGACACTGTAGTCGACATCGCCGGCGTAGTGACGAACGGTGAAAGACGGTGAAGTGTTGGGTGTGGGGAAGTTGCTGCCAGGCTGGACAACAGTCAAGCTACCAGGCAGGATGGACTGGTTCTTTCCATCGAATCGCTTGCGGATAGCCTCGAGGAACTGCATGTCGGTCTTGCCGCGACGCATCTGGTCGTCCAGGATGCTGAGGAGACCATTGCCTGTTTTCAGTAGGCCAATCTTGGCCTCGGAGCTGTCGTAGAACTGCAGCGGGGGCAGATTGATTTCCTCTGCTTCCATCTCCTGGATTTGACGTTGGAAGAAACTCTCCTGGCAGAAGGTCATTAGCGACTCATTCGCAGCGTTGTTGAGGAGCTGGTCCAAAGACGATCCAGTTCCCGATGAGATGGCAAAACCAGGGAAGTCTACGAGGTTGACTGTGTTGGTGAGCTGGTCGTTTGAGCTGGAGATTCGAGAGTTGCTTTGCTCGATGACGAATGTGACAAGAAGAGAGTAGAGCGAGCGAGCCAGCTCATCAGCGTTGGCGCGGGCGCCCTTGGGGTCCAACATGACCGTGACGCGCTCTCGGTACAGGGTCTTGGACTTGTATCGCAGGCTCTCCTCGAGGTCGCTAATGGTGACGCCCAGGAATTGAGCAATAGGGACTAGACAGTCCTTGTTCTTCACGACTGTGATGGTCTCGCCACCTTCGTGCGAGTAGCCGCCACTGTCGTCAGCAGCGGGAGTCGTTGACTGGCCAGTCTCGAACTCGAGCTGTCCAATATGCAAGATGGTGGCCATGATCTCACAGATTCCGGCAATGCTGTCCTTGCCAAACTCAAGCTTGCGTAGCGCGGTCTTGAACTCCTGGAATCCAGCCGCATCGTCGATGCCAACCTTCAGCTGTGTTGGGTGGCCGAGATATCGCCATCTCTTGTTGGCGCCGAGCGATGTGCGGGTGCCAGCCCCCTCGTTGCCGGCATTGTCGAGGTGCAGATGCTTCTTCTCAGCGAGACTGGTACCCGAGAGGAGGTAGTAGAGGACGTGGTAGTTGCGCTCTCCGGTGGGAACAGACGCGAGTCGGCTCCGCTCGATGCGGTGGGCGAGGTATTGGGCACCGAGCAGGGTGGCGTGGTTGGAAGTCGAGGTGTTGTACTGGAGCTCAAGCATGAGGCCAGACTTGGAGGCGGAGGGCGTGGTGAGCGACTTGGTGGTGGTGAAGGCCTCGAAGACGAAGTTGGCACATTCAATCTTCTTCGACAATGGCGTGGCCGAGTAGGAGAGCAGCTGTCTCAGCAGGTGTCCGCGGATGGTCGTTTTTCCAGCGCCCGTCTCGCCACTGCAGCGTGTTAGCCCGTCGTTCGTCAGGTGGTCAGGTGACTGCCGGAGCAAGGACTCACAGGAACACAATGGCCTGGTCCTCGGAGCGCTGTCCCAGTCGCATGTATGCCCGCCCCGCGAGGTCCTTGGCAGCCTGCACCGCGCTGCCATCCTCGCCGCCGTCGAGGCCCCGGCTGGGATCTGTGTATGTGTTCAGGGAGATGATGGCGTGCGACGAGAGCGTCGCCGTGGGCATGTGTGCATGGAAGCGGCTGGCGAGGGCCGAAGTCAGGCCTGTGTCGGTCTGCTGGTGCTGCGGCAGCAGAGCCAGCGACTCTTGCTGCAAGACATTCGTCGCCATGGTGGACGCGTCCGCGAAGGACTGAGAGCGAGTGTCGGGGTCAGAAGCGAGTGTGTGCCGTGCGGCGGTCGCGGGTGCGTCGTGGAGCGCTGCTGGGGGTTGGACGGTCTACCGTGTCGCGCTGGTATGGCCGGACTATGTACAGCTGGAATGCAGCGGGCTAGGGGCTCAACGCGCGCGCTGCGAGTTGCGGTGCCGTGCAGGAGGATCAATTACTATCAGCGAATGTGGTCAAAGGCCTGAACGAAGGAAAACACAAGAGGTACAACTGAACGGCCGTTGCCAAAAGTCAACCAGCAAAGGGGTTTGGCGCCTTCAAAACGCTGGGGCTCTAGCACAAGCTCACCTCCTCAGCAGCTGGCCCGCCACCGCCGCGCTGGTCTGTGTTGATGCTGTAATGTATCTATTTTCTGCCGCCCCTATATGCGAAAGCCCCCTACTGACGCGCCGAATACACTTCCAGCTCCACCGCAGCCCTTGACCCTGCTGACTGATGAGCAGACGCACTGGACAGTGGGCACCCTCAGCCTGTGGCCAGGACGCTCAACGACACTGATCAGTTGCAGGGCCGCGAACGAGCGCCAGCACTGCATGGCAAGGTGACTCGACAGCAGCAATTCCGACTGCTGTGCTGCTGTGCTGCCGTGTCTCTGTGTCCACTGTCTCGCACGCTGCCTCTCCCAGCGCGGCGGGCGTCCGCCGACCCGCCGCTGCATCAGAGCCAACGGCGAGCCTGGTGCGGTGCCCTGGCTGGGGAAAACGATCAACGCTGGCCGCTCTGGTGAGCGCTAGCTGCGTATCGATTGCGCGTTCCCCCTCTGCCGAGACCATAACAGACCATAACACAAACAACACAAGCATCATCGACCGCGTGCAGCGCACATGCACGCTCCGTTGCCTGGGAATGGCCGCCAGTGTCCATAACCAGCGTCTGTCCTGCTCACACGAGCATAAGAAAACCCGTCTTGAGACGCAGCGGCCGTCCGCATGATTTTAGCATTCGATGGGGCAATACGGACGGGGCATAGTGGAGCGCATCCATCCGTATTGAACGACCAGCATGAAACGGCGTTCCGAGTTTGCAACCACACCCTTGACGTAGGTCGCTTGTCAGAGACGCCGAATTGCTGAGGCCTGAATGGCCAAGGTGCATTGCCAGAGCCAATTTAGATGACAAAATGAAGGGCCGCCCGACATTGTGATTTGCGCCTCATTAACGGCATCGTAGCTTGCTTCTCCCGCACGCCGCCGTCCAGGTGGAGACGATCGCTCAGATTTGCTGGTCCGCCGTCTTATCGATACACGGCGTCACAATATGGCCTTCAGCACCACCAGCAACCTGTCTCTCACCGTGCGCTTCCGTGACATGGCGTGAATGTTGAGGCGACGGCCGCCTTCTCGAAGAGCCGCAGCCAGCGTAAACAATAAAGGGAGCTAAAAATAGGGGCTTGCACACACGCCCCTCCGCAGCTCCGGCGCACGTATCGATCAATCGGACGCAGGCCTCAGCTCCTAGTGGCGACGAGAGCAAGACCTGACATCCATGTTCGGAAGCTTGGGGATTGGTCTTGGAGCATTGAGCCCGGCAGGGCCAGGGTGCGGTGCTTGTTACGCCCGCCTAAACCGCTCTAACCATACAGCGCGCCATGCCTGAGCGGGACGAAGTGCAGCCCCCCGGCGCGCTGAGGAATGGAGAAAGTCGCCCTGAAGCCAACAAACACTACCACTTCTCTGTAACTGCCTTCGACGAGTCTTGCGTCGAGTGCTTGTCTGTGTGCGTCTTCTTTCTTATTCACTATCGTTTAATACCACCCTCGTTACGGTCAGTGAAGGCAACGCCGCCTCGCCCAACCCACCGCGACACTCGAACCATCCCACCCATCAAGGGCAGCGAGACAAGCCCAATCGCACCTGACGCTCGCTACATCGCTTTACCGGTCTGCGACGACCGCACACCCTACTCGTGAGGGTTCTCACTCTACTACTGCTCACCGAGGCGCGGACTGCTCCCAATCGCAGCCATGAGCTTCGTGAACAACAACGCCTCCCGCATGTCGGTGTATTCGACGGCATCGACGAATGCACAGCGTGCCCCCGCCTCGACTTCGACTGTCGTCAGCACCACGACACTGCTCAACACCCTCAACTCGGCCTTCAAGAACGGCCAGCCATACAACCTCGAGCCCAGCACGAGTCTGGTTGTCAACACCTGGGTCAATGCGAAGACGATGGAGAATGGCCGCATTGGCGGCACTGTCGACCTCGATCTCGTTCGGAAGACATATGAGCACGCTCGACGACGAGTCGAGGACGGCACTCTTGTGCTGAGGTAAGATCTGCTTCCACCGCCATGGCCGCGTACAGCAAACTGACATGTTCCAGCTCGCTCCACGAGTCCACCCCGTCATTGTTCGCCCCCACAATCTCAGGACTGCCAGTGTCTCTGCCCGACAGCTTCTATGTCGCGCTTGAGGCACTGAAGCCCTTCACGCACTGTGTCACGCCACAGAACCCTTCTGCGCCACGCTACTCTGCCCTCGCCGCCGTCTTCACCATCGACATCCTAGGCGAGTGCAGGGGCGCTGAGATCAAGCTCTCTACCGCAGGGCTTGACACGAGAGAGGGTCTTCTCCAGGTTCCCGCGCACGCCGGCTACCGCGCCTTCGACGTCTTCTACTACCTGAACTCGAGCTCCGCAAGCAAGCAAGAGCGAGAATTTCTCGACATCCAGTCTCCCGACAAGTACACTCTATTGAACCGATCGGGTACCTACGACCCTCCCTCGTTTCTTCCCGACGCCGACGATGCCGCGGCAGCCGAGGACTTCCGAGCAAACCTCAAGGCGATTGGCATCAAGGGTCAAAAGCTTCGTGACGTGATTAGCTCTTTGGCCGCCTTGCTGAAACTTGGAAACACACTTGACTACTTCCTCGACGAAGACAAGCTCGACGCTGCATGCCAGGATTGTGGTTCGCTTCTGGACATCTCTCCTGACATGTTCAAGCAGCAGCTTGCCTCTAACGAGCGAGAGATTGCCATTGGTGGAATCTACGAAGCCATTGTTGACTACGTTCTTGCACAAGCCAACATCACCATCAAGAACGACATCAGGAAGGCCCGCGCTGGCTTCTCTTCAAATGACAGCGATGCCAGCCAACCCGGTGTTATGACCCCCGAGTCCGAGGCGGATGGAATGGACGTCGTGAACATCACCATTGTCGAGGTCCCGAGCCGCTCCCTTGGCAAGGCCATCGCTCTGCGTACCGTTTTTGATGATACAGAGGGTATCAATGCAGAGATGAAGGCCGACGGTGTGCAGATCACATCTGCCGGCAACTCGGTGCTTGAGAGCATGAGGGACGCTGTACAGACATCCGAGGCCGATCTTGGAATTGAAGGCGCTGCACTCCGTGAGCACGACTCTGAGCTCGAGAGGCGTGAGGCCGTCTTGGACAAGATCGCGGTGGACACTGAGGAGGGCAATTTTGTCAGAAAACTCCTCTACCCCGTGCCGCAGGCCGGTGTTGTACTGGGCAAGCACAACCGTCTCGATCTACCCATGACTGTGGCTAGCAGCAGAGTATGGTTCCAGCTAGCCATCCACCCCACGGACGTTATCCCCAGCACCGTGACACAGGATCTGAACTCCACATGGCAAGCCGGTGTCGTTTCACGCCAGCTGCGCGAGTGGCGTCTACCGGAATGGGCGAACCGTCGTAACCGATACCTTGATTTCACTGCCGACTTTGACGTTCACGAGTTCTACGAGCGCTACGCCGCTCTGGGTTGCATGGACGGCCGTGACGGCATCACCAACTGGACTCTGCAGCGCGGCTGGAGCAATGGTGAAGTAGTGATTGGCAACGAGCGCATCTGGATGCGCGAGGGCACGTGGTGGGAGGCTGAATCCCAACTTGAGCAGCTGAACGGGAACCAAAGCATGAACGCTGGCATGTTAGGTGGCATGGTGGGAGCTGGCGGCCTCGAAAGTGGCTACCCTCCACAGGCACCTTCTAGCATGGCAGGTAGCGGCTTCTTCCCACCTCTTCCTGAACAACAGCCCCAGAATCCTTTTCAGAGCACGCCTAGCTTGGTACTGCCCCCAGATGCCAAGTCTATAGCCCCCACCACCGTTACCATGCCCACGGCAGCTGTCGGTGACTACGGTCTTGGTGGTAAGGGTGACGAGACGAAGGGTATTACTTACTACGACGCTGAGACTGGTGGCAACTCCATGGTCACCGAGATGCCCATCACGACATCCCGACGCATGTGGGTCGCGTTTGTATGGGCGATGACCATCTGGATTCCCTCACCACTGTTGAAGTACATTGGTCGTATGAAGCGACCAGACGTTCGCATGGCCTGGAGAGAGAAGTTCGTTCTCGTTTTTATCATCCTTCTGCTCAACGGAATCATCGTCTTCTACATTGTCGCCTTCGGAAAACTTCTCTGTCCCAACAAACTCAAAGTCTGGGATGCAACGGAAGTTAGCACTCACCAGGGTCAGGACGACTTCTACGTCAGCCACCATGGTGTAGTCTACGATCTCTCTTCTTTCTGGAAGAAACAGCACAGCGACTCGAACACAGAAGCATCTCGAACCAACATGATTGAGTTTGCCGGCCTGGACATGGACCCGTACATCATGCCGCCTCTGTATCTTGCCTGCCCGAATCTGATTGACGACACCACACGTAACCGTCAGCTGTTCTTGACATCCAACACCTCCATTACCAACCCCCTCGGTGTCCACAAGTCTGGACAGATGACCAATTTGGCCGACAGCGCTGCACTGAAAAAGGACGACTGGTACCCCAACGTCTTTCTGCCCGCTATGAAAGAGATGCGAAAGGGAGACCTCGTCTGGGACTCGAAGAAGATCAAGGACCAGGGCGAAGATGAGAACCACATGTGGTTCACCATGGGCGACGATGTTTACGATCTTACGGACTACTTCAAGACTCTTACCACCAACAACGACGGTGCAGAGTACCAATTCCTCGACGACAAACTCGTCGACCTTGTCAAGAACAACGCCGGATCCGATCTCAAGGAGGACTTTGAGAACAACTTGAATGCCACTGCCCAATCGTGGAATCTCCAATGTCTGAAGAACACATTCTACGTTGGCAAGACCGACTTCCGCAAGTCCATCAAGTGCCGAATCAACGATTACATTCTCCTTGCTGTTACGATCATCCTTTGCACGGTCATCGTCATCAAGTTCTTAGCCGCCCTGCAGCTCGGGTCTCGCAAGCGCCCAGCCAACCAGGACAAGTTCGTCATCTGTCACGTTCCCGCATACACAGAAGGAGAGGAGCACATCCGAAAGGGTCTTGACTCGCTGACTGCACTCGCGTACGATAACAAGCGCAAGCTCATCTGTGTTGTCTGCGACGGAATGATTGTGGGAGGTGGTAACGATCGTCCTACACCTAAGATTGTCTTGGATATCCTTGGTGTCGATCCCAAGGTCGATCCTCCTGCTCTTCCCTTCTGGTCTGTCGGCGAAGGAAGCCAGCAGCTCAACTACGGCAAGGTTTACTCCGGTCTCTACGAATTCGAAGGCAATGTTGTTCCATACATTGTTGTAGTAAAGATGGGCAAGGAGTCCGAGCAGTCCAAGAGCAGGCCTGGTAACCGCGGTAAACGTGATTCCCAGATTCTGCTTATGAGCTTCCTCAACCGTGTCCACCACCGCGCCCAGATGAACCCCCTCGAATTGGAGATGTTCCACCAGATCAACAACATCATTGGTGTGGACCCCGAGCTCTACGAATACATGCTCATGGTCGACGCCGATACTATGGTCAAGCCTGACTCTCTCAACCGTCTCGTAGCGAGCTGCGCCAACGACTCCAAGATCGCCGGTATCTGCGGTGAGACCAGTCTTGAAAACGAAGAGAAGTCTTGGTGGACTATGATTCAAGTTTACGAGTACTACATTTCCCATCATCTCGCCAAGGCCTTCGAAAGTTTGTTTGGCAGTGTCACCTGTTTGCCTGGATGGTAAGTTGATCCCTTTCGAGACCCGAATCTTACTAACGTTTGCCAGTTTCTGCATGTACCGTCTGCGAACAGCTGATAAGGGCAAACCTCTCGTCATTGCCGACAGTGTCATCAAGGACTACGCCGATTGTGTCATTGACACCCTGCACAAGAAGAACCTGCTGTCGCTCGGAGAGGATCGTTATCTCACGACGTTGATGTTGAAGCATTTCCCCCACACATCCTTCAAGTTCATTCCCGACGCCTACGCCCTCACAGCCGCCCCCGAGACATGGAGCATTCTGCTTTCCCAGAGACGCCGCTGGATCAACTCGACCATCCACAACTTGGCTGAGCTTGTTTTCATCTCTGATCTGTGTGGTTTCTGCTGTTTCTCCATGCGTTTCGTCGTCTTCATCGATCTGTTCGGTACCGTCACGCTTCCATCGATTTGTGCCTACATCGTCTACCTGATCTACACGGTCTCGACCGGCACTGGCCAGTTCCCGTTGATCTCGATCATCATGTTGGCTGGTGTCTACGGTCTGCAGGCGTTGATCTTCATCATCAAGCGTCAATGGCAACACATTGGATGGATGTTGATCTACCTGATGGCCTTCCCTATCTACTCGCTGGTTCTGCCTCTCTACTCTTTCTGGAAGCAAGACGACTTCTCGTGGGGTAACACTCGTGTCGTTATCGGCGAGGCCGGCATGAAGAAGGCTGTGCTGACGGAAGACGAGGGCTTTGATCCCAAGTCTATTCCGATGATGCGATGGGATGAGTATGCTGAGCGCAACGAGCTTCCCGGTCGCCGCGGTCTTGCTGGGCAGTCCGAGAAGGGCGGCTTCAGCGCTTACGAGGACGACACATACGAGATGAACGATATGCAATCCATCTACTCGTCGGTCAAGCCTGCCTCGACCGTCATGTCGAACATGCACCACATCTCGCACATGCCCCCTCAGTCACCCGGCCCCTACCAGGGCATGCAGACGCGCCAATCGACTTACTCCAACCTGTCACGCTACCAGGATCACCCTCACCAGAACCCTCACCAGAGCCGCCTCATGTCTATGGGCGGTATGAGTGATCAATACGGCGCGTCGCCTTACGGCGACCGTCACAACATGGGTGGTTTCCAGAGCTCAGACAACCTCATGGCGTCGACGCCGCCAGTCCGCGGGCGCAGTCCTCTTGGCTACGGTCAATCGCGCCCCGGCAGCACAGTCAACTTCCAGAGCATGATGAACGGCCCCAGTGACGCGACCATTGTCGAGGTCGTGCGCACGTGTCTGAACGAGGGTGACCTTGATTCGATGACCAAGAAGCAGCTCGTCGCACTCGCCGAGCAGCGACTGCAGACGCAGCTGACCGGAGAGAGGAAGATCTTCCTCAACCAGACCATCGACCAGGAGCTGGCTATGATGGGCTAGGCTGTGTGATGTTTGTGTATTGCATTTATGGTGTTTGCTGTGTTTTGACACGTTTATAAAATGTCTCGCAGATAGTCGCTCCTTTTTCGGCGCATTATATAGGAAACCATTGGGGGCCTGCAGTGGAATTTGCAAGGCCGGAGTTTGTATGCATTGGTCCCAGCGTTGGCTGTACAGATAATGACGAAGACTACATAGTAATTGGAGATTGCATTATCAGATCGTGTCTTTGGTGTGGTGATTACGCGTTGACGTGGACGTAGCTCGTGTGTATGTAGACGGACGGGGCCGCCAACGTCACTGCCCCTGTCGAGCCGCCGCGGTTCCGCAGCTCTCAGCAGCCCAATCCGCCCACAGCTCGCGGCTGCACACAACCACCACCGCCCACCATGCCGCCGAACCGCATCGAACAAGACGAAATCGAAAAGTACTGGGAGATCTTCAGCTCCCTCGCCAACGGCGGCACACACCTCGACGGCACGCAGGCAGCGCCCGTGCTCAAGAACTCGCACCTCCGCGACGACCAGCTCGAGCGCGTGTGGGACCTCGCCGACGTCGACAACGATGGCAAGCTCGACTTCGAGGAGTTCTGCGTCGCCATGCGCCTTATCTTCGACCTGATCAACGGCGTCTCCTCGGACGTCCCGCAGACGCTGCCCGACTGGCTGGTTCCGGAGAGCAAGGCACACCTCGTGCAGGCCACGCGCGCCCTGAGCGGCGGCCAGCAGTTCGAGCAGGTCGAGGATGACGATGACACGCCTGGCCTGCGCGCCGGCTTCGACTGGTACATGTCGCCCAGCGATAAATCCAAGTACGAGGAGATCTACTCAGCCAACCGCGACGGCCACGGCAACATCACCTTCGACTCGCTCGCCCCGCTGTTCGAGTCGCTCGACACCGTCCCCGACTCCGACGTGCGCTTCGCCTGGAACCTCGTCAACCCGGCCGCCCGCGACGCCATCGGCAAAGACGCCGCCCTCGCCTTCCTCCACATCCTCAACCAGCGCAGCGAGGGCTACCGCGTCCCGCGCTCCGTGCCGCCCAGCCTGCGCTCCTCCTTCGAGAAAGCCCACATCGACTACGACGTCTCGCACGCGGGCCAGAACCGCTGGGCCACGGCCTCGGACGACTCGACCGCCACCGGCCGCAAGCAGAAGTTCGGCGACGCGTACCTGACGCGGCTGGGCGTGGGCGACCGCGCGCAAACATACGGCGCCCGCAAGGCCACCGATTTCGGCGGCCGCACCACCGAGGACTGGGAGGAGGTGCGGCTGAAAAAGCAGCTCAAGGAGCTCGAGGCCAAGATGGCGGATGTCGAGAAGGACGTGCAGGCGCGCCGGCACGGGCGCGCCAAGGACAGCACGCCCGCGCTGGTCAAGCGCGAGCTGGAGTCGCTGCTGGACTACAAGCGAACTGTGTTGCGCGACCTGGACAACGACGAGGGCGGCGCCGTCAAGGGGCTCGGCGGGATACGCGAGGAGATTGACACGGTGCGGGAGCAGGTTGAGGGGCTGGAGGCGCATTTGCAGCGGCGGCACGAGGCGCTAGATGATCTGAGGCGGCAGATTGACGACGAGAAGGCGCGGTAGGAGCCGTGAAGAGGGGACACAGCAGTGATTGTGAAGAGCGGAGCAGCGGTGACTGCAGAGCTGCGTGCGGCAAGACGAGGGGGCGTATAGACACATACTAATAGACACATCATCTGGTCCCAACCACAAACCGTCCGTCCATTCGTCCACCTATCCTCCGTCCTTCCACCACCCTCTTCAGCACCCAGCACCCCTATCCTCCACCTCCCAACCCACGAACCCCGCAAAAACCCAAACCCCCCACAAGCAAAAAGAACCTCACTCATTCAACTCCACAACAGCTAGATAGATGGATCAGCAGGGCAAAAAAGATGTTATCTCCCCCGGAAAGGCTCGAACTTTCAACCTCCTGATGTGCCATCAAGCAGAGTAGTGTGGATAACAGTCAGACGCGCTAGCCAATTGCGCCACGGAGGATCAACTTGCTGAGAAGCTGGTGGTGTGCTAGACTTTGATGGCAATTTTCGACACCACAATATTTATATTCTTGACGGGATATGGGGAATGGGTAGAGGGACTGGGAGGGGGAGGTGGGTTTGGTGTGCGGGATACTGGGGAGGTGCGAGGGTTTCAGGGTGGTGGGGGCGACGGGGCGGGAAGTGTGGGACCGCTGTGTAGCGGCGCTGCGTGCCGACTGTGGTTTTGTCAGTGTCTGCGACGACAAGGCGCCATGGACGGATGTGACTATGCGACTACAACACGTCCCGTGTCATCACCGGCGGTAGTACATGATCTCACGGACATCGGTACAGGAAAGATTGCGTTCGAATTGATACTGAAAAGCAATGTTACATTGTGCATCGAGTGCTCTTCCATCTGTGCCGTGGCGTCCTCCCCGGACAGCTCAGGTAGTCGAGGGGTGTGCTTGACTGCTGTTCTCGTACTTCCGATCACTGCCTGCACGTCCAGCAGGGCTGCGAGGTCTCGTGTTAGTGCTCGCGCAACGATGCTCGGGCTGGCGTAGACGCATGGCCGGGATGGCTCGATGCGGCGGTTTCAAGTTGTCTGGGTCTGCAGCCGCGCCCGTATACTTCCTATGCGCACGCTTCCTGATCTTGTCAGAGGCCAAGAGCGTGCTACTCCTGGATGTTTCGCTGTGGATGCTGTCTGTAGCACAATAGCGTGTGTTCAAGTCCTGCGTATCAGCCGCCCAGAGAGGGCCTTGCGGTTAGCCATGTCGATTAGGCGCCAAAGCGGCGTGGATCAAGTCGAATGTTGAAGTTGAATACGAGAAGGCGCATTGTGAAACCTGTCACGCCGGCTCTGATCGACCAACTATGGTTTCGATGCAGCCAACGTTGACGGTTTCGCGATACACCTCTGCTGAAGAGAGGAAGGGGGCCCATACCAGTTGACATCGCTGAGTTGCAGCTTCCTGGCGCGCTGATTGCTACGGTTGTTGCCGGCCTTGTCGATTCGCGGCTGTGCGTATGGGTTTGGAGTCTTCTCCAGAACTTGCTGAGCATCAGTACGTGTTTTGTTGAGATTAGGCGAAAGAGCGTAAGAAAATGGTGATTCACCGGTATCGTCGACATCGTCACGACCCTCGTTGTAGTTCAAAACGAGGCTCTTGATGCGCTGCTGCTCCTCCTTCTCGGCCTGTTGCTTATTACGCATGGCGACAGCGAAGGTCGAGTCAGAGGGCAGGTCAATTGAGCGAGTTTGCGTCTTGTTTCCGCGCTTGCTGAGAAGTGAGAATTTCATGGTGTTAGATGGCGCGATGGGGACGGGAGCTTCGCTCACGCCGTCCTCAGGGTTAGTCGCTGCCTCGCGAGCGCGTCGCATCGGTAGGGGCATGTCGAACACAGGCTTACGATCATACTTGCGTGAGTCGGCGCTCTCAGACATGAGCTTAGCAAGCTCTCGGTCAAACTCAGCCTCCACTTCAGGATCGCGTTCCTCCTCTTGACGTGTCACAACAATATGCTCTTCTTCATCGTCAGACATATGTCGCTTAGCCGGTTCGTCTTCATCGGAGTCGTCCTCGTCCTCATCCGAAGACTTATCTTCGCCTTCGGGCACGACCACATCATCATCGTCGGGTCCATCCACGTCGTCGTCGGAAGCGGACTCGTCGTCATCCTCAGGCTCGATAGGCTTGTCGGTGGCCGCCGTTTGGTAGTTCTGCTTGACAGCCTCGCCAAAGACACGAGATGCTTCGTCCAGGTCGGTGATGAGCTTCCACTGCGGCCGGATTAAAGCATACGCGTCTTGCACGATAAATTCCACATCCATTGGCAATGCATCCTTGGTACAGACATAGTACTGCAAATACGTCAGGAAGAAGTCGAGCTTCTTCTTGGCTGCACCCTTGTCATAGTACATGCCACAGGTCTCGAGAAGATTGCAGACCAGGCGGATGCGGAAGTAGTCATCGGGCAAGTCCAGCGGGTTGTACAAATCTGGACGAGCGTAGCCGCCCTGCCATCCGTAATTCAGCAGCTTGTACAGTGTATCGAAGACAAGCGGCGAGTCGACAAGTCGATAAATGTACAGTTCGCCCAGGAACTTGACCTCTGCAATCCTGCGCTGATTGAACTTGAAGTCATTCAATTCGAGACCGAATGTGATGGACTCCAAAAGGTCATCAATGACGCCAATAGCAAAGTCTTGGTGGTAGCGATGGATGGTACCGAGGATAACAGACAGCAAATGGATGTTGCTGTACTTGATCTTGCCAGGTTTCGAAAAAATCTTATGTAAGAAGTTGACGACCTCCTCTTCTTCCCAGTGCATTTTGCGGATCTGCTTGACAGTCTTGTCCAGGGTACGGCGGGTCAGGTCCTGGTACATGATCTTGCGTAGGAACAGTTCTACTGGCGTCCGCTCCTTCTGTTCGATGGCTGCGCGCTCCGGTGGGTTGACGTAGTAGATCGCGTTTTCGATCAACATGCGTTCCTGCTGTCCAAGCACTTGAGCGCCCTTCTTGCGCTGGAGTGTCTCCAGGAACGAAGCCATACGAGGCGATGTGTCTGGGTTGCGCAGGAGGTATCGTCCGCAGTTCTCGAGCAAGTTGCAGATAATCTCAATGTTCATCCTCGAGAAGTCGTCCAGGCTCACTTTCAGGCAATGGAAGATGACGTGTTCAGGGACAACGTTAAACTTGGTCAGTTCTGCCAGATAGCGTACGTTCTGTGTCCGCACCTGACCTAGGAAATCTTTCGACTTGCGGCGTTGCAGACTTCGGAATTCATCGTCTAGGTAAGAAACAAGGCCCTGTGCAACATCGGGCATATACTTGCTAAGTGTCGCAATCAGCCTCGAATAAATTGGCAGCAAATCAGATCTGCCCTTAGGAATATCCTGAACTGCCTTGATGAGACGGTTGCGCGACGCTTTGGAGTTGAGAAAGCAAAAGTCGATGGCAGTCTGGTCGACTGAATCCTTTGTGTTGAGCTCCGGTAAGCGAGCAAGAACGGCATCAACTTGAGTGCCGACAGACTTGTTCGCAATGGCAGTAGACTGGTCATCTGCATCTGCGACTTTGCCTGCCTCTAAGGCCTCTTTCTCAATGGCCTCTGCCTTTGGCTCAATGCGCTTGCCGACCTGCTCGTTCGTGTCGACGTTCTTCTTCTTAGCATCCTCGAGCAGGATTCCAGGAACGCGATCCTTCAAATCAATCAGGTTCTCGTAGAAGCGACGCTCGTCTTCGTCTTCCCAGATGCCAGGCCCATCACTGCGGCCGCGCAGGTACTCTCCAGCCTTGATCAGACCGATAGATCCGTCCCCAGCATTTGCAGAGTTATCCTTCTCTTTTAGATCCGGCATCTCCGCACTCAGTGCGTCGGCTAGAATCTGAGCATTGGCAATAAGTCGTTCCTGCGTCTTCAACTGCTTTTCGTAGTTTGCCTGGCGGTCCTCGAACACCTCCCCAGACTTCACGTAGGCTTCCGCGTTCTTGCGGCCCTGAGACGCCAAGTGCTTTTGGTCTCGTAGCAAATGTGCTTTGACATCTTCGAAATAGCGGTTGAGAATATTCTTAAAGCGCTGTTGCAGATCTGGGGCGATGATAGGCGGATCCTGGCTGTGCTGTTCGTCATCCTCGGTGGCCGATGTGTCGTCGTTCTTGTCTCCGATTGTCGTGCCGTCCTCGTTGACCGTCTTGCGACCCTCTGCAGCTGACGTCTTTGCGCTGAGAATATCCCACGCAAAGGCCTTGACAAAGATGACTACTAGCGGCAGGTTCACGTGCTCGCGGTCGTATCCAAGCATGTCCTTCAGTACTTCCAAAGGGAACGGCTCCGCATCAGCGCTCTCCGCACGAGCCCTAGTTCGTGTTGAGCTCTCGACAAGTTTGCCATTATCCTTGTTCTTGCCAGCCTCTTCAGGGCGAGCCACATCATCCAGGCTTCGCAGCACGCCGACCAGCCAGAGTTCAGTAGCCACACGCAGAAGGACGCGCTGGCGCGAAAGACGCTCTTTATCTTCTCGGTCGCGCACTTCCTGCGACAATGTCTTCAGGTGTGCTTTGTCTGGAGTTGCAAGCCCCCTTCCCATGTACCAGCCAATATATCCCGTGAACTCAGCGGGCCCGAAGCGCTGGTGGAGAGCGCTGACAATTTCGACACCGGTCGCGATTTCGCCGGGAGTTTTGAGCCTGCAGAGGCCTTCGTAGCATGCCGATATGATCTCGGAGAGGTACTTGTGGAGCGATAGCGTGCGAATCTCTTGTAGGAACTGCGACTGGGAGGACGCGTTGATGGCGGTTCGGAGACGCTTGATAAAGGCCGTGTTCTTCTTCATAGACGAGTCGAGCGAGCTCTGCACGGGGAAAACATCTGCATCACGCATCAGCATGAGACGGGTGGGGGCGCAGATGGCTGCCGACCTTGCTCGCCATCCCAGGCTCGAAAGTTGAGCTCGCGAAGCTCTCCTTCTCGCTGTTAGTGTTCTGGAGCTCCCGGAAAAAGCTGCACGTACGCTTCCTAGGTCTGTCCATGGTGGAGTGGAAAGTCTCTCGGCGGAGGAGGGGCGGGTGTTGATAGCACGGGTCGGCTATGATACGCGCACATGGAATATCGGAGCTATGTCAGGCGCGACTTCTGCGAGCATTGGGGCGGGCGCAGCGCGGGCAAGCTCTCGGTGAAGCGGTCGTTTGTGCAGAGCAGCAGCAAAGCAAGGCGGGGTGTTTTCGCCGTCACACAGGTCGAGGGTTGTTCGAAGTTCAACTGCAGGAACGGCTTCCGCCCTGCTCTTTCCGCATCGGGAAGTGTAGCGTCACTCCGCCGCAAATGCTTGGCATGGCAGCGAACCTGGATACAAATGTGGTGAGCTTGGTACTCAACCGTCACAAAATCAATTTCACATCACGGCCAACACATCTGCAGTCTACGTTGGGACATGTGCTCCTGCGTAGTTATGATATATGTAGGGGCGTTGAAGGCAGGAATGTTTTGAATAATTCGTGAGGACGCCAGGTCGACGATTCTTACTTTGATGACGCCGACGACTTGCAGTAATGATGTAGAGAGTGGCATGGTCATCCATCGAGGTAAGATAGTAGTTGCAAGTGCACTCACCTTGTAGGAGAGCTAGATGCATGCAGGAGCTAATCCTCAGAACGCTGGGAGGTAGTCATGTGCCGGCGTCCTTGCATAAGCTCAGAAACTATTTACAACCCACTTAAAGATTATATATGTCCCGTGGGTCTTGTCTCTCAAGTAGATCTTCTGGCATCTCATGGCGTGACCCTGCAAGAGTCTCTTCGGTAATGTGCAAATCACCGCTGATTCGCCAGGCATCCCTTCATTCTGACCATCCAGATCAAAAGCTCGTGTATATCACAGGGGAACCGCAGGATGCTACACTATTCTTGCCTACACGCAACCGTGCTGGTTCGCAACGTAGCAATGTTTCGCTTACACAGCTATAGGACATTAGACCGAGCAGTGCAGGGGCAGGCCTGGGGCAGGTGGTGCGCAATCATCGAGTGCGAACAAACCCTCCTGTCGCAATGATGTGCACATGCAGGTGCAGGTGGCATACGTTTGGAGCCGCGTACCAAGTACCAGGTCATGAAGCCGACCAGCCACAGAGCTCAAACTTCATAGCCGAAACGTTGCCTTCAACATCTACTGCGCGGAGGATTGGTGCTCCGAGGGCTCCGGAGAAGTGCTTCAATGCGAAAAGGGGTCATTGAGTCAGGTTCAGTGCTTGAGCCCTTCTCCACGCGGTGGCCTTGGCGCTCCTACTGCCTACGAATTGCAAATGCTCATGAACCGAAGCGTACGTCAAAGCGGCAATGTGGAGCGAAGTATGGCGCGCCTAATTCCTTGGTTGCTTCAAAACCCTCTCCCACGTTCACAATTGCTGAGCGCCAGATTGGTTCTTCAAAAGCAGCGGCGCTCGTGAGTGGTTGAGCCAAAGAAGTTGTGGGCTCGGTTCTTTAGGGTTCAAATAAGTTGAACTGTGGTTCAGGGGTAGACAACAAGCTTAAGTTTGCCGCGGCTTCTTCAAGACCAACGGGCGTAAGCGCCATCTGAGTGGCGGCGATTCATGTGCATTGATGAAACAAAATTTGCGGAAGACGATATCGACAGGCAGCGGGAGCTATGAGGATAATCGATATACGGGCAGTCATGTCGGCGGGAGCTACGGTGACAGTAAATATACGAACAGCGGTGACGGCTGCACGAACTTCAGCCTTGCAGAACCGTCTCGAGATCTGCGATGCTATTCAAGGAAATACGGTTGCCAACATTCCGTAGCGAACAGATCGGCGGGTGTGGACGCGCACGACCAGATCCCGAGCTGCGGGACACCACCCAGGCTTTATCGATTGCCAGCCGTCTGCACAGCCTCGCCGGGACAGCAATGACGATCTGTTCTGGAAGGCTGGTGGAGTGCAAAAGCCGCATGCCTCGCTGAATGTTGAGGCTTGAGAGCGGTGGGCCGTGGAACTACGTGTGTCACAGCAAGAGACCATTCGACAGGGAAGTCAGGTCATCTCAATCTCATCGCTCGATGTTGAGGGCTGTGGAGTCCCCCACCGAATGTTCGTGTTACTTTTTCTAGCGTTTCCTAGCGCTTGTCACAGTGGCGCCGAAGGTCGAAGGAGAAAAGGAGAGGAGGGTCAACGTCGGCTCGTATTCAATTTCAGTGACGGATGGCAGCAAGCCCCTGCCGCGAAGCGTAAAGCCGGACCAGTACGGTCGTGGAAGAGGCGCGATTGGACGGAGCAGTTATGTCAGCCCGCATTCGCTTGCTTTGGCGAGGCCAGCACCACGCTTGGCAATGAAACACGCATACGGAAGGGCGGCAGGGAAGGCGAAATTCCTGCGCACCATGATGCCATTGGAACGCAGTGAGCATGCATGGTGCATCAGCTGGCTGTCTAGCTGGTCGTCGGTCGAGTGCTCGTTCTGGCGCCGCCGTCGTAGTCGCTGGCTCAAAGGCGGCGTGGCTGCCCTGGAGTACCACTTCTTGAGTACCAGTGTGCGCAACAAAGAGACAAAGAGAGGCACAGTCAGGGTGATCAGGAGCATCGTCAAACAAAGCGACCGGGAGCGCTGCAGACCTCACACGCCCAACGGTGGACGGCGCACAGAGGCGCCGTCCTAAAATAACCCGCGAGGCTGTATTGGGCATCGCCGGCGTGCAGCTGTCGCGCGTTGTGCACCACTCAAACCGAGCGCACCAGCCGGCATCTGTGTCAAGCTCCTGGGTTGGAGAAGGGGAGGCGGCTTGCCTGCCCGAATCAGTGAACGGCCCCCTGCGACGATCGCACGCACTTGCGCAGACTTTCACCATGCCCAGAGCCGCGATGACATTTTCGGTGAAGCCTGCGGTGGGCCCTAGCGTTTCCGCGCTTTCGTGCCTGTACAAACCAACCCGACCCCCTCGTGCAATGAGTTCTCTCTTTCCTCCAGACGCACCTCCCCAGAACCTGCAGCTGTCCCCCTTGCGTGCGGCATCTGTGATGACACTGTGCTGAAGAGCTGCTTTTCTTGCTTCGACCCCTCACATTCGTTTACCTGCCTGTCTCAGGAGGTGCATTTATCCGTCCAGAAGCACAAGTCTCGGGATTATCAGTCAATATACTCGACGCCGGACAATATTGCCAGCTGAATCAGCGTCTGTCTTTTTTGGGACTCTATCTTCTCGTCGACACCCCCGGTTCCTGCCTCGATTCTCTAGCGCTGTGCAACCAACACTCTAGTAGTGAGCGTGCGCTGTGTCACCCGTCCAGCTCTCCACCGCCCTGGGTTTGCCTCGACCAGGTCAATTGCCTCATACCACGCTCGCCTCTCGACTTTTGAACGTCGCCCATCGCTGCGTCCGCGTTACAGCACCCCGTCTCACCGAGCGGTTCTCGACATCTACGGCAGCTTAAGCAAGAGCTTTCTGCCTACACTCGCTTCACCCCACCTTACGACCTCGATACGAACATATACATTTTAATACTCATCCACAATGTGGGACGCAGCTGGTCCCGTCGTCCAGGCCCTAGTGTCTAGGGCGGACTCATCCGGCATTCCAGATATCGACGACCCATGGGCAACAAAGGACGTAAGTTTGCGAGTCTCTTCAGCTCCAACTTCGCAGCTAACAGCAACAGATTGTCTACGTGGCAATTGTCGGCAGCGTCATGCTTGCTGCCTTGCTTGAATGGTTCCTTTGGGTTGCCGCTTTCTTGTACTGCATCGTCAAGGTCTTCCAGAAGGCCGAGACCATCAGTGTACGACTCCTCGCCATCTTCTTCGGAATCATGTTCTTTCTCCTCCGGTATGTTGTCTCAGCCTGCGACCACCAGATGCAATGCTAACATTACCAGTGCCATCTTCTTGCCCATCATGGTCGTCACTCTTCCTCTGCCCGCCCAGGTAGTTAAGTACTTCCCCCAGGAGATGGTCGACTTCCTCCAGTGGTTCGCTTTCTGGTCGTTTGCCGGTCTCCTGACAATCCCGTGGCTGTTCTGTGTCTACCAGCTCGTCACCCACTCCGTCGGCCGCACCAGGAGGATCAAGAGCGTTCTCGATGAAACATCGGCTCCCAAGGTCGTCATCATCATGCCTTGCTACCAGGAAATTCCTGAGATTCTCCTCCGAACTTGCGATTCGCTTGTCGACTGCGAGTACCCGCCTTCTTGCCTGCACATCTTCCTGTCATTCGACGGAGATGCTGAGGACGAACTTTATCTGAACACCATTGAGAAGCTCGGCGTGCCTCTTACTCTCGACTCGTACCCCAAGTCTATCGATGTCATCTACCGTGGCTGCCGTATCACCATCTCTCGTTTCCCCCACGGCGGTAAGCGTCACTGCCAGAAGAGGACTTTCAAGCTCATCGACAAGATCTACGCCGAATACCTGAAGCGCAACGACAACCTCTTCGTGCTCTTCATCGACTCCGATTGTATTCTCGACAAGACCTGCATCCAGAACTTCATGTACGAAATGGAACTCAAGCCTGGCTCCAAGAAGAACATGTTGGCTCAAACCGGTGTCATTACATCAACCACCGAGAAGAACTCGCTCATCACTCTGCTCCAGGATATGGAGTACATTCACGGTCAACTGTTCGAGCGTTCCGTCGAATCTGGCTGCGGTGCCGTCACTTGTCTTCCCGGTGCCCTCACCATGTTGCGATTCTCTGCCTTCCGTAAGATGGCCAAGTACTACTTCGCCGACAAGGCAGAGCAGTGTGATGACCTCTTCGACTACGGCAAGTGCCATTTGGGCGAGGATCGTTGGTTGACTCATTTGTTCATGATTGGCGCCCAAGAGCGTTACCAAATTCAGATGAACACTGGTGCTTTCTGCAAGACCGAGGCTGTGCAGACATACACATCTCTGCTCAAGCAGCGTCGCCGCTGGTTCTTGGGTTTTATCACCAACGAAGTTTGCATGTTGACAGATATCCGTCTGTGGAAGCGCTACCCTATCCTTCTGATCGTTCGTTTCATGCAGAACACCATCCGTACCACCGCTCTGCTTTTCTTCATCTTGGTCCTCTCTCTCGTCACAACATCGCAGAAGGTCGCCAACTTGCCTGTCGGTTTCATTGCCATCTCTCTTGGACTCAACTGGCTTCTCATGATCTACTTCGGCGCCAAGCTCGGTCGTTACAAGGTCATGCTCTACCCCCTCATGTTTGTCGTCAACCCCTTCTTCAACTGGGTCTACATGGTTTACGGTATCTTCACCGCCGGACAGCGTACATGGGGTGGACCTCGTGCTGATGCTGGTTCTGCTGACGCGAAGACCTCCCCCCAGGAGGCGATTGCCCAAGCCGAGGCCGCCGGTGATGATCTCAACGTTGTTCCCGAGACCTTCAAGGCTGCTGCTGAAGCTCAAAAGCGTACCGGAACCGTCCCTCTGCAGCCTACTGTCGATATGGAGGGCCGTTTCGCCCCCGCGGAGAGGTTGCCCAACGGCTGGTACCAGCAGAACAACGACTCTGGTCTCACATTCCCCAACATGGCGCCCCGCGACCCCAACGCTCCCCACATCCCACTCCACCCTCGTTCCTCCATGGATTCGTTCACTTCCACCGGTACTTCTGCCAACAACTCTGTCTACATGCCCCGCCGTGTCGAATCCTTCATGGACCCTGAGGATGCGCGCATTTACCACAAGACTCAGGAGACTCAAAAGCCGGCTGGAGGTGCTTTCTTCGAGGAGCAGCGTCAACAAGGACCTTACGAAGTTGGCATGAGCTCTGGAAAGGGTGGCTACACCGAGTCGGTCGAGTCTCTCTCTGGCGATTCGGTCTACGACAAGCAGCAGCAGCAACAACAGTACCGAACCCAATCGCCGCTTTCCAACCAGGTTGGACAAGGTGATCTTGCAGCACCCAAGGCTGCGTACAGCCAGCCCACCAACCGCGACTCAAACAACTCCAGCCGTCAGGGACGCAGTCCCCTCGGACAAGAGAGCTACAGCAGCGCACCAGGCAATGACACCGGCTATGAGATGTATCAGCCCCAGAACAGCAGTCTGATGCGCGATGTGTCACCTGCACCCATGGGCCACAGCAGAAGCGATTCGACAGACTCGAAGAAGCGCAAGCGCCTCACTAAGGAGCGCAAGTAAAAGCGTCATTTTTTCTTGATCTGCAATCTACTTCAGCATCTATGCATCAAAATCCGGACCTGGGTGACGGCGTTTTCACATATTCGACAGCGGTCTGACTTTTTCACATCCCTCGCATTGAGCAGGGCAACTGGCGTTTGAGCGGCCGACATACTGCAATCGCTTGCATCGTTTCTTTAATGTACATATATGTCTATGCGCCCATTCTTCATGGGCCACGGTGTGGTTAGGCTCGATTGGATACGACTTTGACTGTAGATCATGACTGGTTCACTCACTACCATTGTTTTCAACAAGAGCTCGCGAATTTGTACATGGGAGAGCTTAGGTTAATCCTGCGCCTAATGTCTAGAGGTCTACGGACTGAATATAACGATAACTTCGCACCTTTACTTTGCACATGTTTTTTGCCTGCTTTGTGTTGCCGTGAATGATCTTGCGGATGACAGGATATATGTAGAATTGCAGCTTGATATGTCTGCACTGTCCTGTTATTCTTTATGATCGTTACTCACAAGGGACTTCTAAGTCAAGCTCGAGCACCAGGCTGATCAATCTTCTTGAACAGCTCAGGATGATCAATCGCATACTGCACACCCGCAGCCCAATGATAAAGCTTTGCAGCGATAACATACCCCTCCTTCGCCCACCCCTCCAGCCTCTCATACAACTCCGCCAGCGGCACATTAACCCTTAGAATATCCTCCCCCTCATCCAAATGCTGCTCTGGCTCCGGCTCGCCCTCCTTCAAGTGAACCTCCATCATGCACAAACACATATTCGCATTCGTCATCCCCGGATCGGCCGCCACCGCCGGACTCGTACTGACCACCTTGCCGCGGTACCCCGTCTCCTCATACAGCTCGCGCACCGCCGCTTCCTCGGGCGTCTCGCTTGCGTCGATCAGGCCGGCGGGCCACTCCACGGTGGTTGCTTCCACGGGCGGTCGGAACTGCAGGACCACGATCGTGGAGGCCGGTTTCGTGGGGTGGAAGATGATGTTGCCCATCGCCACGGCGTCGACGCCCGCGCTGCCGCGGGTCTTGCGCGAAGCGACTTCCCACACGCGTGAGACGCCGTGCGCGTCGATGTAGTCGACTTTCTGCAGCTTGACCCATTTGGCGTCCGCGGAGGGGAGGTCCGTGAAAGCGGTCACGCGGGCTTTGCTCTTGCTGGCCATGCTTCTTGATTTAGGTTTGACGGTGCCTTTGGATTGGGTTGTGTGGTGAGCGGCTGTTGATGAGGGGTCTGGTCGCGCAAAGTCGTGATGTAGTCGTGGTGGGATGAGTCGGCGTAGTGGGAGGGCAATTGCCGATGACGTAACCGGATTGGGACCTGTAAGCTGCGGCCGAGGACACACACTTCGCACCACGTACTTCAGAAATGGAGCCAGGACTCAGATATACTGCACGTTGATTGCAGTTGCGCGGGGCAGTCACAGCCTCACGATCAGACTAGGATTGAACACGTTAGCGGCGGGAACTAATCGCGTAACGTCATCCAAATTGATGGCAATTGTTCTTGATAAGTATCAACATCTCAATCCATCTGACTTTTCTACTACATTGTTCTTAATTCCAGTTCCAACGCGTTTGTGATACTTTGTCAGCTCAGCGTCCATTGAGCCTGCTAGAGCCTGCAGAGCCATACGCAGGGGTCATGATATCCACGCGTGCTTTTCCCAACACTATCTTGAAAGCAGTCACTAGGCGGCATTTCTCATCGAGTATAAGACGAGATGCCGACTTCACACATGCTGTGATTGGTGGTGGTGTCATTGGGCTGGCGATAGCACGGAAACTGCAGGGAAGAGACGGTGCATCAACAGTGTTGATTGAGAAGCACGGATCCGTTGGTACAGAGACAAGTTCAAGAAACAGCGAGGTAGGTGACACCATACTTCTTCCTATTATATATGCCCCTATTACAAAAAACTAAGGCCATGACATTGTAATTGACCATTCTCAGGTGATACACGCAGGCCTTTACTACGGCACCGACTCACTCAAGACAAAACTTTGCCTACGAGGCAAGGAGATGATGTATGACCTATGCCGGAAGCATTCCATCCCGCACCGCAACACAGGTAAATGGATCGTGGCCCAAGATTCCGCCCAATACGACGCGATAAGCAAGGTCCATGAGTTCGCTTCAAGCGTCGGCGTGCCAACACGATTCCTGTCAAGCAAAGAAGCGAAAGAGCGGGAACCGGATGTCCGCGCTGAAGCCGGTGTACTGGAGAGCTCATCAACAGGCATAGTAGACTCACACAGCCTGATGCAGTTTCTCGAGGGTGATTTCGAGAACAAGGACGGTGTATGCGCCTTCCAAAGTGAAGTCATCCGCGTGGAACCCGTAGACGCCGGGCGCAGGGGCTGGGAAATCACGACCAAAAGCCCCGACGGCGAGGAGACAACCATCACAGCCGAGACGATTATCAACTCCGCAGGGTTGTATGCCGTGGCCATATCGAACATGATCCTTCCCGAAGACAGACAGCGGAAAGCATTCTACGCTAAGGGAAGCTACTTCAGCTACTCCTCCTCGCGCCCCAAGCCCAGCACCCTGATCTACCCCGCCCCGGTCCCCGGCCACGGCGGCTTGGGTACGCATCTGACGCTCGACATGGGTGGGCGTGTGCGCTTCGGGCCAGATGTGGAGTGGACCGAGTCGCCAACGGACTACACGCCGAACAGCAAAAATCTGAAGGCCGCCATCGACGATATTCAGACTTATCTGCCGGGAGTTGACAGGGATTCTATTACGCCAGACTACGTAGGGATACGACCAAAACTAGGTCGGCTGGCGGCAACGAGCGGCAAGGATTTCCAAGACTTTTACATCGTTAAGGAGGAAGGGTTCGAGGGGTTCGTGAATTTGTTGGCCATGGAAAGTCCAGGGTTGACGAGTAGTCTGGCGATTGCGGAGGAAGTAGAGAGTCAATTGTACAAGTAGGGAATGAAAAGAGCCGAAGTAGGTTCACCGCAGTACGTTACTTGGGACACTTTGGAATACCTACGTGTCTGCGAACCTTTCCCGCTCATGCTCTAGCCAACGTCTAAGATCAGATCAAACGGCCTCAAACTGGCGCATCATGAGTATCACGCAGAACGGATCATTCTTGTAGGATTATTGGGGTTGGGCCCTTATGTTGAGGCAGAACCATGGTACTGGCTTCAGGGCTTCAGGGTGTCTCTACCTAGGTATCACACATCGCTTCTGACTCAGACTTATTCATGTCAACTCCTCCAACGTGGCAGTATTGTTGACTCTTTCTCTAAGCTTTCAAATGGCCTCAGCAGATATCACACCCCGTGCTGGATTCCGCATCCCGGGAGAACCGACCGCTCCATCCCCTAAAACATCACCATCGCTCATACGCAGTTTCGTATCACGTTTACAACAGAAACACCGCGCACCAAAAAATGCACGTCTGAACCAAAAGCACTGCGTTTTCTATCAGCTGCCTGCAGAGCTGCACATGTGCATTGCCAGTCACCTCTCCGGCGCCGACCTCCTCAGCTATGCGCAATGCAGTCGAAAGACGCCCTTCCTCACGTTCCAGCTCCAACCGCCTCGATCTGTAAAAGCGGATTTTGCAGCACGTCTACGTAGGGACCGAGATCTGCAAATGCTCTCCCTCCGCGGCGACGATACACAGAAGTTCGCCTGGTGCAGCGACCACCTGGTTCTTCATCACGTCGGCCTGTTTGCACCATCTCAACTCCTCGACTCCGTATCCAACGACACACGCGTGTGTGTTTGCGCAAGAGCACGCTTTCGAGTGTGCGAGCATAGGAGTTGCAGCCTCAAGGAGTTGGTATCGGTGCCCTCTGACATTCTTTCTCAACTTTGCGATAAGCATGCCGATGCCGAGGAAGGAATCATTGGGCCATGTTTGACGGTGACACTTAGGGGACTTTCAGTGCCTGGGAGAATGAAGGCCATGCTTACAGTAAGCCACATTATCTGCCGCATACCTTATTACGAAGCGATTGAGACTACGGTGGCTCGGATGCATCTCGTACAACTGAAGGTGCACATCTGCCCTCACTTGACGACAGCTGACGAAGCTGTGCTCAGTAAGCTGTGCGCTGCAAGGAAGAAGGTCTACTGTAATGATTGGCTTTTTGCTGATGTGCGAGAGGGCTTCAGTGTGAAGGAAAATTGCGAGTACTGCGCTGCTGAGTATACACTGCACCGACGTGACGGTGGCGGAAGTGTATTGCTGGACGTGAGGCGCAAAGTGCGCGATCTGAACAGCAAGGACGTTCTGGTGCACTTGGAAGATTGTGGAGATGTGCATTGTGTACACGATGGTACATTGCGTTGCAGTGAATATTGCTCTGGTTCATAATCCCGATAGACAATAAAGACGCATTTCCTCACCCTGAAAGTTGCGCGGAAGCTGCGAGGACAGTGAAGGCCGCAAAGAGAGCCAACCGTGGCAGTCACGACCAATTAGTGCAAGGGGAGGTAAACACAAAACGTTTCGACGACTAACCTTCCTGCTCCATCACCCAGGTGTGGCTCAGAGTCTCAGTCACAACTTTGTTCAGTCACCGACTTTCTCTTGCAAACCTGTCACCATGTCTCTCCGTGAAAACGAGTACTATATCATCATGATATTCTGCGGCGCCTTCGGCCTTTTTGCCGCGTTCACCCAGGGATATTTTGCCTGGAAGCCAGCTAAAGTAGCCGCGCTTTCTGCTTAATTCTCTTTGCTAAATGTTAACGTCCTGTCCTAGACCCGATACCAGCAATTTCTGGAGCAGGAATTGCTGGACCTCAGCAACCACGTCGAAATGCTCCATCAACGACAGAGCGACCGCCTCACTGCTTTAGAGGCTGCACTTGCGCTTGCGTGCACGCCGGCACCACCACCACCAGCAATGGCACCAACACCCTACATCTTGAGGGTTGAGTGTGGCTGCGCTTGCGCCCACTCCCCTCCACCTCCTCCACCTCCATCGCCTCCACCTCCACCAGCCACGAGCTCGGAGATGGAGGACGTCGCGGAGTCTGCGGCGGCAGCTGCAGCGGAAATGGTCGCTCTGGCGACTACGACTTCTCTGGAGGCGGTCCCCGTCATCCACCGACGGCGTGCGTAGGACTTCCGGGCGCGGGACGTATACAATACAACAAACATTAGATAGTCAGGTATCCTAATCAAGACGACCCCGAATCCAGCAGATATCAAGCTCTCAAGCCTTCCATAAGGGCACCCTCCTCCCTTTTCCCCACAGCCTGGAACACCTGTCCATCTCCACCAATATCCAATCCCTTCTCCGCCCTCTCGTACGCCTCATCGCTGCGGTCAAGTAGAATCTCCAGCTCCTTATCGCTAAATAACTTGCCTTCGCCCTCTCCTGCAATGTCAAACTTCTCGCCATCGCTCCTCCTTAACAGCTTCTGTAGATCCTCAACCTCCTGCTCCTTATCCCCTTCTTTTCCTGCATTGTGCCGCACCCCACCCTTTCTTATGACCAGCTTCTCAAGACGCCGCTTCGCCTCCGCGGACTCGAGGAGTTTCTGCTCCACCGTGTTCCGCGTTGCAAAGCGATACACAATGACGTTTCGTGTCTGCCCAATGCGATGCGCACGGTCCATGGCCTGGAGATCCTGCTGGGGGTTCCAGTCCGAGTCGAACAAGATGACAGTGTCTGCAGCTGCGAGGTTGATGCCCTGACCACCTGCTCGAGTCGAGAGGATGAAGATATTTGTCCCGCTTTTGGCTTTCGATTTGTTGAAGGCTAAGATTTGCGCCTGGCGTTCGGATTGTGCAACGGAACCGTCAATGCGTGAGTGCGACCACGAGCGTAGTGTCAGGTATTGGCCGATGAGGTCAAGAGTCGTGGTGAACTGGCTGAAGATCAGGACTTTGTGGCCGCCGTTGATTAAAGGTGGAAGGAGGGAGTCGAGTAGCAGCATCTTGCCTGAAGTTGACACGATGGTTTCGTCGGGCTCTGTGTCTGATGCAAAAGTTTCGCTGCCTTGTACTTCGGCTTTCAGAAACGGATTGAAGAAGTTGTAGGGCGAGTTGCAGCAGAGGCGGAGCTGCATGATGGGGTTGCCGAGCTTCTTCTGTAAGAGTTGACGCTTTGCTATTTCAAAGGTAGCAGCTCTGATGCGCTCATCCTCATCCTCCGAGTCGAGTTCTTCCTCTTTCTCGGATGTGCTCTCTTCCTGGTCAATTTTCGCAAAGTACTCGTCGTCGCTGACCTCTTCGTAGTTTCTCTTAGCTCTGCCACGACCACGTGTAGAGGCGACTGACGCAGGTGTACCTGCGCGGGACGACTTTGTACTCTTGTTGGGCGTGTTGGCTTTGCTGATAGCTTTGCGTTTGAGATTACTGGTGTTGCTGCGGATGCTAAGTGGTGTGCCGGCCCTGCTCGAAAGGCCAACACTGAGCCTCTCAACCGCCTTGTCCTCAAGATACGCCCGACTTGTGCCATCCAGAATGGCCTGATAGAGCTCGCGCTGCATCGGCGTCAAGGGTGCGTAGAGTACATATTCGCGCTTCTTGGGCATAAGAGACTCTACATCAGTTTTGACACGTCTCAGCAAAAAGGGTTTAAGCACTGCGTGGAGTGACTTCACCAGATATTGCTGTCTCTCTTCAGAGAGCAGTTGCTGAAAACTAGACTTGTCTTTCAAACCAGAGAAGTCGAACCAGCTCTCAAATGTCGACAGCTTGTCAAACACTGTCGGTAGAAGAAAATGGAGCAGGGACCACAGCTCAACGAGGTTGTTCTGTAGGGGAGTGCCCGTAATCAGGAGACGATTGGCCGACTGAAATTGCTGCAACTCGCGAATGAGCCGACAGTCCAGGTTCTTGATGCGATGTCCCTCGTCAATGATGATGAACTGCCACCCGAAATGGGTCAAAAACTTTCTGTCGTTCATACAGATCTCGTAGCTCGTGACGACAACGGGAAAGTCTTTTGTTCCTGGATTCTTGAGTCGTGTCTTGCGCAACTTCTCACGCTCCTTCTTGTTACCATGGTACAACAGAACCGGTATGGTAGGTGTCCACTTCTCGAATTCCGCGACCCAATTACTTGTTGTGCTAAGTGGAGCTGCAATCAAGAAAGGGCCAAATGAATTGTTCTCCCACAGATGCGCGAGCATGGAGATCGTTTGGATCGTCTTGCCCAGACCCATCTCGTCTGCCAGGATGCCGTTGATGCCGTTCTGATACAGCGACAACATCCACTCCAGACCTTCCAGTTGATAAGACCGCATTGTGCCACCTGTGACAAGCTTCGGCTGCCGCGCAGATTTCAGGTTCTGCACACCAATGTCTCCTGTCTTCACGCTGTCTTTCTCTTTATCATCTTCTACCTCATGTTCTTCCACTTTCTTTTTGAGGGTTTCCTTCTCGAAGTAGTCTGCGATGCTCGAATTTTCCTTCTTTAGCTTTCCACGGCCCTTTGTTTTTGTCGCGGCGCCTGTCTTTGTATCTGGTGCCGATGCGCCGCTCGCTGTAGAATTCCGTGTTGCACGTCGTTGCGATTCTGCTGCTGCTTTTTCGGCGTTCTTCTCGCGTTTCGAAGCCTGACCGTCGGTCTTTTCGTCTTGTGCTTTCTCTTCGTCTTCCTGGTGTTGCATTTGCTGCAGCATGACCGTCGCGTAGAGCTTTATAGATCAGATCAGCTGTCAAAAAATAACAGGGGCTGGATACCAACCTTGCTCTTGTTCATCAAGAACTCTAGTTGCTGAAACTTTTTGTCGAGTATCTCCTTGCCGCTCTTGATGTCCTCTTGTCTCTCTTTCTCTAATTGCGCGTCGCGTTTCGCGTCTTGCCTTTCGCGCTGCGACCTCATACGCGCCTCCTCGCTCTGCATTGCCTTTGACACGTTGTCGTCGTCCATGTTGGTTGGCGGAGGCGAAGAATCCGGTGTAGGATCAGATTTCGCGCTCGTACTGGAAGAATCGCTCATGTTGCAAGACTTGAGCCTCAATTGCGAGGCAAAAATTCCAACGATAAATTAAGTGGACAGCAAATGATAGCGGTAATGCCAGGGCTTTGAGGTGTGGCGATGGTGCTCAGGCGCGTCAAAGAACGCGCTAAACAGAGATCGAGTGCGTCATTTGCGACGCGCGATCACGCCGAAAGTTTAATTGAGAGATCACAGGCTGCCGTCACACACCACTCTATCAACAAACTTACGAAAGACGCGTTCAATCTACGCTCGTATGTGATTTCACGCGCTACATGAAAATCGTTCGTATATTGCTTGAGGAAACATTGTATCCCAGCCCAACGACCCCTTGCCTGGACTACAGTACATCAAAAACACTGGACCGATCACTTCAATCTACCTTGACCAGCACCAAAGATCCAGGATGCCTGACAACGACTGCATCCGCGAGTAGCTGTCCTTACATCCTTAGCAAACCAGGACTCGTTCTTCATTGACTTGTTCAATCTTTGTCGAGTGATAATAGGAGGACACAGCCTGTAGAAAGATAAAGGACCCGGAGCAGACAAACTTGTCACAAGAAAAATATATGCCTGTACCAAAGCGCAGGACTATGGTGGCTTTGTAAGCCGTCTTTGTGCCTTGATTTAGCTGGTTTGGAGGCAGTGCTTCTAAGTACATACCTCGGCTCTACCGAGTGTACTGATACAGACGGACAGATCCACATGATCAGTGTTATCGCCACATACAGACTAACAATACGGATCAGATCATCGAAGAAAATACCATCCAAAGGCCTTCAAATAGTAGACGTGCATCTCAGTAGCCAAATGACGGATGCAAAGGTCTTACCTTGGCAAAATTGACTACAAGCAAATAGGTTTTCTGCTGACGAGAGCGTCGATGTAGCCTTGAAGAACTTGGAGACCGACTGCGCAAAATAAGGCAGCAGCTATCAAGCGCTTACGATAACACCTAGAGTGACTCGAATTTGCAAATGGGTCTGGGACAGCAAGTGTTTCCCTTGTCTTTATCGGGTCGCTGATTGGCTAGTCAAAATGGCCCCCAAACTTCGAGGCTGACCAAGCCTGCGACAGCGCATAAAAAGGTATTGCTCTGCTCGAAGGCCTGTTGCACGCTTCAAACAAGACAGGAGTGCTGCCTGCAAATTTTGGTCGTCGCTCACTATGGCGCCTACCCACTCTGTGGAGGCACCGGAGTCTCATGAAGGACAGCTCCTGCTCCCAACATCACAGGCATCCGGCGGGACGCCTAAACAAAGATCGCCCACAGTTTCTACGGCATCCAAAAGAAACAGCGCACAACCTGCTGGTACGTTCCATGGCATTATGAGAAATTGGCTCTACCTGTCTAACTCCTGTGACAGAAGCCCTATGGGCGCCTTTCGCTCTACGCTGGTACTTCATCGCAATCCCAACTGCTCTTTCTGTTCTCTGCGGAGTTGTAATTGTAGTATTGAGCCGTTGGTCGAGCGACAATAATGGGCTCAGCACAAAAGGATCAGCAATGTTCGGCTGGAAATTCGTGCCCACGCTGATAGCAGTGTTATATACTCAGCTCGTAGTAATGATTCTCGGCGCTATGAAGAGGACAGAGCCGTTTGCTAGACTTGCAAAGCAGAGTACACCTCTTGGTCGACACACGGTTCTTGAGAAGAGTAGAGCCTGGTGGACAACTCTCTTCCATGGGTTGCAGAGGGATAGAAACGGCGGTTCTCGCAGCTGGTCTATGGTCCTATCGTGTGCAGCATTCATCCTTACCATGCTCGGCATATCGCCACTATCTGCAACACTGTTGTATACTAAGGAAGTACAATGGACCAGATCGGCCGGATTAACTCGCATCTCGCTGAAAAGTCCCTCTGTCGCCCAGCCACATACTGACAGAGAGACATATCTTCGGATTAATGCTGCCATCTTACAGAACTATAGCACCTCGCCGTGGGCCACGAATGAACATTTCATCATGCCTTTCTGGCCACAAGGATCAGTTCCTTCGCTATGGAACTTCAAGTCCACCGACCCCCAGACCTGGGAAGCCGAAACTACAATATTTCGAAACGACTATACGTGCAGTAGGCTCCGATTGAGCAAAAAGAGTTTCCAACCTGCAGGCTACAAGGGCTACTCAGCAACTGCCATCATGGAGTCAGATGATGGGTGCCAATACAACATCACCAGGAATGTAGCCTCAGACTTAGCAACAACTGCTGAGAGGAACACTCAAATTGGATCCTGGGCTCGATTACCCTGGATAAACGATGGCAATGGAGAGGAGACTGGAGGCCGGATCAACCCAATCAACGACTGTGGACAAGCAGAGGAAACGATTATAATGAGTACAGCATGGTACGGTAATAACAAGCCACGCGATTTTCTGCCTGGTTTCGACATCACCGCTTACGCCTGTCACAACAACCATACTATGGCATCGATGCCCGTCTATGCTTCATCTACTGCGACCGGGCTCTCAGTGGATTTTGATACAGAACTCTTCGATCGAATTCGTCAGCCAGTGCCATCAACTGTCATAGATACTTCCCACCTTCTAGACCTGTACACAGACCCGGCATGGTACAATTATATTCCGCAGAAAGGGTATCTGAACAGGTCATTAGGCTTATTCGGTGGAGCCAGTGTCTTGCTGGGTACGAAGCACAGATTCAATATTTCTGAAATGATCGACGATCCAGACCTGGCAGCAAGTGCTGCACAAATGAGACGAAGAGCTTTCGCAGAGATCCTGCAGACTTCTCTGCAGAATCCAAGTGATACAGACCTGGAAGAGGTATCAGGTATGAGAATTGCACCGGAGATCCGCATCTTAGTCAGTTCGCAAATTGCTTTAGTGCTTTGCGTTCTATTTTTCATGTCCTTCTGCATTCTTTTAGCGTTGATGTGGACTACACAGCTCAGCTACAGGCCTTTAAATCTTCACAACGATCCAAGTACTGTTCTTGGACTAAGCGCGCTGATCTCGTCAAATGCCTCGATCTTAGCTACGCTCAAGACATTGGATCTCGCTCCGAGGCAAAGGCTAAAGCTTGAACTTGCGGAGCGGCGTTATTTTACTTCACCAGGAACACTTGAAGAAATATCAGACAAAGAGTCCCGTAAAGAAGGTGAGGTGGTCAATCCATGCCGAAAAGCTGTACTGATACGTAGTGCTAGTTCTCGATACATCTCTCCCCTCTAACGCAGCTACGGTACCTGTATTGCGCGTTCGAAATCTCCTCGGACTAGCCCTGTATATCTTGGCACTCTTAGCTGCAGTGTCAATACTCTTTGGTCTATCTCAGAAGTCAAACCTTCATCAGGCTTTATTCACATACCGCGCGAACCTAGAAGTCTTTGGTGGAGTGAAGGAATTCTCCCCGTTGGCCTTCACATCGACCTTCTTAGCTGTGGCTGTTTCACTGTGGTGGGAATCAATTGACAACGCCTGTCGAACTCTACAGCCGTTTATAGCCATGTCATCAGAGCCCAAATTGCTTTCGAAGGGTATCGGGCTCTCGTATGAATCAACGTTTTGGTTGTGGACATCAGCAAAAGCGTCAAGAAACAAGCATTGGCTACTTATGTTCGTTGCTGTCGGGACGTTCTTGACGCAGGCTTGTAGGTTTCACTCTGTGCCTTTCGCGGCGTGCAGTGCGCATTTACTGACTAGGCGAACAGTTACGATTGCTATGTCTGCCTTGTTCGAACAGAGCAGTGGAGCGATCGCACACCAGATAGATCTGAACCAGACACTTGAGCTGCGTCGCGATCCTTTCGTGAGAAAAGTCGCTATGGGTTACACAAAAGAGACTATTGATCGAGGGCCACCAATCAGCAGAGAATGGAATACATGGATTGGACCAACTCTGGAGGAAACATTTACTGACCTCAGCACCAACTGGATGTATACCGCTATGATACAATCTACAATGGACGGCCCGGACCCCAGATGGAGTAAAGAGGGATGGAGCTTCATACCACTTGACTTGGGTGGTCTTGTGGAAACCCTTACATTAACGAACTCATCACTTATTGCTCACAACGTCACGGTGCAGACTCCAGCGATCAGAGCTCGCATTGAATGCAGTGCTATCGAGGAGGTAGCCAATAGCAGTCTGTGGTACAAAAGGTTTAATGAGTCAGGTGTGGATGCTTACTACGGGAGCTCTCTGCCTGATGCTATGTACATCCCGCGCATATTGATAGAGCATGATAGTCGATATACACGACTGATCGCTCAGGCTACCCAACCTTCCTGCTGTGGTAATTCGACAGAGCCAGGAGCCACAGATGAGGAGAAAATGACTGTACTTGCCTACTGGACAGAGAATTGGTTAAATGGCACCACAACCGGAGACTTCACCATAAAGTGGCTTCGAGGCCCGACAGGCTTTGGCAGCTTTCAACAACGTGGTCTCACCCATCTGTATTTCTCCAAACCACCAAGCATCCAAGCAGTGAACTGCATTCCTACCATCGAGACCGCCTCCGCAAGAGCAGTTGTCGACCAACAAACAGGGAACGTACGGGACTTTCAGATTCTCGAGCACCCTGTTTCTGCAGATGTTGCCTGGTCCGACGCCTTCCAATTTCGCAACGTAACAGAGGAGCCTGTATGGAAAAACTCTACAGAGGGACAGATACTTCACCATGATGTGACTACTAGGTATGGCGCACGTACTTTTATCGAATAAAGCTGACCACGTCTACAGTTACGGCGTACTTTTCATGAAAACTCTTTTGCGTGCAGCCAGTCTCCAGTATCTGGGCCTAGAGAGACCTGCCGACATACAGTATCAGGCTCTAGAGTCACAGGAGAAGTTCTTCAACATGAAAGACAACACGACCGGCTTCAATGTCGATTTCATGTCACACGCAAGCTATGCACAAGCCGGGCTTGACCCGAACGCTCTCCTTGACAGTGCCACACTCATCGCGGAGTCGCAGAAGGTATTCTCGACCTTCTTTCAGCATTATGTAGGGAGTAGTGTCTCTCTCGAAACCGGTGGCTGGGCCTATCAACCAGTCGGCTCCAACCTCAAAGTCAAAGAGCCTTTCAGCTCCGTGCCTCAGTTGCTACCCAACGGGAACGTGGCTCCCAAGTTTGAGGACGTGCCGTTACAGAACACGAGTCGCACAGTGAGCGCGGAACTCAATACCCAAGTGCCAGTGCTTCGAATCAACCCTGTCGCTTTTTGGTTGGCCGCAGCAATCATGGCATGGCTGCTTGTCACACTCTTGATCTTCACGGCAGTACAACGAAGATATCTGGGCGGCATGAAACGAAACATCGAATGCATGGCAGATGTTCTGGTTCTGGTTGCAGGAAGCGAGCAACTTCTGCAGCTAATTGAAACGAAAGGTGTGGACACGCTCATGAAGGAGGACACTATCCACACCCGATTGGGATGGTTCAGGGACGACGATGGGACAATGAGGTGGCGTATCGACGTTGCTGATCATGATCAGATATTGATGCGTCCTCTATCTGGATCCAGTGCGTACGTGCCTGTCTTGAATCCCGCAGGACACGGTTTCGAGGATGCCGGAAGCTCAACGGTTACTCTGGAGGACTCGAGCAGTGTTCGCGGTAGAAACTAAAGCACTCTTGTAAGATCTGTTCTCTTCATAGACAAAGTTGAGTTTCACTGCTCTCTTGAAACGGCCTTCGGGCTTTGGAAACAAGGCTTCATCTTCACAAATCACTTCTGACGATCTTGGCAGTGATGTCCGATACTGTAGTTTATTTTACCTTCGATGACCAGTTTTTCCGTAAGCTCTGCCAGAATGCCCCTTCCTAGGTTGACTCCGAGTTAGGCCTAACAAATCACTTGACCTGCACAAATAGCTGGAATAGCTGTCCGAATAGTCGCAACTTTGTTAACAGAGGGGCCTACTGGATTGTAGCTCATTGAAGGGAACTGGAGATTTACTCAACCCTGTGGCGTTGCAGAATCGTGTAAAGAGGCGGGAGATCCATGAACGATGACGAGCGTTCCCTCAGCCTTGTGGCGCTGGAGAAGATATCGGGAAGGCTGAGAAAAGTGCCAGCTTACGACCCCCGGCAATGCATCCTATCTGGCTTAGATACTTTGTATCAGGCAAAAACTAGGAGGACTATTGCCGCAGCATGACACGGCTGCACACCCTCTTGATGTGTTCACCGGCGGCCGGTCGAGAGGCTAAGCAACATAGACACATGATGCTATCTGCAGAACGATATGTAGCCTGATGGCACTTTGTCAGCTTTGCGACTGCTTTCAACTTAGAGTACAGCGTGGCGCCGCTTTTAACCATGTTTGGGAAAGCGCATATATGTTTCAACTTACGAGGCCTTAGCCCGCCTCCTTCACATGGGTGGTATCGCATGCGCAGCCTCATGCATGGGAAGTCAACTTGCAGCCTGGCCGTCGTTGAGGCATGCGCCAGTCAGTTGCTTGTGCAGTCCCGTAACTACATGGGTGCTGGGCTCAGAAGTTAGATCAGCACGCACTCTGCCCCTCTCGTGCTCTTGCAAACCGATTCTTGTTCTCTTCTTCGCGATGCAAAGCCTCTTTGCAGGCAAAAACAAGATCTAGAGATGTTTCGGCCTTCGGCACACTGCCTACCCGAAGCTCGCCTTTCTACTTTCTTTGACCCCTCACAGCCTCGCGATTCATTCTCAGACGCCGAAATCGAGGATATCAAACTTCTGCTTCTACGATGTTCCCACTACAATTATGCTAGCACTACTCCCCGCACATTTATTGTTCTTTGCCATATTGGTGAACTCCAAGTTCTCCGTCAACTTCTTGCGGAAGAATTTGAAGATTCATGGTTTCCGATTGGCAAGCGCAGCTTACCGAGCTTCCTCGACCCACGGATCAAGGCTGCCATTGTGGAGCACCAGCACATCATCTTTACCAAATCAATCGATCTAGAAAAGGGTATCCATTGCTATCTAGATGCAACCGAGGAACTACCTTTTACCCGCATAGCATACATCGGCAGTGGCTCATATGGCCAAGTGTCTCGAATCGAGAGCAAGGTTACATGCAGACCTTACGCTTTGAAGACCATTCGACGTCGTGCAGCATACGGCACGAAATCACGCCATGTTATGCGAGAATTTATCAGCGAGATGAAGATCATGAAACGCTTACGACATCATCATATCGTTCAGTACGTCGGCAGCTACACGGACAAGAAAGATCTCGGTCTAATCATGAGCCCTGTCGCAGACTGCGACCTTGCTGAATATCTCGGTAGATACTGCGCACAACCTAAAGAGTATCACACCCTTCGAACATTCTACGGCTGCCTAGCTTCAGCTCTTGCGTACCTGCATGACCATCGCATAAAGCATAGGGATATCAAACCGCACAACATTCTGGTTTACAAGGCGTCTGTTCTGCTCACAGACTTCGGACTTTCTCACGAGTCTCTGGACACCACGTCCGGAACAAAACCTGGAACTTCCCGATACCAATCACCAGAAGTGGCAGCTTTAGACAAACGCAATGCAACAACTGACGTATGGTCTCTTGGTTGTGTGTTCCTAGAAATGCTGGCAGCACTCAATGGCTGTAACGTCGACCAGTTGAAGAGCTATTACGAGCGAGTAGGCACGCACTCGACGCATTTTCACGCAAATATATCTGCGACACAACAGTTGCTCTCGCACTGGCGCACTGTAATGGAACCACGTTGCGCAAAGCCAATTCTCTGGATTGAGGCCATGCTCGTCGCAGAGCGTAGTGCCAGGCCGACAGCGGCATATATTGTAGCCGAAATCACTGCATCAGAGGATGGCACACGATTTATGTATAGCTGCAATGCTTGTGGCGATGATTTCAGTGATTCTGAGTCCATGTCAGCGACAAATGACAGGCCTGTCTTGGTAACGTCTCCAGCAACCAAGTCACGCCCACGACGCCCGACAAACACGTCGCCTCGTGGCACCGTGTCGAAAAAACCCGTCCCAGTGGCCGCTCATGATTCAGAATATAACATCGAGCATGTTGGATTCTTGTGCGGCGGTGAGTCGTACACGTACTGTCACCCAGTCCCTGTCCTATTTGGAAAGTGCATCGAGCATATTCTGGCAGTCGAAAGTGAGTAGAAACAAACCTACCATGTCTTTCCTACCCAGACAGTCATCTTCGATAGCCTCCGCTGATAAATTTGAAGGCCGACAATTCCAGGGAAGCCTGATATCTCAGCCGTACGCCGGGAGCAGATATAAGGAGCGTTGTGCTCAGCTCAAGCGAAAATTCCACTCCTCTCCTGATCATGGCAAAAGCATCGACCTTACAAGGTACACCGTATTCGACTGTGTATATGTGCTCATCGATTACATCGCCTCGATACCCGAACTTCTAGGCCGGGAGCGGACCAAAACGAAACGCTACGGGCCAAGGTTGAGATCAGAGAAAGATTTCGCTGTGATCCTTGCTACTCTACCAGGGCGCAATTTCGAGCTGATCCTTGTCACAATAGCATTTTTTGCTGCCTACGCTGAGCTTGGACGCGCACATGCAAACCTTCAATCGACTCCCGTTCTGAGCTATCATGGCTGGATCCAAAGATTGGCTAAGCTTCTTCACGCCATTGTTGTCAGGCCTCTTGAATTGGGCGATAAATTGAGCATTCAGACGCTGAGACTGGTGCTGAAGACACCACTTAGATTCAGGAGTATTGCAATGGCGGAGAGATCAAAGCGAGCGCAGACTCGTGATCAAATCCCCTCTCAGCCTCTATTTCGCAAGCAGGTTGGAGCACCTGCTGCATACGAGTCTGGTCAGGATAAGTCAGGAAGTCAGTCATGGTCAAGGTGCGCAACGGAAGGTGAAGAATCCGAGCAGAACAGCGACAAAGAAGCATGGTCAAGTGAGGATATCACAATTGATGACTACGACAGCGAACAATTTGATGCGATAGATCTTGAACAGGTGCCTTCCGAAGTATATTCCCGCCATACCGAGCATTTGGTCCGTACACAAAAGGCCATTGACCAGGTATCGAACAGTCAGAGCTCCCGAGAAAACCCAAGCACCCCCCCTAGTTACTCAAGACGGCATGAGAGTCGGCTGGTACAGAGACGAGGCACGACGGTAGAGACATTGACTGTGACAGCAGCAAAGAAGCGGTTTCAATCCCTAAAGCAGGTGCCTATGAGGTTACAGGAGGCACCAAAAACGGACGAACCGTTCAAACCGGAGCTCTGGGGTCTGTCTGTCAGTGAAGCTGTCAATATCGCTGGACATAATATCGACCGTATGCCCTTCACGATCTACGGAACAGAAGTAACTTTCTCCGGACGGGTTCCGATCGTAGTAGCTAAATGCATCAAGAAGGTTCTGAGTTGTAAAAATGATGCAGGTGAGTGTGGAATCTCCACTACACAGTTTGGTAGTCATACACTACAGTCATGACTGACAAATGACAGAGACCACAGCGACGTATTGTCTTCGATCAGGCCTCTACCAAAGTGACCCCGAGCATTTTGCACAGCTGAAGGAGGCTTTTGGTGCACCGGGTTCGTACGGCATTGGAATTGACTGGGACAAGTACACAGCTACCGATGCCATTGACGTTTTATTTGACTACCTCAAATCACTCCGCGAACCCCTAGTGTCAAGCGACCTCAGCTGCAAACTTCCTTCTCTGTACAACTACATACAGAAGCACTATATGCCCTCCGATCTGGCTGTGCTGCAAGCCTATGGCATATGTTTGGCAAGAATGCCAGAGAGCAGTCGTCAGCTGTTGTTGATCCTCGTTGCTTTTTTGGCAAATCAAATCGGCTGCGCTGAGAAAGTGCTCCATGATGATGACAGTGAGTTCTACAACGACGCTGCGAGTCGATGGAGCTCCGTCCTTTCCCATCCTCTGGACTATCGAACCGCTACTTTCACGCTACTTATCGTTAATGCGGGTTACTTCCTCAGTCGTGCAAACGGAAGGCCACCAAGTCCTGCCGAGTGGGACAAATATGTCAAAGCAAGAGCAGCGTTCATCAAGAAGAAAGAGACTGACAACTTGCTACGGAAGGTTGTTCAACCAAGTGTAGTAGAGTCAGTGGTTATACCAAAACAGCAGACCACCGATATGACTGCGTCTAGCATTTTGGAGGAGAAGCTGCAAGAGCAAGAAAGCAACAGCACGCATGAGTGGGAGCATAAACATTTAGACTGCCAACATGAGAGCGGCAGTGGTGACAGATCAAAACGTATGGACCACCCAGTCGTGGAAAATGCTGATTCAGAAGGTGACCAGAGAACTGCGATTTGGCCTGTGATGAATGATGAGGTTGCTCTGAATGAGAAAAAGAAGTCACCAGAGCAAGCCTGGGCATGGGAGCCTGTCAGTCTGGCAGACACAGACTCAGCTCATGAAATCCCAAAAGTGGAGGAACCAGAAGACGAGCTTCATCATCTTAGAGCATCAATCCTGGATCCAACACCGATACGGCCGCAGCCGCCTGAGCCATTTATGGAGCCAATCATTAAGCCAGAGATGCAGCCAGAACCGACTTTTGTCGTTGAATCTCTACCTTACCAGGAGGCGAGTGAGCCACGGCACAATGACTGGCAAGCGGGCAAGCAAGATACCTTAGGACAGGAATGTTCTGTAAAGTCTCCTCCACAGACCCCCAAAGAGTCACTAGCTACTGTGCATGCCGGTGAGAATGACTGGCGTCAGTTCCTCGATGGCGTCAGTTTGCCGCCTACACCAAAGCTTCAAACAAAATTGCCGCGTGCAAGACTCCCAAGACTCGATATCACCCCTGCAGATGATGCAGTCATTGTGGAAACCCCACTCGACGAGCCCTCACAACAAGAACGACTCACTCCCGTCGAGCCACCGCTTGAGCCCCACCACGCAGGTGATGCCGGAACAGCAGAGAGCCCGACTCTGAGGAAGAGCCGCCATCGAAAGTCTGGGGGTAGCTGGATCTCTTTCGCGAACGAAGGTCGACCTCGAAGTGCAGCGGGTGAATCCGTGAAGAGTGAGAGAAGACGGAGCAAGGATGACAAAGAAGCGCAGGCTCCGCAACAACATGGAGAGCATAGCAAGAAGCAGCATAGGAAGTCGAACAGTTGGTTGGGTAAGCCCGAGAAAGGCTTCCGTGAGTGGTTCCACAGTACAAAGAAATGAAGGTCCATTGCAGTGTGTACAAAATGTTTCCGCAGAGTCGGGTGGAATGCAGCTCACTCTTGTGTTCGATGTACATAGCTAGACCAAATCACGCATACTCGCTCTTCCTTTCTTGGTGAAATTTTAAAGCGACCCCTACACAAAATTTTACTGCTTTTATAAAACATTCGTTTCAACAGTACTTCCACATACGACCATAGGACGTTGAAAACAAGGCTTCCCGTTCGCTCAGCCCTATTTAAGCAACGTACCGGTGGATTAGTACTCAGGTGGGTGACCACTGGGGAATCCCCACTGTTGTATGTAACGGATTCCTTTTTGCTGCTGTTGTGGTCATGCTGTATGATGAAGTCTGTGTTTGAGTGGTTTTCATGTGATATGTGCACACAGTGGCATCCTGTCTGATTGGGGCTAGCGTGGTCGTACCTGCTCCCAATTAGATTGCTACTGTCCGACAAAGTGCTGTTAATGATGCGCTCTTGCCCTTCTTTTGTAGCTTCTCCTCGCGAATGATGAGTGTACACAGTATATGTCGTAATTTGGTACCAGAAATGTCGACCCTGGCGGCTGGTTATCACTGCATCTGTTACTGGTGTAGGCAGGTATCTAGGTGCACTAAAGTCCTAGACTTGCCCCAAGCGGGGTATGATCCCTTCCCCATGCTGAGAGAACTGCCAGAACGTACGTTTAGTACGACTCCCACGTTGTAGGGCTGGAAAGCGATGTTTATTGTGCCACCTTCGTGATTACTGATCACGCAAACGCACTAGGAAGATCCCCGTATCGCGGTATCGCAAAGGCGATCATCCGAGGGGTAAATCGACAGTTTCGAACTCGAGTTACCGGATAAGGCATGTTGGAGCGCAAGGCGCATTGTGTACCAAGATCTGGCGCTGGAAACCTTGGAACTGTGCAACAACGGTGCTGTGGGGTACTCGGTGTGGGGTTCTCTGATGACGGATCCGGCTAGTCAGCCCAGGTTGCTGCAAGGCTTGCGGGTGATCAGTACACGTCGGGCAGCCTTGCTGGCGCTTGAAGCGTGTGCAGTACGCAAGCTACTTTGCTAACAGGATCAGGAGACAGAAAGAGACGTCAAGCACGGCTGCGACGTGCCATCTCGCTCTGACCGCTGTCAGAACCAGTTGCTAGCACCAGATCGACCCTTCGTTCCTAGCGCGCTTGTATCTCCGACAAGATCACCCGTGCGACTGCTTGCCACGTGCTCCCGAGCTGCAAGGGCCCCGTTGCCAGAAGAAATTCGACGATGGCTGCCCTGACCATAATGATCTAAGGAAGTGCGCGGCTAGTAGGACTTGATGACAGTGAAGTTTGTTCGTCTTGCTGGAATGGCGACGCGCGAGACTCGAATGTACTGTCTGGACGCTTATCTCGAAGCGGGGTTGGAAGTTGTGGAATCTTGCTTGTGTGTGCACTCAGGCGTGATGAGAGCTGAAGGCACTGCCCACGTGCAATTTTCCGTCTCTCTCCATGTTTGGGCGCCGTGCGTTATGTGCAATGTGTGGTGCAATGAGGGACGGTCCAGAGCTCCTGTCTGCGATAGGCTATTTTGATCCTCAGCTCGGTTCTAAAAGTTCCGCCTGAGCGTGCATTGCAGATAACCTTCGATATGAAGGTTATGATGTTCTACGACTGTAGCTTGCAAGACGATTGTAGACTATAACTCCCGCGCTCACACGATATGGACCGTTTGGAAGCGTATTCATTACACGGCAGTTGTTCTAACGCCGATCTTACTCACTATAGACGATTAGCTTAAACGCTCAATGTCATCAGAACTGTTCACGCTGTAATCGTCCTCTATAGAATTGGGAAATCTAAGATGTAATCATGACATTCCAGCATTTCAACATCCTAGAATCTAGCACTACAGTATAAGTCACAAGTCGTGCGGTCCACCTGAGAATCCAACTTCACCCTCCAGCCTCGACACACTGTTACTCGCCCGAGGAACGGTCTATGCCCAGAAATAGTACGAGCCCAAAGGTAGATACGGATTCAGAGTTATTTGACCACATAGTAAGTTCAGTAACCATCCAGCAGTCCCCTAGCCTTAGTCTCAGTCCCGGTCTGCTCACTATTCCCTACGCAGGTGAGTAAAAAGCCTCAGCATAACTCAATTTCTCTAAATTCTGCGATACGAGCACACGAAAAGCAACTCAATAGCGTGCCGACTATCGATTGACAATATGTTGAGATACGAAGGAAGACCTACGATACCCCAATCAACCCTACCCCATCACCCCGCACCAAGCTTTCAATCGCGCCTTGGCAAAGGCTTCTTTGAGCGACTGACATTCGCCAAGAGACGCTTAGCATGCCTTGGTCTCTGTTAGCTCCGCCGGTGGCGCCGGACCATCAACGTGACCGTCTTCGTTATTGGCGGAGATAGTGATTGCGGGGTGAACACCGGCGGAGACGTCATGAGCATGCGAGTATACGATAGGGTACGGCGAATCAGGCCTCGCCGTGCCGGTGGAAATGCGCAATTGAGGACAGTGCACCCGCGATATGGGAGATGTTTAAAGAAAGGCAGCTCCGCATTACGGCGTCTCTGCTCATCCTGACGAACACCTCATTATCTTCGTTCGAGGCATTCCCAATCTCTGTTACTGAGGCCCTTTGACTGCAATTCCGGTATGGCAGACGACAAGTCTGGCGCTGAGCAGCACGAGTATGTTGTCGAGAAGATGAGCATTGGTCGCTATGCTGCGACCCGCGTGACGACGCTCAAGCCCGCCATGGACAAAGTTGGAAATCCAATTACCCTCCTACGACTACTCAATCTCCAGCAGTGGATGTTTTTTCTCGTCGCATTCTTCGCGTGGACGTGGGACGCATTCGATTTTTTCACTGTGTCGCTTACAGTGGAAGATCTTGCGGAAACCTTTCACAAAACCAAGAAAGGTGGGGTTTTATCTCGTTGTGTGTGAACAGAGCTGAATCGCATAGACATTACCTGGGGCATCACCCTCGTGCTGATGCTGCGGTCGGTCGGCAGTATCATATTTGGTCTGGCGGCTGATCGCTACGGTCGGAAATGGCCCTTCATCATCAACAACCTCCTCTTCATTGTATTGGAACTGGGCACGGGATTTTGCACGACTTATGAGCAGTTCCTCGGTGTGAGAGCTCTGTTCGGCATCGCCATGGGCGGCCTCTACGGCAACGCTACCGCGACCGGTATGTATCGTCTCCTGTCTCTCCCATCCCTACTGACAGCTCTAGCCCTTGAAGACTGCCCCGAGGCAGCGCGTGGTATCATCTCCGGTATGCTACAGCAGGGCTACGCATTCGGCTACCTGCTCGCAACCGTATTCGCGCGCGCCTTCGTCAATACCGTCGGCCACAGCTGGCGGCCGTTGTTCTGGTTCGGCGCCGGCCCACCGGTCCTCATCATCATATTCCGCCTGTGCCTCCCCGAGACTCAAGCGTACCAAGAGCGCCAGCGTATCCGTGAGGAGCAGCCCAATGCCGCCAAGATGTTCGTGCAGGAGGGCAAGCACGCGCTCAAGCAGCACTGGCTACTCCTTATCTACATGGTCCTGCTGATGGCCGGCTTCAACTTCATGTCCCACGGCTCGCAGGATCTGTATCCGACAATGCTCAGCAATCAGTACAACTTCACCCCGAACCAAGTCACTATCACCCAAGTCGTTGCTAACCTGGGTGCCATGACTGGTGGTACGCTTGTCGGCTACTGTTCCTCCATCTTTGGCCGCCGTCTGAGCATCATCACCATGTGTGTCCTCGGCGCCGCACTCCTGTACCCCTACACATTCACGCACACCACTGCCGTCGCCGGTGCCGCCTTCGCCCAGCAGTTCTGTGTCCAGGGTGCATGGGGCGTGATCCCAATCCACCTGATGGAACTGTCACCCGGATCGTTCCGCACGTTTGTCGTCGGCACGAGTTACCAGCTGGGCAACCTGGTGTCGTCAGCGAGTGCGACCATTGAAGCGCAGATCGGCGAACGTTTTCCGCTACCGCCCCGCGGCGCCGTGAGTCGCTACCGATACGGTTTGGTGATTTGCATCTTCATGGGTGCCGTGTATGCGTATGTCATTCTGCTGACGCTGGTCGGACCAGAGTACCGCGGCCGCGCGTTCGATGTCGCGGCGGACGAGGATGTGGGCGCGGTGATGGGCGGAGATGAGAAGATGAGGGAGAATAGTTATGAGGTTGAGCGCAGTGAGGTGCGCGTCTGAGTGTGTTAGCTAGGAGCTGTGGACGTTGGCGCTTTTGCGTTTGCAAGATCAGTTGTTTCCGCCTGCATTTCTCCCAGTCCTACGATGCTTGGCGAATCCCTCTAGCTACAGCATGATGCAGACACGAAGAATAGTTGTAACGTAATAACAACTGCAAGTGAGAGAATGAGGCTATCCAGATCCGCAGGCAGTCGCGATGGAGAAGCCGTACACCTCACGTAGTTCTCCTTTCTAGGGCCAAAATCAAGCCCTCAGCCTCGTTGCTTTTTCATCATCTCCCGGTTCTCGGAACCAACAACAACCCACTTCGAGATATGCGACATACTCTCGAAAGCATCGCCATCCGCGTTACCTGTTTTTGTAATGCAAGGTGCCAGCACTAGCTCAACTTTCAGGCCCGCATGTGCCTCCTGAAATTCCATCGGCGTTTCAAAGATCCTTGGGTCAAGCGTCGTCATCATATCGACGGACCAACGCTGAACAACGAACAATGCTCTGGACTTGTTCAACTCTCGGTCCAACTCGACCGCTTTTCGGATGATATCCTCGAGGTCGATCCAGACAGCTTTGTTGTTTTGAACGTACGGAGCCAATGTTTGTTGCCAGCTCCTCAGTAACATGTTAATGTTGATATCCACTGCAGCTTCTTCGTCGCGTTCAGAAAGTAGAATGGCACTCTTGGCCTTCCATTGACTGAAAGCTTTCACATCTGTCAATCGCAAAGCCTCCGTCTGTAAAAGTGATGGGATCACATTTGGTTCAGCTATGTTTAGTCAGCTACACCGTAGCGTGAATTTGCGACGATGTGACCGCAAGATATGTATGCAGATTGACTTACCAGGCTGTAAGGTAAGATACATAGAACGCATTCCCTGATTGCAGCTACCTGCCCACCACATTCCCTGCTCGGGACCGACACTCAGGATTGTGTCCACAAGCATCTTCATAAGTAAGCTTCTCAATAGTAGAGGTTGGCTTCTTTTAAGACGCAGATACAATTCGGGTGCCATGGTTATGGAACGCAGATGAACCACATCTGAGTCTGAAAGACTTTTGTTCAGGTCCGTAGCACAGTAAGTACTTGCCCAACTTGAAACGTCAAAGATAAGCTCTTGATACTGTCCCAGTATAGCTGCATCGTCCACCTTATAATTTGCATTCTGGAGCTGAGCTCTACCAAGCGCAACTGTGGCTTGGTTCCAGCCGTGTCGGAGTTTTGCATTTTCAGCTTGCAAATCTTCCGCTTTCAATTGGCTCTTCTTTAGTGACAACTCGAGGTCGTGTAAACAACCTTCAAGCTGTTGCAACTGGGTATTTCTCTCAGCTATGTCGTGTTCCAGCTGTTCACCACGATCCATGAATTGTGTCATCAACCTGAAAAGATCCTCACGCGCGACTTTGGAATCTGTCGTTGCCGTAGTGAGCGCTCGCTGTTGAGAGATAGTACCGTCTTTCACAAATCCTTCTCGCGTAGATGCCTGGAGGTTTTGTGTCGCTGATTTCGTCATGCATAGCTGATTCTCGGGTTGTTTGCCTGTGTTCGCACCGACGATCGGGCGTGGAGGATATTGCGGAGTATATCTTGGGCTTGCAGATGCGTTCGTAGACCCCGTCCTCCTTATCGAAGCGCCCGATCCAACTTGATTTTCTTCCTTTCTTAATTCGAGGCGCCGATCCGGCTCTGGATTCGCGTCTGCAATATGGTCTTTTCTTTGGCTTGCCTTCGCTGAGTCTGTCTTCCTGTTGGAAGATAACTTACCGGACTCAGTCGTCCCCTTGATCCGGTGACCGAAGTGCTTAAATGTATCCATGATACTGGTAAAAGGGTTTCAGGAAGGGCTGAATTCTTCTCGCCAAAGGATGGGCGTGACTTTAAGGGCCACGACTGCGCCCGGCCTTGGCGGAGCGAAGGGGCAGCCAGGATCATTTGAGTTGCCTTAGCCGCCTGCTTTTAGAACCTTGTCACTGGTGTACCGCGTCAGTCTAGATTCTTTTGATTGCGCGCACCACTTATGCAGTAATCGTTAGAAGCTATGTCTAAACTATCAGCCTACCTTGGCAGGTGTCACTCATCCACAACCAAGCCCAAAGATGATTTTGGACTTTGCCTGACTCGAATGAACAATATGTATAGATAATCACTGTATGTAGCATGTCTGATCGAAAAGTTTTACCCTCAAACGCTCGTCTAAATTATTATATGACTCCAACCAGTGGCAAAATAACGTTCACTGTCATAGTTAAGGCCACTCCTAGGACTGTACCGAAGATTGAAAGCTTGCTCATCATCCTGTCTCGCTTGCGTTGGCCTTCGATCTTTTCTGAAATCGTTTCACCAGGCCTAGACTGTAACCTTTTGCGCTGCTCAACCAGAGATCCCCGTTGCTGTTCCAGTTCCTTGACCTCCGAGCGGCTACGTCCCACGCCTAAATTGCCTCTCTTGCTTAGATCTCGAAGCTTCTGCTCGGATTTCTCAATTGCGACCTCAATCTGAGGGACCATGAGTTTTCCAGCTTCCGTCTGGTCAAGTTGTCTTCCTTCATCCACCAGCTGCTCCTGGATCTCCAACACAATATCCGGCTTACGCTGTAGTCTATGCACAAGTGCAGATGCCATAGACTGAGTCCCATCAAACTTCCGGATTTTTGAACCACGACTTTCCATTGCATCCCAAAACTCTCTTCGGAGCTCACGCTCTCGCTCCATGCCTTTTCCTTGATCTTTGAGTTCGCTCCACATGGTTGTCAAGAGGACCACATTCTCCAGATTTCTATCTCCACACAGGCGCGTGAACATCTCCAGGTATCTCCGAGCTGAACCTGACATTTTGTTGTCCGTAATCCGGTGCATGTAGATAATGCCCTTGAGTGGAATACCGAGCTTGTATTGAGCACAGAGAAATTCGACAATTTGCTCCAAGATCTCGGAATCAGACCGCTGCGTATCGTCGAAGCCAGGTGTGTCTACGAGAGCGACGACATCACTACCAACAGCTACCTGGACAATCTGGCAGTCACTCGTCTCTATCATTATTCAGCTTAGAAATTTAAGCAGGCTTGAGTTGTGAAGACTGACCAGATCGTACGCCATGCCCTTCCACAACAGAGCCTTTCGCCAACTTGTTGATAAAGTAGCTTTTGCCCGAACCTGTCACACCCATGACCAAAATCATACTGCGTTCGAGTTCATGATTTGATAGAGCCATAATAGACTGAAAGCTTCACGAATGATGCATCTGTTCTAGCTGTCAACTTCTTAGGGTGGATAGAAACAGAAACTCTAAGATGAGTTCAAAACGTTTCCGTCCTTCTCAGTCTACTGCTTCGGTTCATGCAACGATTTATTGGTGGCTGTATTGACCGCATAAGGCCCAGTATTGTTTCCGCGGCTTATTGGGCTAGGAAGCGCTTGACCATTCATATATGGAAGTGCACACCCTCAATTCTAATAAGAAGACCCACTTAAGTTCTAGTCTACCATGTAATTGGTCTGATATTTCGCTTGTTGTAAGATTGTGCAGCAAGGCTGAGACTCTGCTCAACTGAAGGATCGGGGCGGGCGAGGCTGACAAATAGCAGCGTTTTCCCGGAGCCTCAGCAACAGATAACCCCTGGAGAAGGCTTAGAATTGGAATGTGGTTGGATTTTGGTAGGATCCTGCATCGTATAGCGCATATTGCCGCAGATTTAGAAGCCTTGCATGAGCCGAGAAAAGCGTGTGATTGCGTGCGGCCTCCAATCCTCCATTCTCCACTATACACCTAGGTACTTCTCACGCCTCGTCTTTTCTGGATGTAAGAATGGGATTTTTCAAGGACATCTCATTTCGAAGCAAGAGTAAATCGACGCAGGGCGTAGCTAGCAGCACTGTAGTCCGCCATGATTTCCCACCTGCGCCGGAGCCTCAAATCCCCAAGATCAAGATGAGACCGCCTCTAGTGCCACCTCCGCCCCAATCATCAGGGGCAAGCTATTATTTAGGATCAAATTCAGAGGACTCCGAGTCCGATCCCGGTAGCATCATCATCGGTATCGATTTTGGCACAACGTAAGTCAAAGATCGTCGTCTTAACCACGACACACAGGCTAAAAGGCGAGCAAGGTACTGACTATGTAATAGTTATTCCGGCGTAGCTTGGAGCTATTCCAAGGAGACTGACGATATTCATATCATAACAGACTGGGACTCAAGTGAGTACGAGAGCTCTGATAAGGGCAAGGCTCCGACTCGGCTCTCATACAAACACGAACCTGGCAGTAGAGGAACCCGCAACCCCCAGGTGACATGGGGATATGGCGTTGAAGATGATGATGAAGCCGTCGAGTGGTTCAAACTGCTGCTCCTTGAAGAATCGGACATGGACGACAAGCAGAAGACGTCTCCTCAAATCCAGAAGGCGAAAAGACTTCTACAAAAAGCGAACAAGACCGCTGTACAAGCGGTTGGCGATTATCTTCGCCTTCTTTGGGCCCACACCATTACGAACATAAAAAAACAAGCTGGGGAAGACTTTCTTCGAGGCCTTCCCTTAAAGGTGGTGTGCACCGTCCCAGCGATCTGGAGAAACAAGGCCATCAGCAAGATGAGAGAAGCCGCCAAACATGCTGGTATACTGGAGCGTCGTACGGGCGGAGAAACGAAGTTGTTCTTTGTTTCTGAGCCAGAGGCTGCTGCGCTTGCCACCTTCAATGATCTCTCCAAACGTCCAAATCTTCACGTAGGAGACACACTTGTTATTTGCGATGCGGGAGGCGGTACTGTCGATCTCATAAGCTACAAGATAACCCAGACGAAGCCCATGAAGCTCGCAGAGTGTGTTGAAGGCTCGGGAAAGCTATGTGGTGCTGTCTTTCTGGACCAGGAGTTCGAAGCTTTCATGAAGCAGACGATCACTTCAGCTTGGGATGTACCAAGCCCCGTTCTAAAGGCCTTCATGAACCAGTATTGGGAGAATGGCATCAAACGGGGGTTTAGCGGCAAGCCTCGTAGTTGGAAACTCAGCTTACCTTTCGAGTGTATAGAGCGAGGTGCTCCACCTCAGATCAATCTTGAACAGTGAGTGGCCTTCACAGCCCAGTATTGTTGGCTGACACATACTAGTGGATACGTACTGGACATCTTTGAGGATGTCACAACACAAATTCGCGCACTAGTTAATGAGCAGATACGCGCGGTCGAGGAAAAAGAAGGCCGGTTACCAAAGGTATTTATCATCTTGATTAAGATGTTTCATACATACTGATAGATTGTTAGGCAGTGATACTTGTGGGTGGCTTTGGAAGCTGCAAATATCTGCACAACGTTCTCGAAACGGAAAATGCGCATCGCGGGATTGACGTCTACCAATCCAAAGGTAACAAACCGTAGGTACCATACACAACCAACATCCGTTAATATGCTGAGACTGTTTAGATGGACTGCAATCTGCCGGGGTGCGGTGCTCAAAGGATTCGGACCGTTGTCTGAGTCTGGTCCCATCGTGGAGACTCGAATTTCTCGTTGCAACTACGGGTTAGTGTTTAGGGACTTCTTTGACCCAGATAAGCATAGTCAGTGTGATTGGTTCCTGGATGAGGTTACAGGAGAACCAATGGCACGTGCTCAGTTGAGATGGTACCTAACAAGAGTACGTGTCGTCATGGCGTGCATCCAAAATTGCTAATGAGCGTCTAGGGTACCAGTGTACGGGAGACTGAGCCAGTTTTACTCTCATGGTATCGCGATATTCCAGCAGAGCAGTATCACAAAGGTTATTCGTTGGTGTCGTGTATTAGTACTTGCGACGATCACGTCCCACCAACCCGGCGGACAAGCTCTGTTCGTGAGGGCTTGGAGATCAAATCAGACTCTCCCATAGACGTATCCAGTCTGAAGGTCTTTAAAGGGATCGACGGCAGGTCCTGGCGGAAGGTCAGCTTCGGCATAGAAATGAAGGTTATCGGCACTGCTCTCGAGTTTGCATTGATATACGACGGCAAGCGCATCGGGTCGAGTGAAGTCGAGGCGAAAGTAGACATCTAGCATTGAATTGGTCATTCTTTTCGCTGAAGGGAACATTTCCAAGGACGACTCAAGGTGATGTTGTCATGCTTATTTGGCGGAAGGAGGCAGGTTCGGCATAGCAAGCGGTGCACGTGCCCGGGCCGAGATTGCCCCGCTGTCACTGTGATGAAAACACTGTCTCGCATCCACGCCATGCCACTCGAGACGTCATTATCACGGCTGAGTGCTGAGATGAGTAACAAGAAATCGTGGGGCCACAGTAGTGGCAGACCCTTATTCTGTCACAGCCCGCTGGATCGTACAGAGAATTCGATACGCCTGGTCAGAGTGTTGTCCGATCTCAGCACTGACGGACTAGTTCGGTGCAGTATACATCATGCGAGGTTGTCGCCAGGTGCAGCAGACGGCGTGACGGATATCACGGGCGTTCCGCGACTTCACGCTCAATGTGGTAGCGAGCCAACGCCCTACGCCTGCTTGTCCTATACCTGGGGCAGCCCAGGAGATGAAACCGGTATACTACTGAATGGAAACTTCATTTTGGTGCGCAAAAATCTCAGCGCATTCTTGGATATTGCCAGGTCACAGCTTGGCTATTGTTTTCTCTGGATTGATGCACTCTGTATCGATCAAGCCAATGCAGCAGAGAGAGACCATCAGGTGCAGCAGATGGGTACTATTTTTGCCAAAGCGAAGATGCTCATAACGTGGCTGGGATGTGAACCAGGTTTGCAACGACTTTTGCACCTTCTTGGACAGGAACATGGCCAGACAGAGTGGACGATCTGCAAAGACTTCTATCAGCGCGAGCATCGCAGGACTACTGTACAGCATTACGTTTCATTGACGTCTGGCTTGCCTGCAACCGTTACACCAACCGAATCACTACAGAAAGAAGAACTGTTCGCGTTGTATGTCGGTCTTGTCGATCATGGATATTGGAGACGAGCCTGGGTCACCCAAGAAATCATGTTGGCTAAAGCTATGTTTACCGTCGCAGGTAACGCAATAATCGACTACCCATCGCTCGTCGATGCCACTCGAGCCTTCGCTCACGTCCACCCGCAAAGTCATTTCGAGCAATTTGCGCGGCTTATGCTGGTGCAGAGGAACTACTTCAAGCACAAAGAGTTGGCAACAGGAAGAGTGATGATCAGTGACAGTTGGATGAACAATTGGGGACTCATCAACTTGTTGCATCACTTCGAAGACAAATGCTGCACCATCAGGCGAGACATGGTCTATTCAGTCTTGTCGCTATCTCGCGAGGCTGAGGCACTCAAGGTCAATTATCAGTCACCAACGTCGGAGGTCATGTGGCAGGTAATGAATATATGCAAAGACTCAGTGTGCCTCTGCACGGCGGCAGTCCTTGTTCGAGCTTTAGGACCAGGTTCATTTGATGATATGGAACCTCGACTACAGTCCCGTCTCCCTTTTGTACACGTCGCAATGCTGGGACACAGACCTGAACACGCGAGCTCTCTTGCAAGATGTCCCTTTTGTGACAATGGACTCCAAATTGCTGAGCGCTCAGGAGTTGAGCAGATATTCTGCCTGTTATCAGCCTGTAAAGACTCAGAGGGTCACATTTACCAGGAGCGCACTATGGATGGCCGTCAATTTCTATCGCTAGAATCGTCCAGTGAGCGCACACCAAGATCTCTGGGTAACATCGGTGAGGACATTGAAGTTACACATGACAATAGCAGTCACGTCCACCTGTTGAAAATCTCGTTACCTTCCTTGCTGAGAATTGTCGGAGGATCACAGTGGGGCCGCACACTCAAACAGCGATTTTGCGGAAATCTGTGGCCACACAGAGACACTCCGACCCTAGAGCGGCTCAGTCTTTGCACTTCATAGCAAGACCCTCATATTACCGGATCGGGTTCAATGCCCTACAGTAGTTTGCGATGGTTCTCTTGGCGTGAATCCTGACTCCAAAAGAGCGGGTACTGGTTCAATTTGCTCCGGTGCTGGCTCCATCGGCTGCATCGTTCCGCCCAGTACCTCAATCTGCACGGCCGAACACCATTCACGACAAAACAATTAGAACTCTACGATTAACTGCGCGTTGTGACACCCAAACTCATCTCCCTACACATTTCAACACTCTCAAGAGCGAATCATAATGATCCCAAGTGGCAAAAGCCGCAGCTGTACCTTCGTCAAAGCTGTGGCGCAGCCCAACCATTGGGTCGATTGGAGTGCGAAAGCGCCACGTCTCCATCCTTCTCATCGCGAATACTATCTCATATCAGCTGCTTCTGTTGAGCTGGATGCTATTGCTTACGGTATGGGGCTGATATCAAGCTGCGGCACCACGATTGATGCCAGGATAATTGCGTTTCTCCTAAGGAAACATTTGTTGGTAGACTTCATCACAAAGGAGTGGATGCTTTGGGCTTTTTACGCCGATGACCTGACAAAACAAATGCGAGGCACGTTGGTGGGGCTGTGCACGGCGTCCAATGTACAGGATCTGGAGAATTTCACCTTGAGTGTGAATCCCTCAGCCTGCTGGCATGTGACCGGACATTCGCTTCGAGCTTGTATAATAGTTGTCCCGTCAACAAGCCACCAAAGCAAAACCAGTTGAGCTGGCTGTGTGATTAACTGCGGCCGGATGACCAGTGCGAAGCCATGGTATCAGTCCTTTGCAGATGTCGTCGGGAACTCTGACTGGTGCTGAAATACGACAAGGCGGCGGTTGACGGTCTTCGAAACATCGGCCACGCGAGGGAGCATGCACAAGTACAGAGTAAGCCGTAGCCGAGGGGTGCCGAGACAATCGGTCAGACGACCAAGTTGAAGCGAATCTGCATGCAACGCTCCCAATGTTTTTCTCCTCAATACATGCGTCTTGCCTAGCCGAGCAAACTCGGACACCTGTCCCGCCTCAAAACGCCGACGCTATTGTCCCTAATTATGATCTTGTCCTTTGGAAAGACGGGATGAGATCCTTGTGCACAGGGAACCTCCTGGAATCATTTATATTTCACGCGCACTAAGTATTGATAGTGTGCATGCACCAGTGTTGAGTCCACTCCCACTGGATTGGCCGATGCCGATGCTGAAGGGGACTTTCCAGTGCTCGAGACGAAGAGAGCAAGGTGGAGTAAGGCAATGCAGGCCTGTCCTTGACTAGAGGGAGGTTTTCCCTTTGAGGCATCGCGAAACGACTACCCAAGGAGGGCGCCAACGGGATGATGATCTAACGGTCCAGGTCGACGTTCATCGGTAGGGGCTTGACATCCGTACTAGCAACGGGCCGCTGGCGCAAGCACTCATAGCCTGACATGGATCCTGACTTTGACAGGCACGGGCATGTCCGGGCCGCTTGAAAATCCCTTTTGCCGTCGGTATTGTCTTACCCTTTACTCAAAAAAAAAAAGACAGCAGCAAACTGTCATCTGGACAATACACTTGTGGGTTTGATGTTGCGTAGGAGCCGAGCTCCTGTCGGAGCTCATGCAGACCATGCTTGGCCCATGTGCAACTACCATGAAGGATCTACCGTATGGTCAAAAAGGGAACGCCTGCTTTCACTCGTAAGGTACACCTTGTACAGTTCGTTCGTATGGCGGCCTAGATTCTGATCGGCCCGATGGCATGCATGCTGCCGTTTGACCATCAGAGCGACTGGCGTCCTCATGTCTAGAACGGGAGTACCTAGACATATTCTATCTTCGTTACAATAACTAGAGCGATCTCACAAGTATTCTTGCAAAGACCAAAGTCTATTTGCAAATTCTACAACCTCGCTTCCAATCACGTCGAAAGCCAGCGATGAAAGTTGAATCCACGGATGCTTCATACACGTCATTTACGGGGACACTCGCAGTCGACAACACACCATACTTGCTCAACGACGAGCACAAACCAATTCTGATTTGTTCACAAGTATCATGCGGCTTCGTCGCCGGTAAACCCCACGGAAGTCGGCGAAGAATACTGCATCGTTATGCAACCACGAAGGCGCCGATCAGCTACTCCCCCAAACCACGATCGATGGGACATCCCGAGGGCCACTCCGACCAGTTCCCAGCACCTCCAAAGGCGTGGGAATGCTGCGGCTGTAAACAGAGATTCTACAACTTCGAGAAACAGTGTAACTTCTGCGCAACATTGTTCTGCAGAGATTGCAAGAAGATACCATGGAAATGATGGACGTGGGCCGTGAAAGAGATAACGGCATCAAAGCTGCAGACTCAGCCATCGTTGAGGACTGTAGCAGTACGGTCGACCTTCCACGACCTTTTTTGCGTCAGACCAGAGGCTGCCCGGGTGAAGCACTTGTGGAAGAGAAACGAGGGCCTCAGTGTCAACCGCAGATCAATAATTTGAACCATAAAACACAACCAAAACTATGGAGAGGGGTGATGCTGCCCATTATAGGCAGAAACTTCTCGGATGGCACGGAAGCATACAGCCGTGGCTAGAACAGAGCCAACGCATTTGGCGGACTGCCCACCCCACCGGGTACGTTTGCGGGCGAGCTCGTCAGCAGGAAGGTCCATCGATTTTCCTGACGGCATTTTTCACTCAGCCCTTCAAGGTCCCACAACTCTCCGATTGGCATACCCCAGAGTGGAAGCAGCGAAGCATGTAGGCTTGCTTCCACACTCTTCGGTGGCCAGACTTCAAGACTAGCATTATCAGCCACAGCAGCTGCAAAGTAGGAGTCATGTAGAAAGTCTTTCATGTCCTCCGATGCCTCCAATCCGACATACTGGTGCTCCATGATGCCCAAGGTACTGCGGTCCTGCTTTTGCTCTACTGTAAAACCATTGTGTCGCGCAAGCCAGCCTGTTCGTATCAAGATGATGTCTCCCGTCTGGAATGTTGTGCTTTGAGACTCAGCACAAGCTCTCAGGTCTGATGCAGTGATAGCATGCTCGGTGAACGGATCAAATGGGGTATGTGTCTGCGCCCAACCGTACACGTCGATCAAAACACCCCGTCCGACTATCCCATGTCGCGCCCATGCGTCGATTCCAAGTCTTCTCGACCTCCCAGGCCCCCCGTCGGATCCTTCATCTCTTCCAATCTCCTCTGATACAATGCCGTTGTAGAAATACCCTGATTGTGGATCGGCAAAGTGCCGGAATCCATCCCACTGACTGCTAGATTGCGTGTTGATTGTTGTTTCATCGTCGAAGGCACCTTTGCCGATCGACGTGATTTTGTGTTCAACGGATCGCCGCCCAAAGAGAGGAGGTGATGGTTCGCTCAAGGGCAAGTCGAGCGAGACAACAGACCCTGTTTTGACATTCTCTAGTGTCGCCTTCAATATGCGTTCTGGTGTGAGGAGATTGAGGCGACCGAGTTCGTCAGAGTCGCCCCAAAACCACGCTGAACCTTCTGGCGTGCCTGCAATTACAGGAAGTTGGGCACGCTTCGGGAAGCTGGAGCAATCGGAATTTGGATCGAGACGCATCTCGTGTGATGAATGTGATGAATTTTGGATGTGTGATGACTTTTAGATGCTGTATTATCTTCGGAGAGCAACACATTGTTGAACTCGTGTGCTCCTTCTTGAAGCGCAATCAGATAGAGGGCGATGTCGTAATTCGTTCATCAAAAGACCTAGCATGTCAGGCCATGCCCCACAGTGGCCCCCACTTAGGCCGACCTTCAACCTTACATCTACCCTTATTTCAACTACCAATGTCCTCTTCCAGAATCACAACAGATCCACGATGCTATCTCATAGCGAATTCGTGATGCCATTCCCGACCTTCACTCCCGTCAGTTCAGAAGCTCCAAACGCAGACTTGGGCCGTGCGCCACTCATTTGCAGGATCCACCCGCTTGCATGGTAAGTCCGGCACCGTGCCAGTCACTTCGGCGCGGAGCACGGAGCAGGTGCCGAAAGAGTGACACAGCATCCTGCACCTACGCACTCCTACACCAAAGATCAAGCACTTGACATGCACTTCAAGGTACACCGCCAGGTCTTGGCTCTGGCCGGTCACTGTCAGCGAGGTGCGTCGCCATGGCATGTAAGAACCAACAAGACCTCGGTCGGTCCAGACTGAAGGATCGCGATCTGAAAATGCCCCTATCTGTGAATCTTAAGTGTCAAACTCGATGTCCGTTCATATCTTCGTACATCCTCCGTTCTCGTTGTGCGGTACTTGATTTTCAAGTCATCATCTAAACCCGGGCGTCTGGTCCACTAGATCTTCTTCATACATGCCGAAGATCATTGAGAGCCTGCAGGAACAACGAGCGAATAAAGGCAATGGGTATCGTTCTGCGCTGGCTCACGGCATTCACCGTTTACTCAGACGTACTCCACGGACGCACTGCCTCTGATTTGGACATCATTTCGACCGGACGGGATTGAACTCCGCTTCCGGCATTCTGCAGTCATGCAGAAGCACATGCCAAATGTACCACACCCACGATAGTGTTGAGATCATTTGGTGTCGAGCCTCGCAACTGACCATACATTCACGGATGCCTGGCCCCCAACAACGATGCAAGCTCAGTGTCTACCCCGCAAATGCCATGCAGTGATTCAGACTCCCATCCTCATCACCGATGAAGAGGCCACGAGGGCCCCGCTTTCGGCAGCTAGCAGCTCGTGGTTGGTACGAAACGGCTTGCGGATCAAAGCGCATCACGTTGCACGGTAGAGTGGGTACATCCCGCTCACCCGCTGCGTCAGCCTGCACAACATCAGCCGGTATGATTCGCTCGACCCGGGCATGTGTAAGCCATTAAGCATGCGGCAGCCATGTGGAATGGTTCCGCGAGTAATGATGATTGGCCGGCGAATGATCTACCAATCGTGCATGCTGCCTGGACAGCTCGATCGAAGCGTTGCTACTACGGAATACTGCTGCAGGTTTAGCAAGGTAGTTTCACGACGCTAGCGCGGTGGTGACTGAACGAATACGTATTGAGAGGGATAGAAAAGTCGGCGCCAACATGAGTAATCGAATAACAGTACGCCATTCTCCACAAGCGCCGTTTCCTCAAGACACTGCCTATGACTCCACATTTCGGTGGACGCAGCCTAACCAGTGGAAGCCCAACCTAACGCTGCGATCTGATAACCAACGGAAACCCGAGTCCCAAACCAGTTCAGGCCGAGCTCACTTCTTGAGCGCAGCGTCGTACAAGCTGACCAAGACGCCGACCACAGCGCCAATCTGCAATCCCTGATAGCCCCCCGGGACGTTATTACGCACAACACCAACAGTCTGCTCTGAGAATGGGCCCCAATTCAAGCTGATAGTTTTGGCAAGCCCAGCTTCGCCCACCAGAGACGCGTCGATAAGAGGCAGCCGATACGCGCTATACGCCAAAATGGCCTTGACGATGTTGAAAACAAGCGGGTCTGCGGGGTACTGGCGGTAGGAGGACTTGTGGTTGGTGTTCGATCGTAGCGTTAGGTTGAAGAAGTAAGACAGGACAAATGGCAGCACCCAGCTCGTCAGAGACCACATCGTCGCCGGCGCCCACCACTCGCTCGTCAGAAGCGTCCAGAAGTCGGGGATGTGCAGGTAATGGCTGTTGTCTGCATCGATAGCGAAGGCCGGCGTTGTTTGAAGTGTGTTGAACTGGAGTCCGGCAGCCTCGATGAGGAGGATAAGGGTCTGGATCGCAGCAACCGAGCTGACGTTCTCCCGGATGGCCTCCTTGATTTCATCGACCCGTGTCTTCTCCCACAGCTCGGACGCCTTGGTCTTTGCAGCTTGGAACGACTGATCGGCGACTTCGGCAAGCTGGGACGGAGAGGCGGGGAGGTCGATTTCGTTGCCAATCTGCGAGACACGTCGTGGTAGGGCTCGTGGAGTCTGCTTTGCGATGCTCTGCGTCACGTCTTGGGTGGTCTGCGCAAGGCTTTGGGAGGCGGACTTGACGGTCTTGGAGGCTGACTGTGCAGCAGTTTGTGCGACAGCACGTGGTGTCCGCGCTGAAATGGGTGCCCTCTTCTTTGGTGTGTAGTTGTCACTGCAGTGTTGTTAGTCCAGCGCGTCGCGTCGCGGATGCCACGGCACTTACACATCTACAAGAGTGCTACGACGCGTCGACTTCACAGTAGCCAGGGGTTCCGGTGACGAATACTCGCGCTTCACGGGCGAGCCTCCACGGCTGTAGTAGTCTTTGAAGTTTGGGTGCTTGGCGTATGTGGTCTCGTTACTGTTCAGATGGCCTTCAAGTGCAAGCACCAAGTCGTCCTTCAACAAACCGTCCGCACTGCAAGTATTTAGAACGTGTCACCATCAACCATGAATTTGGACATACTCGGCAAGCTTCGCGGTCTGCGCAAGCTCCAGCAGCTCGCCTTTGCGCTTCTTCTGCAACCAAGAATGCGACATCGCGACTAGTACGGATGCAGTCGCGTCAGTGAGGCGATCAAGAAAATACCAATATCAAAGCGATGGAAGCGCGTTGTGGCAGAAATTCCGGGATGTGTGGTGGTGGGGGTAACGCCTGACGCGAATGTAAACAAAGTAAGTGGCTGGGACGTCATGTGATCTGCGCTAGACCACGTGTGGATACCATTGCTATACGACTATTGCTTTGTGTTGATAATTGCTGCAAAACGTTCGTTTGGGCTTTTAACTATGACTACTATGATGGGAGCAGAGATCGTGCTCCAGGTTCGTTATCTTAGGGCGATTCTTGCCGCCGCTGATAGTGAAGGAGCAGGGGTCGGCGAAGGAACGGCTCCAGGTCTTGGCAAAAATTCGTCCAGGCGTCACAGTGCTGCAACAACAGCAACGTCACTCCTTGCACCGTCCATCTGCGCATCCAACGTTTCTTCTGCACCTTCTCTTGATCCTTTCATACTTTCCTAATCCTTCTGCATAGACACGGCGCCCCTGTCGCGGCTCAACGCTAATGGTCCTTGCCCGAGTGGCTAACTTTTTTACGAACGGAGAATCCACACAAGATCTGGTCGACGACAGAAGAAGAGATGTCGCTATCGCAATGGATAGCGTCGCATCAACTGCGACAAATACCGCAGATGTTATAGCCGAAGAAATGGAGGACGAAACCCGCCCGCCCTATCTCCATGTAAGCTGCCTAAAGTCAGCATGAAGAACATCAGTTGACGGTGGAGCAGGCGATGCTGGCTGGAGGTTTAGGAGGCCTGACGGGCGACATGCTTATGCACTCCCTAGACACGGTCAAGACACGGCAACAAGGCGATCCACACATGCCGCCGAAATACACGTCCATGGGCAGCACATATTACACAATCTGGCGACAAGAGGGGTTCGTGAGAGGTCTCTACGGCGGAGTCAAGCCTGCGTTTTTGGGCTCGTTCTGTGGAACAGTGTGTTTCTTTGGGACATACGAGTACAGCAAACGGTTTATGATCGACAATGGCGTTGCGCCGTCGGTGGCATACTTCACAGCTGGTATGTCTTGTGCGACGTAGTGAAGTCGGTGATTGACAATTTTAGGCCTCCTCGGTGACCTCGCCGCCGCCCCTTCATACGTACCGTCAGAAGTCCTAAAAACTCGACTGCAGCTGCAAGGGCGATACAACAACCCCTTCTTCAACTCTGGCTACAACTACCGCTCTACGACCGACGCCGCTCGCATGATAATCCGGACGGAAGGCTTCGGGGCGCTGTTCCACGGGTACAAGGCGACTCTGTGGCGAGACCTGCCTTTCTCCGCGTTGCAGTTCACGTTCTACGAAAAAGAGAGAGATCTTGCGAAGAGTTACATGGGCTCGAACAACATTGGTCTGCTGTTGGAGATCGCGACGGCAGCCACTGCGGGTGGAGCAGCAGGCGTACTCACCACACCTCTGGATGTTGTAAAAACGCGTATTCAGACGCAACAACCCGATCTCCCAGAAGCTTCGAAACACGCCGTAAATCCCGCGCTCACGTCGACGTCGAAACACACAACCTCCCCGCGACCAACAACAACACACGCCTCACAAAACCGCCCCATCTCCACCTCATCTCCCTCCACAACGCTCCGAGCCCACGGCGCTGTGACTCTCGACACGTCCTCGGTCTACACGGGCCTGAAGATCATATACAAGACGGAAGGCATCGCGGGGTGGTTCCGCGGGGTGGGGCCGCGCTTCGTCTGGACCAGCGTGCAGAGCGGCACGATGCTGGTGCTGTACCAGACGCTGCTGCGACATTTCGAGCAGCACCGGCTGGTGGGCTCGGACGCAGAATTGTAACATATGTATTGTACGAACATGCCGGGACGGCGGTTGGCGCATCTCAAGATATGCATTGGCGGCGTTTGGGCTCGCGATGAAGCGATAGATTAGATGGGCTTGGCCCGCGTTGTATACAACATCACCTCCTTGAGCTTGTCTGGTTTTGCGTAGGGGGAGTGTGTGGTGTTGTGCAGTGGGCTGGTGTGATGTCACTGACTGTGGAAATGTCTGCGCGGGCGTGCAGGATTCTGGTGTTTGAACACGGAGCGATCAGGTCCTTTTCTCCAAGACCGACGATCTGGAAAGGTCTCATCACGCCCGGCAGTCCCATACCCAACAGGCCCTCGTCCTGACCTCCTGGCGCAAAACATGCTCCTACCGGATTCTCGAGCACTGGCACTTCAGCCCCGGACGGAACTTCGCGAATGCACTCTTATACATGCTCACATCGTGATATCCACCTACTCGAACCCTGGCTTATTGGAGTCTCCTCCCTTTGCCCTGGACTTTGCCCTGGAGATGGTGTAGTATCAAGGGGGGGGGGGGGGTTCTGAGAAAGAACATGACTGCAGAGACTGTGTTGCAGCAGTAATGATTAATTATGATCTAGACGAGGTATTAGAACCAAAAAACAGCTCTCGACAAAACACGAAACCGCTCTCCCCAAACGCCCTCCAGGAGACGCTCAAACCCCACTCCTCACCCCCCAGCAGCCCAGACCCCCCCTCAGTACGTCAAACTCACACACCTTCCCTCCCACCCCCCCTCCTGCACAACCCTCTCAAACACCCACCCCCCAACGTCCTTCCGCCCAATGCTCCACCCCAACTGCGGCCCCGCCTCCCTCACCCCGCCGCGCTCCCGCTCTGGGCCCGTCCACTCCCACCCCGCCCTGACCCCCTGGATGCCCTTGCGCGGCGCGTCGGTGAGCAGCGTCGGCCGCACCACCACACAGTCGCGGATATGCACCCCGGCGTCGCGGGTGAGCAGGGTCTCGGCGCGGGATTTGTCAAGGTGGGGGGTGTGGAGGGCGAGTTTGTACAGCGGATACAGAAGGAGGGGGACGTCGCGGGTTTTGGTGCTCAGGCCGGTTGTTGAGATACTGATGAATAGCGGCTTGGACCCCGCGGGCGCAGTGGCGATGCCGCGTGCGGCGAGGTCGTCGAGCGCGCTGAATATCGCCGCGGTCCCCGTCTCGCACACGGTCGCGTCCGTCATCCCGATGAACGGCGGGATCCACGAGAGTACCGGGGCGGCGCCGACGCCGAACACGATCGTATCGACGAGCGCGGCGGGGTTGAGCGGGGAGACGAGTGCGGCGGCGCATGCAGCGGGGTCCTTGACGTCGCCGGCGTGGATGGTGAGGAGGGACTCGAGGGCCGCGGCGGGCACGGCGTGGGCGGTGCGTAGTAGATCGGTGAGCTTCTGGGGTGTGCGGGCTAGGGCGGTGCAGGTGTGGCCGGCGTGCAGGGCGAGGGCGAGGGTGGTTGCGCAGACGCCGCCTGTGGCGCCGAAGAAGGCGAGGACCTGGGGTTGGGGGGTGGGGGTGCTCATGGTGAGGTGTTGGGGGTGTTGATGGGTTTTGGTTGAGTGTGTTGGACTTGAAGGCCGAATGGTCTGGCTTGAGAGTCTGGTGTCTGGAGACTGTAGAGCAGGTAGAATAGATATCGACCGTTGGATGATGCGTCTCTTTCACCGGCCACGCCTCATCTTATACCCATCCACCACCACCGCCCCTCCACCTCATCTCACGAACACCGCCCGCCTCGGCCAGTTCCCCCATTCGCTGGCCGAACGCCATCTCCCCAGCGGCGCAAATCCAAACGAACATGGACAGTTGCAGCACGACCTGGCGGGCAGCATGGTGTTTAAGTGCAGCAGTTGCTCCGGCGCGGGGGGTTGTTCGCCCGCGTCTAGCCGGAAGAGGAAACCACAGGGTCCGCTGTAATCGCGATCGGGTTAGCGCGGGTTGGCCTTACAGGATAAGCCTTACAGGATAGGCCTTACAGGAAGCCTTACAGGGTAACACAGGACCACACAGGACCACACTCGACGCACCACGGCCCTCCGACCGTCGCGGCTGGGGACGCCCACACCTGGCGACTGCGGACGCCCACACGCTTGAGAAGACTAGACTGGCCACACTAGCCGACTTGGCTTGTTTCCTTCACGCTTACACACCTTTACTGCACCAACTTTTACACCCGTGCACTGCAGCTAGATTTTAATATATTCTAGAGCCCTAACCTTCTAGCCCTTACCCTAGGTAATCCTAACTAACCCTGAGGGTAGAGGGTAAATGATAGGTGTAGCAGAGGTCCAGTGTTCCTTGCTCAGGCGCCAGCTTTTGCTGAAATACTAGCGCTTCTATATTAGGAGGTGCGGGCGTCTGCAGACACAGAGTGTGGGCGTCGCCAGCCGCGACGCCTCCAACAATCAAAATCAAGTCAAGCGCTATACTCGCGAATCGGGCGGCCCTGTGGCGCCGTAACAATACTGCAATTGACTCTACTCCCCCCGAGCGCCTGCAATGCATGTGCATCTCGCGATAACGACTGAGCGACCGTGTATCCAATCCAACCCAATCCAATCCAATCCAATCCAATCCAGTCCAAGCCAAGACGTCTCATTACAACTCTGTACGGCGCGACAATAACCAAAGAATGCGTACATGTGAACTAAATGGGGTATCAGAGCCGTGCGGGCCCAAGTCAACAGCGGGGTGTGCGGTGTGTATGTGTGCTCGCTAAATGCAGAAGTGTGTCGCGAAAGAAGTATCCAGAACGTGTACTCGTCTAGGCGGTCCGCCTCCTGTGCTACCTATCGTTTATGGGGCGCGTCTGCAAGTTCTTCGACTCGCGGTTTCGAGTCTTGCAGCCAGATGTCGCCGCCCTCGCCCCTCTCCCATTTCCGCCAGGCGATTTCGTAGGCTTGTTCGAGGTCTCTGACCCATCGTTTGGTGTCGTACAGCGCGCTGTTCCATCGCGCTTTGTAGAGCATTCTGCGGAGCTCGCTCAGGCGTCCTGTGGCGCGGTGGCCCTGGTAGACGCACTCGCTGCCAAGCCGGACAGCCTTTTCTTCGTAGTCTTCGTCGCTCGAGGCAATGAGGTCCTTCGCAGCCTGTGTGCCTTCTGGAGACTTTGGCAGGGCGCCCTTGAGAATGGATGCCGCCATTCGGGAGCACATCTTGTACTTGTAGCGGGGCAGCGTCAGCAGAGGCGTGCCAGACCAGAGGACATCAGCGGCTGTGGTGTGTGCGTTGCACTCTGGGGTGTCCAGGAAGAGATCGCAGACCCTCGCGCGTGAGATATGCTGATGCTTTTGCGCAACGTCGGTGAAGATAACTCGATTAGCAACCTCAGGGCCAGCCCACATGAGGGCTGTCTGCTTGAGGTTCGTCTCTCCCAGGTCGGGGAAACGCAAAAGCCATAGGATGGCTTTGGGCAGGCGCTGGAGGATACGGAGCCAGGTGCGGAACGTGGTGGGCTCGATCTACGCTTGTCAGTCCTGAGATATCGTGTCCGCGTGTTGACATACCTTGTAAAGCTGATTGAAGTTACCGAGAATGATAGCATCATCTCGTAGCTGTGGGAAGATCTCCTTTCGCATAGCCCATCTCCGTTCCTGCTCTTCTTCCCAGTTGGGCTGCCTGCCTTGCGCATCGGGTGCGCTCTGCCGGTGATCGCAGCAGAAGAACGTGTCGCGACAGAAGATGATGTTCTCTGCGTAGATCCAGTCCTTGTCCGACCCTCCACTGTTCTCATCAACCAGCGCGTCTTCCATGTCGACATTACGTCGCCACTGGCGGAGTGTGTCGGGAGGCACAGCTGTGTCGTCTGCGAGAAGATAGTCGCACCATTCGGCGCCTAGTGTGCCGGCAAAGCCCATGAACGACATTTGGATTGGAGCTGCGCGGGCAGCGAAGACCTCGTTGCGTGCGCCCCTGGTGTATCCGTTGAGGTTGATCAGAATGTGAATGCCGTCCTTGGTGATTTGCTTCACAAGGCGCTCGGCCGACCAGTTGTTGGCGTCGTGGAAGACCGGGGACTCCTTCTCAATCTGCTTGCGGTGCTCCGAGCCGTCGCTTGCTGTTGTAGCATAGCAGTATGCCTTGACCTTGGTCGTGTCGTGCAAGCCGAACACAGACTGCATGAGATGGGCCAGGGGGTGGTTGTTGAAGTCAGACGAGACATATCCGACTTTCAGATACGGCTTCGGTGGAGCAGGAGGCTGGAAGACTGTTGGTGGAAGCCAAGGAGCCCTCAGAGTGGAGCAGGAGATACGCAGGCCGTTGCGCTGCGAAATCATCCGGATCTGCTCAGCCGACATGGGGCAAGTGAATGTGTGGAATGGGAGAACCGTAGGCGCTGCAGGAACAGTCAACGCAGCGGGCAGCTGGGGCCTGCTGTAGTTCTCCAGCGATCGGTCTTTCCTGGTCACATAGCGGTCCTGGTACCACTGCCAGGTAAGGCGTTTGATGGCGCGCTCAGCCAGGCGAACGATGCGCGCGCCCTCCCATTTCTGTCCTCTCCATCCAGTCACCACGCTCACCATACTGGCCTGCTTCTCTTTGATGTCTTCGGTGGTGTTGCTTGTGAGGACAAACGGACGACAGAGGCCTTTCACAAAGCGTTCGTCCATGGTACCGCGACCCCAGCCCTCGCCGTCAGCGAGCTGTTTCTCGACCAGCTTGACGACCTTGTGGATCCACCCAGAGCTGGAGGCGCCGGGAATTCTTGCATCTAGCAGCATCCCGTTCTCATCCACGTGCCAACGGTCCCGTGCACCGAGACCTTCGGCGATGCCTCCTCTTCCATTCCAACCGCAGACCGAGTTGAGCGCATTTGCAAGCCCACAGACGGCCTCAGCGAAATCGGGACTAGACTTGACTGCTCTCTTGTAGTAGACGATGGCATCGCTGATACGACCCTTGTCTTTGACAGCATTTGCAAGGTTGGCTAGCGCAATGTCGAAATTCTGGTCGCAGCTCACTGCTTGCTCGTACATGGAAATAGCAACATCCAGCTGGCCGATGTCCTTGAGCAGACTGCCGAGGTTCGTGTAGAGGTGTGCGTGGCGTTTATCGAGCTGCAGGCCGAAGTAGTAGTATGCTAAGGCAAGTGCGATGCCACTGCCGGGGACCAGTCCTGGTATTTGCGGGTACGGCGCGGGATTCGACACGTTTATGGGCTTCGAAGGCGCTGATTGTTGAACGCTTGCGAGAAGAATACCTACGTTATTGGCAGTGGATGGGCTTGGCTGTAACGACAGAGAGAGGTAGTAGAGAGCCAGAATCTCACGGACTCCGTAATTGCTCTGGTAGCTGGCAGATCTGGGCGAGTTGGTCGCCATGCCATCTTGGAATATCTTTGCCAGAGATAACAAGGAGTTACTCGTTGTTGAGATGGCTGCTTTGCGTGCGAGGCCGTCACTCGCAACATGTGCAAGACCTGGCAGTTGGCCATGAGGAGGAAAGCACAAGTGCGCAGTCCGAGTGGCCGAGTCCGGTGGGAGGAGAATCGGATCCGAGGATGGCGCAACTCGGCGACCACCAGGTGATCGTTCTGACGCCTCGTAACCGACGACAGACAAGATGCGCTTGATCAATCCCCCGATGCCGTTGGCATGAGTGCCGGCTCCAATCAAGACGGCGTTCTCGAAAGCCTTTGCTGCTTCAGTGTTATTCCCAAGAGCATACAACATGTTGCCCTTGGCATGTACGAGAGCAAGAATGCGACCATTGTCGCACCCGGGTATCGCGTATCCGCTGGAGCCAAAGCCGGGTTGATCAGAGCCAGGAAGTTCGTCCAGATCTTTGAATATCGATTCGTCCTCTCCTTCAAATTCAAATAGCGGCCTGTCCGAGACGTCCGATAACTCTGGGGATTCACTGACACCTGAACACGGACGTTCGCTCTCGAGCTCAAGGCTCCTAAGAGCGTCGGTTCTCCTGGCGAACCGCAACGCACGCTCGACCTGCTCGATGACCTGGACGGCTTCCCGTCCTCGTTGGTCGCTGCATAACAGACCAATCAGGTGTTCGACAGCCTCGAAATAGCTTGGACGCAGCTTGACAGCCTGTCGCCAATACCGTTCGGCATCTTGCTTTTGATGGAGCGCAAGGACAGTAGCAGCCAGGTTGGATATGGCCTCCACGTGATCAGTGTCCAACGTGAGGATGTGTTGGTACCAAGTCTGGGCTTTCTGGTAATCTCCCAAGGCATACGCAAGGCAACCGCCGAGCAGCATGCCGTCTATCCATTTCCACTTGCTCTCCTCGCAGTGCTTTGTTATCGCTTCCAGGGCAGACGCAGCTATCATGCTGGGGGGCACATCCGAGCGGAGGCCTTGGTGGACGCTGGAGACGGAACCGGAGGCCCGCCGAAGAGTACGCACAGGATCCATACCGCTCATTTGCGGTAGCATGGGGTATTGCTGCGCCGCATGCTGCCAAGGCTGACGTTGGTTATTGGCGTCTAGCCCGATCGAGGTGTACGACGACGCTGATCTGTAGTGTGCAGGCCGTTTGGAGGCCTTGTCCGATGGGGGCTGGAACGGCGATTGCGAGCTTATCGAAGGTGACGAGAGGCGTCGCTGGGTGGACGGTCGGGAGTTGCCGTTCGAGTCATTTCCTAGATTAGCCCCCGGTTGTCGAGGAGGCTTTGGGTAGATGTGCGGTCTGTGCAGCTGGCGTCCGTGGTTCTGCTGCATGTGTGCCTTTCTCGTTGACTGCAGAAACTTGAGCAAATCAACGTAGACGGTGTGAGCCCACGCGAAAACCTTCTCCCTGGACTGCCCGTTCGGCGATTGCGGCCCGTACTCGGTTAGTGGAGTGACAACAGGAGACTGGCCAGGCACGCTCGTTGCTTGGCCAGCGGCAAAGTAGTCCTGGCGAGCCTGGAGCATGTGGGCTGGCAGGCTTGGAGACTGGAAGTTCATGTTGTGCCCCTGTGCAAAAGCCGGGTATTCATGGCCCATGGCGCCGGGATTTTGGTACATGGGCTGATTAAGCTGATAGGATTGCTGAGTAAAGGCAGGGCCGACAGGCAGCCCGCTGTTGAAGCCGCGTGCCACGTACGGGTGGTGCTGGGGGTGGCTCCAACTCTGGGTAGGATGATGCAGGTAACGGGGGGTCGCGCATTGCGGCTGGCTGGTATGGAACGTAGGCGCCGTCCGGCCAGTAGGGCCCAAACGGGCCCTGGTCGTTCGACACGGTGGGCGCAAACGGGCTCTGCAGACCCGGGCCCATGACGCCGCCGAACTGCGGCCCGTACATCTGGTAGGGCAGCTGGGTTGGCTGCAGCGGCGGGATCTGGTTGAGCATGGAGTCGATCTGGGGGATGTGCTGGCTGGTCCGGCCCGACCCCGTCTCGAAGTAGAGGCTCGGACTCCAGTCGGCGGAGCGCTCCTGCTTGAAGTGGGCGTAGGGGCCGTTGACGCTGGGCGAGCGCAGGGCCAGGTCCTGCTTCATGGCGTACGGCAGGCTGGCGTCGGCGGTGACGGGCAGCAGGATGTGCTTGGTGGCGTGCGGGGCGCCGTTGTCCTCGACCGAGGTGCCATCGTAGGCGGCTGCGAGGATGCCGTTCGGGGTCTTGCGGCGGAGCATGTGCTCGGGCGGCTTGCGCGAGTCGGAGGCGGCCGTGTACGAGTTGTGGCGCGACAGCGGGTGGGCGTACTGGGCCGGGCGCGGGTGCAGGTGGAGGCCATCGGGGGTGCTGTTGTGGCGGAGCAGCGGCGGCGGCGGCGGGGGGTGCGCGTGCTGGGGATGTTGCCGGACCATGGTCATGGTGAGGGCGGCGTGGGCGCTGGGAGCGGCGTGGCTGCGTGAGGGGTGGCGCACAGCACAGCTTCACCCCGAGCGGCGGGTGCCTATGCCTTCGCGGAGTCGTCGCGCGTCTGCTGCCGTGGACATGTCTTGCGGGGCGCGGGCGCAGGCGAGGGCGGTCCCCGGGCTGGCAGACGGCCAGCGGAGACCCCGGCGGGCGTGCAGGCGGCAGCGAGGGCTGGGGTGCAGCGACGTCACCGGCCGTGGCGGCGTGGGCGGAGGGCGAGCGGTGCTGGCGGTGCGGCGATGGGCGTGCGGTGTATGTATCGGGCGGGGCCAGCAGCGTCAGCGGGCGACGCAAGGGCAGCGCGTCGGCAGCGCGGTCGGAATGCGCAGGCAGCGCTCGACCACACGGGCTCGCGGTGCACAGGACGGCTGCCTTGCGCGTCGGGGGCGCGTACGGGCGAGTGGCACAGCGCGGCGGTCCGCGGTGCTCGGTGCGTAGGCTCTGCAGGCGAGCAGGCGAGCAGCTCAGGACTCAGGAACCAGAACCACGGGCGACGTGCACCGGTGCTGGGCGGGCGGCTGCCTTTTGACGGCGGGTACGCGGATGGGCGGCGAGATGATGCAGCGGATCCCGCGCTGCGTGGGCCTATCCGCGCTGCACACAAGCAAGTCGTTCGAGCGTGGCTTGCACAATCCCTGCCTGCAGGCGAGCCGGTCTGGGGCGCCCGTAATGTGATGGAGCGGCACGGCGAGCAGGTTCTTGCCAGCACCCGCCCAGGTGCAGTGTGAGTGAGCGTGCAGTGTCAGTGTGCAGTGTGCAGACGCGCCTGCAGCAGCGCACTCATGCCATGGTCGTGGCCGTGGCTCGCAGCGACGGCGGCCAGCCACGGGCGTGACGGCGCCCATCCAACGTCGCGGCCGTCGTCACCAATACCGCCGACGGCCCTGGCTGCGCCTGGTCTGCGCCCTGTCTGCGGGTGCTAGCCCGACCTAGCACGCAAGCATCCACCCCTGCCACCGGACGACCCGTCTCTGCTAGTTCTGTGGAGTTTGCTCCCTGCACCGCTCCCAAAGAGCTGCGTCCTCAGCCATCCCGGCGCCGGCTGATACCTTTGTATTGCAGTGGGGGCGCCATGCTGAGCCATTGTGTCTCTTTAGATTGCGACGCACACGGCCGCTGCCACGCCGCCCGCCCACCACACGCCGTGCTGACGGCGAGCCATCCTGATTCCTGACAGGCGCCAGCAAGAGTCTCACCCCAGCCCGCACCGATCCAGCAGTGCTGGTGGGGCGCGGGATGGACATGTCATTCAACGAATGCAGTGTCCGCCTGTGGGACGTGATCACCAGTGGCAACGAATCGAAACGATTCCGAAACGTAGGGCTGAGGCCCGCCGCCAGCAAATGAGTCGCTGCTGATACGCTATATCGACCCCGATGATGGATCGCTGAAGCCAAACCAGAGGCAAGACGACCGCGATGAGTAAGGGGTGCTTCTATCTTCTTCACACCAAAATAGGGATATATCATGGTCCAGTCAGACTGGAGATAAGTCCCAGAGTGTTGGTGAAGTGGCATCACGTCAAGCCTACTAAGCCGCCGGCCTCCAACCCCGACGTCGACAAACACGGCAAGCCCCAGCACCGACAGTGCTTGCTGCTGGCCACACGGTGCAATGTTTGCTACTCGACGCTGCATGTCCGTGACACGGCATGAGCCCCTGCCGTACGAGAGCGCCTCAATGCGCCTTCCGCCGCAGATCGTCGCGCTGCTGCTCAAGCCGTCGAGAAAGGCAGGTGACTGTGGTGATTTGGCAGATGCTGCAGAGCCTGGATCGAGGCTGCCCACCATCACCTAGCCCGACAATGCGGCTCGTCGTCATCATGAGCCAAGCTCTGGACCAGCACACGGTGGTGGTGTCTGCACGGGATAGCGCATCCAGCACGCAGCAGCGCAAGTGTCCTGTTGTCGAGGTTGTGGAGGAGTTGTGTGCGAGTGAAATGTTTGTGGATTTCCGCAGATTTTGATGCAAAACTTCGCTTAGTCAGCGTCGGCGGGCGGAGTGACGTCCTCCGCGCATGATCCCTGCAGCTGCCATTGAAATGTGGCTCTAACGGTCGTGAATACACCACGCGAACCGTCACCGCGCTCACACTCCTTAGACCGTGCTGCAGTCGCGCCCGTAGCATTTCGTTTCTGTCCAGCCCGCGATACACTGAAATGTCTGCGACCGAAGGACCCCCACCTCAAGGGCCGCCCCAGGGCCCGCCCCAGGGCCAGTTCCAACAAGGACCGCCGCCCGGCATGCCGCAGCCCGGCCAGCAGCCCACGCCCGAGCAGATCCAGATGATGCAGCGCCAGCTGGCTGCCGAGGCTGAGAAGCACGGAATCTCGGTGCAGGAATATGTTCAGCGGCTCAAGGCGCAGGCAATGGCACAGCACCAGGCGCAGATGCAGGCACAGCAACGGGCTCAGCAGCAACAGCAGCAGCAGCAGCAGCCAATCCAGCCGGGCCCGCCCAAGCCCGAGGCCATCGCCGTCGCCAACTTCCTCAAGGCGCAAGACCTGAAGCCGCGGACCGTCATCCACGACGAGAAGCGCAAGGACATGTTCCGAGGTGGGTGCATACGCATATGCTTTCATTGCCAGTGCTAATCCATGGCAGTCCTGCGAGCCATCCGCGCCCTCTCGTCGCCCGCCTACCAGAAGGCGCGCGCAAAGAACCCCCTCCTGCCCGAAGTCCACGACCGCGCCTCCGCCGAGAACACATTCAAGCTGCTCCCGCTGTCGCTCCTCGCGCTGCGCGTGTCCAAGGTCGACCCCGAGCACGCCCACGACGGCCACAACCACGCCAAGCCCAAGCGCGTCAAGGGCCTGTGGACCGTCCGCATCGAGCAGCACCAGGAGGCCAACGACGACAACTACTACATCTGGCTGTACGAGGGCTCGCAGTGGAAGCAGAAGCTGTACGCCGCGGGCGCGCTCGTGCTTGTTATTGCCGTCGTGCTGTTCCCGCTGTGGCCGCTGTTCCTGCGCCAGGGCGTGTGGTACCTGAGCATGGGCATGCTAGGCCTGATTGGTCTCTTCTTCGCCATGGCCATTGTGCGCCTGATCCTCTTCATCATCACCATGTTCACCTTCGCGCCCGGCCTGTGGCTGTACCCCAACCTGTTCGAGGACGTGGGTTTCTTCGACTCGTTCCGCCCGCTGTGGGCCTGGCAGGAGGTACGTATCCATCTTCATCTTCCCTGACAAAATCCCTTCCCCGACAACTCGCTAACCCCCGCCCCAGACACCCGACGACATCAAGGCCAAGAAACTCGCCAAAAAGGAACGCAAGGCCGCCAAACTCGCCGCCAAGGCCAACGGCGAGAAACCCCGCGGCAAAAAGGGCTTCGCCCCGCTCGGCCAGCACCAACACGGCCACGTCGAGGAAATCGACGAGCACCACCAGCATGATCACCAGCATGACCACTCGCACGACCACGGCCACCACGAGCATCAGCATGACCACAGCCATGACCACGAGCAGCATGAGCATCAGCACCAGCATGAGCATGAGCATGAGCATGAGCATGAGCATGAGCAGGAGCAGCACGACCACTCGGTTCCTGCGCCCCCGGCGCCGTCGTCTACGGGCGTGCAGCACCCGGGTGAGGGGGACGTGACGCAGCGTCCGCCAAGAGCGACGGTGGAGGAGGCTGATGACGAGTAGACGGACGGGGTGCGAGTCGATGGATTTCGAGTCGATGGAGTACGAGTCTGCGAGCTAGGGTCTGGGTATGGGTGTTTCAATGCATGGGTTAGCTGGCGTCTGGGGTTCTGTACATGACACTCGCGGTTGGCTGGGTAGGATAGGGTGCGGTAGGGTAGGGTAGATACGCTGCTCGTCTTCTGCTCTGCTATGCTCTGCTATGCTATGCTTATTCTTCTCCACCGCGCCTTCTGCCGCACATGTGTTGTGAGGGGTCCTGTGAGAGGTCGAAGAGCCTGTGTCGTGTCGTGTGTCTGTCTTCTGGGTCTGCAGTACGAGCTCCCCGTCGTCCAGTCTACAGATGTGCGGCTCTCGATGTGCAGCTCCCGCCTTCCACTCAGCAGCGCGTATCCCCCCCGCGTATTATTCTCGTGCATATCCTTCTCGCCAGATTGCAAACGCCAATCCCCCGAAAACGCCAGTCCATGCAGTCATTCCAATCGTCACTTAAACCCGGGCTTTCAAACCCTCACTCCTCCGTAGTAGTAGCAGCGGGCAGCGAGTTCTCGCCCCCATGCTCCGCTGGCGCAAGACCCGAGTGCACGGCTGGCGCGTGTGTGGCCTGGGCCGCTGGATTCGCGTCTGCGAGCTGGCGTTCTGCGTCTGTCAGCACCACCCTCACTCGCGTGTGCAGAAGGGACTACGTACCCAGCTCCCGAATCCTTAGCTTCAGCATCTGGTTCTCGCGCGTCAGATTCTGCGTCTCAGCCTGGTAGAACGCGCTCTCATCGCGCGTCGTGGCGGGGCCAGGCAGCATGTCGTGCTCGTGCGGGGCCCCCGGGAACGGACGCAGCGCGGGGGACCCGGCGTGCGACGGCCCGCGCGACCGGTCCGCGAACGACGACTGCCGGCTTATGGCGAACGGCGAGCGCGAACGCGGCGCGGGCAGCGGGGACACGGCGGGGCGCGACAGCGACGCAGAGCGCTCCGAGGACGGGGTCGGGGCGTCGTCGACGGCGGAGGCGTGGGCCGCGAGCGTGTCGATCTGGGACTGCTGCTGGCGGATCATGTGGAGCAGGCGGTTCTGCGGTGCGCGTTAGCGGGGGGAAGTCAGTCAGTCAGACAGAACGGGGGAGGGGGGGGCGCGCACCACTTGCCCTTCCTGCTCGTACTCCAGCTCCTGGTGCAGCTCGCCCAGGCTGGGGGCGCGCTCGTGGCGCGGGCTGTGCGGCGGGTTTTGGGTGCGGGCTGAGGGGGAGCGCTGCATCTCGCCGGGCGCGGGCACGGTCGGGTCGTTGAGGTTGAGGTTCATGCGGATGCTGGAGCGGCGCCGGGCGCGCTCGACGTCGCGCCGCATGCTACCGGAGGACGGGCGGCGCTGGTCTTCGTTCTGGATGCCGGCGTTCATGGCGGCGGTGGCGGCGAGGGAGTGCGGCGAGGCGGCGAGGGAGTGCGGCGAGGCGGCCATGGTGCGGGATGCGGACGGCGACTGGTTGCGAGAGGTGCCGTTGGAGGCGGAGGGCGAGGGCAGCGGGGAGGGCGGCAGCGTGTTAAGGTCCGGAGCCATGGTGGTGTGAGGGTGGGTCGCCGGCTGGGAACAATACTAGGTGCGAGGAGGCCGGGGGCAGACTGCACGTGAACATGTGACGGCTGCGTGCGGTCGTCAACGCGTGAGCTGCAGCTTAGTGGGGTGAGGCGGCCTAGCGGCGATGACGGAGCGCGTTGCTAGCCTCGTGTCTAACGCAGGAACGGCGGGCGAAGTTTGGGAGGCCAAAGCAACGGTCCCAGGCAACACGTAGCTGATATATTGCCTTCATTTCCTGCGCGGCTGTTTACTGCCAGCCGCTGAGCGCGTTCCTCTCGCGACTCGACAACACTCCACAAGGGAGCCCCGCCGGCGAGCACAGCACCTGAACTGCCCTGACTGCACTGACTGCACCGGAACTGCCTGAACGGCGCACAGGCCAGCCAGGCAACGTTTTCCGTAGGCAGATGGCGACGGCGACGCCAGCGTTGAGCGTTGAGCGTTGGGGCTCCGAGCGGCAGGCAGTCAGACAGCGCTGCTCGGCCTCGCGGTGTCACCATCCCCATGTGCAATGCAGCACAGTCGCGTGCTGTGGCCTTGTGCACTGGTGACTGACTACCCAACGTGGATGCATGCCCCTTCTGGGACGTTGCACGGAACGTGTCGATATCAAACATTGCCCATTCGTCGGACAACGACATCCGCCTCGACACTAGCCCCTGCAGACAATGTCGATCACACACACTACCCTCCGAACGATGAAGATTTCGACAGGAGACGAGGGGCGCGCCTGCACGGGGTGCCCCTGGGCCTGTCGCGCGGCAGGATGCCTCGATGACCGAGTCTGCGGAGCATCTTCATCGTGAGTGTACCTAATCTGGTCAAATTGCATCGCTCTACTAGGAACCAGGTAGTGTAGGTCGGCAATAAACCCTGCAGTAGGCCATCGCAGAACGCGTCTACTGCGCGCAGTCAACTCTCCAAATTGCAAGCCCAGGTAAAGTCTATTGTCGGGCTCTGAAGTTTAATGACGTCCAGCATCACTCCATCTGTCAACAAACGCCATCAGCGCAGTCAGGGCCCGACGCTGCCTCAGGTTTCTGCCAGATCCTGCCAATGTCACCCCCGAAACAGCTACAACCCCAGGCCACCACCCGCGGCTACTCGTGAATGACTCCTCAAACCGCCAGCGGTGGCTTATTATATAGCAAAAAGCACGTCTGCGCAAAGACGTTGTTGCCGAGCTCGACCGTCGTGGGTCTCGTCAAACATTTGCAGGGGTAGCCTGGGGCGAAACGCGATTAGTGCCACGGCGCCGTTCATCTCTTCGCACCAAAAAGGGGACTCCTGCGGCCGTGCGGCCATCGGATCACACAGCGACAGCCCCAGGCTGCGCATGGCGTGAATGGAGCAGCTATCCGCGGCAGCTAGCACCTCCGCCACTTTCCTTCTTCCCCCATCCTGTCGTCGTCGAGACGTGTTTCAGGCCGCTCTCCCTTCTCAGCTGCTTCCATAACTGCTGCGACTTTCCGTACCAAGGGGCTCTCGTCCTGTCCTCTCGTTTGATATTTGTTTCTCTTCCCTGTAGCCGTGCTGTGTTGCACAACGCTCGTTAGACCCTTTTCTTCGCAACTATAACAATTTCACCTCCCGGTTTGATCATCCACCACATCCACAATCCGTTTCGTCCAAGCGCCGCTCTGGGCCATTGACCCTCACAACTTCTACGACAGCATCATCCTTGTCGCTCGCTCCGGAGACGTTCGCCGTACTTTTATCAAATCCTCCGACCATCGCGACCTGACTGCCGGATCTTGCTCCTTGAATTACCTGGTCGTTCGCCGAGACTTTAAATCCACCACACCTGTCATTACATATCCACCGACATTACATGCGATAGCCACGCCATATCCCTCCTCCTTGGCTGTACTCGCCATGTCTCCGGACGACAACCGCAGCCTGCGCCACTTGGCTCCTCAGTCCTCGAACTCAAGATGGCGCTTCACGCGATCGACTGCTAACCTGCGAGAAGTCGCCTCGCAGTCAATCTCCGGGCCGAGTTCAGGTTCGACCGAGGCGCCCAAGCCCGCGCGAGCGCCATCGAAGCTGTCGCTGTTCAGCCTCTTCAGCCGGCCGAAGGTCGAGAAAGCTCGAGGTCACACAGAGGTCGGACTGGCCGTTCCCATGCGCCCGCAGACACCTCCGAACCCTGCCTCCAAGTCGGCCCTCAGACAGAATCCCTCGCCCGCTGCGCAACAATCGATACGGTCCCGATCGAGTCTGATGTTCCGCCCGGTGTCTATGCGGCCCCCGCCGCCAGACGCTGACGCGGGTAACTGGGAGCCCCCGCCACTGTTTCAGGCCTTCCCACAGTCGGTCAAACACGCCACCCTCCAAGCATGCGTGTTCCCTCCAGAGGTTTTGATGCGGACACAAAGTCAGCGCCGTCAGGCCGAGATGATCAGGGAACGGATAGATACTGCTCGCGACTTATCAGTCATCGAGGAGAACAGCACCGAGACAAAGAAGCTGGAGAAGTCGCACAAGCGGTTAATATCGAATTCGGTGCTCAACCCACCTGCGCCAGAGCTGATCGACAAGATCTATATCCTCGTCACAGCGGGGTATGTATTGCAATATGCGGGGGCTGGTCCATTCGACCGCTTGCCCGAGAAGGTGCTGAAGCTTGGAAAAGACTCGGCAGCCTTCGCGTGTGATCTGATTCCTGGCAAGCACTGGGTGCTGCAGGTATCCAGCCATGCTCACGACGACGGTACAGTGGAGATGGCGCCCAAGAGCTCTCTGCTCTCCCGGCTGCGAACACAAAACGCAATTGGGAGAAAGGCTGCGCCGAGTTTCTTGCTGATCTTGGAGAGCGCCGAGGAGATGGATGCGTGGATGACTGCGGTGCGGAAGGAGATTGAGAACAATGGTGGTCAGAGGGTGAAGGACGAGTCCGTAAGAGCCTCGTCTTCGATTGACGGCTCGTCTGGCAAGCAGTCGATCGAGACAAGCCAGCGCTATCTTGTGCAGCGAGACCCGCACGCCGTCACCAGGATGAGCTCTGCCGTGGACTCTCCACATCAATCATACCACGCGATCCCGCTCAAAGTTTCCACGTCAGACCTGCAAGGAGACCGCACAGAACGGACGCCGAGTGTGGCGAGCTCCACTCGCAACCGATCCTCCCGGCGCAGTATCGCACGTCAGTCGGCTGAGATGTCTTCGGTGGCTTCTACACCCGTATCACAGGATCAAGTGCAGCTTGACCAGCTGCGAGGACGGTCGCGGTTTTCATACATGTCCACCGCAACGACTGCGTCGGGTACCGGCACCAGGAACACCTCCAGGGATCCCTCACCCACTCCGCAGTCACCTTTGAGGGACACTGCGAGTCCTGCGGGGGAACCTGATTCTTTCCGGCCATTCAGGTCCCTCCACTCAAACCCGAGCAGTGACACTGGCTATCGGCGCAGGTCTGTGCAGCCGCTGCCAATCACTACTGAAGACAGTTCGATGACTGTCGATGTGACACCAGCGCGACAAAGACATTCATTCTACAGTCCCACATCACCCACATTCGATATCCCAGCGAAGACAGAGACCGAGAGTTCACCGCCTGTGGCTGTCGAAGAAGTGATTGTGCCGACGCCCCCTCCTCCCTTTGTAGCCGCCAAAGGTCTCACCGCGCACATTGCTAGCCAGGTACGTTCTGCGGACGACGGCAAAACGTCCCCGGCCGGGATCCAGCGCGAGGACAGCCCAGTGAGATTCAATAGCAGCTATGGTGCTTTGTCCCGCGACAGCATCATTTCTCCGCCGCCTCGCGAGTCAGCACCGCCACCACCTCGATCTCTCTACCGCCAACTACCGGGCCAGTCTGCCTCAATTACGCAGAACACATCCCCGCTGGCTCCTTTCAAGTCGAATCCCTCCCGTCAGCACCGCATCTCGGCGACGCCAAAGCCTTTCCTCCGGCCCTTCCCCGTCCGGCCGCAAGCCCAACACACCAACTCGGTCAACGCAGTGCAACGAAGAGCATCCGCAATGCCCGCTGGGTCCCCGTCGCTATCAACCCTAGCCGCCCACCGCTCCGTGACCGCACCACCGCGCTCGCCGTCCGCCGCCGCCATCCTCGCGCCCTCCACCCACACCCACACCCTGCACTCTCTGCAATCCCAGACCCTGCGCCGCCCCACCTCCGTGCAAGTCCGCTCGGACCCCGCGCCCTTCCTGTCCTCCATCCGCCCCGCCATCACCATCTCCTCGACGCCGTCCTTCGTCCCCGGCACCGGCCGCCGCTCGCCGCCCGCGCCGCACCCCCGCCTGCACTCCAGCCCCAGCACCGGCGCCCTGCGCGACGCCGCCCTGCTGCCCCCGCTGCAGGCCAAGCATCTCGTGCAGCGCAAGAGCATGCCCGCCATGGGTCTGCCGCCGCCCGCACCGCCGCCTGATATGCCGCTCCCTGCGCCGCCGCCGGGTTTGCCGCTTCCTGCTCCGCCGCCCGATATGCCGCTGCCTGCGCCGCCGCTGGGGGTTCAGGGCGTCGCGGTGTAAAACGACTTAATTTATTAGCTTCGATGTTACTATCGCCATCACCATCAATGTGTCTCCCCGCGTCCGCGATGGAGTTTACGACGTCACGCCATTCTTGCATTTCTGGGTTAAAATGGGGGGGTTTATGGGATACCAGCGCGCTGTTTTTACTGCGCTTCTATTGTCTTTTTGCGTTGACCACTGCGGTTATCATCTGCGTTTATTACTCCCGCGGTTATCACCGCGATTGTCATCTGCGTTTACCACTCCCTCCCGTACTGTTTTGTACTGTGTATTACCACGGCGTCAGGCCCGTGCTTAGTTAAGATCTCTTATATACGCGGGCCCCCGCGCCATCGCTGGCCAGGGCCCGCAACGGCACCGTTGAGCGGCGAGGCTCCGGTGCGGTGGGTAGCTGAATGTATAGTGCGATACCTTGATGTGTTGATCTATCTGCTGCCTACTTCGCGTTGTTTGCGTGAGCATGAATGTGTGCCCACGGTCAGCGAGATTGCATGACGTCGGACGCCCGTTCCAGGCGCCCAGCAACGGCGTCTATTATTGGCACGGTGGTGTGTGTCCTTCGGTCTCGCACTGGAATCCGACAGCGCGGGCCCGATCAACCGCGCTAGTGCATCGCGTGCGTGCGATCGAGACGCGTCCGCGCCGGCCAATCGGACGCACGCTTTTCTCGCGCGTCAGCTACATACATAAATATTCTAGCACGACAAGTATCTACACGCGCGTTGTTTGCGCGGTTTCTAGGAGAAGCATGGCACCACGAAGGTCCGCTGCGACGGCGCGCAAGAGCGCGGCAACGAAACCAAAGCCCGCGACGGCGTTCGAGAGGCCCGGCGACCCGATTGCGGCGGCGCTGCCACCCGTGAGGGCGCATGCTGCTGGGTACCATTTCCCGCTGCTTGTTGGTGACGAGGGGGGGCAGGGTGCGCTGCTGGCGTGGTTCCGGGGTGTGGAGGGCGCGCGCACGATGCCGTGGCGGAAGGCGTGGGTCGATCCAGAGCCGCAGTCAGAAGGGATACGAAACACTCTGAATAAGAGGGCGTATGAGGTGTGGGTCAGCGAGATCAGTAAGTCAGAGGATGGCTGGAAACGCCGTGTGCGGATGTTTCTCGCCGGCACTGCTGACGCGCAATAGTGCTCCAGCAGACGCGCGTTTCGACCGTGATTCCGTACTTCAACGGCTGGATCGCGAAGTGGCCCACGGTGCAGGATCTCGCGCGCGCGGAGCACGAGGAGGTACTGGCTGCGTGGAAGGGCCTGGGGTACTACTCGCGCGCAACGCGGCTGCACGAGGGCGCGAAAGCCGTGGTTGCGAAGCCGGCACAGCGCATGCCGGACGACGTCTCGGGGTTGCTGGAGCTACCAGGCATAGGCCAGTATACCGCAGGCGCCATCTCGAGCATTGCGTTTGGACGAGCTGAGCCTGTCTTGGATGGCAATGTCGCGCGGGTGCTGAGTCGCCAGCTGGGTCTGTACGTGGACGTCAAGGACAAGAAGGCGTCTGATGTGCTCTGGAGAGTCGCCGATCAGCTGATCAAGGAAGCGTCGAACCATCCGGAAGTCGAGTTTAGTGCTGTGCCCGGGCAGTGGAATCAGGCGATGATGGAGCTCGGGTCGACGGTCTGCACGCCCCGGCCAAAGTGCGAAGAGTGTCCTATCCAGAAAACGTGTCGAGCGTTCGGCGAGGGGACGGCGCTGTCCAAGAAGCAGCAGTCTTCGAACGCAGTGCCTGATATCGAAGACGCGTGCACGCTGTGTGAACAGCTGGATCCTGAGGACTTGGCGACAGTGCCCGAGGAGGAGCTTTCTGACGAGGAACAGAAGCCTGTGAAGAAGAGGAAGGCTCCAGCAAAGCAGAAGAACACTCTGTCTAACTACTTCGCAATCGGTACGCCGAGTGCAAGCTCCAACGTTGACAGTGAAGACGAAGAAACACTCGCTGGGTCGAAGAAGAGAAAAGCGTCTACAAAACCTACCACTTCAAAGTCGGTCAACACATACTGCTCGCTGTTCCCGAAGAAAGTGGTGAAGAAGAAGGCAAAAGAAGAGGACTGCGCCGTCTGTCTCGTCGAGCTGCGCCTACCAGACAGCGAAAGCAAATGGCTCATCGAACAGCGGCCTGCCACCGGGCTCCTTGCATCACTATGGCAGTTCCCGCAAGTCACACTGTCAGCACCAGACACCGCATCAGCGCGCAAAACCTCGGCCCAGCAGTACGTCTCAGGTCTGACTGCCGGCGGCATCGATATGACCGCAGCGCGCCACACGACTAGCTTCGACCCATTGGTCCATGTCTTCACGCACCTGAGGCTGACCATGCACGCCTATCACTTCCGCATTACTGATAAGCCCGACGCAGACGCCCTGCTATGCAGTGGCGCACCCGCGCGCAAATGGGTCAACACCAGCGCCATGGACAACGAGACGCTGTCCACCGGCATGCGCAAGTGCTGGGCGCTCGTCGCGTCGCGCAGCTGAGGTGTGCGTCGCCTTCGAGATGGCGAGGTGATGGCGCCCCGTGTTTCACCCCGCGTCCTTATCGCTGCCAAGAGATACACAACGACTCCGCTCCGCCCATGGTGCCGAACGGGCGAACCATACACCCCGGACGATACGTCAGGTCCGTGGAACGATAAGCCGGCGAGTCGAATGTCTCGCTATGCTGCTTGTGGTGTTGTGTTCCCTTGCTTGTAGGTTCCACGGGCTTGGGACGGAGGTCATTGGGTCGATGGGTGTGAACCCAGCACGGCGGCGTAATAACGTGCCTGGCCAAGACGCGTGGATAAGGTGGGTGGATGCATATAAATTGCCTGGGAATGCCTGCGCGGGCTTGAGGGCGTTTGCAATCAGCATCTTGACGTTTACCCTCAGCGCTGTTACAAGATGGCAGAACTCCCGGCTCCAACGCCTATAACTGAATGGCCAGACTATAATGTCATGCCGACTGGCGGAGACGTCATGACGCAAGATCTCAATGCGCTGTATGACAAAGGTGATCTCTGCTGGCTGCTCGTCAGCACCGTGCTCTGCTGGTATGTCAAAAATAATACTACAACACGAATCTTCAACTGACGGCGCAGGCAAATCACCCCTGCAATCGGCTTTCTCTACGCCGGCATGCACCGCCGCAAAGCCGCCATGACCATGATCTTCCAGTCGCTGTTCTGCGCCTGCGCCGTCGGCATCCAGTTCTGGGTCTACGGCTACTCGCTGTACCAGTCGCACACGACGAACCCGTTTCTGGGCAACATGTCGAAGGCGGGTTTGCACAACGTGCTCGCATATCCGTCGCTGGCGAATCCGGATATCCCTGATATCCTGTATGCGTGCTTTGGCTTCACGTTTGTGACGGCCACTGCAATGATCCTGGCGGGGGCGATGCTCGAGCGCGGGAGGCTGTGGCCCTCGATGCTGTTCCTGCTGTGCTGGACTACGTTCGTGTACTACGTGCTGGCGCACGCCGAGTGGAATCCCGCCGGGTGGCTGTATCAGCTCGGCGTATACGACTTCGCGGGCAGCGGGCCGGTGCACATTGCGTCTGGCTTCTCGGCGCTCGCGTGGGCGGTCATGCTGGGGCCGCGTGTGGATCCGCACAAGGAGTCGCACCACCCGAAGATCCCGCACTTCAAGCCGCACAACCCGTTTCTCGTGGGCCTTGGAACGATCCTGATTTGGTTCGGCTGGTACGCTTTTAATGGTTTGTATCCCCGGTTTTCCACGCGTACACGTTCACTGACTCGTCCAGGTGCCTCTACCGCCAACCTTTCCATCCGCTCCATCTACGTAGTCTGCAACACCAACCTGGCTGCCTGCGGCGGCGGCCTCGCCTGGGTGCTCCTGGAATACGCCTTCATCCGTAAATTCTCCATTCTCGGGTTCTGCTCCGGCATCATCTCCGGACTCGTGGGCATCACGCCCGCTGCTGGCTTCGTTCCGATCTACTTCGCCGCGCTGGTCGGCGCACTCACCGCCTGCGCCTCGTTCTTCACCGTGCGTTACAAGTACCTGCTGCGCGTCGACGAAGGGCTCGACATCTTCGCGATCCACGGCGTCGGCGGCTTCGTCGGCGACATCCTCACCGGCTTCTTCGCGGCCTCGTATGTGCCAGCGATGGATGGCGTGAATAACGCATATGAAGGGGGATGGTATGAACAGAACTGGAAGCAGATGGGGTACCAACTCGCGGCGGCGTGCACGTGCGCGGCGTGGTCATTCGTGGTGTCCATCATCCTCCTCTTTGTCATCAATAAGATCCCTGGGTGCCATATTCGCGCAACACAGGACGACGAGCTCAGAGGCTTGGATTATAAGTACTTCGACGACGTGGACGCCGAGGACGGCATGATGGTACTGAATGGCTTCGGCGCCGTATCCGGGGTGCCGAGTCCGCGCGCACACGGCAGTAAGGAGGGCGTCGTCGACGTGGTGCCTGGGAAACTGGACTGAGACGGAAGAGTTCAGCCGCAGCGAAAGCGCAGCGAAGGCGCAGCGACAGTCGAAGCGTACCTATACCCCGAACATAGATCCCTAGCGATAACACATCCGAATTCAATCTCGTGTTTTCTACCCAATATGCACAACACCAAGATTTCCCATCGTATCACCCATAAGCAGCCACGCCACGGCTGCATGTCCCGGCGTTCCTGACTAGCCCGCTTCGGGCTAGCACACAATAAATCGAGGTCCAAGAAGGCAGGAACGAAGACTTAGGGCGTCCAGCGCGCGTGTTTATTTGTTTGGTGCTCCCTCGCATTCGGCTCGCATATCCATCTAATTTGTATTGCAGCCTCGCATCGTGGAATCATCATCTCGCAGCATCAGAGCAGCAGAACTAAGGACATAATGAAGTCATCGACCACCCTCCTCTTTGGCCTCGTCGCGGCCGCGCTAGCTACGTCCGAGCCGCAGATTACTGCCAGAGCACAGCTGGAGGTGCGACAGGAGGATCCGGCGCTGCTGGGGTGGGTCAGTGAGAGCGGGGCGTCGCAGTGTGAGTTCCACCACAACACCTCCATACTACACATCTTCACTCAACTCTGTGTTTGACGTTGCCCTCCAATCACAATCGTCATAAAACACCGCCTCGTCTGACTTCCCAATAGTCTCCGACCTCCGCACCTGCGACTACCCCGCCACCGTCTCGTCCTCCGCCGCGCTGGCCCAGTGCTGCACGGGCTCCTCCTGCGTCTTCTGGTCCTCCTGCTCCGCGGGCACGCTGTACGCACAGGCGACTAGTCTGCGCTGCGACGTTGGGTACTGCAACACCGCGGTGCTGGTGCCGACGCCCGGCGCGCAGAGCGGGGTGAGCTATCTGGGGTGCTGGGGGACGGAGTTGGGGCAGGGGCCTTTCACTGTTGTTAAGGATGTTTGTGAGTTTTCTCTGGAATGTGGTCAGGTGATGCTGTGCTAATGTTGGCGGGGTAGCGAATGCCACGAAGACGAAGGCGGTTGTGAGTACGACGAGTGCTTCGCAGTCTTCGGTGAGGTCCTCGGCGGCGTCGAGTGCTGCGGGGAGCTCTGGGTCGGCGGCGCGGTCGGAGACGGGGACGGCGGCGACTCAGGCATCGTCCAGTCCGACCCCTTCGACTGGCGCGGCTGGTGGTAATGCGGCCAAGCCTTTGACAGGTGTGTTTGGTCTGGCTGCTATGCTGCTTGGTATGCTCTGAGCCGTGGTTGGAACCATGCTGGATGCAATTTCACTGTCTTCATGTGGAGTTACGGGAGATGTGAATGATGATGATGAAAGTGTGAGGATGATAACGAGGACCTACTAATGTCATATCGAAGTATTCGCTAGCTCTACACTGAGGTGTCAAGTACTTGATGAGTGAGACTATTTTGACTGTTGCCTATAAGGATTTGTTTGTTGATGTATGAAACTTGTGTGGGTGATACGCAGTAACACCTTTTAGGTGATGCGTGGACATGTACTGGGACGGTGGTGCTGGGTACTGGTAGTAGATGGTTGCATAGAATATACCAAAGTGAAAGCTTTATGTTGACAACGGGTAAGCGGAAGAGATGGAGAGATTGAGTGTTTTAGAGAAAAGGAGGTATCAGACGCCTGGAGGGGAGCGAGAGATGGAAGGGTGCTATGAGGGAAGGTAGCCAAGTAAGGATGCAGCAAAAGATTCAAGCCCCTAAGCCATGTGATTCCACGCGGATTCGAGACTATGCCGGCATATCCAGAGATTAGGACGAAAGTGTGGTCTGAAACTGGGCCTTACTCTTAGGTTCCGGAATTCTTCAATGATACCCCAAAGACGTTCTTGGAAACGTATCATAGCTGAATCACATAGCTCATCGCAAGATCTAGACAGCCCCGGCGTGTGGACTGTAAGGACAAGTCATGTCTCGGTGGTGTCAGAATGGTCACGGTGGAGGCCTGCAGGACATCGACGCTAACCTCGCTTACGTCATACACTTGACGTCCCAACCCATCTTTCAGCCCAGTCAACAGTTGAGAACCGCTCGAACATCATACGAATCATGTAGAACAAGTCTCCAACAACCGCGATGACGCGCGTGAATACCCCAACACAGGCCGCCCCCGAGCCGCTATGCTCATCGCTGCCGCCTGAGATATGGATCAACATCTTCAGCTACTGCCACGACCTCTCGCACCTCTGGAACGTCTGCCGACGCGTATCACCTACCCTCAAAGCGTGTGCTGAGCGCGCATTCAGCGCCAACCATCTTCAAGATGTGCACATAGAGTTCATGCTGGACCGGCACAATCTAGGCGGCAAGCGAGGGCCCCACGAACCCGCGATTACACTTGAGTTCGAGCGCCTGGGCAAGGGCGATGAGGAGAGTGTTGCATGGTTCTCTGGACACTTCCGTGGACACAAGAACGTGGCTCCTGGGGTGAAGGACAAAACGAAGGCTACCATTCTGGAGCGGTGGCATGAGAACGTGGAGAAACGCAAGCCTGAGCTGCCGAACTACACGATCAGGATCGGCGATATGGTCAACGATACCCATATACCCGGCCTTGTTGTCGATCCCAAAGAGTATAGGATGCAGCTGGATTGGCGCGGAATGTTGGAGTTGTTCTTCCGTGAACAGGCACGGCTGGAAGAATTGACAGCAAAGTGGCAGAGCAAGCGCCCGCCCAGCCGTCAGACAGTCAGCCCTAGCAAGAAACATGGTCGCAAGCCTGCAAAGCTGGAGCCTACATCACCATGGCACGATCTTGAGGCCGATGTTCGCAGAGGTATACGCCGCGCGAGGCTGAAAGAACATTATTGTGATAATGCCGAGATAGTGTGGGCTATCAACTCCTTGAGATACTTTGAGAAGACCGACTCGGCGAGGTGGAGCTCTGAGTCACCCAAAATGCTACCGCATCTGCCCGGTGCCGGGCTCGGTGAACGATGGTTCGGCAGCACAAATCTCGTGCAGGAGCTGTATCTTGATGAGTGCAGCAGCATGAATCGGATTGACACGCAGATGAGGGTTTCAATGAAGCCCAGGGATGAGTGAAGGTACCGAAGGCTTGACGTCGCAATTTTTCGCACACATGTGGCAACCACCCAGAATTACGTTAATCTAGAGATCAGAATTTTATTCAAGATATGACCAGGCGCATATCCAACATTTCGTTTGACTTTTCCGTACCAAGAGAGACATTCTGCCGATACACCACCACGATATTGAAAGTTAGCATCCGTCCCCAACCATTGCTGTTGGTGAATTACGTATCGGATGGATTCAAGCAAGGAAATTCTCTCAGTATTCGCGTAATTAGATCTGTAGGTGTATCTATCGAGCCTGTGCCATGTCAGTACACGCGTCGTGGGCAAGAATGGTTCATGAGCGCACCTTCACCGAATATTTCTCACACCTTCAGGGTCTTGCCGTTGACCTCGTCTCTCGCAACGGTGGCGTTGCGGCCCATGCGAACGACAGCGCCAGCGCCAGCGGCACCAGCAGCGCCATCGATAGAAGCGCAGAAGGGCGCGCCACATGTGTCGGGAGGCGCTGCTCTATCGCGACTTGCGAAGACAGAAGGTGCCAACATAGCGATGGCGAGGAAGTAGCCGCCGACGATAGACTTGGGAAGCATCGAAGCGGTGCTGTAGGAAGGAGGCGAGAGGTATGCCACGTGGGTGATCAAGAGTTTGGAGTGCAAGAGCTGGGCGCGGAGGTAACTGGTAAGGAAGGCGCAGTGGAAGAAATGCTGAATATATGTGGGGGCTGGATCGATCTTTCACTTTGGCAGCTTGCACGTGCAACTGCATGGCATTTTCAGGGACGTCATCTTCCACGTGGAGACACGTAAAAAAAGACTACACGAAGGCTGTGCACATCGGATTGGGTCGGTGTCGTTTGCTCATTACGTTCATTGGCGAATGGAAGGCTCGATAACGCAAACCTGCACACAAAGGTGAAAACTCCATTCAGCTTCTGGCTCGAAATCAAGCCATATCTACATGTCCATTCATCTAAATCATGGACCACGCTAAGCTCGAAACACGTCCTGTCCTGCAGGCTTTCCTGATACTCATCTCAACTACTACGGCACGACTAATACGGTCCATACCGCATCTTCGCAACTCGAGGCCGAAGGACCCTACCTGCTCGATTCCTACGCAATCGACGAAAATTTGCGGCCGTCTTAGCAACTACCTTCACGGTCGCCCCAGATGTGCGTCCCTTTGCAGCCTTCTGTTGGCGGCCAGCCTGCTTCGCTGCCCCCTTACCGTGCTCTGCCCACACCTCGAGCATAACGTTGGCAATCCGGAGGACCTCTCCTTTCGGCATACCTAGCTGCTCACACATCTCATCCATCAATGTCAGGCTCTGGACAGTCTGTTCGTCGAAGCCGTCAGTGCCCTGCTCAAAGAGTATCTTGAACTTGGCAAAGGCCTGTCCGCCCTTGGGCAGCGTGAACTCGCTACACTCGCGTAGTCGTCTAAACAGTGCCGCGTTCTGCGTGCGCTTCCGCCAGTCGGCGTAGGGAATGTACTTCACTGTGATCTTCCGCTTGTGGAAGTTGACCCGAATCTGGGCTGTCTCAACTACGACTTTGTTCCCACCTTCGAGCTCCTCGAACGATGCCTTATCGATCGTCGGCTTTCGGTCCCATGTCTGGTGGATCATGATCTTGCGGCGGCTGGGCAGCTTGCCTTGCATGTGCCAGTCGACCGACGGGAAAGCAAGGTCCTGAACCGCTCCTTCAAGTCCGCCTTGGACGTCCGCGTAGGGATCATCATACTCAAACACGTCTTTGGACTGAGGGCGCGCGAGATTATAGCACGGCGCATTCGGCTCATACTCGACCAGCAGCCGCGCGTCGCCGGATGCTACGTACACGAACCCCTGCGACGAGCAGCCCGGCGACTTGAACAGCTCGCCCAGAGGCACAGCAAAGGCAGCCCCAATAGCGACGGCGTCAACAACGATACAGTGCGTTGACAGGCGTACGATGGTGATGCAGTGGTAGTCTCGAGCGGACGTGGCGCGCTGCTTCCAGTTGTTAGTCACAAACTGCACGCGGTCTACGCACTTTGCGTAGTCTGGGCCTTCAGATGCTAGTGCGGTCCGAAGCTCTTCGTAGCACTCATATGCCATGGTCAGGCAGTTGCCAAAGGGGTTCATGGAGGTGATGAGGCCAGGGGCTAAGGCGCGAGCAGCAGCCTTGGTAGATGTCTTGCGGAATGCTTCCCACTCGTGGAAGTTAGAGAACATCACAGACGCGTACTTTGCATTTGCAATCGTGGATGCGATGTCAAGGATGCGAGCTTCGATTTGGCGTTGGTGGCGCGTTGTGTGGGTATTTGCGCCAGGGACGATGAACTGGGTCATCTTCTTGGACGGGATGACTTGCGTCAGTTCTTCGGCGATGATAGTGATATGCTCATACAGAGCGGGTTCGGTCTTTTTGCGGCTCATCTTAGTGGTAGAGTTGAAGGTTGGGTGAGATGAATGCTGTGAGTGTTGAGCAAAAGACCATGGCCTTTTTAAAGTAGTAGGGGAGCCGTCAGCAGTGGCCCAGGTCGCAGTGAATGTGAACGTCTCAGTGAAGTGTAAGTCTCAGTGAAAGCGTAGGTCTCAAAACATATCTCGCGCGTGTACAAGATTAAGGTGTCCTCAGACCTGTCTCGTGAAAGACATAAACAATGTGTCAAAGCGCCACGTCTGAACGAACAAAGAGCAACAAAGAGCCCGCTGTTTGTGAAAAAAGAAACAATCAGAAGACAACAAGTGTTAAGAGAATGTTTCTAGAAAGCGTGTGCAGCGTATGGTCGAAAGTCCAACGAAAGAACGCCTACGTCGTCGAGCCATCGAAGATATCTTCAGGGTGACTGAAATTCATGGTAGATCGAATTGGGAGGCCACCCAACATCAATTAATGGTTCATCTCTGCTAGCCTGAATGTGCGATACTAAGCAAGATTGGGCTTAAATCTCTATGAATCGTTGAATCCGATGGCGAAGGCATAGCAAGAAACTTGACATGAGAGGGTAGTGGGGACAGGTCTAAGATATGGTAGCATGCATTTGCGAAGAAGCCGGGACCTTGCGGTCCTTTCTCAAGGTGATAAAATCATCTGCTTCCTGATGTCAACCAAATGAGATGGAGAAAAACCGAAGTTTTAAGAATTGCCGGTTTATGATGCGCACACTATTTCAGGAAAGCCTCAAGTCGTGGTCCCGACGAGAATGTGTTATATCATCTTTAACACACAGAAGAGAGACTAGAGGACTCTGGGGCAGGGTTCCATTTCAAAATGCAAAGACATTTGAGGATATATCCTTGCAAATGTGCTGAGCACGTACATTAGCGTGTATTTACGACATGAAACGGACAGGGGCTTCAAACCACAGTCACAATCACACTCGAGGAATCTAACTCATCACCAAAAGTCTGGAACCTCTTGCCAACAATGCTAGGATGATGTACCTACTGACTGTTGACCAAGCATTCCATTTCGGTCATACTTAGTGTCCGCCACTTTTTGCAGTACTGGTGCAGCCGAATCCATCCGAAGCGCATCACTTTGTCTCCGCAGCCATCGCAAACAAGACAACTTTACGTTCGGATGTATCCAATACCTCATAAATACGGTCTAATAAGCGACATCGAGAAGCTTGGGATGATGCTCAAGTTTCCACGTCAACGTGCACGTTTGAAGTGACACCGTGATCGGCACATCCCAGCGAGACTGCACGCCATTCCATATCCCAGCTACCGGTGACCCGTCTAAGATGTGTGGAATACGATTAGCGCCCGGCTACCTAGTTATCAGCGCAATTCATGCATGTAGCCGCGGCCCGCCACCCGCGGCCCGCCACCCGCCTTTGAACGCTACGATAATGCACGTTGGATGGCAGCCCTGAAAATTTGCTTCTTCAAGTCGTTACTTGCGGCCAATACCGTAAATGCCTGAGTATGCTCAGCGTTGTGGCGTAATGGGGTTGTTCTGCGAAACTACAATGACGACTGTCGACAAGAATTGTGTTGCAACGTGCAGTGTTAAGTCATTAATTACATACAGTAATTTCTATAATGCCCAAAGTTGAAGCTATCCTGTTATCAGTTCATATCCAAAACTAGCACAATACATAAAGACTTCTAGGGTAGGTGTTGAGTTGACATCTACGTCTACAAAAAAAGCCAGTGCAACTACCAAAGTCTACAAAGCGCCAATGCACACTCAAGTCTCGAACAAAACCAGGATCAAAACTTTTTCCCCAACAGGGGTGCAATAATAATACATCGTACTTCTGTGTATCTGCTCTAGTGATTCACGTGCTTGTGTGGAGTCGTCTTGACTCGTCTCCTGGAAGCGAGTATGACTCCAAAGTCATCGGAGTACACCAGTGATGGATGAGCATAAGATCAATGGGTGCTTGTGCGTGAAAGCTCTTCAGATGATCGAGCAGGCTTTCGAAGTTGCTGAATCTTGCAGCACAGTCTGGCTCACCATGAGATACCGTGGTGCACCAACAGAAGACACAGACGTATTCAGTTGAGTTCACACGTTTGAAAAGCCCTCGATGTCGTTTCCTGATGTGTCTGTCGAACGCTGAGGGCTTCTTGTAGATGCTATAATACTCAACGACCGCATCCTTAGAGCCTGATGCCTTGGTCGAGTGCACTGTAGTGGATGTGTCGCTTTTGGATTTGGTGTACGGACGTTTTACGTGACCGTCGCCGATGTTACAGCACGGGCAAATGTAAATCAATCTTGATGCTTCGTGTCCTGCGATCCACTGTGAGAAATGAACGGAAAATGCGTTAGAATTGACATACCAGCAGCCTTTCCAATCGTTGGGGGGGCACCGGATCCATGGTGGATTGCGAGATCGACGTCCAGATCTGTCAGGTTGTCATTGGGGCTCGCAGATGAGCGTCTGGGTGATCTCATGGTCAAAGGTGTGTCCATAGTTGTTGACCGGAGTGATCGAGTGATCGTAAGTAGAAAAAAGTCAAGGCCTAATCCTTCAGATGTGAACGAAGAGAACGTGATAGATGGCCAAATGATCGCCAAGCAATTTGAGTAGCTGCCCGTAGCATCTGCGATATGAAACGAGTGTGGTTGCGAGACTTGACGGCGGACTGACATTCTTGATATACAGGCAAGTTGATGGTCAAAGCAATTCCGAAATGTCGGTAAAGATACTCAGCACATCACTCAGACCAAAGAAATAATTCCGGGGGAGATGCGACCCAGATCCGGCGCAGCCTTAAAGGCCACCAGCGGGTTCTTCCGCCTATGCGCCCTGGACCCATCCGCCTGTCAATTGATCCTTTGGGCTGAGCATCGGGGCTCTGAATGGCTGAAGTAGAGCTAGAATTTGTATCTGACTGCCATGTCCTTGCACACATACTGTTGACTACAACGTTCTAGGTAACAATGTTAGGCGATCGGAACGGGGAAGAGCTTCCCCATCGTCAGCCTATTTTTTAAAATCTTGGGGCGGACGTTTACCCGAACGGAGGAGTATCCTGCACGATCCCGGGGCCCCGAATGAACTTTTGTATTCCTTTAATGTTAGTCAGTTGGCAGAATAAGTCCAATTCCTTCACACTCACACACCTTTGCTGCACTACCAGCATCCCCTAGACCTGTGCATACCCCTAAGCAGCAGCTGATCAGCTGGATAGCACTCAGAGTAAGAATGAAAGAAAAGCCTGGGGGATTGATCGTTTCTCAAGACGGATCGATGGGCGTCTACAGAATCAGTGAGCGCGCCTGCAGGGTTGACTGGCATCCGCGAGGATGATAAGCGACGACAGCCTCCACGGCCCACCGCCGGATTCCCTAGGACCTCATTGTTGTGTCACAGGCTTAGCGTGCTACGTACGGTACTAGTCATGTTACGCCATCGTTGGTCCTTCTCCATTTCAGCCTCTTATTGGCTTCGCCCCCTAAATAAGCTTTTTTAGTTGACAGAACTCGGCATTCAGTAACCAATCAACATGGATGAAGGTCTAAGATTGTCGATGTACCTACAGGCCACAAGTGCTCAAACAGGGAGCTCTAGCTTCTCTTCATCGTGTGTACTGATCGCCCCACCCCCTCTAACTTACCTACAGATATCATCAGAATCAGCTCATTCTTCAAAGTAGGATCTGTAGAAGACGTCACACAAGTCTGCCAAGCTGCACGCTTAAATTACTAGAAGTGAAGACATCTAGAGGTTTCGCTCCAGGTCACGGGGTGGAACGACCGTTTCGAGAACGGCTGTGATGCATTTGTTACACAGCAGAGCCTCAGGACTCAACATGTTCGCGTGGCTTTAGATGTGGCAGAATGTGAAACAAAACAAGTTGACTTTATGTACACAGCTACACGCGCCACATGGCAGAACACTCGTCGTGCAAATGTGAATTCCAGCACATTCAGTCTGAATGCCAGTCGCTCCCCTCAGTCGCCTGCGTCCCACCGAACTCACTCCTCCCCGGCCTGCAACTCGTCAATCCAAACCTCGAACACAGCGAACCGACACTTACTCATCCCTCACACTGCCGCTGCTCTGATCGAGCTTATCGAATTTGCTCCCGCCCAGGGTATCATTGCCCCAGCTGTCGCTCTTCTCCGTGAGCTTAACAAGCAGGGCCTTCAGCTCCGCGACGTCGCCCTGCAGCTTCTTAACCTCTAGCACTGCCGTGTCGAACTCGACATTTGGCTTGGTGGACTGGACCTTCTTGTCCCAGCCGTCAGCCTCGAAGTCGCATTCGGTGAGGACCTGCTCCCACTCGTGCGTCACGTCCTCGTCGGCCTCACCGCGCTTGCGGTTGTTGCGAACGACTCTCGCTTCCTTCTGCTCTATGAACGCCGTCACGATGAGCAGCGGGCTGTACAGCACGGCCATGACGCAGTCGTTCATGTGGTCGTAGCGCTTCTCATCCATCCACCACTCGAACGGCAGGATCAGGAACACCATCTCGATCAGGTTGAAGGGCGCGATGAAGACGTTCTCGTCGGGCGCGCGAACGAATTGCATTGTCTTCTGGCTGAAGAGCGCCATGTATTCGTCGGTGGCGTTGCCGGTGATGTCTTCGTAGGCGGAATTGTAGAGCGCGATGAGGATGTTGAGCAAAATGACCATGACAACGAAGGTAAAGATGTAGTAGAGAATAAGACCGAAGGGAGGCTAGTATAGCGTCAGTACAATTTCGACATGCACGTGGAAACGAAGGCTTACGGCAAAATTGTCGAATCCCTCGAACTCAGGGGATTGCATGATGGCGTTGAGCATGGCTTGCATGACGAAGCCGATGTCGTTCATGACCTGGTCTTCGGCGATGTCGAGACCCATGAATGCCTGCAGAAAGCCGACGAGCACGACGAACAGAAGCAGGAAGAAGATCAGCGACTCGCGGAACATGACCTTGAGCACGACAAGCATGGCGCCGAAGAAGCGGAAGGTATCAAAGTAGAGCAACAGACGCATCCAGAACATGGGCGCTGTGAAGGCGAGGAAGTTGTATCCAAGCTCGTTGAACTTGCCACGAGGATTGCCCTTTTCGTCATTCTCGTCAGGAGCGTGGCTGATAGCTACCATGCGGAATATGAAGGACACCGTGAGGAGAGTGTACAACGTGCTGTTGAACATGTTCCAGAAAGAGATATAGAATCGGCCGACCTTGTAGAACTTGTTCACCTCGTCGCAGATGAAGCCTAGGGTGAAGAGGTAAAGCAAGCCTTCGACGATATCCAGATCGGCATCGGCGTTGATGGTGTTGACGGCGCCGGTGAAGAGGCCCAGGTAGACGAGAGAAAAGATGATCTGCATCCAATTCTGGTAGCGTGGAACACGCATGCGATCGGGGTCAAGATGAGACCAGAAATTGGTGTTCGTCTTGTTCTCGAATTGGACGAAGCGAGTTGGGTCTTCGTCATCCTGCACAATCCAGCCGCGCCAAAGGTAGGATATGCACTTCTGATATCCAGAGGAACCGATGACAGTTACGGCGTGGAGATCGACAGCCTTCTCGACGGCATTGGCGGGTTCTGTCGGCTCGCCGTCGATGAGAGTGGAGTATCGCTTGAGTAGAACCTCTTCAAAGAGGTAGTCCATGTCCTCTTCCGCTTCAATGATACGCTTTGCCATCATCTCGGCAGCAATGGCGCGGACATCGTGCAGATCAGCATCCCACAACTCGGCGGCGGCTTGTTTCTGCTAGAATTAGCACGGCTCATACGTATGATCGCATTTGTTGTTCGTACCGCGAACCATTTCTTCACGATCAGAAGACAGTATACCACACACGCCGTCTTGTCCTCGCCGCCAGCTTTGTTCGCCGTGTTCAGCACAGCATTTGTGATGATGGGACTGTTTGCCTTGGTGACCTTCTCTTCCTCAATCTCATAGGGAATGACCTGTTCGATTTGGTGCTTCAGGCGCAGGCAGATCTTGGTTACTTCTTTGGGATCGATTGGCGGAGGATGGACGTGCTCGCGACGCGTAGGCAAAACTATCAGAAGTCAGCATCATATTGCGACCTTCGAGCACAGCTTGACTGACGCGTGTTGGCACCGCCTTCCAGCCTGATCCGTCCCTCATGCCCATCACCAAAGAGCTCGTTCCACCTCGGCATTGCGGAGTTACGCGAGGAAGCTGCGGATGCAACAACTGGGACGTCAAATACGCCTACTTCAGAAGCTCGTGGAAGAGATTCAGAGGTAGAAGAAATCACGCGACAATCACAGACTTTGAGAGGGAAATTGATAGCGCCGCCGCCTTTGTTGGCGGTCCGGCGCAGAAAGTTGGTCGACCCATCAAGCTTGGCCTAGCTGTCACCCATCGATCGGCGTCATCGCAACGCGCATGAGCTTTGACCACCTGTTTCACATCAACAACATGATTCGCGCGTATATCGGCTTGTGAATTGGACTCTTTATCATTGAAGGTCTAAGGCGTGCAATTCGACACCCGCCAAGTATGGAAATGCTATACATGTCAAATATGCCGCGTACATGCTCGAGGAATGGTAGTCGAGCCCCAAACGCCGGTATCCACTTTTGACCATGCCCCATCATTATCGTTCAACACGCGCAAGTCGTTTAAGCATCAGCAGCAGTGGCAGCAGCGGCAGCCGCGCCAACCTCGCCCTCGTCGCTCGAGCTCTCGTCCTCGTCACCGCTGACCTGCTGGTTCTCGCGCTCACGCTTCTCCATGAGTGCTGCAAGCTCGGCGTCATCGTTCTCAGTAACGGCACGGGGTGCCATCTTCACTTGGCAGTCGCCGCCCGCTTTTGTGATGCTCGCCTTGATGTCCTCGATAGCCTGCTCGAGGGTGGAGATACCGATGGTCTTGTCAAGGCACTGCGAAGTAAGGACTGCAGTCGTTAGTACGATCCCGGCTGTACAGAGACTGATTGGCTTACCGTAAAGAGGAGGCGACACAAGCTTGACCTTGACCTGGTTATCGGGTGTGTTCTTGGCCTCGGCGGTGCGCAGGGCCTCCTTGACAGCGTCGATACCCTCGTAGCCGAAGCAGGTGACTGCGCGAGTTAGCGTGCTATCCGTTGTCTTTCCACAGCGTCCTTACCCTCAATATCCGATCGGACCTTGGTGGGCTGGGGAGTCAGCCTCTTGCCGATGTAGCTCTGGAGCTCCTCCTTGACAACGTCGCTAGGGAAGGTGACGTCGTTCCAGACCTCGGGGTTGGTGATGCTGAGCTTGAAGGCGTCGATCGAGTGGCCGTACTTCTTGTTCAGCGGCCAGCCGATTGTCTGGTAGAGCTCCTCGATGGGTGTCTGGGTCTTCTCGGCGACGTGGCGCATGATGCTGTGGACCATCTTCGACTTGTTGTAGCGCTCTTCGCACTTGACGATATCCTCGGGCGACACACGACGCTTCGACAAATCAATGTAACCCTTGTCCTTGTCGACACGGAGCACGACGACGACCTCGTTACGGCCGACACGGATAAGCTTCTGGATGGATCGGATACGTCTGCGCGACAGTTCGGAGAGCAGAATCATGCCGTCGATGTTGTCTGCGCTGGTCAGTGACCGCCAGCAGCCCGTGCAGTGCTGCACCTACCATACTCGAGCAGCTTGACGTATGCGCCCATCTCTGCGATCTGCTTGACGTTGACCATAACGAAGCTCTCCACCTCGGGGTACTTCTCCTCGTAAAACCGGGAGTTTGTGAGAGACATGGTGTGGATCTTCTGCTGCTGTGCCTCTAGAAGGGTGTAGGGCGTCGCTCGACTGTTGAATAACGTAGGTGGGGGAGTGGTTCTCGTATGCGTCCGTAAGGCGAAAGTGTCGTGAGGCTCTACGTTTCAGGCCCGGTGGGGTTTGTTCGGAGGCAAAGGTTTATCCGTTGCGTGCGTCGGGTGCTGGCAGTCGTCGAACTTTTGGTGACTCAATTTGCCCACATCGAAATCCAACGCGGGGCGGCTGCGGCGAACAACGCCAAGATCCGACATGCGCTTGCCGTTTCGGGCAAGCTTCCCTTCAACTTCACCATCAGCAACGCGACTATGTTTTATCTCTCCATGCTTCAGACTATCACAGATGCAAGATCCCGAGCAAAAGTACATCTCGTAAGAACAGGAGTTGAAACCATGCTAAGTTGGAAGTCGCCTGGAGGGTTCATATCACACACGTGCACACACTGAACTGCTAATCTACAATTAAATTATGTCGCTGGTAAAGTAGGATCGTCGATAGTATTCGAACTCGAGGCTCTGCTGTGATTTGTACTTTATCTGTATGCGTCTCGTTGGCATTCTCGCTTCTTCACTGCCGTCTTTCAAACGATATACCTGAGTATCCTTTCTTCAGACAGTCATTTCATAGACCATTTCTCATCATCAATCTACCCATCTCCCCTGGGGGCTTCACCATTACTACATGCCTAAGCCATTTAAAGAAACTTGCTCATTGCTCACACTGAAAAGAGAAGGAGCGATTCAGACTTTGCACGCAAAGTAGTTGCGCTTGAGCTTGCAGCCTCGTCCAGTCCGAAAACTGGTGAAACGCTTTCAGCAGTTCGATCAGGGTATTGCAAGCTTGCGCTACGGCTGCCACGTTCGGCTGCCACGTTCGGCTGCCACGTTCGGCTGCACCCACTAGAGCTGCACCTGGCACGTGAACTCGAGCAGACGATCTCAAAGCGGCAGTGACCTCGCTGCTTCACTCAAGGTGAAAGTGGCAGGGTCGTTCGCTGTTTGTCTCATTTCCCTCTCCAGCATCGCGCACTCTTGGCACGCACCGTCCCTCCACTATAAAATACACACACCCCCGCGCTCACTTCTGCCCCTCACCGCACCACCTACACTCTTTTGACTCAAGTTCACTCCAACCTACCACAACCTACCGCAACCTCAAACTCAACACCTCAAAACTTCACCATGCGTCTCCTCAACACCATCGTCTGCATCAGCAGCGTCCTCATGGCCACCGCGTCCGCCGGCACGCCCGCCTCCTTCGAGGTCCCCGGCCCCGCCACCACGCCCTCAGTCGAGCCCACCACCACCATCTACGAGACGTCAACGCAGTTCCTCACCTCAGCCGTGATCGTCACTGGCGTGCCCGCTAACAGCAGCGCCGCCACGTCAAGCTCCTGCTCCGAGACGCTCCCCATCGAGACCGTCTACCCGCAGAACAGCACTGCCGTCGTGCTGCCCACCTCGTACCCCAACACCACATCCACCGTCATCGTCAACGTCACTGCCTCGGTCTCCACCGTCGGCACCACGTCCAAGGTCGGAACGGTGTCTGCATCTGCGTCTGCGAGCGTCAGCGAGGTGCCTGACAACGGCGCGGGCAAGGCTGCTGGGAACGCCATGCTCGGTCTGGGCGCTGTTGCTGGCTTCATGGCGCTGTTGTGAGTGGACGGGAGTCTGCGAACATGTCTGCGAGTCGACTGTGGACAAGGAATATCGCGCACAGCATGGTTATCTGCTTTCTCTCTCGAAAGCGAGGGCGGTGTCAAGCTGCGCTTCGGCCATCTTCGAGTAACGCTATGTTGGGTGCCGATCTGGAGGATGATGTAGAACCTTAGGGTGCATCAGCCAGTCACTACAAATGTCAACCGAATAGCAAGTACCAATTGTTCCCCCGTGATGTCCTTCTTCATGTCGTGTATAAGCCACGAGAATCTCTCACTGCTCTCATGCCTCGACACCTTCACCGCCAACAGCATTTGCGCAAAGACTCGAATGCGAATTATGTTATTAGAGAAATACGTGTATACAAAAGCACCACACCCCTCTTATCAATTATCCAACCTTCGAACGCCTCGGATGCCAACCACCTCACTTCGCCGGCCCCGCCTCCTCGATCCTAAAATCGCTCTCACGGCCCTGCACACGCTCAATCTCATTCTGAATCGCCAACACCCAATGATCCCGCTCCGCGCGACTCCTCGCGCGAAACACGACACTGCGGCCCTTGCTGCCCAGCTTTGCAACGCGCTTGAGCTTCGTCCGCTTCCCCTCTTTGCGCTGCTGCTCGCCCGCGCCGCCCGCGCCCTCCTCGGCTCTGAACCAGCTCTTGGATTTGCCGTGCCAGATGACAAACGTAGTCATGACGTCCTCGTCTGTGCTTGTCCAGCCGTCTTCGAGATAGATGCGCGGCAGCGCGTGGTGCCCCGGTTTATTAGCGTCGAAGGTCTGGTTCTGGTACAGCAGATCGGACTCGGTGAGCAGGCCGCTGTAGATGTAGCAGTCGCGCAGGTCGAGGTTGGCGATGCGCTCGTGGTGGATGTGCGACAGCTGCTTGCCGACGCGGGAGCGCAGGACGTCGCGGAACATGATCAGGGTACCGGCCGCGAGGATGACGCCGCAGCGCGTGAAGGGCGCGTGGATGCGGGGTTTGCGGTACAGCATGCCCGACATGTGGATGCTGCGGCAGCACGCGATGCCGCACATGTTGTAGAGCTGCGGCGAGGCGAAGGATTGGGTGACTTCCCACTTTCGTGCGAATTGGCCGATGTGTGCTTCGCCTTCCTCGTCGATGTTTAGGGCGCTGAGGTTGCGAGTTCGTGTAGATTTGTACAGGGTAATGTCGGATGTTGTGCGGTGTCTCCAGTACTTTACAAGGGCCCGAAGATGGGTAATCCACTGCTTTCGGCGTGGCTTATCAGCAGCTTGTAGGCGAATGATCAGACCGTTCTTCATGACGAGCTCGAAGGTGCGGTCTAGATCGATGTCAGTCGCGACCCCATCTTCACTTCTCGAGCCATCCATATCGACATCCTCGTCAAAGTCTACGTCGGACCCTTCCTCAATCACTTCGTCAATAGGGCTGGCGCCTAGCCTCGCCTTTCGGACCTTGTTGATGTTGGTCATGTTGATGTACCCGTCGCAATTGAGCAGATTGTGCTCCTTGCGCTCGAATTCATCAGCTGCATCCTCGTCGTGGAGCCGCCTGGTCTCAGGTGTGCCGGAGTGACCTTCCCTCAGCCATTCGATCTGCTTATCCTGCACAGGGTAGGGGTTCACTGCCCAATTATCCGGCGTATGGTCCTGTATCGCCTGCGATGTGGGGACTGCCGAGTTCTCGGATATGGGAAGTCTGGGTGGCGGTGGCGGTGTGACTTTCGTGGGCCGCGAGAACATGAGATAATGATCGTGACTGGCGAAATACAGCTGCTTGTGATACATCAGTCCCAAGCGTTTCGCCCGCCCCTGTTGTCCAGTCAACCTAATGAGGAAGCCTTCCACAGGAACAGGCTCAGTCAGGGTCTTCTGCTTCTTGCGAGTGACAGCTGTTGTCGGGTAATGTGTCTTCGGCCGCAGTTCAAGCTCGTGCGACTTGAGCATTGCAATGGTGCCGTACATCTTGCGCTCGTTTGCCCCGTAAATCCACTCCAGGCGGTCGTAGCGCTTCCATGCGAGTCCTATTCTCTGCTCCTTTGTCCATGCTTCCAACACGGTGGCCCACTCGGGTGCATCTTCCAATTGGTCGAGACATTGACGAACCAGCTCTTGCGCGACGGCCTGCTCCTCTTGCATAGTTTTCAAGATTGCCTCTTCGGTGTTGTCTGCAACACAGACTTGATTTTGCGAAGCTTCCAACTTCTTGAATGGGTCGGCAATTCGCACGCTAAGACTCATGTCTGGGATATTTATCTGAAGCTCGGAAGCGCGACGCCAGCCGAGGATATTTCGCAGAAACGTGTACCATTCGACGGCATTGCAAGCGGTCCTGGCTTGCATGATGAAAATTAAGGACTCCCTGCGGCCAGGCATCGACACTACGATAGACTTGTCTAGAGATGAGTACAGATTGACTCTGCTCGTCTTTCGACCGAGAGGTATCTCGTATGCGGCACGCTTGCCTGCACCCGCTTCTTCGATTTCTGGGATGACCTGCGACAGTTAGCATGAACGTAATGGAGCCGAAGTGAAGGCTTACTCGAGTCTGGTAGAGCTGCAGCAGAAAGTCAGACTCGTCCGTATGACTGTGCCTGCAGACTATCATGTACTCTCGCCACTTGTCCTTGACTCGCGAGACCACTCGTTGGTTGACGTTCTCGTCGAAATCCTCGGGGACTTCATCGGCGGCGTCAACGCGAACGAGCATGCGTTCCATCTTGACCACAAGGCCGTCTTTGATAGTCTTCCGTCGCAGCTTCGAGCCCGCTCGCTGGATGGTCATTTGCGCTTTCTTGGCTTTGAAGTGTACTGCTTGGCGCTTCGAGTCCTCCGGTATGTCAAACTTAACCAGATGGCGTAGGGTTGATCCCTTCCGTGTCAAGTCCTGAGCAGGTTGTTCTGCAGTATTTGAGGTATCTGATTTGAACAACGCCCTCGAGGATCGCATCCTCGTTTTAGCGAGAATGCCCCTGGGTGGAGGGGAGGCGGGAGCTTCAGCATCAGCATGCGCCGGTGCCTTGTTCAGGTCAGTTTTTCGCAGCAGAGACGAGGTTGAGTCAGCATCTACCGAGGGTGCTCCTCCCGTAGTAGATGCCGCTGCCGCAAGACTTGTCACTGCAGACAATGGCTGCTTGCCTACGGATTTGCTGCGCTCTGGCTCTCCCTCGGCAGGCAACTGCAGGCCATTAGCCTGGGCCTGCGTTGGCTCCTCCGCACGTGGTGTCTCGGCATCCTCCTCTTCTGACTCGACCTCATGATCGCCGCCTGCGGTATCTGGCATGGACGATGCGGTGACGAAGGACTTGGTGCTCGATCGATGGGGTAGCGGCGGCTTTGTAGGATCGAACTCCTCCTGATGTGTATAGACGCGCAGGTCCTCTTCATCGGCGTCATCTGGCTCGGACGCCGCATCGACGAACTCATCATTCTCGTCGCCGACTAGGACGTCCTCCTTTTGCACCGAGGCGCGAGGCACCTGCATTGCTGGAGGCGCGCTGGAGCTCGCAGACGAGGCGCCATTGGCACCACTGGCGCCTGCGGGCTGAGCGTTGTCTTCCTCAACATCGAGTTCCTCAGGCTGGGGAAAGCTGTGCTGGAACAGAGCAGATGCGCTGGGCCCCTCGACTCCACTGAGGCGTCGTTGGCGAGCTTCGCGAGGATCGGACGAGAATGTCGCGCTACGCGTCGAGTAGTTGATGCGCAGGTGGTGCTTGTACCAGTCGCGTCGGTGCTTGCTCAGCCATGCTGTCTATCACTACTATGAGCAGTCGTACATCAACGGGAGTGGAGCAGCATACAGGGACAGGGCCGATGAAGAAGCGCCTGGAGGTGAGGTAGAGGTGCTCGGGGGTTGCATGTTGCTGCGCATGTCAGCTGCTGCACTCGCTGCACAAGGCGTGCTATGTACCAGCTTCTGCGCCGTGTAGGATTCAGGCGAGAGGAGTCCTATGTCGGGCTGCTGGTGCCATGAGTGTGGCGCCTGCTCGAGATCGGGCATCGGACCTCTGGTGTTGCTGTCTCGCCGCGGGGTTCAGATGGCTCACACACGTCGCACCAAGAGTCAGACTATTTTACTAGACATTAAGATAAGAATATCAGCTAAGGAGAGACAGCTGCCGCGCAGCAGGCGTAGGCTGCCTGGGAAAGCAGGATGGCAGTTTCCTGGGCGCCGTTGCCGCAAAAGGAGCCGTCCACCCGTCTTCGTCATGCCGCTTGCGCCCCTGCGCCCATCATATTGATCGGCCCGCCTGGACCTGCGAACATCGTCAACAACCACCAACACGCTGCGCTGTCTGGACCTTTGGCGTGACCCAACAGCCCGTGCTGATTGCGGGGTACGTGCTGTGTCACGTCTGTGTCTCCTTGCTCTGCGACCGTCTCCACTGCCATGAAGCCTTCAACCACATAAAGCGCCGCACGGAGTTAGACGCGCCAAAGCTGGAGCTACGACGATGTTGTTCTTACATAAGTGTGGCTGAGGTTAGCAAAATGCCTTGGCTATCCTAACGGCCTACCTAAGGAACCAACTTTGTGCAACCACAATTTGTTTCGAAGTCAAACTCGAATCCAGCTCGCAAAGTCACCTCCGGCGCTCGAGTAACGCAACACACCAGCATTGTGACCATTTCCGAAAACCAGGACGAGCCTCTCGAAAATATGGCAGGTGTTTCTATACGCAAATCGATTCGCTGGCTTCCAGACCCTGCATCGGAACCAACCTCCACCATTGTGCTTTCCTCTGCGGAGCGAAGATTCGTCGACATTCGAATCCTGAAGCCCGAGAATGGGGGGTTGCAAGATCAAAAGGGTACAAACGCGTTCCCCGCTTTCAACAGCCACGCTAACGGTTACAAGAGCACTTGAACTTAAAGCAGCTGGATTGGGCGATTGCAGGAACTTCATCATCAGTTGAAACGGCCCCAGGTGTAAAGCTATCCACCTTCCATCACTGGATCGACTCGCGGACTGTCGATGTCGAAGCAGCCACAGATGCGGGGTACATGTCCCCGATGGACCCTGACGGCGAAGACGAGCTAGTGCTGGAGAAAGGGAACATGGTCAACCCTGAGACAGGTTCGCCGACTGACTACGAGGAAATCTGGATCGAGAAGGAGCTGAGTCCCGTGCCTGGCGACGAGGCGAGTCAGATCGTGGTTCTCGATTTCGACCAGGGCGCGCACCGCCGCGGCAGGATTGTGAGAGTCGGGACGCGCTGCCAGGGCCTGTTGAGAAGCGAAGATGAAATCGCGGCTGAGCGATGGGAATGGACCGCGGAGAAGGGATGGTCGCGTAGCCATTTGATCGGTCGCGATGGCGCCTTGCCGTGTGCGAAGTTTCTCGACTCTCCGGTCGGCGATACCATCACGCATGATGGGATTACGTGGAATGTTGTCGAGCGCAGCTAGTACATTTGACCATCAAATCCCCCGCTGAGAAGGCCAAGCGTGTTCGTCATTTGTGATACCGAATTCTTTACTTTCTCAAACATCATTGACCATGGAAGGTTCTCACCCCGGAATGGAATTGACTAAAAGAACGCATCTCGAAACGACGCCACATAAACTCATTTGCTCGTTTTGGGCCATATCTCGGCCTCGTTGGATTTTTTATACTACTACTCACGAGTGAATAGACTACTGCTTAGTGTTTGGGTATACCTTCACTCTCAACCCCTTAGAGTCCTCGGGCATCACAGGGAGAACAGTGTCACTTGTAATGACCAGGTCAGCGGCACTCGTCTCAAACAGCTGCAACATCCCAACGTCATCCTTGCTCTTGACCTCCTCGGTACCATAGACCCTAAACAGCGCCGCCAGCGTAAGATAGAGCTCTGCATAAGCCAGGTTGATTCCAAGACAAGCTCGACCACCCTTGCCAAACGACACCAGGTAATGGTCGAGGCGGGGGTTATCAGCCCAGCGTTGGGGCTTGAACTCGTGCGAATCGGGGAAGACACGCTCATCATGGTGTACCAGGTTGCTGGTCATGCTCAGCGGTGTACCAGGCGGGATGTGCCACTCGCGCTCGTTGCCAGTATCGCGGTAGACGAGCGTCTCATCGGGGCAGATGCGGTGCAGGCGATGCGAGATGGCGTGGCTAAGACGCACGCCCTCTTGGACCACACCAGTAAGGAAGGGCAGAGACTCAAGCATAACGAGGCTCAGAGGCTGTGAAGGGTCGGGAATGGCAGTCTCCAATTCGGCCTTGAGCTGACGCAAAAGTTCTGGAGCGGCGAGCACAAAGTACGTCGACACGCCCAGCGCCCAGGCAGTAGTGATGGTCCCTGCAGCAACGACGACTTCGCCCTCTTGCCAGAGACGATCAGTTGACTTATCGTAGTCTGAGAGCTTGCTGTTGAGAATCTCGTGGAAGATGGTGCGGCGTGTCTTGTCGTAAGTGTGCGTCTGGTGTGCGTGCTGGATCTCGGCAACCTGGCGCTTGACCCCAGCCTGGAGCTGAGTATACGCGCCCATTGCTGGGCTCAGCTTGAGCAGCAGGGAGTCGGGAAGCTTCTTCAGCAGGTCCATCAGCCACGTGAAGTGCTTCAGCACATGTCCAGCTTTCCCGCCCTGCAGCATTGCGTCACGGAACGATGGATCAAAGTCTGGGGCCTCTAGACGGTGTTCGCTTCTTCCAAAAGCGTAGTCCTCGACAATGTCTAAGATTGGATTAGTGTCTGATCTCTAGAACCCAGGGGGTGTCTTACCGTTCGTCAGTGCTGCGTAAGCATCATCCAGCTTCAGAGGTGAACCAGAATCGGCAAACTGGCGCAGGCGCTCGAGCAGGATCGCCATGTTGCGGTCAATCAGTGGCTGCAGCGCTCGCACGCTCTGCTTGGAGAAGTACGGGGAAAGAGAAGCCCTACGAATGCGGTGCTCATCATGCTTGAGTGTGCCGATCAAGCTCTCATCAACGCCAAAAGACCGGGTGATCCAGTCCCACTTGTCTCGCTTGCGTCCACTGCCAGCATAGACTGTGTCATAGAAGTCGGGGTCTGCAATGTGAATCTCGTCCGGATTGATGCGGACGATGGGACCTGGACGCCATTAGTTCAGTTGATCAGAATGCGAATCAGAGCAGATGCCTACCGTATTCCTTGTGGAGACGGCCGATCTTGAAGGTGTACTCGGGCTCAGCAACGACATCGTACCAGAACTCGTACCAGTAAGTCCATGCTGCAAGCCGTGGCCCAGGGAAGTGAGCGATTGGACTCAGGTAAAGACGATACACAGTAACATAGCAGAAGTAGAGAACGGAAACCACAAGCAGAGACACAAGGGTAACTGGGAGATCTACCCCCGCAAGTGCAGAGCCCAGTATCGTCATATCTGGGGTTGTTCGACGTTGAAAAGAGATGAGCGAGATGAAGAGAACGAGAAGCCCACAATCGATATATAGTACTTTGATAGGGATTCAGCTTGCTTGAGGTTTGTTTGAGCGTCTGCCGCGGTGTGTCCGAGAAGGATCCACTACCGAACCGCGTTGCATGCTGTGTACCTAACTTTTGGACTGAGCCCGGGGACCCACTGTTCACCCACTAATGCAGGGAGTACGTGCGTGCCAATAACCCGGTCAGATAGATGGACTAGGATGTCACCAGCTTCCTAAGCTAACGCTGACAAGAAGGTCCGCATCTAGTACAAAGGCAGGCTATCGTCCCCAGTAGCGTTCTTGCATCAAACATCAACTCAACCTTGCCTCCAGGCCTCCAACGAGAACTTGTCTGATTACACATCCCGGCCCAATGGCTCTAGAACGTGCAGATTTTGTGGGCCTCATGTGGCTCACAACGCCCTTTCTGCTCCTATTGGGCTCTCGCATACGCCAGCAGCTCCGATGGCTCCTTCTGGTTCCATTTCTGATCCTTTGCCTCGCCGTCGTTTTATCCGTTCCTTACGGCACTGATACGGCGAAAAACTACACTTTCGGAACAGGTTAGACTACATGCTCAATTCTATTCATCACAGACGCTAACAATGCCACTTTGCAGTCCTCTACGTTGGCTTGACAAACTTCAACCTGCTCGTTCTAGAAGATCCATACGTGGAGCATGTACGCACCAGAGTGAATGGTGATGGAGAGAAGATTCGTCCAGCCTTCTACTCGCTTCCGTCGTTAGAGCAAGTCCGATGGTGTTTCAGTAATGCTTTTTCGACTCGAGGAATTGGCTGGAGCTGGGGCACTGCACGTCTTCCGCCAGCTCCTCCAGCAGGCTTTTCCAAGACGTCCTTCTTGAAGATGTCACTGCGGAGGATCCTGAAGCAATATCTCATTCATGACATTGCAGGTGCACTTCTTCAAAGGTTGACCGACGGAGGACAAACGAGCGTACTCGACCTCGGTTTCTCCCTTCGAAGTTTGGCCACCGCATGCTGGTGGGCGTCAACCATCGCGCCAATGGACATTGTATACCATATCGTGTGTATGATCGGTGTCACATCTGGACTCTTCTGGAACGTTGTTGAAGAGGTCCATCCGCTGAAAGGGGCGTGGGCAACATGCTACACGCTGAGCAACTTTTGGAATCGCACATGGCACCAGAACTTCCGCAGAGCACTTCAAACCCCGAGCCGCTATATTGCAAGGCACGTCGTACGTGCCCCTAAGGGATCTCTGATGAGTCGCCAGGTCCAGTCTCATAGCGCTTTTGCTATCTCTGGAGTCTACCATTGGGCAGCTGCAAAGCTTGCCGTTCCATCGGAGGGTTTTCAACAAACAGCCCTTTTCTTTGCGGTCATGCCAGCGATCATGTTCCTGGAAGACCAAGTTATCTCTGCCGCTCAACAACAGCTTGGATGGAAGAGTCAACAATGGCGTTACTTCGGATTTCTATGGACTTTTTTCGTCATGACTTCGCTAGGTGCGGGTTTCGTGGACGACTGCGTCAGACATGATCTCGTTACTTCATTCCCAGCTCTTCCACTTTCTCCTACACGTACCGCTTTGAACCTGTGGAGCAGGTAGTAGAGTGTTTTTAGGATCTCTGGAGATTTCTTCATTTTGCCTGTCTTGGGAGACCAGCACTTGAACTCGATAGTGACTTAGTTAATCTTGTGGCCTCCGGGTACCAATGCAGAGAAAACGCCCTCTGCGTCATAAACTTTTTGAACTCGCTTCAAGAACTTGATGTTCTCGTCCCCATAGCTGCCAACAGGATCCTGTTCTTTTGCCGCGTAGTTCATGTACTTGAAGGGATGATACAGGCCTCTCTCCTTGGCAGCTGAGACGGACTGATCAAACACGGACTTGATACCAGCGATGACCTTCTCATCATCGGATTCATGAGACCATTCCCATCCGAAAGAACAGACTGATGCACGATTAGCCAGGACCATTGGAGTGGAATTATGCAATACTTACGGATCAAAGGCGCCTTGTCATCATGGAGACCCATCATGTTTTCGCCACGATCGGCTGAGGCTTTCAAGATGTTCTTGGTTATTGGTTGGATTCCCAACATGGGTGCAAATAGCTTGTCCTCCTTCAGTCCATTGTCTAGCGCCTTCTGGACTTGTTCCACGAACGCGTGCGCCATGAGCGCCAACAGTCCTTCGTCGGCGGTGAAGGTTGCTGTTGTGAACCGACTCCGCTTACCGGGAGGTTCTGCGTTGTTCAGCTCCTCTGCGAAGTCCATCAATGAACTCACTCTCGCCGTGCTGGCAATCTTCGGTGAGCCAAAGACCTCCACATCGTCTTTGAACTGGGTGAAGATGGCAGGTTCAACCCTTCCTAGCGTGTCATACTGCCCTACGGCCCAAGCAAAGTGACCCTGCATGAAGCCCAAGCCAGCAAACAGTGACGTGTATGGATCGGACGGAGCGTCGTGTGCGAACTTGACAAAGCCGCGTGTGACGGCAGAAGTCACTGATGGCAGCAGCGGCCACACATGCAGTCCTCCCCAAATTGGCCCCTGCTGGAATGTGTCAAGATCGAAACGAGTGACAACGCCAAAGTTGTTTCCACCACCGCGCAGAGCGCGATAGAGGTCCGGGTTTGATGTTTTGGAGGCGGTTGCTAGAGTGCCATTTGCAAGGACCACCTGTGAGTATATTAGCATGCATCTCACACTCAGAATGAGGTTGTTACCTCGTAGCTGCGAATATTGTCACACCCCCAGCCGTGACGGCCGGAGAAGTGGCTCAGTCCACCACCTAGTAGTAGTCCACCAACACCAACTGAAGTGAGTCGGCCGCCTATAACGGTGTTGTTTGATTTTTCCAGCTCCTTGTACACATCGCCCCAGATTGCGCCTGCGCCGACCCGGACTAAGCTTTCACTTTCGTCGAATTCGACACTGTTCAAGCCCGCCATATTGACGGTGATGCCACCATCGCTGTTGCTGGCACCTGGAATATCTGATTTGCCCCCACCGCGAACAGCGAAGGGGCAACCAGTCCTGCGCGAGACCGATATGACGGCTGCCACATCTCTGGGAGATTGAATGTGGACAAGACACGCTGGCTGGATAGACTGCTGCTGCTGCGCCCAAAAGAGAGATTTCACAGAATCTCCGTCTGTGACCGTGGGGTTCTGTTTGAAATCAGACACGTAACTGCCAGTCAGCTCGACTGAGACTGCGTCAGAGAGAAGGATGCACTGCATGTGTTAGACGATGTGCTCTAGTTACTAAATATCTTCTTCAACATACGGCGTCATGACAAGATCCATAGTCTGCTGTTATGACTTTGCTGTTGGCAATGGCAGCGTGGATGGCACACAGCCCGAGCAGAGTTGCTGATTGCCGCATTTTCGTGTATCTGACAACGACGAACAAGAATCCCAAGAATTCAGCTTCGAAATGGTGCGGAAATAAAACAGCCTCAATTGTACAACATGTTAGGCCACCCAACGGCCCGTGAAAAGAAACTAGGCAACACTAGGCAGGGTCCGTCCCGCTGTGTTGATACAAGCACGAGCATGCCTATGCACTGACCCAGTTTAGTGCGAGATATACCCACTCCGTACGCTAGACTCCACAAGATGCAGCCACGGGGATCCTGCTTGTGGGAGCGAGGGAACACAGGCAGGGTACGCGGCAGTCTCCACAGCACAAAACCGCCGAGTCTAGGTTCAGTACAACAAGAGATAACAATATAAGATTCGTCTTCCGTCTGTGCTAGCCGAACAGCAAGGCCCCCAGCTGATTACGCGCTAGTGTTCACCTCGCCGATTCTCCCAATTCCCTTTACGCTGAGCTTCGCGAGACACAGGCGGAGCATTGGGTTCGCCTCGCCCGTCTGCTGCTCGAGCCGGTCAATCTCCACTTCCAGATCGCGTTCCATATCCGTCAGGCAAGCAATCGTCTTCTCAAATGCCCCACTTTTCTTCAGGCAAGCCGTCAAATGCTGCTTGCTCTCTCTCGACAAAGGACTCGCGTTGACAGTGGCCACCGTGGGGCGCTGTCTGAATACGCCTAGGAAGTGTCCGCGGTATTCGGGAAAATTTTCCAAGCAGTATACGACGGGATACGAGAACTTGCCTTCGTCTAGATCTTCACAGAGACCCTTTTGTGACGTGTAATCCTGGAAGTTCATGTAGTCGTCTCGTATCTGGAAGAAGCGGCCGAAAAGTAGCGTCAGTGTGTGAAAGTCCAATTGCGGTGTGACTTGGCTCTCTGCTTGCATGATCCGCAGCAGCATGCGAAACATGCCGCCGGTTTTGTGGTCGACCATGTTGACGTACTCGACCTCGCTTGGACATGAGAGGTTGTGCTTCCAGTACAGATCCCAGCTCTGGCCCAGATACAGGCCCTCGAGTTCTTCGAGGACCGCAGTAAGGGCAGCCGGGCTCAGATTCTGTGCGACTTCCTGCACAGCTCGCACGAACATGAAGTTTGCGCTGTTGATTGATTGAGCCTGACCAAACAGGATGTGCGTTGATGGATGACCTCTTCGGAGCGGGGAGTTGTCCTCGAGGTCGTCGAGAATAAGTGACGCGTTGTGCAGCGAGTTGATCACTGAATTGATTGCCTTGAGTTTTCCGGATGGCACGTGAAGCCATGTGTTGAGAGCTTCGATCAGTGTGCTACGGACGCCTTTCGAAGGCATACTCGAGACGTATTTTGAGGGTGCCTCCAGGGCCAGTTCAGATGGCTTATAATAAGGGTAGCTGGACACCTCAGACAGTTCGGACCCGTCGTCGCTGGACTTCGATTCCAAGGCGCGCGAGTCTTTTCTTTTCTTTAGTGGAGCCTCCTGCTTGCTGACCACAGTATCATGCGTAAGCTTTCTTTTGACACCGTTGCAGTTGGTTGAGCTTGCGTTCTTCCACGCATTCTGTCTTGGGCAAGCCGAGCACCAGTAATGATTTCCGGAAACAGCCAGCCCAGCGCAGTCGATCCAGCGTTTCAATTTTAATGAGATATTAGGATGGGTCTTGTAGAGCTCATCACGGCGCTCACAAAAGTCGCGCTCACTCTGGATGATTTTGCGTTTGACCGCATCTTTTGCTTCGTCGATTGAGAGTCCTTTCGTTCTCATGAACAAGTCGACAGCACTAACAATCCTCTTCGACTGTCCAGACTGGAGTTCCCTGTACTCTCGTTCCCAGCTGAAGTAGTCATTGGCCAACAAGAGCCCTTCGGTGGCTGCATCAATGATAGGCTGCACAAGTGCTTCCTCTGCTTCTGAAATGGACATCCCAAGGCTGAACTGGAGCATTGGCCAGAAGACCCTGATGGAGTAAGCATATATCTGCGACGTATATGACTGGGACTCTTACAGCATTCCACCGTTGTCACTGCGATACTTCAAGTACTCTTCCATGGTTTGCGCTTCCTTGTCGCTGTTCCTCTCGCTGATAGCGAGCCAGACGTCGCGGAACGCAGCAAGCATCTTCAGACCCAGTTCACGGTCAAGACTGATGCATTCAAGCATACACTGCGAGACAAGCTTCTTAGTCTTCATCGCCTTCGAATCTGGTGTGACACTGCCGACATCGTCAGGATTCAGGGCAGCGTAAAGATCGCCATTCTCGGCTTGCGCATCTTCAATGCTCAGGCCCTCGCCACCATCTGAATGTTTGTTAGAAACGTGAACAATATGAGGAAGACGAACATACCATCATGAATCAATCCTAGGTCGGACAAGTACGCCAGAACACCCAGTCTCTCGGGGATGGCTTCAGGATAAATCAAAGATGACCAGTTGCCCACTGGCGAGAAGGAGAAGTAGGTGTGCTGTTCCCGGCCATCTCCCATCTCCCTAGCCCAGTCCTTTACAAACTGACGGCTAGCTGCATCAGCTAAATCATCTCGAAGATGGAGACGGATAGGGAGTGTTGTGAAGCATCCAGTCTGTCGGGACTCCTCAGAGGGGATCAATTTCGACTGAAATGAGAGCGGCCCCATTGTATGATGTGTTTCTGGTTGGAAAATGATCAAAATGGAGAGTACAAGTATACTAGTCGTCTCGACTTCCTGCTATAAGTAAGACCTAAATGCAGCATTTGTACGTATTCTGCTCGGGCGTATTGGTACGTGATCCTCAATTCACCTGGATGTGATTAGCTCATCCAACCCCGATCTTCCCTGACCACTATCTAGCTGGAGAGCTATCAAGTCGGGGGAAGTCCCTGTTCTGTCGTGTTAATTGTGGGAACTATGTCGGCGACTTGAGGTCGGGCTGTTTGCAAAGCGCTTCCTTCTGCAGGGCATGCCTCCGCGGCTACCGACCCACTTTTGTCTTCTACTGTGCATTGTACGAAGCAAGTAGCTGCGACCTGCTAGTGTTATCACATGGAAATGTGTACTGTGCGCTATTTACCAATGATTGCCATTTATCCGCCAACAAGCTATTGTCTTCTAAAACGTGCCTTTGTGCACTATTTTTCAGGCGCGCTACTAACAGTCCCGTCTTGCCAGACCCTTGCTTTGAAGTCGTTCACACTGTGATCTATCCGAAAGACAATACCCCTGGATACCGAGCGATTTCTTTCCTTGACAATTGATTCTATCATCAGATAAGAGATGTAAAATCCGTGATATCTATCATGCGAATGTCGTTGGTAGAATGTCAGCCGCTGACGCGTAGTCAGGCGTCCAGGGTCTAATGTTCCTACATACGCCCCACCCGCTGATCCTGGTATTCCCACGCTAATGTCAAGCTACTGTTTTGCGGAAGGAGCAAGGTGGTTTAGCGTATCTGTCTAGCCGAATGCGGTAAATAGGATCCAGCACCATAACCAATTTCAACCTAGAATCATCCGTGGTCTGCGCCACCAACGGGCGGCTCGAACGATTATGCGGCTTCAACTTCATGGGGCTCCCGTCGGGGACTACAGGAGGGGATTTGATGACCCGAGACAGGGACTCTAGCTTGCATGTAACAGTCTCGACCAGCCGTGCAGGATCTCGGGGGTTCTTGGACATAGTGTTGACCGAAGTGGGTTTGTGGACGATACTGTCGTTGCAGGCTTCAGCTTCGAGGCTACTATGAGGCGGACTTGAGTCTGGGCGGCCTTTCAATTTTCCTGTCACACAACAAACTGTTCCTCGAACTGTAGTTGGAACTCAGTCTGCACACCGATACCATCATGGCAGTGACTTCCTTCTTACAGCAGTTGGACAAGGGCCCGGCGATTGTTGCAGTGGCAACGGTTGTATGTCCTTTCACTCCCATGCTGATTCGTCACGTGAACTGACAAGTTTACCCTTGCAGACTCTCCTCGTTCTAACATCGATTGTGATCTATGGATGCTACTTACATCCACTTGCTCACATTCCGGGTCCTTTTCTGGCCAAGTTTTCTCCAGTGAGTCTTTGGATCATGCTTAATCACTCCTGTTCTGACCAGGAAAGATATGGGGTATGAGAGCGCTCTACCGCATGAGATTCAATTCAGAACTCCAAGCTCTTCATGGAAAATATGGCAAGAACACCCAAGCCTTGTGTCGCAGCCCAGCTAATTACAGACAGGGCCTGCCGTACGAGTTGCACCAAACGAAGTGTCCTTTGCGACGTTTGAAGCAGAAACAGCGATATATGCAAAGCAAGAGGATGGTCGTTTCTCCAAGGCTGGAACGTTCTTGACGCTGTTCTCAGATCTCGTCTTGAACGCCCCCACACTCATCACAATTCCGGAGCCAGCGCTCCACAAGAAATTGCACAAGGTGATCCAACAGGCCTTCACCCCCCAAGCCCTCGCAAGCCAAGAGCCGATCCAGAAACTGCACATTGAACAGGCGTTTCCTGATTTCGATGAGACTGCTGCAAAGGGCATCGAGATAGATCTAGCCGACAGATTGGAGACCATGTTTTGGGAGATCATTGGCGACCTTGCTTTTGGTGAGCCACTGATGGCGGGAAAACGACGTAAGTTACACAACACCGTGAAGTTGATAGTAAGCTAACCCGTGCAAAGCAACTTACGAACATCTGAAACAGCTAGGTAAAGGATCAATGCCCATGGTAGAGGCCTTGAGCTTCATGCTTGTCCTGCCTGGCGTGGCTCCTGCGCTCGAGACGGCCAGAAGTCTTCTCTCGGCGATGCCGATTCCCTCTCAGCTTTCAAAGCTTGTGCCATCTAAGAAACTACGCGAGTGAGTACTTTGTAGATCGATTGGTGCCGATGTTCTGACGTGTTTCTAGTTGCATCGACAGGCAGGATGGCCGAGAAGATTTCATCTCGGCTATCATGGGGAGTGAAAAGCAAGGCTTGACACTCGATGCAGATGCTTTCTTCAGCAATGCCATGGGTTTGACGTTAGTAGTTCCCTTTTCTATTCGATTGAGCCTTACTAATAGCGGCAAGACTCGCTGGGTATCAGACTACAGCTACGACACTGGCATCCACATTCTACCATGTTCTGCGCTATCCAGACACTTACACTGCTCTGTGTGCGGAAATACGCTCTGCCTTCACCACTGAAACCGACATCACCGGCGAACGGCTCGCAAGACTACCGTTCCTGAACGCGTGCATCCGCGAGACTCTGCGCTTGCTTCCACCCGCAAACGGTAAAACAGCTCAGCGCACCGCCCCCTCATGTAACATCGCAGGAACATATATACCCGCAGGTACCATCGTCTCGGCAGACCTGTACTCGATCCAGCGGTCGCCAAAGTACTTTGTCGACCCTGCTAACTTCCGACCCGAGCGATGGCTTGATGGCGCCGAGCAGAACGGGTTCGAAGAAGACAACAGGTCTGCCAGTCGTCCTTTCTTGATTGGAAGTAGGGCGTGCATTGGGAGGCACATGGCGCAGCAGAGCATACGGCTGATCATGGCGAAGTTGCTGTGGAGGTACGATTTCGAGCTGTTGGATCGTGATGGATTTATCTGGGAGCGGGATGCGGGCAGCAGTCTCATTTACACTGACTACAAACTTATGGTGCGTGTAAAGAAGATCTGAGGAGACGGGAAAGTAGTTTGAGCTATCTGAAGTTGAACTCATGCACTGTAGCTCCGTTTTCACAGCTGATTCCCCTGTGGAATTCTCCCAATCGGTATCTATTACACTATCTATACCGAAAATCAACAACCATGCTCCTCTTCATATGAAAAGAGCTGTTAACTACACGAGCAGAATATCTCTGTCTTCTAGGCCCATCCCGTCTACCTCTCCACCCATCAGACCGTGTACGTACGCGTATCCGATCAACGTGTAGGCCTCATTGGATCGACCAGGTACCCTACGTAGTACGTGTGGTGTGTTCAGCCCGTGGAAGACACAAACTTTGTCGCCTGCAACAACTCCTTCGCTCGTGAAGCCAATTGACCCGCAGGCAGTGCGAAACAGCCGCCGTTCTGTCAGAGTCATCTCGATGTTCGTTAAAAACTGCCCAGTATTTAAGTTCAGATCTCGGATCCGCGCTCGAGCTACTATCGCCCAGTCAAATGGAAGACGAACATCTTTTAGCTGGGCATTGGACACAGAAGATCTGTACGTCTTCTTCCATTGGCGACCAAACTTTCCCAGAGCTTCATGGAAGTCACTGTACGCTTGGCGAGCCTCAGTTTCTTGTTGCTTGTCGAATCGGGGCCCAAGTAAGGTTTGCCAGTAGTAATCGTCTCGCTTAGAAGGTAGCTTCAGTGTTGCTTTGATCTGTCTTTGTACATTACGCCTTCCTGAGCACAACTCGTATGCTTGTTTCTCCCACTCGAAGAGCGATGCTATCCTCTCGTCGCCTCCTTCGGCCATGGATGGAATTTTGGCGTGAACAGCATCAATACTGTAGACTGTTGTTCCTCTTATAATGAGATCTCCGTGGCTCTGCCCGCGTGCGACATAAGGTGCTCGGCTGCTAGCATTGTATGGCTTGTAGCGACCCCACTCAAACTGATCGAAATGCGTACCACCAGGTCCCATTACATGCCCGTGATGTAAGTCGGGTACCCACGAAGGGAGGTTGGGTATGTTCTTTCTGGCAGTGGCAGCTTGGAGCCAATCCCAAACCAACCCATCAACATTGTTGCGAAACGCCAAGAGAAGCAGTGCGGCAGTAAAGCTTGTGTAGAGCTCCGATACATCTCTGATCGCGAATAGATCCACTCCAAGTACTTCGTACTGCCTGGGACTGAGCAGTCCCAGTATCCCGAACACGCGATCTTGCGGTAAGAGACAATCCTGGAACATACTCGTAAACCTCAAAATTTCCAGTAGAGAATCTGCAAATTGCTGCACTTCTGTTCCATTTGACACATGAGTTTGATGGAGAAACTCCATTGCCAAGTGTCTGACAGTAAGCATGCTCACGGACTGCATTGCCGCTCTCATGAATTCATCGCCGTTTGAGCCAGCCAGGACGGGAGATAACACGTAAAGGAAGACCATAGACTGTATCAGCTCTTGTGTTATTACATGTTTGCCATAGAGAAAGCTTGCCCGCTTCGCAAGCGAATACTCTTGGATGACCTACACTCGTTGGAACTATCGATTGCCTAGTAGGTGCTTCAGAACCTTCAGTGTCTTGGGATCAATCCTTTCCAACGCAGGGAAATGTGGATTGTTCTTCAAGTTAGTTTCGTATTGCATATCAGGAGATTCCCACATAAAGCGTGATGCATAGACGATAGTGGGAAGCAACTCAATCGCTTGATCAACTGAGTCTGGATCCTCTGGGGGTTCAAGACAAACCCAGACCATTGCTGCTTCACGGTAGATGCGGTTCATAGAAGCAAGCTGAACGAGCTTTTCTTCGTGGTCGCCTTGATTGATACACAAAGCATCAATCCAGATCGGTCGAAGCGGCGTCGCAGTCATTGTCTCGTGTCCGGATGCCTTTTCCCACATCCAGTTATCCTCGGCGTCTCCAGTACTGTGAATAGACGAATAATTCACTCTATTATTAAAAGACGCTTCATTCTGATTATCGCGACCGGCCGAGTCGTCTTCACTGGCATAGGAGATCGTCCCGTTCATGTCTTGATTATGATCAGTAGGATCATGACTTCTCTCCTCTTCGTTCTTGACCGATACCCATCTCGGTCGATACGTGTTGCGTCGCGCAATGTTTGGCAGTGCCGTAAACAAATTGCGATGGACGTGGTGTCTCCGACCGTTCAAAGTGATGGGGAACGTTTCATCTTGTGCGCCCCACGTGTAGGAAAGAGCCTCAAACTCCAATTCATCGTCCAAAGTGACCACTTGCAATGTCCACGACAGGCCATCTTCGTCGTCTGTCGGCATCAACAGCCTGATCTGGCTCGGCAGTAAAGGTTCGTAAACGAAGGGCGGCAGGTCGCGATTGTCGCGTTGCGACATTTTGAAACTACTCCGGCGTGCTTTTGAGACTGGCTGTCGGTACTGCGGATGTTGCAGGAGAGGTGCGGGGCTGAAGGATTACGACGAGGCTGAGCAGAGAAGGTCACGTGGAAGGCTGACATGCAGCGGTAATATCCCAACAGATGAGCGTGGCCTGACGGCCTTCTACATGCAAAAGAACCGTATCACTGACTAGAGCCTCACAGATCACTATAGATGTATTGCATCGGAGGAAGTAGATTGCCCTCCCCACACCAACTTGCCTTTGGTCTCCCTAGACTACTTAGAAGGACGTAAGTCTTTAAAGTCAAAATTCTTTACAACTCCAGCAACAGCAACACCGTAATTGTCGGCGCTAACGTCTGAGACATCCAAATCGATCTTCGACTCCTCTCCAGTAGTGTTGATGAACCCAGTAAGAGCTGAGCCGTAGCTTGTAGCTTTGACCCCTTTGATCTTGTGCTGTGCTCGAGTCTGTGAAAGAGCTTCCTCGCACATTTTGGCAAAGTTCTGATTAGCAGCCTGTTGCTGCCTAAGCTCGTGAAGAAGCTCACTTCTGCTTTGATGAGCTTCTTCCACTTGCGGCAACGCAGCTACTACTTCGTTGTCGAGGACTTGCTGGATGTTGAGCTGTATCTCCCTTGTTTCGTCGGTTGTTCGGACAATTTGCTGCCGGGTCGTAGCTTCATGCGTAAGGAGCATCATCTCCTTCATTTCTTGCATCAAGTACTCCTGACGGGTTGCTGTGAAGCTAGAATATGTCAGAGCAGAACAAGCAGAATCGCGTGGGATAGGCGTCTCATACACTCCGACTGTAGCAAGGGCCATGCTGAGGGTACCTTTGCAGTCGCCCAATTGTCCTCTAAACGTCTTGATCCGTTCAAGCCCGAACAATCCGATTTTCCATCGGTCGACCCAGAACATCTTGTCTTGTGTGGAGTGTTTTGTCCAGGACTCGATCTGTAATCTAAATGTCTGGCATGCTCTTGCGCAGTTTTCGACTGCATGTTTGACAGGCTCGCTGAGCACAATCTGTGAAGCGTCGTCTTGGGCAGCTTTTCCTAGATCATGCAAAACCGGCTGAAGTATGCGAAGATCGGTACTGACAGCTCCGATTGTTTCGGGGGCATCTTTAATGTTGTCGATGGTTTTGACGAGAAACTGGACGCTTTGGACGGCTGCGGTAGTGATGCTAAGAACAGAGGCAGTGATGCTGACACCTTCCATCGTAACGGTTGGAGGGATGAATTGATCAGCAGTAATATCCAGTAGTGCAAAGACGGTAGCTATCAATTATGTATCACATTCAGCTAAGCTGCAGTCGGACAGTGATGAGAGGTTGTAGCCAATCAGCGAATGCATTGTAGCGCTGCGGCTTGTGACAGCCTTGCGAGATAAGGTCACATGCATACTGGGCTGAGCTCTGCTTATGTTGTAGAGGAAGACCGTTGAGACAGCAGCACAAACACAACCACGGACATTTCATCAGTGCAGTGACGTTGGTGACTCTACATACTGCAGGTACATGATGGCTAGCGGGTCTCTGCCCCACTTTCTTTCGATCCAGGAGACGTCCGCAACCAATGGAGGCCAGGGCTTCGCTGGGATCAACCTCGGAACCGTAAACTATGCTGGAAGCAATGCAACAACATCTGGTAAAGTCCCCTGAGTTACTTTCGTCTGCCTGCAGACAACTGACATTGCTTTCTTGCAGGCCTGACCGCAGCGGCCATCAAATGTCGTCAAGACCTCTTCCTCACCGATCCTGATCACGAGCGAGAGAAAGTGATCAGCGCGAAAGGCGACAGAGTCGCCGGGACTTGCGAATGGATTACACAAGACAAAAGCTACCGCCTCTGGCTCCAGGGCGATGGCGATGGCAATAGTGGTAAGGAGATCCGCCTGCTGTGGATCTCAGGCGGGCCGGGGAAGGGCAAGACAATGATGTCTGTTTTTCTGACACAAGAGCTGCAGAGGCACACAGAACGCATAGAAGGTGCAAATCTGATATTTTTCTTCTGCAGCGCCGAGGATGAGAGGCGCAACACAGCTGAAGCAATGCTGCGCGGACTGGTGCACCAGATTTTCGTCAAGCGGCCGCAGCTGATCAAACACGCGCTGCCATACTTTGAAACGCCGGAAAGAACAAAGCAGACGCTGTCGTCTCCTGAGGTGTTGTGGATCATCTTCAGCAAGCTTGTCGTAGATGTCGAACTTGGGACGATGTTCTGTGTAATTGACGGCCTTGACGAGTGCACAGAAATCACACTACAAATGCTGTTACCGCGGATAGTCAGCCTGCTCGCTGATGGAACTCAGTCGTCCAGCAAGGGTTCATTCAAGCTTACAATCGTCAGCCGAGACATGCTTGGCCTGCAAGGATGCACTAGAATAAGACTAGACCCCGACAACGACGAGAGCGTGGATGACGACATCAAGCTATTCGTGTCTGCCCGAGTTGTTGAGCTGTCGAGGATCGAAGGGTTCAGTGAAGAATTTCGAGCATTTGTGCAGACAGAGCTCCTCCGCCGCGCTGGAGGTACATTCTTGTGGGTGGGCTTCGCGATGCACGAGCTGTCGCAGAAGCAGACATGCAGTCAGATCTTGGAGGCGCTCAACGATTTGCCGAGTGGTCTTCCAGCGATATACGGCCGCATGCTGCTACGGATCCCGGCCAAGCGAAGGGATATGAGCCGGGCGATTCTGCGGTGGGTAGCACTGGCTGTTCGCCCTCTGCGGCTGCGAGAGCTAGCAGCTGCAGTGGGCATTCAGGCTTCATCACCTCGACTAACGGTAAAGCAAGCAGCCCGCGACGCTGTCATATTGTGTGGACCTCTGCTTAGAGTGCAAGAGCAAAAACTCAGTCTCGTTCATCAGTCGGCGCGAGACTACTTGGTTCGCAAAGTGGTTGACAACGATGCAGTGCTAGAATCATTTCGCTTTGAGGCTGAGAACGCACACCTTGGGCTGGCACAACACTGTATTGCGTACATGGCACAAAGCCCACTGCAGTATGGACACATCAGTTCATACCCCAAGCCGAATATCCAGAAATCCCCACTTCTAGAATATGCAGTGCACAACTGGTTCGAGCACGCAAAACGCTGTCCCACATTGTCGGCAAAACTCTTTGGCCATCACGAATTTTTTTGGAAGGAAGAGTGTTCTTTGCGCCAGCACTGGTGGAACTCCTACCCAGAACACAGGGAGCCAGAGATGCCGGTGCTACATATGGCGTGCTATTTTGGGATCATACAGTGGGTAGAAGTGGTGCTTGCGAAGAGCAGTTGGGAAACTCGCCGCTGGCGTATGAACGAAAGAAATCGCTTTGGGGAAACCGCACTGCACATGGCAAGTGGCTCGGGACGTGAGGCGATAGTGCGACTGTTACTGGTTAAAGGAGCAGACCCTGAAGCAAAAGCTGCATGTGGGACGTCAGCTTTACACATAGCAATAGCGAAACAGGAATATGAGGTGGCGCGGCTGCTGTTAGACAAAGGAGTAGACGTCAAGGCAAAAGATAGTGGTGGGAGCACAGCGCTACACATAGCGGTAACGAGAGGTAATAAGGCAGTAGTACAGCAACTAGTAGGTCTTGGAGCAGACCTAGAGGCAAGGGACGATGAGGGGGAAACAGTGTTACACTCAGCAGCATGCGGACAAACTGAGGAAGTAGTGCAGCTGCTAGTAGATCTTGGAGCAGACCTAGAGGCAAGAGACAATAAGGGGAACACAATGCTACACTCAGCAGTAAGGGGAGGGAATAAGGCAGTAGTAGGGCTGATATTAGACGCTGGAGCAGACCTTAAGGTGCAGAACAACAACGGGGCCACAGCCCTACATGTAGCAGCTTCATCTCCGTGGGGTAGAGATGAAGTAGTGCAGATGCTTTTAGAAAGAGGGGCAAACATTCAGGCAAAGAACAACGACGGGAACACGGCGCTACATATGGCAGCAGAAGCTGAAAACGCAAACAAGATGTGTATAGTGCAGCTGCTGTCAGATGCCGGAGCAGACCTCAAGGCGAAGAACAACAACGGGGACACAGCCCTACATTTAGCAATTTCAGATCTGTGGGATGGAGAGGAAGTAGTGAAGCTGCTGTTAGACGCCGGAGCAGACCTCAAGGCGAAGAACAACAATGGGGACACAGCCCTACATCTAGCAGCTTCAGATTGGTGGATTGGAGGGGGATTAGTGCAGCTACTGTTAGACGCTGGAGCTGACTTCAAGGCGAAGAACAACAACGGGGACACAGCCCTACATCTGACAGCTTCAGCTCGGTGGATTAGTAAGGAAACAGTGCAGTTGGTGTTAGACGTTGAAGCAGACCTCAAGGCGAAGAACAACAACAGGGACACAGCGCTACATCTATCAGCTTCAGATCGGTGGGTTAAGAAGGATGCAGTGCAGCTACTGTTAGACGCTGGAGCAGACCTCGAGGCGAAGAACAACAGGAGAGAAACTGCACTACAAGTGGCGGTTCGGGTGAAGAACGACGCAGCAGTGCAGCTGCTTTTGGAGAGAGGAGCCAAGGTACAGAAGTTGTTGAAGCGGAAGAGGCCTCGGGATTGAAGCAGGATTGACAGGGTGGAATGAAGCATGAATTCAAGGAGTCTATATGCAGACGCGAATGCCACAATGCCACAATGCTGCCACCAGACTGCTAAAAACGATATGCGGAGACTCCAAACTCACAGCGCAGACCTCAGACTCAAAACGCGCTATGCTCAATGCTCAAACCATCACTGCCCAAACCATCAATGCTCAAACACCACTGCTCATTGCCCACCACACACCTATCTCCCCCCCACCGCACTCGCCCTCGCACTCGTCCCCGCGCTCCCCACCCCCTCACTCCCCTCCTCCTCCGTTAGCCTCTCCAAATCCACCCTTCTTAACGCCTCCTCCACACCCCCCACAAAATGCCCCTCACCACCACACATCTCCACAACCCCACTCGCCTCCAGCAACCTCCAAACCTGACTGCCCCTGGGCGGCACGCGGCAGAAAAACACTCTTACGCCGCGCGCCCGATACCCAGCCACGATCTCACTCAGCACCTGCGCGCCGGCGCCGTCGAGCGATGTGACGCCGTGCACGTCGAAGATGACGTTTTGGTTGTGTTCTCTGCGGCGGATGCGGGGCAGCGCGGGGTGGGCTGCGGCAGTGCCGTGGTCCTCCAGCCTACTCAGCCTCGACCGTAAGTTGCCTGTGTTGGCGAATGTCAGGGGCTCCGGGATCTTGACGATCAGGCAGCCGGCGACGAATTCGAGCGCGTCGGGGGCGAGTTCGGCGTTTGCGAAGTGCGAGGTTGTGCCGGGCACGCGGCCGAGGATCTGGATGCGTGGGCGCACGGAGTGTTTTATCAGGCGCAGGATCGAGAGGCCAATGCCGACGCCGATGCCGCGCTTCAGGTCCCACACGATGGTTATCCCGAAAATCAGGCCCATGAGCGCGAGTTCGGACCAGCCGCGGATGCGCAGGAAGAACTTGATGTCGTGGGGGGCTTCCTCGACGAGCGAGTAGGCGACGACGGAGACCATGGCGCACAGGACGCCTTTGGGGAGGAAGTAGAAGTAGGGGAGCAGGAAGAGCGTGGAGAGGATGGTGATGATAGACAGGAAGATGTTGGACATGGGGGTCAGGCCGCCGGTGCTGGCGTTGACTTTGCTGCGGCCGTAGCCGCCGAAGGCCGGGAGCGCCATGAAGAGGCCGCCGGTCATGTTGGCGGTGCCGAGGGCGATGAGCTCGCGGTTGGCGCTGAGCGGCAGCTGGACGCCGTCTTTCTGCGTGTCGCCGGCGCCGAGCGATTTGGCGGCGACGCTGGACTCGAAGAAGCCGAGCAGCGCGATGATGAGGCCCGTGTTGACGGCGTCACCGGCGTATTTGAGGTGCGATGTGTCGAAGGGGAAGTGCACGGAGAAGAGCGCGCCGCTGGAGTTGACGTCGCCGAGGACCGCGAGGCCGTGCTGGTCGAGGCGGTAGTGCCAGGTCAGGATGGCCGAGAAGACGACGACGAGGAAGCGGTCTGGGATGTATGCGACGCTGGGGTAGCGTGGCTGGAGGCGCTTCTTGAACTCGCTGTGGCAGTTAGTAAAGATGTCGATGAAGTGTTTGACGCATCGATGTAGTGTTTGACGTACCGAAAGAACATGATGATGAAAAAGGCAGCGAACGACATGGCGCAGGTGAGCTTGTGCGCGCGGTGGATATTCTTGACGAGAAAGACTAGCTTGTCCAGCGAGCTGCCGTGGGCGACATGTTTCGCCGCAAGACGCGCCAGACCGGTCTCGGGAATCAGCTGGTCGATGAAGATGACAACACCAATCGCGCTGATGAAGCCGCGCAGGAACGGACGGCTCAGCACGTTGTCGAGGAAGCCCAGGCGGAAGATGCCAGCAACGAAGATGAAGCCGCCGGCCATGCACGTGACAATACCCGCAATCTCAGCATTCAAACGGCCGTCGCCCTCCCCGGACGCGCCCTTGGAGATGTTCTCGCGCACAATCTCGCCGACCAGCAGCGAACCAGGGGCCTCTGGTCCGACAATCATCTGCGGACACGTGCCCAGAATACCATAAATCAGCGGGTTGATGGCGAAGCTGTACAGGCCGTGGACGGGCGGCAGGTGGGCCAGGTTGGAGGCGTACGACAGGGCCATGGGGATGTAGAACGAGGCCATGGTGATGGCAGCGATGAGGTCGCCCTTGAGGTAGCGCCACTTGTACTGGCGCGTCCAGCTGAGCACGGGGATGTAGTACTGCAGGTACATCCAGCGCTGGCTCTTGATGCCGTGGCGCTCGGCGAGCCAGCGCGTGGTGCTCATGTTCTTCCTGTCGCCGCTGTTTACAACGCCATCTGCAAAGGCGTCGCCCAGCAGCGCGCGCGTGGGGTCCGAGGGGTCCTCCTCGCCGGCAGCGGTGCGCGTGATGCCGGGAAAGGCGCCGCCGAAGCTGCTGTCCGAGTGCACGCTGCCGGCGAAGCTGCCGTAGTTGCGGGCGACGCCCGGACGGGCCCAGTCGTCGCGCAGGGCGGCGTCGAGCAGCCGCGAGCGCGCATTCGGCTCGCTGATGTCGACCTCGACGATGCCGTCGTGCGGCGGGGCGGGGGCGAAGTCTGTCTGCGCCGAGCCGGCCTCTGCAGCGACATCTACATCGTCGGCGTAGTACGACTTGCGGCGCGGGCGGTGCATGGCCTCCTCGGGGCTGCTCGAGCGGTCCGAGGGCGCGTGGGCCTGGCGCAGCTGCGAGGGCGTGGCGGGCACATGGGCGTGGCGAATGCTGCCGGTCGAGGAGTCGCGCGAGTGGCCCTTGGAGGCGTCGTCGATCTTGGGCGGCATGTTGTGGTTGTTGTTGTCGTCGTCACCTTGCTTCTTGAGCACCTCTTGGATTAAGTGCCGTCTTGATTCAGCACTGCCTATGATTCAGCGCCGTCTATGATTCGCACCGTCTTCGCTTCAGCCGTTCAACCGGGCAAGCAAGTGTCACGGCGGGGCGCTCATCCCGTCACGAGCGCGGTGCGGCTTTAAACGTCGCGATTTTCGAATCCTAGCCTCACGCCTCTCCCGTCCGACGTCGTCAGTCCAGGGCACGTGCCGCAAGGCCCCACCCCGGCGGCGAGGCGGGGGCGGATTGGTCTGTTTGCGAGCATCGACGCGAATCACCGCCCATGTTGGCCGCGCTGCTGAGTAACGGGCTTGGTGCGCAGCGTCACTGGGCATGCCCTGCAGTAGTGGCAGTAGCGCGGGGTCGGAGTGCAGCGCGGCGCTCAAAAATCTGGCGGGAGTCATCGTCATTGGCATTCCGCCCGACTCCAGTCACTCCGACCACGCGTTATAACCTCGCCCGCGCCCAATTGACCCGCACGCCGTTGACCCTCATACGATTGACCCTCACACGACTGACCAGCACCCAATCCCCCATCATGTCGTTCCCCACCCTGCATGCCCGCGCCGAGGCCAAGCCGTTCGAGCACCGCTCGTGCCTGACGCCGACGACGACCAAGAAGCTGATTGACGCCGGCTACACGGTCAACGTCGAGCGCAGCCCCACCGATCCCGACTACGAGCGCATCTTCAAGGACGCCGAGTTCGAGGCCGCCGGCGCCACGCTGGTGCCCGAGGGCTCGTGGACCAAGGCCCCGCGCGACCACATCATCATCGGCCTCAAGGAGCTGCCCGAGGAGGACTGGCCGCTGGAGCACACCATGGTGCACTTTGCCCACTGCTACAAGCAGCAGGGCGGCTGGGACACGGTGCTGGCCCGCTTCCCGCGCGGCGGCGGCGTGCTGTACGATCTGGAGTTTCTGCAGGACGACACCGGCAGGCGTGTTGCTGCCTTTGGCTACCACGCTGGCTTTGCTGGCGCCGCGCTGGCCGTGAAGGTACGAACCTGTTCGTCGACATAGTAAACGCCACGCTAATATATCCAGACCTGGGCCTGGCAGCTCACCCACCCCAACGGCGAGCCCCTGCCCGGCATCGCCACCTTTACCGACGGCCGCGGCTACTACAACACCGAGAGCGACCTGATCGCACAGCTCAAGGAAGACGTCGCCGCGGGCGAGAAGATCGCCGGCCGCAAGCCCACCAGCCTGGTCCTGGGCGCGCTGGGCCGCTGTGGCTCGGGCGCCGTCGACCTGCTTGAAAAGGTCGGCTGCAGCGCGATCAAGAAATGGGATCTTGCAGAGACGCGCTCGCGCCCCGGCCCATACCCCGAGATCGTCGAGTCCGACATCTTCGTCAACTGCATCTATCTGTCCGACCCGATCCCGCCGTTCGTCGACGCGGCGAGCCTGCGCGCGCCCGGCCGCGCGCTCAGCGTCGTCTGCGATGTGTCCTGCGACACGACGAACCCGCACAACCCCATCCCCATCTACAACATCAACACGACGTTCGACAAGCCGACGGTCGGCGTCGAGGTCGAGGGCGACGGGCCCCGGCTGAGCGTGATCTCGATTGATCACTTGCCATCGGCGCTGCCAAGGGAGAGCAGCGAGGCGTTTAGCGATGCGCTGCTGCCGAGTCTGATGGCGTTGAAGGATAAGGAGAGTACGCCGGTGTGGCAGCGCGCCGAGAAGCTGTTCAGGGAGAAGGTTGGGACGCTGCCGGGCGGCGTGCCGAAGGTCGAGGTGTAGATGCAGGACTCGTAGGGGTTGCTGATCTGTAGTGAAAATAGTGAGGACGCATAGAGTACCGCGCCTGAATGAATTACGCTGTAAAGCCATTAATATTCTGTGAGGTGCATTCGCTTCGAGGAACCCACCTCACCCACATCAGCCATTGTGGATCGCATGGCGGAGATTCTGAGGCAGCACCTCCCAAGCACACAATTGACTGTCTGCAAAGCAGACTCTACAATCCAATAGCCTATCAATCGTCCACTGTTCAGACGCCCTAAGAAAGTGCCCTTGCAGGGTTGTCAGCATCTCCTCGTCGCTGTGTAAATACTGGTCACGTGCATCCACAGTTCACGCCCCGTAACCAGCAAGCAACACTCAACACGCTTCGAGGCTGAGCAAAACAGTGATACGCAGCAGGCAACGCACGAGTGGCACGAACGCTCACGTGCCGGAGAGGCAGGGACAGCCTAAGTAATGGATATCAGGGCTGAGTCGCAGTCAACAGCACGCCGCTCTCCATCTCCCAACCCTACTACGTCCTCCCACTCCCAAACCAACCACTCCCAAAACAACCTCCTCAGAAACCGCGTCAGCCCACACCTAGTCCCTCATCCCCTCCACCCCTCGGTCGCGCGTACCAACCTATCAGCCCACCCCCCAAACACCGCACACCAAACAACGTCTCCATCACGCTCCACAGTCCTCCTCCTGCGCAGATCCTGATTTCCTCAGCGGCGCGCTGATTCGCCGCCGCCGGTGGGCGCACAGACGCCGTTTGGTCGTTTAGTCGATCTTACATTTCGTTTACAGTTCGTTTACTTTCGTTTCGCGCGCGCTGATTCGGCGGGATTGCTTACGTTCGGCGGCTAGCGCCGACGGTAGCGGGGCGACTATCGATTGCCCCTGAGCCTTGCGCTGGTGCTTGTACACAACGTATGTACCCTGTACAGTACCTGGGAGCTGGCTGAGGCTCTTTGCGGGCTTGGCGTGGCGCAACGTGACGGGTGGTTATAGTAGACGGCGTGTTTGTGATGGGGGGAGGTGGGTCGAGGGGGATGGGGGTTCGGTGGTATTTGGGTCTGCTCGTGTTTACTACACGCAGTGTGCTGTGTACATTGCTGAGACTGGACGCGGATGGACGCGAGATGGCAGGGCATGGCAGATGCAGCAACATGTCGAACCAGTCGGTGCTGTCGTCGCAGCAAACACGTTTACGCCACAGAGCTTGACCAGCTGAGCGCCCACTCAGCGCTCGCGCGACCGAGATTAGAGATGTGGGTATCGATAATCGATAGACGGCACAAACGGGACGCACGGGTCTAGCTCCCAGGGGCAGACAGCGCCAATTAGCTAGGTATTGTACTACCCGCCTGGGTCTGCAGCAGCAGATGGGGCTGGTGCAGACAGGGCTGTGGCCCCTTAACCGCGTGCGGCGAGGAATGTGCTATGTAGAGTCTGGTACCACGTTACGCCGGGGGTGTGCTCTGTGCTCGTTCACGGTTGTTTGTGTGTTGCTTTGCTTCGTTTCTACGTGCTGGAGGTACTGACGGTGTCTGGATTGCAAGTTACGGACCACAGTCGCTCTCTAATCGCTCGTTGTCGCTCATTACACTCGTTGTCGCTCGTTACAGGCTCGTCACACATACCACGCTCATTCACTCACGCTCGTTGTACTCGCACTCATTACGCCCACGCTCGCTATCACGCCTGCGCTCACGCTCACGCCTACTCACGCATTCCACCGAGAAGCGCGTCGCGTTTCTCATCCGGCACCACGGCGTCCACGTCGATCCTCCCGCGGCCGCAGGCCCTCAACTCGTTCCGCCGCCCGTCGATACTGCAGGCGTTCGACCTGCCTGCAATCCGCACGACGTCGCCGCCGCTGGACCGCACGACGCTGCCGTCCATCAGCCCGGAGCTCGTGGGGCGCGACATCTCGCGGCCGTCGAGCAGCTCGACCGTGGCCTCGCTCCGGCCGGGCAGCAATGCCGTGCAGCTGCCGGCGCTGTCGACGCTGGCGCCACTGGCGTCGCCCATGTTCGACGACGACGCGCGCAGAGACTCGAGGATGTCGCCAGGGTACGTGCGCACGTGGTACGAGGCGCCCGCCGTAGGGCCGGCTTATCGCAGGCTTGGCGTCTCCTGCTTTTCCTCCCACTGACACGCACAGCAAACCCTCGAATGGCCTCAGCATGACCTACGCGACCGCCGCGCCCGCTACTGCTGGCGGACAGAGCAACTCGCCGGTACGTTTGTGTTTCTGCGGCGTGCACGCGTCGGGGTGCACAATCTGCTTATCCTTATCGACAATCGATAGCATCACTCTGCTAACGCTCCCAGCCTGTCTGCCAGAACTGCGCTACGAGCACCACGCCGCTCTGGCGCCGCGACGAGTCGGGCGCCGTGCTGTGCAACGCCTGCGGCCTGTTTCTGAAGCTGCACGGCCGCCCGCGCCCCATCTCGCTCAAGACGGATGTCATCAAGAGCCGCAACCGCGTCAAGACGGGCGGCCCGGGGCGCAAGAAGGTGAGCACTCCCTGCGTTTGAGTCTTGAAGCACCTGTTCATAATCTAACTACCCGGCAGGGCATCAACGGCCTCGCTGCCGCCCACCCCGACGCCGACGGCCAGCTCGGGCTCGCCCAGCACCGCCGCGCCTCGGGCAAGATCTCATCGGGCCTGTCCGACCGCTCGCAGTCGCCCATCTCGCGCACCGGCACCCCCAACTTCGCGCACCCCTCCAACATCGCGCCGCAGCACATGTTCGAGCAGGCGCTGAGCAGCGACGCCGTCTTCCACCACGGCTTCGGCCTGCGCCAGCCCTCGCCAGGTTCCGTGTCGTCACTCACCGGCGCGCACCTCGAGCCGCCGCTCTCGTACGACTCGCTCGCGGCCCAGAACACGGCCCTCAAGACCCGCGTCTCCGAGATGGAGCTCATCAACGACCTCTTCCGCAACCGCGTCAGCGAGCTCGAGACCAGCGAGGCCCAGGCGCGCGCCACCGAGCAGGCTCTGCGCGCCGAGCTCGACGCCACCCAGCAGCGCGAGCAGGCGCTCAAGCGCCGCATCGAGGAGATCGAGGAGGACAGCCCGCGCCACAAGAAGATGAAGATGAGCGATCTGGTCGACGAGAGCCGCGCCGGCTCGCCCATCAGCGCCATGGTCGAGTAGCGGCTGAGCGCCGCAAACACACACAAGACGCTACGCAAGACGCATTCGCAATTCGCAATATGCAATATGCAATATGCTCCCCCACGAAACCCGTCCTGGGTCATGATGACCCCTAATGTCTGAATACCAATTTTTTCTTCTTTGCCCGCCGCGTGCGGGTGTTCTGTATCTAAGTTTGCTTTTTGCGCGTTTGATACCAGGCTGCGGTGTGCTGTGCCGTGCTATGCTGGGCTGGGGCTGCGTGCTGCGTGGGGTGCGCGGCTGCGTAATGGGTGGCGGTGCCGGGTGCCAGGTGCCTGGTGCCGGGTCGGGTGCCGGGTCGGGTGCTGGGTGCTGGGTTATGGGAAGGGGTGTAGGGAATGGGTTATGGGATGGGAAGCTGGGTTATGGGATAGGGGGCACTGGGTCACGGAAACTGACTGGGTCCCATGGGGTTAAAAAGTTGGTGCTGTGCTTCGGACAGATGAATTGATGAGATTTCTGAAGTGGTGAGCTGGTGCGTGTATGTTGTGTGAGCTGTGCTTGTTGATGTGTCTGTGCAGGGGGTGTTGCTGTGTCTGTGCAGAGGGGGGGCGTCGATGTGTCCGTGGAGAGGCGGTGTTGTGGGCTCGCGGTGGGAGTTGACGTCGATGTCGATGTTGAGGTTGAGACAAGCATCGGGACCGAGAAGTGCCACTGTCGATGCCGATGTGAGAGAACGCTGACCCCATTCCTCGCCGTCCAACTCCCCCGGTGTGACTGCCCGGCTTTAGGGTCGTCTGTCGCTGCTCGAGTCTGTTTTTGACGCGTCGAATACACTGTAGTTTGAAGTTCGGAGTTCGAAGTTCGATGCCGCGCACAAGTGCGAGAGCGAGGGCTTGTCGGGTCGTGCATAGCACGCCGGCATATGGGTCACTGGATACTACAGACCAGGATGCGCTGCATGTGTGCAGGCCTTGCGTGTTGCGGAACAGCGGAACAGGACGCCTCCGTAGTCGTGTGTCTGGCAGTGTTCTGCGGGGCTTCTGGGGCAGCCGACGCCGGTCGGGTGGCGTTGCGAATAGCGAACACTGGATCCGCGGGCTTGGGGGGTCTGTCGTAGGACTCGTCCGCCTTGGGGTGTTCGTCTGCAGTGTTTTGCTGGGTGCCTCTCGGTTTCGTGCGCGGTTGTGGGGGATCCGGCGGCACTGTGGCGGGTGCGGGTGCGGGTGTGGGTGCGCGCGGCGGATCAGCGAGATCGTATGCTGCGACACTTGTCTTTCTCAGAGTGTTCCTTGGGAAGCTCGAGCTGAGTGCCTCCGAGCTTGGCGGGCTGGTCTGGGGCGTCCGTCGCTGGTGGGATGGTGGTTGGGGGATCGTATGCCAGAGCACTTGTCCGGGTTGGAGCGTCCGTTGGAGATATTTGATGAGCGCCTTTAGGCTGGATGTGGTAATCTGTTACTACTCTCTGTTTTATAGCATCCGGCGTCGTTCTTGGGGCTGGGGGTTGTTCCATCAGGCGCCTTTTCTGGGCGTACAGCGGATCCGGCAGATCGCTCGTGGGGATACTCGACCGCTTGGAGATGTTGCTGGTCGTTTCTTGGGGCACTTCGTTCTGGAACGCTCCGTCCTGGAACACTCCGTCCTACATCACTGCGGATCGTACGCCTAGCAGCGCCGTCGGCTGTTCCGTCAAGCGCCTGTGGGCTAGGCGGAAAGCGGATCCGGCAGATCGCTCCTGAGACACTCGCCCTGAACCATTGCGGATTTTTTGTCAAAGTACTTCCCACTATTAAGCGCTTCGGGTCGTATGTCAGAGCTTAGATTTCCTGCGGATTGCCTCAGCCCAGGCGTTCAGCGGATCCGCGATGCTACGCGGAACGCGCGTCGGGCATCCCATCCGCATTATGGCGGCATCAACGGACTGAAACGTCTCTAGATACCTCCGATGGGTATGAAAAGACTGAGCATATCACCCAGAGCACGTGTGAGGGCGTCCGCGTTCCTTCGGGTTCGCGTCTGTGGCGGTGAAGGGCATGCGGCTGAGTGGCTCCAGGCTGGCGAGATATCGTCGACCGAGACAAGTAAAGAAACACCTTTTCCGTCACCATGAGGTATTTCCCTACGGCTTTTGGGCCACGGGGCCTCGCCATCCTCCGAAAATACCGCTCCCCGTTCCGTGGGGTCACGGCTGATCCGACGCTTGCGTCATCCGATCCCGCCGCGTAAGACGCAGCCTCTCACTCAGACAGATCGCAAGGCAGATGCAGAGAAGCGGAATGCATCTCCTTCTCCCGGCCGTTCTCTCGGATTGCCGGAGCTCGAGTGTGTAGGTCTTTGGCGCATGGGACCGGCGGAACCGCATTTGCTTGCACCCCAGCCAGCCAAACTACAGCGGATCAGGTTTCTGAGGTTCTTCTATTCGATCCCAACTATTTCAGATGCGTGGATTGTGCTGTTGGCGTCGATGTGCAACCACTTTCACGAAGGCAGAAGCGACATGAGATTTGTCTTCCAAGAGTGTGCCACATTAATTAAGAAGTAAAATTGTATACTATATCTCTTGTAATATAGTATAGTTTTTATAAGAAAATAATGTTTACTAAATAAATAAGGTACGGAAAAATTTAAGAGGTTATATTAGTTTAGGCCTAAGTAGAGTAATTCTCTTAGATAACTCTATTTCTTGTAAAGTTAAAGTCTTTATTTATATCTTTCTTAGTATCCAGAAACTTCTCAAGTTTAACTTTAATTTTATATACCTAAGATATAGTATACTCTTTAATCTAAACTCTGTAAGGCTAGGATCTAGAAGCTACTAAACAAGTAGACAATTAAATATAGGTTTAAGGGGTGCTAGTAAGGGTAGAAATAGGTATTGTTTAATAAGATAGAAGACGAACCCTTAGGCCGTAAGCTTTAAGGTTTGGATAACAATATATGAAGGTATCCCGCGCGTACCTAGTATCGGTCCGGGCGGTGCCCGGAGGGAACTGAGATAGGCTTCGTAGGAAATACCCGTGACATAAGGTAGGCTATGAATGACCCTCTCTAGCGTTGAATAAGCGATCCATACGGATTAGAATCGAATTGCTCTTTCTGGGCGCACTTGGAGACGTCTAGCACGTTCCTTGTGTTTCCTGCACAGTTTCCCTGAGTTGGTATTTGCTGTTTCTCACAAATCCTTTTGTGATCTTCTGGTATGCCTTTGGGAAATTGTTTCTGTAGCTCTAATGGCGATTCGATGAATGTTACACTTAGCCCGGCTTCAACATGCCAATCCAAGTGGCAGTGGAACAGGAACACGCCTGGGTTATCGGCTGCAAACCGCAAAACGAGTGATCCTAATCCTGGCACTTTAACGGTGTCCCGACGCATTGGTATCTTAGGGAAGCTAGAAGTATCTCCCTGCCAAGGCTGGGTATTGCTCCGGGAAAGGACCTGAAAATTATGGCCATGGAGGTGGAATGGGTGCGTGCCCTCATCGAGATTATTGATCGTAATTTGTACGATGTCTCCCGCGTCCAGCACATACGGATTCACAGTAGCGCCATAGATAGTCGGATTCGTAGCGGCTTTTCCGGTTGAAAGAGCGGTAAATAGCGTCGGGACCTTTTGCGCAATGTAAGGGGTGTCACCGAGACCAGCACTGCCGGCATTAGTAATTTGAGCGATCATCAAGTTTTCCCGACTTACCGTTGACCCACACTGAATGTGGTAAAATTGACGTTGAGATTGATTTCTTTGGTCGGGTTGCCCAAAAGCACCTTTCGATCAAGAGGAATCAGGTACGTGTCATCCAGTACCTTGTCGAAGGTGATGTTGCGCATCGGTGTTGGCTTAGGCGCTTTATTATTGTACTGCAAAATGCCGTCGCTATTCATATTCAAGGATGCTGGTACAGTGTCGAACATGTCCGGATCAAAAGCAGCGACAAATGCATAGTTCTTGTCTGTTGCCTTGCGTCCTGTAATAACGATGTCGTAACGTTGAGCAGCAGATACGTGGATGACATCCGCATCTGTAGCTTCGACTGGCACCCCGTCAATCGCGACAACTTGCATTGTATGTCCCTCGAAGCGAACATAATGGGCGGCCAGTGCACTCATGCTGATAATACGTATAAGATACCTCTTGCCGGGCTGAACGTTGAAGACTTCCGTCATCTTGTCGTTAATAAGTGATGCCTGCGGTATCGGCTCCGCGCCATCGATGTTTTTCGTCCCAAGATAATAGTTTATGAGTCCCGGCATTTGATCGTGGTACCAGTCAGACAAAGTCATGACATATTGGGCTTCGATACCGAGACTCCGTTCCCACACTGGGTCGTGGATGATCATTGGTCCGCGCAGCCCATCTGGATATTGACCAGGAGCATGAGAATGATACCAGAATGATCCTGCTGGATTTGCAGTGAACTGGTAAGTGAAAGAGCTGCCAGGGGGAATTCCGCATTGGGTCACACCAACAGGCCCATCCATGTTGCTGCTACCTGAAATTATAATCAGTCACAAGATTCAAGACAAAACTCTTCTTCTTACCGGTCTGGAACATGCCGTGCCAATGAAGACCTGTAGTCTCGTTCCCCAATTTGTTGGTTACAGTCACCCTTATAGTATCGCCAACATTTGCTTCGATCTTTGGGAGCGGCCATTGTCCATTGATTCCGATGACCGGGCGACTGTATCCGTCTGGTGCAGCATTAACCCTTTCATTTTGCAGGTCAGTTGATCCGTCTTCAGAACACTGAGATGCGGAGTTACCAAGTGATATCCCACTCGTACTCTACCGTCCTGGCGAGGGCAGTCAGAGTCAGTGCCACGACAGGCAGGAGTTTCGAGATAAGATGCATAGTCTCGATGAGAGGAAGAGCTGTCTCTTCTAGTTACTGAATGTTCAGCCGTCACATCTGCTGCATCACCCTGATATATATGCATCTATCTCCATGCTGAATGACGATGGGCGCACTAGAATCAGACAAAGGCTTAGCATTGGTGTAAGCTACCATTGCCAGACTAACTCAAAGTAACGAAAACAAGAGAAATCACGCCAGCTGCTGCGGGGGAAATGGCCAGCTTCAGCTTCAGTGATTCTGACACAGCTGGCGAGAAACGCCAACGGCTAAGTCGCAGTATTGAATCCTGGCGAAGATGCGGGTACCATCATCTGTGAGCTTCGCAAAAGCTTAACACTCTTGGTAAAGGACGATATCGGCGAGGCCATCTGGAGTGGCGCGCAAGGCTCGGCGTGTCAAGCTGAGAGTCTAATGAAGTCAAGATCATTCGAGATCTTGGTCGCACCGATCTAGAATCGGTGTCACGCGATTGCTAAGGCGGCTATGCCAAGCACTTAACCGAATGAGTCTTGGCACCAACGTCAGCCGCAAGTCCAACCAATGGGCTAGACGGCTTTGGTCTGTACATTGCAAAACACCAAATCTTTAGTGTTCTGACCTAGATTTAACCCCTCACCACAGAACATGTCGCGCAATCGAGCCCTGATGCCCAGATTGGCTTGAGTTGAAAGGTCTTCCTGGGTATGGTCCGCAGCGCAAAGCGCACAGCTCAGCTGCGCAATTCGGCATAACGTGCACGACCTCGTGGTGCACACCGGCGCGTGAGGTTTTCAGCAGACTATATCTAGCGGCTGCAGCGTCTGGATACTGTGAGGGGGCAACACTGCTAGTATGATCCAATTCTGGTGACATTATTCGATGAATGCCTGCGTTAGGTGACTACCATGATCATCTGCAATTAAGAGGCGGTTCTTTAATTGCGCCTTTAGCTTTGTACACAGTTGAACACCTGCTTAAGCCATGCTAATTCGATATTGTTGTTCGTCTATCCTAACAGCAAAGAGGTGACGTGGATAGCGTGCTTTCCAGCCTGGATTTCCGCCACCTAGCGGTTCTAAATAGTGGAGTTCTTTAACGCGAGGATAATGCCTAGAAGAATAGCAGTACTATTAGCGCAAATACAAGCTAGGAGGCTTATCTACTCATGTGAGCCAACTAAATAAGCCTGTCTAACCTCCTTCTTCTTACATCAATGCCTACTAAAAACCTATTTTGTTCTACTAAACACCCTTATTATAAAGCTCCTCTTATCTATATTGTATATGTGCTTAGGATTTAGCCTATACTAAATAATTTTTTGCTATAGAAGCTTAAAGTATAGCTTATACATATATGCTTAATTAGTGTTATAGGAATTAGAGTCTATCCCTGCGGCCTATTAGAAGGTAAGTTAATAGTAGTAATAGTGTAGAAGCGCGTAACTCTGCTAGCTAAGCAGGGCTGTTAGGCAATAGAGGATGCAAAATTTATACTATCCGCCTTTTGGACTACAAATTAACTTACTTAATTCTGCTCTATATACTTCACTATATTGTCTTCTTGTTGTTAGGTAGGCTCCGAGCAATTAGCAGGCACATCGCATTAGGAATTTCCACGCTTTAATGATTGCGGGCCAACATTAAGTGATTAAAACCGTGTTATTCTGCAATTGCTATATAGTCAAGTTTCTTGTCAGGCTATAGATTTTTATCTCCGGAAACGCTTCCATAACAATTGCCATGGTGATTAAGCAATTACACGTTGAAATTTGGTGTACATATTGTGTGACTCCGGGCGTTCGGTGCACGGAAACTGGGCCGAGCGAGCTGACTGCAACGCTTGTGGTTCAGTTCTTCCTACACTTGAATACTCAGTGCTATAATGTTCAGCTCTCTGTATCTTCTCAAACCCCGTCGATTTGAGCGGCGTTTGAGATGTGTTCAAGAACCAACCTTGGAGCGTTTGCAATCTAAAAGAAGCCTGCGTGCACGCATCGTTGCAAACATCGTTGAACGCGACGCCCATCCCATTACATTTTTGTTGCATCTTGTCTTAGTGACAGGCAGAGTCTGCAATGATAATGTCGATCGATCTCGCATTATAGACACACTTTTACTGCAGTTCGATGTCGATATGAACCATCGAAGGCTGTTCGAATATTTGTATGCTTTGGGAAGGCCGCTGCGTTTCCGTCTTGTCATACATGGATTGCGAACTAATTCTGATGCGCTTAAAGCGAACGTATGCGACCTTTGCACACCAGCAGGAGCATCAGTTTTCTACCGTCTGGTTTGTATATGGCGGGTCCTTAGCCCAAAGGATCTCAACGCGGACCACGACGAAGCATGATCACGCACAGTGCCTGACGGTTATCCTCAACACGAGAGGAAGATTCAGCCTGCGAAACGTCATGCCGAGGTCTAGTGAGACTAGTATTCGACATCGGTGGAACCTTGCACAGATTTTTCAAAGGATTTGAGCAAGTTGATCGCTGCAGTAGCGCACAAAATGCCCGCGCAAACCTACCGAGGCTTCGCACACCCACGATGTTCTGTCTGCGGGCACAACAAAGAGAAGTGTGTTGCTCCTTGGCCATAAATATCGTGTGGTAAAGTTGGCCTTGCACCTTGGCCTGTTCCCTGCACGATATAGGGGGCCGTTCAACCGCTTTTACCCATTCTGAGTCGATGCCTAAATGCCGACAGACGGTCCACTTACAGGGCGTACCTGAGTCTGACGGCAAGCAGCCTATACATTTACGATCAAACGCACCCCTGCCCACGATCTCGAACGCCACACCGCCTCGTTGTCTGAGATCCTATCTGCTTTGGCGCGGATGTCCCGTTCAGGCTGACGCCAGGGACATGAGATCAGCTGGACTTAACGAGGCTTTGCTCACTCCGCCGAATTTCATGGCCGGTGCTGTTGTATCTGTCGATATTGCCATGCTCCATGTATGTATTGAAGCTCTTCGGGCTGACAAAGTGAACGACGCACGACCAGCATCGGTCCATAGACGAAACGGCAGATTTCAGTACTCGACAACGTTAGATCGCCGACAGCACGACAACACGACAACGCGATGAATTACCGAGGACCACTGATATTAGTTAGCTCACAAGTCATTAACCTAAGACTAACAACTGCATACAGTGGACCTGTACCAAGACGTGCTAGTCTACAAGAGTTGTAGATATATGTTGTTATCAATATCACTAAATACTTCTTCAGACTCAAGGCCTTCAAAGACCTCTCGAGGCAAGAGAGCCCTGACTCTCCAACGCGGCAACTGCTTCAGTTCCTTGATGCAAAAATAGGCATGCCCTTCAGCTCTCTTTTGATGTTAGTTGCACTTGGCAATGCATTGGTGCAGTCCGCCATGCCATTTGTTCCGGCACTACCAAATAACTCCATGCGCGCCATTGCGTCTGCAAACTTGCCATTCCACTTTCCTGCATTGTTGACAAACCCTTGAAATTCTTTGCCCACAGTGGGATGCACTGCCAGACCCGAGTCACTTGGGAGTACGAGCACGCCTTGTGGAGGGTTGGTAGTCTCAGAGTAGTATTTGACATCCCAGACGCCAGGGGTCGAGTCCTGGGGTAAGCCCTTCTTCTCAAGAGTCGTATCAAAGTTGAATTGGTTGCTGGTAGTGTGGGCGCCGAGCAGGGCGGCGAGATCAACAGCATCAAGGCCCTTGTCCTGGAAGAGTTTGAATAGGCTGTCTGCTGGTGCTCTGACGTCAGGTAAAAGGCCAGGCGGTGCCCGGACAGAGGAGTCAGTGCGGCCGATATATGTTTTCACTCGTGGGCCGCCAGGACAGGTGACAATTGCATGGCTACCAGCAAAAACAATCATGTCTGCTAAGCTGACTTTGTAGCTTTTGGCCAAGCTCTGGAGATATCTGCCAATAACATCAAGGCCCTTGTTTTCTGGCAGATTAAGCTCTCCGGCCAGAACAAGGGAGCCGTCGCAACCGCCCTTTGCGCCCTGGGCCACATTCCATGCTAAGGCCTATTAGAAATTGAAGAGAAGCGGCAGCGTGGTACGAACCTCCACAGTCATGGAAAACAGCCCTGATAGCGGCACGAGCATCTGGATTGCATTCTCCTCTAGTCAGGAACTTGGCTGTCAGATCTCTGGAGATCTGGTTCCAGACTGCAGGACAAGAACCAGGGTCAGAGCCAGAGCCGGAGCCGGAGCCACCCCCGTTCTTGCGGACGACGAGAGATGAGATGTCAGGAAGGTTTGGGAATGAGATGGCTGCGGCGGAGGACGCCATGAGCAGAAGATGAGTGAAACGCATGATGTGATAAAGCAGTTTGAACTTGAAGCCAGGCAAACCTTGAAGTTTGTTCGAGAGGCTTCCTGCAAGTAAGGCTTCAAACGTGTTGTCAGACCAAAGATTTCGTCACTTTTATATGCTTCTTGCAAGCTCGCCGTACCACTCTAGTCTTCATACGTTGATCAGGTTCTTAGGGTAGCTGAGGCCCACGCAAACATCCAGATAGTGTCGACTAGATACATGCGAGTCTAGTCTGCGCCTCTGAGATATTACAGGCAGTCTGTACGAGATGTGGCGTAAGCTTAGCTATCTTGACATTTCCAAAGGAGAGATATGGCCTGATCAAACGCCTACTCCGTGGGAATAATCTTGTTGACGATGAGAGCCGAGGCAGCTGACCAGATCATATAAGCTCCGACGCCTTGAAGAGCATCCAGTCAATCCCAACTAGATAGAACTAGGTTTAACTAGCGTCTCTTTGCTGGTGCAAGCAGCGAGTATAAGATGTCGCGTAAGCTTGGCTAGTTTAACATTGCCAAACAAGAGTTATGGATTGATTAGTGATCAAATGGTTCTCATAAGGAGATGGTTCTTTTGGCGATGAGAGCTGAGGGAGTTGGGTAAGTTGGAACAGAGCTAGTTGACACGGAGTCTAGCAATTGGGAAAGTAGTTGCCGAGCATTGGAGAGTGGATCGAGATAGGTCCAGCGTCGCTTGTTGAGGCTTGTTCTGGGCATCCTCGTGTACGACCCAGCCGCAATCCACTAGAAAAGCAGTCATTCAATGGTCCGCCGTGACCTGCAAGACGAAGGCGATCAGTCAACGCGGTACATTGCGGCGTTACATGAGATCTTTTTGCAAAGCGACGAGGCAAATGATGCAATATCGAACGCTGCAAGCTAACCAAGCGGACGAAGGACTTTGGTGCACCTTGAAGGAAGGACATTTGAGGACTAATGGTGCGTCCAGAGAACGTGTGTTCCACTCGAGGGATGCAGTATCTCAGCGTGATCCAGAATTCTTGACGGGCTACAAGCATACGCGCGATGTGATACCTGGTAGACGGCGCTTCAGCATATTGTGGAGCGAGCTGATATCGTCACCTAGCTGGTGAAAAACGTTGGGTCGTCGTCGCGATTGCGCAATGTCAGGCGATTATGCGAGTGGTGGCGCCGGCGAGGCTGATAGCGAGGCCCGCAAAGCGCGAGGACAGACCAGCCGGTCTGTGCGCTTCGAAGTCCAAAGCCCCACAACACTGAACGAGTCAAGCTGATCTAGGCATCGCGTATCTCCCTTTGGAAGCCAAGTCAATCTTGGAATGCTTAGCCTGGAGCTTCAGCCCGGCTAGATTCCCCCAAGCGAGTGCCAAGATCAGCCTTGTCGAAAAGCAGTTTAGCGTAGCGGTTCCTCCACAATCGAGGCTTTGTCTTCGACCAGTTTGGTTCATATTTTGTCTCAGCTCCACGATTCGGCAACAGCAGCTGAAGTCGTACCACCCGTATTGGCGTAGGCACCATCTAGAGTTAGATGACATCTGGTGAAGACAAGATGTTGCAGGCATGGCTTATGCAGAGTCTCGGCGACCTCAGAACCAGTCGATAGTTTGTCTTCGCCATTTAACAGTCGCCACTGGCATGGCTTGTTTGTTGGATGATGCAAGTCCAATAGGATCAGAGGATCCGGTCACTTTACTTCGAGAAAGATAGTAGTACACTTTGGTTCTGGATAAGGACGTACGAAAGTCGTCTAATAGCCTCGTAGCGACCTTCAAATTTTCTCAACCGATCACAACGGCCATGATTCTGCCTCTCAGTTTCAAAATCAAGTACTTATCGTTCGTCCAATTCCTCCAGTCACACTGTACTAAGACAGTAAAGACGATACGTAGGGTTTGATCAGTGTGGCGGCATCCAAATGTCTACAACAAGCTTATGGTTACTCGTCCAGTAAGACCAAAGATTGTCTCCAACAATCCAAGGGAGACTACAGTATGCTCTGGTCTGTATGCGTTGATCTGTTCATGACTGAAAACAAATACAATTGACTCAATCACACCGTTTGAAGCTAAGCTCTCAAAATCTACAGGACACAATTAAAATCTACAGCCTAGTCATCCCGGTCAGAAGTCATTTCGACGTCCTCCTCTACCCCCTTCTTTTTTACCAAATCGGGGAACCTCATCTGAAACTCCCGGGCGATCTCCGCAAGCTGTGCTTTCGCAGGCAGCATCGTCGCAACTCTCTGCGTCATTCCAACAATTTCCTTCTCCAAGGCCACCCCTTCTCTGGCGCTCTCAATTGCAGCCTGAGCCTTCGGAACAAGCTCCCTGATCTCTTCGGTGCGATCGCCTTTCGACTGAGCTTCCTTGAGGCGCTGTCCCATGCTGCTGTACTCGTCGATTTCAGACGACTCCAGAGCCTCGGTCATCTTTTGAGTGAGCCTTCTGAAGTTCTGGATGCCGGCTCCAACCCTCTCCCAAGCTGCTCGGTCCTCGGCCTTTCTTTTACGGAGTAGCTCTTCTGTTGCTTCGAGCTCTTTCTTTCTGTTCATGTTCCGTGCCAAGTTCTGGGCGACGTACATTTCAGCTTTGCTCCACACAAGCGACGAGACAGAGTATGCCGAAGAGTTGCTCAGGCCGGGCGGGTAGTGTGTGAAACCACCACCGTTCTCCAGGTATGCTTCGGCCAGCTTGATCATGGCGATCTTGGCCAGCTCGGCCATCCACGGCTGGAAGATGAGGAATATGACCGTTTGGTCGATGTGGTACGCCTTTTTGATGGTGCCTGGCTGCCGGGAACGAAGCTCAGTCAGGTATGCGTCGAACAAGCCCATCAAATAGTTCGAGTTGTAGTGGCTTGCGTGTTCGTACAAACGGTTGACGCAGTTGTTAGAATAGCCAACCTCGACCAAAGGCCATTCGAGGGGTTTTGCTTGGTCGACGGGAGAGAGCTGCTTAATCCGTTCTCGCAGGTTTCGACAGAAAGCGATGGTGACTTTAACGCGCCTGTCAACCAAACGCCAATAGCGATTCGGCTTAGCGGGCGAGATTTGGAGCTGCCCGTCATCGAACTCGTTAGCCTTCTTCGCCCTCACGGGAGAAGGATAGATCTCCGTCCACAAGTAGTGACGGTACGGAAAGCCTGGCTGCTGCGTGACTCCCATTGTGACTTGGCTGCGTGGGCTTGGGCCGTCTTGAGCGTGGAGGTTGTCGATGGCGTTGACGAGACCGTTGTCCACTGGAGCCATTTCGCGAGTTCTGATGTCTTTTGTCAGCGCTGCGTTGCCACAGCCCTTGACGTATCGCAGAATGTGCTTGACCACCTCCAAGATCTCAAGACCAGATGGCGAATCGCCGTTATCGTCGACAATTTGTTGATGGTATATGCCCGGCTGGTGCTTGGACTGGTCCCACAGGTTGTCGAGGATGGATGCGAGGACGGGATCAGTTCTCCTCTCTTTGGCCACATTGCCCCAGCCAACAGACTTGATGATGCTCGGGTACATGGACTCCAAAATGTCGTTCACGACCGCAATCATCCAGTGGCGCTCTTTGTCCTGGTCACCGAAAGTGCGCTTGCCAGCCCATGCGTCTAGCTCGGTCGCCATCAGCTTCTGCGCAAGCGCTTTGTAGCCATCTTGGGAGAGCTGTTTCTTGAAGTCGACGGACTGCATTTCCGAGCGACCGAGGTCAGACTGCAAACGCTGGATCTCGAATTGCAAATTATCGATATGACGCCCCTGATCGCCGATAACCTTGTCCTTTGTACGAAGAGCTCCCTGGAAATCTTAGGTGCTGATATCACGGGCAATCTCCCCATAGGTCCGAGAGGCTTCGAGTTCTCGGAGGGCGCTTGCATGGCGGTTGTTGGCTACATTGGCTCGCTCGTTCGCCATCCTGAGCTCTTCCGTCAAGCGTGTCACTTCTTCATGATGACTACTGCTGATCGCGTCGGCTTTGTCTTGGTGAAGCTGGTCGGTCATGGCAAGGCTGGCGTTGAAGCTTTCCGAGAGCACGCTGATTGACTGTTGCGTCTGTTTCTCAGCACGCGCTAGTGCGAGCTCTGTCTCTGCGGCTGTCATCTTTGTCCAGAGCACACTGACAAATTCAAAGTGCTTATCTGCGCTCATGTCATCCAGAAATGCTTTGTAGAGCCCTTTGAGATACTCCTGGTCGCCATCCTGCTGGGAGGTGCTGCTGTCGTTGGGGGCAGACATTGTGATGGGCGAGGGTCGGCACGGAGGTATCCAGGACAGGTGAGGTGAGGTGAGATGAGGTGAGCCTGCAATGAGAAGTCAGCCGGGATTCAAACTCGTTGCTGAAATGTGTATAAAGAGCGCTTTCTCGTCGCTGGGAGGATGGGCAAAGATCTCGCAGAAGTCTAGAGAAAAGAAACAAAAGCGAGCGAGGAGGTCTTCAAATACCCAGAGCTGCTCGGAGACTAGCGCGCACGTGAGCTTTCTGACCTCAAATGGAAGGCGCGACCTGAGGACAGGAACCCAGGATGAGTTTGAGCCGCTCGTGCTCCGGTCTGAACTGTGATCAGGGTGACATTCACAAAGAATGGCTTCACACGGTGCATGGATACACTACAAGTACTCGGGACCCGCGTCAATCTTCGACGCCGCCGTATCGGGTTGCAGTCACACCGACATCTTGAAGAGCTGACGGGACGACAGCATTTACTTCTCCTGCAACTGCAACCAGAAACTTCGTTCTGGATGTAATGGGTATTTAGACTTTCCAGCCGCAGTAGCCTGGTCTAAGAAGTGGCTGGGTGTAACTAGAAAACTCTGGGTACGTCTTGGCAAGTGAAGTGAAAGAACAGTTTGCCGCGCCGCGCTACAAACAAACACCCCACCTGGTGCAAATCCTTCCTTGCACCTTACACCGCCCAAATCACTCAGAAATGTCTTCTGACGAGTATTCTGAGGAGGGCGAATGCTCTGATGTAGCCCCCGAAGCCGTCGGTATGATCATCACCCCATGCTCCAGAACTTGCTAACCGTATAACAGCTGCTGACACGCCCGCGATCGTTTCGGCTGCAGCAACAAGTCTGCCAATCGCTCTCAAGCGTGCGAAACGCGAACGGAGCTCGAGCGATGAACTGCCTACGGTGCGCAAGCTCGTCAAGTTTGACATGGCCGGCGAAAAGCACCAGCAGTATTTCAGCTACAATATGCATGATCTTGACGGTTGTTCTCCTCCATTCAATCGTACAGAGAAGCTGGGTTCCCGGCGAAATCATGAAGCACGTCCTGTTGGTGCATTACCTTGCGTCATCGAGGTCGGCGACCAGGCCTGGGGGAACTTTAACAAGGCCACGAGCGACATGAGACTTGTCTTCCAAGAGTGTGCCTCGCTGCCTATGTTAGGAGTGCGCGTCAAAAAGGGCAAACAGTCCACGGAGATAGACTACGAGGAGATTAGCGCCAACGATACCATCGAGTTCGACCTTGATAAGCTAGAAGGTCTTCGATTCGACACCTTCAACATTCGCAGCCTGGCAAGCGCCTCTTTGGCCAAGGAACTGCAAGCCGTTATGATGAAGAAGTTGCAATTCAAGGCTCAAGATGACGAGCACTTCTTCAACAATGGCAGGAGGCAGGATTTTGTACGAGTGGAACTGCGACGCAGCTCTCGTCCTGCCAACCGTAGCAAGGACTTCTCACACTTCTCCGACGCCGCTCTAGACTGGAATCCGCCAGATACGCTCAAAGTTGGCGATCAGGAGCCTTACCGTCCCAGGACAACAAAGCATCGTGAGCAGATTCAAGATGCTATTGTCAAGATGAAGGCCGCCGAGGTCATCGTCTTCTGGGTGTTTGTTGGCCTTACCAATGACAGCCAGCGTTACTTCAATAACTTCACGTCACTTCTCAACCGGACACTCGGTAGAGAGTCGCCTGGAAAGATCAATACAGACTGGTATTGGAATCTCCACCCTTCGTATGAGCGCTCAGACATACAAAGCCCGTGGCAGAAGTTCCAGACCCCTCCCAACAAGCCACCCGTGACGCACCTGCGGCGCCCTTGGCCAGAGCGTCAACCATGGCTTCATATAAAGGACGGCCAGTTCAGACAGGTGTGGAACGAGGCGAAGACGCGCTTTGCTGGGGTTACTGCCTACGAGTCGACTATGGCCGCAGCAACTCTGATGGAGATGGAGGATGAGCCCCTCAGGCACAGGCAGCAGTTCAACGACACTCAAACCTACCCCGCTGTCTTTGAGCGTGTTCACGACGACCGCTACATTATCAAGGTCAAGCTTGCTGGTGTGCACGCTCGCGATGACGCGCAGGTCATTCCAACACCGGGCACACTCGTGCAATTGTGGATCAATGGGGAATCTCTCGAGAAGAATGACGCCTGGCAAGGCACAGTTGCAAAAAACTGTGTCAAAGACTATGACATGGTGTTTGCAAGCCAGCCGCCGGGTCGGTATCTCTATTCACCTCCTGCAGCTAAGACACACGAGGTCATAATCACCACAGAGACCATCGATATGTCTGGTGACCGACTTCTTGGGGCCATCTCCGGCGCCGCAACACTGACCAAGACCCGCAGCGATGCTCCTGACGACATCAGCAAGCGGAGGGCGTTTCACGTCGGCAACGTCGTCTGCGGTGACTTGGTCCAAGACGATTCGCCAGACATCTTCGGAGACTGGAAAGCCAAGCAGTCGCCAGGCGACGCGACGCAGGCCATCGTCGACGAAATCTTCAACAAGATCCCTGCAATGTTCAATACACGCCAATACAAGGCATACTTACTACTGCTTCGGGGGTCACCTGGAGGTCTCTTGGCTGTTGAAGGCCTACCTGGATGCGGGAAGTCGTACGTCATGAGTGGCATCGCATGTGCGCTCATCCTCATGGGCGTGAGAATCATGATCTGCGCTCAGTCGAACAATGGCGTGTGCCAGGTCTTCAGCAAGGTAATTGCATACCTGGAGAAGCACCATCCGCATCTGCTGCCCACAATCCTTCGTCTTGGTGCGGCCTCAGTAGAGGAGAGCATTGCCGACCAGCTGAAGGATGGTAACATCGACGAGCGATTTCTGGTATCACCTCGTCGATTAAGCGTGAGAACCTGAAGTATACCAGCGCGTATCTCGAAGCCAAGTGGCTTGCTGCCAACTCGGACAACCCGCTTGCGAAAGATCGCAAGGCGTGGCTAGATGCGCGCGCGAGGCATGAGAGCGCGTTCCGAACCGAAAAGCTCAAGCCGCCTAACGAGGACATTGAATCCGAGGCGTCGATCAAGAGTCAGGTTTTCAAGCACGCTGTAAAGCCGGACGAGCTCCTGCTGCTTGGTATCACGGCCGCCGCCGCTGCAAGGCTCGAAGAGCGTGTGACATTCGATGCAGAAGTGCTCATTTTCGATGAGCTATCGCAGGCCACGGAACCAATCTTTCTGATTCCTCTCGTACAGCAGCGGGACCTCAAGAGCGTTCTGATCTGTGGCGACACTAAGCAACTGGGGCCGGTTGTCATGTCCGCGAGGTCCAGTCCATATGGCCAGCAAGTGGCACTCTCTCCTCTTGAGCGGCTCACCAAGCGCAAGGAATTTGCGCACATCAAGCTCAACCTGAGCTATCGCTCCCATCCGGCAATCCTCGTCGCGCCATCGATGATCGTATACAAGGACGCGGGTTTTGAGTCGGGCCTCGTCGAGTTTCCGGCGCACGCGGGTGCTGGGAAGCTGATTGAGGACAGTGATGAGATTACGCAGATTTTGGGGGGCCTGTTCAAAAAACAGTTTCCACTCGCAGAGGGCGGAGGACGTGTCTGGTTTGTCGACACACCCGGCGCGTACACCCAGCAGGTTGAAGGAACTTCCCTCTAGAACCCCAACGGTACCGCTGCTGTAGTGAGGCTCGCTCGCGCTTTCGCACCATACTTTGGGGCGAAGAATGTGAAGGTCATCAGCGTATATGCCTACGAGGTCGAGCGTCTGCAGACGTACCTACACTGGCTATGTCCCGGAGTTGAAGTCTGCACCGTCGACAGCTTCCAAGGCGGCGAGGCTGATCTGGTCATCGTCCATTTCTCTGCAGCTTTCACCTCCAGGCTCAACCCCTTTGGCTTTGCGGCCGACCTGAAGAGGATGAATGTCGCTATCACACGCGCAAAGCAGATGTCTATCCTTGTCGGCAACCACACGTACTGGGCCGAGCGCTGTTACGTATACGAGGGCGCCGAGCCAGCAGCAAATGATCCCGCTCTGCTCGACAAGGAAGGAGGACGTAAGCAGTTGATCAAGAAGGGCACCAACCCGCTGATCAAGCTAGTTGATCTCATGTACTCTCGGCAGGAAGTCGTGCAGTGGCAACATCAATTCCAGCCGTATGACTTGGACGGCTTGCAGGAGAGGAGTGCACAGATGCGGAGCTGATGCAGTTCGGAGGTTAGCAGTGCATCGAAAGGTTTGGATCAATTGACAATGATTAGCAGTTAGACTCAAGGTAGAAGACAAGGTTCGCCCAATCCGTACCGATTTGCTCGCCCATACTCTAGTGCACGGATATACCTATCATTTCAACTATCCCTGATTCAGCTAACCAGGAACCTGCCTTTCGACCACTATAGTATGCTAACCTGATAAAGCAACTCATCGTTCTCAATGCCACGTGGTGGACTTCTAACTCAATTTCGATCGCGCCGACTATTCAAGACTGCTTACTACGACTGCTCTGTAATCAAGCTTAGCAAGCTCACCCCCTGTCCAAGGCATCATAATCTAGGCTGGCACCTTTCTTTGCAGCGTAGCCATCGTCTCTCTTTAATTACGAACACCTTTCCTCCTGACAATCGTCACAACTAATTGGCAGGTCTTGAACAGTTCTCCTGATCTGCAACTTACTCGCAACTATGTGTGGAACCACCGTTCAGATCGAATACCTTCCGCTAAAAGGAGGTGTCGACCTGGCGACTGGCCAAGACAGAAGAGCGTGGGAGGCAACGCTCGATACTCTCGGGAAGCAGCCAGGCCTTAAGTCGCTTTTTTGGGGCCGACAGACTGAGAACCCAGATGTTCTGCAAGTAGTTACTGGTAAGGAATCTCTTCGTCCCGTTCGTTCGTGCTGGCCATAGCTGACCTTCCGAAAGAATGGGAGTCTCTGAACGCACACAAGGCATTCATCGCGACCCCTGAGCATCGGCTCTTTCAAGAGACCCTGCACACAGAACTCCTCGCTGGTCCTCCAAAGTCATTCCACGTCACGCTTCCCGTTACAAAGCCGTCTGCCAATCCGTTGTGTGCGCCCGTCACAGAATGCCTCAGTGGGTACTTTAGCGCCACGTACACCTCAGCCGAATACGATGCTCAGTTCGCCAAGTTCAAAGACCTTGTCGCCAAAACGCCTAACGTACCGAGTCAGGGCATAAACGGAGGTTGGATCATTGAACCTCAGAAGTATGAGAGTCTAGGCGATGGCGTGGAGGGAAAAGGACGGATGACCTTCATTGGCTGGCCGAGTGTTGAGTCACATGTGAACTTTACCAAGTTGGAGGTGTTTCAGAAGATGGCTCCTCTACTGGGAAACGGGCCGCAGGGTGCGACCTTGTGGCATGTAGCATTCACGCAGTACAAGTAATGCATCTTACGGCTGAGTGTTTCCACCTTTGCCAACACCTCGAAATAATGTCGTGAGAGAGATCGCGGAGCGAGCCTCGCGTTGTTAATTGTGGCTTTTACTCGAACATATTCAATTTCAACCTTAACTTCAAATGCATATGATGTCAAAGATGAGTAATAGCGCTCCGAAGTGGGGTTCAAGTAAGCATGGGCTGTAATGCCTGACTCTGGGATTTGCAAATGGCAAGCGTACTTTCTACAGCACCTTTGGGCTTTTAGACTCGGGTTGAAGTTCCAGGCTAAGTTTGGGTTTTGGCCATAAGGAGTCAAGGGAAGCTCGGGAAGGTGGATAATGACACGTGGTGGATGTCCGCAGCACGAAAAGATATCTGTTGACTGGATAGAAAAAGTCTAAGATTGGCTCCCGTAACGTGCGGCTAGGAGCAGGAATTTTGCCGGGCTTGACAGCTTGTTGTAATCATCCCGCAACTGTTTCGCGTCAAGTATGCGTACATGCACGCACGACGAGAATGCGTATGCTTGGAGGCTTAGGCGAGCCACAGTGGAGAGAGCATGACAATAATTGCTGAATAATTCGCCTCACTGCATCAGGCCACGTTCTCAAGCTTCCAGCTCTGAACAAGAGGAACATCTGACCCAAAGGCACTAACAACCACGCTACCGACAGAGTTGAACTAATTATAATGCGAATACGGAAGCGAGCCGAAGATTACAAAGTGAGCCGAGATTTGCGGTACAGCAGAAGTTCGGACCGCCTGGACCTGGAGTTAAGAAGTCCGGAGCATCTGATATGCCGATTCTAAAGATAGAGGCATGATTGAGCGAGATGAGGGCTTCGGAGAGATTCTTTCGAGGTTGCTCTGATCCAGCTCGGTCTAATACATCGGAAATGAGAATCTAGCAATCATAGCATCGTGCCTTTGATATATCCCTTGAATGATTTGAGTCTTACTAAGGAATTGACTGCATATAAGTCTCTGGCATTGGTATAGAACGAACAATAACCACGACACCACAAGACTTCTTCATCCTTTCCAAATCTACAATTTTGCGACTCCTGCCAAAGTCATTGTACTTCCAACGCTCTTTCCGAAATCACGATGGCACCTTCCTTTTGGTCCCGATCTTGGGCTCTTATGTCGCTTGCTTCATCGATTGCTGCTGTGAATCTGCCCGTCTACCGTGGACTAAGAATCGACCAATCCAAAGTTGGCGTTCTACAGATTGCGTTCAACAACACCGACTCAGAAATCAATGTCTGGAGTCAAGATGCATTGACTGGTCTCACCGACATCGTCCAGAGACTTCAGAATGACACCGATACCAAAGTCATTCTTTTTACGAGCGATAACCCCTTGTACTTCATGGCTCACTTGGATCTTCTGATACAACCTTTTGGTAAGTGGTTTTCTCGAGACAAAGACATGCTCTATCATCTACAGTCAACCTTTGGAGGCAATCGATTACTGACGATCTCAGATCCTACCATTGCCCAGCGAACCGCTGAGCTGCTCCACAACATGACAAACCTGAATCAGGTCACCATCGGCGCCGTCAACGGTGTGGCGCGTGGTGGCGGCAACGAGTTTCTCGTGTCGCTTGATATGCGCTTTGCGGTCAAATCCCATTCACGCTTTGGGCAGCCAGAGATTGGACTGGGGCTTGTTCCTGGTGGCGGAGGTAGCCAGTACCTTCCCCGATTGATCGGTCGTGGCCGTGCTATGGAGTATATCCTGACTGGAAAGGATATTCTAGCCGAAGATGCCGAGCGTATGGGATGGATCAACAAGGCTTTTGATAGCGACCGCGAGATGAATGCCTACATCGACGAAATACTTTCCGTCTTAGTCTTGTATCCGACTTCGGCTCTTGGACTGGTCAAGCAATCCATCAACATCGCTTCGAGACCGCAACTCGCAGACACAGTGGGGGACGCGAACCGGTTCTTGGAGGCTGTCTCTCAACCGGCTGCGCAGGCTCTTATTGGAGATATGCTGGAGCTGACAAACAATCAATCAGCTGGAGATGCTGAATTGTACCTGGGGGAAATCGTTCCCCTCCTGTACAATCAGTAATCAGGCGTCAAGAATCTACGAATTCTGCATATTGGCTAGGGTCGATACAGCGATACAGAGGTGCTGTGTATAGATGGGGTTTCCTAAGTAATTAATATTTGCTATTTTGTTAGACTAAAAAACTCTTTAAACTTAAGAATGATAAACAAGATCTTTCTGGCTGGAACACAGTCTAGCTTTACTCAGGTAGTGGTGACTCCAGGACTGGCATTTGCTGATGATCAGAAGTGATATGGCTGTCCAAGAGTCGCCTGCTGGAGAGATATGATGAAACTACATATCTGCCTTCCTAAAGTAGCAGGGCTCTCGGAAGAGCGTGGTGGAGAAGAACACGGGAGCGAAAAGTCGAGGGTAAAGCCAAGACAAGTTTTCTCAGTTAAGCGGGAGGTTAGGTGCAGCAAGCCGCTGTAGGCGGTTTCGAGTCTGATGCAAGGTTTTTCGAACGGCTCAAGCAAATAGATAACCCTGTTCTGATCACCAATGGCACGGAATATGTTACACATACGCCTTATAGCTGCCTATTGCAGCAGCAACTGTGCAATGTGAAGCTGCATATCTACCATGAGTCTGGACACGGACATGTGTACTAGGTGGCAGAAACCTATTCCGAGCAGCTGGAACTGTTAATAGATTAGCTTACCGCTACAGAATAGTGCAGTTGGCCGAAAATATATTCCCGACGGTACTACGTACGTGGCGTGGCATAACTGCTTTGCAGTAGAATTTATGCATCGATGTATATTGAAGTTCTCAGAAGGAATACAACAAGATTCGACACCACGATTCGGACGGCGTACTTGCTCATAGGCTGTGCACTTGCCTAGAATTCGATGTGAAGAAAAGAGACGTTTGCGTCAGGAACGTCGACGTAGATCGTACCACATTTGAAACCGAAATCCAGTTGCATCTTTTCTCCCTGAAACCCTCACCTAGACCTACTGACACATCCCTTGTGTAAAACGTAGCTGACAGCCTTTGCTGACGTGAAATCATTTTCCGAGCTTAAGTCCATGTCAGTCATGACACATTCGTGCCCGGCGATGCAAATCTTGTCATGTTCACTAATCCACGATTTACGGCTCCGGGACAACCATTTAGCCGCTTCTAAAGTTTGAGTAACGGGTTTAACGACATTAGCGCATGACAGTATGTACAGGGCGGTCGACCAGAGAACATTGAAATTTAGGAGCATTGATAATACTAAGAAGAGAGCGATAGGAAATGTAAAGGAAATAGGGTGCTTGCAGTATTAACTCCGCTTCTTGATCATTGTCTTCTTGGTCTTCAGCTATATATTGTTAACAGTAGTCTTCACAATACAGACCGTACAGCGTTCCACCTTATCCACTAGGTATCTGCGACCTGACATCTACGCTAATTCATTTGCATCCCAACGTCCACTTCGATCATCATGTCAACGGCACTGGTTACAGGCGGCTCAGGTTTCATCGGTATGTACGTGGTCAAAATGCTACTCGAGCATGGCCATAACGTACACACCACTGTGCGCAGCTTGACAAATCCTGATAAGTGCAAGCCGTTGCTAGATCTTCAGGTAGAATATCCAAACAAGCTTACGCTATTTGAAGCCGACCTTATGAGGGATGGCTCATTCTTTAGTGCAATGAGGGGCTGCAATATTGTCTACCACGTCGCGTCCCCGTTCTTGGTTCCACAGCAGATTAAGGACGGAATGAAGGACTGCGTTGAGCCAGCCTTGAATGGAACCCGAAATGTGCTTCAATCTGTCGACAAGACAAGTAGCGTAAAGCGCGTCATTTTGACATCATCTAGTGAGTCCTGGTTTCCCCCTTCGACACAGCGTTTACATGTATCTAATGATCTCTCCAGTCGCTGCTGTGTATGGTGACAGTATCGAGGTTCTTAAGATGGATAATAGCACCCTCTCAGAAAAATATTGGAATGAAACCAGCTCCGCAAGCAACAACCCCTACAGTTACTCGAAAGTAGTTGCTGAGCGCGAGGCTTGGAAGATTTGCGACGTTCAGACACGCTGGGACCTTGTCGTCATTAACCCAGGGCTTGTCGTTGGCCCATCCCTATCGCCCGACTCTACATCTGGATCCCTCTACATGCTAGAAGCCATGTATCGCGGTGAGAACAAGATGGGCACGCCCGAGCTTCACTATCCTGTTGCAGATGTGCTCGATGTTGCTGAAGCACATGTCAGGGCGGGAGAAAACATCAATGCGAAGGGTAGATACATCGTTGCAAGCGAACGCAGTCTTAGCTTGTTGGATATGGCGAACTATGTACGGCCAGTGCATAAGCAGCCGAAGCTGTTGCCTACACGGAACTTGCCAAAGCTGATGGTCTACGCTGCAGCACCATTCATCGGTGTTTCGATGAAGTGGGTGTCAGGCAACATTGGCATTGGGTACAACGTCGATCGCAGTAGGAGTGTTGAGGAGCTGGGCATCACATACCATCCACTGGAGAAGGTCTTCAGAGACCACTATGCGGCGTGGGCTGCTAGTACTAGTAGCTAAATAGTGTATCGGTAATTGCCAAAGTTTGCGGACCTCTCTATAGCTGGCACATGGGTGTATACACTAGACGACATAGCAAATACTTTAAAGTGTCAAAGCGCGGTCAAACTGGAAGAGTTAGATAGATCGAAAACTTCGAGACAAAAAACAACGCTCGTTCCTGACAGACGGGAGAGCCGCTATATCTTCAGTCAATAGAACGGAATACTATGTCACGGTGCTGCATGAGCCTTCACGACGCTCAAAATTGGATTCGACGATACTCGCTTTGATTGTGCAAACTCAATGCCAGTTATCATTGATAACCTCCACAATAACCCCGTGATCCTCCTCTTGCTGGAGCCCAGAAACACAAACTACCGCTACAATACCAGCAACACCACGGACTCGAATGGGCACACCGCCCCCGTGGATAGCGTACTTGCTCGATTCCTCCACGCTCATGCTGAACAGATTACGGAACTTGCTCTCATCGCCATTCCAGATGCAGTGCCAGTACCAACTGCTGCCGGCCCAACGCATGACGGTGTTGCGCTTCCGCGCGACCCAGTTCTCGTTGTCTTTCGTTGCATTGGGCCCGCACACGGTTTGGAACAGCACCTGTCCGCTGCTGGCTAGCGAGATGGAGATCAACGTAGACTGCTGCGGCGCGAGTGGTAGCAGCCGCGCATACAGCAGGTGACCGAGTTCCCATGCGTCGTCCTCTGTGAACGACTCGAACGTGAATGAATCGCAGGTCTCCTTTACCAGTGCTGCCTGCTTCCAGTCAGCCTCCGCATCGTTAGACATCATTTTTGACGTACATCCTTGGGAGGGTGCGCGATTGGCTTTGGTGTCTGTCCAACTTCTTTCTTGGCTTCTAGAACTTTTTGCATGCCATGGCCGTCGGCCCAGTCTCGACGGCGAAGCCCAGTCTGTGAAGTCATGATGCTGTCTGATTCCAACAATGTATTCGGGTTGACGCAAGGTCAGACTAATTCGTCTAGCAAAGTATTGATTGTGAACGAGGCTAAAGGACTGCGGGTAAATTCGAGGACCGGTCCAGCATCTTATATGTCCCTTCGAGTACCACCACAGCGCCCTTGCAATTAGCCATGTTGTCCAAGCGGGGCAAAATCCCATTACAAAGATGGTAGCAGTAGGTTCGCGGAGTCCCGGGCAAGCCAAACGCATTCCCTGGGCGAATCATGAGCACGCCGCCCAATTGGAGGCCGAGTATGGAGCCAAGTCGCGTTTAATAGGTCGCGTCTTGTCCGAAGGTGGGATGGATAGCCGCTTGTGGGTGAACATCGGCACACGAGTCATAATAATTGTGGACCTGGAACGACGACATCAACAACACTCCGCGCTAAATACGGTACAGTCGTGGAATTGAATGAGGGGTAGCGGATGGCTATTAAATTAAATACTTGGTGGTGAACTGTGTTTATGGCGTCTTTGTCTTGTACTTACCTCTGTTCGCCAGATATCCAACCATGAGTCCCATCAAAGTCGGTGTCGTAGGCTACGGATTCGCTGCTAAGTCTTTCCATCTGCCCTTCATCTCTGCCCTTCCCGATTACGAGGTTGTAGCTGTTCTTCAGAGAGCGGAGGTACCGAAAGATCTTGCGTCTGCGCCAAAAGGCTCCCACTGCACCGTCGACCTGCCCAACATCAAACACTACAGGAACGCGGAGGATTTCTTTGCTGACTCTGAAATCAACTTCGTTGTGGTTGCAACGCACACTGATACTCACGCTTCGTTCGCGACGCAAGCGTTGAAGGCGGGGAAACACGGTGCGTTCAGCTGTGATTTTTGCCAAACATGCCCGTCTAACGTCTCGATTCAGTCATCGTCGACAAGCCATTTGCGAGATCTGTCGAGGAGGCGGATGAGGTTATCAAACTTGCCAAGCAGACAGGATTGATCCTCACTTGCTTCCAAAACAGGAGATATGTAAGTGACCCGATCATCTTTCCAGTCACGGTCAGCTGACAACATCGTGATTCAGGATGGCGATTTTATGACAGTGAGGGAGCTTGTGAAGAAGAGTGTTTTCGGAGACATGACCGAAGCGGAAATCCACTACGACTTTGACCGGCCTTCCTGGCTGCACTATCTGTCCGCTAAGGAGTACGTACCCGGCTCTGGACTCACCTATGGTTTGGGTATGAACGAATGCCGATCCTCTGCGTTGAGTTTTCTAACCTAGATGATAGGAACGCACAGCCTGGATCAAGCCTACACTTTGTTCGGATGCCCAGCATCAGTCACAGCGTTCTTCCGTGTACAGCGAGGTATTGAAAGCGAGAACGAGGACTCGTTCACCGTCATACTCCAATATGGCGGACCACAGAAGAACTTGCTAGTGACTGTCAAGACCTCCGTAGTGTCGCCCATGGAGAAGCAGCTCAAGTTCTGGCTACGGGGCACGAAAGGCTCGTTCGTGAAGTACCAGCAGCGCAGCACATGCCCTCAGGAGGAACAGATTGAGCGCGGTGCGCAGCCTCTCGATCCAGATTTTGGTCTGGAGTCAGAAAAGCTTCTCGGTACTCTCACGACGTACGAAGAGTTCGACAGCAGCTTGCAGACTTTCGATAAGGAGTCGCAGAGATATGTGGGGAGATATCCTGCCGTCAGGGGCCGCTGGATGCAGCTTTACAAGGATGTTGCTGATGCTATCAATGGCAAGGCCGAGCTGGCCGTGAAGGCAGATGAGGTGCGGGATGTACTGAGGATAATTGAGCTGGCCAGAGAGTCTCACGAGAAGGGCGCTACCGTAGCATGGCGATGATTGGCCAGCTACGTTTAGATGTGGACACCCATTCTGTAGAACAGGTCTGCGAGTATATCTAGAAAGTTGTGTGCTGCAGAGGTCGTTGACTTGTGAGGTATATCCCGGCACGCCGTGGTATAAGTGAATGTGTGAGAACTGACAAGTACATATGGGTATCATAACTACAAAACATCGGGCTGCACTAGCTCACGATGCCAACTCAGAAATTGCAGATCGAATCGAACCCCACCACGACGCGCGCTGGCTGATCTCGGCCGCCTCTGCCTGTTGCCTCGCGCGCTGCAGCTCCTCAACCTCCGCCTGCCAGTTGCCTACGGCGTCCTTCTCATCCCTGATCACCATGTCGACCGGCGCCAAAACAGCAGCCTGTTCGATCAGAGTAACAGCCCGAACAACATCCCGGCTCACACCCAACAACCTCAAGCACCTCGCCTGCCTGAACAGCATCTTGCTCGCCTGCTCGTTACTCGGTGTCCACGTGGCATCCGCGTGCTGTGTGAACCGCGCACTCGCTGTCTCGCACTTCCTCAAGTGCTCCCAGCTCGCGCCCGCATTCCTTCGCACTAGCGCGCGGCTCGCCGACTCGCCCGCCATGTCGACCTGCAGGAACGCCGCACGCAACAAGTTGAGCGTGAAGTACAAATCCGCAGTCGCGTTAACAAAATCCTCGCCGCCAGCCGCTTTGAGGCTGAGCCACGACGAACTATGGCGCATGCGCTCGAGGGTGCGCATTGAGTACGCCCACGACGCGGACGCGGAGTAGAAGTCGCGGCTCTGCCACTGGCGCTTGCCTACGTCGGTTCCGGTGTGGATGGAGTCTAGGGTGGCTTTGGGGTCTGTCCATCGCGGTTGCGCGACTTGGGAGGCGACGGCTTGGGCGATGGGAGTGGAAACGGGACCGCTGATGCTGAGGTTGGAGATGCCGCGGACATGGGCGGCGATGGGCTCAAGCAGGTGCTGCTGAATGGCGGGCGTAAACATGTCCGCATGGAAGGGGTTGAAGGAGACGCTCGCCCGGATGGAGAGGTGCTCGTTGGCTGTGGCGTTGGCGTCGGCCATGACGCTCTCGATGTCCAGCTGTCGGCATAGCGAGGGCAGGTCAGCACGCAGCATCATAATCTCACTCTCGGAGAAGTTGACCGAGCCAGATGACATAGCGGGCTTTGACAGGGTGAAGTGCATGAGGTAGCCTTCGAACTGCCTGGCTTTGCGTGGGTCGGTCGTGACGGCGGGAATGATCTCATCGCCGAGAAATAGGTTGCTGGCGTCGAGTCCTCGGCAGGTAACGCGCACAAACTGGTTGCGCTTCATCATGTAGTCGAACGCTTCCTCGTGGATTTGTTTGTTCGTTCGGAGCAGGGGCATGGCGTCATAGCTGGGCGATCGCCTGCGCAGCCCACCAACGAACCCGGGCTCGCACTCGGGCTCGTCGTTCCATGAGCACAGCAAGAGGTCGTAGACGTTGTTGCGGAGTTCACCGGGCAGGTCCAGGAAGCGGAAGGGCATAGAGGACATCATGGTCAAGGTGTCCGGGTCGATGGAATTGTCGCAAGGAGGTGTATTGCATGGAAGAGTTGCAATGGAAGCCGCTGGGGTCAAGTCAAGAGTCGCTTGGAAATGTCGCTATGGAAGTTGCAATGGATCTCGCACTTATACGCAAGTCAGAACGGTAATGTCGGGGAAAGTCTTGATTTTAGTTAAAAGAAATTTCGTGTCCAAGCGTTCAGGTACGCTGGGTGATTCGCAGTATTTTCGCGCAACGTCCGGGAGCACGCCTTGTCTTATGTTTCAGCACAGTCCTCGCCTAGACCGCTCATCTAGCCTATAGGCTTTACGGTGCGGTTGTCACGGATCGATTTCAGACGGAGAAAGGAGGTGCGGAGAAATGAGGAATTTCACGCTAAGATCGCGGGATGACGGCGGTCAAGCCACTCGCTTGTCCCAGCTGGGTCTCGGGCGTGCCTTCTCCCACTTTTTCCGTCGGCAAACGCCCGCTCCCGCGGCAGCACGGTTTTCGCTCGAGATCAGCTCGCATCAGCTCGGAGGACGGGAGATCGTTCGGTGCGTCGTCGTGCCACAGACCTCGACCAGTCCAGCGTGTTCGTCTAAGTTGCGGCTGCACTGAACGGGTTCGCGAGGAGCACAGCAGCCCTCCAAGGTCTTTGTGACACTGCCACGACGGTCTCCACTTCGATGTGAGGGGTGCAGAAACTATGGATACAACGCAGCCTTAGCACCGCGGGAGCAGCTGACATGCACCGGATCCGCATGAATTTTCGAACGCTACACGTTGCAGCCAGAGTGCTCGGGGAACTTCCACCACCGCTACTTTGAGTTGAAAGCCGGACTTCCGGTCAGATCAGTAGACAAGAACAGCCTTGGTCTACGTCACTAGTCACTGGATACGCAGGAAGACTGTCCTCCAAAGTACTCGACGTTGGAGTTCATCGCATATATGTCACGTGATGACCGGCAAAATCTCTACCTAGGTACTTCGAAATATCCTGAATTGTCGCAGTTGTGACTAAGCGATATTTCCATTCACTCTACACGTGATTAGACAGCGAACTGAGCCGTGATGCACTTCTTGATGCAACAATTAACAGACGTGATTCGCAGTAGATTCACTTTACATCAATAGAGTACGTCGAACGCGACCAGCAGTTCAATACCATAATCCGGTACATCCTCCAAAACCCCGAGCACAGTAGAGCCGTCGCCGCACGTCCAGGCGCAGAGAAGACGAGAAATGGAATGGCTCGGGAGCGAGGAAGCACGCATACGTGAACAGAGAGAACGACTGATGCGACAGGAGTAGACGCGCGACAAATACCAAATTGGGTAATCATGAATGGTATCTCATTTGCGTTACACCGCATTATCCAAACGCCAATTCCACGCAATGGTATCCATCTATCAAGCCTAGATCTTGTACACAACACCGCCAGAATACATAATCTTGTTGCGCTCGCTGAGCGTCTCAAGCGCCTTCTCGGCCTCGTCAGAATCAAAGGGATGCCTTCCAGTACCGCCGCCGAGTCTGGCGTTGACAGCGGCGACGAGCGGCTCGACGTCTGCGGCATCGTTGGCGAACAACGGGCTATCGATGAGCTGGCCAAGGGCAGTCTGGAAGACCTGCAGACGCGCTGATGTGAGTTCCTGCGACTCCTGAGTGTCGGTCTGTGTAGGTGGAAGTTGTGACTCGGGAAGCGAGGATGCAGCGCTGACTTGCGATGAAGGCCCGGCCTGTGATGATTGCGTGCGGCCCGCTGCGCGCTGTGCGTTGCGTTGTGTCCGGGTTGTGGCCCGGTAAAGATCATCATCCTCATCATCCTCACCCTCGTCCGCGGGTGCTGGTGTGCGTGTGGATGTCGTTGTGCGTTGAGGGCGTGAAGAAGGACCGCCAGTGCGTGTTGTAGCTGGGGTCTGCTCATCACCGTCTTCATCATCGTCATCGGACTCGCCTTCATCCGTTGACATGGCATCCGGATCGCGAACAGTCCTCCTGCGCTTGCGGCGGTCGTCCTCGACAACCTCCTTGAAGAGAGCAAACCGCAGAATCTGCTCTGCAACGTCGGCATCCTTTTGCTCGACCCGCTTCGACAGGCGACACTTTGCGTGCGCAGTCGACAGACGGATGAGTGTTTCGAGCGTACGCGCTGTGATAGGCGAGGTGCGGCGAGTGCCTGAGTCGAGCTCATCGTTTCGAAGCGCAGAGTATACTGCGACAATGTGGTCTGCAGCGCCCTTCGTGAGAATGGGCTTCTCACGCTTGGCGTATTGAATGTACTTCTTGATGAAGGGTATACTCAAAACATCAGGCGTTTTTCCGCGGCCGACGGTGACTGTGACTCCAGAGTGCAGCATGGGGTTGAACTTCTCGCGCACCTCTGTCGGACGATTGGCGTCGGCTTCAGTGTCTAGACCTACACCAAGCAGTTGAGCACCGTCTTCGCGAACGGGCGCGCCCTCCTCGGTGCCTGCCTGGCGGTATCGATGCATGCGGAGGACGTGTTCCGAGATCTGTCTGTCGCGCGCATCTTCAATATCATCTGTGACTACAAAGAGCAAATCGAAACGAGAGAGAAGCGAATCCGGCAGGGCGATGTTACGGTGTGGGTCCTTGTGAATGTCGTACTGGCCGAAGATGGGGTTGGCAGCTGCGATGACACTGCAGCGAGCGTTGAGAGAGGTGTGAATGCCTGCCTTGGCGATAGTGACTGTCTGCTGCTCCATGACTTCGTGGATGGCCACCCGGTCCACATCGGACATTTTGTCGAACTCATCGATGCAAACAACACCTCTGTCGGCCAGGACCATGGCACCGGCTTCCAGACGACGCTCTCCTGTCTCCTTGTCTTGGGTGACGGCAGCTGTCAGACCGACGCCGGAAGAACCTCGACCGGTCGTAGCGATAGCAAGAGGAGCAGTGTTGAGCACGAAACGAAGCAGCTGCGACTTGGCTGTCGAAGGGTCACCCACCATGAGAATGTTGATGTCTCCCCTCAAATGCGTGCCGTTCTCGAGGTTCTTCTCCTGGCCTCCCAGAAGCAGCAGCAGAATGGCCTTCTTGATATAGTCGTGACCGTAGATAGATGGCGCTAGGGATTGGGAGAGGGTTTCAAAGACTCGCTTGCCCTTGGCGATCTTATTGATATTGCGAATGTCTGTGTCGGTTATGTTGACTTGTGCAATGCCGCCGCCCGACTTGGACGACAGCAGGATGACGTTGTTGGCGAGAATGAGCGTGCGGAAAGTCGAGCTGCCTGCGCCAGCGTTGCGGTTTCCGAGCGATCGGTAGATACCAACAAGTTGGATGCGGTCGCCAGGCTTGACGCGATCTACAAGGTCGTCGTCCATGACAACGTCAACAGACCGCGGCAGCTGGCCGGCAGGTGCGCGCTCCGGCATCTCCTGGATCGAGATGGTTTGGTGGTCTCTGTAGACACAATATCCGTATTCAGTGACGAGCTATGCTATTAGCTAGTGCTGCCTCTTCCTATGCGTAGTGCTTACCGGATTGCCTTCTTCGTCTTCTGTGGGGTACACACTTGTGCTCGCAGCGCCTGTTGTCATAGTCTGATCTCTGTACTCGCGGAAGTGAAACTTCTGTTTAGTCTCATTGTAGTGCACGCTCTTGACCACCTTTGGCCTGACAAGCGATGTTTTTGTGACGATTCCTTCTAGCGACACCATGTGATTGAGCTGATTGGAGCTGAGTGTGCGCGGATTGCACGAGTACTCTCCGAAGCTACCGATGTAGGCGCAGTAGTATACGACATCGGGGCCTGATTCGGACTTGGGGCGGTCGGTAAAGGCTTCTACGACACTTTTGAGCGCGCGGTCGAAAGCCTCCGCGAAGTCGAAAGGCTGGTTTAGCAGGCCATCAGCCAGCTCGCGGTTGTGTGCTCGGATCTCGTCGATGCTGACCTGTTGAAGTCAGTGGAGAAGCGTGGATGAAAGTAGCTCGGCATACTGTGAGTCTCCTCTGTGCTCTGTTTAGCATGACCAGAATGTCTGCGCGGTAGCTGCATACGTCAGCGTGTTTGTTTACCAGGCACCACAAATCATTACCTCCGTTGGGAGACATCATCTACGCAGTCGTAAGTATCCTGCCGTCCAAAGACCGAAATCGTGCATACCTGGGTCTAGGAACTCCTGTGCGAGACGGATGCGCCTGCGCACCTCCTCGTCTCTGATTACTTCGGCCATGGTGGAGGATCGACTGATTGAAGTAGGGAGCGGCTACTGGGCACTCAATCGATTTTTGCGCAATCGGACAAGCGTGAAGCAGCAGATATGGGGTATCTCGAAAAACGCACAGTCGTTGTTGATAGTGCAGAGGGGCAGGATCGACTGGGTAACGAACGCGAAAATGGCGGGTGCGCGTCGAGCCTAAGCTGCTTTGGGACGACGCGCCTGCATCAATCAATCCCCCTCTTCCGGCGTAGCTCATCTCGGCCCGCCATGTCGCAGACCACAACCTCCACTGCTTAGCGCCTCTTTGCGCATGCGAACAGTATCTCAAGGGACGATTCAATGTCTGTCCGTCTGGGACAGTTGACCACGATCAACCCAATTATGACCCACCTTTGTAGCAACATAGTACCCTCTCATAAGGCGAGCGGCTGACGACAAGCAGCGGAGATAAACCGCGGCGGCCTTAGTGGACTTTAGCACTCAAACATTGACGTCACGTCGACTACAGCAGCGATTGTGTCTTGCATACACGCGGCCGTCCATCGTTGGCCAATGTAGTACTCTTAGTGGGACCGTTCAGGTGATCCATCACTCCGTCCTGACGTAGAGTGGCTGTTGACGTAGGTTTGTCTGGACCCTGGCCATCACAATTACAGCCATAAAGAGCGCCCCAACGCCCTGTGGCACGGTATCCGGTATCCTACCCCAGCGAACGAAGATAACATGGCACCCCGCGTATTCCTCATCACCGGTACTTCGACGGGCTTTGGAGAAGAGCTAGTCAAGGTCGTACTCAACCATGGTGACCACGTCGTTGCTACAGCTCGCAACAGCTCAAAATTGAAGTTTGACGGCGCGAACGACACCAACAGCCTCTTCGTGGATCTCGATGTCACCGAAAAGAGCTCTATCGACAAAGCTTTCGAGGCTGCAATTAAGAAGTTCAAGCGTATTGATGTTGTTGTGAACAACGCCGGTTACGGTCTGAGTGGGCCTTTTGAGACCTTGTCTGATAAACAGCTGCGGCAGCAGATGGACATCAACTTCTTCGGGTTGATCGATGTCACAAGGAAAGCCCTGGAAACCATGCGCGAACTCAAGACTGGGGGCGTGATCCAACAGGTCACGTCCATCGGGGGCCAGATCGGTGAGCAGATCCGTTGAGACGAATGAAAAGGGCTGACCCATCAGGTGTACCGTCTTTCTCCATCTACTGCGCGTCTAAATGGGCAGTCGAAGGCTTCACAGAAGCGTTGTCAAAGGAGCTAAAGCCCGAGTGGGGTATCAAACTGACGTGCATCGAGCCCGGCGGCTTCCGAACAGACTGGTCCGGTCGCAGCATGGAGTTTGGCGAAGTCAAAACCGATGCGTATGATCATATTGATCCACGCAAGAATGCACAGAACAGGCATCACACTCAGCCCGGCGACCCTGCAAAGGCTGCTAAGGTCTTCTATGACCTGGCTGTCATGCAGGATCCTCCGATTCGCTGCGCTGTTGGCACCGATGCGTACAAGGCTATGACCACCAAAATTGATGCAGCCAAAGAAAATGTAGACAAATTCAAGGAGTGGACTAACAGCACTGACGTAGAGGGGTACAAGGCCCCAAGTTAGGTGCCACATGAGGCTGAGATACGTGAGGATGGAAACTTGCGGTGAGCCGGCTCTTTCACACAAATGGAATAAGCAAAACTTTACAGCCGATCAAAGATCCACTTCTAGCCCCACGTTGCACAGTTTCAACGCATGTTGACATCATTGTGCTGCTCTTGACCGGATATTATTCCATTCAGCATGTGTTCTGCCTGAGACAGTATGGCGACAGAACAACTGTTCGGTACCACCTTGCTGTGTCCGCAGCCACATTACGCCTCAACCGAGCGCCATGCATTTTGGATCGAGTCCCCTGGGACAGCCACGTGAGATGTGAGGAGCGTGTCAAATTCTAGCACGGACGCCAATCGGACTTTTGAGCGCAGTTGTACAAACTCGACTATCTCACTTCCTCCACCAGATTAGGCAAACCATCCGTATTGATCTGTATCACCAGTCAATTCCGGTTCATGACACCAACTACCGGATTACACGTGGCTGATGTAGATGCGGTGTTCGACATACCTCCTTCACACGACTGCTCGGGCTTGGCATCTCGAGGGGATGTATCGGACCTCCAACAGCCGCAACACAAACCGAGACTTCCGCGACGAGTCAAAGATGCAGATGTTTGATGCTGACCTGTATAGAGTCCAGCTGATCCTTTGACAGTTTACGCTTCACCGCGATGCCTGTTGTTATGTATATTGCAAGATACATCGTGACGAATATTACTTGGCTGTATAGTCAGGGGTGTACCATGGGCATGTCGTGGCTAGGCTGGAAAGCCTCCACATGAAGACAATGGTTCAATCCCGGACCATAGATCAGCATTCACAGCCACAGCGCGAGCCAATCGGTCATTCCCAGCTGCACTCCTAGAACTCGGGACCACACAAACCCAACTCCTGTCAGAATTATTCACATACTACAGTCTAGCGCAAAAGCTGGCACGACTTGGCGAACATTCACCGCTCGACTACGGCAATCGACCGCCATGCCCGCGTTTGTAGCCACCGGATGACAGAGTCGGCGTGACTTGGGTGCTTCGCTGCCTTCTCATAACCCTCTCCAACGCCCTCAATGTTGATCGATATCTTTCCCAAGATTCGCCGTATGAATAGAAAAGAAGTAGGTCAAGGTCTACACACATCCCACTCGAAAGCCCTTCCGTTCCTTACAGCCATGGGTGCCTCATTACTCGTGACTCTTGCGACCTTCCTGCCTCTTCTATTACACCTTGTAATCGCGTCGCCCATTCCTCAGGGTGACACAGATCACTTGACTTCTCTTTACCCTGAACCGGCGCCAAGCTATGGCAACATCTCCTGGATCCACGACCCCAGCATCATCTGCGAAGACGGTACTTACTGGCGCTTCTCCACCAGTGGGAATATAGCTGTCGCCACTGCACCATCGATAAAAGGGCCATGGACGTATAAGGGGGCTCTTCTACCAGAAGGCACAAAGATACAGATAGATCCGAATCAAGACATCTGGGTAGGTGTCTCGCCCGCTCTTCTGACCCATCGCACTGACCATTGCAGGCCCCGTCAATCTCCAAATTCGACGATTTATACTACGTACACTACTCCGTCAGCACCTTTGGTAGCCAGGTCTCGCAAATCGGCCTTGCAACCGCAGAATCTCTCTCAGGACCCTGGACCGACCATGGCTCGCTCAACCTCCCCCAGCAATCTACCTACAACCTCATCGACCCGTACATCTTCCAGGACCAGCCGGATGACACTCTGTACTTCACTTTCGGCAGCTATTGGACCGGCATCCAGCAGTTCTCTCTCCCGTCGCACGAGCAGCTGATGGCTCTCGATGGTAGCATAGCGCAGGTAGAGGACATCCAGACCATTGTCACCAACTCCTCCGCCGGTGCTGCGGTCGTCGAGGGCGCAGTCACACACAAGAATGGCGGGCTGTACTACCTCTTCTTTTCTGTCGGCGCGTGCTGCAACACACCGCCAAACCTCGCGGCTCCGGGGAATGAGTACCGCATCGCTGTGTGTCGGGCCGAGGCGGTCACAGGTCCGTATGTCGACCGTGAAGGCAGAGATTGCAGATCGCAGAGCGGTGGAACTACGATTTTGGCGAGCCATGGAGATGTGTATGCGCCCGGCGGTCAGGGAATTATGACGCTACCGAGGGACGACGGGCAGGAGGGGCGGGACGTTATTTATTATCACTATGGTGAGTGATTCCTCATTTTGTGGGGTGGAGCTAACAATGGCAGTGAATCCGAATGTTGGGTATGCAGCAGACGAGTTTTTCTTTGGTTGGAATTACCTCGAGTGGGAGGATGGATGGCCTGTCGTTGCGTAGTCCGCTTGTTCGTATCTGAATATTGTTTTGTCAACAAGTTTGTATGGAGTCCGAAGGCTGGCTAGCTGACGAGATATAGAAAATGCTCTTCCTCGGCTGAGGGGGCATCTGATTCTTTGTTGATACTTATCATGCGCGCGCCCGGAGGCTGGGACGGCGACCCCGGCGCGGTGTATCTTCCTTCTCGTACGCAGATTACTTTTTACGATGAAAGATCGAACATCCATAGAATCTTCCTGCAATATTACAACACAAAAAGGTCGCTGCTAGTGCCAACAGACTTGACCCATCCATGATCTGTGGAGTCTGTGGCTCATCGTGGCTCGTGCCGGGCGATGCGCTCTAGCAGGAGATCTAGCAGAAAGCTTATCTCGAGTGCGCAAAGCTTGGTTTCGCAATCAATGGCCGTCCACAAACCGGTTCTCATGCCTTTCCACGTCCGCTGGAACCAGAAATCGAATGCGAACATCTGCCGCATAGAGCCGCCGGGTTCCCTTTTCAGTCGCAATCTGGGTGGGTGGATGAAAATGGCAGCGCTCGCGTGCTCCAGCCCCGCCAATACGAGGCGTTCGCTAGACCAATCACATGCGCTGCTCAAATCGATCTTGCACAAGGATCGGAAACGCATGCCGGGCAAGGTGGAGAAGATCTGGACGAACGTGAACACCTCTGCACGGATCTGGCGATGTAGCATGGCTAGACGGCTGCAGAGTGCGTAAAAGGGACAATGCACGCGGTGAGCGCAGAGTTGACAGACGAACAATTGCGCAAACCACCGGCTCTAAGAAAGGCGCCAGCTGAGTGTGGCTAATGCAGCTTGGCATTCGTCATCCTCTCTTCCGCTGCATTGCTGAACCGACTCCACAGTGAATACCTGTTTGCACTGTGCTACAGCAGTGTACAAGACTGGTCTCTGCGCTTTACAACCCCCGCAAGCCTCACTCCTCAGCCTCTTTTCGCGCCTCAATCGCTCTCTTTCGTGATCAGCACGGCAACGCTCGGGCGCCCAAGACATGTCTGATGCGGGGAAGCAGAAAGGGCTGAAGAAGCTCTTCCACCCTTTCAACCACCGAGCCAGTGAAAAAATCGAGGAACTGCAAGAGAAGCTCGAGCACACGAAACTGAGAGAGGCGCACATCAAGGCCGTGCACATCAGTCACAAGGTCGGCAAATTTAAGAATTTATTCAACACCAACCACCGTCACGACGAGGAGCATGAGCAGGCCACGGATGATAAGCGCACGAGGGTGGGCGAGAACCACCGCTTCCATTCGTTTGCGCCGGAAAGAGAAGGCAATCTGGTAAAGTGGTACGTCGACGGCCGAGACTACTTCTGGGCCGTTGCCGAGGCATTGGAGAAGGCGCAGGAGACCATCTACATTGCAGATTGGTGGTTGTCGCCGGAACTGTTTCTCAAACGCCCGCCTTTCTACAACCAGGAGTTCCGACTGGATCAAGTCCTCAAGCGCCGCGCCCAGGCTGGCGTGAAAATTTATGTTTCTGTGTACAAGGAGGTGCGTGATACATTGCACTGAGATCACCTGATGCTGACGTTCTAGGTTTCCGCTGCGCTCACATGTAACAGCCAGCACACCAAGAAAGCTCTAATGGGTCTGATCAAGGAGGGTGAGCCAGGGTACGGCAACATCAATGTGATGAGACATCCAGATCACAACGTGTTCGAGAATGCGTCTGACATGACATTCTACTGGGCGCATCACGAGAAGTTTGTTGTCATCGACTACGCGATGGCTTTCATCGGAGGCTTGGATCTGTGCTACGGACGTTGGGATAACAAGCAGCATCCGCTGGCGGATGTGCACCCTTCCGGGATTCAGAATCAGATCTTTCCCGGTCAGGATTTCAACAACAACCGAATTTTAGACTTCGAGGGTGTCGAGGACTGGAAATCGAATAAACTCAACAAGCTCGAGTACGGACGCATGCCATGGCACGACGTCGCAATGGGCCTCATCGGTCCCGCCGTATATGACATCGCCGAGCATTTCGCCCTCCGCTGGAACTTCATGAAGCGTGACAAGTACAAGCGCGATGAGCGATACGACTGGATTACCATGGAAGGACGGGAAGGAGTGGACGAAGATCTCATCGGCGTGCAGAGACCAAAGTTTCCAGTCGGTGAATACGTGCATCATCCGAAGACGCCCCTTTCCCAGAAGAACTTAGACAACCGAGGCACCGTACATGCACAACTAGTGAGAAGTAGCTGCGACTGGAGTATGGGCATTTTACCAGAAGAGCACAGTATCCAGAACGCTTACATCGAGCTCATCCGGAATGCCAAGCATTTCGTATACATCGAGAACCAGTTCTTCATCACAAATACCCGGAAAGACGATAAAAGTCCTGTCCACAACCAGATAGGAGCTGCTATTGTTGAGGCGGTGGTGAATGCCGGAAAGGAGGGTCGCAAGTTCCGAGTCATCATCCTCATCCCAGCCATTCCAGGTTTCGCAGGTGACCTTCGTGATAATGCGGCCGCTGGAACGCGCGCTATCATGGACTACCAGTTTAAGAGTATCTGCCGTGGCGAGGACAGCATCTTCGAACGGGTAAAGGCGCAGGGCGTCGACCCCAACGAACATATCTTCTTCTTCAACCTCCGGTCTTACGATCGAATCAACGTTACCCCTACGCTGAAGAAGCGTGAAAAGGATTCGGGAACGACATATATGGACCTCGAACAGGCTGAAATCGAAGAGCTAGAGGCGCCACTTGAGGATGGAGAAGAAGCACGAGCGAAGGCTGCAGAGCTGAGGAAGAAGTTCATGGGCGAGGAGGCAGATGTCGGGAAGGGCGACCAGGGCGGCATCATTGACCCTGACTCGATAGCAGACGACGCCATGCTCAACGACAAGAAGCCGAGTACCGAGGAGTGGGAGGGCGATCCAGAAGACGAGAAGAACCATTTCTTCCAAGAAGAGCTCTACATCCACGCCAAGCTCTGCATCGTTGACGACAAATACGTCATCTGCGGCTCCTCCAACATCAACGATCGCTCGCAGCTGGGCCTGCATGACTCTGAGCTCTCCATCGTCCTCCAAGATCGCGACGAAGTCGACATCCTAATGGACGGACAGCCCTACAAAGCCGCCCGGCTCGCCCACGACCTGCGTTCCAACCTGTGGCGCGAGCACATGGGCCTGCTTCCCGCGCAAGCCCTCGAAGCCTCCGACGACCCCAACGCGCAGCCCCCTGGCGAAAACTCCCCTAATGACCCCCAGCCCGGTCCCGAAGCCGACTTCGTCTCAGACCCGCTCTCGGACAAGCTGTGGGACTCGTGGTGCAGCCGCGCAACCACAAATACAGAGGTCTTCCGCACGCTGTTCCACGCCGACCCGGACAACAATATTCGCACGTTCGAGGACTACGACCGCTTTACGCCAAATCCCAAGACCGACAAGGAGCACAAGCAGGGCCATTTGTATGATATGGTAAGGCCAGTGGCGGAGATCAGGCAGGAGCTGGATCGCGTGCAGGGCCACTTGGTGTGGATGCAGTTGGAGTTCATGGCAGAGGCAGATTTGGCCGAGAAGGGCCTGCAGGTTAATGCGTTCACAGAGTCGATCTACACGTAGAGAGGGTTGACGGCGTTGGCGGCCGGGACGACGGTGCTCGTCACGTGGAGCCTGGGTGGTTTGTGTTCGCCGTTTGGATATCACGGCTTAGTCAGTGTTGTTATTCCTGTTTCATTTTCGTCCTATTCTATTATTATTTAAGTCCACTCAGACAGCACTGTCCTGCTTCGCAAACGTCCTCGCAAGTGCCTCGACGCTGTCCGCAACCCTACTGAACTCATCCTTCTGCTCGCCTCCGACCTCACCGCCTCCGTCGGCCACACTGTCGTCGCCGTTGCTCCACTGTGTCTCCATCGTGTTGAACGCGAGCTTCACGTCCGCGCCGAACACATCCTTGTCCGAATGGGAGGGGAAGCCACGGAGCGAGGCGACAAGGCGGAGGAGCTCTTTCACATCATCTCTGAGTATTGTTAGTATAAGAAGGGAGTCAGAGTAAAAGGTACCTACGCAGGCACCTCGCCGACCTTCTCGTCCTTGGTGTTTGCGTCAGATGTTGTCGTGCGGCGAATCGACGCAGATCCGTGGTGGTCGCCGATGACTTCAATGTGTAGCTGTGGGGTACCTGAATTCTCAGTGTCAATTCTAACACACTGGAGACAGCAGTGATGTACCGGAGAACGGCTTGGCCAGAGTGACCTGGAACTCGTGAGATGGAGGCGGGGCGACTTGGCGAGGCATCGTGGTGAGGAGACTGCGGTGCGTTTGGCGATCTTAAAGATCGTGTTGATTGAGAAAGTGTGAATTTATGAGTGTCTGTTTAAATTGAGGTGTATGGTTTTGTAGCGCATCGTGTGAGCCTTTGCTAGCTTTGGTCTTGACATCATGATGAAGCCTGTCCGCCTATGATCTCCACATTCCCCCTCGCGCCGAGATTCACAATCTACATTCGTCATTTAAAGTCAGAGGTGCACAAGGGGCGTCGCGTTGGGCAACGCGTTTGAGAAGTAAGGTGAAGCGCGTGCTCACGTGTCATGACATCATCGAGACCACGACCTAGAAACAACGTGTGTTGAACGATTGCTTATGCACAATCAAAACAGTTATATAAAAAGAAGAAAAAAGGTAAAGCTGGTAACAGACGATTACTCGACGTCATCTGCTCCCTCGAAAATGGCGACACCAAACGTTCTCGCCCACTTGCTCCCTTCACTGTCCTCGATGCTGACAGTCAACCGCTCAATACCAGCTGCCTTGGAAGTGTACGTCGCCTTCGACCCTACGACCACGACCGAGCCCAACGTAGCACCCTCGACAGTGAATGTAGGCTCGACAAACCCCCTTGCCAGCGCGCCAAGATCGATCTCGACAGACGAGGAAGGTGTGACGAACGCATGCGGGTCAGCCATGAAATTGAGGTACCCCTCGATCACATCCCATCCCTCGCCTCCAGTCGAGCCATCCCACCAGTCCGCCACTCCATCGCCGTTGGCGTCCCACGAGGCGCTCCGCGTTGCAGCGGGGAAGTCCTCCAGGCCGCCGACATCACTGGGATTGTCGATGATGCCCTTCTTGCCGCCCACGCTGCCCGTGTACGTTGTGGTCCCCGTGAGGGTTTCGTTTACGATACGTTTATCATGAATATCCTGGACGGGCTGCGAGACGCCGCTGTCGCTGAGGACGCGCTTGTACGCGTCGTTCGCGTCCTGAGTGTCTACGAAGCTCTCGAAGAACGGCTCGGCAACAAACTTCTGGTATGTGACGTTTGTGATGGTGACATCGGCGTAGCACGCGATGTTGGTCTTCTGGCCGGTGCCGTCGTTGACGTATTGCACGCTGTCTGCGGTGAAGACGCCGGGCATGGCGTTGCCGGCGCAGTAGTACGATTGTGAGCCGGGCATGTCGTCTTCGTACTGGGCACGCAGGGCGTAGGTGAGTTTTGACGCCGGGCCGCGCTTGTACAGGTTGGATACGAACTGGCCCTGGTGGGCGCCACCGTCAGTCACGCGGCCGCCGAAGTTGTAGACGACGTTGTTGCGGATGTCGAGTTTGCCGGCGAAGGCTGCGTTGCTGTCGACACCGCCAGCCATGCTCCAACTGCGGCCCTCGGCGTGGGCGATCAGGTTGTGGTGGAAAGAGCCGACGTCTCCACCGATCGAGGCGGCGTAGCCGTGAGCGGTGCCTGCGGGATAGTTCTTGTGGCCGGCAATGTTGAGGGGCTCGCTGATCATGTTGCGTTGGAAGGTGATGTTCTTCGCGTCGCGGGATGAGAAGGCCTCGTCGATGGTCCACCCCATGCTGCATCTGTCGAAGATGGCGTGGTTGGAGCCCTGCATGCCCATACCGTCAATCGTCTGATTACTGATTTTACCAGGACGTACGCGGACATGACGCAGGATCATGTCCGTCGCGCCGGTGAGGCCCAGCGGAAAGCCCTGGATGACTACGCCCTTACCAGGCGCCGTCTGTCCAGCGAGGGTGACATACTGGCCGCTGACCGAGATGCGCGACTTCGTCGTGATGACACCTCCGACATCAAACACGATGATACGTGGACCAGTGGCTACGGTCAAGGCGTGGCGAAGGGTGCCGACCTCTAAGCTGTCCTCAAGAGTTGTGACGTGGATGACCTTGCCACCTCTTCCACCACGCGCAAACCGCCCGTATCCTTCGGCACCTGGGAATGCGAGCTGGGCCGCACGGAATGTGAAGACACGCCCAGTGTAGGTACCGTTACCAGTCACGACATCGATACGCCAGAAGTATGTTGCCTGAGTGTTGACGTCGTTCAGTGTTGTGCTCGGCTCGGTGAGGCCCGTCGCAACACTCTCCAATTCAGAAAGCGAAGTGCCAAGGTAGACGTTGTACGTGGCTCCGGGGGCTTTAGCAGCCCTCCAAGACGCAGAGATATCGGTGGTGTTTTCGAGCGGGACGACTCGCTCGTCGCGATGCACCGGCGTGGGAAAGCTGATTTGATTCTCCAGAGACGCGTTGTCAATTTCGAATCCGTTCAGGAAGGCTCGGCCGTCGCCTGCGGTGTCGGGCGTGTATACAATCTCAACTGCCTGACCCTGGGTTGCAGTGAACTTCACATACGACGCAGCGGACTCCCAGATGTTGTCGATGCGGATGGATTGCTTGACGCCTGTCGCCACCTCTTTCCCATCTACGGTCACCGCGAGAGAGGCCGTGGCCTTCAGAGCGTCCCAAGCATTGTGCCATGCCAGGATTGAGTGTTCACCAGCCGATAGTCCAGAGATGCTCAACTTGATCGCGGCGCCGGCGTTGTCTCCGTTGTCAGCTGCCGTCGAGATGCCCTCGCCTACGACCCGTTCGCCCAGCGAGGTGATGATCTTGGAGTAGACGGCCTTGTTCCAGTTGCCATTGAGCTTGCCACTCGCAGCAGACAGCGTAAACGACAGACCCGTGTTGTTGGACTTCAATTGAGCCGACGCGCCTTCGGCGACAGTCCACGTTGTGTAATCCGTATCGCCCGTGTCGCGAATCTTCGCTGGATTGAGGCGGACGCGAATACTCGCAGGGGGCGCGGTCTCATTCACCTGCCTGCCGGTGAGGCCACTAGGCAGCGCCGAAGCAACCGCCAGCAGCGTGCTTATCCAAAGGAACGTCTTCATAGCTGTAACGAATGTGATGGTAATCCTTGAAGCCGCGACCAGCCCGCCTCCAGTCCAAATACTCAGCAACCACACGGCACACCTGGACGCATTTCACCGAGCGCAGATTATGAGCCACACCACACGATCCCGTCATCTTGCACGTGTTTGATCGACCAGATTGACAGGGCGGACCGCGGACCAAAGCAGCAGACGGGAATCAGAGATAACCCGAAACGACACCATTTCCACCGAAACAACCGCCAGGATCGATGTTGAGCGTGTTCCCCTCGCGTGCCCGTTGGATAGTGCGGGGCGTGGTGCGCTCATGCGCGCAATGTGTTTGAAACACGCCCCACATGCGCTCGCACAGCCTCGTATTGGCGCTGTTTCCGCGAACGAGAGCGCGCGGATCGACCGAAGTGGGTCGCCTTATTCTAATATCTTCAGCGCTGTGCAGTCGTTGTGTGGAAGGGACTTTGTCGACCGGCGCACCAATACATCCATTCGCCTTAAACCAGGCCGTGTATTGACAAAGTCGCCCTACTTGGGCTTCCAGCTAGCCTAAAATAAGTGGCGTTCTGTCCCGAAAACGGCGCTATAGACGTGGAGAAGGAGATGGGCGCAGAGATATAGGAAGCCAGGGGCACCTTCGCAATGGCTGACTCTGAAGCAATGGGAGATGGCTAACTTGTTAAAAGCTTGATGGTGCTTCATCAGCGTGCTTGCTCCAAGTCTGATGCGAGTATTTGTCCAGATGTACGTCAAGAGTTTGAGTGTGGATTATTGGGCGGCGACGAGTGGAAGAGTCGGCTTCGAAGTGATCGAGGTATTCCCGCAGACAGCAGACCCAGCCTGGTCGTGACAACACTGGTTTACTGCCTTATCGAACATTCACCACATGCAGTCAGTCGTCCCTTTCGCGCATAATCAGTGATTGGCACCGGCGGAAGGATTGCATCGCCCAATGAACCGCCCTGTCGCTGCAGCATCCATGCAACCCCGCCTCATAAGACCTGTCGTCGGTGATACTTGAGCAGCAGATAAATATATAGGTATAGCTGATCTGTCCGAGGTAAGGGACATTGCTCAAAAGATGTTGTCGTTGAAGCTTGGTGTTCTAACGCTTCTTGCGACGGCCAATGGCGCGCCAACACGGTGGAGGAGTGCGATGGTGAGGCGAACTGTCGCAGACCTCGCAGGAGAATACGACTACATCGTTGGTGCGTATCTCATGATTGTCCTGAAGTAGCTAACAGCCGCAGTGGGCGCGGGCACAGCAGGCACCACACTCGGCGACCGCCTCAGCGAAGACGGTAACAGTAGGCCTTACGATGACGAGGGTAGTCTAGCACATGCTGAAACTCTCCTGCAGAAACAGTGCTGATGATCGAGTACGGCTCCCTCGCCCTTGACGATTCCTTCATGCCCCCCTGGAACGTGCCTTCATCTGAGTTCCTCTACAACATCAACTCCGTGCCCCAGACCTATGTCAACAACAGGACTTTCCCAGTCATCAACGGCCGCGTCGTTGGAGGCGCAAGTGCAGTCAACGGCCAACTGCACACACGTGGCAGCAAGCACGACTATGATAATATCGCCAAGTTCGCCGGCAACGAAGACTGGAATTGGGACTCGCTTTACCCGTACTTCAAGAAGAGCGTAACGTTCCACGAGCCCACTGATGAGATGAAGGAGTTTGGCATCACGTACGATCTGGACGCTTGGGGTAACTCAACGCCAATTCATGCAGCATTCCCGCCGTACCAGTACCCGGGGCAGCGCGTGCAGTGGCAGGGCTGGGCGGAGAGGGAAGGTATAGAAGTGCAGAAAGAGCATGCGAACGGGAATGCGTACGGCGTGTGCTGGGTCCCCACGGCTATGAATCCTGACACAGGCTATAATCGCAGCTTTGCTGGCATTGGCCACTGGCTCGAAGTCCCCAGACCAAACTTCCACCTCCTCACTGAGCACAGAGGTGTCAAGGTGAATTTCGAGGAGGTCGACGGCCTTCAGCAGGCTGTTAGTGTGGTAGTAGCGCCGCGGTATGGAAACGATACGACCTTCGTCCTCAAAGCTCGAAAGGAGGTGATTCTCTCCTCCTCCGCCGTTCGAACGCCGCAGATCTTGCAACTGTCCGGTATTGGGAGGAAAGTAGATCTCGAAGCAGCCGGCGTGGAAGTCCTCATCGATTTGCCCGGTGTGGGATGGAATCTGCAAGACCACTCCTTCTCCGTGAGCATGTACAATTTCACCAAGGACCTGTGGCCGCACCCTTCCCAGATGACCACAAACGCCACCTTCCGCGCCGAGGCTCTTGCAGAGTACAAGGCGAACAATTCAGGCCCTTACGCTGCATACGTCGTGAGCAGCGCCCTCTTCCTGCCCGGACCAACTTTCCTTGGCAACTACACCTCCACGCTGGCGGACAGCCTCGCCGCTCAAGACCCCGGCGCCCATCTCCCCTCGGACACTCCGCCCGAGCTCATCGCAGGCTATGCGGCTCAGAAGGAGATTCTGCACGCCTCCTTACTATCCAACACCTCCGCCATCCTTGAACACCCCTTCCAGGGCCTCCCTCGCGGCACCACAATCCTCCTCAAACCCCTCTCACGCGGCACCATAAAGCTCAATACTTCGGATCCCTTCGGCCCGCCCGTGGTTGACTACCGCCTGCTCAGCAACCCTCTCGACCTCCAACTCCACATCCGCATGCAACAATACCTGCGCGCCCACTTCGCCACCTCGCGCGTCCTCGCGCCCCTCGGCCCCGTGGAATTGGATCCCGGCCCCTCCCTCCCCTCAGACGAGGATGTTGCATCGTGGCTCATTGGGCAGGAAAAGCTGTTCGCGAGCAACGCGCACCAAGTAGGTACTACAGCGATGGCGCCGAAGGAGCTGGGCGGCGTGGTGGACGGTAGATTGAGGGTGTATGGGACGAGGGGGTTGCGGGTAGTGGACTGTGGGGTGCTGGGGGTGTTGGTCGGGGCGCATACTATGGCTGCGGCGTATATGGTTGGGGAGAAGGTGGGTTTCGCGCTTTTCTGGAACTTTGATGGGAGGGTGGAGCTAACAAGTGCCAGGCTGCGGATTTGATTAAGCAGGACGCGGTGTTGTAGGATGTGGGGGAAGGTAGGTTGTTCCATGCTTGGCGATGGGATGGTGCTAATGAGGACAGGCTGCAGATTTGATGAAACAGAGATAGTAAGGCAGTTTGACACTGCAGGGTGCTGCTGTCTGTATACAGCGAACTGCTCAAAGAGGATGCGTACAATGCATTTTCGAGTGCAGCAGATGCTGACACGCGACACTACAGTCCACCGATCTGATCAAGAATGAGAACCAGTACAGCATCACAGCCTTGACCATACTCGTCAACCAGATACCAGCTCTCACTTCACCACCTCCCTCCAGAAAACACACAAAATCCACACCACCATAAATTACACAATACACTCAATGTACCACCACATACACACGCCCTCAGACTAACAAGAACGCAGGAAGCGAGCGGCTTCTAGAAGCGCCGCGTGAGTCTTGCAGCACCACATCTCGTCACGTGAGCGAGAGACGCAGCGCGGTCAGGAATCCATCACGACCGCTGATGCAGCAGTACGCCCCCCAGCCCCTCAGAACTCAGACCCCGAAGCCAGGCTTCCAGCGCCCGTGAACCCACTAGTCCGTCAGGCCCAAGGATGCTCAGCCAAGCATTCTCAGCCCAGGATTCTTGAGTAGGTATAAGCGCTGGTACATGAACCCACCACACACAAAAAGCCCTTATGTAACAGCGCCAGGCGTCACGTAATCCCCCCCCAGTCGTCCCAGGGTGCTCGGGGCTTTCAGGCGAAGCGCGCAGTGTCTCGGGGTGTGGTGATGTGTGGTGTGAAGCGGTGGACCCATGTGGTGACTAAAACTGTGGGCCGGTGCGTCATCGCTTGCTTTGGAACCGGCGAATCAGGGCGCGGGTGGTCGCGCGGTCGCGGTCGCGGTTTCCGGACTACGCAGTCGTGTGTTGTCAGATTTCATTGCCTCGGGGAGAAGTGAGGCTTGAGGGCGGCGGACGTGTCTTGGCGCAAACAGCGCTGTGTGGCCTGAAGAGTAAGGGGAGGAAGAACAGTAGCGTCGCGAGAACAAAACATGGAATTCGAAAACAATGGGTATCATGCAGCGCCGTCCAAACTCTCACAACTCATCTGCGTCCTCGTTCCCGTCCTCGTCCTCCCCGTACCCAGCCCTGACCCTCTTCTCCCCCCTCGCCGCCCCGCTCGCCGCCCTCTTCCGCCGCGCCCCTTCCCCTTTGCTCCGCGCCTTCACCTCCTCAGGCACGAGTTTCCCACTACCCCCCCGCTTCCCGCACGAGCGCGCTCAGCACCTCCTCAACTGCTAGCTGCGCTGGACTCGCGTCCTGGCCGCTGGAGTCCGAGAAGGAGGTGTTGGCGAGTGTGTCCGGGGCGCTGAGTTTCAGGCGCGAGGTGCCGAGCGAGAAGGAGGTGGCGGAGATTAGGGAGATGGTTGTGCCGGGGTGGGTGAGCGAGAGGGCGAGGTGGGTGCGCAGGTAGGAGGTGAGGGCTGCTGTGAAGGGTCCGGGGGTGGGTGAGGCGTCCCCGCGTGTCTTGTCCCCAAGCGTCTTGTCTCTGAGTGTGTTGTCGGCCCCCCTCGCAACAAAGCCCGCAACGTCCCCAGCCCCAATCGTGATGTCAATGTGCGCGAGCGCCGGCGCGCTGGGAAACGCCAATTGTACGCTGAGCTGGCGCACCGAGTCCCCGTCGCCCAGGTGCCGCAGATACGTCTCCGCACCGGCGGCGATGAACGACGACGGCAGCCGCAGCGGAGCGACGTGCGCGTCGAAGCTGGTGCGCAGATACTGCAAAAAGACGTCGCGCACGGGCGCGGGCATCTTGACGAGCAGCAGCGGCAGCGCGGTGAAGCTGGGGGGCGCGGGGCGCGGGTCGCGCAACAGGAGCGCCGTGTAGGAGGCCTGCGGGTAGTCGAGGGTGACAAGGACGCCGCGGGCGTCGGGCGGCGGCGTGGGCGACTGCAGCTGGTGGGCGTCAATCCACGAGTCCTCGTCGCCGAGCAGGTCCCAGGTGCAGGACTCGAGGGGCCCGAGGTGCGAGGCGGCGGCGAAGGCGACGTCGACGCCGCGGATCGAGTCGCCCTTGAGCTGCTCGCTCAGGCGCTTGGCGTGGGTGCGCAGGGCGCGCGGGGCGAGGAGCGGGGCGGAGCCATGGTGCAGCGGCGAGGCGCGGTAGAGGGTGAAGGTGCGGTTGTAGAGCGGGTACGGGGGGATGTCCATAGCAACCACGACGGTGGACCAGCGCGGTTCGCAGTTCTTGGGCCTGTCAACAGCCCCGTTGGGACTGGCGGACGCGTCGGTGACGGCACGCGGTGACAACCGGCTAGCCTCTTGGCGGGTCGCAGCCTCCCACCAAAGATTCTGTTAGCGCGCGGCGGGGCACTCGCAGCTTCTCAGATATTCGCTGCGCTTCTACGCCGGCCAGCCCTGCAAACCCGCGACTATTCAAGCCCGGCAGCCCAGTCTCGACGACTCTACACGCACAGTCTCGACGACCTCTACTCAGTCGACGACCTCACTTCACCCTCACCTAATACCCCGCACACCCCGACCGAGCAAACATGTCTGTTGTGGGCATTGATCTGGGCACGCTCAACAGCGTCATTGCTGTTGCGCGCAACCGTGGTGTCGATGTGGTGAGTATTCTTCTCCAAGTATGCAGACGCCTGCTGACCGCCGCAGATTGCCAACGAAGTCTCCAACCGCGCGACACCGTAAGTGCCCCGCCAACCGCCCAACCATCCCCCACACACTGACTTTGCAGGTCGCTGGTCGGCTTCGGCCCCAAGAGCAGATACATCGGCGAGACGGCGAAGAACCAGGAAATCTCCAACCTCAAGAACACCGTGTCGTCGTTTGTGCGCCTCGCCGGCCGCGCCTTCAACGACCCCGATGTGCAGGTCGAGCAGGACTTTGTCTCGGCCCCGCTGGTCGACATTGACGGCCAGGTCGGCGCTGAGGTCTCGTATCTCGGCAAGAAGGAGCAGTTCACCGCCACCCAGATCACAGCCATGTACCTGACCCGTATGCGCGCGACCGCCTCGACCGAGCTGAAGCTGCCCGTGCACGACGTCGTGCTGTCGTGCCCCGTGTGGTACACCGACGCCCAGCGCCGCGCCCTGCTCGACGCCTCGCAGATCGCCGGCCTCAACTGCCTTCGCCTGATCAACGACAACACCGCCGTCGCCCTCGGCTACGGCATCACAAAGCTCGACCTGCCCACCGCCGAGGAGAAGCCCAAGCGCGTGTGCTTTGTCAACATCGGCCACAGCAACTACACCGCCACCGTGGTTGAGTTCAAGAAGGGCGAGCTGGCCGTCAAGTCGAGCGCCTGGGACCGCCACTTCGGCGGCCGCTACATCGACAAGGCGCTCGTCGAGCACTTCGCCAAGGAGTTTGACGAGAAGTACAAGATCAGCGTCATGGAGAACGGCAAGGCCCGCTTCCGTCTGGCCGCCGGTGTTGAGAAGCTCAAGAAGGTCCTCTCCGCCAACAACATGGCCCCCGTCAACGTCGAGTCCATTGTCAACGACGTCGACGCCCGCGGCATGCTGAAGCGCGAAGAGCTCGAGGAGCTCATGAAGCCGCTCCTCGAGCGCGCCACTGCCCCCATCGAGCAGGCCCTCGCCGAGGCCAACCTCACCCCCGACGACATTGACACCGTCGAGCTGGTCGGTGGCTGCACCCGTGTGCCCGCACTCAAGGCCGCCATCCAGGAGTACTTTGGCGGAAAGACCCTCTCCTTCACCCTCAACGCCGACGAGGCCGTCGCCCGTGGCTGCGCCTTCAGCTGCGCCATCCTCTCCCCCGTCTTCCGTGTCCGCGACTTCTCGATCCACGACATGGTCAACTACCCCATCCAGTTCACCTGGGAGAAGTCCGAGGACATCCCCGACGAGGACACCAACCTGACCGTCTTCAACAAGGGCAACGTCATGCCCTCGACCAAGATCCTGACATTTTACCGCAAGCACGCCTTCGACCTCGAGGCCAAATACGCCAAGCCCGAGCAGTTGCCCGGCAAGGCGAACCCGTGGATCGGGCGCTTCTCCGTCAAGGGCGTCAAGGAGGACCCCAAGGGCGATTTCATGATCTGCAAGCTCAAGGCCCGCCTGAACATCCACGGCGTGCTCAACGTCGAGTCCGGCTACTATGTTGAGGAGGTTGAGGTCGAGGAGCCTATCCCCGAGCCTGAGGGCGAGAAGAAGGAGGGCGAAGTACGTGACCCCCCTGATTTTGACCCTGATTTTGACCGCAGCGCCAAGCGGCGCAAGCCCACTCCGCGTCCTGCGAACGAGAGAACCGAGCTAACGAGTGATTCGCAGATGGACGTCGACAAGGAGAAGGAGCCGCCTAAGATGCGCAAGGTCAAGAAGCAGCAGCGCAAGGGCGACCTGCCGCTGTCCGCCGGCACAGCCTCGCTCGACGAGGCCACGCGCACCACCCACGCCGAGCGCGAAAACGCCATGATCATGGAGGACAAGCTCGTCCAGGACACAGAGAACGAGAAGAACAACCTCGAGAGCATGATCTACGAGCTCAAGGACAAGATCATCGACCAGTACGCCGACTTTGCGTCCGACGACGAGAAGTCCCGTCTCACCGCCAAGCTCGAGCAGATCGAGGTATGTCATTTGATCTACATTATACTATTCAGACGCTAACGATAACAGGACTGGCTCTACGACGACGGCGAGGACGCTTCCAAGGCGCAATACGTCTCCAAAAAGGAGGACATCCGCTCCATCGCCGGCCCCATCATCCAGCGCTTCAACGACAAGCTCCAGGAAGAAGAGTCGAAAAAGCGCGAGAAGTGGGAGAAGGAGGCCGCCGCCAAGCAGGCCGAGATTGAGCGCCAGAAGCGCGAGTCGGAGAAGAAGGGCGAGAAGCCCGCCGAGGAGGACGCCGAGATGAAGGACGCCGACAAGGAGGAGATTTCGTAGAGCGCGGAAAAAGTTTAAGCGGTGTGGCATGTGAATCTGATGTTTATGATAGACGGCGGTATAGATGAAACGAGGACGAATTTTTGTTCATGCCTTCGAGTCTCTTTGAGTGTTTTGTGGCGCGGCGCGGCCCAGCATGTGGACGTCTGGACGGCACAGTGAGCTGCAAAGGCGTGCATCGTGATACGGCCCTTCTTGTCGAAAGTGAGAGCACAGCAGATGACGTAAGGAGCTCTCGGCACGTGACTTTTCCTTCACCCCTACTTAGACTTAGCCACTCAGGCTCCCTTCTCCCACGTCCAAGCCGTCTACGCATACCACACAACCGGGTATCAGTGTCCGGGCATGTGGTACTGTGATACCCGCGTCGCCTATCTGCTGGTAGGGGGATGTGTGGACGCACCTCACCTTCACCTTCACCCTCACCCCCCCCTTTCTGCATTTCAGTGCGCAAGCCAGTCCCGCAAGCAGTGTCCAACGACTCCTCGCTCCTAGACCGCGCTGGTGCGTTGGCCCGCTTAGCGTATAACACAGCGGTATCTACCTCAACACTTAAGAGTTCCATGGGTCTTTGGACTCGCGATGGAGGGGAGGGGGAGGGAGCTGGGGACAGGAGCGGAGATAGAGGGAGGGAGGGAGGGAGGAGGAGAGAAAGTGAAAGGGAAAGGGAAAGGGGGTGTTAGTGTGTGTGTGTACATACTGCCTAAGACAGGGGAGGGGCGCAAAGAGAGTTTGCTGGGTGGAATACCTATCGGAGATTTCATAATATTGTTTTTTTTTGTAACTTCCCGCTGCGGCTGATTTACAGGGACGAGTACGAGAAACTAAGTCTGAAGTCATGAATATTTGTGTAGTTTCACCGAGCCATTCTCGCGGAGCGGTTTACTCGAGATGAGCACGAGCTAGGAGTCACGTGACAACGAGGGTCAACTTCTTATTGAATGCAAGATATAAAGTGGGAAACAAGAATAAATCAATAGCTGTGAATTATGTACCACAGATTTCAATCTGGCCGGCCAGAACCAAGATCTCCGCTAACGAACACGACTAAGACCGCCGCGTACCTTTGCAGTTGTTAGTAACTTTGTAACCAACTCGCAGAGTACTTACGCTGCGGTTGCTGCAAAGATCTCAGATCTCTTTGCTGTAGTAAAAAGACCTACACTTCCTGCAAAGAGAAGCATAAAGATCCCTACCATTATAAGTTTTGTCGTTGGACTACTAATGTAGTATAGGCATATTATTGCAACAAAAAGTAAGACTACCGCAATGACGATACTGAGGATCGTCACGAACCTTGCGATACTTTTTTCGGGGACGTAGGCCATATTTCTTGCTCGCTGTTCCGACTGAGATACCAGTTCTGTCAGTTCTGTCAGGTTCCACAATGGACAGACTCACCACAAGAAACACAGGCAGGAATCGTTGAACGAACGCAGTCAATCTGTCGTTATGCTCAGGTTGCTTGAGCAAAACGAGATCGTCATTGAGGCTGTACAGCTTCGAACTGCTACCGCCCAATATTGGATCGTGCTCTTTTGAGTCCTTGTTAAATCGCGTCGAGGCGTGAAAGACAGCCTCGAAGGTGCGCGACGGTGGCGATTTCACGCACGCTAGGGTACACTCGAAGAGAAGTGCCTCACCTTCAGAAACGTTAGTCGTCGTCTGCTTCGGCCGAAGAACAAGTGGTCACAAACGGTACTCTTTCATTCTTGTGCGGATCGTCGCTACCAGTTCCATGCGCGCCTGCTGCTTTGCGTTTTGCTCATCCTCGGCAGCTTCTGCAAAATACTGCCAGTCCATTGCACATCTCTTCGTATCGAGGTCACTATGGTGACCACGATCTTCTTCGTCAAATCAATCCTGTTCGATCACCAAGTCGATCAGTGTCAGCTCCAATTGAGATGCAACGAGCGCGCTCGTACCTGTCTGGCCTCGAGCTCTGCTAGCTCGCTTTGAAGGTATAGCAAATTCCGCGCTGCGAGCTTGGTGAACCGTCGAAACACCAACGAGGTGTGATCAGGGTCGCTTGCAATGAATTCTGCCAACGAGGGGAATCCATCCAACTGTCGAGCGCGCTGGCAACCTGCCTCAAGTCCCCCGAGTCCGTGAGCTGGATTCATCTTTTCATCTCCACAAAGACGGTGAAGCCATTTCGAAGTCAGGCGCAGCTGCACAGCCTCCAGGTAGTGTACAGTCTGACCGGTGAAGGCACTTGAACCCCGCTTCTGGCAATGGCCAATAAACTCGACCCGTTAACCGCCATAAGAACGCCGCAATCAGGTTACAAAAACTTCAGCATCTCCACCTTCGACTGTTTCGTCTGGATCCATCTCTTCGCATTTTCTCTCGCATTTTGTGGCAAGATGCGGGAGACATCTCTTAGCAGCAATTGAATTATTTAGCACGCTCCCATGTCGTGTTCTACAGACAAATCTGAGGAAGGCGTCCTCAGACCTGTGGTACATTTCCTCTTGCACTTGAATGCTTACACTGACATCGTGATACAAGCAGTGGACCATTCATGATCTTGCTGATCTTCAAAAGAATCTATCAGAGTTGCCACGTTCAAAGAGCGTGCCCTCTGACAAAAGGTTGTCTTTTTTGCTTTTGGTAGGTCTAAGCTTTCAGATTAGGCTGCACGCGGAAGCACATTGACAAATTAGGGCCCAAGATGGAGCGTAGATGACCTCCTCGATTTCGAGTCGACACGACCTCCACGTTCAAAAGAAGATACCGACGTTGGCTCAGATCCGTGCTGTGCTGAACGATTTTATCGATCACCTTTATCAAACTCTAGACATAGGATGAATTGTGACCTTGTGATGTCAGATATAAACCAAATCGGTTCTATTTTCGACTTGAGGGAGGCATACGAGGCTACGTCAGACCAAGAACGTGAAATTTCTGGTTTGAGCAAAGATATCAACACTGGCCCCGAAGATGTACAAGTACGGCCCACCGATACTGTGCACACACAGGCAACGAATACACATGCGTCGAAGCGACGACGGTGCCGCAAAGGGCTGCCCCTGTCGTTCCATCAAGGTGGTGTAAGACAAGATATTATCACTATGTACGACACTGGTACGTATGAAAACCATATGACACTAGACGCTGCCGAGAAGCTAGGTTACAAACTCGATGAAAACTCGTCCCATATAGGGAGCTTTGAACTACCAAACGGCAAGATCATTCGGTCTCTTGGACGTGTTGTTGCGCAAGTACAGTTTGCTTCAGGCGACGACGCCGGTAGTGAAGTCATGCCATGTTGGTTCAACATATTCGAGAAGCTTGCGATACCAGTACTTGTCGGCATGACATTTCTTGACTTTACTGAGACTCTTACGAGGTTCAGATCACGTCTCAGAGATCTTCCTTCCCGATGTTCTCAACAGTATTTTCGCTTATGTGCTGTTGGAAGCCAGACCAACAGCGTGTCTTGCGTAATTGATGGCCGGCAAGCTCAGGCACAGGCAGACACCGGCGCTAATATTTCCCTCATAAGCGGACATTACGCGGCAAAGAACGGTCTGTTGCGACGTTACAGATGCGAAGAGCTGCAGCTTGCCGATGGCAGCATCGAGCACACAAGCGGTTTTGCAGATGTGGAGATATCCGTGCAAAATCCCTCTTCTCTCTCCACAACTACTAGGATCGTCAGACTTCATGTCCTGAAAAGTCTTTGTGTCGATGTCATTCTTGACGAAGACATCGTCGACGACCTCGAAATATTCCAATCTGGAATTGGCACGGTACTGTCCGCAGCCCCGAACGTAACAGCACTCTTTGCCCCTATTATTCATCTTCGCACTCTCGAAAAGGGGATTTTGCGCGGAACGGAGAAGATAAAAGATGTGATCTCGTCGACTCTCAGGTCCAGCGAGAAGTCCAGCGGGCCAATACAAACCAGCACACCGGGTAAGAAGCTACCACACATAAAGACTGCTCAGCGTCCTGACCCAGAAAACTAATCACTTTCAGACCTGGATACTCAACAAACCATTACAAGGATCCTTGACAACATCAACGCACTTGATCAGAAAGAGAACAGAAGGATATCCCAGGCTAGGCTCGGCAAGGTTCCAGACCATAATGATGTATTGCACAGGCGGTATGTCGAAGAACGAAGAATCTGTAATTCTATACTAGACCGTCTAGGATACTGCCCTGCTGCTACTAGTACTTCGTAGCCTGTACGGATAGACGCAGTAAAAGCCTTTTGCCACAAAATGTCCCACACACTTTGAGAAAACAACCCTGTTTGCCCCTGTTGCTAAAACTACCATTTCAAGACCTTCTAACAATTTCCATACCTGCGTGGCGTAGGTAGCTCTTAGTACGTAACTCTCCCTGCACTGTACTTATAACGTCTAGTTAAAGAACATACTACACAAAGCTATCTGTTAGGGTTCTAGCATTTGGTAATGTTAGAGAGAGCAAAGAAAGAGAGAGCAGAGAAAGAGAGAGCATAGAAAGAGAGAGCAGAGAAAGAGAGAGCAGAGAAAGAGAGAGCAGAGAAAGAGAGAGGAGAGAGAGAGAGAGAGAGAGAGGGAGAGAGGAGAGAGATATAAGGACAAAAAGAGGGGCAATAGAGGGGTAGTAGGCTACAAGCCTACTACGGTGTTAGGCATAAGTAGTGTAGGTAGGGAGTATTAGTCAGGGGTGCGGACCTACAGTCACGGGATTTTCTACACGTTGTGCGATCTAATAGGAAGAAGAGCTTCTAGTTTAGCTACATTAGCCCTAACTGCTCTTCCCTACCTATACTACTTATACCTAACACTGTAGTATAAAGAAGGTACCTAGCTACGGACCTACTATAGAACTAGAAGTTAGATAAAAAATACCGCAGAAATGTGCAATCTTACCAAAGAGCTAGGTAAGTAGGCTTGTTTACCTGGTGCACTATGTAACTATACTTCGGCGGTGTTTTTAACACCGCACTTGTACTATAGTGGGTGCGCTACTATTATATATCCCGCGCATGTGTCCTAGAGCTGTCCAGCCTATTAGGGTGCGTGGGTACCTGGATCTGTAATTGTGACATGTTCAGTATTGTAGAAACAATGTAGAAGGATTTAATAATATTGAAGTAGAGGGATAGGCCCGCTACTTATACTTTAGTGAGCCTCATACTACTTATGTGATACTCCACTTTAACATGACAGCACCGATACTATGTTCTTACAACATTTTCAAAAATTCGTAGAACCTCAGCAGATCGATCACTAGGGTCGAATGGCAGATTGCCGATGCCCTGTACGACGGGCTCGGCGGTCACTGTCTGCCAGAGCCCTCCGTAATTGCCTTCTGCATAGTCGACGAGCGCGTTACACACAAACGCGTCTCGGACGGCTTGCTCCTCAGAGCGACCAGGCCGCTCCTGGCCCACAATGCCGTACATCTCCGTGCCATGCACTGCAGGCGCGCCTTCAGCAGGTCCGATAGTCAGCAGCCGCGCGTTGCCGCCTGCCGCAGCGTGTGCAAGTGCGGCGCGGGTGGCTGGCAACGTGAAGAAGTAGTCTGTGAGCAGTGCGCCGCGGACCTCGAGTGGCGTACGACCGTTGACATTGTATGCGGCCACGATGCGCTGGGCGCGGCTGCGGGGGATGCGGGACTTCGCAACCAGCTCGTCGACCAGGGCGTGTATGCTGCCGGGGTCGAACGCCGCGGGTGCGTTGAGAACCCACCAGTCGGCCTCGTGCGAGGTCGTGCTGAAGAGGGCGTCGATGTCGCGGCGGTCCCCAGACTGGAGGACTTCCAGCGGCGTGCTGGCGAGAACGGCTCCGGGCTGGAGACGATCGTCAACAATGCCGATGGTCGTGTTGTCTACGCCATGTCGATCGCCAATGTCGCGCGGACTGATTTTGATGAGCGTGTCCGCGAGCAACTTTGCGTCCAGGGACAACAGTTGCTCAGGGTCATCCGCTATGTCGAGTGCGGCGAGGAACTTGACTGCGAGTTCCTCGGCCCACCACACCGGCACAATCCGCGACGCACCACCCGAGAACGCCGCGAAGCGCTTGTAGAGGCCTCTGGCGGCCGGCGCAGCGATGAGCGCGGTCGTTGAGTACGCTCCCGCGCTGTGCCCTGCCACTGTGACATTGCCCGGGTCGCCCCCGAAGTGGCTAATATTTGTCTGCACCCACTTCAGCGCCGCGATCATGTCCTGCAGCCCAAGGTTCGTCGCGTCCGCGAACACGCCGCCGTACTGGGACAGCGAGAGCCAGCCAAGCGGGCCCAGTCTGTAGTTCAGGGAAACACCAACAGCGCGGCCGGTGCGGGCCAGGCCCGACGCGTCCGACGTAGCCGAGGTGTTCGAGCCATATTCAAACCCACCGCCGTAGATGTAGACGATCACAGGTAGGGGAGTTTCAGTTGCCGCTGCGGGAGCCCACACGTTCAGGTTCAGGCAGTCTTCACTGAGCCCGGCTTCGGGATTGAGCCAGCTGGGGTCGCCGGCTTGTAATGGTGCAGGGCCGAGACGGTCGAAAGATTGGCTTGGGTTGAAGGGCTGCAGGACAGGGCGCTGGAAGCGTTTGGCTGTGGCGTAGGGAATGCCGAGCCAGGAGCGGATTGAGGCAGTCATGGTGTGATAGAGGCGGTGGGTGATGAGCGGTAGGTAAGGGCAGTGGATTGCAGTCAGTAATCGGTTGCCAGGCTTAAATACGCGTTCGGTAGCAGCAAACAGCCTAGACTATGTAGGGAAGAAATTAGGAATATGACGCGATATAGGAGTCACGCGCGAGACGCGGTGTCACGTGTCTTTTTGCCCGTGCTCGCTCGAGTATTCCGGGAACCTTCACACGAGAATAGCGCCACAGAACTACACATGTACATCATGGCTTCAGTCTGAGGTCACGTCGACACTTCTACCCTCTTGTATAAATCAACGAGCGTTGTGAAGCTGCGCCTTATAATCGGTACAATAACATCTAGCAGCAGATAACGTGACTCTCCGACTTGCGGTCGCCAAGAGAAAGCATGACGTTGACCTAACGTTATGCTCGAGTAGCGGCCGAGATGCGTCCGAAAAGAAAGGGCAGTTATAAGACAACGCTTGAGACCTCACATTGAAAATGCAACAAGATCACAAAACAAGGGTCACGTTATTGGATGCTATTCTTCAAACATGAACTACTGGGTCAAACAGATTGTCTAGTCTACTGGTCAAGATTGTACGCTTGTCTTCACACCGCACGCACAACAACTTGTCTGTTACCTGACGGGACGAAGGCTGGGACAGCCTCCAATCCTCTGCCTGGTCAAGCTTGTTAATTGCCACGAGGATTGTTGTAATTCTTGAGCATCTACCTCTTGAGCTAGCTTCTTACCTAGAGTGTTAGTCTGTGGTGGCCCGCTCAACTCTTGGGTGTATCTGAACAAACGAACGCGCTCGTACCTGTCTGGCCTCGAGCTCTGCTAGCTCGCTTTGAAGGTATAGTAAATTCCGCGCTGCAAGCTTGGTGAACCGTAGGTAGCTCTTAGCACGTAACTCACCCTGCACTCTTCCTACCTATACTTATGACGTCGATTTAAAGTACGTACTACACATACCTCTATCTGTTAATGTTCTAGCATTTAGGAATGTCATAGCAGGGTTTCTCGGCTGTAGATGTGTAGGTATATATACGCACTATGCCTTCACGTTTACTTCCCTTACTGTCCTACCCCTGTCCTATCCCTTGTGTATATTGGCTCTAAGCCCCTAGACTACGCTGTTACGCATTCTAGCTGGTGCATCTGAAGGTTGGCCTGCACAACACAGCGGGAGCTAAGTTGCTGGACAGGAGATTGCAGTGAACGTTCTAGTCAGCAAGTATCTCTAGTTCTACGGTCGACTTGACGGAGCCTCTTGGTAGATAGATTTTACTGGACTTTGCTGCTGTTCTTGTAACACGATGTTCTGCGGAGCACGTGTAGGTAAGCGTCCCGCTTACCTATGGGTTGCCCCACCTTCCCTAAGTGTCAGCAAGCTTCCTTATTTACAATCACGCCTTCTCGACAATCTGACCATGGACCTTACACCGAAACAGCTACTGGAATCAACGACTATGTCTGCCTTCGAACTTACATCTGTGGATCTCTACTCGCAGCTGTTGCTTGATAAGACGAGGCAACAGATACGCCTTTTGAAGGTCATACGAAGTACATCTGGACCTGTGGAGTGCACGATGGAGGTCTTTGACTTGGACACGTCTCCACCATATACTGCGTTGTCGTACAGATGGGGATCTCCTATTGCTGAGCACACTGTATTCGTCAACGGACACTTGTCGCTCGTTTCATACAATCTTTTCTCTTTCCTGGAGACGTACCGCCTTGAAACACAAGATGAGTACTTGTGGATCGATCAGATATGCATTGCACAGTCCAACACGGAGGAGCGAAACCATCAGGTTGCCTTGATGAGCCAGATCTACCGTAGGTGTCGATGCACTATTGTATGGCTCTGCGATGAAAGAGATGCGTATTCGACAATTGCGAAAGAATTCAACCGTACGCGAACAAAGAAGGCACTGAGCGGCCTTCTATGCGATTCATACTTCTCCCGTCTTTGGATCGTACAAGAGGTCTTGCTGGCTTCTACTCTCTGGATGTTCACCTTCGGTGGAGTTTGGATATCATGGGAGGATGTACGCACCTGTTTTTGGGAGAAAGCATGGGAGCCTGAAGATGCAATTTTGAAGGCCTTGGTTGTTCCGGACTTCTTATCGCGGGGAAAGGATCTTACCCTAGGCTCGTGCATCTTAACTTTCTCTGGACAGAACTGCCAAAATCCGAAAGACAGAGTATACGGCTTACTTGGTATGGTGAAAGAAGGAGATTGCATTGTGGTCGACTACAACAAGTCCATCTATCAGATATATGTGGAAGCTGTGGTCGCAGTTGGTCCACTCGGGGGCGGGAGAGACAAATGTGCGGAACACCTCGGCAATCTCTTCGACATACCCACTAGGAAAAGAGAGCAACTGATAGCTTTCTTAGACCTGGTACAGCCCATACATTTCATCGGTCAGGTGTCAGTGCTGCGTGATTGCTCTCCCAAAACGCCCTACGGTTCAGGTCTGGTGTCTTCCATAGGACTAGCGTTTGCAGAGCAGCCTGTCACACCTCCTGAGAGCATCTCAATTAATCCGTTGACCAATGAGCCATTCACTGCTCCTGAGCTGGCTCGTTCCGTAACCCTGGACAAATTGGGGACATCGTGGACGGATGCTTTTAACGGACCGGATGGCGGGCTCTTTGACCACGAGGCGTTGACTACCAGTCACAAAGCTCCGATCCCCAGCTCCAGTTGCGATACAGATCTCATTCCCCTCTTCAATCCCCTCCGGGCTATCGTAGACTTTCATCACTGTGTGCACGAATCTGAATGGGCATACAGAGAGACCTCGAAATTGGAGAATCTGGGATTAGAACAACAACTTAAATCGAAAGATACGGGATTGGAACAATCGGAGCTGAAAAATCAAGCCCTGGAGGCCCAGGTTCTGGAAGCTCCAGACTTTGTGGGGCCGAAATATCCCATTGATGATTGGGGGGTGCACGAGAGCCTCGCGGCGAAGACCTTTTGGACATATGTGGCGGTCCGCAAGGACGTAAGTCGACCAGAAGATAACTCGCATCCCCATCGTCCCAAGAAGTGCCGGAGGAGATGGTGCTACGGTTATCAGGGCTACGTCTATGAGTACTCCCGGCACCCAAAATGGCATCTTCTGTTCGGATCCGACATAAACATGATAGTGTATGCTTCTAATGCCTGTAAGAGGGTTCGTAGCATTATATACTACCCTCCGATCGACCCAACGGGCGATGCAAGAATTCACTGGGTACAGAGATTGCCCGAGACGATAGATTTTGGTTCAGAAGACGCGAGAACAGCATTTATTGAATCTGGCAGTGCTGTTTTTTGGAACACTTGCAAATTTGACGGCGTGTGTCAACGGTATGACAAGAAAGTCACGATTGAGAGGGAAGGCGAGAATTCCCGTGAGGCTATTCTGAGAAAATTTCCAGATCTGAGAGAAACACCTTGGTAATATATGAGGCTCTCCCTGGCTAGAATATACACTAGGCCTTCCCCTACATCTAGGTATATTGACTTTCTAGCCATTCAGGTGCTTAGGTGCCCAGTACGTGACTGTTTGTATGATAGCACTATAGAAAGTGGACGCCTGCACAAAACCACAAGCGCCGACAGATTATGAAATATTGCGGGCCGCTTATGTTATCTTGACTGCTTTCTATAAACGACTGTTCCTTGCTTCTTCAATTGATAGAATCGGCTGACAGTGGCGTAAAGAATGCCGAGCCAGGAATGGACAGGGAAAATTGAGGCAATCATAGTGAGATGCGAGGCACTGGAAGGTAGGTATACGTAGCTTACAAGAGGCTGTCAGGTACCGTCAGCAAAGAATAATAACGTTATGGGTTACAAATCTAGCATAACGTTATGACACACCCGAAGTGCGTCCGGAACAAGAAACAGTATTCATATAAAGAGAGAAATCGGGACTTTACATTAAACCTGTCATAAAAAGACTTTGTGTCGCCTGCAGTATTCTTCCAAACATCTTCTAGACAACGACACTTCTCGCCTCAACCATGTCGAGCAACACACACCGACCCAGCGCCGCCCCCTCAGCCCCAGGCCCGATCATCCGCGCAGCTCTGACCTTCGAGTCCCTCGCCACAGTCGCTGGTGGGCTGTACTACACCTTCTTCCCGCAGCACTATCTGCTCCACACGATGGGCGCAGTCCCCGCACAAATCACCACCACCGCGATCCAAAACACGCAGCAATACGGTGCCACGATTATTTTGATAGGCACTTCTGTTGGGCTGTTCGCGTCCAGCAACCGGCACGCGGTGGCGCTGCGCCGGCCGCTGTACGTCGTCTTACTAGTGTTCGAGGTCTTGTTCGTTCCGCTGCTGGCCAATCAAGCGTTTACGGAAGGCGGCATGTCGAAGAAGGCGTTGTTGGGGGCGGCGGGACAGCTGGTGCCGTTTGCGCTGTGGAGGGTGTTTACGCTGGTGTGGAAGCCGGAGTGGTTTGGCAGAGGCGAGGGAGAGAAGAAGGTGGAGTAGGCGGGCGTTGCGGTGTACTGCAGTAGAAACGAGATGGGCAACCACAGCTTTGATCAGGAGTCGTTGGTGGGTGGAGCTCACGGTCTTCACGGGGGGCGTCTGGGGATACATCGACTACTTCTGGCAATCTTTTAGCTAGGGACTGATTCTTTTGGATGAAGTTGTGGGTGTCTATACGGAATAGAAAAGAATCAAGATTGGTAGGTTTGCTTGTCAACATGGTAGGAACGTCATCCGGATACTTTACAGCTGTTGGTCGTTGACATGTGAGCTAGTTCTGGGCTGATACCCCGACACTGGACAACGAATGCCGGTCTGGAAAGTCTGAGGTATTTCAGTGTTGTTAAATCTCCGTGACATTGGCTAAAGAGGATGTGGAAGTTTTGTACACAAGGTTCACTGAAACAGAAAAAGCTAGATCTTTGCAATTCAGTGCGTGTCATGACTACTGCTCTTCTTGCCTCAAAACGGCCCACCTGCTCCGGGGTTCCACAAACCTCGTTTTTTTTGTGCCGACGCTGCTTTACTACTACTTCAACAAAACTTGCATTCAAGATGGAAATCGCTGGTGCAATCGCGTAGCATAAGAAATGTCAGATGCCAATGCTACCTCTCCTAACACTCATTCAATGTCTGCTGTAGACGAACCCTTTGTTGGTAATGGCTTAGCTGAAGCTCTTCCGTTTCCCGACATACGTAAGTACTGTCTTTGGAACACGATCTTTGCAAGTCATCCCACCCCTTCCAAATCAGGACCAATTTGACACAATATGTATATATGCTTACTTTTCGACTTTAACACAGTCTACTGGAAGCGCAAATAGATAGAGTGGTAATCACCATGACGTCCAGCCTCGCTCGATAGCGTCTTGCCAGGGACCGGTCGTCTCGTTCTTAGTTCTTGCGTTTGAGAGCTCAAACATGGCCATGCCCACAAAACTTACTCCATCTTCGGCAGTATCGCTTGCCTGCACTGGCATAGAGGACACGTATACAGGGGGAAGGACATCTGATTCTCCTGTGCGAGCATATTCCTCCTCGGAAATCGGATCAAAGAAGATACGACGCGCTGGAAGCTTGTCTGTGCGCCAGTCTGCGCCTGGATAATTAAAGAGCACTCCGTGATGGTATTCGACGTCGGGCACATCGATGTAGCTAGGCACTAGACCAGGTAACCGCCCGACTCCGCCTTGCTGCCCTTCAGTATCGTCCGAGGTCTCGAGATTTTGGATTTGACGTCTGTAATCTCCTCGTGCAGCCTTCTCTCTGAGATAATGAGCAATGCAATCGTCATCTGTGACCGCATCGAAATAGAGTTCCAGACGAATTGAACACCCGTTCTCGAGCGGTGTCTTGCGCTTGATGGCTTCCATAAGTTCAACTGGCTTGACAGTATCCGGAGTTGCGTCAGGATGTGTAAAGTACATGGCAAAACCAAAAAGTGGCGGGAGCGGGCAGGACTCCCTGCCGTAAAACACGATGAGCGCTTGTCGCCCGGCGCGATCTGTGAAAGGAATAACATGTGTTTTGGCACGCTGGATACGTCCTGCTGCGCCTCTTGGACGCCCACCTCCTCTTGGGAAATGCATGCTAGTACTGCCTCCACGAGAAGCCATGTTGATATCAGCAGTGGGTTGGGTGTTGTTGGGAAGTGTAATGCGGAAGAGGTGGGGTAGCGGAGGCACGAAACACGAAAGACGCCAAGAGTACGTGTAACAACAAGACTGGATACATCTGTAGAGAGTGTAGGCGTTGCTACTGTAGAGGTAAGCAGAGCCAAAAAAATACAGTAGACATCGATGTACATTACTAGTAACGCTGCCTTAGGCTAGTATGGTTCTAGTCCGCTTTACAGTGCACGGGTCGACTACACCCCTACGTCATCGCTACGGACTGATCACGCTACTGCAGGTACGACCCGGACGTTACGTGTATGGAGGCTGCGCTCGTCATAGATGGTGGACAGAGACATTGAATCCCAAATTTGGACCTCGACGATCAACCATACACGTCGGCGAGTCATTGTGACATCAGAAAACCGACGGGTCAAGTATGGACGATACAGACAGTTCCCTAAATGTGTCCACCATCTAAATCTTCAACAACATGAAGTCAATTCTAGTATCAACGGCTGGTTTTCTGGCGGTAGTTGCTGCCCGAGTCACATTCCAGAACTCATCGCAAACAATCCTTCGCGTCGACTCCGGTTCTTACGGCCCGGAAATCGAAGAGGTTCACTACTACTACAAACAATGGCCTATAGGTATCGCAGTATCGTCTACGGGCAGGATATTTGCATCGTATACGCGCGGCAATTACACATTCACCCTCGGCGAGATTGCCAATAAGACGGCCGAGCGTCCTTACCCGTCTGCAGGATTGAACCTCCCAGTGAGCCAGCTGAATAATACATGGAACGGCATTCCATTCGGCAGTGGGAACAGCACAGGCCTGATCTCTGTCCAGGCTCTCTATATCAGCCCTGCTAGTAACACGCGCCCGGAGACTCTGTGGGTGGTTGATACTGGTCGACCTACCATCATGGACTCGAGTGGTGCACCGACTATGCCATATGCGCAACCAGGTGGGCCGAAAATAATTGGTATTAATCTTTCCAACGACACAGTGTACGCAACGTATACGTTCCCGGCGTCTGTTCACTTCCCCGACTCGTACATGAACGATATTCGATTTGATCTTCGCCCCGATGTTACGCAGTCCGGACAGGGGGTCGCATACATCGTAGACAGCAGCGATGAAGGCAGGCCCGGGTTTATAATGCTAGATCTCGGCACTAGCGAGAGCTGGCGACGACTCACCCAGCATCCCAGCGTCCTTCGGGTGGACCGAGACGTACCCAGCTACCAGGGCGTTCCGTTCTACCAGAAGACGATGGGCATTCCAATTCAGGCACTGCGAGAGGGTCTGGACGGCTTGCAGCTCTCACCCAACGGTTCAAGACTTTACTACTCCGCCTTGACCACCGACTACCTCTACAGCATCCCCACTGCCAATCTGCTCGCCTCTTCCTCCGATCCTCTCGCCGAAATTGCAGCCGCGAATAACGTGACCAATCACGGCCAGCGCGGTGGTAATGCAAATGGTTTTGAGGGCGACTCTAACGGCCTGATTTATCAACTCATGCCCGAGCACAATGCGATCTACTACTACAATCCTAGGGATCTGCAGACGCACCCGTTCGTCCGAGACCCAAGGATTATCTGGCCCGATGGAGCGAGCATTGCCGCTGATGGGTTTTTGTACATGAATATCAATCAGCTGCCGTACCAGCCGGTGTGGAACAATGGCTCGGATTTGAGGACCTGGCCCGGTGCGGTGCTGAGGTGCAAGTTGCCTGGTAATGGCACAAAGATCTCGACGCTTGTCTAGGTTCGTAAAGTTCATATTGATAAATTTCAATTTCTATCCAAGGCGTCCGCTTTTGATACGGAGCTTGCTAGGAATAACTTTTTGTCCTGTGGCGCGTCACATGTCGTTACACAGTTTCACTATGTAAGAGACTCGTCACAACACAGTGTGTGTTGTGTTCATGGTCTGCTTGTGAGTGTTGTTTGAATCTGGTTGCGAGGCATCGGCTCTCCACGCCACAGTCTTCGTTATAGTGAGCTGCTCGTTACTGACCTCACGACGTCCACTCGGATGCGCATTCCCCCCCGCATCTGTCAGTTCCACACCGTCATCTGACTGTCGGTCACCGAACCAGTCCTGGACGCGTTTGGAGCTCCATTCAAACCCTTTCAGGGTAACGCTATTTCCTGCTTGGGTGTGACTTCTCGAAACGATAGTGGCTTCTACTTAACCTGATCCCTTCTACGCCAGTACCCTTATAGGTTAGTCTACCTCTTTCCTCTAATTGGCTGATTCGATTCTGCTTAGTTCCTTCATACTGACCATGTTCTGATTCGTTCGAACAGTGAGATATATTGCTCAATTAACCCCCCCCCCCCTAACAGGTACCTTAAACACGTTTTTCCGGTGTATCTGATCATCCGTTTGATGATCTCAATCTTATCTTATCGGTTTGTTGTAATCTGATCGCGTTCGTGGAAACTTCCTCTTGTTCGCATCCCGGCGCGCATGGAGACAATGTCCACACATAGATTGCTCAGAAAAACTGCGAGAAAAAAGCACACAAGCTCCAAGCCGGTATCTACGGCCATTAACGCGTGGGTCATAAAGTGAGGTGATCAACTCTGGATTTTTTCGGCCACCAGCGGTGTTGGTAGACTATGAGGACCATCTGAGCAATATAAGCGAAAAAAGTCGATAGCACCTCCCAGCTTATAAATCGTGCGCGTAAGAGTATACCCCAGATCATGGTCCGGGGTTCTGAGGTTGATTCAAGGGTTGCTAAGCCACAGCCTTGCATTGACGTCCCTCCTTCGGGCGAAAGACCCACTTTCCGGCGTTGCAGACGTCCTTCCACAACTTCAGTGAGGTGGACCCGGCACAGTGAATACTAGATGTAGAACCGGGAGCTGTCGCAGAAGCTGCATGGCATTAAGCCTAGAACGACTTTGAATTTGTGAAACCTCATCGCCTGGTGACAATTTCCTTTGCATTCTTATCCAACGTATCCGAATTCTATCACTGCAATTGGAATCTATTGGCAGAAGTCTCGAATGATCGTCTCAAGCACGTTCGTCACATCGTGGATACTTGAAGCGCTCACCCACTCTTCCCTAGCGTGTAGACCCTCTCCCTTAGGCCCATAAACGATTGATGGGATACCAGCCTCATTCAGCAAACCAGCATCGCACCAGAAAGCTCTCCCAGCAGGTACCGGAGCATCACCGAGTGTCTTCGAGACAGATGAGATGAAAGTCTGTACGAATTCGTTTTCGTCCGCTAATCCGGAGGGAGGGCGCGAGAAGGTGATGCGAGGAGTATTATAACTGAATTGAGGGATCTTGCTTGCTATGCTCTTCAGCAGGTCGTCGAGGTCAGCGGCGAGGGACTCGGGCGACTGGGTGGGGACTGTGCGGAACTCAATTGTGAGCGTGCAAATTGCAGGATAGCTGGACGGCTCTTCGCCTCCCACCACTCGACCACCGTGTAAGGACGCTTGTCCTAATCGAGGGTCCGAGGGCATGGTCTTGGCGTAGTCAAGCAATGCGGTCTGCAAATAGCCAGCAAGAAGTATCGCATCCACGCCCTCTTCGGGGAGAGAACCGTGCGCTGCCACACCAAGCACATCGATCTCAAACCAGACGAAGCCCTTGTGGCTCGTCACGATAGATTGAGACGTAGGCTCTGTAACAAGTGCTGCATCGGCCTTCCACCCGGCGGCCAGCACAGCCTCAGTGCCCTTTGAGACGTTCTCCTCGTCTGACACAGCCGCCAAAATGACATCGCCGCTTGGACGTGAGCCGGAGCTTGCGACTCTTGCGATAGCTGCCATTGCCGCAGCTACTCCAGCTTTCATATCTAGACATCCGCGACCGTAGATGCGACCATCTCTCAACTCTCCGCTCAGTGGGTCACCGGACGTATATGTCGACAGGCTAACTGTGTCGATGTGGCCATTGATCATCAAGCTCTTCCCAGAACCAGATCCACGCAGAACACCGACAACGGACGGGCGCCCAGGCTGAGCTTCGATCCAGTGCGACTCCATGCCGCGATGCTGCAGCCATGCATTAATGTGGTTCGCGATTGCATTTTCGCCAGCTCCAGCAGCCTCGGATAGATCAGGATTAGACGAGTTGATCCTGGTCAATATCTGTGTGAGCTCGACCGGATCGTCACTGGAGACGTCCAAAGGTACGTCATACTCGCGAGGTCCCTCAGTGCTCAGGATGACGACTACGGAATCGTCCGTGAGCAACTTAGGCCGATATGTAGACTCTGCAAGCCGCCACAACGCAGCAAGTGCCGCACCGCCACAAGGGCCACTGTTGACAGAGTTGCTCGACAGATACTGAATAGCCTGGTGTGACTCATAGTCGGAGATTGTTGCACTGACGTCTACGCCCCGCTGTAAATCTTGGAACACTGTTGACGAAAGTGTTCCGCAGTTCATGCCTTCCATTATGGTTCTTGTTGTGGATACTGGCGTTGGCTTGCCAGCTGACAAGCTCTGATATAAGCAGGCAGCTGTATCAGGTTCAACTGACATGACTGCACAATTACGACCATTAGACTTGCAGTGGCGAACAACAGCATGCGCCAACGAGCCTACACCAATAGGTGTGACCACAAGACTGGCCACAAGATCTTGCTCTCGCAGTTGCTCCTCTGTTTCAGATAGCAAGGTCGAGTAACCTTCAACGATCCACTTTGGTACGTCATCATATCCTGGAAAAGCAGCGTCCTGCACGAACAATCCATTTTCGGTCTTGCTTGCCTCATCCCAGGCTTCGCTCATTGCGCCATCATAGTCTTTTGTTGAGATGGTAACTCTTGCGCCTTCTGAGGAGATGAGACGGATGGCCTCGTCATTAACAGTGCGGGGCACGTAGACTTGAGCTTGAACACCTAATATCCTCGCCATTGTAGCAAGTGCTCGCCCATGATTGCCTGCGCTGGCAGTAAATAGCACAATGCCTTCCTGTTGCGCAGCTTGTGCAATTTCCTCAAGCGGCGAGTCTATAGGGATCCCAGTCCTTGCTATGATTGCGCGACAGGAGCCCCACGACGCACCAAGGATCTTAAAAGCAGGAAGACCTAGGCGGTTGCTCTCATCCTTGACGAAGACATGCTTGACTCCAAGCTTCTTCGCGACGTCGTTGAGGGGAATGAGAGGGGTTCGTGCGTACTTTGGCAGTTGTTGGTGGAATTGTCGCACATTTGAGAGATCGGCATCTACGTCGATATTGCCGGACTTGTCGTTGAAATAAATAGGTCTGCGAGATTGCGCCATGTTGGTTTTCGCGTGATGCTTGAAGCACGGGAGTACTATTAGCCTTTTAAGGTTGGGCGTCACAAGGGTCCAGGTCCGAATGTTTCTAGCTCCCCGTCGGAGAACTGCACGCCGACCACAAGCCGTACGTAAAGTTGTAGATGCAACAGTGCGCAAAATGGATATTAGGTGGAAGGTCGGCAGTTTTTTGTTGTCCCCGTTGACGTAAATTACATCCACTTAATCAATTCATTGGCTCTGTCTTATCCTCCGGCCCAGATTTCGCGGGAACCGTGGTGCTTCTCTCAAACATGAGCAGAGCAAAGCAGTCCTTCTCCGCCGCGACATTCCGTCTCGCGGCCAGAGGTTTCCCAAGAAGCTTCTCTACCACGCTGGGATGACAGATTCGCACTGTCAATATGGAGGAGATCAACCTCAAGGCACTCGAATGGAACCGCAGGCTGATGGACATGCTGCATTGCACTTGTGAGCTACAACTCAGTTATATGATCCATTCGATAATGTCAGACTTGCTTATCAGAGTATACAAACACGGATACGCCTATTCATGATCTGTGACGCCCTGTTCCTTGCCTTGGGATTAACATATTGCAGAATCCGCTTACAGTTTACTTGCCTTCTTGTCTCCTAGTGTCACCACCAGCTTTCCAAACTGGCTCGCGTTTTTCATGTCATCGAACAGCGTATCGATCTGCTCGATATCCAGCCCGTGCACAGTCCGGCTCACAACCGGCTTCAGCTTCTTCTCGCGCACGAACGCAACCATGTCCGCAAACTCCTTGCGCGACCCCATCGTCGACCCACGCACCTCGATATTGCGCAGCACCGCGCTCATCAAGAAATCCATCTTCGGCGAGATCGTCATACCGTAAATGGAAATGATCCCGCCGGCCTTCAACAACCGGCTCCCCTTGGCCACAACATCGCCCCCAGCCCCGTCCACAATCGCATCGAGATATTTCCGCTCCGCAGGCAACAAGGCTTGCAGTTTCTTCTCCCACCCGTCCTCGCGGTAGCTCACGCCGCCGCGCGCCCCCAACCGCACCGCCTTCGCGATCTTCTCCGCATCGCCCGACGTCACCCATACATTGCACCCCTCGGCCACCGCGAACAGCAGCGCCATCAGCGCCACCCCGCCGCCGATCCCCGTGATCAGGATGTTCCGCCCGCGCTGCGCCTCCGGGCCGCACTTGACGCGCAGCGCGCGCCACGCCGTCAGGCCTGTGAGCGGCAGCGCGGCGGCCTCGGCGTCGGACAGGTGCTCTGGGCATTCCTCAAGTTCCCCCGCGTTCAGGGTGATGGCGTCGGCGAGCGTGCCGGCGGGGTTCGCTTTCGTGCCGCCTAGAATCGCGTAGCCGCTCGGCGCCTCGGGGCCCGTCGGCGACGAGTCCCAGCCCGTCCCCGGGTTCAGAATTACGCGCTTGTGCAGCCAGGCGCGGGCGCTGGGGGAGTTGCCGGTGGAGGTCACGGTGCCGGTGCCGTCGGCGAGGAGGGGGACGCCGAAGGTGGTGCCGGGGTAGAGGTGTTGGCGGATGAAGAGGTCGCGGTGGTTGAGGGCGGCGGCGGAGAGGGTTATGACGGCCTAGGTGGGGGTTAGTGAGATGGGGGGAAGTAAGAGGGAAGGGGCGTACTTCATTGTCCTTGGGGGCCGGTGTGGGGATGCTGATTTTCTCGAGCGGGTAGTAGACTTTGCCGGGCTTGCCGTCGATTTTCCTGATGGCGATTGCGGACGGCATTGCTGCGGTTTGGGGTGGGAGTAGGTGGTCAATGAAGGGCGGAGAGCTGTTTTGAAGGCGCTCGACTGAGTACGTGTGTCGTTGCAAGATCCATGCACAGATAAGCAGCCGACACGATTACTCGTGCCGAGATGACGGCATCCGGTTCAGACCTCGGTTCGTTCCCGCCGCGGTGGGTCCGCACGCGGGGAACTTAAGCGAGGCGAGGTGACAGGGATGTCTAATCTGTAATCATTGTAGTCTGTGTCAGCCAATGAATGACAAGTAATAATGCGCCCCTGGCTCCAACCCACTTTTCAGGAACAACGGTAGGTAAGGGACCTTCAAGCTCAGTAATTCAGTACAGAGTTTGAAGCTGTTACATCATCTTAAGCCAGAGTCTAGTTAAGTGTGACCTATATTTTAAGCAAAACAGTATTTCCTACTGTCTTCTCGCGAAGTTCCACTTTGCTGATAGGTACCATTTAGCGACAACTGCATCTCAAGCCTGCAGCTCTTGTATGTATATCGTGGCACCGCGCAGACAGTCAGGTTTCTTTGAGGCTCCTGCATGTTTTGGACACAAGTCCATGTTCGCTACAACACATACAGCGCCTGAGTTGCGCTGACGGGCAGCCGAGCAAGGCACCACAGGAAAGACACCAAGAGTAGAACGCAATGGTGTCTCTCAAGTTTCAGAAAGAACGGCGGATAAGAGGCTGAGCTTACCAACTTTACAGAATACTTAACTCGTAGCTGTCATAATACCCAAAGCTAGAATCGAGTTAAGAGTGACCTATATTGTAGGTTAAAAAGTACTATATAGAGTTTTTGAGTGTTTTCCCTACGTTACTGGCGTGTGGTGTACTTGGCTCATTTTCTCAGATCGCCGTTGATTCTGCAACGTGAGAAGGTGTTTGATATCATAACTCGTATCCATTCTTCGTCCACACAACGCTAACATTACTCGAAAAACGTCTCACATACACTTTTCCCTTCAGACCCTCTCCCGTGCCAGCCCACTCAAGGCCTCCACCGGAACGACGGATGCCGCCAGTCCAAGTCCTCAATCTCGCCTGCCGACTTGCCCGCCAGCTCCGCGTCCACATCGACCTGCTCGCGATTGCTGTTGCTGCGCTTCATCCACAGCAACAGCACGATACCGAGGATAAGAATCGTGCTGCTGGTAGCCAGATTCAGGCCGTTGCCGATGCGATAGTTGGGCGCGTCGGTGGGCAGGAAGCTCCAGGTGCTGATCAAGCCGCCGATGTTGCCGAACATGACAATCGTGCCGATGGCGGACGCGCGCGCGGTGTCGGTGACGACGTTAGCGGAGCCCTGCGCGTTGCACAGCGCGCCGAACGAGAACGCGCCGGACGCGATGATGAAGGTGGCGCCGTAGCGCACCTGCGCCTCGCCGCTGGCCAGGAACATGATGTAGCCGACCATCATGAGCGGGGCGCCGGCGACCATGAAGATGGTGCGGCGGTCGAAGCGCCAGCTGAGGAAGGGGAACAGCACGGTGAAGAAGGCGCCGACGATGTAGGGCGGCACGGTGCGCAGTTGCTGCTGCACGACGGTGTGGCGCGGGTAGATTGTGCGCACGATGGTGGGCGCGAAGAAGGCCAGGCCCTGCACGGTGATGTTGTCGAGCAGGAAGATGAAGGAGGTGGCGAGCACGACGGGGTTGAAGATGCCGCGGAAGGTCTTCTTGCGGTCGAGTTTGTCGAGGACTTCGTTCTGGCCGACGCGCTCGGACTTGACGCGGGCGATGGCGAGGTCCTTTTCCTCCTGGGTCAGCCACTTGGCGGTCTCGGGGCGGTCGGTGAGGGTGAAGAAGGAGATGAGCGCGAGGAGGCAGGTTACGATGCCCTCGATTGCGAAGATCATCCTCCAGCGGGTCAGGGAGCCGAACGAGTCCAGGGTCAAGATGGCGGATGCGAGCAAACCACCGAATGCGCCCGCGAGCGGTGCCATGACGATGTAAAGCGAAAGACGGAACGCCAATTCAGACCGTCTATACCATCTAGACATGTAATAAGCGATTCCTTGGGTTTACTGTCAGTCTAAGCTTTGAAAGTGGTTGGAGTAAACATACCCGGCAGCATGCCAGCCTCGAAGATGCCAAGAACAAATCGCACTCCGCAGATGCTGTGGATGTTCGTTACGAACGCAGTCCCGATAGACGCAATGCCGAAGCATAGCGAGATAAGGGGGATGAACCATCCCGGGCCCATCCACTTGCAGCAGATGTTACTCGGAATCTGCGTGGCGTTAGTCGTGCGGACCAAAATGGAACATCTGACGACGGTTGAGATCAGATAGAGATTTGTGACATCGACGTGCAGTCGCAGTCGTGCAGAACAGAATGAAACAACCGATGACAATTGAGATCAAAGAGGTCTCGGTGCAGTCGACGTGAATTCGTAGCCACGAGACGTCCACCCACGTGACCGATCCACGCGACACCAACGTGACCGACCCACGTGGACCTCCGCATCTCCACAAGCCGCCCCACACCTCTCCACCCACCGATGGGGAATCTTACCTCGAAGATAATATAGCTGATGTAGAAGATCGACAACACCTGGTTGTAATCATAGTTCTTCAGCCCGAGATCCTTTTCCAGACCTGCCAGCCGCGCATTGCCGATATTCGCGCGATCAATGAAGCAGAACAAGTACAGCAGCGCGACCGTCGGGATGATGTACAGGTCGATCTTCCAGCGCAGCCGCGCCTCGGCCTTGGGGTCGAATGTGAGCAGCGGGTTGCCGTAGCTATGGATCACGGGTCAGTTTCCCACGGCTGAGATTGCAGCAAAGCGGCAGGCGTACATGTCGGTCGCGGTGTGGCCGTGGCCGGCGACGGTGTGGGTGTTGTCGCTCTTGAGGTCCTCGTGCAGACTGGCAGTATTCTTCTCGTTGAGGTCGGCCATGGTGATGAAGGAGTCGAGCGATCAGCGCCTGGACTGAGGCAGGTCGAAACGGGCGCGCCGTGCTTTCTTTATACGTTTATCGCGCGCGCGGATCCAGACACACGTAGCGGAGCTTGGCGGTCGCCAAGAGAGGTAGGTCGTGGAGAGCTATCGCGGGCTAGCTGCGAAGGGGCATGGGCTACGGCTGGCGAGGGGCCCAGGAGCCACTCAGCGTGCGGCGTTGCGGGGTCCCCATAGTCTGGGGCGTGGGCGAGGTGTCGGCTGCTGCGAACGGGCCCGGAAGCGTGCGTCGGTAATTGACGTCGCGTCCGCGCTCGCGCTGCAGCAGTCCCAGCTGCTTGTTACCCCGCTACGCCATTAGTCGTGAGCCGAGCTGGGAGGCAGATTCGGCGCGTGCTGGCCGCGGATGAGAGCTGTGGTGCTCGATCTGGGGGAGCTGTTCACGTGCGGAGCGCCCCGGGCTGCAAGGGTTGCCGGATGTTGACATGGTTCGTACAACATGTGCCGGGGTGCTCTGCTTCACGCAGATTAACTCTCCACTTGCACAATCGTGGTGCTTGGTAATCTCCAAAACACTCATCCCAGGTGATTGCATTGAGGAATTGCCTCGACGCTTGATGAGTTGGCATTTAAAGCAGCAGCCGCGCGTCCAGGTGAACTGTGTGTATGCATACGTCTATCGTTTCATTAATATCACTTATGAACACACTGCCGGTGACAGAACAGGCACCGCGATGCGTAAGAATGTCTGACCGCTGCCCGAGTCATGGAAAAAGTCACAGCCAGGACGCGGTGTGTCTGCGGTGTGTTTGTACGAGCGCATAAAGGTACAAGGAAGCGATCTGCACGTGCAGGGTGATTGTGAAAGCCCGGCGCGGGATTGGCCGAGCGGTATCTACTCGACACGCAGCCCCGGGTGGGTCTCGGCCCCAGTGGAGTCATCCCTCCCCATGGGTTCACGGAACTCAGGAAAGGGCTTCCGGTTCCGGTCCCTCACAGTGCCATCCGGAACAGCCTCTGTCTACCCCTTCTTGCTGCCCGACTTACTGCCCCTTCTCGCTCCTTCTTGCTGCCCTACTTGCCAGCCTTAGCCAGCTCCGCCAGGTCCCTCATCACCTTCAACTCAGCCAAGTCCTCTTCCCTCTCGACGCCCAGCATGCGGGCTGTCACAGCATGATACCCGTCCTTGCCATTCTCCAGATCCATAAAGTGCCCGCGCTCACTGTACACCAGCTCGCCGTGGCGCGTGGCATCCGCCATGAGCACGGCGACGGAGCGCGCCGGCACATCGGCGGCCTGGAAGCTGTCCGGGCCCACCGCGGCGATGATCTCGGGACTCATGATGCCCGTGTCGGTCCACGAGGGCGCGATGGCGTTGACGCGGATGCGCAGCGGGTGCAGCTGTGGCGCCAGCGAACGCATGAGCCCGAATACGGCGTGCTTTGCTGATGCTGCGGGGTGTCAGGGGGCGCTGAGGGTAGTGGTGTGCTTACTGTAGTCTGTGGCGGGGAAGCGTGTGAAGCTCGACGCAGACGCGGTGATCACGATGCTCCCGCCGGTGGGGTTTTGGCGAATGTGGTGGATGGCGAGCTTGACGGTGTACAGGCAGCCCAGGAGGTTGACGTTGATGGTTCGGAGATTTGGGGGGAGTAGGTCTCCGCTGGCATCCACGTCTTCCTCCAGCAGTGAGATTGTTGGCGCGATGCCGGCGTTGGCGAAGACATGGTCGATCTTGCCGTACTCCTTCTGCGCTGCTCTGAACCTACAACACCGGTGAGTCCAAAACACGAGATCGATGAGGTAACGCTCACAGTTCGAGCTGCTGCTTCCAGTCCGTCACGTCGACTTTTGAGAATGGCACCGAGTTCGCTTCCGGCTCGGGCAGCGGGTTGAGATCAGCGGCATAGACCTTGCCGCCGTGCTTGATGATGCGGCGCAGCGTTGCGAGGCCAATGCCGGACGATGCACCTATGGATGTGAGCGCGAACATGCAACAGTGACTGAATATTAACACACCAGTGATGACAACCACTTGATCCTTGATGTGATCAAGATCGCTGTCAGATATGGTAAAGCTTGTCATGTTGGTTGTGGTGAATGTATCACGTGCCGTATGCCACGACGCAGGTTGTATGCTGTAGAGATGTCTGCGGATCAGCTCAATCTGTAACGTATGATGCACAGCAGATTTAAATACTTCGAGAGTCGAGCTGTTGTAGTACCCCTCGAGTAAGTTCGGATGTATTACCCCGCTCTAGCGTGTATGCCGACCGAGGAGCTATGCAGGAACCCAGCTGCACCTGTACTGCATGTCGAGAGACGGAGATGGCAAGACAATAAATTCGCACCTGAAACGGGACATGCCAGTTCGCTACCTACTTGCTGTGGTAGTGTGAATGCCTTGACTGCCCAATCGTCTGCAAATCCTGTGCCTGAATAGGCATCTGCACCTGATATCACTACATCCTTCACGTGAAGCCAGTCGTCGCCAGGGTATCAATCGTATTCAGCTCGCTCGGAGCGGCGTGACATCGCTCGGAGTGCCTTTGCCGACCACAGACAACTGGGCTCTGCGCAGCACATGACCGTCCACTGAGCGCCACCGCTCGCTCTCCGCCGCTGGGCGTCTATTCTCATGGTATCCTCGCACTCTCAGGCGTTGCTGTTGCCGCCGCCGCCCCTGCCACGGCCACGGCCGCGTCCGCGCGTGCCCCTGCCGCCCCGGTCGCCGCGGTGGTCGCCTCTCGAATGCATGCCGCCGCGGCCGCCGCGCTGGGCCTGGTCCTTGAGCTGCTGCTCCTTGACGACCTCGATGATCTCGTCGGGCACGCGCAGGTACTTGATCTGGGGCTGTCAGCGCCGCGCTTGCAGGGACCGGCGCACTCACTGTGCTGCCGCGCACGTAGATCTCCGGCAGCCGCATGAACTTGTCGCCGTCGGCGCTGGTCTGCACCACCTCTCGTAATGTCAGGTTCATCCATGTGTCGCAGTTGACCAGCAGCCCGTTGAGCGTCTCGCCGCTCTTGAGCTCGACCAGCATCGGGTGGCCCGTCGCGGCCGTGAGGAGGCCCAGTGGGAGCTGCATTGCGTCAGTATGGCGTGGTGCCATGCGAGAAGAACGTGGCGGACCATGTTGGAAATGTGGGCGCGTGGGTCGTGTGGAGGTGAGGTACTGCGGTGCAGTGGCTGCAGTTATAGTCGCGCGCCAATGGAGGGCTGTGGTGTTTGCAGGTCAATCGCAGTGTTGTCGAGGTTGTGGAGCGTGGGCTTGGCACTCAGCCCTACACCTCGCAGTCGATCACTTAAGTGCAGACTACCCCGTAAGGCGAGGGCAGAAGCTCTACATCACGAGACCATTCTTGCAATCACATCACGTTAAGGTTCGAGGCGCATTTCGTCCGCCGTGATGATCGATGATCGATGATGGCACGGGACGCCTGAACCGGTGGAAGCGTGGAGAAGAAGCGTCGAAGAAGCTGCCAGATGGCTTCAGTGAGCGCTCAGTGCTCAGTGCCAGTGCTGCACTTTTCGAGCGCAGAACGCATGTTCAGTCCTGGCCAAATCCTCCCTGTTTCGACCCATGACACGCACGGCACCATACCTCGACTTAATTGTGGCTGAGCACCGGCGCTGACATCGATACGGGTTTCTTAAAGCTCCGCATAGCCGCGTCTGCCTGATCCTCAAGAACTGGGACGCTCCCGTTCACGAGCACCAGCGTCGCCCTGTTGTCCGCGGCTGCGTCGTAGCTTTCTCTTCTCGCTCGTTTGTTCTTATCATGCGCTCCTTCAGGTCCAAGGTGCTGTCGGCCGTGGCGTGCGTGCCCGCGGTCCTCGCTGCAGCGCTACCCGCCCGTGGGGACGTCGCTCGCCCGTACAGCGAGCCAGTGCAGCTGGGTACGCTCCACTTTATACCGCCTCTGCGGCGTTGCTGAGTTACTAGACTTCCAACAAAACTACGCGCGTGCAACCTTCAGCGTGCCTTTTGGCCAAGCGCACACGGACCAGGATGACGAGTCCCTGGTGAGGCCCGCTCCAGGCGCCCACCTGAGTACGCAAGCTGACGGCCTCAGGTCTTGAACTTTACTGCCCACTCGCACGACGCGGCGTGTGGTTCTGCTAACATCACTATCAACGGCGTGCCGCTGCCTCAGGAATGGGAAGGTGATCACGCTTCTGGCTCGGGCTCGTATCAGTACTCCAGCCTTGACCTCCAGGATGAACAGCCTCAGCGCGACTTGGGCCTTGCGTGGAACTCGACCTGTCTTCACGGCAGCGCGGCGGCGGACGAGGCTGCCCAGATTCTGACCGTCAACATCAAGTCGATTGACGGCGTGCCCATCAACACACCCGCTGGCTTTACCATCTCGTTCAGGCAAAACACATCACCGCCTGCACTTCTCAGGCTAGAGACGGTGCCTGATCTTACACCCGAGCTGACCGACGTCTGGCGCGACCCCCCGGTGCAACTGCGGCTCGTCACTGGCCCTGCACCATCTCTTGAAGACGAGATCCGCGAGCTGCGGGCGCTGCAAGCCGAGCTCGAGGCTATCCAGAAAGCAGTCGCCACCAAGAAGCAGCACATCAACTCGCAGATCCGCAAGGAGGCCAAGTGCTTCACCGCGGACCTCAAGCAGTGCGACAGCCTCTCGTGCGTGCTCAAGACCGTCGCCGGCAAAGCCCACGGCGCATGGCGCATGGTGTACCTCCGGCTACACACCGACCCCGAAACCGACACCATGGGCCGCCCCGAGGTCTTCGCCTCCGCCCACCTCGCCTCCCAGCGCTACGGCAGTATCAACGTCGCATCCGACGTCGGGACCGACGTCGGTCCAACCACCGGCTCAACCGAGGCCGTCGAGGCCGCCCAACCCACCCCCCGCCCCTACGAAGCCACCCTCCCCCCACGCCCCCAGCAGCGCCAACCGCCCTACATCATCGCCCTCGAAATCGCCCTCGGCGTACTCTGCTGCGGCTGCCTAACCGCCCTAATCCGGCACAAATGCGCCAGCCTACGGACCCGCACCGAGCGGCTCGCAGACCACGAAGAGCGACAGAACACGCGCGCGTACAAGCGGGCAGCGCGGCGGCACGCGTGGCGCGCCTGGTGGCGCGGCACCGGCGCACGCAGGGACGCTGCGCGCACCGCGGACTACGAGGAGAAGCGCGCGCTGATCGCGGACCAGGAGGGCGTGCTGGAGGACGCGATGCAGGAGGAGATTCGGCAGCTAAGGGTCGCGCATGGGGTGGTGCATGATATCATCCGCGCCGAGGAGGGGCGCACGGCTAATCCTCCTCTTGGTTCTGTGGGGCACGCGCGGTGTACGTGCCAACAACGGCAGCAGCGCACGCGTGGCAACTCGGCGGCGTCGACGCACCCGCCCACCAGTATCCCCGAGGCGCCGTCGCGCCCCTCGTCGCGCGCGGATAGTCTGCCTAGTTACCGGTCGCGCGCGAGCGAGCCGCCGTCGTACGAGGCCGAGCTGGCGTCGTCGTTTATGGCATCTCCGTATGTCGCGGCGGCGGGTGGTGCGGCGGGGTCGTACACAGCGGGCTCGTACGTAGCAAACGGGTTCGCGAGCTACGACACCACCACACGCTACGCTCCCAGCGAGTCCGGGCGCTGGACGCCCGACAGCAGCGTCGTGGACGTGAGTCCGCGGCCCAGCGCGGAGACGCTGCGGTGGCCGGTTAGTGTGTTCACCGTTGATAGCGAGGGGGAGAGCGAGAGTGAGGGGGAGGCGTAGAGGCGACGTACAGTATGAGCAAGGCTCGACGTACAGTACAATCAGGACTCGACGCGCAGTACAGTCGCTGGGCCTGGCGACCTTGGCGTCTGCATTGTCAAGGCCCGCATTCTCATTCACATTTCCATTCACATCCAGCGTTTCCTTCCATTTCGGCGTTTGACGGGCGTATGGCGGTTTCTTGGTCTGGAGTACGGAGCCCTTTTGACAGGCGCTTGGGGCACTGCGCCGCTTAATGGGTTATCGAGCCCCGTGTATAGTACACTATATACATGCATATACATGCATACATACACACACATACATGCATACGCATAGCATCGGTGTTGTCTGGCAGCACGTAGATGCTAGGTATAGACATACGGTTGTGATCACGTGATGCGAGCCGTGACCACGTGACGCCAACCACAACTGCGTCCATCCGACTTCAACACCACTGCATTTACGAGACTCCAACGCACTGCAAGCGTACCCACATTCGTATTTTACATCTATCTACCCTCCACATCGTCACTCTATCATACACCCCCCCTAACTCACCTACCGCCTGCGCAAATACCAGTTAAACGCCAACTGCCCCGTCTCGACATGGAACGGCGTCGGCACCTCAGCCAGCCCCGGCCGCGCGACAGGGTGCCGGAGATACACCGCAGCGCAGATATTCTGGTTCACTTCCAAGTAGCGCGGGATGAAGGCGAACGCGCTGAAGTAGTCGCGCGGGCGCCAGGGGGTCGCAAAGGGCGCGGACGCGTTGCGCGCGTTCCAGGCGCTGGTGTGCGTGGTTTCGAGCGTGAGCTTGTCGAAGGCGGCGCGCAATTTTGCTTGGTCGGCGGCGGGGAAGAGGGGTTCGGGCGCGTCTGCGGCGGCGGGGGATGCAGATGCGGCCGGGGCCAGGCGGCCGGCGAGCTGGGTCTTGAGGAAGTCGAACTGCGTGTCGAGTGTTGAGAGGGACTCCGGGCTGGCTGTCCGCCACAGGCTGATGGCGCGGCGGATCGCCTGGCGCAGCGCGCGGAACTTTTGCTTGTCCTTTGCGCCGACGTCTTCGCTCAGCACGGATTCCACGTCGGCCATCAGCGTCTGCAGGTGCTTCTTGAGGTCGGCGGGGGAGGGCTCGGCGACGGCGGGGACGGCGGCGGCGGGCGGCGGAGGGCGGGTTGGGCCGGCGGCGTCGCGGGCCTCGGCGCGGGCGGCGCCCTTTTCCTTTGCGACGCGGCGGGCGGTGGACGAGCGCTGCTTCGGGGCGCCGGTGGCGAACATGACGCTCGCGGGGTCGACCTGGAAGACGTCGCCCGGGTTGAGCATGTAGCCGGGGTAGACCATCTTCTTGCCGTTGACGGTGACCAAGCCGTGGACGCAGAACTGGCGGGCCTGGCGCACGCTGCTGGCGAAGAGGGCGCGGAACACGGCCGTGTCGAGGCGGCGCTCCAGCGGGAAGAAGGTCATCTGCATGTACGGGGTCATGGGCGGCGCGCGCTGCTTGGCCGTGGCGTCGGCGCCGGTGCCTCTGCCGGCGGCCTGCTCGCTGCCGTCAAAGGCGGCCAGGTACTTGTGGTCCATGGGCACGACGGCGGGGGCGGTGCGCTGGAACATGCGCGCCCACTTCTTCTCGCGGATCTGCTCGCCGTGGTACGCACGTGTGGCCGCCTTGGCCGTCCACTTCTGCTGGAAGTATGTGCGTGCGAAGTGGCTGGGCGGCCGCAGCTGCGACAGGCTGTACAGCGTCCAGCGCGACATGTCCTGGCGCACTTTCTGGGGCTGTTAGCACCGACAACAGTGTCGTAGCCGTGAATTGATACGTACCAGCTTCTTCAGCGAGTGGAATCTGGGCTTCTTCCTCATGGCGGCGATGGGGGTGATGGAGCGACGTCGAGCCCAGCTACTACGGACGTCCGCAGAAAGTATGGACGTCCGGGCGGTGAGATTCTGCCGCGCCGCAAAATGAAATTCACGCACGCGCCCGCCCCGTCGCCCACTCACCACCGCAACCATGGCCGACTCTGTTGATACCGCTGCTGCGCCCGCGCCCGCTGCGCCAGAAGCTGCCGCCCCTGCTGCCGCCGCCGCGCAGAATGACGGCGAGGAGATCCTCAACCTCAATGGCGCCGACAAGAGCGACCGCCGCGATGACCGCGACCGCGCTGGAGGCCGCGGCGGGCGGGGTGGCCGTGGACGCGGTCGCGGCGGCCCTCGCGGCGGTCGCGGCGGCTTCAAGAACCGCTCGTCAGTGCTGTCCCCCCTCATGCTACTCCTTCTAACCCCCGCAGCCGCACCAACGAGTTCGAGGACCTGCCCGAGACCGACGACCCCGTCGAGATCCGCAACCAGGTCGAGTTCTACTTCTCCACACACAACCTGATCACCGACGAGCACCTGTTCCGCGAGCTCGACGGCCCCAAGAACCGCCCCGTCGCCATCAAGCACATCGCCGAGTTCAAGCGCATGCGCCGCTTCCAGCCCTACAGCGCCGTCGTCGCCGCCCTGCGCGAGAGCAGCGACCTGGTTGTGGTAGATGACGGCGCCTACAGCGGCCCCGGCAACGAGGCCGTCAAGCGCAAGGAGCCCATCGCCGTGCCCGCCAAGGACGAGGACGAGACCAGCCCGCCCACCACCGCCGACCTGTTCTTCCGCCTGCAGCGCGCCTCGTCCAACGACCTCGGCCGCAGCGCCTACGTCAAGGGCTTCGCCGGCGCCGAGGCCGGCCAGATTGCCCTCGAGCAGTTCTTCCGCCCCTTCGGCGCCGTCATGGTGCGCAAGCGCCGCGAGGCCGACGGCACCTTCAAGGGCAGCGTCTTCGTCGAGTTCGACTCGGAGGACTCGCAGAAGCAGTTCCTGGCCCTCGACCCGGCGCCGACCTTCAACGACAACGCCCTGTCCTCCATGGGCAAGCGCGAGTACTCCGAGATGAAGTGCAAGGAGAAGGGCATCAAGCCCGAGTGGGAGCGCACCGACTCCGACCGCCGCGACCGCCGCGACAACCGCTCCGACAACCGCGGGCGCGGACGCGGCGGCCGCGGTGGACGTGGTGGCCGTGGTGGACGAGGAGGCCGCGACCGCGACGACCGCAACGGCCGCCGCGGCGACCGCAGCGGCTCCGTCGACGGCAGCGACTGGAAAGACCGCCGCGACCGCTTCCAGAGCGGCAAGCCCGACCAGCCCGAGGCCGAGGCCAAGGCGCCCAAGGAGATCGAGCGCGACGCGCACGGCGTGCCCGTCGTGCAGGACACCAGCAACAAGCGCAAGGCGGGCGACGACGCGGGCGGCGACGACAAGAAGGCCAAGCTGGAGATCAAGGAGGACGCGTGAGCGGCCCTGGTCACGTGTGGCTTTTGCATACCCGGCGTTTGGTTTCGTTAAGTATTGTGCTGGAAAAGTTATGTTCTCGTGGGGCGCTGTCGCTGTAAGTTCGGCTGGCGGCTGGCTATACTATGCCCAAAGATGCCCGCAATACACGTGTCCCGCACCTATTCTCCGGTCTGATGTGCCGTGTCTCGTACTGCATCCGTAGACTTCGTGATGGTTTGTTTGCGTGGAGTCCTCACCTACGCAGACCATAACCCAGACGTTTATTCGCCATGTCACGTGCCTGTCCGTCATACTCCACACTGCACAGGTATCTCCCCAACGACGCCCGTTCCCCCCACCCAACCTCCAGCACGCGCACCAACCCCCCTTTCCCCGCTATTTTCAATCCCTACCCAGATACGTCTCTAACCTACCCACTGTCTAGCTGCGGTTACTCTATTCTTTCACCAACGCAGTCATTGTTTCGTATACTATGCATACTGTGCTATAACGTTCTCTGCGCAACACCGTGAGACATGTGTCCAGTACGTTCAACGTATCGCCAGCGAGCGGTTTAAAGAACGGCGTCAGGTGCTTCGTAGTGTGTAGACTACGCAGAGCTTCTGGCCTTGAGCGTTGGAAGGGTGGTGCGAGGCTGCACGTGACCAACTAAACGGGACCAACCGATACAGCCGATAAAACCACATGTACTGTGTAGGTATTCCTCCGTCTGATAGCTCACGGGTAACCATCAAGAGTTTGGCCAATCCAGAACAGCTGCACCACTCTCCTCGAGCTTTTGACTTGCTGGATGCATGCCGCGCCGGCACACTGTACTGTATTAGCCCGACGTGTCCCCCTCCCCTGTACATGTGCCCGATGTATACACAGGTCTGTAGACGCACACGCCGCTGATCGTTCCTCGTTTCAAGCTTTCGTGCATCTGCATGTGCATGCACTGTGCTGTCGTTTCAGCCGTGCGGTGCTCCGGGGCACCTGCACATAGGTGGGCAAGTATTGTATCGCGTGACTCAGCACGCGTCACGATCACAGCCACAGCCTTGTCGGCGCGCGAGTGGCAGCAGGACGTTCGAGCGCGCAGCGGACCTTAGCCCTACCCATCCACCACGCGCACACTCCCATGTGTCCTCATCACATGACCTGTCCTCGAAGCGCAGACTCGACGTTAGACGTCGTTGCAACGTTCCGCGCCAAGCTAGCACCGCCCGCCCGGCTGGCCCCAGACAGCTAGCCAACCAGCTAATCCCGCCTAGCGCCCGCACTCGACGACGTCGCCGCAACCAGCACTCACCACACCATGCATAGCTACGCTTACCGTACCATACAATGTACAGACACGCATGCAGCCTGAATCCTGCGTCCTGCGTGCCCAATGCGTTCCGTAGGTGCGGTACGCGGGATTAGACAGCCTGCAGTGTACATACCCTGCACACCACATCACAGCACTGTATATTACAATATTGAATACCACTGTACTGTGGATCCCGAGCTCGGCGACTGCAGAGTCCCCCCGCTGCGCCACAGCCTTGCACGCCTGTCGCCCGTCACGTCTGCAGTCTGCAGTCTGCAGGGTGAGCGAGCCCCTGCAAGACCTCTGCAAGACCCCTGCGAAGCACCCTGCAAACCCCCCGGGCACCAAAACACACGCCCGGGGTCCCCCTGCCACCTGCGGAGAAAATCAATGACCTTCAATCCTGCCGAGCATTGGGGGCCGCTTTTTGGGGGCCGCGCAGCTCTTGTTTGGGGGCCGCGGGGGGTCGTCGGGCTGGGCGCGCGGCGGGGAGGGCGCTGAGAGGAGGGATGGGGGCTTGGTGCGTGCTTGGGGCATGCTGGGGGGTGGGTTTGGGGATGGGGGCACTCGGGGAACGGGCTGAGCCTGGCTGGTTGACGGGCGTGCGGCTGGAGATTGACGGGATTAATATTAGCATTAGCCCGGTTGGGGTGGTTCGGCATCGTTCGTTTTTCTCGTGCTCGTTTCTCGTTCGTTTCTCGCGCTCGTGTGCACCACCGTCCTGGTCGACACGACACGACACGCTCGAGTCCAGCTGCCCACACCACCATGCGCAACGCCCTCGCGCTCCCCGCGCTCCTCGCGCTCGCCTCCTGCGCCGCGGCCGCGAGCCAGATCGCACTCTTCACCGACACCAACTGCCAGGACTCGTTCAAGGGCCTCGAGGGCCCCAACGGCTACCCGAATGGCAGCTGCACCGACTTCCGCCGCAGTGGGACGTACGGCAGCCTGCAGGTGGTCGGGCTGGACGCGGGGTGCGGCGGTACGGCGGCTCACACGCATGCAACACACGTTATTAACGGTGCGGTATAGTGACGATCTACATGGCCGACCCCGATACAACGATTTGCGGCGGCTTTCAGGAGGAGATTCAGCTGGGGGACTGCTGGAATAGTACGTTTGCGTACTATAGTATTGATATGTGCGATCCGCCGTCGTCCACGTCCTCGTCAACTGCCACCGCTACCGCCACCTCCACATCGACATCCACCCCCTCCGCCTCCGGCTCCGGCACCCCCCGCGCCCTCATCGGTGGCCTAGCAGGCGGCCTCGGCGCCGCCCTCGTCCTCCTGCTCCTCGCCCTCTGGCTCCTGGCACGGCGCAAACGCGCCCGCAAAGCGGCGGCCCAGGCGGCCGACGCACAGCGCGGCGACTACGCCGAGGTCGCGCTGACGCCGGCGCGCAGCGAGATGGGCGCGCCGCCGCGGTACGAGATGGGGGGTGCGGGCGCGAAGGGGGTGTGGGCGCATCGGGCGGCGGAGGTGGAGCAGCCGGTTGCGGAGTTGGGGGGGACGGGGGTCGAGAGGCATGAGTTGGGGCGGGGGGAGGGGCGGGCGTGAAGGTGGAGAGGGGTGCTTGGGGCGGGTGTGCGCGGCGGGGTGGGGAGTGTGGTGGGTTGGCGCTGGGGGTGGCGTGCGTCGTGTGCTGCGTTGGGCGTCCTTGTCGCTGTGTCGTGCGCGTCGTGCACCTCCCTCGCTCGCTGCGTGCCTTCCTCGCCCCACACATCCTCGCTCGCTGTGTGCCTTCCTCGCCCACACCTCCCTGTCAAAAGCATAAAGAAGAAATACCCAACATCACGGTGCGCTCGCACAGCTCAGTCCTCGTCTTATGCGCTGCGTTATTGCTCACTTCGTTGCGCACTGCTTGCCTTGTCCGCTGTCTCTCCTTCCCTCGCTTCGTCTCTGCGACATGAAAAGCAAAAAGATCAAAAATGCATAAATGACACGAGTGGGGTTCGAACCCACGCACATTACTGTAGTAGAGATCTAAGCGCTGCAGGGCGCGGCTTAAATCTACCGCCTTAGACCACTCGGCCATCGTGTCTGGATTGGTGCAATTGTGTTCTTTGCGGGGTAAAGCGTTTATAATGTGCCGTTTGTGGGAGGCACGACGGAGACGAGGTCGTGTGTACCGGTACATCTGTATGGGCTCCCATAAAGGATCAGAGCGGAGTCTGCTGCGTGGTAGGCTGGGCTTCGCTGGCGGGGAGTCTTGTTCGAAGGAAAATGCTGCACACTCGCCCTCCTCAACACCACTAAAATACATCGCGGTGTGTGCCAGCTTTAAAGACGACGCGAGCAGTCCGCCAGTCAGCGTCGATGCACCGCACAGTGGCTTGTAGCTGTGGCACACTAGCGGGCTCCGCAATGTCCGCACTTCACACCTCACTCCTCACTCCACACCCTCCCACGAGACACCGCGCCACTCAACGCGAGCGCCACGCCGGACTTGCAGTCTCGCACCGCCTGTAACCGCTGACGTTCATGCAAATAGTAATGCTCACAGCACCCAACTCCGAGTGCTGTGACACAGCGCGCAAGGCGTCCCGCCGTTGCCATGGCGCGGGTTTGCGTCGGGGATGTAGTCTGCGTCGCACCCGGAGTCTACTAATTCCAGTCTCTGCGTGAGTAGTGAGTCGCTTTGTATCCGCTTCGTTGCTTCTCCGCTTCGTCTTCTCCACTCGTCTTCTCCGCTCGTCTTCTCCACTTCGTCGTACTTCTCCGTGTCTTCTCCAACCCGCCATGTCGTCTGCGCTGTCGTTCCAGATCGCTGCTGCGCTGCTGCAGTGGGCCAACGCCGCGTGCTCCACATCTACACCTACACCTGCACCCACGCCTGACGCCGAGATCGAAATGGAGATGCGGGTTGAAATAGAGGCGGAGACGCGGCCGCGCAGACCGGCGCCGCGCCGCTCGACGTCGTCGTCGGCGTCTATTCCCACTTCTCGCCACGCGCTCCCCACCCGTTCGCGCGCCGGCAGTCCGGAGTGCTCGCCGCTGCTGGGCGGGAAGAGGCAGGCGCAGCAGAATTGGGGAGATGCGCAGGGTGCGTGTTGGTGCGAGGGGGCTGCGCTGCCGAGGGTTGTGTTTCCGATGCTGGGCTCGGCGTGAGGTTGGCATGGATATGCGTAGACGAGGTCTTTTGGTAAGGCTGTGTGCTGGATCGGTGATGCAGGGGTGCTGACATGTTTGTGTAGTTGTTTGGATTGTTCTGGATGTACTTTGTTGTAAACACGCCATTCTGGTGCGCGATACGTCCGGTTACACTGGACCGCGGAGACGTAAAGATTGCGAGCTCAGAGTGAAGATGGATTTCTGCACGCGCGAGCGAAGGCTGTTACCTAAACACTTTTTGGGGCTTTCGTACACCTGAGAGGGACGCGGAGGAGGAACGTCAACTCGTGCAATCTCCAATTTTTCAAGATATGTCAACACTTAACGATCACGAAGACCGAGGCCGTGTATAGGCGCTCGTAGCCTATCTAGAAACAGGAGCTCTGGTGTCTAGAGACAGCATTATCACATTCTGGAGAGACACAACAACTATAACACTAAAGCTACCATAATAGCTAAGACTAAGCGCGTTAAACTTGACTAGGAACTGTGGAACTATACCTAAGCAGGCAACTACTGTAAAGCTATCACTTTGGCCCTGTAAATAGACTAACGCTGATTCTGGCCAGATTTAGAAGGCCGCGCAGTATTACGATCGCAAGATAGAGTTTCCTCAAGCACACAATCAAACTTGAATATTCAGTCTCGTTGGCGCTGCAGTTGCAGCAACTAATCAGAACGTATTAATCATGAGTTCTAACCATGGAATGTCTAGTGTCAGTGTGTTGGGAAGTGCATTAGCGCCGGCTTCTGGAGCCTATATCACGTGCGTAAGCATAGCAGGCTCATTTCGCTTCGTTTGAGCCTGTCTCTCTCCTCACCCTCTGCGAGCTCCACAGATATTCTGTCGCAACGCAACAACTTCGCGTCTACGATGGGTCTGCCACCGCCTACGTCAATCTTTGAGCGAACGGGATACGCGATTGGTGTCGCTATCGCTAGCATCAAAACCGAAGGGTGGCTTAAACGCTATGGGATTTCAAGGATAGATCACTGGAAGGCTACACTTTGCGTCACGTGCGCTAAAGCTCTGCGTTTCAATGGGTCGCGTATACTGCATGATTTAGACGAAACGATCGAACAATCACTCGAGACATGTCCACTTTGCGCTATAGCGGAATTCTTCTGCTCACTGCACCAGAATAACTTCGAAAGAGTTACGTTGAATCTTGTTGAAAACCCCGGGATGAAGTGCCGGTTGAGTCTGCGCTTTACAACCGGCAGCTATGTCAAGACCGAGGTCATCGAGGGAGCGAAGATCAAGTGTAAGCAACAACTAATCAGGCTTACACAGCCACTGACAGTTTTGATCGACAGATAGCCCTTTGTCTTCGCACAAGTTCAGTGCCCCGGCGCCCAGTACTCTGTCTTCAGAGTCGATAGGCTTCTTGAAGCAGCAGTTGCAGACATGCCTCAAACGCCACCCAGAATGCCTATCAGCATCAAACGTACCACCAAGTCGTCTGTTGCAGGTGGAGCTTACAGCCAACTCTATACAAGACCCCAATAGCACCATACACCTCGTGGACGGAAGCGCAGCAGTTGGTGGTTCATATGTCACGCTTTCGCACTGTTGGGGTAAAGCAAATTTCAAGCAACTGACTTCAACAACGGAGTTTGAACTACGCGCAGGACTAACTTCACAAGCGCTACCCAAAACCTTCCAAGACGCAATTTACGTCTGTCAACAACTTGGTCAGCAGTATCTTTGGATCGATTCTCTGTGCATCCGCCAGGATGATCCCGAAGACTGGGATCGGGAAGCAGCGAAAATGCATCTTGTGTACGCAAACGCGGTTTTCAATATCGCCGCTACAGGCGCCGCTAACTCGTCTGTTGGCTTGTCCTTCCAAAGAAACCCTCTTGCTCATCAGCCTTTCTGCGTCCACACTGGGACTGGAGGACATGATCGGTGGCTTTTCTTACCAGATTGGTCCGATCACACCATATTAGAGAGTCCGCTCAATCGAAGAGCATGGGTATCGCAAGAGCGTTTTCTGTCTAATCGGATCATGCACTTCACCACCGCAGGCCTTTACTGGGAGTGCAGAAGATCTAGAGCCAGCGACCTGCGCCCAACTCATGGACCTCTAGGCGGCTGGTTCAACTTCTCCTCATTTTCTGCGCTGAGGGTCCTTCTCGACTACTTCAGTTTCAGAGGGAAATCAATTGCGTCTCTGAATAGAAAAGAGAGTTGACTCCTTTACTCAAGCTGGGAAATGTTGGTCATCGCGTATACCCTATGTGGACTAACTCAAGAAGGAGACAAGCTGATAGCTTTCAACGGAATAGCTCGGTGGATGGAAGAGAATGTAGAAGCAGCTATGACATGTGGTATGTGGGAGCAATATATCGTTCGAGAATTGCAGTGGGAGGTATGTAATCAGAACAATCGTGTGGAAGCACCTCTTGTCCAGGAATGGAGGGCACCCAGCTGGAGTTGGGCAAGTGGCGATCACCACTTGACCAAGTATACGTTTACTGGATCACACGGGAGGGTGTGTCCACAGTCTTCAGAAACTGCCGAGGTGACGAGCTTGAATGCAGAGACACTGCCGACCGGCAAGGTGGTAAGCGCTACTTTGACACTACGTGGGGAAGCCACACGTGTCACCGTACGCATCGAAAAGTATGACTGGAAGAAGGGTTTGCCAGCGGTGGTAGTCAGCGCCATCTCAGAGTATCGTATCGACAGCCGATGCTTCGTCTTCGACCGACTACCAGCGTTTCCATACGAAGAGGAGCTTACCTTGGTTGCGTTGTCGAAGTGTCATTGTGTAGTGGATGACTACTGGCCCGAGACTGATGGAATACATAGTGGCGCCGAGTATCCTAGGCCGGTACTTGCAGTACTGATGCTACGTCGATTGCCCACTACTTCTGTATCTTATAGCCGCGTTGGTATGCTTCGGCTCGCAGGCGACGAATGTCAGATGTATGATGAGAACAAGTCTTCACATGCGGAGGAGTTAGTGTTAGTGTGAGAGTTTTGCCGATTACACGTAGAAGCTAGACCACTACATTATGACTCGAATCCAGTTGAGTGTCAACCAATCGGCGAGTTTGCTTTCTTGTCGACTTTGTTACATGCGCAGCTGTGCACGCCTGATATGTATAATGTATGATTTGGTGTCTGAAATGTGTCTGCAGTGATTACACTCGGCGATCCGGTAGAAGTTTGGGCTGTGCAGGGTCGGAGCGATGTCTGCAGAGCGTTCCAGGAACAATGGATTCAGACGAAATGTCGCGACGGGGGAACTGGTGGGCAGGGACTTTCTAGTGCATACAGAACCTTCAGTCAGTCAAGACAAGAAAATGCCGTAGAAGCCAAAAGCAGTAGGCACAGAACTGTCCACGCCCAGGGACCATGATTCTAGGGCCATGATATTCGAATTCAGCTTTGAGCTAGCAGTGCCGGGAAACTACATTGCACATCTAGAGTACTCATCAATGATACGTATATGCACTTGATTCATTGTAAGTTCTGATGAAAAGAGACCCTGGAGCTTTGTTGATGCTTGTAAAATACGCAGACCCCCACAACCATGGAACAGAGATGTGCTTATAGGCAGTAGGAGCCTCTGACTGGCTATAGGAGTCTGGTTGGACGTCTTGCAGGGCAACAATGTGGGAATTGACGATAGGATGATTTGCTACTTACTACCATGGTAGGTATCTACATCATGTGATCTGCTCAATGGCTGTAGGGATCTGCACAAATCGCCAACGATTATACCGTATCAGCCCTGCGATAGTAATGGGCGTCGGTGTCTTGCCCGCGAAATGAGCCTCGATCAATCGGCATTGTGCCACTCAGCTTACCAATGAACTAAAGAATGTACCGGGAGGAAAGCGGAACAGTGCAAAAGGGACGTCATGGTTGCGAAGAGTACCGCAGACAGTAAGACGGGTTTCCGCTGCAGGATCATACTAAATAGGATGGCCAGAGATTTGAGAAGTGGAGAATCGTGGAAAGGAGATGGATCTATTGAGACGGCAGTGCAGTGTTTTGCAACTTGTACGGGTCTGCCGGTACTGGTCTTCCATCACTTCTGCACATTTAATGGGTGACAACGTGTGTTCTGGCCGTGATGTATGATGTGGCTGTAGTGGACGCTCATCAGGATGTATTGATACTGTGATTTTGATGCTACTCATCCCCCTTTTGCTTTTTGAACTGAATAGCACAAACTAAAGACAATACACGAACAACTCAACCGTAAGATGATTTGTGTGATTATGTACTGAATCTTGGGCAGACTTTCTTTGAATGGCCAATTGCAAGTAACTTCTGCACGAACTGGCTGATGAACCCGCCCATCTGGCAGAGTCACATCCAGAAGTGATGCGCTGAGGGAGTTAAAGGCGTCATGTCTGCTTCAATAAAGCATACATGTCGATCTGGGATGCTGGCTCACTGTAGATTAGCTGACATGACGTAAATCCTGCGTGTAGTTCGCCCTAGCAACGGTCCGAAGAGGGTAATGTGCCATTATCCCGAGAAAGAGTGACGAATATGCGCGGATGTGCTGCAGAGCAGACTTACAGTGTCCGCAAGTATCGCGGGGCTGACGAAGTGATGCGGTATTATGCCGACTGGCGTAAGCAATGTGGGTACTGGACACAGGGGTACGGCTAATTCTGACAAGCGTACATTAGGCTAACAAAACCTTGTTTCAAACAGAGATTCTGCCACCAACTGCTCTGTGCAGAGATGTTATTCTGGGAACAATCAAATTTTGCTCGCCAGCCACTAGACTGCTTACACCTGACGCCATAGAAGATCGCTCCCCTCTCGATATCCCGATTTTCCGACTCAAGACCTTGGCTTGTTCGTGCTTGTATTTACGGCTACGAGGACAGTCGACTTGAATTACTGGAATGGTCTTGTAGCGCGTACATCAAGATACCTGGTAGAGATAGAACATATTTCGAGAGGGGCGATGGCTGATGGCAAAACACTCGGTGGCAGCAAATTAGCATACCTAGGTGGTTAATGTGTAGATGCAATTATGTGAGCACCGCGACTCGATCAGTAAGCATCTATTAAGCCTGAACAATGTCAAGCCTAGTGAACGGGCTGGCGTTCCGGTCTCTTTCTTAAACCTTGAAGGTGCAGTATGCTTATATACTGTAGAAGCAAACTGCTAATTCATGAGCACCTATAGACACTGTCTGTGATACTGTTGTGCTAGCAACCTTACAAGAGTAGGCATGCTTGCTTCTGCTCCTGGTGGACATCTAGTGCCGAGAGTACTCACAAATCTCAGCCGTCAGCTCTTGACAGGCTGATAAGCCAAAAGATCATTGCGAACGTATTTGAAGCGATTCCCCGGGTATTGCAGCCTTGTCGTAACGTCTATCGAGTTCAATGGTGGCGTGATGGCCGAGTTCGTTTTGCAGGAGCGCTAAGACTATAGTGGCGCCAGCGCAGAGATCCTTCCACGCGTCGCGGTGGATCTCGACACCATTACACATCATAACAATGGCTGATAGAGGCTTTCATTCCAATTGGTGGAGGAAGACTATCAGACATGGTCAAATTTCCCGCGTGTTTGTAGCTATAGCTATAGGCTGTATGCAGTAGGCGGCAAGCACGATGCACTCCATCGGTGGGGCAATCCTGACGTAGAGTACCTCAGACCTCTGTTGGTACGCCAGAATAGCAGCCATTGATCGATTTAATCCCAGTGCTCGTTGTAAGCTTCACGCAAGAAACAGCTTACTCAGACCTAACGGTACCCAAGTAGTCTCTGCCATCCTTGCGAGGGATGACTCCGATGCTGGTGGCTCCCGTCATTTGACGGGCTATTGTATGGATATTATGCTTGTCACAAAGTCTCAACTATAGAATTGTATATTGTATAGCAGCGCATCCCTCCTGTTGAAATTTAATCGCATTTCTCGCGCACAACAAACGCGATGCTAAGGGTTTCAAAGAGGCCAAAATGTGGTTTAAAGCCTGCATGGCCTGAAACCTGCTTTTCTATGACTCAGATGTACTTCGAGATGCCTTGGCACATGTCCAGAGCCAACACCTCCACGGCTGCCTTTTTTAGATGCACTCTCGTCGCAATGCCTCCCGGATATCATCCATTGTCTCCTTGAGACGCGGCGCACGCGGTCTTTCGTCACTTTTAGAAACGAACATGAGATCGAGCAGCGATGTTGAACTAGCGCTGTCCAATAGTCCTTTCGTTGCGGCCCCGCGAGGCGGCGAGGGCGAGATAGCACTGACACCCAGCACCTCTTCAATGCGCTCCAACATACGCGTGCTGAGCTGAATCAGAATGTCAATCTGCAATTCTTTGCGCTCACAGAGATTGAAACCTCCAATCGTGAGGCCAGGCATTATGCTCGGAAATGTGCGCGCTTCCGATGTGAGACTAGTATAGATTCGCCTGAAGATTGCGTCGTAGGTACGTAAAAGCCACATGTAACAGGTGAGAATGGTAAAAGTTGTAGGAATGTCGAGTGGCAAAGTGTGGGTGGAAGGGGAAGCTGTGCTACGGTGATCTTTATCGCGGGCAGCACTTGAGGCGGACGAAAAAAGTGCGTGTGCCATTGCGTCATCTGACAAGCTGTTCTTTTCTGTCGTTATAAGAGGATCGAGCTCACCAGAGTCCCAGAAGTCGGAGTAAGAGCACTCTGAGTTTGCGGGTGAAGACGGTTTGGGCTGTTTCGGAGCGATCAAACCTCGCAGGGTGCTGAGAATATCAAGAAACAGTTGCGAACTCTCAAGGACTTGGCCAATGGCGTTTTTGGGTAATGTTGAGGACGAACCTCCCGAGAGGTGTGTGTTGTAGGACAGGATGTCGACGAGTGAATCGAGATTGCCATCGTCATTGACAGTTTTCATAAGCCTCGTGCACAAGTCGGATAGGCAATTTAGACACTCTCCAGGCGTGTTCATTGTCGGTAGGCGGGGAGAGCTTGCAATGGAGAATGCGGATTGTCCAGAGCTCGGGTTCCCACTGCCCGACAGATTTCCATCGGTGGGATTGCCCTCCGATTGAGTGGCTGAAGGTATGTCCAAACATATCCCAAAGTCGACTGCACCGCCATTGAAGGGATGCACCATCTTCGTCAGACTGGTATCCAGGTTAAATGGCCCATTGCCTAGTTGGCCAAGAGAAAGAGAGTCATTGCCATTCGAACGAGAGATCCCGTCATTCGCACTTGGACCATTCGTGAATGCGGGTTGATATCGACTTGACTCAGAATTATGGACCCCAGAATCGAATTGTTTGTATGGAGGGTCAACGGATCTTCGTTTGCCAGGTCTTACCAATGACTCCGGAAAGAAAGAACCTCGCGGCTCTACATTTGCCATCTCTTCAAATCTGGTCTGTTCTTGATTGCTTCTATTCTCGCTCCTTGTCGGTGGCCTTGTAAAGCTCGCATTGGCAGAGTAGCCGGCTGAAGTCCTTGGAAAGATGTTCTGTTGAGTCTGCTTATGAGGCGAGTTTGATGATACTGGAGCGTTTCGGGCCATCGAGTCACTCGTAAGTCTTCTCCGCGGGTAGTCACCCTTGACGCATTCAGCACCCGCTTTGAGGCACCGGTCGCACGGGGTAAGTGATTCGTCTCCTGGGCCTTGGCTTCTTGACGAAACTTCCCTCACGCACCGCAGCTTTTGTCCTCGACAGCGGTCGCATGCACTCCGTCTAGATATCTCCGAATTCATGTTCGGAATCTTTGTGCAACGTAGGGCAAAAGCAGTGATGAAGATGATTGTACAAGCCTCTGCTAAGAATTATCAACCTGGTAGCGTTTTGTGATATACCTATGTAGGCCCTGGGATCTCGGTTCGAAATGCTTACATCTTGCTACAATACCTACCTAATCAGGTACCCCGGGAGTAGAAACAGCTTTTGGACCAGTATGCAGAGCCCTGTTCGTTGACATGCAGATCCATTAGGCGTCCCATATTCTGGTACGTCTCGGACCATCAGATGTTGTATGTGGAAAAAGGTGACGATGCTCTGCAGGATCAATGTCGCAAGAACTCCGCACCTCCGCAGGACCACTCGCCTCCGCCCAAAAAACCCGCAGAATATCCCCCACGCCTGCATACGTGTGGACCTTCAATGCAAGATGATTGATCATGAATGGTATCTAGATGAACAATAGTTTGACCCAATGCTTCGGAGACCGCATAAAGGGAGTCAAGGAATACGCTTTTTGCCGACCAATGAAGACGGTCAATATACCGCTCAGCTTAGTAACATTAAATATCTCCTCTGATAGATATACGAGGTCGCTCTTTCTACGCCGTTATCTGGAACGGAGATGCAACGAAGAGCTCTAACTAGCCGCGAATATGTGGTCCAATATTCTGTAAGGTAACACCGTGGAGACCAGCTACTCAAGATACGACTCGTAAGTTCCGGCTGCAGAAAAACTTGGTCGATATGGTTACTCTGCTTATGATGGTCTGCAAGCTCTAACAATCACTGTACCGAACGAACAATAGACTGTCTAGACGTGAATAAAATTACGGTAGGCTGCTAGTACAAGATCTCTTCATCTAATCAAATGCTGACCGTGTGCATCGAAGGACTGCATTCGTCAAAGTCGAATCCTTCTTCGTCACCACTGCGAGATGTAAGCGCCAACCCTTAGCACTGCTGACTACAGCGGCCCGCACCGCCCTAACGTCGCACTAGAGTCGTTCACAGCGTGCGTGCATGGGTCAATTTGAAACAGTAGTTGAATGGAGCCTAGCGCTCGTTAGCTCGACGCATGTAAGAACGGGAGGGCCGCGGTACGGGCTGAGGATGCCGACTCCCGAATCCGGCAAATCGGCTGCAAAGAACCTTTTGACAAAGTATCTAAGCAGAATCAAGATTACATAATCTGTTTGTCATATAGATCATTATAATATTCGAGTATACATATGTAGTAGCTGATTCTTGCTCTACACCATTGTCACTATCTATTATTTAGTATGTGTTTATGAGAGGTAAAGGTTCGTGACCGCGAAAATTAAAGAGGGGGCTTACAGTAACGTGCGATGCCGATAGGATCGCATTTAACCAGTCGGTGCCATCATCGGTTCAGCGAAGCCGCACCCCCTGTTCGGCTTCAGTCAATGACAGAACAGGGAAGGTAGTACGGCGATTCGGTGACAGCCCCGAGTCCCCGACTTGTAGCAAAACCGACCAAGTAAGCATTTGATGCCAGACAATAGGAAAACGCGAATCTCTACTGCATCTATCATTTGCTGGGAGGGAGCTGAGCAGTATGCGCAAAGACCTGGTGTACCCGATTTGGAAACAACCATCGTTTGGTATCGCTTGAGGAGATAGCCTGCAGATACGCAAAGGAAACATGTTATAGACAAATTATCAAGTGATGCGAAATCTTCCAAGTTACTAATCGCTTGTTGGCGGTGATTAGACGCAAAATTATCCTTGGGTATTGATGGTGACACGAGACAGCTACAGTCTCGCATCACCTCTCCGTACATATCGTTCCACTCTTAATACCTCACAACCCTTGCTTCTCACAGATTCTGCGGATCTCGCCCCAAGTCTGCACCTGCAGCTTCTTGCCTTGCTCATTGGTGACCATCTCGCCAGGACTGCTGGAAATTAGCTGCTTTCTGTAATGGGACATTGGTCGGGAAGACTTGCTCATCAAAGTGATCATTAGACCAGAATTGGTTGTGGCCGGTCTTGCCGAGGAGCGAACCGCTGACCAATTCGCGGCCTCCTTGCTCAGCTGTACGTCCGACCAACATCTGTGTCAACTTTGTCGGTACAGCGAGATACCATGGGAAATCCCGTCCAAGATCGGTGATACAATAGCCGGGACAAGCAACGTTGATGAAGACATCGGTTTGTCCTTGAGCATCTCTAGAAAAGTCGTCGACAAGCCCTTGTCGTATGTACTGAGTGACTAATTTAACCACTCCATACGTCTTTCCAGCGTTGAAAGAGGCAGGATCGTTGAGCTTGTCGATCAACGATTGGCCAGCTTTGAGCTCAACGTCTGCGGCTGTGACATACTTGCTTGCAAAGCTGCCAGTGATGGTAAGCTGGCCTGGCACACCCTTTGACGCATTGCTCTTCAGCTTGGGAAGTAACAACATCGCGAGATAGGCCGTTGATAGGATGTTGACCTGCAGGGCTGCCTCGTACCCAGTTTTCTCGTTCTTGACGAATCTTGGTGGGGCAACACCCGCGTTCAACACTGCAATTTGAATCTCGTCGTATCTGCTGGTGACCTCAGCTGCGAACGCCTTGACAGAAGCCCAGTCGCCCATATCAAGCTTGAGAACATCAATTTGTTCTGCTCTACAGCCCGTCTGTGTGATGATAGTGCGCTTTGCTTCTTCGCCCTTTGAGGGAGTTCGCACAGCGAGGATCACTTTAGAAGCGCCGTTGGCAGCGAACTTGGTGGCGGCGGGTAGGCCGATTCCTGTATTTGAGCCTGTGACGATCACGGTCTTTCCCGCGAAAGATAACTTTGTATCTTTGGGCGGATTCTGCTTGGCCCATTTCATCGCCGCCATCTGTCCGGTGACAGAAGCAGGCGGGCCGGAGCCGATAAGTGATCGAAGTTCAGCTTCGGTCGCCATGATGTGGTGTGATCGCAGATGAGCAAAAGTGCGGACAAGTAAATAAGAGATGAAAGAAGAGGAGAAGTTAATGCACTTCAGTATGCTTGAGAGTAGGTTTTATAAGAAACGCATGAAGGGAGTCGCAAGGCTGGACAAGCAATGAGGGCGCGACTGCTAATCCGCTTTCAGTCTGTCGGAACTCCGCAATGCTAGAACGGAGGACCATCGGCAGAAACATTGACAAGGAATTACTATCGTCTACCTGGCCTAACGTTAATTGAAAATTCCCTTTTCTGAAAATCACGAAATTAGTAAGATTTTCTACATCGATGCGGTTCTGGTGCCACGTGTATTGCGTTTCATTTTGTTTTGCCACATAGATAACAGCCGCAATGCTCGAGCTATGCCATCTCCGCTCTCCTGAACACCTAAAAATAGGAATGGCAGCAGGCAACCGTTCACATGCATGTAAGAGCCTCCTCCTGTGACCTGATGTCGAGCTATCGAAAAGACTCGGTCCTGTACGCCTGTCGTTTGGCGGTAACTAAGAAGAAGGGGTGTGGGGGCTCTGGAACTTTAGGACCGTCCGTAATGGTCTGAGTCCTCAATGGGAAGCATGGACACGACTATAATCTTACGATAGCTCTCGATACTGCCTGGATCCTGTGCTAGTGTTGGGCCTTAAAGTCAGCCTTTCACTCCTTCATCCAAGCAGTTCTACTGATTCCTTCTTGCTAGCAGCGTTGTGGCTATGCGCCACTTCGAAAACGACCAGGTCATTCATTGAGGTTCAGGTCTATCGACATGACATCTCTTCGGTCTAGGCTGTCTCATATAAGCGTGAGGAATCACGTCGCCGTACTGTAGCTCAACCTAGACCACTCAGGCAGCCCATCTTTTCACCCACGAGCAACATCAGCTTACAATATTGAGGCCGTCCAGATGCGCCACCAATTGAATTTTGAGCCAGAATACATGACTAGGAGTCCGTGGCTGCCTCAAGTTCATCTCATGGCTTGAGCGCCCTGGCGGCCTTGCAGTCATAGACTGACTGATAGCACTATTTCAATCGCTGTTTTTTGAGTTTCTATGTACTCAAATTCAGAAAGCTCTGAGCATAAGCTACCAACATGTTTAAAGCTATTCTTCCATTCTTCGTTTCCATCGCTGCTGCTATTCCCCTTTCACAGCCTGCACTGGCAACCCTCAATCAAACATGCCAAGGACGACTTTTTTCTGCATCACCACTCAGCAGACCATGTTTTGCCAAACTAGATGGCATTAATGCAGTGATGCAGCAGACGCAGTGCTTGGATGTGCAAACGCATTACACTTCCGCCCAATATCGAACCGATCATTATAGCGGTTTCATGCACGACTATAACGAAATTTGCGCATCTTCAGTCGACACTACGACAGCACAGTGTCTACTTAATCCTATCAACACAGTCTCTACAATTAATTCGAAAGACGCTAGCTGTGGTCAAGGAAGTGTGTCTCGGCACTACATCGAGGTCTCCAGCCCGAACGACGTGAAAGCAGCATTTGCGTATGCTCGAAAGACTGGACAGACGCTCAGTATCAAAAACAGCGGGCACGACTATGGTAGTCGAAGCAGTCTGAAAGGCTCTTTAGCCCTTTGGACGCGAAAACTGCAGAACATCAAATACAAGTCCGACTTTGTGCCCGAAGGCTGTGCCCTCCGTAACAATAAGTTTGCAGCCATGACCATTGGCGCGGGCGTGAACTTCAACCAAGCATACGAATTTGCAGACCAGCACAACGTCACCTTCGTTGGCGGGTCCTCCCCCACCGTCGGTGCTTCAGGTGGCTTCTCCATGACGGGCGGTCACGGTCTTCTTTCTTCACAGTTCGGCCTCGGTATCGATCGGGTTTTGGAGTATAAGATTGTAACACCAGATGGTGTTTACCGTACTGCAAACCAGTGTCAGAATAAAGAGCTCTACTGGGCTCTAAGAGGAGGAGGAGGTGGTACTTTTGGTGTCGTCATTGAGTCCACTTCCAAAGTTGAACCTCGCGTGAACCTTATCTTCTCCATGATACAGTCACCCGCCAACGTCACCGACTTCACGCAATTTTTGGGAATCCTGATGGAGAATGCCCCAGGCTGGGCGCGTGAGGGCTGGGGCGGTCCAAATGGTCTCGGTTATGTGGCCATGGTGAACCCCTTTCTTTCACTCGCCGAGGCTAAGAGGTCCATGCAGCCACTCACCTCCTATGTTTCCTCCATCGGCGGCAGTGTCGTCATCGAGCAGCATTCTAGCTTTCTGAGTGTATACTCGCAATACGTGCAGCCCACAGCCAACCTGGACATTCCGACTGCCAGCTTTGCAACCAACCGACTTGTCCCATCCAGCTATTTAGCATCGAAGGAAGGAAAGGCCAAGATTCAGAACGTACTGTCAAAACTGCAAACGGCTGGCTTTTCGCCTACCATTTTTCAAACAACGCCAGCATACTACCAATCGAAAGGCTTGTACCATGAGGGCGAGACAAGTGCAACTCCTGCATGGCGTGATAGCGTTTGGATGATCACTGGGAACACGCAATGGGCGTGGAGCACTACGGTCTCTGAGAAGCTTGCCACAGTGCGGAACCTCAAGAGCATAACTAAGGATCTAGTAACATTTGCGCCAGACGGTGGGTCATATATTAGCGAGGCAGATCCTTGGACAGTCAACTGGCAGGATGCGTGGTGGGGAAAGGCCAACTACGCCAAGCTGTTGCAGCTCAAGCGTAAATACGATCCTTTCGGGTTGCTGAGCTGCTGGAGATGCGTAGGGTGGGAGGAGAAGCTAAGCCGCAAGGGAGAGATTTTTGAGTGCATGGGAGGGCTGGACAGGTAGGTGTGCGTACGCGCTCGTCTCGTATGGCTTTCCGGTAGGTGGGGGAGGAGTTCTGCTTTCCGTCCTTCTTTTTCTAAGTGCCGTTGGTTTGCACTGCACATACAATCAAAGCTATAGACTTGGATAAAACAGCCTTAGTATTTCTACTTAGCTTGCATGAGCACTGATATTCCTTTGAACGCGTGTTCTAGTGATAAGTGCTATGAGTGCATTCGCACCAATGAGCGCGACTAGATCTGAATGAAGTCATTAACATCATCAATCTGCGCTCTGGCTACCTAGATACTAACTGACTATGTTCATTGCTTCCAGAGGAAGCAATTAAATCCGAAATGGAGGGCCTCAACGGTTAAGAAAGCGCAACCTCTAATTAGCTGAGCGAACCTTGTAGCTAATTAGCTTATACAAGTTGTAGAATCTTTACGTAAGCAGACCTTAGGAACTTTGTTCCTCTAACTACTTAGCTAGAAGTTTGCTTAGCTGGAAGTTTCGCTTGCAGTAACACTGTAGCAGTGTGAACAGGATGGTAGCTAAGTATAAAAACGTGGCGTAGCAGCAGAGAAGGGACAGCAGAGAAGGGACAGCGGAGAAAGGCATGCGACTACTTAGCCAGAAGTTCAATCAGCTAGAAGTTCGACTAGCTAGGTTTAACCAATCCGCTTATTCAGTTAGACCCTTACACCCTTACCAGCTAAACGCTTGCCCAGCCAAACGCTTAAACTGCCAGACATTTAGCTCAAGCCAAGATTTTGACCAGCTAGAAGTTCAACTAGCCAGAAGTTTGATTAGCTAACTTAGCTAACGCTTCTACCTATAAGAGCACTTTCGGCGCCTAATTATTGATTTCTTTTACGCCTGACCTATGTATGTATCAGCCTTGCATAATCTCCCATCCTCCTTGCTGACCCAGCCCTCCCCACCGACACAGCTGACACACCATAGCGCCGTAGTCCTATCAACACCGATTTTTACTCTCTTCAACCTTTCGTAATTATCGCCCCAAAAATCATTTTGCCATTGCGGACTGAAAGGGTCACACTCATTCAAATACGCTCCACTTTTTGGTGCCATTATTCTCAGAAACTCCGTCCTTGCCGTCTGTCGTGCATACACAACCTTTGCATCCGCGTGCGATACGCTGTCGGCAAAACCCTCGCCAATGACAAAATGCACAACAGCATCTCGCCATGCAGATACAAGACTGATATTGAGACCACGGTTGGCGCTATTAGCGATCATGTGTGACTGCAGGATGGGCGGGCCTGCGTCGGAAGGGTGTGCGGATATGTTTTCTAGGGCAGTTGCGAAAGCGGCAATGGAGTCTTCTGACGAGAAGACGGAGGCCGGGAGAAGGCGACTCCCGGAGCTGACGGCAGAGGATGCAACAGGCTCGGGGCCGAGGCCTGAGAGCCAGTGAGCAAGGAAAGATGAAGGGTGCGTTATGGAAGTGGTGTAGGTGATTGTGCTGTTGTTCGCGTCAAGAAACTGGATTACAGGCTTCAAGAGGGATTCAATGGTGCCGTTTGGTCTATTGTAAAGGGAGAACGTCCATGTGAAGGTGTTGGTCTGGGTGGTGGTGAAGACGGAAGGGGTCATGATTATGTAACCCTCCAAGCCTCCCTCCTTGAGCGAAGGGAGATGCGAGTGGATCTCCGCAACAAGTTTCCACCACGTTGAATCCGTCGTTGAGCGTTGCGCGGCGATGGAGAGATCGTGAGTAGTAATTGTTGGGGATGGGAAGGCTTTCATCGTTACCTCAGTGATAACCCCAAAGGTCCCTCCTCCCCCGCCTCGAACGGCCCAAAACAGGTCTGTATTCTGACAAGCATTGGCAGTAAGATAGTCGCCGTTTGGAGTGACCATCTTGACTTCTAGGACGTTGTCAACGCCCATACCGTAGGTACTCGACAGAGGTCCGTGACCTAGGCGGGTCAGTCATTGTCTTACGCTCATGGAAACGACAGGATTTACCTCCACCTGTGACCCATCCCACAATGCCAACGTGCTGGGATAAGCCGGCTACGACGATCATGTCCCTCTCTCCAGCAGCTTCATAGATTGCTCTGACCGTTTCTCCAGCAGCGACAATCGCAGCAGCAGAGCTGCCGGCAGAAGCACACTTCTCAGCTTGGAAAGCGCTGTAGATTTGTATTCCTTTTATATAACGCGTCCAGATTCTGATGTGATATTAGCTGAATCCTTGAGTTCTTCCATACTGTAACGTACGACAAGCTACCAAACGCTGTGCTCCTTCCCTGAAGCGAGATCCCTGTGCTCTTGACATTGACTCTGATGCCTTTCCTGGCCGCAAATTTGAACGCTGCCTGTACTTCTCTATATCCCGTCGCATTCACGACGTATGCCGGGTATTTACCAATCGAACAGCCCTTCCTGCCCGCATCCACGTCTCCCGTTACACTCGTACCGTTTGGGAAAATTGGAGGGCAGGGATTATCAGCCCAATATGGAAAACTAATGCTGACGGAGTACTCGGCATGGAAATCTGCGTTGAACCAATTCATGCGCACCTGTTCGCAAGCACTCTGGTCGTAGTTTGGTTGATCGGCGTAGCACACAGAGGCGGGGGGAACACCACGCAGGAGATGACCAGAAATTGTTGCGTTGAGGGCTGCAAAGTCTGCATCGGATGGCCAACAAGTATCACCAGGGGCCTTAAAGCCAGAAATCAGTATGAAGCAATCGACCGACACCACATATCGCGAAATACGGGATTCGACTTACACATTTGCATTCCCTCGATGCTCGAGTGGTGATAACTCCGAATAGCATCAGTAGCGTATATTTTGGGACATGCATATTTTGAATCTTAGCAAAAAGATGGAACGAAATGCCACTGCTGCAAGGTCACAAATTGTAAGTAGACAAATTCGCGCGTACACCCTCACATTTGGATCTGCAATTCACGTACCCACAAACGGGTCGTGTGCAACTCTTGCAGACACACATCTCTAGCAATTTCTTGGCAAGCCTTTCAATCTTTGTTAGCGTTGTTGAAGAAACAGCTGAATCCGAATCTGTGGACCCATCTTCGGTGGTTCCGAGGGTGATTGCGGAACTCCGCACCTCCGCACCTCCGCCACTCCCACGTCCGCACCTCCGCCGCTCTCACCTCCGCACTTCCATACCCCCGCCCACACTCGCTCAATACGAAACACCGACCTCCTCGATGCGTTTCGGGCAGGTGGTTTTTGTCTTGTCCACATGGATTACAGAAATGAATCTGGCGGCTAGTAATGATACCTACAGTATAGCATGGGTAAGTAATCAATGTAGGTCCTTGAATATTCTTCTCCTATCAGCACCTCTCTGCAAGTAATAGTAAAGCACACTAGACTAAACAATAAAGTGCTAACATGAATGCTGAAATATTTTGTATACCTCTATAAATTATGTTTTGTTAACAGCTAGCTGCTGCGAAGTCTTGTGACACATTTACTACTTACCCATGATATACTGTAGTCATCGCGTACGCGAAGTAACTGCCCTGTTCTGTCCAAAAAGCTCGAGGATAGCTCGAAATCTCTATGCAGATTAACACAATGCAAGTTTGGTTCTGTAACTATTGATTTTTCTACCTAAGGCGATTTGAAACCTAGAGTTGCGACTGTCCACAGTAGATGGTGGACCCAGCTACATAAGTGGAGTGGAACTATTCAATGGGATAACTTATATGTACTGTCTCTTGGCAAATAACTTCAGCTTCCCTGCAGTCTAAACGCTAGACTTTCTCCGAATCAGTAGCTCTGTCTGAGTACTCGGAATGATTGTAAAATCGTGATGCCCATCCTGAGGTCTTTCCGTGCCCTCGGCGAATTTCAAATCGTAGTTCAACAAGAGCTCCGATAAGATAATCTTCAGCTCATACCCAACGAAGAATCTCCCCGGGCAAGCATGAAAGCCAGCCCCGAAGTTGGTAGAATCGTTGGAAACCGTGGCGAAGTGAAACTTGTTAGGGTCTCCCACCTCGCGCATGCGATAAAAGCGCCATGGGTCAAACTTCTCAGGATCAGGGTACGTCTCAGGGTCGTGAGTGAATTCATATGTGGGAAACATCATGAGTGTGTTTGCAGGCACATGAAGGCCATCTGAGAAGGTATGTGGTCGTACAGAGGCTCTCTGAACTGTCACTATAGAACAGTTAGCAAATTGTGACCAAATTTAGGGTGATTGATATGTACCAAGTCCGGCTGGGTGAAGCCTCTGAGATTCTTTCATGAAGCTGTCCATCTTGCGCAGTTTCGCCAGGCTAGATTTGTTCCACACCGAAGACTCGGCCTGAACTGATTTGATCTCTTGAATGAGCTCTGGTATAATCTCTGGATGTGCAATCAAATCGTAGACAATGGAGACGATGGTTGCGCTGGTGCTGTGAATGCCCGCCATGAACAGGAAAAGTAGTGAGTCACTGACTTCCTTGGCAGTTGTTGGCTTACCACCTGAGCCATCAATGAGCCATTGGATAGCATCCCTATGTTTCTCGCTTCCAGATTTGGCGTGCAAACGCTCCAAGAAAACCGGTTCAAGAAGCTCTGCGGCCCTCTTGCGTAGTGCCGGCAGCTCATGTCTTCCTGGGTATGTCCATGGGGCCAACCATTGCCACATCTTGGGGTAGATAGCGCGAATACCCATGGCGTGCTTCATAATGCTTTGTGTATTCTGGATAGTGAGCCCGATCCATTCGGGATTTCGGCACAAGTCAGGTCCCACAAGGATTCGACCCGTAATCCTTGCAACAGTAGGTAGAAAGGTATCCCATGGCTTTAGAATGGTCCAATCTAATGATGTGAGCTTCTTGAATGATCCAGCCTTCTGTGTGGATCGTTTACCTTCGCATGAGGGGATGACAGTCTTAAAGGTTTCAACACATTCATCCTTCATAGCAGGAGCTATCTCACCTACAAGGAAGTTTCAGTTCTGTCGACCAAAAGGTAAACACTACTCACCGAGATTCTTATTCAGATCGATCCGGGAAATATGCGTTGCGGCAGCAGATGGAAGGATGGAACCACTTAGTTTCAACAAAAATGACTACACGATATCCGTCAGATCAGTTCTTGATACTTTCAACAAATGAGATTTACCTGGATAGAGTAAAGAGGGAAGCTTAGAATATCTTCTCCTGCATTTTTCACCTCGTCTAAGTAGTTCTTGGACATGATAACCTGCGGACGTCCTTCATCGACGGGATTGCGGATCCTGAAAGCTTGTCCTTTCTTGCCATACTAGAGGCTGTTAGCACTCTAACGAACCTTCATGAGTAACGACATGACATGCTTTGATGTAACCCTCATGGAGGATTTCCCTGGTGTTGGATATATAATGGGCTTGGGTATCATCGTGGTCAAATTTGACGTTAGGGATATGGAGGAGTCGCTGTTGCCGCCGCACTTTGTATGCAGAGTACATTTGGTGGAGCATAAGCCCCAGTGCTACAGCAATAGCTAGATAAGAAGCGTAGGCCATTGTGAAATTAAGCGATGAGCATCGAAATCGAAATATCTATTGGACGTGTACGATTCTATCAATTAATCAATCTCACTAGACTCGGACGGTCACGCACGGGCTCGGATTACTTGCATCGGATCGGTATCGGGATCCCTCTTTTGTTTAAGAGCGTTCGGAAACGCAAATCAAGACTAGGCCTTCACTTTCGGTCGGACTCATGGGTAGACCAAAAGCCTTTCGGTTAGTTCCTGATAGGACCTTTTTTTCGACACGATTTCAATGAAATTATGAATGAAGATGGAGTAAACAAGAGTGAGGTGTCAATTTAATTCACTACAACAGAAGCACTACACCTCAAAATCTTGATGCAATCCCCGATACTCACGCAGAGCCAAGAAACACTACCAACTTCTGCGCCGAAATTGTTCGTGCCTTGAGCAGATCAAGTCCGTCAAGTACGCCTTGCCAGGCTCCTGGTATCACACGCACAGGGTGTGATTTGAGTTGGTTCCGGTCGAAGAGTTTCTGAACAGCACGATAGTACATGATACCAAATTTACGTTTTTCTGGGTCAGCTACACTTCCATAGCCGTTTCCTAGAGGTATATCATTGCCGATGATGCACGAACCCATTATAAAAGTAGGTTCGATGGTGTTTCGTGTGTGGTTCATATCCTGCCACATCTCTAATGCGATGTATCGACCACCACCGCGGCCCATGGCTTGATAGCACAGACGCTGGGTCTTCGATTCCGTCATCGGGTCGAGTATAAGCTCCAGTTCGTCGTTTGTGTAATCGCGGATCTCCTGGCCGCAGGTTGGTGATCTGTAGTCCCAAACTTTCTCAGCACCGTAGTTTTTCACAAGCTCGAAATTGTTTGGGGAGCAAGTCGTAAGTGGAATGTGACCATAGCTGCAAAGTGTCTGTCAGTGCTTATACTCTGCCGGGATGTCGGAAGCTAACGTACTTTTTCAGAAGCTGGATTGCCAGAGTACCGACACTTGTGCTCCCGGCATAGACGAGGACCTGCTCGGGTTCCTCTGCTGGTTCATCTGGAGACCCAGACAGGCCCATACCACCATCCCAGAACAGAGAAAGACCAAGTGTTGCAATACCGCTTGCGCCCCAGGCTGCGGCATTTTCCCAAGGCATATTCGGTGGTTTCTTGAACAAAAGTTCCGGATCAGAGCGCAGGTATTGTGCAAACGAACCCGATTGAGGGTCAATTGCATTAGCCCCGTGGCAAGCACCGAAAACTTCGTCTCCGACCTGCCATTGAGGCTTTGATGGAAGCTTGGATACTCTGGGTCCAATGGCGACGATGATTCCTGCGTAATCTGTACCATTGGCAACTCCTTTGGCCGGAAATTGACCTGGCATCTTCCAATCACAAGGGTTCAAAGCGACTGCAACTACCCTGACCAACATTCGGTCATCGGGTATCTGAGGCAGAGGCACGTCGTCGAAAATTTGGAGAATACCATTATCAGCTTGAAGAATGGCTCTTTGCGTCTTGGGGATGTTGCGGGGAATCCAAGTTTCAGATTGAGTCTTCATCGTGTTTTCGCGGCGTGGTTTCCAAGATCAGTCATTTGTGTGCTGCTAGCATGTGAACTGTGCAATTCAAAAGTACGTCGATGCATGCGTGAGGATCTAACGTCTGTCTAGATTGAGGCGATGACGATCTGCCGAACAAGGCACAACCGAAAGTCGGAGTGCCAAGCCAGACCCGCTCCGATGGTGCAGATCCCGGACTCCATCACTACCCACGAATCTCGACATCAAAGCTCGCTGTGGTAAGACTGACAATTACAGTTTCCTGACTTCATTCATCGTGGGTTCCAAAATGATTTCCATCCAGTCAGCCTCATCTGCTGCGGTTCTTTTCAGTCTTTGCCTCGGAGCACGAGCCTGGGAATACAATTTTCCAACAAGCTGGGAAGATAGTTGGCACCAAAATGCTCAAACTGTTTTCACTGGAGAATGCAGAACCAGTCGTATGACAGCTTTCGAAACACCCAAATCGACCGGGGACATCTGGATCTCAACATCGCCCCTCGACGATATTGAAGCACCTAAGATACTTCCCCTGAACAGTAGCTCGGGCGAACAATGGGAGTTTGACGGTATCTCCGAGGATGGAATGAATGCTTTTATTTTTGGGTTTTACCGTGATCCAGGGCTCTCTCTCATGGGCTCAGGCAACCTGCGACTCTCAGCTGAACTCGCATACGCGAATGGAACGCGATTTGGTCGAGTCGACTATGCAATGGAGTCCATCGTTGAGTCTTGCTCCGGTGGAACCAGAGGAATTTGGAAAGGCGATGACTTCAGCTATACATTCGAAATTTCGAAGGACATGAGCCACTTAAGGTTGGGCATGGATACACCGGACCTGAAAGGCAACATCTTTATGAAGTCAAAAACAGCTCCGCGTTATGCCGATGCCCAGATTTGGCCTTCGGAGAACGCATCCACAGCAATATCGCCCTATTTCCATTGGATAGAGCCCATTCCTGTTGGCGACGTCCAGGTGGATTTGACAGTCAACGGCGAAGGATTCACGTGGGAAGGTCTTGGGGGTCATAACCGCCTTTGGTCACCATTCAGCTGGTTCACATGCCTCAAGTCAATGAATGCAGTGCGAATGGTAGCGGGACCATACGCGCTATCCTTCATGAAGTTCACGTCAAGGATCCGATGGGACGAAGAGTACACATCTATCCTTTTGATGAAAGACGGCAAGAAGATCTTCTCATCAACTCTGAATCAACCTTCTGACAGCGAGGATTATGTTTTGGATGAAAAGACATACGACGGAACTGTTACAGGCACCCTCCGAGACAGGGTGACGGGCTATGAACTCGAACTTGTCTCTCCCAGCCGCAAGAAGCACTGGACTTTCATTATGGAGCATAAGAACATCGCTTTTGAGTACCTTGTTGGGAAAGGCCGTGGTGGGAGTGGATTTTCTGCGAGCTCAAGTGGCGGACCGGTCGGATTAGAGCAGTTCAGAGGAGTCGCTCTTACGGAAGCACTGAACTTTCCAGACAGTTCTCCTCTCTTCAAGAGGCAATATAAGGAAGGAAGATAGGTACATCGGTCGCTATCGAAGATGTATCTTGATGTGTAACAAGATTGTGCTAATCCCAATAGTAAGGGAGGGCAGAAAAGCTGTTCTGATCTCAATTTTCATCGTTCGACTAGGATATCGCGCTAATATCAAAGACGGTTTGCAACGAGGTACGGTTTCGTTGCGAAGGGAGCACATCGGAAGCGTTTAGTTAGGGATACAGAACTAGCATTAGACTCGTGGGCTACTAGTAAAACGAGCAATTGAAATAGCGAAGAAGTTGTCATCCACCCTTTCAGTCAAAACGTTCAGTCCAAGTTGGGTAAACCGTAGCAATCCACAAGATTCACCAGCCAAACGACTCGTTCGCAGACCCAAGCCCCAACATCGCTGATGAATGCCGAGCCATTTAGGTACCTATCAAGGCGCTACATGACCAAGCGCGTCCGAGATATTGCCGATGTTGGAGTTCGAACGATTGGTAGTGGAGAATCTGCAGTGCCGATTCGGAGTCGGACTCGGGCTGCTGAGCTAAGCCGCACATTTGAAGCGTGCTTTTCTAGCAGTGCGGCACGAGAGTTATGACCAACGATGGTAAAACCAAACATTGAAACGAGAATATGAGTTCTTGCTGATTCACAGGCTTAACCACTGCACTTTGTTTCTCCAACCCACTGGAGCCTTGGAGCGCCGGCTGTATTTGCATGGTCAATCGAATTCAAGAATCGAACACCATGGAGTCCAGCTATTTGAATTTCGAGTTCCTAAACTGGGACATCATTGAGTCGATTCAGATCATACGCGCTACGCTTGCACCTTTGAGGTTGACGAGATGGCAAATGTTCAAGTACATGGTCGCCAGCCTTTTCAGAGACATACAACCCTCTTCTATGATTCTTCTGGCACTGGTTTCGTTGGTCTCACTGGCTTTTTTGATGACCTGGGCGAAGGGTCGTGACCCAATCGAAAAAATCGGCCTTCCGGTTGTGGGTGGCTCTAAGCAACATAAATTGGACTTCAAGCAGGCAGTCGAAGAAGGCAGGAGATTGGTAAGTTGGACGAATGTGTAATGTGGAAGGGAAGGTAGCTAATCAAATGAAGTACCCCGAAACTCCTTATATCATCAAGACACAAGGGCTTCCCTATATCGTCTTCCCTTGCCATGTCTTTGATGAGATCAAAAGACTCCCCGAGCGTATTGCATCCGCGCAAGATTTCTTCGTCAAAACATACTTTGGGAAATACACGACTGCTGGAACCGAGACACCTACTCTACTCAAGGCTGTGAGCGTAGACCTCGCGCGCAGTATTCCCGCAAAAGTACCTTCTCGTCAGGAAGATGCCAAGTACGCCATGGATGAAGCAATCGGGAGCTGTCCCGAGTGGAAGGAAGTGAAGCTTTTTCCTGCAGTGACAAACATCATTGCTCAGATGAATGCTTGTTCCTTCATTGGGCGAGAGGCTGGCCGAAGCAAACACTGGGTCAATCTTGTTTCGAAATACCCCTTCCAAGTCATGATAGGAACATTCATGATTGCTCCAGTGCCTCGCATCCTTCAAGGTCTGTTTGCACCGCTTATCTTCGCCGCAGCAATCATCACCAAGTGGAGAATGAAATGGGCTATCACTCCAATTATAAAGAAAGATATGAGAGAGTTTCTGAATACCACAGACAAGAAGAGCCTGTTACGATTGACCGAAGACGGCAAAGTCCCCTTCACAGCCTCGCTCATGACACGATACAAGCCGAGCGAAGCAACGCTGAGCCAGTTGTTACAGGATTATATCACTGTCGCGTTCGAATCCACGCCTTCCAGTGCTGCCGCACTCTACCTCTTGTTGCGCGAACTAGCTGCGCACCCAGAACTATTGGACATTCTGCGAGATGAGCTTCGAGAGGTCATGGTAGATGGAAAGCTGCCTAAGTCTCACCTTGGAGAACTCCGAAAGATGGACAGTGTTATGAGAGAATCAGCCAGGGCCAACCCCTTTAGTCTCCGTACGTACCATACTTCTGATGTTCTGAGCCAAAGACTGATTATGAATATTGTGTAGTTGCCCTGTATCGTCTCCTACGCGTCCCGATTCAGCTCTCGGTTGGTCCTACACTTCCGCCAGGAACATTGATCTGTGTCGACGTCCACCATATTACGACTTCACCAGAGCTCTGGAAAGAGCCCGAGAAGTTTGATGGCCTACGTTTCCATGAGATTCGGAAACAGCCTGGAATGGAAAATAAATACCAGTTTGTGAGCACTGGAGCAGACTCTCCGGGCTGGGGTGATGGTACTATGGCATGCCCAGGGCGTTTGTTTGCAAACAGCACCATCAAAATTGCACTCGCACATTTGATCATGAACTACGATTTCAAATACGTTGAAGGACAGGGTATTCCGGTCAAAACCTCACTACCGAACGGCTCCTGGAACCCTGGCTTGGATACCAAGTTCTTGTTCAAGTCTCGCAAGTAGAATGATATGAAGTCACGAAGAAGGAGAAGGCACGAGTAGTAGTAGTAACAGAAAGACGGTAAAATTGAATACAACAGATGATGGCAGAATAGAGCAAGGGTGTGAAGTGAATGGTGGGAGAGGCGCAATTGGTGACTGAATCAGTAGAGCACTCACTCGCGACTTTCTCGGCTTATTCAGATTGACAGGCTCAGACTTTTGATATGGGTTTGAATTATGATAGCCCCGTCGTGATCTAGACTTTAGTTCAAGATTTCCAGCCTCAGCAACCATAAAAAGTAACTCTGAATACTGCAAGACTGTCATGTGATGTGGGTGCATTAAGCGAGACTGAATGCCAAACAATGTGTATGACCTCATGTGCAAATGTGAAGAGTGTAAATCTTTAGACCGAAAAGTGAGTGTGCTAGGCGTGTGCCACCATGAACGTGCGAATGGTCCTATGTCCGACAAAGCTACGTCAGTCACTCCCTGAGATGCGTGATTGGCATAGTATCTGTTATTCCTCGGCGTGGAGACCTTCAAAGTTAGTGCCGAATGCTGCAAGTCTTTCGGAAGGTTTTGTCGGGCTCGGAAGCCCAAGTCGGCGTCCAAACTCGGGTGCCGGGTGCATCGAAGTGACCCACTAGGAGACCAAAGGAGCTGATCGCACCGAGCGGGCAAGACCATAGTGATGGATTCGAAAGCTACCTAAGTTCTCACCAGCGGACAGAACCATTCGTGATTTTGTTAATGAGAGTAAACTCACATCACCACGCGTTCCTTCGCAACTACACAACACCATTTCTCGGACATTGAGACACGCGAATGATGAGCCCTCAACGACGCCCAAACGAACCGATTGCGGTGGTTGGTAGTGGATTTCGATTCCCTGGGGAGGCCAACTCTCCATCCAAACTTTGGGATCTACTGCGCGAGCCTCGTGACGTGCAGAGCACCATTCCCGAGCAACGCTTCAACCCAGAGGGTTTCTTCCATCCTATCAACGACCATCATGGGACGAGCAATATTCGACACTCGTACTTTCTTTCCGAAGATCATCGACACTTCGATGCTCAATTCTTCGGCATCAAGCCCGTCGAGGCGAACTCAATAGACCCTCAACAGCGACTTCTGCTCGAGGTGGTTTACGAAAGCATTGAGGCTGCCGGGCTATCTATGGACACTCTCCGTGGCTCTCCAACAGCTGTGTACGTCGGTCTGATGTGCGCTGACTATGCCGACTTACTTGGCCGCGACACATCGTACTTTCCTACCTACTTTGCAACGGGGACCGCTCGGAGCATCATCTCGAATCGCATATCGTATTTTTTCGATTGGCGGGGACCATCGATGACCATCGACACTGCATGCTCGAGTAGCTTAGTGGCGGTTCACCAGGCAGTACAGGTGCTAAGATCAGGCGAATCTAGAGTCGCTGTGGCGGCTGGAGCCAATTTACTGCTAGGACCGGAGCAGTACATTGCAGAGAGCAACTTGAAGATGCTATCGCCGGACGGCAGGTCGTACATGTGGGACACACGAGCCAACGGCTACGCTCGCGGCGAAGGCATCGCATCCGTCGTACTAAAGACCTTGAGTGCAGCGATAGCCGATGGAGATGACATCGAATGTCTCATCGTGGAGACGGGTATTAACCAAGACGGAAAGACGAAAGGCATTACTATGCCAAGCGCGACAGCGCAGGCTGCACTTATCGAAGCGACGTATAGGAAAGCGGGTCTCGACTTGAAGAAAGCGTCTGACCGACCGCAATATTTTGAGGCTCACGGTACGTATTGTGACCCGGCTCGTTGCAGACGGATTTGCTGGCTCCGCTAGCGTACGTGGGGGTGGCGTCGATGAACACAGCCACGTGCGCTCAGCCACACCCTTGCCCGCACGGCCTAAATCACTCCGTCCGAGCGCGACGCGTTTTCCTGCACAGTGCGAAACAATGCTGATATCGTTACCCAACAGGCACCGGTACTCCGGCTGGCGATCCAATCGAGGCCGAGGCGATCAGTACTGCCTTCTTCAAAAACAATACTCCAACGCGCGTTACGAGCCCTCTATATGTAGGTTCCATCAAGACCGTTGTTGGCCACACAGAAGGCACGGCTGGTCTAGCAGGGCTGCTCAAAGCCTCTTTGGCATTGAAGCATGGCTTCATACCTCCAAATCGGTTGTTCGAGAACCTTGCGCCTGCGGTGAAACCTTTCTACAACAATCTAGAGATCGCCACCAACGCCAAACCTTGGCCGGTGGTTGAGGACGGATCTGCTCGACGTGCAAGTCTAAACTCGTTTGTGAGTGGGGCATAGCTCTAGATACATAGATCGATATTGACAGTGTCCAGGGGTTTGGTGGTGCAAATGCTCATTGCATCCTTGAGTCCTACTCTCCCGAGCAGACCGGACATGGGAAGGACGAACCTGTCTTTACCCCATTCACTTTCTCAGCAGCGTCAGAAAAAGCATTGACGACCATCGTGGATTTATACTCCGAGTATCTCAAGTCACACCCGTCAATCGACCTTCGTGCTCTGTCGTATACATTGAGCAGTAGGCGAAATGCTTTCCCGCTCAGAGTTTCGTTCTCAGCCAAAGATGTAACTCGTCTTTGTGAGAAGCTGGACTTGTTTGCGGAAGGCAAAGGAGAAACACCAATAGCCCCGGTAGCTGTGTCCACCATACCGTTGCGCGTACTCGGAGTCTTCACTGGCCAAGGAGCTCAGTGGGCTGGAATGGCCAGCAAGCTCATAAGTGTACCTGCAGCTATGAGGATTATCGATGACCTTGAACGGAGCCTGTCTGAGCTGAAAGACTATCCACCCGAATGGTCGCTGAAAGCTGAACTTCTTGCGGACAAATCCTCTTCCCGGATCCTGGAAGCTGCTCTGTCGCAGCCGGCTTGTACGGCTGTACAGATCATATTAGTAGACCTTTTACGCGCTGCCGGTATCAGTTTCTCCGCCGTTGTAGGCCACAGTTCCGGTGAGATCGGGGCTGCATATGCAGCAGGCTATCTATCTGCAAGCGATGCGATACGGATAGCTTATTATCGCGGCGTGCACCTGCAAAATGCTCGTGGTAAACATGGAGATGACGGTGCTATGATAGCTGTTGGCACATCGTATGAGGATGCAAAGAAAATTTGCAACCTTAGAAGATTTCGCGGTAAAGTCTGCGTTGCGGCAAGCAACTCATCTACGAGCGTCACCATCTCTGGCGATGGCGCGGCCATACAAGGTATCAAGGCTGTATTTGACGACGAGAAGAAGTTTGCAAGAGTTCTGAAGGTTGACAAAGCCTGTAAGTCTCCTACATACATTGACCAGTCGTTGGAAATGTTGCTGATGGAACTTAGATCACTCGCACCATATGTTGGCTTGTTCGGAAGCTTACATGGCATCGCTTCGTGCTTGTGGTATCAAAGCTCGTAGACCCACTCGTCCAGACTGTCTGTGGATTTCCAGTGTCTATCAACAAGACATTATAGAGGTTACGGACAACCTCAACGATTCGTATTGGAACAGTAACCTGGTCTCGCCGGTAATGTTTTCTCAGGCGATGGAATACGCGCTGGGAGAATCGCAATACGATCTTGCTGTAGAACTTGGACCTCACCCAGCCCTGAAAGGACCTGCCTCTCAGGTCATTCAAGAGGCTCTTGGCGAGACTATACCTTACACTGGACTGCTAAGCCGCAACTTAGATGATGTTGAAGCGTTTGCCAATGGTCTTGGCTATATCTGGGCTACTTTCAAGAACAGTGTAGTCGACCTTGCTGGTTACGATCGTTTTCTCAATGCGTCCGAGCCACCCAAGCTACTTAAAGGTCTTCCGACATATCCATGGGAGCATCAGAGAGCCTTTTGGCACGAATCAAGGATTTCCAGGGCTTTTCGCGAGCGGCGTACGAACCACGAGCTTCTCGGCACCAGAAGTCCCAATCACTCCACTAGCCAATACTCCTGGACGAATTACCTCATCCCAAGAGAAATGTCGTGGATTCTTGGACATAAGATCCAAGGGCAGATGGTCTTTCCCGCTGCTGGCTACATGTCAACCGCTTTCGAGGCGGCGCGAGAGATTGCGGCTGAGCAACCTATGAAACTTATCGAGTTGACAGACTTTGTCATCGACCAGCCCTTGGTGTTCGATACGGAGGATTCCAGTGTGGAGATTTTTGTCTCACTGACAGATGTTCGCCACAAAGGCTCTGGCCTCGTGGCGAAATTCAGCTACTATTCTATCGCCAACAAAGAGCCCGGCCCTATGACTATCAACGCGAGCTGTGAACTGCATATCACTTTTGGGGAAGCAAATGCAGACACGCTACAACCACTTCCGGAACCCGAGTTCGCAATGATGGAGGTCGAGCACGAAAGATTCTACAGCTCGTTCGCCACCTATGGATACGGCTATACTGGTCCGTTCAAAGCCTTGACCTCTATGGAAAGAAAACTTGGCGTTGCCAGTGGCCTAATCCAAGTCCCTGAGGCAGTCTCTGAAAAGCGGCTTCTAATTCATCCCGCAGCTCTTGATGCAGCTGTGCAATCCATCCTGCTTGCATACTGTTTCCCGGGTGATGGCCGCTTAGTGTCCATTCAGCTGCCAACTGATGTTTCACGTATATCCATCAACCCATTGCAGGCCCTCAATATCGCATCGGAGAAATCACTGAAATTCTTCTCTTTTATCGGTCGAGATGATGGGAAGCGGATTGAAGGCGACGTTGATCTCTACCCGGCGGATGGATCAAATGCAGTACTCCACCTCGAAGGTATGCACACGAAGCCTATGGTCCCTCCGACAGAAGCCACCGATTCCCATATCTTCTCCGAGACTGTGTGGGACTCGGCGTCTCCAGATGCGATGATTGTCTCAGCCGAAACCGATGAAAACTTCGACTTTGGCTTCGTGCTCGAGAGAGTAGCGTATTACTATTTGCGCAATCTTACCAGTGGTACTACCGCTAAAGATCGTGAGGACTGCGAATGGTACCACAAATCGCTTTTCAATTTCGCAGATACCATGCTGTCCCGCGTCGCAAACGGTACTCACCCGTACGCAAAGTCGGAATGGATCAATGACACCAGCGAGGAAATTGTTGCCATCATCGAAAGTCATCCGCAGAGCATCGATCTTCGCATCATGCGGGCTGTGGGCGAGAACATCATTTCTGTCGTACGAGGCAAAACCACCATACTTGAGCCGATGATGGAAGACAACATGCTGAACGATTTCTATGTTACTGGGCTAGGGATGGAGGAATATCTCCGCAAGCTCACCGCTACTGCAAAGCAAATTGCACACCGACATCCGGCCATGAACGTATTGGAGTAAGTTCTCTGTCCGCGAATTTTGGTGCTTTGCTAACAGCGATCTTCCAGGATTGGTGCAGGCACCGGCGGTGCAACAAAATCCATCCTGAGAGAGCTCGATGAAGCCTTTGCTTCTTATACCTACACCGATATATCTGCAGGGTTCTTCGAAAAGGCGAAAGAAGTCTTCAAAGCACGCGAATCCAAGATGATCTTCAAGACTTTAGACATCGAGAAGGATGTCATTGACCAGGGTTATGAAGAACACTCGTACGACTTGATTATCGCATCTCTCGTGCTCCACGCCACCACCAAACTTGACGAAACAATGACCAATGTCCGACGACTACTTAAACCTGGTGGATACCTTTTGCTTCTTGAAATCACCGATAACGAGCAGATGAGGTTTGGTTTCATCTTTGGCGGACTTCCAGGCTGGTGGCTTGGTCATGAAGACGGACGTCCCTTGTCGCCCTGTATCGAGGTCCCAAAGTGGGACGCTTTATTGAAAGCACACGGCTTTTCAGGCGTCGACTCGGTGGCACCTCACAAGACCTCCGAGCCCCTTCCCCTATGTGTCATTCTTGGACAAGCAATTGACGACCGCATCGAATTTCTTCGGAATCCACTGGCATCTGCAGAAGAAGGTTTCAATCTTGCAGACATCACTCTAATTGGCGGTGCAACAGCCGCTACCTCCGGCTGCATATCCGCTGTCACCAGCACGATGCAAGCTCGTAGTAACACGATCACTCACGTGGGGGCTTTAGTCGACCTTGTTAACACCGATCTTCCCTTTGGTGGTACTGTCGTTTGCCTGGAAGATCATGACGAGCCTATATTCAGAGAACTGAACGAAATCAAACTCAGGGGGATGCAAAAGCTTTTTGAGAGAAGCAAGAACGTCTTGTGGGTCATCCGCGGCTACAAACATGGCTCTTCGTACGCCAAGATGGCAGTAGCCTTTGCGAGATGTCTGCTTCAGGAGATGCCCCACGTTCGACTTCAGTTCTTGGATATATCTGAGTCTGAGTCCTTACAGCCCACTTTAATTTCAGAATACCTCTTGAGATTCCTCGTTGCCGAGAATTGGGAGGAGCAAGGTCGTCTGAACGGGTTGTTCTGGTCTCTCGAGCCTGAAGTTTCGCATGAGGGCGGACAAGACTTCATTCCCCGAGTCAAACTCAGCAAAACCCTGAATAACCGCTATAATTCTGCACGTCGTCAAATTTTCGAAGAAGTCGACCTAGCAGTTGCACCAATTACCCTGTCCTTCGGAGATGACAGCTATACTCTCAAGTCCAAACGCGGCTTGGCTTTGATCGAACCAACGTGTGCGGCAGGCAACATCAAAATCCGCGTTAGCCATTCCCTTCTGAGAGCTGTGAAGGTGGGATCCCACGGCTCTTTCCATTTGCTCCTGGGTACGAACATTGCAACTGGAACCCCGATCGTTGCTTTATCGAGCGACCTCTCTTCAGAAGTCGACATACCAGAAGACCTGACGCAGCCGTGCACTCTATCGATTGAAGCCGCCATCAAGTACCTTGTTGCTCTGTTCTATAGCCTGGTAGCATTCACAGCCCTCCAGCATCTTGGTCGAGGCGATTCGCTACTCGTTTTGGAGCCCACGGGAACCTTCGCTGCAATCCTCGAATCCGCTGCGACCCTCAAAGGCATTCAAGTCGTGTTTCTTACAAATGATGCGAAGCTTGGAAGTCTTAGTGGGTGGAGATATCTTCCCTCTCGTGCGCTTAGACGAGACTTCGATGCCATTGTACCTCACCAGCTATCACGAGTACTGTGCTGGGGCCACAACGACTGGACCTCTGTGATCTGCAAACATCTGTCCAGTCGTACTGCGATCGAATCATCTGGTTCTTACACAACTACCGAGGCTTTGCATACGCGGCCTAACATGATTCATAAAGTATCCGAAGTCTTTGATCGTGCGCGGATGCAGCTTTTACCCTTAGGTTCCGTTGTAGAGGTCGAAGATGTACCAGTTATACGTTTGACAGACGTGCATGAATTGTCCTCTGACAGCTCGGCGATGACATTGGTAGACTGGACGACTTGCTCACGTGTTCCAATGGCAGTGGAGCCTGTTGATGCGAGGGCCTTGTTTCGTAGCGATAAAACCTATTGGCTCGTGGGTCTTACTGGGGGCTTGGGTCTGTCTCTTTGCCGATGGATGATCTTACATGGCGCCAAACATATCGTCATCTCTAGCCGAAGTCCTAAGATCGACCCTCGTTGGCTGGACCAGTTCGTGTCGATGGACGCTGTGGTCAAGGTACATGCCAACGATGTTACAGATCGCGAATCTGTCAGGTCGATTTACAGCAAGATCCAAGCCGATATGCCACCGGTTGCTGGTGTATGTCAAGGTGCTATGGTGCTACAGGATACCCTCTTCCTCGATCTTGACATACCACGCATGGAGAAAGTTCTAAAACCCAAAGTCAACGGGGCGATATACCTTGATGAAATCTTCCAGCACGAGAAACTCGACTTTTTCATCATGTTGTCATCAATGGCAGCTGTGACTGGCAATCCTGGGCAAGCAGCGTATGCCGCTGCCAATATGTTCTTGGCAGGTCTTGCTGCGCAACGGCGAGCGCGTGGTGTAGCTGGCTCAACCGTGAACATAGGCGCTATTGTGGGTAACGGGTATGTCACCCGAGAGCTCACGCTAGCTCAACAAGTAGCCCTACAAAAAGTTGGCAATATGTGGATGTCTGAACAGGATTTCCATCAGATCTTTGCTGAGGCAGTGGTGGCCAGTCCGCCTCAACCAGGACCAAACCCGGAGTATTGTACTGGGTTACGCGTCTACTATGCCGACGAAGACGACAAACCAAAGTTTGCTAATGATCCTGTCTTCTCGCATTTAATGTTGCACAGAAACTTGTCTGGATTGCTCACTACCAGCAACACTGCAATCATATCGGTCAAGACTGAGCTGCTTCAAGCCACGACTGCTGAAGAGATCTACGCGATCATGAGAGGTATGATGTGGATTAATGTGATTCAAGAAGACGAAACTAATCAATTTTAGACTCTTTCGTGTTAAAGTTACAGGTAGCACTGCAACTATCCCCGGAGTCCGATGTAGTCGGTCAGACTGCTGATGCCCTTGGCATTGATTCCCTGGTCGCTGTTGATCTCAGATCGTGGTTCATGAAGGAGTTAAGTGTCGACATGCCGGTATTGAAGATCATCAGCGGTGCCACGATTGATGAGATTCTTCAGCGAGCCCAAGAACTACTCGATCCTGGGATGACACCGGCGCTTGGAACCGAACTTACGCCAGAAAGGAAGGCAGCTCTCGAGCAGGCCAAAGCAGCCAAAATGAGCGCACAGGTGGCTGTACCTTCAGGTGAAGCAAAGTTACCTGAACCAAAAACGGCATCTGTCCGGGCTGAGCTAGTACCTCACATGCCGACAAACCCCAAGTCAGCACCGACATCCAGTACTCCGACAGTAACAGACTCCACAGTTGAGCGCTCTGTAACTGTACCCCCGAGAATCGACACAAAGACAGTGGAAACGACCCGCAAAGCTAATGGGTCAAAACCTGCGATTCATAACCGCACATCTCAGCCTGCTCCTATCAAATCGGTGCAACAGCTTTCAAGTGCTGTAGACACAGCTGAGTCGATTACTAACAAGACATCATTGCCGGATCCGTCGCAAATCACAAAACACCTACAAACCCCTTCTGCTACACCCTTTACTCCGACGATCATTGAAGACACCGACGCTCATCTGACCAGCTCTGTAGATCTGTCCATCTCTCGGGATGACCTAGAAGCTGGTTTCAGATCTGTGCAATCTCTGTCAACCACACCTTCCGAACCCGACAGGTCTGTCTTCCATGCCACGGCTGTTTCATCGGGCTCATCAGTCTCCTCATTTGACAAAATCTCTCCCGCGTATACAAAGGAGTCCGAGATCTCAAGGACCCTTCCAATGTCGTTTGGCCAATCCAGGTTCTGGTTCTTACGCTCGTATCTCGAAGATCCTACTACGTTCAATGTTTCAACGTCCATCCATTTACAAGGAATTCTCGATGGGGATCGACTCGCGCAGGCCGTTGCAACGATTGGTCAGCGTCATGAGGCATTACGCACTCGTTTCTTTACCGATCATGATAATCAACCTGCGCAAGCTGTTTTGGAGTGCACCGTCCTTCGACTGGAGCGTAAAAATGCTTCGCCTGGCCGTGATGTGACCGACACATACGATCAACTCCGCAATCACGTATACGACCTAGAGAATGGTGAGACAATGAGGATTATCTTGCTTGAGCTGTCACCACTATCGCACCAAATCCTCTTGGGCTACCACCACATCAACATGGATGGCGTTAGCTTTGAAATCTTTTTCTCCGATTTGGAGAAAGCATACAACGCCAATCCTTCAATCAACACTTCCGTTCTGCAGTATCCCGACTTTGCGGTCAAACAGAGAAACGAATTCGCCGACGGGAAATGGAGCGAAGAGCTCGATTTCTGGCGAGGACAGTTCCAAACTCTGCCACCGACGTTACCTGTACTTCCACTCGCACGATCGACATCTCGTGTATCGCTTACGAGGTACAATTCTGATGTAACCTCGTATCGGGTCACTCCGGCGCTATCCTCCCAGATACACGACACATGCAAAAAGATGAAAGTGTCGTCTTTCCAATTCTATCTCACTGTGTACAAGATCCTTATCACAAGATTCGTTGAAGTGGATGACCTTTGCATTGGGGTCGCCGACGCCAACAGGAACGATGCTGATGTGCAGCAGAGCCTTGGCTGTTACCTCAATCTCCTCCCTATTCGGTTCAATAATCAAGCATCTACATTCAGTGAGGCAGTAAAGGAGACGAAGAACAAGGCGCAGCAAGCATATGCAAACTCAAGGGTGCCTTTCGATGTTCTTCTCAAGGAATTGAACGTTCCTAGGTCATCGAGCCATAGCCCATTGTTCCAAGTCTTCCTTAATTATCGACAAGGTGTAGCTGAGAAGAGGACCTTCGCCGGATGCGATTCAGAGTGGGATTCCTTCGACGGAGGGCAGACTGCGTATGATTTGAGCTTGGATGTTGTTGATAACGCTGGTGGCGACGCACTTCTCAGGTTGTTCTCGCAGACTGCATTGTATTCTGCCCGGGACGGAGAGCTTCTCATGAAGAGCTATGTCAACCTCTTGGAGGCGTTTTCTCGCAACCCTGCCGCCCGTCTGACTCGCCCTTCACTTCATTCGAAGGAAGATACTCAGAAAGGGCTGATCGCTGGAAGGGGTGAGTTATTCGTCATGAGTGATGAGTAATACATACTAACGTCTACAGGCTCGTATCTCCCTCTAGATTGGCAAGGTACCCTTGTCCATCGTATCGACTACATTGCGCAGACACATGAATCCTCACCTGCTATCAAAGACGGACTGGGTAACGATCTCACTTTCGCGCAAACGATACAGCGCGTCAACTCCATTGGGGCCGCTCTTTTGGATGCAAACATCCCTGATTGCTCTAAGGTCGGGGTATTCCAGGAACCCTCGGCTGACTGGATCTGTTCTCTGCTCGCAATCATGCGTGTCGGAGCAGTTTATGTTCCTCTTGACCCACGAGTTACAACCTCACGTCTAGCAACGATAGTAGAAGGTTGTCAACCAGCTCTCATACTGTGCGACAACTCAACGGACAGGCAAATTCCGGAGATCAAGGCCAAGGGCAAGATCATCAACGTGTCGCAGATCCATTCTACAACTCGTACCGTCCCGAACGCTTCTAAGAGAGACTCGACGATGGCCATTCTGTACACCAGTGGTAGTACAGGTACACCCAAAGGTAGGTTTATCTTTGTATATTGGAAGTCACGACTGACCATGAACAGGTATTGAAATGAAGCACAGTAGCTTCCGTGACCATGTAGAAACGGTGTCACGCAAGTGGATCGCGTCCGTCTCTGGGAAGGTGGCCTTACAACAGTCTTCATTTAGTTTTGACATGTCTCTGGTGCAAATCTTCTGGTCTCTCTGTTCTGGAGGCAGCGTCTTCGTCGTTCCACAATCGGCTCGCGGAGACCCAGTCGCGATTTGCAAACTTATCTCAACGGAGAAGGTTTCAATCACAGCAGCCACACCCTCTGAATACATCAACTGGATTGACTATGGCGATGCCGACTCTCTCCGAGCATCCCCATGGTCCTTGGCTATCTCAGGAGGCGAGACTGTCACAGAGCAAATGGTGCTGGCCTTCGATCAACTTCAGCTGCTGGACTTCAAATTGATGAACTGCTATGGCCCAACAGAGATCACATTCTTTTCACATGTCGCAGAGATAGCCCTTGGAAAAGATAGGGTAGGCTTTGTCGACTTTGTGCCTTGGGTTAATGTTTCGTTCTACATTGTCGATTCCAAGCTCAACCCACTCCCAATCGGCGTGCCCGGGGAAGTCGCAATCGGGGGCATGGGGGTCGCTTCTGGATACTATGATAAGGAAGACCTGACCGCGGAGAGGTTTGTGCATGATCCTTATGCCCCAGAGGATTTCATCAATCATAGCTGGAACATTATGCACCTTACCGGAGATCGCGGGCGTCTGACGGCCAGCGGAACTCTACTCCTCGAGGGCAGAATTGCAGGCGACACGCAGATCAAGCTTCGCGGCCTACGCATTGACCTCCAGGAAATCGAGTCAGCTATTGTCCATTGTTCAGAGGGTATAATCCTCCATGCTATCGTGTCTGTACGACAGTCACGCGAAACCGAAGCAGAGCTGCTCATCGGCCATGTTGAGTTCTCTTCTTCCAGGACACCTACCGATGTCAATGCTTTCATTGCGAAGATCATCGCTGACCTCCCACTCCCGCAATATATGCGTCCGGCCACGTTGATCGCGGTCGATAAAATCCCTCGGACTGAATCCGGCAAGTTGGACAGGTTGGCTGTCAAAGCTCTGCTTCTCCCGCAGAAACAGCAAGGGACACTGGTTTCAAAAGACCTTAATGACACAGAGTCCCGTCTACTAAGACTCTGGCGAGATATTCTGGCGGAGGACATTCTTGGCAGTAGACCCGTCGACCAAGAGTCCGACTTCTTCCAAGTGGGAGGAACATCAATGCTTCTCACAGTCCTGAGGTCTCGTATCAAGGATACGTTTATGGTTGACATTCCTCTCGTGCAGCTCTTTGACGTGAGCACCCTTGGAAGGATGGCAGCGCAAATCCATGCTGCCATCAATCCCAGTCGAGCTGAAATTTCCGTGGACACACAAACTCATATCACAGCTCCACCTTCGACTCGAGCACCGGGAGTGCTTCCCAAAGAAGTCGTAGACTGGAACTCAGAAACATCAATTTCGACCACTATCATCCCATCCACTGTACTTGGGTCAAATGAGCCGCGGGTCGTCATTTTGACTGGCGCAACTGGTTTCCTGGGAAAGAAGATTCTGCAGCGATTAGTTGAATCACCTTCGATCGAAAAAATCTATTGCATCGCAATCCGGCCAGACTACTCGCGGACGGATGCGGTGTTCGCGTCTTCCAAAGTGGTGGTGTACAGGGGCGACCAGTCACTCTCCTTACTTGGCCTACCACCTTCCGAGGTCACACCGATCCTTTCCGAAGCCGATGCAATCATTCACAACGGAGCTGATGTGTCGTTCCTAAAGTCTTACACTTCACTCCGGCAAGTCAACGTATCGTCGACTAAGCAGCTTGCTAGCTGGGCAGTAGAGTATGGTCTGCAGTTCCATTACATATCGACCGCCTCAGTCGCAAACCTCTCAGAGAAAGAGAGCTATCCGTCCGTCAGCGTACGGGAATTCAAACCCGCAACTGACGGTTCCAATGGCTATATAGCGTCCAAATGGGCGTCCGAGGTTTTCCTAGAGGAAATGAATCGTGAGTACCTGATGCCGCTTGTTATTCATCGGCCCTCCAGCATTACTGGACCTGGCGCTCCCGATACCGACGTCATGGGCTCGCTGTTCAAATATTCCAAGCAATTGCAAGCTATCCCGCGCGCAAAATACATCGAAGGCTGGATTGATCTCATCTCCTTGGACAGCGCCGCATCTATGATCGTCAAGGTAGTGCGTCGTGGCATCCAGAACTTGGATGTTCAGTACGTATATGAGAGTGGCGAGGTACAGATCAAAAGTACGAAGATGAAGGAAAGCATGGAAGAGCAGACTGGTGAAGATATCAAAGAGTTGAGTATTGAAGAGTGGGTCAGGAGAGCTGAGATACTGGGGATGAACAGTATGATTGGAGCTTTCCTATTAGGCATGCAGGATCAACCGTTGTTGATGACGAAACCAGAGCGGGTCATTGAGGAAGAAGATTTGGATGATCTTCCAGAATGCGTAAGGGCAAAGATGGGCTTGTAATGTGGTTGAGGGTTATATAAGGCTGTGTCATCAGTCTCAAGTATAGTCTTTGGTAATCGCACAAGACGGTATTGCAAAATAGTAGTGCTCAGATGGTAGCATGAACACTACAGCAAGATAGCTTGTTTGTAATTTGTGATGCCCTCATGTGATTCCAGGTGCACCTCATCATGGTCCGACGCCAATGCCACTACGTGACAACCTACAGCCTTGTCTGATACACTGAGGTGGTTTAGCGCAGTCATCATAGACCTTAGAAGCCCCATCTGTAAGAGGTAAGTTTGGATCTTTGTGCAAGCGTTGATATTGACCATTAAGAATGGAAATTGCCGGTACACCATCATAGTGAATTTAAATGAGGCGGGTTATAGAGAAAAGGGATGCGAAAACACCGTAGAACCATCGTCGCCTAACCCATGATCCAATCACCTCTTCTCCATTCCTTTCATACCTCCCTCCTCTCTCCAAGCCTTCAACTCCTTCCCCCAAGCAACGATCCCCTTTGGAAAAGCACCCCACCTTAGTGGAATCTCTTCTGGTTTTCCCTCCGCGTTGTAATACCCCGGTGGACACTGTTTGTGGAAGTCAAACCGCAGTTCTGCTCCCTGCTCGATCTGTTTCGACCACTCTTCCTCTGCCTCAGCCGTTGGCTCAATTACCTGCGCAGAACCCTCATCTAAAACGCTTTTGATAACTTCTGCAATATGTTGCGCGGCGATGTGTATGGTATGAGTCTGATTAGCCGTGACACCTGCTTGCGCAGGACCTATGTTGAAATAGTTTGGGAACTCGCGGGTGTGTATACCAAAGAGAGTTGAAGGGCCAGGTGGAGAGTTACTGGCAAACTTCTCGTCTAGGGTGCGGCCTTTGCGGCCGATGAGCGTAATGCCAGTACGACGCTCGAAGTTAGCTCCAACTTCAAATTCGAAGCCGGTGGAGTAGATGAGAAGGTCGACGGGATAGGACTTGCCGGATGCAACTACGCTGGTGGCAGTGAGGTGAGATACGCCTTGCCCGTCAGTGTCGATGAGCTCAACATTGGGGAGATTGAAAGCGGGATAGAAGGTGTCGTGGAACGCGGGCCGCTTGCACATGAAAGCGTACCTATTGTGGTGGTCAAGTGATTAGATATGGCTGGTGCAATGGGAGAAATTGGCTTACCATGGCTTTAGTTTCTGCGCGGTTTCCGGGTCGTGGACGGTTTCATCGATCATGCGTCGGAGCTTCTCCATCAATTTAAAATCGGCTGCCTTGAACAATTCCGGCATCTTTTCGGGACTAACTTCGACTCCTGCTGCCTCTGCATCATGCGTGATCTGCCTTACTGTGAGTGGTTCTAGGCCTTCGAGAGCTGTACATTCTCTGTCGATATTTTCACCTTGCATGAGGTTGGCGAAGAGATTCATCGCATCCTCCTGCCATCCAGGTGGGTAAACCTTGTCGGGATCGTTCTTCCAATTTTCGCGTGGAGTCACAGTTGACGGGGTTCTCTGGAAGACGTAAAGCTTTTTTGCGTCTTGTGATATGCGAGGCACCAATTGAACACCGCTTGCTCCAGTGCCAATGATACCAACTGTTTTGTCCTTCAGGTTGACCAAAGGGCTGTTCGCATCGCCGCCTGTGACCCTGTAATCAAATCGGCCTGAATGAAAGTGATCGCGCTGAAAGGCCTCGATCCCTGATATAGCCGGTAGCTTGGGCTTGTGTAGAGTACCAGTGGCCATGACCACAAACTGCGCGATGAAACAATCAGATCGATTGGTACGAACACGCCACCGGAGGATGGATTCGTCCCATTCCATCGAGGTAATTTCAGTTTGAAGACAGGACTTCGGACTCAGGTCCCATTTCTTGACTATACGCTCAACATGCTCTCGTATCTCCGGTCCGTACGAGAATCTATCCTTTGGCACATATCCGGTCTCTTCCAAGAAGGGAAGATAGATTAACGACTCTACATCACATGTTACACCTGCATTAGTTAGAGCGTGTTACTTGGACAGCAAACATTGGATATTCTTACCTGGATATTGGTTCCAGAACCAGGTACCACCAAAATTTGATCCTCTTTCGACAATCACAAAGTCGTTTATGCCTTGTTTTAGCAGATTAACAGCTGCTACCAAACCCCCGAAGCCTCCACCGACAATCAAAACTTTTTTTTCTGTGTGAATTGGATCGCGTATCAAAGGCGAGGCCCATATGTCCTCTTTGAAAGCGGCGAGTTCGCCTTCTGTTTCCCTGAACTGCCTCACACCATCGGGGCGTAAGCGTTTTTCCCTCTCTTCTTTGTATTTGGCTGCGATCGGGTCTCGCCCTGTAACCGACACATCTTCTTCTAGCGGATGGATTCCAGGCGTTGGAGGTGGGTAAGACGGTATGGCCTCATAAGGTTTCGAAGCCGGTGAAGACTTTACGACCTGGACATCCGCCATTGTACGGTGGGCGTTATCCTAGCGGTGAAGAACGGTTTTTTTTGGCCAAGTTTGATTTCAAATTCGATCGCCTCTGGAATATCATTGTAGGCTAAGCAAGTGCTCAACTGCATACTGCAGCTGAGCTTCACCGACTGGTCACCGAGGGAAGGCTGACTCGGGGACTCGTCGGCAGTTCTTACACGCGATGTTCGGAGATCTATTATGCGCAGTCAGGATATGCTTCGCTGTCTCCATAGGACACCCGCCGTTGCAACCTTGAGAAGCAGCCTCACATGTTGTGGAGTTCTGCATTCAGCGATGACACAGCTGTACCGACTGAAATGTTCGGACTACATACTTTGCATAGCTAGGTGACCGGTGCCGAAAACTCGGCGGTTTGATTCGGCGAAGAGTGGACCAATCGGATCGCTTTGACTGGTCCACCTAATCGGAGTGGGGCAACGATGAGGCCCCGAACAAGAACTCAATGAGGAATGGGAATAAAGTCGAATTGCGTACAATCTCGGACGATTGCAATGGCAAAACGACTCATTGTAAGATTCCCGTTCTTAGTTGACGACAAACCACATTTCAACAATGCACAAATTTTTTAAAAACACATGGCTCGACTTTGAGGTCATTCGCATCCTGGGTACAGCTTCAAATGGAGGAGCAGAGCTTTGCGAGGTCCTTGAGGCTGTTGCATCCATCAAGGAGGGCGATGCGCAGTCCTGGCATGATGCGTGGAAGAATCAGGCCGACAGGGCAGAGGCGACTGCCTACCGGTGTCTCAAAGACGGAAATCGCGAACTGGCCAGACGAGCCTTCTTACGTGCTTCGAACTATACACGGGCGAGCCAGTACATGTTTATCGGCGCGACGCCATCGCAGCAGGACCCTCGCTGTCTGCCGATTGCTGAAAAGGGCATTGAACTGTTCAGGAAGGGCGTTGAGCTGTGTGATGGAGGCGTGAGGTTCTTGGACATTCCATACCCTGGTGGCATCTTCTTGAAGGGATACCTCTATCTGCCACACCCTTCCAAACGAATCACCGGTAAAACGCCAGTATTGATTAATTGTGGCGGTGCAGACTCTATCCAGGAGGAGTTGTACTTCTTGAACCCGTCAGCCGCCCCCGATCTAGGCTATGCATGCCTCACTTTTGACGGGCCTGGCCAAGGAGTGGCGCTGCGTAGGGACGGTCTTACCCTTCGACCAGATTGGGAACACGTAATTCGTCATGTACTGGACTACGTAATAGCCTTCTCCAAAAAGAACACCGACCTCAACCTCGACCTTGATAGAATCGCGATTTCTGGATCTGCTCTTGGAGGCTATTTTGCTCTACGCGGTGCGACGGATTCGCGCATCAAAGCTTGTGTAGCCATGGACCCGTTGTACGATATGTGGGATTTCGGCACTCAGCATGTGTCGCCTGCTTTCATCAACGCATGGATGAGCGGTTGGCTGTCGAAATTTGTTGTTGACAGTATCATCAACGTGGGGGCAAGCCTTAACTTTCAGCTCAAGTGGGAGATTTCTGTCTCAGGTGCTTTTTGGAAGCTGGATCACCCAACAGATATCCTTTTGGAGATGAAGAAATACACGTTCCGTCAGCATGGTGGCAAGAACTATCTAGATGGTGTGTCCTGTCCGACGTTAATATCAGGCGCCGCCAACTCATTGTACCTGAACGTAGACAGTCATACCATGATGGTATGGCAGCACTTGAACAGTGTATCCGAACAGGAGAAAGAGCTCTGGATGGCGAACACACCAGCAGATGGTGCATTGCAGGCCAAAATTGGAGCATTTGGGTTGAGTAACGAATACACTTTCCGTTTCCTAGACGAGAAGCTGGGAGTGAAGAGAGGAGGATTGAACCCGACTGAGAAGAACATGTGAGCTGAGCTAGGCCTACCGAACTTACAAATCTCTTTCTTTCAATTACGCGAAGTTGATAGAGAACGTAGCTGCAAGTGGCACGGCGATATGAGACTATCTTGGAAAGTCTGAAATGATCTGAACTAGCATAAATAAAATTTCGTTTCACACCGCAAACTAGACCGTTATTTGTTTGTTTGTCTACATGTGCCATCTTGGCCATTGTCTTGCCGAACAAATTTTCGACAGTGAGCGTCTGCAGGTCACAACAGGATCCAATTCAGGGCTTGGCTATGCTTGAGAACTAGAATGATAACAACGCTACTATTCTTGCAATACCTCTTACCTCTAGAGTGGATTGGTCCACCCGGGCAGTCCATTCCAGCCCGCTTCAAAGTCTTCAATAGCCTTTATGAAAGCTCGACGTTCCTTTTTCGTAGCTAATACCGCCGTCGAATCACCCGCGACATCCTTCCACTTGTCCTTCTCAGCCTGTGTGACATACACAGCTTTCATCACGGGAAGCCAGTCATTAATGAGCTTATTGGTTTTGGCCTGCATGGATGTGTATCTGGCCTTCATGAAACTGTGCCACGCAGTCTTGAGATTCTGCTTCGTCCATGGCCGGTATCCAGGTTTAGGATTGTTGGCCAGCAGGGTTGTGTCAAGGGCGTCGAGCACATCGCCGATCCGATCCGTCTGAGTTTTCATAGTTGTCCTAATCGTCTGGTGGTTCTGGTAGATGCGAGAGCCCAGTGTGGCACGCATCTTGTGGAAAGCTTCCTTGGCCTTAGCGTAGTCAGGAATGTCCTTGGTCCATGATTTAGTTCTCCACGGGTCTCCCATCCTCCAGGGACTCGTCTTGGAAGGCGTGTTAATGGCGGACTCGAGGGCAACAAACTCGCTTCTTTTGAACGTCTTTGTCGGGAACTGCGCCGCGACGTGCATAATGGGGTTCCAAGGCGTGCCAACGCCGCCGTGCGTGTCCTTTCCGGGCCACACGAAGGCGGGCACGTCCCATAACAAGTCGACATATTCACAGAAGCCAATTTGTGATCCCGCGGGCGCAGTTAGGTCTGGGTCCGGCACGCTAGCTTTGGTAGTCCTGAGGTGTTCAAAGAACAGGTCAATCATCTGGGCCTCGAGAACGTGCTCCGTGTGGTATTGAACGTTGGGGGCGCGTGCCTGCAGAGGGCTGCCAAAAAGAAAGTTGCCGCAGTCCTCAGGATCTACCCAGCCCCAATCCTGGCCGTTCAGCTGTCCGCCCGGGGGAAAGTCGTCCGAGATGTCGCAAGTTCGGGCACAGGCTTTGACCAGCTTACCCGAGTCTCTCTTTTCAAGCATATCCAGTACCTCGGCTTGCAAGTGGCTGCTATGGCTATGCCTTCGCTGCTGATGAGCATGGAAATGAGCGGCGATGGCGTTTTCATCAATAGTAGACGTCGGCGTCAGCTCCTCCCTCTTGCGCTTGGCTGCATCACTCCAGACACCTCCCTCGTTGCTCTTTGCTAGGGCATTGTATGCTTCCTGGCACGTGCTGCTTCCTTCACTATCTTGAGCAGGGCAGAAGAATTCGCCGACGGGGAGACTGAAAGCTGGACCGTAGACAGCACCTCTCTTAGCCAGGACTGACATGTGTCCGCCGGAAGTAAGCTCTGTATGCAGGCTGGTATCGGAGCTGTGTATGGGGCTGGTCTCGGCGGCTCCAAACCTAGACCTGTTCCTGGTCACGTCTTTGTCTTCAGCGCGACCCTCGTCGAGCAGATAGTCAAGACCTCGGCGCCTTCTTCTGGAAGGTATCGGACCTAGGTCGGGACAGGTGCCGCCCTCGATGATGGTCTTTGTCCACTTGTCCGTCAGGTCAACCTCACCGCCAGCCCAGCCAAACATCTTGGGCGCTGTTGCTCTCGCGTACAAACGAGCGCCGACATCGAGACCGTATGTAAAGGGGCACGTTCCTGTAGTCGATATGCCGGCTGCGAACTTGGTCGTAAGGCTGACCTCGCCCACGACTGCGGCGGCGGCCGGATCAACCTCCCACTTGTCGACGAAGCGAACGCCAAACTCGGCAGCGGCCGACAGCTTGAAGGTGATATCTCCCGAGGCTGTCACGCCTGCGTAGAATTCGGGCTTCTGGATACCTGAGAAGTCACCCGTCCGATCGAGACTTGGCTTGCTGTTGTCGATGAGCTCGGGCTTGTAAGAATTGGTGTCGGGCATAACTTGGCGAACTTCCCACTTGGCAATTTCAAGCTTGGTCTCGATCAAGCCTGCCATGCCGAGGGAGGCATCGATACTACCCTCAACAGTGAGCTGGGGCCCTATCGTGGCAATTCCTGGAATCTTGAATGAGGCACCGGGGAAAGGCAGGTTGAGAATGACCTTCTTCTTCTCGTATGTTACGCGGGCAAGGGCCTCAAGGGTAACAACGCCAGTGACCTTGCCCTTGTTGTAGAATGTCAGGTAACTCTGGTCGAGGTTGAGGGGCAGGGTAAGACTTTCGACAATGAGGGTAAAACCGAAGCTGGACTCGACCTCGATGTCAAGAACGGCCTGGCCAAGGAGGTGGCCGTCGTAGTTGACGCCCTCTACCGACCCTGGACAGTCCCACGTCTCGTCAAACAACTTTGCCGTGACACTGTCGTCGTACTTGTGCGTGAAATCGCGCTTAATCTCGGGTTTCACGAGAGCCGCCAGCCACTCAAGGATGCTCTTACCGAACCACCGCTCGTGCAGGTCCCGCGAAGCAATCTGATCGAAGTGAAAGTCGTCGCGGAACTCTTCCTCAAGCCAGCGCACGGGGTTACCACCAACATCTTGGAGTGTGCGCTTGGCGAACCTTTTGCGACCATGAACGTCTCGCTTCCGACTGACGGAACCTGCGACGATGTTCTTCCAGTAGTCGTCTTGATTGCTGTAGTCTATGCGCATCTGGGTGTTGCCAAGGTCGCGCGGCACGCGGTGGAAATCGTAGTCAAAAGTCAAGTCGTATACAACAGGCTGGAGACTGGCAAGATGTGACAGCTGACGGGGCAGGAGCTTGGTATGGTCACTGCCAGGGGCCGGTACCATGGACTTGGCTACGGCATACTTGCCTGGACCACAGCCCTTGGGCATCTGGAGAATCGTTCCTGGGACGCCATGGCCGAGTCCAATCTTGTGGCAGTTGCTGTCAGGGGTGTGGTCATTGCAGACGATGCGGACTGTCTGCTCGCCCTCAGAGACCGAGTCATTACAATCGAAGACGTCCCAATGAGACCCGTCGCGCTTGTCGAGAGAAATTTGGAGCGCCTCGGGCGAGACGAGGACCACAAACTGGAATGCAGCATCGTTGGGATCATCGTCGCCGCCATCTGACGTCTTATCCGTCTCTAGGGTGAAGTCCGTATCAGAACCGCCCTCAGGGGGGTGCTCAAACAGGTTCTTGAGATCCACGGGCAGGAAAAGAGGCTCGCCGTCCGACTCGCAGCAGAAGGTACGGACACGGGACAGGTGAATTCCGCAAGTTTCACTACCACCAAAGTACGAGTCGGTAATTTGTACCGTCTTCATATCCGGGCAGTGGCCGTCGAAGCAGTTTCCGGGCTTGCCATACCAGGCGCAGTTCTTCCACTTTGCAATCTCTTTTTCAGGGCAGCAATATAGCTTCTGGGTGTCGATATCCAACTCATCGAGGACCTCAAGCAAAACCAGACCCGTAAGGGCTGCGAGCGGGTGTGCGCGACCGAGAACCCTCAAGATAACTTTAGCTATGTCGTCTAGGATGTCGAGTACAGTCCCGGAGAAGGTGAGGGGCAGCTCGCCGCTGTGGCACGATTCGCCAACGCCGCGCCACTTGCAGATGTTCTTCTCGCCTAGGGAACTCTCGCAGCAGTGCGCCATTTGGCCATCCCAGCAGTCGTGACCGCCGCCGTACTTGCTCATGTGCGTCATGACCTCGTCGTCCTTGCAGTAGCCGTTGCAGAACTTAGTTTCGCCTCCACGCCATGTGCACGACTTTGGGTCAGGGGCACCTGACAAGGGACAGCAGAGAGTGCTCTTCTGGTTCTTGCCGCACTTCTGATCAGTGATCTTGATCTCGCCCGCCGGACAGTCTTCAACGCCGCAGCTCGTAATGTAGCACATCTCGTTAGTGCCCGTCCAATTCTCGTCACCCTTGTCGATCGACCTGAAGTCGCCCAAGGGCTTGGGGTCCAGAACAGCAGAAAGGGCTGACATCTCGGCGTCGTCCTGGTCGATGGCCCAGATCAGAAAGCCTCCGAGGCCGAGCTTGGCTGCGAGGTCCTTTTTCTGCTTGAATGTCTCCTTGTCGTCAAATGACACCCACTGGTCAGTGTTCCAGGTAATGTACTTGACACCAGCCTCCTTGTCGTGGACGGGCTTGATCTTGTTGACTTTGATAACTTCCATGATTTCGCGGTAGCTTAGGATGCCAGACTCACCACTGCACGCACCTTTTGTGGCGCCTCCCTTGAAGAGACAACCAGGTTTATTACAAGATGGATCAGCCAGCTGGAACGCACGACCATAGAAACCGAGACCCATGTTCAATTTTTTGGCCGGGACGTTGTTTCTCCAGAAGAGGTCGAACGCGAGACTCATCTCTGTCAAGTTGGTATGGCCGTAGATGTGAGATCCAATCGGGTTCAAAGCATCCCAGACGCCGTGAAGACTATTCAGGTGGTTAGCCGAGGTGCATAAAAGGTGGTATCAGGGCCTCTATAAGAGACAATGAAAAAAATGAGCAGAAATCACTTACTCATACGACATGACATTGACAAAGTCGGTATACTCGATCGACTTGAGGTCAAAATGGCGCAAATACCAGAAGCTCGTCGGCGCTGTGTAGGATACAATATACTTGACAGGCTGCTTATTGTTCTCCTCGTCAAGCTCCTTGAGGAATTGGGTAAAGTTCTCGCCGTCCTCGGGGACACCACCGCGATCGTCTGCACCAGGATACTCCCAGTCAAAGTCGACACCGTCAAAGGCGTACATGCGAAGGAACGACATGAGGTTGCCGATGAACTTGGATCGGTTTGCTTTGGTGCTGACCATGTCGCTGAACACTTTCTGCAATGGACCCGGATCATTGTGTGTCCATCCACCGATGGCGATAACCATCTTGAGGGCAGGATTTTTCTTTTTCAGGTTCGTAAAGTCGGTAAACAATCTATCTGGAAGGTTATCCATGCCGACGATTTGCAAGTCCGGCATGATAAAGGCAAAAGAAAAATACAGATGAGTCAGGGAGTTAACGGGGATGTCGTTCAAGCCCTATCTCACAGTCAGTGGAATGCATACAGAGGGAAAAGTAAACCCACCATATCCTGACATTTGGAGTCGTGTCTCCATGCCTCGTAGTATCCAATGACACGGTTGAGCTGGTCGGAGGCCTTGTCCTTGGGGCCTGGCTGATCGCAGTTAGACTGACATCCGCCAGTGGCTCCATGGTCCTCCTTGTCGCAAAAGTCTCTGTTTAGCACAACCGTCAGGACTGTTCTAATTTGCAGACATCTTCATACTTCGGATCTGTACTTACTCTGTCATTCCACAAAATCCCCACTTGCCACAGCAGACGTTCAAAGGACACTTCTGGCCGGGGACAGCCGCGTTCTTGCCGCACTCTGCCTTGGCATCGCAGTTGGACCAGCACACTTCGTTGGGAGAGATTCCAGATGTGCCACAGGCTCTACAATAGAAAGAAGGGAAAACGTTAGCCTTGTCCAGCAATAAGTACAAAAAACGTCATGTTAGACAAGCCATGCGACTTGCCAAAAAGGGATAAGGAACTCACTCCTCGCCGTAGTTGCACTGGCCAGTCTTTTTGGGACAGCAGGCCTTGTTCTTGCAAGGGCGGTCGGGACCGCAGCTATAATCGCCGCCATCGACTACCTGTCTTCCAAAGAGAAAGGACAACTCGGTGTGCCCTACCAGGGATACGCCAGTGTCCAGTGACGCAGGGACGATTTCGCGTCCGTCAGCATCAACGACACCATTGTCGCGAGCAGTAACAATACCGGAGCTGTCAGCACTGCAGACTGGCAGCTCATGATCAGGACGGTTCTTAGCGGAGTAGTCAAAGGGTCTGCATTGATTCCATGGCGGGTTAGCAAAATGGACTTCGCTAATTCAAGTTATGGGTCATGGGTGGGGGAAGTTGACATACGAGACAAGGGCGCGGCATTCTCCAGGCGTTTCCGGGACTGCAACTACGCTGGGACTACCAGGTCTTGCTGTGATGACTCCTCCAAGAGACGGGGTAATGAACGTAGATAAGAGCACAAAGCTCCACGAAAGCTGGGACCATGGTCCCATGTTTTCGTTTAGGCCTCAGTCACAAGGAGCTCTATCCAACAATAAAAGAATGTTGATCAAAAGAGTGTGGTCCCTAATATGAGACGGAAAGGGTGTTTGGACAGTAGAAAGGGAAAGGGGAAAAAGAGCGTCTGCAAAGGCAAAGAACAAAGCCAGCTAGGCCATGTACCTTTAAAGAGAGGAGAATATCAATGTTCTCTGACAAAAGAGCTTGGATAGTGTTCTGGAGCCACTCAGTCCTAACCCCAGTCGCAACGCCCATCCCGAATCCCCTGCGTTCTCAGGCGGCCAGGATGGGGGCGAGGCGGCGAGGCTTCGGCTGTACTGCACTCGACTGCCTGACAGGGCTAATAGCGGGGCTGATGTCGATTGCAAAATGTCATTGTCCCATTTTCCGTCCGGCCTTCCAAACGTGACGGCGCATTGTTGCCTTTTTGGTAAAGTGGGTCCCATCCAAGTAAGATTATATGTACTATGGTGCTTACATACTAGTGGCGAACTGTCAAGCCAAGACGCGGGCCGCTTAAATTACCCCTGCATGAGCCGTGCATCGTCCCTGCATGGAAGAGCCGCTGTCTTGGCGCGAGATCAAACGTTCCGCCGCGCTCGGAGAGTAGACCTAGGTCAGCAGTTCGCGGCCCTTATCTCCCACGATATGCCAAGCTGTTGCTAACGAGATTCCGCATCAGGCATGAGTTTGAAGAGATATTCTCCACACCTTCTCCCGCGCGACACAAGATTATACAGCTATATAGCAAAAAATGTTCTGCACGACGTTTTGTTTGGATTTTCACAACTGCACAATAGTTGCAAGCAGACCATAGTCAGAGAAAGGCAAATTTACCATATGACGGGAGTTTCTTTGGGCGTACCAGGGTTAAAAGTAGAGCCGGACCTAGCGTCTGGGCTGTCAGCTTATAGTGCTTGAAACCTGATTCTACTTTATTAGCTCCTAGGATGTACTTGGAGGCCTAAACTAATGATCTATGGCATGTTGGAAGCCGCCTCATGTCCCGAGGTCGCCCTTTTTCTTGCATCGGCGGTTGATCCCGTCTCGTATCGGATGGGACGATCACAAGTAGGATCGGCTGCAGGTCTCTGGGCCAAATTTCCCATTGGATCTAGGCATCTGTACGGCACCTCCGTTGCTCTAGAGTCATTGACAATGTCTCATTGACTAGCTTATTACTCTCGCGGTCACCTTTCACTCTTTTGTGTCAAGGAGACAAAACAATTCTTTCCCCTGTTTGAATGTCTAATCTCATCCACTCACTGTTCATTCTTTTACATCTTGGTGAGTGAGACAGGAGAATTCGAACCATCGAATCATGAAAGCCTCATGGCGTTGTGCCCTTGGGCTTGGAGCTCTTCTGAGCCTAAACCTCAGCCCTGTTTACGCTGTCAAAATGCTCTACGATGACAGTCTACCCGAAGATCTCGACACAGCATGTTCTACGGCCCTCATGGCTGACATCGCTTGCGATCGTCTGGTGCCGGCCCTCCGCCATGACTTCTACTACCCTCCTGCCACATTAACTCGCATGTGCACTGCTGGCTGCGCCTCCGCACTCCAGTCGTGGGAGAGCTCGGTCCGGTCTGCCTGTGGCAAAGACATCGTCATTCCTGGCGAGGGTGACGTCGAAACATCGCCTATTATGATCCCAGCCAGCCGCCGGTACATCTACAGTTTCACTTGTCTCCAGGAGAACAGTGTCTACTGCGGTCCCGTTGCGGCATTGGCATCTTTCTTCACCAATCCTGGAGGTGAGTTTCTCTCTCCACAAACCAGGAGCTCCGACTTGACGTGATTGCCAAATTGAGACTTGCTGGCACCTTTTGCTGACTACGTTCAGTTTCCGCCTTCAACTATATCAATGAACTTCCCGATGGCGCCGTCAAGCCTGCTGATTGCGACCCATGTCTTGCAGCCAGACTGCGCCTGCGTTCTGGGTCGCCCTACTTCGACGACCCCGTCGTGGCCAGCGAATCCATCTACCAAACGCTGACATCCAGCTGTGGCATCACGGGTAAGCCTGCTACCACATCTACCATCGACTATTTCACCAGCCAGCCAGAGGCCACCGAATCGGTCTGCGATGGCACCATGTACCAAATCCAGGGCGGGGATGATTGCTACAGTATCTCCGAGGCACAGAGTGTCGGCACAGCTTGGATGCTATCCGACAACCACCTCAGTGCCTACTGTTATGAGTTCCCAACTTCAGGCAGCCTCTGCATCACCAACACGTGCAAAACTGTCACAGTGGCAGTCAACACGACGTGCAACGCCATCGCTACGGCTGCGGAAATCACAGAGCCACAGCTGCTGGCCTGGAATCCTGTCATCAATCCAGTCTGCTCCAACCTCGACATGATGAACGGCACCACGCTTTGCATCGAACCGCCCGGGCCCAAGCTGCCACCTGCCCAGACGACGAATGTTCCTCCAGTGACACCTACCAGTGCTGCTTCAGTCCCCGCCAATACTGCCATTGGATCTAATAAGCCATGCGGCCGCTGGTACGAGGTTGAGGCTGGTGACTACTGCAATCTGGTGACGCTCAAGTTTGCTATTTCTCTCGACGACTTCATGTTCCTCAACACAGGCATCAACACCAACTGCACCAACCTCTTTGCCCAGGAGAGCTACTGCATTCAAGCGGTCGGTGACATCAACAGTTATCCCGGCCGTCCTGGACACGCCACCATCACGATTGACCCAAATGAGTCCTTCACAGGCGTCCCCTTCACCATGCTGCCCAATGCCACCATAACCCTGGATCCGAGACCGACCAAGCTTCCGCTAGCTACCGGTGTCCGCGACGATTGTACCTTCTACTTTAAGGGCGATGAGTACCAGTACTCGCCTGATGTATTTGGCTATTGGAACAGCAACTGCGAGATTGCAGCGTCCGCGTACAACGTCGACTACGACAGCTTCATGGCTTGGAATTCGCTCACGGTTAACGTGACGGACCCGGCGTGCGTGTTCCAGACTGGCCTAAGGTACTGCGGCTCCTGGGGTCTATCGCCCACCCAAACAACGACCGAGGAGCCCCAGCCCACCGAAACCGGGACCGAAACCGGACCGCAGCCGCCAGCAGCTACGCACGACGGCCAGCCAGCAGACTGTGACGGCTGGCACGTTGTATCCGCCAGCGACTCATGTCAGTCTGTTGCTGACGACGCCGGCATCTCGCTCGCGACGTTCCTCGAGTGGAACCCTGCCGTCAGTGACGACTGCACCGTAAACTTTTGGCTGGACCAGGCGTACTGCACACACCGGGAGGGGCAGGGCATCAGCACCACGGCCTCGCAGTCTGCCTCGACCACAGCCTCGACAACAGCCAAACCTACAGCCCCAGCTCCCACGCACACCGGCCAACCTGCCGACTGCAACAAGTGGGATGTTGTGGTTGAAGGTGATAGCTGTGGTTCGCTAGCCAGCGACAACGGCATCTCGACCGATCAGTTCTATGCTTGGAACCCTGCTGTGTCTAAGGACTGCATCACCAACTTCTGGCTGGGGCAGGCTTACTGCGTCGGCCGATCCAGCGTGGGGAGTGCCTCCACCACGACGTCATCGAAGCCAGCAACCACGGCGTCCGCGACAACAAAGCCCACCGCACCAGCCCCAACACACACCGGCCAACCCGCCGACTGCAACAAGTGGGACGTCGTGACAGACGGCGATAGCTGCGGCTCACTCGCGAGCGACAACGGTATCACCGTCGACCAATTCTACGCCTGGAACCCTGCTGTATCCAAGGACTGCATCACCAATTTCTGGCTGGGACAGGCCTACTGCGTCGGCCGGTCCAGCGTCGGGAGTTCGCCTCCCGTCTCGTCTACAAAACCAACGACGTCGTCGAGTCCCGCGACCACGAAACCCACCCCGCCAGCGCCCACACACACTGGACAGCCCGCTAATTGCAATAAATGGGACGTTGTGCAGACGGGCGATGGGTGCTGGTCCATGGCGAACGATAATGGAATCACGCTCGAACAGTTTTATGCCTGGAATCCTGCTGTCTCGAATGAGTGTGTGACAAATTTCTGGCTGGGGCAGGCGTACTGTGTTGGCGTTTCTGGTTGAAACCGAACGCTTGAGTCTGTAGTTTGTGGCGGTTGTCGGTTGAAGAGAGGAGGGGGATGTAAGCTGGGGGTGGAATACCATCATATTGTTGAAAGAATGTACGTCTTATTATGAGTGTTTTCCAGAAAAGGTTAAAGAAAAAGTGTGCGAGCGCGTTGAAGACTAGTTGTCGCTCGGGTACTGCTAGTGCTTTCGAAAGCGACCACTGCACTAGTCTTTTTCTAGTAAACGTTCCAAAAAAAAACCCCCCGAGAAGACCGAGGCCCCTTTGTTCAGCAATGTCGTCAAGTTCAAATCTGCGGGGAGTGTTCCTTGCTGCAAACTGATGTAGTGTGCGGCGCAACGTTCACTTGTATTTCTCTCGTGCCCCTTCTGACTTCTGACCAATACTGTTCGTCCAGTGTGTCTAATGGAACGACCGTATGCTGAGTTTATTAGCATGTTTCTTCGGTAGTAACAAGTACTTCCTTCCATCCTCTCCGCTGCTATGGTCACCTGCGTGTTCAACCGCCTCGTTTTGAAAAGCATCAGACCACGTATTGGCAACACGGCTGTACGTCCAACTATATAGGGCTAGACATGCTCTTTCCTAGCAAATCACGTCCGAACTCTTCTCTGTACTTCTTCCATTCGAAGTCAAGCCACTCCTGCCGTCCTAGGCTCTCGAATAGACCCATGACCTCCTCACTAGGTCTCCAATCGCCAACCAGCCACTGCACCACCGGTGGTGTTGGGGCAGCAGCTGCAGCATCAGACTTCTGCCTCTTACTACCACGCCCAGCAATGAACTTGACGCCCCATCTGTGGCCCTTTTTCATCGGCAGATCATATCCCTTTGCTTTAATGTCGTCTGACGGGGCCCACCACAGGTGCGTAAAAAGCTCGGCGTCCTCGAGGCTCGGCATGTTGTCGCGAGACAGAGACTGCGCAAACGCCGCTAGTAGGGGCTCGATGCGCTCTCTGCAGGGCTCGACGCGGAACATGTTTAGATCGAAATCGTAGTCCTCAGGCGGGTTGTCGGCGTCCTCGTCGTGCAGCTCCTCGTCCTCGTCCGTGTCGGTTTCGCGGGGGTAGTGTTTTGTGTCTGAGATCGTGTATCCGCCTTGTTCGGAGTCGTGCGGATCTTCGCCGCCGGGGCCGACAAAGTACCATCGCCCGTCTGGACGGAGGGAATGGAACTCGAGCCGGAAGCGCCGCATCTGAGACCACTGCTCGTCGTCTGGCGCCTCGGGACTGGGGAATAGGTCGGGAGTGACAACAGCACGCACGTCGAACAGGCTCAGTTGCGCACCAAGCTTGCATAGACCGACAGACACCGGGTCCTTGTCCGCGGGGTGTATCAGGTTCGGTCGGGCCACGGACTGGTCATGCCTGGGGAAGTTGAAGAATGGCCAGAAGTGCAGTGCAGCCCTGGTCAGACTAGCGGGGATCCGTTTGCCGCAAAGGTGCTTCTCTTGGTCAATGATGGCAGCGCCGAATTCGTGACGGGCGTCTCGCAGAGGGCCTTCAAACGGCCGGGCGTAGTGCTCGCGCATCACTCTACTTGGCATGTTGGATGGCATAGGCCGCTCCCACAACCAAGGAGCACGCCACTCTTGCACAGCTGGCAGATGGACAAGGCACTGCAGCGGCACAAGGGGAGACAGAGGGCGTATGTCTATCGTAGTTTCTGTATCGGAGCCGGGCCTCGACCGGATGGTCAGGCTGCTCACAAATGGCAAATCTGGAAGTGTCTCGGGGTTGTGCAGCTGGAGGCGGCGCGAGTGAAACCTCCGATGGCTGCAGTCCAAATCCTCTATGTTGAGTTTCTGCGGCTCAATTTGGAGCTCGATGTCGAAACGGGCTGGCAGATCCTCGGCCTTGCCAAAGGTGGCAGCCAACTGTTCGTACCAGGCACGGATGCGCGTCGACATGTGGGCGCTGACGGCGACGGTCTCCTCGGCTGGTTCATGGCACGGCAGTTCCTCCTCCGTCTCTTCGTTGGCCACAAGGAGGGGCAGCGGCAGCCAGTACTGGGAGATTTCGAACTTTGCGTCTAACGCTGCCTTGGCACTCTCCAGGAGCTGATTCTCAAAATCTGGGTCAGTCTCACGAAGCGGCATGTTGATTGATACAACGATGACTCGGTATTGGAGATGTTTCTTTGCTTGAGGGAGGATAAAGGATGTGAGAGGGAAGTCTGATGGAGGAGAGCGGGAACGGCGACTACACGGTATATAGCTGTGGGTCCTGCTGAGCTTGCCTGGGTAAGGCGTCGTGTCGATCGTACGCGGGTCGGCGGGTCCGTGCGGGTACCTGAGTACAATATCGCTAGTAGAATCGTGCTAGTACTAGTACCGATCCTATGACATGGGTGCATGGTCTAGGCGTTCCGGGGTATTGATTTAGCGTCGCCCCCACCTTCGCCTCGCCTCCCACGCCTCCTGCCCTCTACAGAATCACTCGCACCTTCGCACCTGCATCACGCATATGAACACATGTGCCACAGCGCGTACTGCCAAACTCCCTTGCCACCACCCCGCCTCTTTTTTCAGCGCCTATATCAGAGAGTGGAAAACGCTCACGCTCAACCTCAGTGGCCCACCGAACCTTACGAGACGCTCAACACGATCAACCGCGCGACGGCGCAACGATAATTCAACTTTGTGCAGAATCGGCTATGCAGCATCGTTCTCGCAGTCGACGCAGCACGCGCCACAACAACTAGAGGCCGCTACGTCTCGCTGAGATTTGGCACTTTGCAGGTCCAGCTTGCCCTGGTTGTGCGTACGGCTCCCAATACCGGACAAGTCTGCATATGGAGGCTAGCTGGACGAGGGCTTTTCGTTGATGGTCCCAGCATTGCTGGGCCATCGAAGAAGAGCGATGAATCAGTGAGGGCCGTCAAGCTGCTGTTAGCCTGGAGTGCCTTCGTTTCAATCGCGTCGTTTGACTGCCTTGTGGACATGATCACTGTTGCGTAGACCGAAGAAACTTCCAGTTGCAACTGACAAATGAGCGATGAACGGTGTCGAGATTGTTGCCGTCTCAGCACACCACTGTGCTGTCCGGCGCCCTCACGCCTCACAGTGCCCAGGCCGAGATCCGCACCGGTACTAGCCACTTGGCATTAGTTCGGCACCCTCGCAGCACCACGTGCACACCCTTCATCTTTCCTACTTCTCAAACTCGGGTTCGCGACTATCGGCCTTCACACAGTCACTGTCGAAAATTCTTTTGCAACATTGGACGGCGTCATGGATACGTTACCACAGGAGCTCATCAACAAAATTGCCCTATATCTAGACCGCTATCCTGATCAGGCACAGGTCCCCGTGATCGAACAGTGCGGAAACCATTCTAAGCTCCCACCGTACGCGACAATTTCCAGTCGATGGAGAGAGGCTGTGGAATTCGTCACGTTTCACCGTCTGTTCATCAAGAGTCATGAGCTAAGTCAGCTCGAGGCTATGGTGACCGGTAGTCGTCCCAGATACCTAACGAAATTGTCCTTCGAAATTACACTCTCAGAGTACTCGGCAGAACGCTGTGGACATGTCGAGTCAGCAGAAGAACAACATTGCAACGATGACGCATTCACCCAAGCTATTGTGAACTTGTTCACCCTTGTAAAGAAATGGGAAGATGCAGGCCCACAACATGGTTTGCGACTAAAACTAAGCGGTGCTTGTTCCCCGACTGATCTTCGTGATCGCAATCAAATCGAACTTGAAATAGCACAGCGCAAGCGGGGGAAAGACATTTTTGAAAAGCGATGGGTGAACTCTTATCTCCATCTCACCAGGCCGGAAATGATACCCACGCTCTCGAGCATCGTATATCTCCACCTTGAAGGCCACATTTCAAGAAAGGTGGCTCCTGTAGTCGGTCCTTGTCTAGCTGCAGTTCTGCCCAACCTGCAAGCTTTCTACTGGGAATTTGGAGAGGTAGACGATAAGTCCATCAACGTGGAAAGCAGGGTCTCCTTCGCAAGGATGTTCGAGCAGACCAAGCTCGACAAATGCTCTGCAGCTGAAATCAACTTCCATTCAGAATACTCATTTGACCACCGAGTGGCTGAACCTTCGCGTGTACCAATAGGCGCACCCTACGATCCGTTCAGCGCATCTCTGCGCACCTTTTCGCAGAACTTGACTTCCCTTGTTCTGGATGGCTTCGTTGACTCGACTCTATTCTGGCCCTCAAGTCTCGAGACAAGCTCCAGGCCCAGTTGGCCGACCCTTAGGAAGCTGACAGTCTTGTTCAACATGGCCACCCCGTCTGGCGAATGGTACTTTGACGGAACACCGGGCGAGATTGTGGAGCAATTTCGCGACCATGAAGATGCAAAGACTTTAGATCCATTCCTCACGGCTTTCGCAAAGGCGGTCCAAATGATGCCGGTCCTCGAACAGTTCCTGCTTCAAACGGAGCTTGGCTACGATATAGGCTACTGGAGCATATCGTACCATGCACCTGGAATCAAAGCTGATGGGGATGAAAACGAAGACGATGCGAAGGTGCGGCGGCTTTATTATTCCGTCGGAGAAGCATGGAGGCCGAATAGCTTCATTGAAGAAGCCTTTCAACGTATCGGGCGTGGTAGGTATGGACCGGAGCTGATAGAAAGGTATCAAGGCCTTAGAAGTTGGTCGCTTGATTCTCCTTGGAGCTGGTTATGAACTACATGTAGAGGGATCGCGCAGTGATTAAGAGTCAAATAAGGTTGGTTCAAATATCCAATTAATTCACTCTTGTACACGACTTTGCTACCGAGATTTGATACCCTGGATCGTGTTTAACGTTTTCATGGCTTTGTCTTTCCTGTCCTTCCTTTCGACTCAATACCCCCAAGAAGCCTCATCTACAGTTCCTTAAGCTTCAGCGTGACAGCCTGCAAGGTCGCATGTTATGATCACCAGCAACGAGGTTCGAGATTGATCGTGTACGTGTGGTGGCCCTAATTATATGAAGGAGAGGCAGGGATTGTGGAGATTGTAGAGGAGGTGCTACCAGAGAGAGAGCTAGAGTATTTAACATCGTTGTGTAAATGCATAGGGTTATCAAAGTAACAGCCTGATGATGTCTGTATGCGCTTCCGCTGCTAGATATATAAGGTGTCTCGAATTATTCTCAGTACCCTTTACGTGCGTATCTGTAGCAAAAAGAACCCTTGCATCTTCTTCCTGTTCATATTCTGCTGCTTAACATAGCAATGTGTTTCCTGCAGAATCTTTCGTATCAGGCCTAACAACAGCTAGATCTGTTTCAAGTAGCTTTCTCAATATGCAGTCACGTCATTTCTCTGCCGCTCAAGAAAGCGGTGTCTGCCCTAACCCTGACTGGTGTCCGCTCTGTCCGTATCGATCTTGTCTGCATGGGTGGCAAGTCAACTACCGCTTCGTATCGGTTCCTGGCCACCTGTACTAGTGGTGTAAGCCCACCAGTGAGACAGCGATTATTGGAACTGTCTTCTGCGTTGACATTGACTTGACCTGTGCCAAGCAGCAGCTTGGCGAATGACTCATGGTCCTCGATACCAATCGCTCAATCTTCCTTCTCGATGCTAATATTATTAGACTCGAGCAATAGGTACCTAGGTAGCTTAGATGCACTCCGGTGGCTGGTTCGTACTGCCCAAAGTAGCGCCATCCTTCCACAACTCCTCAACTTATCAGTCTCTACGACTCGCGTTGGTCGAGCTTACGTAAGGTGACGAAGCAGCATTTCCTGGAGTTCGTGTTCTCGCTCTTCCCTTTCACCAGCGGCAACTTTCCTCTGTACTGCTCACATGAGTTCTGTCAATCTGCTTCCATGTCTCGCTCGATCTTCACCATCGATCTTCGGAAAGAGACTTTATTCAAAGGCTCTATTGCGTTCCTCTAACAGTACTCCTATTCGACCACTTGTCCATCACCAGATATATCCGCAACGGTCATGGTATCGCACGAACACCCCGTCATCGCAAGTCTGCCTGCGCGAAAGCCTCGCACTTCTGCCATTTGACAAATGGGGTTGGGTCATTTATCGCTGTTCCTATGCCGACGACAAGGTCTGGGCCCAATTCCGCACTCGCATTGAGTCCAAATCGCGCAGGGACATCGCAGAGTCAGACGCACCTGAGATTTCCGATTCTCTGGAGTGGAAATGGGTTGAAGATCGAGCCACCTTGGATGGAGCTTCGACCGCTGCGCTGCGGGACCGATTCCGCGCATGGGTTGTGAATGAGGTGGCGCAACAGCCGGCTGACCAAGATTTTGGGGACGTTTCACGGCTCAGGTACTTCATCAAAATTGACGAAGAGGTGATGCAGAGCTTGCCTGGGTTTCTGGAAAAGCGTTGGTCGGCGGAAGCTTTTGTCAAGATTGTGAAGGCTGATTGGGAGCCATTATGCGAAGAGTTTGACCACGAAAAAGATATTTACGAGCCGATTGAAGGCTGTACCGAAAAAGATGTTGGCTGGATGCGTATCGCGCCTGAAATGGTCAATGCCGAGTTTTACTACGCATTGGACGGTTACGAGCCCGCGTGGGACGACATGTTCTACCAACGTCCTCCTCATATCGTTCTCTGGTAGGGATCTGTGGCGAAAATCACTGCGTGAGGATCTTTTGGGTACCCAAAATATTGGTATGAGCGACAATTCATGGGTCACTTTCGCAGAGCGACCACTTGACAGAATACGATTTCGCAGTAGGCTAGGCATGTAGGTGACAGCTATCCTGCTCTTATCACAGAAAAAAGTCTCTGGGCTCAAGTTCAAACCATGCATTGAAGGGAATACAGTACTTTGCAGTATTCATGGCGTCTTGGTCGAAGACGAAGATCTGGCGCAGCTTGGATAACGTTACTCCGGCCTGGCATTTATTCTCTCTCTCTATATATAGCTAGTATCCATCAAGGTAGCACAGTAAGTCTCCTAATGTACTGCTATGTATAGCTGGTCTCTTTCCTTGCAAACAAAGCGGGTCATGGTCTACCTGATGTATAGCGGCCTGCAACGCCGCATCTCTTCTCTTAGTGCCATCTTTGCCCCACAGGTCACGAAGCAGATCTGATCTCTTATGTGCTTCTTGTCTTAGTTCTTCTAACTCCTCTTCGTTTGTAGCGAACAGAGCCTTGAAAGGTTCTGGTGGTACCATCTCCTGGTTCAAAAATCGGTCGTGATCACCGAGGTTGATCCTGTCCTCAACAAGCATATGCGTAGTGAACTGCTCGGGCTGATCAAACCAAGCTGAGCAATCTGGAACTGGACATGTGAGCGGCTCGTGTCTTCCATAGAAATGATGTTTTTCTACAGCCGCGACGAGCATGGTCTTGACTGTCTTCTCCCGCGCAGCAAGCTGTGTGGCTTTATGAATCCAAGACTCATAGGCCCCGATAGGCCCTCGGAATAGCTTAGGCGGCATCACGATTCTGGGTTGATCATAGTTCGGGATTTCTGTCCACCCTTCGTTGTCTTTGAGCTGTCGCCAAGTGCGCTTCTCTCTCCTACTGAAGATTCGATCTTCATATGTGACAAAGGAAAAGTAAACCTCGACGCCCGGGATACACATCCTCGTGATCTTGTTTGAGTCTTCAGCAGGAACCGTCCCAAGCTGTTGAGGAAAGATGAAGGACAGGACTACACGAGATACACGAGGAAAGCGCGTACAAACCCTATGCCAGAAGTGCCAGATGATCTTATCTTGTTCTTTGCCCACACCGGCACCTTTTTCGCCGTCTGTGATATGGATCTCATCTTCGAAATAATTCTCGTCTGAGAAATTGTCTGGTGCATAGCACACAACCTCAAGCTGCTCCACGTAGGGCATAAACTCCATGTCGTGAGTTGTTTCACCTGGGTAGCACCCTTGGATTATCCATTGCGCACTGACGGCGTACCAGGCATCCGGGTCTGACAGAAACAGCTTTTTCGCTTCGCAGCGGATGCTTGAGGAAGTGTGCATGAGTTGAAAGAGCGTCGGACTGTCGCAAAAGGAAAAAAATCGAAGATGCAGCTCTGCTGGCAATCTGGAAAACCGAGGGAACTCGATGATCGGTGGGTTTGGCGACCCTGCCTGCAGCACGTGACGCGAAAAAGGAATACACACCTCCGACCCCTCCGTCCGGGCGTTGTCGGTCATGAGACCAAGGTCGAGCGATTTTTTCCATAAGCCCTTGGCGGTTGCTGGAGGTAGGCCTGCCATGATGAAGGCAGATACTGCACTTTGAGATTTCACGAGCAATAGTTGAAGGTTGTTGAGGAGGGAGGCTGATGAGGTCTGGGCCAAAGCTCAAGGCGGGAGACCTCGAGTGGGTACCTACCTGCAGGTGCACGTGCCTCCCACTTACATAGGTACCTCTATCGGATACCGACGCCACCAACAAACACACAATCACCGCGCACCGAACACCGGCGCTAGACACAGAAGGTACTGGGTTATGGTTTGAAGCATATTTGCCGGTAAGGATTCTATGCGGAGCGGTAGGTGCCGGTTGTTAGCGCTCCAACAAGGGCCTACTGACATGTGAACCCTCTTGAGGCACTGACGGCGCGTCGAAATCTCGACAGAGCATACCCCAAGTACATCGTCTGCTCCCGGCCTAACACTACGAACACCACAGGAAAAAGTGTTAACATGCCACGTCGCTGCAACGTCGTCGCGTCTGCGTGGTGAGGGAGCGTCTACCTCCGTCGAAACTATTACGGCGTGACCAATAGCAAATGCGGACAATAGAGCCCGTTAACACAGTCCGAAGTTCATTGGGCCATATTCGCATTAGCAGCATTTTCCTATGGTTGGCATTGCAAGAGACGGTATATATATTCGTTGTGCGGTTGAGAAGCAGGACATGAACCATTGCATTCACTGAAGTCATCTCTTTATCCTCTCTGTCTGCTGTTTGATACAGACTTCCAATTCTTTCAAAACAACTCCAACAGTCATCGAGGGTTTTCAAGCTCTTACTACCATCAAGATGCGAACAGCCGGTCTGATTGCACTTGGAGCCATGCTCAACTTGATGCACGCATGTGTAGTCTGCAAGACCGACAAACTTCTATCTTTAGGTGCTCACTACAGGTCTAAGGTGACCAAAAGTCTCCAGCATACCTCTGTTTCCGAATGGCCACCAAAGCTATCTACAACAATATAACACTGAAAACTTCGCCACGTATCAATATGGTCAGACTGTCTTCAAAATTACTCAGGTCGATCAATGGTCGCCATTAGTGTCAGTCGTGGTGGTACTTTTTGCAGCCATGATGTATCAATTAAAGGTAAAATTGGCTTCCAGGAATGAGACCCGAGAGGAAATATGAGAAACAGAAATGCATCTGAGGAAACTGAAGGGTCAGTTAGAGAGAAAGAACAGCACGTAAGCGAAGGTGGAACTCCACCAGATTTCACACCTCGTCATCGGCTATCCGGGCACCAGCCACCGACCGCCAAGAGGAAACACGAGAACGGGAGAAACCGGGAACAACAATGAGTCAACCGGCATATAACCCTCAAAAATCCATGTAAAGTAGATTCCACCTTTTCTCAGATCACAAATCACCGGCTGACCCTGTCCGTCAGGCTTGAACGATTGTTCGACCATGCTCAGTCGCTCGTCGTTGGTTGCAGGCGTAATAGCGATTACCGGCTACTATGGGCTTCGGCTCTATTCGTCAACATCCCTATCTTATACAGCCAAGATCAAGACTACAAATCAAGTTCCCAACGGCTTTGCGCAGTCATTCGCAGTGTCCGCCGTAAACCCTCACCGCCACATAACCATCGACGACACACGGTCAACACTCGTCTCGGTTTCGCACAAACTCTCCCATGAGCAAATCTTAGCAAAGTTCCTGGCAGGATTCTTTAATGGTAACGTGTTTGCGCCAGAACGAACGGCGTTGCGACTTGTAAGGCGCCAACTTGTCAACTTCAAGGGTAAGCACATCCGAAAGCCTTTGGCACATGGGGTACTGATAAAGTCGCAGAGTTGGCAGATAAACCTATTTCAACCCAGATGTGGGCAACTGGTGATATTGACGAAGCCCGACTACCCCCCCTTCACTCGATAATCTTCGGCGCTTTCCGAATTGTCGATATCAAGTGTTCGAATTGCTCTGAGAAGTATGTGCAGCACTCAGAAGCAAAGTACAGCTACATTGACATTGCCTTCGGAGGGGATGATAGTTTCATCGCAGGTGTGCACCGCTTCTCAGTGTCGGAATCTGAAGGTTCAGCAAGCATCGAGGGCAAGAGACCTGTTACCATTTCTTTTAACCATATAAGTTGTAATCCCAAGGAGGATAAGCCATTAGGGCCCGACGTTTTGCAGACCCTTCATCTTTGGTATGCGATGTTGCTATTCAGGGAGGGAATTGTGTCTGTTCTAAAGGCAGAGTAAGAGCCTACTGTGCGTATAGCTATAGCAGATTTCATTGGGGTAATAATTATCCAATCCTTCATCTACTTAGCGTTCTGTACAAGGTTATCTTAACTAGTCTTCAATATTCTTGATATAAGCACTCTACTTTTATAAGTGCAAGACGTAGTTGTCATGCTCCTTAAGTGACCTAATTAAGGAGGGAGCTGATTCAAAACATGACAGGTATGAGTCGTGGGTTAGTGCCCATACGTATCATGCATCGCACTTTTTCTCCTGTACAGGCGCAAAGGTATGCCTCTAACCTAGTACCCTCCTTGTATGCACAGTTTTATGCATGGCGTTTTTGAATCTCCTAACGCAAGACCTCATCGACATGACCATTAAAGAAAAAGTGATTAATAACCAAGTCTTAGCTACTAATCTATGAAAAACTAGAATATTAAAGTATAAATTATATTGTATAGTTCTATCAAGCTATCCTTATGTTAGGGCATCCTAAAGTACCTGGCCGAGCACAAGCCACTAAGGCACGTGACAGGAAGTAGTAACCCTGAACTAGGTTATGAAGACTCAATCGAACACATCTGTGACATAGCGCATGTTTCGCAATGAATCAAACCATTCCTGCGCCTTTTGCATGTCCGAGTCGCCTCCGCTTCCTTTCTCTATATCAAGCTTGATCTTGATGATAGCTTCCCTCGCCGAGTCGGCGAGTCCTCTTGACCCGCAAACATATATCTTCGCCCCGTCCTGCCACAGCTTCGCAACAAGCTTTCCGTCATGTACCATCCTGTCTTGCGCATACTTACATCCCTCGCTCTTTGTGGGGTCACGGCTGTACGCTCGCCTGACCTCAACTATGCCTTGACGCTGCCACTCGTCGAGTTCATCACGATATAAATCATCTCGATCAGGTGATCGGCACCCAAAGAAGAGAAGTGCGGGCGCGAGCTTGCGTCCTGATGCGAGAATTGCTGCGCGTTGTTCCAAAAAGCCACGGAATGGTGCGATCCCTGTACCTGCTGCGATGCAAATGATAGGTACTGTTTCTGGTTCCGAGGGCAAGCTGAAGGCGGCATGGGAGGGGCGAACAGCTACTTGTACGTTGTCTCCCTCTGTGAGAGAGGATAGATATGAAGATGCTACACCGTGATACACGCCTTGCCCGGATAGAGATGCCTCCTTCAGGGAGGAGTAGGTGATGGTAGCGTGACCCCTGTGCGTCATAGGAGAAGATGAGATGGAGCTTTTGCTAGTCAGCAAGATAGATTTCGGCATTGCCGACGAAGAAGAACATACTACTGTCGCACACGCATCGGCGGCATCAATGATATAAATGTGGCAAAGGGCAGGGTGATATCTGAGAAGCGCTCCAGGAGGTCAAGTATAGACACGCGTTTCGCACTAATCTCGGAGGAAAAGGCATCGTTTGCAAGACGCAACAAAGCAGAGTTTGTCTCTCCATTCGTTGCTGAGCCAGCGAGCAGTAAAAGACTCTGTTTGATAGGTCAGTGGTGGAGGAGCAACAGGTAGGAATTGTCAAACTCACCCTCTTTGACGCTGGCTGTGAAAGCTCAACATATGAGCTCAATATGTCTTGGGCAGGAAGTGCTGTGTTGGTGGGCAATGTGGTGGGTCCTTCGGCGCTGATCTCCAGCTGCGCATCCCAGGGCAGACTGAAACGTCGCAACACGCGGTTAACGGTCTCCCTTGGGTTGAACGGCAATACGACCAGGTAATCGCCTGGAGAGTATGTCATGTCTTCTGGCAGACGGATCTCAAGGTGCTTTTTCAAGTTGTCACTCTCTGACTCATTTGTGAGAACTCGAGTCTTGACTACAACTCCTGCCTTTACCTCCTGCCGAAGGGTAGAGGCTCGGGGTGTAGAAATCGTAACCTTCACACCGGGAGAGTCGGTTTGGTCTTCTGCCTTCACATCGTAACGTGCAGTCAAAGCTGGCCAGTAGACGTTGTCTTCCCAATTCTCGAAGTCCGAAAAGACCTGGCCTTGGGAAACATCAGAGAGTCCGATGTCTGCCAACCGTTCTGCGCCTAATTCAGCCAGTGTGGTGTCGACCAACTTGGGGATGCGATGGAATGTCTGGGTCCACTCCCGGTTGCCACAACCGAAGACAGCGTACGATACACCTTTCATTGATTGGCTGTTCTTATCCTGCTTTTCCATCCACTGTATGAAATGCCCAGCGTTATCGGGCGCTTCTCCTTCAAAGGACGCGGTGATAATCAGAACGGGCTGATCTGTAGGCAATGCACCATTCGCGCTATCCATGCAGTCAAGCTTTGTCACCTTGAAACCATGAGTAGTGGCATCAGTTGCAACACGTTGTGCGAGCGATTCGCAGGTACCAGTATTTGAGCCATAGAGAATCGTCAATGGAGCTCCATTGCCCTGATGAGCAGCGTGAGCAGCTTTCGAGGTAGCTTTGTTCTTGGAGACGGGTTGCCCGGAAAGTCTGTGCCCTAGGGAAGTGGGGTCGAGGTCATCTCGCAGTATCGCACGCATGTGCATATCTTTTGGCTTGATGGTCAACGTCTGCTTGAAGCCCAGTGTGTAGTCGGGCTCTAAAACGAACGTGAATGTTTGCAACAGCATTGCCATGACGAGTAGTGACTCTTGCCATGCAAAAGGACGTCCAATGCAGCCTCGCATACCATTGCCAAACGGCTTCCAGCAATTTGGGAACTCCTTTGTCACCCGCTCAAAGGGCTCATCAAGCATGCGCTCTGGTTTGAATTGGTTTGCGTCAGAACCGAAGACTTTTGGGTCTAGTTGCGATTTTGCGAGGAGATTGACGATCGTTTCCCCAGCTTTTACGGGGTATTTTCCGCCGATTGTTGTATCCTCGAACGCTTCAACCGTGAAGAGCGGAATGGTGGCATTAATGCGCAATGTTTCGCGAAGGACCGCATTGATATACGGTAACCTAGACATATGCTCGACTTTGATAGGCCCACGGCCGCACACGTCGTCGACCTCTTCTTTTGCCTTTTGCATGGCCTCGGGATGTTTCAAGAGCTGATAGAACACGAAAGAAAGCAAACCAGAAGTGGTCTCGTGTCCAGCAATCAGAAAGGTAATAAGGTTGTCCATGATGCTTTCATCGGTCATCTTCTTGCCGGTCTTGGGGTCCACGCCTTTCATCATAGCCGCCAGGAGATCATGTCTGTCAGTATGACCCTCCTTTCGTGCTTCGAGTACTTCCCGAGCTGTATCTCTCATGACTTTAATGTCAGCCTCGTACTTCTGATCCTTTGTGCGGTAGAACATAGATGGGATAGGCGGTCGACGAGGCTTTTCGCCGGCTTCGGTCAAGAATTCGCCCATAGCTTCAACAAATGGGTGCAGTTCGGGTTGGTAATAGCTGTTGAATCGATAGCCCATTGAACAGAGTGCCAATGTGTCCAAGGTCAGTCTTGTAAAGTCGTCTGTAACTGGTATAGCGTAGTCCGGCCCTTGGCGCGCCCATTTTAGTGTGAGCTGAGTTGCAATGTCATGCATGTCGTCAAACATGCCCTGGATGGATAAGGGGCCAAAGGCGGGCATTAAGATGCGATGCGCAATACCCCAGTTTTCCTCGCCCATTCTCGCTGTGAAAAGACCATCGTGAACGCCATCGCGGACATTGTTCAGAGCCGAATTGATCGATTTCTTGAACCGCTTTTCATCGCAGGTCTCATTAACCAAGGCCTGTGTGGACACGATAACCACGGTCCTGCCGGGAAATCGCAATCGGTACGCTTCGCCTATGAAATAACATTAGCTTTCTTTTTTCGTGCATAGACTATCCCACGAGGTTGCCGTACCACATTGGTCTGCATGTGCTATCATCGACCCCAGAGGAAATTCGTTGTCTATTGATGTGATATGTCCGAGCAATGGCAATTTGCTAGGCTCAGGAATTTCCATTATGGCTTCCAATGGCCTGCTTTCCATGTCGTCGCTGTGGGAAATTGCCATAGTTGATGGAGAGGATACAATGTTTCGCTGTAATCGAGTACCAACGAAGGAATGACACAAGAAAATTAAGGAATCATTGATGCTATATAGATGCGTGTTACTGGAGGCAATTGGATACGGGACCCAGGAAACTCCGAAGTGGTGAGTTTGGGCCAGATAAAAGTCCTTGGGCGGTGTGTCTCAATGCGTCTGGCCCGATAATTGGATCTTCGGAGGGTACAAAGGACAAGGCTGCACAACACGGGCGTGATTACTGAATGTTTCCAGCATACTGAACACTCTAAGTCGTACGAACTCTCACGTATTCGGGGTGGGCACTGGACGAATTGTCACTGCCTTCGTTTCGGTCAGAGCATGTGAAAATTATCTCGCAAGGTTGCTCCAATGCGGAATAGTCTAGTCCGCTTTTGGCAATGTACCTCGGTGATTGAGTGCCTCCCGACCACGTCAGTCCCTTTTTGAAGAGACTTCTGCCACAAAGATCTTCTATCTTATCGCAAGCACAACCCTCTGTGATTCAAAGTCAGATAGACGCCGAGGAGAAGAGTGTAGTCGAGATTGCGGCCCGGCGCGTTGACCTGCAATGTACGTTGGTGTCAGTGTGGCGTATTTTGTAGGCTACTAAAGGTGGCGCATCTTCTGGCACGTGGGGTAGGGCAGAGGTGTTGGAGTCCGCTGGATCGTTTGCGATGTTGCTAGAAGTGATGCTGCGGGTTGCATGATGGGCTGGGAGAGGCGATCAGCTTTAGCTCTGTAGATGAAAACGTAGGTATTGACCCAAGCGTGAAGATCTGATCGATTTTGGACGAGTATGTCGACCACTTGCAGCCTGCGACTTTTGTAGGGCGTTGCCGTTTGTCTTGGACTGACTGCCTGCATGCTATTCTTCTTTGCCTCTGCGGCCGTTCGAGCCTCATCGATGCCGCATTAGACCTCCTGTCAGACAGGTGCGCAGACTGCACTGAGCGTTTCTGAAACATGCGGGTAGAGAGGCTATGGTCTAGCTTCTTTTTCGTGACGGGATGCTGTTGGAGGGGTTGGTGAGCAAGACTGGAGTCGTCCTTATTGTTGATCGTTACAGGTGGCGCCATCCGAGGGCTCTACGGACTCTGAGAGCGTTGCAGGGCATCGCCGCTGACATACTCAGGGATGAAAGGGCCTCGCGTTGTGTCGTGCGCTCTATGAGAACCGCGAGAGCAATGTGCCATTTACTTTGGTCGGAAGACGGGGGTGGCATCTCTGGCCGATCTTACACACCTGCAGTCTGCGGCCCTGCGTACACGAGGGCATTGACGCCCTGAGGGCTCGTCTCGACCGTTGTCTTCGAGACCCTGGCCAATCGAGCGACACCGACGACTAACAGCTGGAGCCTGGCGCCAATCAAGAGAGAATCCTCATAGATATAGTCTTACAGACCCGCCGAAAGCGATCGTCACCCGTCAACGACCTTGCACCACACACGTTCGCACACCGCCCCGCCCCTTCACCGCTTCGAGACTGAGAAGCAACAAAATCTCGATCAGCGGGATTCTTATAGCATTAAGACCTAAGGTGGTTGTAGCGATGGCAGATATCGCCGCCTGGTGCTTACCCCTACAGTCGCCAGTATCGTGTGAGCTTGTGCGGCTGCGGGCGCATAACGCAGCTTCTTGGGCGCTACGGCAGTCGGCGGTGGTGTGCGTGGATGTTCTGCGATTATCACACCGTGATGTTTGCTACGGTAGGATTACGCTAGTAAATACGCCATAGTTGAGTGGCTGTTTGCTTCCAACGGTGCGGAAGAGAGGCGTAAGGAGAATGAATAAGAAGGTGATGAGGAGCGACACTGAAATGGACCGAAGAAGAACCATAAAGATATTGCAAGGTTCAAGTGATGCAAGAGGCACCACCATAGCTTGCGGGGTCTCGATTGCAGCAGAAGCTGCGGCGTCATCGAGGAACTGTCTTATTGCGGGTTGGGGTCTCGAAGATGTTGGGTGAAGTCCTGTCAGCACATCGCTTTCAGCAACATCGTGCAGGCGGCGCAAGAAGTCATCTCAGCGTCTCGTAACCCAAAAGAACTTGCGTGCGTGTGCGCCTAACGACACAAAACCCAGCCTTGCATGTAAGTCCGTCTGTCTGCACAACCCCGCACGGCGACATGATCACACCCTGCGCCAACAGCTGGCAGCTATCAAGCCCTTACCACAGCGTCCTCTTTGCGACTGATTCGGGTCGCGCAGTCACTGTGTGTACATTAGGTACGCAGTCTTCGTACCGCTGCGACATGGTGGTGTCTAGTCGCGGTAGAGAGGTGTGCGATATGAGTGGACAGCGTGAGTTGTAAGATTCGAGATGCGATACGTGACATGAGATGTGTGTGAACTTACTGCATATTGCCCCTGTGCGGAACGCGTCACGAGATGTAGGGCAGTCTCACTCCTCCGCACTAACCTGATCCGGCTTCATCCAGCACGGTAGCATCAGACATCACTCAAACATTTCGACGCCAGTATTCAAGTACAGAAAGCCGTTCGACAGCGCCCATCAACTCACAGCCACCACTGATCAACTCTGCCTCGCGACAAACCGAAACAGAGACTGGACCTTTCGCTTCGGCGCGCGACAGTCCGCACGCGGGCACTTGGCCACTGCGCGCTGAACGCTCGTTGTGCAGCGTACGCAAACGCGATGACCTGAAGTTGAGTTAGCACGGTGCATTTGTGCAGCGACAGCCAATTCGTACCGCAGCATAGTGTTCAGTCGTTGTTTGATGGCAGCAAGACCGCTGCACTGACCGCGCACCCTATTATCAACGCCGCCTTCTTGCATGTGCAGTCTTTTTTGTTCTCCAAGCAGTTCCTGAATATTGGTCAAGGAAATTATCGCACACAATATCTGAGGTGTAGCCGCGGGCCTCGTCGATGCGATTCTGCATAAGTCCTGGTATCTGTTCAGCATTTGATATGGAAGAATGCAATCGGATCTAGATGTTGTTCCGAGATGGTCACGTGACCGATGATACCGCCAATCACATCACCTTAGGAAGATGGTCTGGCCCCCCACATCCCGAAGCCGGCCTCCGAGAATGCGGGGTGAAACGATTGGTCTCCCAACTCGGTTTGAAGCCTGCCCAAACAGCAATAGCTGCATTTGAAGTAGCATGCTCGACGTTGATGTACGAAGCGTACATTGCTAGGTAGTGTACACAATCGGAATTTCGCACAGAAGCAATCCGCGCTGCCGAACAGGCGAATGTAGGTACCTGTGGTAGGTCAACAGCAAAAAGCCCTGTCTAGTATTAGCAGCTACTTTATCAGCCTGCCTGATATTTGAGTGTACAAAGCCGGCCTGGTACGAAACCCAGCGTTGACGTTTTGATTTAAAGCCCCGCCCCAAGGAACACACTCCTGGTCAATCCCTACCACATATTGCATCGCCATCATTTTGTATACGGCCTTCACTGTTCTTGCTCAATACATTCCACTAGATTCCTTCAAGAAAGATCACTGCGGTACCACAATGCATATCCTTGGTCTCGCGAACGGCAGTGTAGGCGGCAACTCCACCATTTTACTGAAAGCTGCCCTCCAATCCGCGAAACAGACCTCTCCCAAGACAACAACATCCTGGATTCATATCCCGTCCGTCTCCTACCCGCCCAACGCAGGACCCTTGGATCATGCCCAAGACATATCTATGGGTGCGAACGCAGGGAATAACTCTCACGGAAACTTAACCGAGCATGCGAATGACAAAGATGATCGAAAAATACTGTACGACGAGATCATGAACGCTGATGCGCTGATCTTCAGTACAGCCGTATACTCGCATCAGCCTGCTGGCTCTCTTAAAGCCGTTCTGGACAAAGTCCTAGGTCCATACACAGATCCCACCTTTGCATCTCGAATCCTGGCAGGTCAACGCGCCAATGACCCCAAGTTTACTTCAATGACAGTAGACAAGAGGATTTTGAAAGCGAGGGTGTGTGGATTCATTGCTGTCGGGGGGAGTACCACGCCTGATCAATTCACTATGGCGCTTCCTACACTGCATCTCTTTGCTTATGGCCTTCACGCAAAGGTTATCGACCAGGCGATTGTAATGGGTTGCGCCAATCCAGGAGCGGTACTAGGCACGCAGAGTGGTGCAGCAGTGAAGAGGGCAGAGGACCTGGGGCGCAAAGTTGCCAGCCAGATCGGCAAGCGATTCGATGAGGCGAAGTACCTTGGGCCAGTCCCTGAAGGAGCGTGTTCTCAATGTTGGTTAGCCAAGTATGATTTCTTCGGTGGTGACGAGATGAGAATGGGATGTGTAGTTTGCGGGAATACAGGCAGGTTTGTTGTTAAAGATGGTAAGATGGAGGTCAAGTGGGACGAGAACAGCGAGTATTGTTGTATTACCTGGCGGGGGAAGGAGAAGCATCTCGATGACATTTTTAAGAATGGAAGTGCAGAATGGAAGGGAATGCAGGGCAGCAAGGAGCAGCTGGAGGAGTGGAGGAAAATGGATATTGGGAGAATAGTACTGCCGAGTGAGCATCAAGGCGAAAATCTTAGTTCGATAGCTAAGATGTGATACACAGAAGCCAGGTTTTTTGTCACTCCGTAAGGCGGCATAGCAGTTTCAAGATCACATGCAGGAACTGCGATTTGAAGTGTCCAAATACAACCATTTAAGTTATGCGCGACAATGATGGGATGAGATCATACTCCCGTGTCCTCGATCGTGGCCCATGTGCAAGGAGGATATACTTAATTGTAAAGCTGTCACGCGTACCAAGATAGCAAGACTCAGGTTCAGCTCATTTATTTGCCAGTATTCCGTGATCTTATGAGTGTCACCAGAAGGACTGGACCTTACTACTGGCGGCTTTCAATCCGAGGTGCACCTGTTAGCGGATACCTGCTGGGAAGAACTGCAAGCGCAAGCAGGACACTAAGAACACTGAATGGTAGTAATAGGATCTTTTCAAATAGTACTGGACGATTAGGCGTAACGCGCTTGGCAGGTTCCGCCCTAGCCTCCGTGCAATTGGAGATGTAGTGCAGAGGAAGATTGCATTGCTACCTTCGCTGCTGGCTCCATCTAACAGAATGAAAAAGGACAATGCCACAAAGGATAGGTATGCATTGCGCTATTGTTAGCATGGCAACCTGTAATGATATCGGGCATGGACTATTTCTCTATCCCAGACCGGATGCCACCATCTTCGAGGGTAGGCTCCAGGTATGAATGTTGAGCTCCGAACACAAACCTAGGCTACCGCTCTGCGTCATTCTGTCTTCAAGGCTACAGCTTAATACCAGCCTGGTATCCAAGCACTTCGTAGAAAATCTTGATTTTCCCATCCTGGACAATGAAATGATCTGAGCTCTCGTCGTTCTCTTGGGCCCGTACGCCCAGGCGATAACCACGAGATCATGTACCTATTTTATCGGCCCGATGGTCTTGAGTTTCCAGTCGATGTTTGTGTCCTGTATTCCCTGGACGCGCCCGTCGATGGCGTCGTGGCCCTTGAACGTCACGCCGCATGACTCCTCAAGCATTTCGTCTTCACAATCTGAATCTGCTATTGTCTCACGATGTGACACAGGGTCGTAGTTGCCGACGATATTAGAGAGGTTGCCGCGAGCAGGCTGTACTGCTCGTCACGGAGCAAGTGTTGGTGCCATGGGCAGTCATGAATTGTGTTTACTTTAGGAGCGGGGAGGACGAGATATCTAGAATGCTGAGAATGCTGCCGAGTGTGCGCATTAGTAAGAAACGACTTTGGTCCTTTTATTCACACATCTGATTTGTCACAGCATGGACTAATTTCGCACAGTACCTATACTTACGCACATGTACAGTGCTGACGATATCGTGCTTTGTTTGAGGAAACTGGGATGAGCCATCAGTAGGTCCAATTCACACAGACCTGTATGTACGGGATAGTCTAAACAGACTGTCATATACCGAGGTCTCTGTCGCTTATCTTCCCTCCATATATGAGTCTTAATCTTTACACACACCTCGCTATCTCATGTGTTTCCCCGCTCCGACTCCATGTTTATCTTCGTCTCTTCTTTGTCTGAGACTTCTTCTCCGCATTCCAATGGCCCGTATTCTCCGTGCACTCACTAACTCCAGAGTCTCCTATCACTGAGTTGGCGTTGCGCTCTTACAAAACCTTACAAACCTTCCTGACACCTGCCCCAGTCTTTCTAGCTGGCTTTCCTTTCTCTGGCCCGATATACCGCACGCTCAATTCCAAGCAGCTGTCTTCTTTTTGGACGTGGCTGTGGACGTGTTACACTGGCCCGTTCGTGCATTCATGAAGGCTCTGACCTAGTCGGGCAGGGTCCGGCAGTGCTAATGCGATGACACTGTGCATGAGAGATGTGCGCTGGTGTCGTCGGACCCACCATGTCATGCAATCTAGCAAGAAGTCATGCTTATCGCTGACATATCATGCACAATTTTCTAGCAGTGTGTGACTGGCGGACGAGTCTTCTGCTCCAATGTCGTATATTTTTATTGCGAGGTTTTTGTTCCTTCTGCAGCTTGCGTAGTGCAAAGGCGGGCATTCGGGCAAGATCATATCGCTGGCAAATCCACCATTTATCCGACCAGGACTACTCGAGAAACTCTTTTTTTAGATCCTGGCTTCGTGCAGCAAAAACTGTGTCCGTGTCAAGCTCATCAAGAACTCAGCGTTATCATGTTCAGCGTTTGCAACAGTCCAAGCAATGAGATTAAGCAGCATAACGGTCATTTCTCATTCTCTAACTATCTCGGAAGTTCTTTATCTTCTGATACTTCAACTCTTCTTTACTCGTATTCAAGAGCGTTTGTTTGTACTACAGCTTTAGACTACAACTTTAGAATTGCCAGCTTGCGATTCTCAAAGGCTCTTGACGTGGCTGAAACTCCTGGAGCTAAAGCTTCAAAAGCGTGGGGAAGACCTGGATACACATGTAGTTCCGTCTCCACTTCTGCAGCTGCGAGTCGAGTAAGATAAGTGAGATCCGCTTCAAGGAAGAAGTCGAGAGATCCTATGTCCATGTACGTAGATGGTAGACCACGGACATCCTCTGCTCTACCGGGTGCGGCATACACAGAGACCGCTTCTGTCCCGAACTTCTCCCCTAATAGTGCTTTCCAACCCGTCTTGTTATCGTCGCTGTCCCAAATGACATATTGCGATATACTACTCAGATCTCGGTCAAAGCGGTCATCGATCATTGGATATACAAGTATCTGCTTGGCTAGAGGTGGGCTCAAGTTACGATCCCGAGCCAACAGCGCGAGACTAGCGGCAAGGCCACCGCCAGAGCTCTCTCCCATAAGTGCAATCCGAGCGGGATCGATGTTGAACTTTGTGGCGTTCTCCAACAGCCATAGAAGAGCCGCGAAACCATCTTCCACTGGAACAGGATGTTGGTGTGCGGGAGTAAGTCGGTAGTCTACCGAGAATATTTGCACGGCTGTAGCCGCAACTAAATGGGAAAGAGATGGGGTGATCATCTCCACACTACCGCCGAAATAGCCACCACCGTGAAAATGCAATACACAGGGCCCAGGTCCAGCCGAATCATCTTTCGCAGTCGTCGAGAGATGCACCAGTCTTACTGATGTGCCGTCGTGTGAAGTGAATTGATGATTGGTGGCTTCGACTCCCTTTGCGAGTGACTGTGGAGGAGCCATAGCTCCAAAGGCTGCCATCCCCTGAACTCTGGATTCGATATCAAAAGCAGGAGCCTTCGGGACTGATGCTAGAATTCGTGCGATAGGCTCGGCTGCCTTTGCGAACTCTGGGTCCACCTTGAGAGACATGATGGAGATGGCTCGTACCTAGGTAGAGAGCTTGAAACGATTTGACTTGCAAACACCTGATCTTGGGGTATGGCTAAGTAGAGTATTCAAGAGGCATTCGAATTTATATTGAAAGTAGGCAGACTGGCTGAACTAATTTTGTTGTACATCTGCGCGCGCGGATGGGGATCTCGCGGATCATTCCAGAACTCTCGCAGCTTCAGAACTAGTGACGCGGATCCTATCGGCACTATACTTGTAATCAAATTTATTTGTGATCCAGTAGTCCCTGCGCGTTGGTGGGGATCCCGATGCGCCGGGGGAGGACCGAACAATGTCTTGATAATCTGAATCAAGCTAGAGGAGGGGATTCTCCGAATGAGGGGATTTTGCGAACATAACAACAATGAACTCAGGTTGAGTGTACCTCCCACTAATATCAAACATTTCTCTTAAACATGTTTGGTTTGTTGATTCCTAGTACTCGTTTACAATGACCTCCCCACATGTTCACACGTGACAAAGCCACGTGACCGTTTTGGGTTACCCAATACAGCGTGCTAGGAGGGATAGATGTTAAGGAAGAGGACGGAACTAATCGTCAAACAGTAGAATATAATAAGACATGCGGAAGTAAAGTAAGAAGATCAAGAAAGAAGAAAGGAACCGTCCCACATGTGTACGTGCAGTAGAGATTAAAGCAGTTTACACTCTTGGTGTCACTCCTTAACAGACCCTTCTAATGTCACGAACGTTTGTTAACTTTAAAAAATGAATACTGTATAGCTTCTCTACATGACAACAGTCCTACCTATGATATTAGCTTGCCTGCACTTTTAGTAATCATACACGCTGTGCAAACAAAGGTTTAAGTTTATTGGTGTTGATCAAAACGTTTGTATAGAATGTACCACAACACTTGCACAAGAGACTCAGACACAGGTCTAAGAGACGTGTATCAACACTACTATAAAAGTTCTTGAATGTTGCGAAGCAGGTACTTTCGGAAATGGCGTTTAAGTGAAGTAAAAAGTAAGTGTCCTTTGAACACTCCATATATAGAACACCTGAAACTGTAATCACAGGCTAACACCAATTTTCCAAAACACCATGTACAAGCTCTTCCAGATGATCAATTTCATCAAAGGGGCTCCAAAGGACCCTTGTTGAAGAGCTTGATCTCGCTCTCCGGGAAATAGGTCAGGGGCTTCCGCGACCCCATTTCTTTAGCGTCTACCCAGTTGCCGTGAATTTGCGACTTGACATGGAACGGAAGCGCTGCAATCGCAATGGGGGTGCTGAATTCCCTGGTATCAATGAACACAAGTTCAGTGCCACGAGCGTCTGCTTGCTCAACCACCGACATAATCCAGCCATCTCCCTCCGGCGTATCGTCAGATCGTGGTATAAAAGTTGGTTCCTGCACTGTCGCACCATTTCCAGGGTAGAAGTATTCCGTATCGCCAGTCTCTTTGTTGATCATGGCTAGAGCATTCAGTCCATGATAGATGTTATCGGAAGACGTGTTTTCGTCCTGCAAGAAAACAGCCATGAAGATGATCTTGTACTTCCTTGTCATAAATCTCTCGTCAATGCGCGGAAATTCTGATGGAATATCGATAACAGTCTCTGGATCACCAAGCCAAGAGTCACTAGGCTTTGTAGGATCGATCTCCCAGCGGACAAAATCCGCTTTGGGGGGTTCCAATGGTACATTACCTTCAGGGTCTGGGAAGAAGGGAAAGTGATTGCCGAGTACCCTGGTTGCTTCGATGTACAGCTTGCCATTCTCTTCCCAGGCCCCTGCAGAGTGTATGTTGACGCAATTGTGCCAGTAATATACTCGACTTTCACCTTGCGCCCAGCCAGCGGGAGGAGAGCCACTTCTGCGAGGGACCACCACAAAAGGAGCTGGTCGGTCGGGCCGGTACATCCAGTGATGCTCGCCTTTCTTCATACGCTCGATATCGTGGCCAAAAGGCCAGGGCATGAGGATGATAAAGTTTTCCGTGATACCGCAGTCGTGTATCAACGTTGGAAAGGGTTGTTTGACCCAAAGTTCTTCGGTTTTCTTGCCATCTTTACCAATAGACCAAGTAACAACATCGTCCGACCCGGTTCCTTTGGCAGCAAATCCAAATGTGACCAGTTCTTCGCTGAAAGGATCGACATGAGGGTGAGCCGAGAATGATTTCGACTTGACCTGATCATAGAACGGATCATAGCCCAAGGTGTCCAAGGTGTTTGGGTCGATTTCATAGGAATTTCCAACTTCTTCCAGTGCAAGGAGGCGCTGGGCCCAATAGATAACGTTGGTATTTGCGGATGAATCAACGGCAGCTTTGATACAAGGATGGCGATCCCAGGGGTTTTGGAAGGCCCCAAACAAAGGTTTTCGAGCTCGTATCTCGAGCCGTAGTTTCTCAGTCTTAACGTATTTCATCTTGAAATCGATCCGGCTCTCATGAATTCGGAAAGCAGACACTGAACCATCTCCATCAATAGGGACAGCATTCTCTTTTCGCAGAAATCGATCTGGTCCAACTCGATAAAATGTACCGTCGATTTGTTCAGGAATACGTCCATAGACAACAAGGTTTGCAGCTTCAGCTTCAAATCGACCAGGATTTGAGGACCCGCTAAGATCCGATGTTGTTGTCCAGTTTCGGTCCAGCTTCAATTTCGCTGCTTGCATGCTGCCCGCCATTGATCCGGATTTGGGTTCACCGCAACAAGTTTGCTGACGCTGGAAACTCGATGTGATTGATTGGGTGTATCATACGAAGTGGAGCAAGTACGTGCGGAGAGGAGAACAACGGGCGCTAGTTACGGCACTATCGCCATATCCCCTTCGCCTAATCCCCACCCGCGCTTTGAGCACCGAAACGACACCTCCGTAGACCCGTTACACAAAACATGGGTGTAGTGCCAGGTGACTGATGTCAGATGCTCAGGACTGACCAATAGAGTCACGATCAATGTCGCGCAGTCCTTCTACCCGGAATCTCCGGGGATCCTGGGGTAAGAAGGATTACGTACGTCAGTCAATGGCATTCAAACAGCTGGACTGTGCATTCGGTATGGACCGGGTATAATTCAGCATCGCTAATAGCGAGAGCAGCCTATATCATAGAGGGTTTTGCTCAGAGGTCCTACGATTCATACCTTACAGAAGCAATCTAACCCCTTTGGCAATCATACCAACACAACTTCTTGATGATGACATCTACTTCTTCGCCCTACAACTATCCAAAACACTGGCTTGGACAGCCTCGGCCTGTGCGAGTTGTAGTAGTTGGTGCTGGAATCTCTGGTATTGCGGCTGTCAAGCTCTTTAAAGAGATCCTGGGAGACCTACCAGTGTCCTTAACGTTGTATGAGAAAAACAGCGATGTAGGAGGCACCTGGCTTGAGAATAGATATCCGGGGTACGGCGAACATCTACGGTTTTGCGCGCAGAAGCTGACATCCCGTCACAGGTGCTCCTGTGATATCCCGGCGCATAGCTACACGTATTCTTGGGAAGGCAACCCAAACTGGTCCGGCATGTACGTCGAAGCTGAGGAGATCTTCAAATTCTATAAGGGTCGAGCGCAGGCATATGGTGTGTTCGAATACCTGAAGGTGGGACATCAACTGCATGAGGCTGTCTGGAACGATGAGAAAGGAAAGTGGATCCTGAGTGTCGAAGATCTTGCCACGAAACAGGTGATCGTGGACGAAGCTGACGTTCTCATCAACGCAGGAGGATTTCTGAAGTCGATCTTCCAGTCCCTGTTCCGATTTCGTATGAGCTAAATGCGCACAGTAAATGGAAATGGCCAGAGATCACAGATTTGGAAAGCTTCCAGGGAACTTTGCTTCATTCCGCCATCTGGAACAACTCAGTCAATTTCAAAGACAAAACAGTGGCTGTTATAGGCTCAGGATCATCTGCCATACAGATTGTCCCAAAGATACAGAAAGGTAAAGCTGACAATTGGCCCCAGGTTCTCGTCGCTGATAGAGGTTATAGACGTCAAACACCTCTATTCTGTCAACAGATCGCCCACTTGGATCACTCCAAAATTCGCGTCTGAACACGCCCCTGACAATCCAGAGATGAGGTACACAGACCAGCAAAGACAGTCATGGGCCGAAAGTGCAGAGGAATTTCTTAGTGTTCGAAAGGCAATCGAAAGTACCGTGCTTAAGGGCTTTGAGCTGAACTACAAGAACTCTGATCTACAGGCGGAAGTCTTCCAGGCTTGTTCCTTCGACATGAATGCTGTTCTTTCAAAAAAAGCAGGCTTATCAGAGTTGTTGATCCCAAAGTTTGAAGTCGGCTGCAGAAGGTGGGTAGTATGAAAATGATGACAAACGCTATTCTGATCATGGTTTAGGCTCACTCCAGGCGTTGGCTATCTGGAATCGTTAGTCGAAGACAACGTTACTGTCATCGGGGAAAGCATTGAGAGGGTCTCCACTGACAGCATTGTAACCAAGAGTGGCGCCGAGTTCAAGGTCGATATTATTATCTGTGCGACAGGATTTGACACAAGCTATCGTCCATCCTTCAATCTCCGCGGTAAATACGGAAAAGACCTGAAAGATGTATGGGCTGATAAGCCTCGATCCTACTTGTCTCTCGCTGTGTCGGGATTTCCGAATTATTTTGGTATGGCTTGTTACACCATGATAGGCTTCTATAATTACTAATTGTTTGTCGCAGTTGCCGGAGGGCCCAATTTTCCTATCGCTAACGGCTCCGTCATCAACTCTCTGGAAGCAACGTTAAAGTACGCCTTTCACGCAGTTCGCAAGATTCAGAAACAAAACATCAAATGCCTCGATCCCAGCCCTGCCGCCGTCGAAGATTTCCAGCAGTACAAGGATGCTTTCATGAATGACATGGTGTGGACCTCAAATTGCCGATCCTGGTAAGTCTAGCTCTACCCTTATGCCCCTCCAACCAAGCCAAAGAAAATTTCAGACACTCTGATAGTGTTTATAGAGAAAGCACTAACATCTCGCTTAGGTATAAGAATGGTAAGGTAGATGGCGAAGTTTGGGGCCCATGGCCGGGATCTGCGCTGCATTATATTCAGCTATTAGACGAACCGCGCTGGGAAGATTTTACAATCGAGTACCGGCACTCTAACCGGTTCAATTTCCTCGGGAATGGAAGGACGAAGCCAGAGATGACAGGGGGCGATTTGACTTACCTCCTAACTGAGCCTACCAGAAATGTTTGAGATGTATGCATTACTCAACCTAACAGGAGCCTTGAATGCAATATTGAATACATCTATTGTACCACAAATCATCATAGTAATGTTCAAGTCCTGAACCAGGTCGGCAGAATGGAAGGGACGCATCAAATTGTAGGGGGTACACACAGGAACAACATCTTCAGGCTGGGAGAGTTCCAAAACAGTCTGCCTATTTCGTTTGGGATGTCATACGCCAGATGATCAAGTAAAATCTGATATTGATCCTAGGGGCAGAACACTCTATGTTGGAGTCAGGAAGCAGCGTCTGATTCTCGCGTGTTATGACAGATACTGCAATCCGAAACAATAAGAGCAAAGCAGTAACAGTATTAAAAGAGCCAAGATTAAGGCGTGTACATGCTCTAGGCGAATCTTATTGCTCAATGTTGTTGTAGTGCCCTAATGACAGTCTCTATCTGACTAACTGTAGTACTTCCTCTAATTGACCAACAGGTGAAGTAGATGTCACTGTTTTGCCGTTTTGAGGTTTTTCAAGATCAGAGCTCATCTTGTCAAGCATGAGTGAGGCAACCCTGTAGTACTCTGGAGCGTGTCGAAACCAACCATCCATTCTCAGGTCGTCATTGGGGAAAATGACTGAGTAGGATTCAAGTCGATTGGTTGACACCGTGAGCCGCCTTTCCCAAGCCGTATTCCATCTCTTCAGGCTGCCGCGCAATACCGAGATCGTGGACGGCGAGACACAAAGAGACATTTTTTGACATAAGATTGCTGCTTGGATGGCTGGAATGAGTGAGGATTAGCGTTATGCGACGAACAGGAAGCTTCAAGGTTGAACTGACCAACCACCAGTGTTATGAGACCTAAAAATGATATACCAGCCATGTCTTGAAGCTTGATGGGGTTTTCCTTTTCGGAGCATAGTAGCTCTACGAGGTTACGAACCGACTCGTTCCGAATGGACGATTGCCCCAGCGTTTCAAGTGTCATCAAAACTTCATCACCCGTAGAAGCCTTGAAACAAGATTCGGGAGAAGGGAGAGTCATTTGCAGCTCAGCAAGCTTTGTTCGAGGTGGTATGCCGTGGAATAGTGCATATTGATGATCGAACAGGAATATTAAAGTATGAGTTCTGAACCTGTAAGCATGTTGGGTATCATTGAACAAGGCAACACTTACCGAATGAGTTCCTCAGTAAGTATATATCGAGGCCAGTCAATGTACCTCTGATCCATATTGATATCACGGTTGTGTGTTGCTAGATCAAACCCAATATCCCTTGCAGCCTAGAAAGTTTATGAGCAAGCTGTTAATCGTTTCACCAATCTGGAACGTACAGCAACGACAGCTGGAAACTTCTCATGTTTTATTCTTTCCTTGCTTTCTTTGAGCCCTTCCCAATGCTGCACCGTGCAAACGAGAAGCGCACTTTGTAGCAACCTTAACTTGGCGCGAAGCAAGGCTGCAGGATCTTGCCCATATAACTGTTCAAGCGTACTCCACAGGCTCAATTGCTGGAATATGTTCCATTCCGTGATATCTAGCCATTTCCTGGCATTTGATACGTCTTCCGGGTTGTCAGACATACAGCACCCTATCAATACCATGACGAGTAGCATGAATATTGGCGTGTCCTTTATATCGAGACTCGCCTTGTGGATAATGGGACAATGAGGGGTCCATCGGTCCCAGAAGAGCCCAAGGTATCTCTCCAGGTTGAAGGGGTTGAAGAACTCAATATGAGAATGATCCTGTGAATGTTGTGCGTCCATCTTATCAGACGACTGGAACAGCGGATTCTCTTGTATGGTACTCCATATTGACGTGGACTGTGAGAATAAGGTGTGAGAGATCCAGGATGCCATTCGTGCCGTTGGGATGGCGCCAGAGTCACATGAGCCATCGGGAGTTTCTACGTCTACTTCACGCCATGGGCCAATTTGCCAATCGATCAGCGAATCGAACATATTGCTTTCAAGCATGTTTTGGGTATGCTCGCTCGGACTAGTGTAGTTAAAGACACGGTGGAGACCGTGGCACGTTGTCAGCTGGATGATGAAGCCAATCTGATCCTGTTGGATTGGTGACCTGTTGTGCACGTTTTCGCTGCGTTCACCGTATTGGATGTGCAGTCGATGATCATTGTGTTCGGTTGACAGGGCAGCTGGAGAATTGCAAAGTGCAATTGGACTAAACCGAAAATTCCAAGTTTCAACGTCCAAGGGGTTGGAGTTTCTGTTCCAAGTAGTGTTAATACTGGATGCTCGTTCGTACGAGCAAAAAGAGGTTTTTGCAACGCAGTTGCTGCAAGGAACACCTTGATCACAGCCTTGTTTATTGGCAGCGCAGCGGTCACATGCGTGCCTTTTCCTGCCCGGTGGTAACTGTGCCAGCGTAGCTTCTCCGAAAATCTTTCCCAATGCGCAACTTTTCCAGTGCTTGCGTAGAGCATCGCTAACACTAAAATTAATTTGGCACATCCTGATCGGCGTTGTGTCGACTCACCTGCGTTTGAAGCGCGATGCGCAGAAATCGCATTTCCATGCTTTATGAGGAGTGTCTAATCAAATTCAGCCAAGTCTGAATAAGCCATGAAGCTTGGTTTGCTGTCCTACGAGTATCGTAATGTCGCTGGAGGTGGCTCTTGCGTGAGAAAGACAATGAGCAGATAGGACACGTATGATCTGTTGCTCGATCCATCCTGTAATTGAAAACAGGATGTGGAAAGGCTGGACTAAATGGATTGCGCTGTTGATATGACTGACTGTTTCTCTGAAATGCGCCAGAAGCCCAGCTTCTTGAACACGGGCGGATCTCACGGAACCTGTCTCCCTGTTCCGTGAACTTCCGCTAGAGTCTCTGTCGGGCAAGCTTTCGACAAAGTAGCACAGGTAATTGGATGACAACAACTTTAGCATTCACTGTACCCTTGCCTAGTATTAGGCCTACTAGATGGTGGGGAAAGCCTAGTGCGGGGTAATGCATAACGCTAGCTACTGGAAAGTGGTGTCGGCACTGACGGATAGCTGTTGCTTCACGTGACCGTTTCAGTTAGAAAGACCGACCGGTCCGAGCCGATTGGTCCCGGCAAGCCCTGTTGCATTCCTTTTCGCCCCTTACTAACTTTCGCCCAAAGAAACGAGTAAATACGGTATGCCATTCCATGTCAAGTAAACTAATTTTCGAGAAGGGAGCAACGCTTTTTAGTCAATATTTTGGCGGTCGTATCGTTCAAGATATTGAGCTACCACATTTCTCGAATTCTCCACGTTGCAATCTGCTTGAATTTCCAAAACAATTACTATGGTATCCGGCGAAAGTAGAGTCCCATGGCCAGTGCACGACAGGGGGGCTGCCTCGGGCCTGCAAAATGGCTGTAGCATCTAATTACCGTCTAATCCTGTGTATTTTGTACCAAAAACTGTGAGCCCCTAATAACTCCTGCATCTGCCATCTCCTTCACACCACCCACTAGATGTCGCCGCCATCAACACCCCGCCATCGATACCTCTCCCGTGACGAGCGCCTCAAGGTGCAGACTCTCTCTAATGCTGGGCATAGCCAAGCCTGGATTCAGCGCCATCTTGGCTTCACAAAGAGACAAGTTGCTACTGCAATTTATAGCGATCAGGTCACTCCCACAAGACGTTCAGGCCGCCCACCTAAGCTCTCTAATAATTAGATTAATGAGCTCATCCACTTTGTTCGTCAATCCTGAGCCACCCGACAGATAAGCTATCTAGCCCTTGCCTTAGTCTTTGAGCACTAGGGAGCAAGTGAATACTTAGTGCGCTATACTCTACGTAGTAGAGGTTACACACGCTGTATAGCCCTAGCAAAGCCTCCACTTACTAAAGATAATAAGAGGATTCGCCTTGAGTAGGCTGAGCAGCATGTCAATTAGACTATAGATGAGTGGTGGACCATACTATAGAGTAATGAGACCTAGGTAACTGGGGGGAGGCATAGGAAGAGGTGGGTAACAAGGATAGTGGGAGAGGAGCTAGATGATACTTGTCTAGTTAATAAGGTGCGTAAGAAGGCTGGGTAGATGTTCTAGGGTTGCTTTTTAGGGAATAAGAAGGGGCCACACTTGTTCTAGGAGAAGGAGTGGAAGAGTATTAACAAAGAGAGGTACTGTGAAAGGATAGTCCCTCTTGTGGATGGCTAGATACGTATGAATCCTCACCTAAGATTCATGCAAGACCAGGCTCTAGCCCACGCAGCAGCCCTCACGGCTAAGGAGCTTTCTGAGAGAGGCATTCATCCTATCTTTTGGCCTGCATTCTCCCCTGATCTCAACCCAATTGAGGCTGTGTGGAATCAGATGAAGGACTTTATAGAGAGACTCCATCCTGATCTACCAGGTGGGAAGCAGCGTACTCCTGATCAACTCAGGAGTATTGTACGTGAGGCGTGGGATTCAATTACCCCTGAGTGTCTTCAGAGTCTCATTGAGAGCATGCCAGCACGCTGTCAGGCAGTTATTCACGCTTAAGGTGGTCACACAAAGTACTAAGATTTGTATGTAATAAATGACTGTATTGAGCTTTCCCCACTACATCTCCGGTGGCAAACACCCCTGTCGTGCACTGGCCATGGGACTCTACTTTCGCCGGATACCATAGTAGACTAGAGTACAACACAACATGACCCAATCCCAAGCTATAATCTAGAATATGAGAGGAAGAACAATATGAGAAGGATACTCCTTGCTCGCATGAACAGTGTGATTGCCGACATTCAAATTCTTCAACAATGGCCCAAGGTTTGGCCATTCATGCAGAGGGTGGTCGTGCCCTTTGATCTCCAGACGCATCGATTCTCCGCTCTCGAACACTATTCCTGCCGGCCAAATAGGAATATCGAGCTCGACAACTTCACCACGGGGTACCTTCTCCTCCTTGTCATAAGGTAGCCAGAGCTCAGTTGGTAACTGCCGTTCGCGCTGCTCCTCTGACAGCTTGGGGTCTTGTCCAAGGGCACGCTTGGATGCACGCAAGCGGCCGGACGGGCCGTTGTGTTTGTACAGATTCAAGTCGTCAACATCCTCGAACCTAGTACCATGTGGCTGTTGGTCCAGAGGAACGTTGAGCGTTAAAAGAGCATTGCCATCGCGGTCAAGCTTACGTATGATGACGTATACATCCATGTCATCATTGTCGTTTGTCGACATGAATAGCTTAACTTTAGAGGGCCCGACAAGCTCTGTGTACTTGTCAAAGGTGTAGGTAAATTGTACACCCTGGTCTTCCCACTGATCCGCGATGTAGGAAGCGCTCGTTGCTTGTTCAGGCGTCGAGTATGACAGCGATCTCTTGCCAGCATCGAGATACATCGTATGATATTGGGTACGTGCTGGAGGATAGTCATCCTCGGGACGTTCAACAATAGGAAGTCGGTCCCCGAAACGCAATAGAGAAAGCCGAACTTTCGGGGTATTCTCCCAGCCATTTTCTTTGTTCAGCAGGTAACGGTCAAGAAAACGCTGGAGGTCGTCATTGTTTTCAGGTTTGTAAAGGTCGTGCCATTCCTGAGTTCCGTGAATGCGGAGCCTGTCATGTCAGCTATCCAAAGAGATATTGTATGCTAACGCAAAGGCACTTACCATTTGTCTTTCGATGAAGCATACTTCCAACCTCTGAATGACCCTTCTGTATGGAGCCCCGTAGAGTAGCTCATACACGCATACATCGGAACGTCAATCTTAGTAATATCCGGGTTCTTGTCTTCCCAGTACGCATTCATATGCGGATAGGCTTCGATCATACTAGCAACGTCCTCGTAGAATCCATGCCCTAACAAAGATGATCATTTAGTAACACTTTCCTCCGACTGGAAAGAATTGGGTTGAAATACCTTGCGTTAGACTTGCCAGCATACCCCAAAATAGAGGGTTCGGAATCCCTCCGCGACAGAGTGTTTGACGATAAAAGTCGCCTGCACCCTCCCAGGGTGCAATGGCCTTCAAATGAGGGGGCTTTTCGGCAGCAATGAACCTATTGATTGGTCAGGTCTTCCTGCAACCTGAAAACGGTACCGTCACCATACCACTGCATGATTCCTAGCCACGAGTTTCCAACAGTTGCAACGTTCTCGTTGCACCATGGCTGTTTGGCCGTCCATTCGATGAGATCATACCCATCGTGAGCCTCCTATGTTCGAAGTCAGCTATGACTATTACCTCAAGACATTGAATGGCGACTCACTTGAGAGCCAAATTGGTGCATGTCGCCTTCAGAATTGAAAGTGCCTCTCGCGTCAGCTTGTATGACAGCGTATCCACGGGGACACCAGTCTGCCGGGTCTGGCGCTTCGAACTTCTCCAATCCACTGGTCTTGGTTGCAGGAACGCCAATATAGGCGTACTCTTTTGTTTGCGTGAGCCCAGTGCCTGTCTTTCCATAAGGGCTCCAAGGAACCAAAGCAGGCAGTCGTTCATGTTCTTGCGAGGCAGGTCGAAAGATGTCCGCGCGCAAGATAGTCCCATCTCGCATTTCTACCGCAACATCCTTATCCCAAATGATGGCTTCACGTAAGGGAAGACGCGAGAAACCTTGTCGCCAACCTTTTGGGAGAATAACCCGTTTATTCGGCTCATACTCGGTCCAGACGTTCGCAAAGGTGCGCCTCGCGGGCAAGAAAGGAACCGCGAATCCTTCGATATTACGGGTAGTCATTTTGAGATTGAGAGGTCAGAGACGCTATGGGTTGGTAGGGGAGGTAGTATTGTAAATGATGTAAACTGATGATGTTCGGAACAGGCTGGAGTTCAAAATTCAACTACGAATATGATGCTTCTTATAGTGAATGACTGTGATCCCAATGAAGCAGTTGTCTTCGCCAAGCCACAACTGTAGTCGCATCATGAGTAGCGTGCCTATGGTCAGAATCCACATTTCGATGTACCTGGATGTTCCTGTGAAACTGAGAAGAGAAAGGACCAGACCGATATAGAGTGGTTCCGAAAGTGATCTAGGCATAGACTAACCTCTTTGGGGTAATAATATCGCCAAGCCCAATGCAAGTCATGAGTTATTACCCGATAACTCATGACGTGCATTGAAGCGGACTATCCCGAAGCTAGGTAACTTCGGGATAGTCCATCAGATGACCTTGGCGAAAAAACATACCGCAACGGTCAATCGACACACCGCACCTTCTCGAAGCTCCGGATATGAGAACAAAGAGATGGAGTGTGTGCCAGAACTGCAGGGCCAAGAAGCTCGCAGTGAGTCGACCTTACCTTAAAGCATAGTCTGGAGGCTAGTCTGCTAACAATAATTCGAAGTGCGACGGATTACAACCAGCATGCTCACAATGCGCTTTGAGGAACAAGCCCTGCAGTGGATATAAACAAAACTACGTATTCATGCCTGGGAACGCTTCGAATACCAGGCTGAAAGGGAAATCGACACAAAGAAAGGGGATCACATCTGCCAGAGCCGCATCAGCGCCCAGCACGTCTACATCTGATGCCAGAGGTTCGTGTCACAACATTCTGTCTTCTGCAATGCATTTGATCACCCCTGATGGTCTAGACACATCTAATCCGTCAGCATTCTCTCATACTCTGGAAGACGATATAAGGTTTATTGTGCGGCAATACGTACCCATTAGTGGAGATGTCTCTCCCAAAGCCATGGTTTCTCAAGCGCAGAACGAAATCTGCGGAGCTTGGGTGGATGTTCTTCCAGTCGTGGCCATGACCAGAGGAAGTGAACAACCCTTGACCTCTGCAATCGGGACCTTAGCCCTCGTACTTCGATATTACGTTCTAAAGGAGCATGTGCGCCATTCCGAAATTCTTGACATGTACTGCCGTGCACTTGAGAATTTGGGTAAGGCGCTGGCCGACGCTCAAGGTATTTTCCACATCGAGCACTGTATTGCAATGATGTGTCTAGCGGATGCTGATGTACGTTCTAATCTACAAGTCGTAGCATACGTTAAAGCTGACGTTGCAATGCAAAGGTTGCGGCTCCAACCTTGAAATCTGGTTGGATGATGCATGTCAAAGCTGTTGGCGACATGATGGAGCGCTTGGGGCCCACCCCCTTTGCTGATGATCCAATGCATACAATGTTTATCGGTTTTAGGCCTTTGCTCGTAAGTCGTATCCCCTTGACACATACAAGGGCTGTATTGATCGTTGTTGGAACGACTTTAGCTGTGGAGCTCAATGCTGAACCGGCGCGGGGCGTTCCTCATGCGAAAAGAGTGGACGACAAGACCATTCGAAGGCCAGCCTGTATCCATGATGCAGCGACTACTGAACCTAGCTTGTGAGCTGCCCGCACTTCTAGAGAGGTTTGATGAAACGATTGACTCTCTGGAACATGACCTTGGGAAGATCGAACATCTTTGGGGCGAATTTTGCGCCCTGCTCTTGAAAGTACAAGAATGGGAACAGAATGTCACATCAGAAACACCACAGCCACTGGTATGGTCGAAGTGTGACCCCAACATCTGGCCGTCATCAAATAGTAGCGCTCTTTGGTTCCCCAATCTGATGGTAGCGAATAGTCTGACGCATTGCTGGGGCTTCGAAATCGTCATGAGGACACATCTCAGCACTCTGCACCAACTCATCTATAAAACCAGGCAATACCACCCGCAAATTCACAAGGGCATGAATGCAGAAGCCTTCGAAGAGGCTTCGATCCTGATCCTAGCAGAGAAAATCTGCGACAGCACTCCCTATTTGTTGCAGACAAAGTTCAAGTTTCATGGTTTGTGGTCCGCGCACTTCACTCTTCCTACAGCATTGAGAGTGTTAAGGCAAAAGCAGGAGGATGACGGCAGTCCAAACGAACGGTGTCGGCGGATAGAGAGCCTACTAGCTGATAGGGAAATTTACTTCCCAGACATTCAGCAATGAAGCCTCACTGTTACCAACTCCAGGTTCCAACAATTTGAATAACTCTAATGCATCTCTTATCGAAAATAAAGAGGCTGCCAGAGGAAAGCATAAAAGGCGCTATTGTTTTTATAGATTGTTATGGTGGCAAGAGGTATTGCAGTGGTGTTACGAACAGGTTGAGATACTTGAAATTGTATCATATACGATAACGTACCCCACGGGCGAGCGGATCAACGGGCGAGCGAATCACTTTTGCCAAGCCCCCACCAAAGTATCCTCTACATACCAATGCCTCAACAACAACCTAATCTTAACGCGTTAAAGGAAGCTCAAATACAGCTTGCGCTTCAAGCTCTTAAACAAGACGCGAAACTCTCACAGCGACGCGCTGCAGCTATCTACAACGTTCCTCAAGCTACACTAAGCCATCGACTTACTGGACGACCTTCACGAGGCGATACTATGCCCAACTCACGAGGGCTGGATGATCTAGAGGAGCAGGTGATTGTTAATCACATACTTGAGCTGGACGAGCGAGGATTTGGCCCTCGGCTGGCAGATGTGGCTGCAATGGCCAATTCTCTGCGCGCAGAGCGCAATCTGGGCCCTATTGGCACAAACTGGCCCAGTACGTTTGTAAAGCGTCAACCAGAGCTCAAAGTGAAGTTTAATCGCAGGTATGACTACAAGCGAGCCCTCTGCGAGGATTCTGGGGTTGTGCAGGGCTGGTTTTCCCTGGTGCGAAACACAAAAGCCAAGTATGGTATCCTAGATGACGACACGTACAACTTTGACGAGACAGGCTTCATGATGGGCCAGATCTCCCAGGGAGCAGTTGTTACAGCTTCAGAGAGACGAGGAAGGCCAAAGGCAGTCCAGCCAGGCAACCGGGAGTGGACAACGGTCATACAGGGTATCAATGCCAAAGGATGGGCCATTCCACCCTTTGTTATCTTCAAGGCGCGCCACCACCTCTCCGGCTGGTACAAGGAGGAAGACCTGCCCCAGGATTGGGTTATTGCAGTCTCCGGTAACGGCTGGACTACTAATGAGCTTGGTTTTGAGTGGTTGAAGCACTTTGACGCGCATACAAAGGAGCGTACTGCTGGTACCCACCGACTGCTGGTTATTGACGGCCACGAGAGCCACGAATCGCTCCAATTCCAGAAATACTGCAAGGATAACAAGATTGTTACTCTATGTATGCCTCCGCACTCATCGCACCTTCTGCAGCCACTTGATGTGGGCTGTTTTGCCCCTTTGAAGACAGCGTACGGGCGCCAAGCCGAATTGCTTATGCGCAACCGAATCAGCCACATCACAAAGACTGAGTTCCTGCCATGCTTTAAAGCAGCCTATAATGCGGTGTTTACCTCTAGCAATATCCAAGGAGGGTTTCGAGGTGCTGGATTGGTCCCCTTTGACCCAGAACGGGTCATATCAGCCCTTAATGTGAAGCTTCGGACTCCATCACCACCACTCCCCACCAACAACGTACCCTGGCAGTCGCAAACCCCCAGCAACACCCTGGAATTTGGGTCGCAATCAACTCTAATTCGAGAGAAGTATAAGAGGCAGCAGGGCAGCTCACCAAATTCTGTTCTAAGCGCGCTTGAGCACTACGCAAAGGGGGGAGCAATCTTATCCCACAAGCTGGTTTTAGCTCAACAGGAAATCAAGGAGCTTCGAGCGGCTAACGAGGCCGCCATGCGACGAAAATCACATAAAAGAAAGCGAGTTCAGAAGGAAGGGACCCTAATAGTTGAAGATGGGCAGCGGCTGGCAGCTCTAAAGGAGTTTGGGGCGCGTGGTGATGGGAAGAGGGCGAAGAAGCAGGTGCGCACTCAAGAGGGCGAGCCAACCCAACGGCGCTGTGGAAGGTGCAATCAGACAGGACACAACGCGCGAACGTGCAAGATTGATGTAGAAGAGGTCTCTGAATGATATTCCAGCCTGTACTGTACCGTGCAGGACCAAAGTGTGGTGTTTTGGGCCATGATGGGTCAAGTTTTGGTGGGGGCTTGGCAAAAGTGATTCGCTCGCCCGTTGATCCGCTCGCCCGTGGGGTACGTTAGCCGAATTTGATATGCATAATCAGCTGCTTTCATCTGAAGAATCTCCTGTGCAAACCTGTGCCGCACAAGGCATCAGCCTTACTCAAGAGTGGGAGATCTGCATTCAGCGAGGGCAGCCCGAATCGGTCAAGCGCACTCTCGTATACTCGTTCACGAAACGCCACGCTTTAGCGTGCGTGGCTAGCTTCATGGAGCGGCCGATCCGCGGCGGATGAAGCGATAGGTCCAATAATACAGACTCTCAGTCATCGTGGCGGTTTTCCCATACTTGTGCTCGCGTCTGGTTGCTGCTTTGCGATGCTTGCATCTGGTGAGAGCGGGGTTGAGAAGCACGGCTGGAATGGCCGATGCGACCGATACAACTACGAAGACGATCGTTTTTTATGAGGCATCACACCAAGTAGACTTGCCCTGCGGTGCACGCTGTAACAACAGCACAACGTTAATATTAACTGAATTGTCAACATAATAAGATAGAGAATTACTTTTGCTAAATACCTGTACTTACAAAAAGAATTTATCTTGTTGCAATAAGCAATCAGAATTAGGAAGGGTTTTGGTGTTCCTGCTAGTGATGCCTCATAAAAAACGATCGTCTTCATAGATTCCAGACAGCCCTCGTCCTAAAAGGGATAAATAGAGATGCAATTTGGCTTCACTACGCTTGCAATTGATCCCACCGATGCTCATGAAGGGAGGCAGATTGGTGGCGTTAAGGTGGTACGTGTTCATGGAAACAAAAATTTAGTTGGTCTCGGCAGCCAACGGACCGTCTACTGTAAAAAAGTACTGTTCATCACTGTCTTACTTACCATTTGCTTACAGGATCAGCGTTTACGCTCACAGCCTGCCGATCTCATCTTAGTGTTGTATTTCCCATATTTATATCGTCATTTCCACGGGCTCTCACCTCTCTTTGTTGATAATTTTTTTTGCCACAGCACTATTGATCGACGCACTCCGAAGTCAGCGAGCAATAGAACAATGTCGAATCAATATTCCTTTCCCCATGCCTCCCTCATCCTCCCAACCCTGACCACCCTCCTAGGCCTGACTGGTCTTGCAACGGGCGTAAACTCTCTCCTCTCATCAAAACCAATTGATGCCATCCGTCCGTTTGGCTTACAGGCGCCAAGTGCCACACACCCTAGCACCAACAACGACCCCCTGACAACGGCGCTTGTGCACGCTTATGGGATCCGAAACCTTGGAGGTGCGTTGGGAACACTTGGACTCACCGCATTCTGGCAGATGCAGGTTAAGGGCAGTGTTGCAGAGAGTGTAGCAAGGCGTTCACTGGGATTGAGCATGCTATTGGGTACGGTGGTTGGATTGGGGGATGCGCTACTTGTCAGTCGATTTGGTGAGGAAGTTGGTAGTAAGGTTGGAGTAGAGGCAAAGAAGGCAGGTTTTGGACACGGAGCAGCCGCGTTGATCATCGCTGCTGTGGGCTCGACGCTGTTGTGGTTCTAGATGTGATCTCAGATACTACGAGGAAAGGAAATGGCCATGGTGATTGGACTAAGAAGGCCATGAAGAGACATGGTGACCACATCTGAGCTCAGGGTATGGAACATGTCCTCCTGACTTATGTTGTCTTATAGATGTTACTCTGCTAATTCCAAGACTTCTGCATAGCCTTTCTATAGTACGGAAGAGGGTGTAACGTCGAGTCAGTTACAATCGCACATCCAACTCATCTTGCCTGCCTGCCGAATCTGTGTATTGACATTGCATCCTTGTAGGCAGAAAGATGATAAAGGACGAAGCTGAGCCAGTAAGAGCAAAACCAAGCAATGAAAGAGCCCGTGTAGCAGTTTCGTAGCAATCCACTCGGCCTGTCGGGTGCTCACTAGGCGTCGCAGCTGCGAGCACATCGAATCGACCCTGAATGTTGACACTGAGCGCTTCGCATTGTTGCCATCTGCCATATTCCGACGCGGAGAGATAGCTTCTTTGCACCGAACGGAGACTCCCGTGCAACTATTCCTGATGACAGCTCTACCAAGTTCCACCGATATTCGAGACAGGAACTTTCGCATTCTAGGCCACACAAAATGCCCCAGCACTACATGTACACAGTCTTTTCCGCAGGCTTTGTAACTTCTTCTAGCCTGTCATCAAGCCGGAGGACGGATAGCGCGTTACCGTCGGCGCAGACACAATCAGGCATGACCATTTCGCTAGGACTGATATTGGAAAACCTAGTAAGACGCTGTGCAGGATCTCGCACGCGAAACAGCATGCTTTCTCCAGACGCTTATCCTGGAAACTAGGTTTCTAAGCCGTAGCATTGTAGAATCGTTAGAAAGCGAAGAATGCAATGAACACCATGAAGACAACTCGGTTTGTAGGGGAAGCTGTTGGCCAACACTAGTTGAGTATATGTAGTGTACAGACGTATCAACATTCTTGTATTTAGACCGTGAATTTCTCCTTGTTCTCTACTGCTGCATCTTCCGCAATCTTTGTAACCTTTGCTTGTCCTAGCTCCTCAAAGATATCAAATCCCCATCGCGATTGTTGGTTGAACCTCTTGTGACGCTCCAGTCCACTAAGCTTCTCGTATGCATCACGGGGCAATTCCTGCACTTGCAAATTACTCTGAATCCTGTGTGGTGTCACGCTCTTGGGAAGGACTACATGTCCATGCTGGATCCCCCAACTTGCGAGCAGTTGCCCACCATCAAGACCCAACTGCTTGCCGACTTCGCCTACGAGCAAATCATCGACAGTGCGTGGTTCGCCGGTCTGATTGTTCCCCAGTGGGGAGTACGCTTCGATGAGGATGTTCTTGCTCTTGCAGTAGTCGAACAAGGACGGTTGCTGTAAGTATGGATGTACTTCAATCTGATTGACAGCGGGTACGACGCTGGTTTTGGACAGTAGGTCATCAAGGCGGTTTATCGTGAAATTGGAGACACCGATAGCGCGAACCTTGCCAGTGTCAAGGAGATTCTCCATGGCTCTGTATGTATCAGCCGGGTCGATGTTGACAAGGTCAAAAACGCCGTTCTCGCGAAGAGGAAACCATTTGCCAGTCTTTCCATTGAATGCCCTTCTCTCGGTTAGCATGCGACACCTGATGATTGAATAACGATTCCTTACACAGGCCAGTGCATCAAGAATAGGTCGAGATAATCTACTCCAAGATCCTCCAGGCTCTTGTCAAGAGCTGCTTTAACATTCTCTGGGGCGTGCTTTGTGTTCCAGAGCTTTCCCGTAATGAAAATATCTTCCCGCGGAACACCGCTTGCGCGAATGCCTTCACCGACCTCGACCTCGTTTCTGTAGATGGCTGCGCAATCGATGTGACGATAACCAGCTTTTAGTGCTGTCTCAACAGCGCGCTCAACCTCGCCAGGCTTGGCCTGCCATGTTCCAAATCCAACAGCAGGGATCTTAGCTCCTGTGTTTAGAGTAAAGTGTGTAGGAAGTGGCATGATGCTTTTCAGGTCGTACTGTAAGCAGTATTGCGCACGAAAAGTGGCTTCAAGTAGAAGTCTGACAAGCGTGCTTCAAGGGGGGCAAACAGGGTAGTACAACATCTTTGGGGGAGCGTACGACGGTAATTTGTATGTCTCAAAAGCTCAGAACTGCTGATGTGTAAACTCGGACAACGATAGGAATCCGTACATTGTAGGTTCTTTGCCGGAAGTGCGACCGGAAAATCATGGCACGCCAAGGCTTTTCGTGCGGGGCGCAGGGGACTTAGGTAGCTTGACCCCACCTTCCAAGAGTTTGAGCAAGGAACTTCCACAATATTGGAACCCACAACCTGATATTGCATCAAGCTGGGAGTGGGGATTTCAGCAAGCATTGCTGCGGGTGGTTTGACACTCATCTCAAAGTTGCCCTTCTGGGTAACCTAAAGTTCAGCTCTTGCGCGACTCGCCGGGACAATTGGACCCTGTGGCGGATGACCTCGGAAAAGGAGAACGTTTACATACGGATTTCCTTTTGACTGGTTGAGTCGCAAGGTTGATCATCGACACCTCCACGCGACCCCTCGACACGATGGCCAACAAAGAGCAAGCAACGCATCGACGGACGGACTCGCAACCACCTCAACCGGGGCATGGAAACGTTATCCCGGCCCCGGGTAATGTTTTACCGCAGAAACGCGCGCTTGAGGGCGTCCATCATCGACAGAAGACAAAAGTGACCCGAGCCTGTGACACTTGCAAAGCAAAAAAGGCAAAGTGTTCCGGCGAGCAGCCATGTAGGACATGTGACCGCCGGGGAGTGGACTGTCGATATGATGCAGTCTATGCGCGAGGGAAAGCCCCAGTCCCACGTCGTGTGAGGCAGGATGTCGTGAATAGCAATGTCAATGCTCCGCACTCAATGCCTATCCAGTCTACACGATCCACCTTGACGCCCACAGTCGTCGATGCTGTTGAAGAAGATAATCGCCGAGCTGTGTTTGCGAGCGACAACGGAAATGGCGATGATAACCACGAACGTGAGCCTGATTCAAATAATCTAAACGTGTTGGCGACCATGGCGACGCAGAACCAGGGGCCGATCGCAGAAGCCCCCTCGAGAGGATCGCCAGGCCTCGAAGTGGCGGGCCAGTATTCAGATACCACCTCTGGTCTCTCTTTCCTACACCGAGCATGGCGTCGAATCTCCAACGGAGAGAGCAGTCAGGTCATGGGTGGGCAGTTGGGTTCTGTTGACGATAACCAATTGCTAGCTCGTGCTGGGGACAAGCCATTTCAGCGTCCAGGCTATGTTCAGATACCACCCTTGGACCGAGGTCGCGAGCTTCTTGGACTCTATTTCGACGTCTGTATTGCGACGTATCGGTTACTGCACCGACCCACGGTTGAGCTGTGGTTTGACACAGTATCGAACAACTTCACATCAAGTCAACCTCTCTTCACAGGTCTTGGCCATGCGAAGACATCAATCGTATTGTCTGTTCTGGCTGTCGCATGTATCCACGAAGAAAGGGCCCGAGGGGAGAGTAGCCTATCGCCAGCTACCGGAATCGGCGTGGCTTCACAGAGTGATGAGATCTTTTGCGAGGCTCTGCGCTTGACAGAAACCGAGACTGGGTTCCCAAAGCTTGAGTCAGCTCAATGTCGACTCATTCAGGTGCTATACCTGTTGATGTCGTCGAGATTTAATCAGGCATGGTACACCTTTGGTCATGCTTTGCAGGTGCTGTCAGCTCTGGGCTTGCACAGACGTGAGGATCGGAAGCGTCCGTCGCCGGCTCACTGGAGAGACTACATCGAAGAACAATGTAAAAAGCGGACTTTTTGGGTTGCATATACACTGGATAAATACCTTGCGGTCATATTCGGACGTCCGCGACATTACCACGACGACGATATCGACCAAGACTTCCCGGATGCAGTCAACGATGAGGACATGACTTCTACAGGACCACGCGAGAGCGACAACGATTGTCATATTGAATCTCTCATAGCGCACGCAAAGCTTGCGCAGATAGCTGAACGCATCTCCCGAGAGGTCTATTCCATCAGATCGGTAGCCGATGAAGAGCGACTAGCGGCGGCTCACCGCCTTGGAGCTGAGTTACGGCAGTGGAAGGCATCACTTCCCCCATTCCTGGGTGCCATAAACCCAAGTAGCCTCATCCCGAGCTTTCGAAGGCAAGCAATGGCTCTACGAATGTCTTACTCGCATGCCGTGATGCTTGCGCATCGCCCTTTCCTTTTGAAGAATACTCATCGCCACAGTGAAGATCTGAGACGACTTGCGAGAGATAGCATTACTGAGTGCATCAAAGCTGCTCAGTCAGTACTGGAGGCAGTTGACCGAATGGCTCGAGAGGGGCGCTTGTTCCACGCCTTCTGGTGGACGCATTACGTGTGCTTTTGCGCTCTGGTAGTCGTGTACGTCTGGGCAATCCAAGAAAGTAACAACGATCCTACTGTTGCAGAGCGTCGCAAGATTCTCAACCAAGCTGAGAAATGTCTGAACCATCTTGCTCAAGCTACTGCTACCAATTCGCCATCTCGGAGTTACAGTATTATCTTGCAGGAACTACGCACGGAAGCCAAAAGGAAGACTGCCAGAGCGCTGCAGGAGCCGACGCAGATTGCAAATGCGATGGCAAACATTGCAGACTCAACCGATGCGTTGCATGCGCGACTGAACTTGCCAGATGGAGAGGCAATACATGATTCGACTGTCGCTCAACTGTGGCAGCCGCTGTTCGGTAGTCCCATTGACAGTTCGGACCCGGGCCTGCAGAATTTCTTGGATGACTGGCAGACCACTGACTGGCTTGATCTTGACTCCTCGGCGTTTGCTTCTCTACCAAACTACACCGAGCCGTGGTTGAATTGGATGAGTGGCGCCTAAGAGCTGATCATCGGTTATTACCTGACCGGGCTTTGAAAAAGGGTGATCTGTACCTAGAATTTCAACAAATGCTCGGATTGGCCGACAGTTGAGGTCACGGTGCTTGACAAATAGGTTGAACAATCTCTCACATTGTCACCCTATGTCAGGCAATAGCTTCGTTGGCAGTGAAACTTCTGTTGATGGCTACAGCATTTTGCGCGGCCTACTTACGCGCAAGACGGCTTCTTCCAATCCAACAACACAACACGAAACTTTCCATAGGTGCGAACGGTCAAGCTCGCCAAGATAATACAACCGGAGGCGAGACTACGTGATACCTGGTCACGGTTTACTCATCCAGTTTTCGTGATTGAGACCTACGTGGTGATGCCCGGAGTGAAGGTGAATGGCTCCTGTCGCCTCAGGATCCTCAGTCTATTACACATAGTCAATGCAACTAGCGCGGTACTCTATTCATCTAATATTACCTATTTCAAAATATATATCAACCCTGACTGACACAAGGCCCTTCAAACAAAAGCACCTGTACAAACAGACAGATCCCCCGGATAGCCTGAGCTCTATCACCAGTCACGTCTCCACATCCGCAAGGGTCAGGGTTACTCTTTTATTTCTGTATTGCAGAATACTCCGCAGAACGGCTGGGGTACTAGATTAAGAAAGGCAAAGCTTCCTGCGTCAGAGCGCGCTGCAAACTATGTAGCAAATCTCTTCGAGGGAACGCTGACAAATGCGGTATTCTTGGAGGTGATTGCGGCCTTGGCGCAATTGTCAGAGAATTTCGCATAAGAGCAGCCTCAGACGTTTGGATTGTTTAGCACCGATAGCTTTCACTATTATGGCTACTGCCATGCTGTCTCTCGAGGCAGAAAACTCACCTGCGCTGACATGAGCTTCACTAAGCTCAAGACGGCACAGCAGTCCCAGCTGATACCTGGCCAGTATAGCCAGTCATGAATTCATTCGGGACATTGTGTTAAATTAAAACTTTCTCTGGATTTGACATGGACATGCCGAGGCGTGCTCAGCCAGCGGGTGGTCAAGTCTACGTGCCACAGCAGTTGGAAATACGGCTCTTGTGGACACCATATACCAGGGACAGATATATGCGTGCCGTGTACGATCTGTACTTGAGGTCTAACATCGTGGAAATCACACAAGAATTACGTGATAGAGCTAGCGACGAGAACATAACGGCCCAGGGGCCGCGAGCAAATGACACGAGCGACTAAAAATTGCGTATAGTAAGCTCAATTTGAACATCAAGTACCAAATGCCCTCCTGGCTAACAACACGACCCGTTTGCATCGTTGATGCCAATGCTAAAACCCAAACTGACGTCTCTTGTCCAAGGTTCAAAGGGTGTACTTGAATAGAGGTGACTTATCACCCATCTTCAGGAGTTCCCTGTCAGTGTATCTGGCCCTGATCTCGTCCTCATCAAGCTTGCCCTTCTTCGAATTGCCCCACTTGTATGAAGCTTCCAACAGGAAGGCAACGATGAAACCAGAGGCGCCGAAAGCAAGCGATAGGCCAAAACCTGTGTTGTACACAGGCTTCTCTGACTCAAGGTACATATAACTGCCAACGACCCCTCCAACATTCCCGACACAAATATTAAAGGCCACTCCAATAGCCCGACGAGAGCTAGGAGCCAAGTTGTTGGCCGCCCAAGAGCTTCCAGCAGGCTGAACAGGGTATATGCCAATGCAGGTAAGAATGATGGCAAAGAAAGATGGGCCGAGATTGGCTCGAAGATTACCCTGGAAACTAATGATGATTGAGTAACCGATGGCGATCAACGATAGAGGAATCGCGACGAAGGGCAAGCGCCAGTAGAACTTGTCAGAAAGACGAGCGAATACAATGGAGCTGATAGCACCGCAAACGTATGGTGGAACAGTCATGAGCTGGGCATTGGTGTTGTTGAAGCCCATACCCTTGGTGATTGTTGGAAGGGTGAACTTCGTTCCGTATGAGCAGGCCGAGATGCAAAGCAGGATATACGCTTGCATGTACAGTCTCCAGTTGGTGAGAACCATCTTCAGATCATGCCAGCAGATCTTCTCTTCCTTTTCATTGGCAAAGCTGCCGCCATCTTTGATGAACTTTTGGAGCTCAAGAAACCGGATCTCATCGGGCTCAAGCCACCTACCGCTCAAGGCTGGAGAGTCAATGAGGAGAAAAAAGCAGGAAACACCAAGAATGACAGTGACAATACCCTCAAGAAGAAAAATCCAGCGCCATCCCTCGTAGCCGCCAACACCATCCATTTTGGCGATGGCGGCTGCAAGAAGACCACTGAAGGCGCCAGAGAGCGCCGAAGCACAGTAAAAGTATGATATGCGGGTTGCAAGATCTTTAGGCATGTACCAATAAGAGCAAAGATACACAGCTCCGGGAAAGAAACCAGCCCTAGAATCATGTCAGCTAGGATGTAGGTGGCTTGGGTATAAGAGAACCTACTCAAAGACACCAAGAAGGATACGAGTAGCCAAGAGACCGGAAAAGTCCTTGACAACACCCATACAAGTCATGATGATACCCCATGCGACGATGAGGATGCCAAGGTAGACAGATGGGCGCTTGAACTTCTTGAGAAGCATATTGCTGGGCACCTCGAGCAGAATGTAGGGCACGAAGAAGACAGAGAGAACGACGTTCCACTGGATGTTGCTCAGGCCAAGATCTGTAACCATGCCTTCAATCTTTGCATTCTTTGATCGATCAGATTAGCCTTACATGGTCTTATGGTGGGATCAAACTTACACCGATATTCGCTCTGTCGATGTGGGAAATGAGGTAGAGAACAGCCAACATGGGCACTAAGCGAACATCAACCTTGTGGATGACATTCTTTCTCTTCTCCTCAGGGTAATTGATGTAGAAATCTGCATCTTCTGGATGGAGACCAAGAACCTGGAAGTTTTCGATCTGGACAATCTGGTGTGGTTTTGTATCGTCGAGGGATGTCGACTTTTCGTCAACATACGAAATCTCGTTCTTGTCGATTGCGGCCATGGTGCCTAACAAAGAATTTCAAGAGAAGTGAGAAGCCACAAAGCCAGTCGCAGAGGGATGGCAGACTTTGCGAAACTCGTGAAGTTGCGCGTGATGACCGAGTCCTCTATGCGACTGTAAGCAGCGGTCTTATAGAGACTGGTCGATGCGCGTGTCATCGACAGACCGGGGTAGTGAGTTCGACATTGCGGAGAACCCATGCGTTCGGTCCATCCCCAGCTGCCGTGGTATGGGGATGTGGAGGTGGCCGATACCTTTGAGGATGCGCTAGCCTCGGCCTGACTCAACGGCATCTGGGAGATTGCAGATCTGGCCGGCTTGGCGCTCCGGATTTCGCGGATTTCGCGGTGATTCGCTGTAGGACAGAGTCCTCGGCTGACATTCTACCAATTGAAATATATTCCGTGAATTTCATGCCGGCTTTAGTGTGGGCTAACCTCACCCCACATTTTGCCTTGACCTTGCCATCAATTTCCCGGTTTGAATTTACGACAACGACTCTCATACTAAAGAGACGGCGTCTCATCAATTATGGCTTGTTCATCGAGCTCAGTTGTCAATCGTTCGCTGTCTGCTGTCTGTTCTTGCAGTCTACTTCAATCATGGCACCTGCACAGATAGCGCTTTCTACCCTTCATTCATCCACGGCGTCAAAAGCCATCACAAGTACTGTCGAACGCATCGACAGGGTTGACGATGCATCAATTCAGACTATCGATGCCCTGATACGGCACCGGGCTCGTACATATCCTCATGCCACGATCGTTGCATACCCACGGTCGGGTGTCGACTTTGTTGATTACTCGATGCAGCAACTCGATGTTTTTGCATACCGGGCCGCAAGACACTATCAGACTTTTATACCCACAAGAACGAGCTCAGATATCAAGCCTACCACTGTAGCGCTGCTAGGGCCTAGCAATTTCGAATATGCGATTACTATGCTCGCTCTCACTAAGCTTGGTCACACAGTTCTCTTCTTGTCCACAAGGATATCGCAACAGGCCATCGAATCCCTAATCGAGACTACTGGTGCAAAATACCTTTTGGCAGATGCACGATTCTTGCAGACTGCTGCTGATGTCCAGGCGAACATGCCATCTGTCTATGTTGAAGAGATCGCTAAGCAGTCTATCTTTGACTTCTCGATTGAGGTGCACGCCGATACTCGACTTGATTATCAGCTCGATCACAATGTCGAAGCATTCAACAATGTATATATCATCCACTCAAGTGGTAAGTGCCATCTCCGAATTGGATTGGCCAACCTATTAACAGTTGTAGGTTCCACGGGACTACCAAAGCCGATTTATCAGCCTCAAAAAAGCTGCATCGCGAACTACGATATCCATATGGATATGAAAGCTTTCATAACACTGCCATTGTACCACAACCACGGTATCTGCAACTTCTTCCGTGCCATTTCTTCGGGCAAGTCTATTCACATTTACAACGCGGATTTGCCGCTCACACAACAATATTTGACTTCGATTCTGCGCGAACACAGATTCGAGATATTTTATGGTGTCCCGTACGCTTTGAAGTTACTTGCGGAGACCGATGAAGGCATTTCACTTTTGAGACAGCTCAAAATCGTCATGTACGGTGGCAGCGCTTGTCCAGACACGCTGGGCAACCTTCTCGTCGACAATGGTGTTAAACTCGTCGGACACTATGGAGCGTGAGTTCTTGAGCTTGCAAGCGGAATTCATCACTGACTTGCACAAACAGCACTGAGGTTGGCCAGCTTATGACGTCTTTCCGACCTGATGGCGACAAAGCCTGGAACTATGTTCGCGAATCTCCCAAGCTTCAGCCTTTCCTCAAGTGGATCCCCCAAGGCCCGAACCTCTTCGAATGCACCGTGTTGCCGGGATGGCCATCCAAGGTAGCTTCCAACCGACCTGATGGTAGCTATGCAACGAAGGATTTGTTTGAGCCCCATCCAAACATCGAGAAGGCTTGGAAATACGTTGCACGTCTTGATGATACTATCGTTTTGGTGAACGGCGAAAAGTTCAATCCCGTCATGATGGAAGGCACCATCCGCTCGCACAAAGCGATCACAGAGACAGTTGTGTTTGGCGCTGCACGTCCATACCTTGGAATGCTTGTTGTTCCCAGTCCCGCTACAAAGAATTTGTCAAATGACGATATCATCAATCACATCTGGCCCGTGATTGAAGAGGCAAACCGCACCGCCGAAGCGTATGCCAGGATCACTCGTCATATGATTTATGTTCTGCCACACGATTGCCAGTTTCCGCGAACAGACAAGGGAAGCATTATCAGGCAAGCTTTCTACAAACAGTTTGCTCCAGAGATCGAGAGCGCATATGACTTGGCAGCAACCGCTCAAGGTGATCTAAAAGACTTGGAGATCCCTGAGCTAGAGGCTTTCATTCGCTCCACTGTTGCGAAGTCGCTTCCGCAAGCAGAGGAGATCGAACGAACTGCTGATTTCTTCTCGCTCGGATTGGACTCGTTGCAATCCATTTTGATTCGCACAGACATACTCAAAACTGTCAACATCAGCAACAACAAGCTTGGCCAGAACGTCGTTTTCGAACACCCTTCTATCGCCTCTTTGAGTGCCTATCTACACAGCCTTCGAACTGGAACTACAGAAAAGCAGATTGCTGTTGAAGAGACTATGCAAGACCTTCTTGCGAAGTACAGCGATTTCAGCTGGGTTCACAAGCAGAGCGTGGTTCTTACAGGCACTACTGGTTCACTCGGAGCCCATGTGCTTGCTCAATTGGTCAGCCGTAATGATATTGAAGCTGTGCACTGTCTCGTTCGCGCAAAAGACCACCAGGATGCAGCCCGGCGTATTACAGAGTCGCTTCTTCAGCGCAAAATCTACCTGCCTCTAGAGGCACGTGCAAAGATAAACGCTTTGCCCTCTGACTTCTCTGATACTCATCTTGGCCTACCTTTTGCGACATACAATGCAATTGCCCAGAAAGTAAGTCACGTCATTCACTGCGCCTGGGCTGTCAATTTCAATTGGGGTCTTCAGTCCTTCGAGAAAGACTGCGTCGCAGGTGTGAACCATCTCATCGGCCTTTGCCTTGCCAGCTCTGCACCAGGTGGCAACGCTACCTTTAACTTCTGCTCCTCTGTCAGCACAGTCGCTCGGTGCCCCGACCTGGCAACACCTGAACAAGTTGCAAAGTTCAACTGGGCTCAAGGTATGGGCTATGCGCAAAGCAAATGTGTGGCTGAGAACATTTGCGTCGCTGCGCAAAAGGCAGGTGTCACAGCCAGGGTTCTTCGCGTTGGTCAAATCGTCGCTGACACGATCCACGGCGTCTGGAACAAGGACGAAGCTATTCCCCTTATGATGCAGTCAGCACTTACTATTAGCGCGCTTCCAAAGCTACAAGAATCTCCTAGCTGGACCCCAGTTAACATTGTCGCGCAAGCAGTGGCTGAGATCTCATTAAGCAACGCTGGTACAATCGTTGCGAATGTTACTAACGCCAAGACCTTCTCCTGGACAGACAACTTACTTCCTGCTTTGCGACAGGCAGGATTAAAGTTTGATGAGGTTGAGCCAAAGGAATGGGTTGAGCGTCTACGCAACTCTAGCAGTGATGTAGTCGCCAACCCTACATTCAAGCTTGTGGACTTCTTTGCTTCCAAGTACGACAAGGACACCTTCGGCCCGTCAAGAACTTATGAGACTACCATTGCCCGTCAGTGGTCGTCTGCCCTTGACAATGCTCCAGTGCTGGACGCTTCTTTTGTTAAGACTTTCGTGGATCAATTTATGTTCAGTGCCTGGAAGCAGCCTTCCATTGATACCGTCGAAAAGAGTTGAACTCAAAAGGAGGAGCCGTGATCGACAAGGGTGCCGCCGAACAGGCACTCCGGGCGCATTGGCGATCGCACGAGATGAGAACCGTAGCTGGTCATCGCAACTTACTATACCCTACAAAGTACGCAAAAGCTCTTCATGTCAGTGCAATCGTGGGTCCTTATGGTGCCTTACATATTTGGCTGTCAAAGAGGCTCCAGGGTTGGTTCAAGTAGCTAAAGTCACACCCGGTAGTCATTGTGAGCCGGGAATTCCATCGCGTCCGGCCTTTAGTGCTCTGTGATCTTGTTATTCCGCAGTGATTACGTGGCATCGAGCGATGTGCGAAAGGACCGCTTAAGAATGATGTCGTAGGACCAAACTACATTCTAGGCTTGTACAAAGATCTTGCACCAAGCCCTTCTCTATACAATAAAATACAAAGACTTATTTTACAGCTTCTGCCGGCATCAACAATTCTATGCATCCCCCTCTGCCCTCTAGCTTTACGCGCGAGGACGCGCAGCTCTTCCTTACTCAAATTACGGATTCACAATCTATTTACTATATCAGCGCCTTCAAATACTGAGTTCGCTGTACACAAAATGCCCAAAGCGCTCTTGTCACAGCTATACACACTAACAAGTGTGTTAATGACGAACCGTATGAGGAGCTAAGAGCTGCCGTGGCAAACGATCTAGTAGGCGGGTCATGCATACTACTACGAGTGTGGCTGTTGTAGCCTAAGATGTCAGAGGATGGCACAGAAAGATGCGTGTTGGAAGGAAAGGCTAGGCTGCTTGGGGAGCTGGACCTGATGAAGGAGGTGAAGGAGAGTGAAGCCGTGACGATATTATCCTGCAGTTAAAGAAATTGATAGTTGGAGGGCAGTCATAATCCAGCAAATTCTTTCGTTTTTCGCCATTCTCACGACGTGGTTCGCACTCGATACCATCAACTGTTGACCAAAGCACGAACTCTAACTTAGGATCGCCTTCGATTACTTGGCATTTGACCGTCTGCTGCTTTTAGAAGTGTGGTAGCGTCGACTGGAAAGAGCTCCTGGAACCTAGCTGGGGTAAAGTCTGGGACAGGCCTTCATGCAGAGCTACTCCCCGTTGGTACCTTCACAGACCCGAAGACTGACCGCGATGCTTGCGATTGCCAATACTGCCACGGACCAGAAGCCCAGCCCTACAATACCGACTCGCAATCCAATCCCCATGACCGCTAACGCCGTTGGGGGGAACACACACCTACTGAGGTTGCTGCAGATCACACCTGTGGCGTGGACAGTCCCACGCACGCTAGGGTGAGGCGTACATTCGTTGATCAGCAGACTAGTGGCGGGTACTACCCCCGTCCGACCGACAGCAAAGAGGAGAAGTACGCCCAGTAACTCAGACCACTCGAGCACAAGATAGGCTCCAGTGACTGCGCCATTCGAGTCCTTCCCAAGTGAAGGTACAAGCGCACAAAAAGGCGCCGCAAAGTAAACGAAGGGGAACAGACAGAGCGCCGCTCTCCACACCTGTATTGTGCCCCACCTCGCCTGGAGGCTTGGGTACACAACTATTTGCAAGACGATGCTTGTAAAAGAAAATATGGACATGGCAATGCCTACTGTGTGAGGCTGAAGTCCTAGGCCTCCTGAGAACTTGAACGGTAGATGCACTGCTCTGGAAGATGCAGTCGGTAAGCTAAGCAGCATGGCCCAGAGGGTAGCGAAAGTTCCCAGATGACCAGAAATGATAAAATGTGCAGTCATGGTGCTCATGACATTTGGCTGCCAAATCGTCTTTAACGACAGAAATCTTAGATTGTTGCTTTCCTGTGTTTCTTCAGGAATATCACTCCTGGGGGCTTTCTGCAAAAGACCAGTAGTCTCGCTGACATCTTTGTTACATGGGTGCTCAGAGGTTCCGGCAGATCTTGCTGTCGTGACGGACACATGTACATCAGCGTTTCTGCTACAGTCCGGGTTTGGTTGGCAAGAAGTATCGGTCAAGAGAAGAATGGCTGCAATCGCTATCAATGCCTGAATAATAGCAATGCATATGTTTGGCAAGGCGTAAGGATAGCCAGCAGCCCGGCTTTGATGCGTTTCGGTACGTACCAAGAAACCTCCTAGTAGAGGGCCTAGCATAGACCCAATATTCGCGAACAATGGAAGGAGTGTGAAAGCCCGCACACGGAATCTGTCAGCACAGTGAGTAACCGAACTAGGGGGTTCGACGAGATCACTGACTGTTTCTCTGGATTCAACGCCGCGGTCATGCATCTCACCATCGCCACCGTTGCATTCAAAGCACCGTCAAGTGTCTGCCAGGCGATTGCCTCATAAAAGGTTCTTGAGAAACCGTAACCAAAAGTCGCCACACTCGAAGCCACCAGACCAAGTACCAACACGACCTTCCTACTTGCGAAGACGCGGTCGGCTAGCCTCCCCCAAACAAGACCCGTGCATACGTGCACACCGGTCCTGCAGCCGATCAAGAAACCACATTGCGTTGTTATGGTCGCTATCGGTGCACTAGGGCTCAAATACTGAAGTTGAAAAAACATGTATGCCTGCAGATTCACGTCAGCGTCAGCAAGCCCGGCACGAGACGTGCTTTACATGAATGGAAGACGTCGCTAGAGAGTCAGTGAATCGAGCTAGCATAAGGATAAGCAATTGACTCTTAAAATTCGTCAGTCGTGTAGCAACTTCGTTATAGTTGAATCAGCGGCTTAATTACTTTGTGAGGAAGCGACCGATAAGAGGCCTTCATAGAGGGACGCCGCACCACGGCAGCCTCAGCGCCAGAGCTCTCTCCGATTTCCATGGCAGCTCTGATAAGAAGAAACCAATATCAGAGCGCTAGAGATATAGTGATAGGGTGAAGGAAAGGCGACGGTTGCAAGAAGATCTGTTCATCACGTCCTGCTCTCGGGCTATGTAATACGCTAAACGGAGCTAAGATCACCTCCGACCTCCACAATTACCCCGCTGATCGTGCGCCAAGGCCAGACTATCCAAAAACATCCTCGACGCCTTGGAACGATGCGTATGCTCTCGGATCCTCTTTGTAATCTACAGAAGGAATCTAGACATGGATCGCTTTCGAGAACTTACGTGGTGTGTCTTGCACCACTTTGGAGTACGAACAGCGCTTGGTGCCTCACGCGACGTCAAATGCCTCTTTGCGCAACGTTTTTTTCGCCTCTTCGGTTATGGAGCGACATTCCTGATCCTCGTCCAATTTCTTGCGAGCATCGGCACGTCCGACGGACTCGCTGGACTTTTCATGACATTGACCATGCTGGGTGATGCATTCATCAGCTTCGTGTTGGTTCTGATCACCGACAAATTTGGGAGGAGAAGAATCCTGGCTCTTGGCGCTATCTTGATGACCGCTAGTGGCGTAGCTTTTGCATCGAGCAGCACATACTGGGTGCTTCTACTCGCTAGCATGATTGGTGTCATCAGTCCCAGGTGAGTACACCATAGATGTACGGCGTTGCGCTGCTGACACATCTCTCAGCGGCAATGAAATTGGCCCCTTCCGCGCGGTCGAAGAGTCCATCCTCTCGCAGCTCACGGAAAAAGATGACCGCAGTGATATCTTCGCGTGGTACACTATGTGCGGCACTGCTGGCGCCGCTCTTGGAACCATAACAAGTGGGTGGATAGTTCAGACGCTATCAAAGAACACTTCCGCAGGAGGACAAGCTAAAGGCTATCGAGTCATATTCATTCTCTACGCCGCGCTAGGAATCGTCAAACTACTCCTTGTGCTCACTCTCAGCTCTGAAGTTGAACTCCAAGTCCAAGAATATGAGTACGTTGAAGTCCTCGAACTCGATGCAGAAGATCTACAGTCCCCTGCATCCTCACCTCGAAATTCGGTGGAGGACAGGCCTCCGAGTTCAGCACACCTAAATGATGCCCAGCAGCAGCAAGTCTCTAAGTCTTCCAGACGTGATATGTCTGACAGACTCCGTACGCTGCTCCCTCAGATTTCCCGGCAGTCTCTACTCATACTATCCCGCCTCATTGTTCTCTTCGCGCTAGACTCATTTGCATCAGGCATGGCCTCACCATCTTGGCTAACCTACTTCTTCACGACCTTTCACAACGTAGAGCCCGCGACGCTGGGAACACTGTTCTTCACCACTAATATCCTAGCGACGCTGTCTAACTTCGCCGCTCTTCCCCTCGCCCGACGGCTCGGGCCTTTGAAGACAATGACGTTCACGCACCTTCCGTCTGCAATTTTTCTCGCACTCATTCCTGTGCCCAACGCCGGAAGCTGGGGAACGTCAGCTTCTATGGCTCTTCTGAGCCTCCGGGCGTGTACCCAGAGCATGGACCAGGCACCCAGACAGGCGTTCTTGGCAGCCGTGATGAAGCCAGAGGAGCGAACCGCGATTCTTGGTGTGATTAACATCGCTAAGACCCTAAGCCAAGCCGGTGGCTTAGGGAGCGCGGGAATGCTAGCGGCGACAAAATCGTGGCGGTTGATGCTGGGAAGTGCGGGTCTGATGAAAGCCTTGTACGACATTCTAATTTTGTGGACATTTCTAGGAGTACCTGATAGAGAGGACGATAGAGAGGTTCGGGAAAGGTAAACATCTTAGCGTCCAGACAGCTGTACCATAAAGGCTTTGCGGCAACGCTGCAGACGTCCAGCGATGTTGTATTTCCATCGTTTTCTTATGGTACAGCGCACGTTCGGCCCCAGCTTTATTAATTGTTCAACTTTGGCACTGTGACTAGAGACTATGCTAGCTACCCGAGTGCTGCTGACTAGATCACACACGTGCCGTATTAGCCGCCGTGGAGTACTTGTTGAGACCGATTCGATCGAGATTTCGTCTGACTAAGAGCTTGGAGTCTCGATAATGGCGACGAGGCTTTTTTTGCACCACCAGGCCCTGGTGAAATGTTTCTCTCTTCAGTTGTGCCGAGGAAACTGTGTAGGGGGCGTCCACGAAGGGTACATAGGCAGTTGGCTAGCAGCACCAGCTGAGTTATCTTCATACTGTGGGTCTTGCACAAAACTGTACTACGGATCGACAGAGCTTCAATGCAAGCCAAATATCTATTCTCCTGGTTTATTCTGTCCAAATTCCATTCCAGCGGCGTTATTCTTGCGATTTCCTGTTCGATCCATGCACAAACGGACCGGTCACACAATGAGCCATCGATGCCGGAGCGAAAATCTAGCTCACCAACGTTCGCTGGATATTGTTTATTTGCCTATACTGAGTGCATTATAAACATCAGATTCTAAAATGTTCTACACCGCTGCATTTCTGTTTACACCTCGCGTTTTTGTACCGATGTCTTTATCAGCCGTTGTTTCCCGTGGCGATGCCCCAAAAGTATCCAGACCAACTACCTAGTACAAGCACGATCAGTGCCCCGAAGTATCCCATCGAGATCGTTCTGTTCCGACTTCTGTCTCGTCCGCTGAATATGAGCTTCCTCTCAACGAGAGTACTTTGCTGAGCAACGCGCAGCTTACGCGACCATTGCAGCTGACGCAGATCGATGAACTTCCAAGACAAAATGGAAAGCGCGAGGGACACAACTACCGATACTCCAGCCAGAATAACGTACACAATGGTGACGCGATCGTACGAGTTGTTGTCGCGGTCCTGAATAACGCCTGTGATGACGCGGACGATGATGTTCATCCTGAAGTTATCGTTATTACGGTAGCAGATGGAGAGTGACACGCCCCACGTACGCATTGTTCATGGTGATCTTGAGAGCATATGCGGAGCCAAATACAGAAGGATCAAACATAGAGGTGCGGATGCTATCGATGATGGTAGCAGGGCCGAAGCAGTACGCAAATGCAAACACACCGAAGCTTGCTGCAGTGCCCTTGATTGTGTTCGCAAAGCAGACAAGTAGCATGGAAATGAACATCCCAATGCCGCAAAACACCACTTGAGGCTCGTTAGCCGTACTCACGACACGTAGATTGGAGGTTTGGTGCTTACAAACAGAGATGCGCTGCCCGAACAGGTCCAAGAAGACTCCAAGTAATGGTACAACGAAGAAGCCTGCATTAGTGAGTTTAGCAGCCGAAACAACGATCTGGAACAGTGAAAGCACCTACCGGCATACTGGAGTGTCGCAGAGTACCAACCAGCAACGATAGAATCAGTTCCGAAGCGCTGTTCAGCCAGCTCAGTAGCATTCTGCAGAAATACAATGGCGGTACTTGTCTCGAAGAGTGAGAACGTCATGACGACCCAGTACGTCCATGGTAGCTCTAGCACCTTGTGTAGCTCGAACTTCTTCGACTTTTCTGCCAGCCGCTCGCCAGTGGCGGGGTCAGTGACCCCATGAAATTTGCGGTTTGCAACCTTCGTAAACCAATAGAAGACACCAGTCATAACATTGGTAAACAAGTTCATGAAGACAGCGACCCAGAACACCCATGCGAAGTTCCCTGTTCGCTTTGCAATAATATTAGCAGATGACTTGCCTGCAAATGCGCCGATCTTGCCTATACCCAGCTCAAAGCCTAAGGTCGACGCAAACCCATTGCTAGGAGCAAACCAAGATGAGAACACTTTGTACTGCGCAACCTGGGTAGCGATGTCTCCGAGGGCGCGGACTACCCGGCCTGCAAGCATGAACTTGTATGAGCGGGTTTGCGCCGCACCTGCTACAAGGATCGAGCCGACAGAGTATATGAAGTTGCCGTAAAGCATAGCACCTACACACATATGAATCAGATTGGGATCGAGTTGCATGAGAAAAGGTACTGGATAATACCTGCACCGCCAATGCGATCTGTGACTAGTCCACTGACTAGCATCAGTGCTGTGACCATGAAATCCTCGCTGGCCTCCAGCAGCGCAAATTGTTTGTTGTTGACTTCCAGCTCCTTCTTGATTGTCGTCTTCATAGCAGCGGTGATACCTGAACTCCATTGCGAGCCGAACCCAATCGCTGTTACTAGGAGAACTGCCGTGAGCTTCCAGCGCAGTGGTGGCGGCCTGAGATTGCTGGAGGAGTCATCGTCGTCGTTGGCAAAATGGGCAAGGACGGTGGCATCTACCACTCCCTTTCCGCTACTTGCGCTGTCATGAACCTCGTCACTAGGAAGATGAGATTGGTCAGTCATATCTTGTTCAGCGAAGGTGATAGTAGTTTTGTGAGAGGACAGTTAAGATCCAGAGCCGGTACCTATATAGGCGCTTCGAGTCAGATACGACCTTTCTCTCCACTTATCCCAAACATCAGAAATCAAGTGGAGTCAAGAAAGCTAAGGCGGTTGTAGCCATAATTGGTGGTCAAGTTGTATGCGGGACTGACGCGGCTGAACAGAATGGAAAAATCATCTGATAAGATTGTGTATCGGACTATTGATACAGCTAGAGACAGATAGGAAAAGCTTGTCCACTCAGACGTCAAAACCTTACTCGTGCAAATCTGCGCACGTGGCACCTTTTAGCCCAGATCGTCTGTTAAGTCCGTAGGACCACTCTCATCTTCAACAGCAGTGGCAAGGACGAGCGTCCTTCGAGCATGTTTCCACCGTAGTGGTATCACTGAGAGCCAAATATGTATACTAGCATTGGTATATGGGACTATCACTATTAGCCAAACGAAAGGTGGTAGATGGTATGCTTTCTTTGCTTCTGCGACCCAGATACATCGGGCCGCGCTATCAGATTCTGCAGCGCTTTTGGTGTTGGTTGTAGTGTGCGGCTCGCAACGTGCACGCAGAATGTAATATTGGAGGATTGACGTTGGTACCTAGGTAACTGCAAACAGGAAAGTGCATGACGCCACAGGCGATCTTGTTGCTCGGGTTCAGCAGAAATGCTGCGTCGAGCCGTCGCGGCTAGCGACGACGCCCGCACCTCAAAGCTACGAGTCCAGGTGCTGGACAACTGCAAGCTCAAAATCGAAGAATGCTGTTGCAGCAATGGATTTCGTGCCTTCCAAGAATACCATTACACCAGCAAGAGAAAGATGGCGATCCCCAACCAAGCCATGATGGACAATGCCATGGGCGGTACTGCGCTATTCATATACACCAAATGCAACCAGTAAGCAAGCCGGTAAAGAAAAGACCAATGCCGTTGCCATCAGTCCAGCTATAAGGATTGCCAGAATATTGAACTCCGATACAAAACAAGGTAAGGCTGAAGGCATTGATGAGGTGACCAACCCAGTCCACGGAATGAAGCTTTTGACATGTGGTGAGGGAAACCCGCAGCTCTCGTAGCAGAGGGTTGTAGCCAAATTGGATTCCAAGACCAAAAGAACCACAGTTGATGTACCAGAAGATTTGAAATCCATCGGCGTTCTTGTTGCGTGTCAGCGCGCTACCGACGAGTACACCAGTGACGGCAACCATGCCCGAGACGATGTTCGCAGCAGCCTGGTAATGTGATCGGTGCTCAAGATGCAAGCTTAGAAGGGACAGCGTAACACAAAGACTGGCAGCCAAAGGCTACGCCCATCAAACAGAGACCAGCAATCGCGGTTGCGATGTTCTGAGAGTGCGACACGACGATTGCGCCAACAATTCCTCCACTGTAGCCGACTGAACCATGATTTTGCGATCCCAGGAGTCTGCGGCTTAGCTGCAGGGCAAAAGGGTCGCAAGCGTGGTGGTTGTGATGACCAAGGCAAACCGAACGTAATGTTCGGGGCTGCCTGGCAAGGCCGCCGTGGATTGAGCCATCAGAGAACTGCCGAGTAGAGCCATCAGCTGCGCGAAGACAATTGCGCATTTTGTTTGTGATGCACGTATCAGTATAAAGTAGAGCCCCATAGAACCTAAAGCTTACCACCACTGCAACCAAACCTTGGAAGTTCGTGCATAGATGTGCATTTGAACTTCAACAAGGGGCCCCTCAAGATCTCCAGGCGCGAGAACAATATTCTTGTCCTGCATTTCGTGTGTGACGGTGATGAAGCAACTATCTGATAAGCTGTAGAGAGTGAAATCGCTGAAAAGACCTGCCCCGGGTATGCCCCAGATTTACGGGTTGTATGCCAGACCAAATTAAAGCACAGAAACTTCGTGTCTGATTAAGTCATACGATACCTAGAAGCAGCTGCTACACGCAGTTGACTGAATGCAAGGCCTGATTACTGACTTCCATTTGACGGCGAACCCCATCTACGCGAGACGATGACAGAAACCCCGGCCTCTCCCCACCAGCTTCCACTGCTGACTACTGCTCTGATAGAATGGCCGTCCAACCCCGTAAGACATTAGAGCTGATGCGTACCCCGATGATTAACGACCATCAAGGTTGCGAGCGACCGCGGTTCGCGAGGCCTTCTCTAAGCACTATTCTATAACTAGAAGAACAATTCTTGTAGAGAATTTTCTACGTAATATTACTGTACTCTAGAACTTGCAGGATTGTTGACGGTAGCAAAGACGAGAACACTTTTATCCGACTCGACATGAGACATGGAACTGCCTATTGACAAAGGTGTTCTGGTGAGATTAAAGAGGAGACGGATTAAGAACAATTCCAAGACAACTCTGAAGCTTGGACCTCTCAGGAGGAGGCCTATTGGCGTTGCGATGCACCGGCTTGGACTATTCCGGTCTTCTTCACGGTGCTCCTGAAGCACGGCTCATGGCAGTCAATTCCAGGCAGGTAATCAACACGTGGTCTGGACTTGGATAATGGCGCGATGGAGCAAGTGCTGCAGAGGATTTACAGGGAACATGGATGGCCTGATCTTGAGAGCTACAGAAAAGGGGAGTGCATCGAGGCCGTGAAGGAAGCCTTGACAGAGCAGCATTTTGACTTTAAACTACTTCAATACTTCCACCACAGCCGACCTGCTCTATCACATTTACTGTCTACGAGGATTATGTTTGTGCATTAATGGCAGATAGCAGGAGTATTTCGGACGCTCAGCTCCTTGGCGCTTACAGGTAGTTAGTAGAGAGTACTGCGTCAAGGGGTATGACACATTACCTGCGTTACTAGAATCCCCAACGACATCATCAACACGAACAGCAACCCTGACTCCTACTGCCTTGTTGACAGTTACTAGCACCAAGACCATTCTACCGGTCCAGTTGCAACTTGTGCTTCGATACCTGCCGGAGTCGTTATGGCAAAATTAAGCTTAATCGTCTCCGGTTGCCTTCGCTAACCATACTATTAATGGCGTACAGCACATGCTGCTCAACACGGATGTATGTGTTTGAGTCACACTTTATGCCGCGTGTATGCTGCTCTCGAAGCCAGCCTGCACGCCGCGAGAGCAGAGCCAACGTCGCTCCCAATTCACAGTCGAGAGTGTAATAGCCAAATCATGTAGACCTGAGAGAGGGGTGTCTTGGACAACGCTCGTGATGTGACCAGCTCCAAAGTATTTCAGGCCAGCCTTTTTTGTTACAGGCTTTCATCTACAAAGACATCGCAATACCTTGTAATGCCATCAGCCAGGGGCAGACACTGTGACCTACCTTGACTTCTTTACTTACCCAAGCCCAGCTTTACCATAGACTGGAGCTGAACATTATAAGAAGATCACAAGCACGAACCGAACATAGAATTTATTCTCGAGCTTAAAATAGTCGATGTCTGTAGGGGTTTTCTCTAGCGATTGTGGCGAGAGGGAGTTGTGGGGCAAAGCATCATCTGAAGATGCGCATTTCGCGAACAGGCACAGACACGGTAAATCGGTTTGTACATCACTACCCAAAAGATTCGCAATGTAATATACGCAATCCAGCCTCGCGATCGAACTTCGGAGCAATGACTGAAGTAACGCTGCTGCATTTGAAGGCAATACCCGTTCGCGCGGAGCTATGCACAGACTAAGTTTAGCCTGACGGGTTTGAACGAGCTGGCGAATGAGAGGGCGGTATGTCGCGCGAGAGGCCTGCATTATTCGGCCCCCGCGACCCATGCTTACCCATGCTTGTTTCCTAAAAGATGTAGGCTCGGGTATTTAGAGACCGCACGGTACAAAAGTGGACGAATCATCTTTCTACAGCTGCTGTGCCTGGGATGACTAAGGAAGGGAAGTTGATCCTCCTACAACCTACATAAGCAGACCATGCCGTGGTTTATCAGCGGATAAATAGTGCCCGTCGCCCCACTTGAAGGCCTGCGAGGTCTTTCTAGCAATTCCACAGTCTTTGACCCTCCAGGCCCTTACCTCCAATTTGTAACTTAATTGGGCGAATCAGCTATCGATTAACGTCGAAAGTCAGAACGTCTCTCGAAGTTCCGTGAAGTATGTTCCATCGAGGACTTCAAGGCCGACAGGCCTCAGAAACAATGGCAAGCTCGTCGTCATTTTCCCGGCCTGAACAACCAACAATAACGATAGCCTTGTCGACAACATTCACTCCGCCAGCTTCATGCACCCTGAATCGCTTGACGATCCAACCACCACCCTTTTACAACATCTGGGCCAATGATCCTGTCCCGGTCGCTAACACCACATTTACGGATTGTTACCCCAGCGAATTCCTCCAGAGCTACACGTCGGTATCTTCGGCGAGTGTCGGATCGAGTGTGGTCCCTGTCATGAGTCCCTTAGTATGTCCGCAGAACTTTTGCGTTCAGTTTGCACGGGAAAAGTACATGGCATGTTGTCCATCGTAGGTCGCCCTCTCGCTAAGGACCGTTTGTCGATTTGCAGCTGACGATTGCAGAGGGTATAAATTCACCCCACCGGAAGACCCACTCATAGCGAGCCGTCCAGCCTATGGCGGTACATGTTACAGCCCCTTCACGATGGGTGTGACAGAAACGGCGGTGGCGTACGACGAAGATGGATCGACGCGTTTGCAACCGTGGGCTGCTACTACAACTGGTGATAATGCTTATGCGCATCCCATTGATGGTTTCGCCGAGAACACTCCTTCCGTTGGTTGCATCGCTCCGATATCAACGTCGCTACCAAGCAATTCGTCGTCAGCTGAGACTACATCTTCGCTATCAAGCACGGCGACACTAAGCGACACAACAACTGCGGCAGGAAACTCTAGCAAGACTTCAAGCGCAACAATCGCTGGTGCTGTTGTAGGAGCAGTTGTTGGACTCGGCGTCATCGTCGGTCTCATATTCTTTCTCCTGCGAAGACGCAAACATCAACCAAGGTCCAGCGAACCCGAGATTCATCAAATCGACGACACTCCGAATCACAAAGTTGAGAAGGACGGAAAAGTGATTCTTGGTGAAATCGATGCTGGCGTTCCAGTTGCCGAGCTTGCGGCGCGCCCGGACAAGTATGCCTATGTTCAGGGCGCACATGAAATGCATGCTGGAGTTGCGCACGAGATGCCAGCAGGGCCCGAGTTGCATCCCAGCAAAGACCGCACTGGTCCATCTGAATTATAGTAGCCTGGATACAACAGTGGACACCGAGTTGGTCAAGGCTCTGTAAAAGATTTTTCCGCTGTTCCGAGCTGACATGGCTGAATGCGGTCCCACCAGCTTTGGGTTCTGAGTTCATTGTTTGACGGGCAGAGTAACAATGGCGGACAAGGCTTAATTCCAGTTTCTTCGAGATAGTTGACCGCATCGCTGTCCGATTTGAAAGACACGAAGCTCGGGATACCGACGGAATCTGTGCGACTCAACTTACATCAAATTCTCGTTGACCCTCCATCGAATGTCACCCACGCAGCATGGCATGCCTTGATACCGGGCCAAGATGGTGAAAAGAACGATTCGAATGGTGTGATCTCGAGCGGTAGGCCCTGATTCTGCTCGATCTACATGGCAAGGTTGTCACTAAAAGTCCCGAGAGATGTATAGGATAGCAAACCTGACGGACTAAGCGGCCCTCATTACCAAAATCACGGCGTTAGCATGTTTCATCAACTGTATTGTCTGGTACGTCCTTCGGGAACAGTCAAGCCATAATCGTGATCGCAGCAACAGGCTACTATGGCTATAGATTAGTGTCAGAGATATTTTCTATTTGCCATTGTGTACTGCAGAAGTTGTTGTACCAGCTCTCAGCCAAGTTAACTATCACCGCGTAGCATGTTGTGACAAACAAGAGGGTAATGATGTTGATGGTGATGTTCATTCGTGAGTCTTAAAGATGACGATATCGTGACACCTGAAAAAATAGTATATACAAGAAGGAGTGAGGTCGCTAATACCGAATCTAATGTCTACACAGTTTACGCTTTGTTCATCCTTGCACTCCTGCTCCCCGTAGGGTTGAGCTCAAGCATCATTCCAAAGCTCTGAGATCCCTTACTCGAGCTTGGAAGGGTAGGGGACTAGAGTAATGTAGGCAGGCGAGACACCCTGGCAGACGAAGTCGTTGGGGCCGGCACCACCAGCGCGGCAGTAGTTGGGGAGAGTGGTGGTAGCGACGTACTGGATGTCATCGGAAACATCTTGCTTCAGGAGAAGACCAGAGCGGTCGCTGTTCCACGCCCAGTAGATGAAGGAGTTCTTGCCACACTCGTAAAACTTGTTGTCCTCAACATCGCCCTCAGATGTGCAATTGAAGTCGGCAGTGCCACCGTTGGTAGCCTTGACGTTGAATTGGAGAGAGCTGATAGTCTTGCCGTCGAGCTTGCGAGCGTAGAAGTTGTCAATTTTCCAGACGTAGTCTCCCTGCTGGACGACGGGGCAGGTCTCGGTGCGGACCTCAAGGGGAGCGGCCGTGGAAAGGCCAGCGGAGGCGAGGAAAGTGGCGGCGATGACCTTGAACTGCATTTTGAAGGTGTTGATTGTTCAAAGATGATTGGTAAAGGTTGAAGTCGTGGTGATTGGTGATGAGATGTAGACGGTTGTTGTGCAGATGGTTGTTTGATGCTGTTCAATGGAGGAGATCCTCTTGACTTATATACCTGACGTACGATCATCCCCTCAAAGGATATTGCGGCATTTCGAGAGCAAATACGATTTGCTTGACGTCAAGGGACACTGTTTCTCGACAGAACGCGGAGGTTTCAGTTACGAGCTGCCTAACACGAGCAGAAAATGTAACTGCAAGGCTCGCTGCAACATAATTGGAAATCGCTTGTGCTCAATGCGGTCACTAGTTACTTTTGTGTGGCAAATCGTGGTGTAGATCCCTCGGCATAAATGGTCCGACACTTTTGCAACCGTGGGATAAGCTCAAAGATGGTGCGGCTGTGTTGACCGTATCCACTCAACCCGCAATGCCGGAGCATGTGGGTATCGATGCTCCAGTTACAACACTGTAAATACACCCTGAAGTTGCAACTCTGATGGAGCAAAACGTCTGCCTAGCGGCCCGGTGGACAGTCGGAAGCACCTCCGTGTATGGTCATATGGCAATGAACCTTTCGCTGCACAGCTAAGCCTCGTGTTGACAGCGAGCCGGTACCTTCTTTACAATCTAGCTGTCGCCAAACAGTTATTTTAAGACTTTTGGGGATATCGCCGCTGTGGATGCTGTATGAATGAAGCGTTGGAGTTTGTCGGCTTATGTACCTTCACGAGAGACTGAAGCATCCTTGTCCAGTGCTGCGATATCTGTTTGAATGATCTGGTTGTGACAACAGGTATCGTGAGAAATACTAACATCAGGGAACGTTTGTCAGAGCAATGAGAATGGCAGCGTTGAACCCCGGGTCACCTTGGGTACGGCGACCCTCGTTGGAGGTCCTCCGCCTCGGTTACAACCTGAACCCTTGATTGGAGGTTGCAACGTCTCCGGCGCTTCGGCGTAGGGGTTTGCGCCAATAGAGAGGCTACCAGCGCCGATACGCCGAATACAGCCAAGATGGCGACCTACGATAGAATTGTGTGGGTGTATGGGTGGATCTGTGAGATCATTGTCGGGCTCTCGTGTGGGGCTGTCGATCAGAACCCACTTTATTGGTGCGAGTGGCCTGTGTGAAATGTGACTTCATCTTGTTCGTATTGCAAGCCACCGGACACCACCAAACCCTCATACGATGCATGTGAGCAAGTGTGTTGCTATTTACGACGTGGTAGAAATTAAGTCCATGATGAGATCACTTCACCAGCTTAGTATCAGACATTACGATGATCAACGATGACCGGGTTCCAATGGCTTGGAGCAGAGCCCAAGCTTGGACCTCCAAAACCCGATGTACATCCGGAATCCTCGGAACGCATCGGGCCGCACAACAGCCTGGCACTCTTTCTTTGATCCTGCAATAGCCACCTCGGACTCCACTTGGCTTCACCAACCACGGAATAGGTACTGTATATACGGCATCTTGTTGAATATGAGGGACTGGTGTTCGATAGCACGAGGCAGAGCCAGACTGGGGCCTTGAGAACACGTTAGCGCGAACGTGCATTGTCAATTCTGATGTGTTCCGTGATTAGTGGTTACCCATGTGCTCTCTTCGCACGCACAAGTTCCGCTACAGCAAGGTTTTGATTGTGTGTTACCTTCGAAGACAGCGGGTTCCGTCACCGTCATTCTACATCTCAGTCAATGTACCTCAATTCGAGTCATTCTCTGCCTACGATTTTGAGGAAGCATTCATCATCCGGTAGAATTTATACCAAACTCATCCATGCTCGCTAACGTCCCGACTAGTGGTAACGCTTCGTCTCCAGCTCTGCTTGCGCAGTCTGTTGCAACTGCTAGAAGGCAAGATTGGCTAGTGACTTCCTAGTCGTGTTCGTTCGCAGTAGCTGTTGGTATCTGCTAGGCAAATGCTAATGTTCGACTTCCATTATCATGTGCGGGCCTCGCGGCAGGGAGTAGGAAGAAGAAGGTAAAGGTGGCTATGTGCAGTCGCAGCCGCGATACGTAAAGCAGCTAGAATGCTTACAGACTCCTATGGGATTCTGTAATCGCTACTTGAAAGATCTTTCGTTCATCAAAGGACATGAATGGTTCTCGTCGTAGGTATACCAGCAATTGCCTCAACGGATCAGCTGATGTGTAATGTCAAATTACCTCGAGCACATATGGCTGTTCTAATGGAATTATCACGGCAGAGCACGTCGGAGTATTCAGAAGCCACTCAGATGAGATTTGAATAGCTTAGTAGCGTCACCATCTTGCTGGAGGCGCTCAGCAGAGTGGCCCAAGTCACCAAGCATGTGACCTATGACTGAGCCGCTCTACGAGCTTGAGGAACGTTACTCCGTACGCTCCCTATATAGTTTCGTTCCATCTGATTTCACAGGAGATCAATGGTCCAACATATCGATCATCTGAATACGCTCTTGGTTTCTTGTTTCCTTCACAGCAATTAAATATAGCAATGATGCCAACAGAGATTCAACTGCAGCTTTGATCTTGAAAGCTTTCGTGACCGTTGGCAAGTTAAATAGTCTAATTCAAGGAATGAAACGCTTGGCTAACATCGATACAGCTCTACACAAGCTTCTTTGACGGTGTCAGTAACGCCGCCAGTACGTTTGAACCGAGCATGGAAGGTTTTCGAAAACCTTTGCCCATGAACAAGTGTTTGATAAATTTACGGGATAACTGTTTGCTTTCCTCGGCACAGGTCTTGGTATGGTTGGTGGTCCTTTGTCTCAGAAAGTCATTCTGTCAACCAGATTCTGTATCAACATCGCTCTCTGACTTCCGAGATGCAAGCTTAGTCGCCTGCGCAATATCTTCTTTTCTTCAAATTAAGTATATGAGCAATTCGCTGACTTAACAATAGCTCACATCACATGTGAGTGACAAGCAAACATCCAAATGAGAAGGATTAAGGATAAGGGCGCGCAGATGTAATGTTGCATTTACAATTACTAGTTTTAAGAATCTGTTGATGATCATTCCTCATCGTCCTCCCTTTGTCGCTGTCGGTTCAATTCATCAATGACCTTCTTTCCGCATGCCAGTACCTCCAATGTTCGACTCTTGTTGTCATGATCCCGCGTCTCTGGGACGAGAAAGTGTGTTACCACCGCGCCGGCGACCATGAAAGCACTCATAACTTGCAGGATGTGACCAAAGTTTTCACGTTCCCAGTCATACTGCTCGCCCTGATCATCGTTCTGGAATGCGTACGCGAGGAAGATTTGCACGACCCAAGACCCGAGTTTCCCAGCCGCAGCTGCAATGCCGTGGCAGGCACACCTATAGCGGGTGGGAAAAACCTCCGCTGGTATCTAGAGATAGTGAGCCTTACTGACAAAAGTCTCTAGGCGGCCCCGACTTACGATGAAGGTGGTCACATTTGGACCCAAGTTGAATGCAATATGGCTCAATACATACAGCACAATTAATCCAGAACGCTCCGTATCCAGGAGCTTCGTCCAGGCACTGCCCGTCACGATGAACAACATAAACAAGACGAGAAACCCCCAGAACTGAATGACCTTGGGTGACGCGTACTTAATGACTTTGATCATCAAAAGTCCACCGATAATGGTTCCGATCGAAACCATCACCAAAGTGTGGAGACTGTTGTCGCGCAAAGAGTCAAACACGCTCGGGCGGCCACTCTTGGGATCCTGCCAGATATGGCTAACAATCTGTGGCGAAGACATACCGAGACCGTAGAACGCGAAATCTAGGAACAGCCATGCCAAGGATGTTCCCAGAAGATATTGCCAGTTCCCTTCCGCGATAAAGAATTTTTTGGCGTCAGTCCAAGATGCGAGTGGAGGCACATGGCTCGGGTCACCGGGTGGAGATGAAGATTCCAATGTGCCCACTGGCCTTGTGAATACTGCACTCGACCTGTTCTCATCGTCACTGTCGCTTTCAACAACGTCTTCGGGCGCGATGTCAGAGGAAGAGGTAGAGGGCCTGCGATGATCTTCGGTTGATGCAGGCAGTATTTCGAGCTCACCGGCCTCAGCATCTAGACCCAGAACACCGAAATAGGTTTTGGTGTCTTCATACACGGTTGAAGTGTTCTGAAGGATGTCGAGTGTGTATCTGGGGCTCTCCGGTATTGTGAACCTGAATCCTAGCGCAATAATCGCGGGAATGATACCAATACCAATAACCAACCGCCATAAGCGATCGATAGAGCGAAAACATTGGAGATCATCGATACCATCGACAGAGCATGACCTTTTGGTGTTCGTGATGTATGGTCTGTAGCCCTCGACAGCTGCCAAGGATAGCACATTGGCAAGAAATTGACCCATGGGCTGCGCAAAGAAGACGAGACTCATCATGCGGGCACGATGCTTCCGCGGCGAGAACTCAGCTGTAATTACAGCACTGAGTGGATAGTCGGCTCCGATTCCGATCCCTGATGTGGTCAGTTTCTTGAGTTTCTCCCCTTTGTCGCATTTTCTTACCCATAATTGCGCGCCACGCGATGAGCCAACCACCTACATTCATACTGTTCTTCTCACCACTTGAGCTCATCAGTAGCAGCATAGTCCCTACTATGATGACAACAAGCTCCAGGCCGTACATCTTTCGTCTACCAAGCACATCCGCTGCAAATCCAAACGCGACCTGACCGACCATCGTACCGGCCAGAGTTGAGCACATCATTGCTGTCTTTATAGAGGAAGGAACTTGTGGAACACCATCTTTGTCCAAATTTTCTGGCCAATAGACGTATCCGATCATGGGTGTGACAACGTTCAATGCGAATAGGCCAAAGGAATCAGCCAGGAAACCCACACCGGCAACAACAACGACCCAAATCTGAAATGGTGAGGCGTCGATGGTTTGAAGTGTCCATTTTCGTCGCTTCAGTTCCTACTCTCATTAGTAACATCATGAGCATGTCGAGCGTTGAAATTGCATACTGGCACGCCTTGCTGACCCTCTGTCAAATCTTCGACGCCAACGTGATGACCACGAACAGTCGGGCGTTCAATCCATTTACGAACACCCATCCTGAAATTCCAATGACAATTGACGTGTTGATTCGAAATGAACTATAGGTGTACTGCGACGCGCTGTTAGAGTGTATGCAAGATGCTGTATCTTCCTTATAGCCCAATGTTTGGTAGCGTGTCATACAGGATGCTATCAGGCAGTACTGTTCTCTTCAGCCTCCGCCACAAGACTTGATCCAGGCCGATTCAGGTGACTGTGTGACCTCTAAGTAAATAGATGGTACACCGGTGAGCCACATCCGTCTGCACAATTTCGCGAACGCCCCCGCCATGCTCCATTCGACCTCATCTCTGCACCCGGGTCGCCAGAGGCTGTCGGTGGCGTTAGATCTTACACAGCTATGAGTGGCAGCCTTGCTAGAGTCTTATATGAGCTGCGCGGTGGTCGTATTTAGTCGTGGTCTACCAGGATGAACGGCGAACCTTCCCAGCCTCCAGGTGGAGAGGATCCATAGTTGCGGAAAGCGCATATCGTAATCACTTCTTGAATTCTGATACTCAAGGTGTGGAATCCATGGACTGTATGACCCCCTCGGGTTGGTGTTCTGGCAGATCTGTCGAGGATCCAGGAATTCCATTCGTGGCCCCACGTGGTGGTCACTCGCGACCTCATTGCCCAGCTCCACCCGCCCACACGAACATGCACTGCGCCTCGCTGCGACAATACGGCCTTGCGCCTTATCTTGAAAAGGCTTTTGGTATGCCTGGAGAGCCAGAACATAGGTAATCCAATTGAGCTTGCAGTTGAGAGTGGGCGCGTGCCTACCAGGTATAGGTAGTCCGCCACAGACTGTCAGACGAGCCGCTGAGCCACGACTCCACGATACTTTTGGGATGACCCCGTCAGCCCTTGATGGAATGCATGTCCCTCTCCATTCAAATTTTGGAGAATTGATTATGGAGAGCAATGGTCTCGGTGATCTGGACAACGAAGTCAGTACATACCTGAGAGCCCGTCAATCGGTATAAGCTGCGCTTTAGCGCAAGCCCGACAAGGAGGCATGTCTTTCGGAATTAGCCCGACCGATGTCTTGAAGTTGGTGGAGGTTTCGACACGAGTGTACTTAGCTTTCAAGGGTATACTTAATGCTATCCATCTTTGGATCTGACTTACTCCCTGCAGACGCGAACGAAAATTCTGAGGTTCAAGTGGAGGGTCTCGTACGTGAATTCACGGCCTTCCATCATTGCCTGATTGAGCTGGACGAGCTCATGAGAGATTACGGAAAACCGCTTCCCTTTCCTTTCGAGGACTTCAAAGACACAATCGAGAGATGCGAGAAGAGCATCAAGCCGTATGCAGATAACCTCATCGATAAGAAGATGAACTTCACCAAGATGGTGTACACAATCAAGTACATGGGCAAGGAGAAAGAAATTGATGGACTAAGAAAGCAGATTGCGGGTCATTATCAGGCTTTACAGATGTGTATCTCGTTCCTGCAGCTGTAAGTGTCCCAGAGAGATACGAATCATCACCTTGATAACTCACATCACATAGTCGACTTCATCTCGAAGCGGCCAAGCAAACCCAACGATTGCTAGACACGGCACCCTTTCGATCGATGAGCCTGGGCGGACAATGGTATACTTCGAACGCCTTTGCAAGCACAAATCGCACAGATCCACGAGCTCTTCCCGCAGCTGATGATACCGATGGGTTATTCCAAGAATGGTTGGTGTTTAGTCGCTGGTTGAAGAGCGAGGACGAACGGGTTGCACAAGAAGCTGGTCTCACTAGACCACTATCTCTCGGCGACACACCGGTAACGACACTCAGTGGTGACGCACAGACAGCAGCCGTTCTCTATCATCTACGGAGAGAGTTGGAAGATGCTATCGTTATTGAAGAGAATCGTGCAAAAAGAACAGCTGTGGAAAGACGTACGCATCTTATCCCTAGCGATGCTGTCAGACAGGAAGTTATGAGAAACCTACCACCGGTACCACAACGAACATACACTCTTGATACTGAGTTTTCTGGTCTATTCTCGCGGTTCGACGCTCATCTAGACATGAGCGACTCGACATTCACGATAAGACCGAACAGCAATACACCATCTTCCCCAGTATCGCCAGGTCGAATATCATACGACCAGTCTTACTTTCCTGCGGCGTCTACCAGTCGCATCCCATCTATCTCGACCTCAGAAACGAGTCCTGCTACATCGCCAAATTCCATGCTCTCGAGTGTGGTGACTGTCGATACCACACCTGAACTGGGCACCTTGCCTTCCCTTCGCTCTAGGTACTCTGTGACGTCACTTGTCACTCTTACCCTTGGCGATGGCGCCCTTGAGTGGAAACGACTATGCCACAAGGTTCAAGTCGAACGCAGAACTGCTTCTAGTCCTCCAGAGTCGCGAGAATGCGACCTTCATTGGAGACATAATGAGGACGCGGGGCTTGCAATCAGATCAGTGTATCGCTCAGGCGGAGTCGTCAAGGTTTGGACCCTGCAGAGCTTTCCCGCGACGGGTCCGAGCATCCCTCTCTCGACCTCATATCCGGATGGCGATGTATCTCTTGACTTTCCAAGGTCTTCACATGGTCGGCTCGACAAACGCTGCACCGACATTAAATACACTTTTACAGGCCCAGAAGCGACGCTGAAGTTGCAAACTCTTCTGTACACCAACAACGGTATAGATGCCGCAGAGCTGCTGTTTGATCGATGCGTTTTAGCCGTTTCATCCAACTTGAACAAGCCGGAGTGCCGTGGGAAAAATGTCCGCCTTTGGAAAAGATTCGAAGAGCACAGCGATCATGTGTTGGAAGTATTGACGTTGCTCTTTTACACCAGCGCCCTGCCAGATGAACAAGCGCATTGGGTCGAAGAGCCGCATTACATCTTTCAATGGCTGTCAGACGACACGGTCAAAAAAAGCAGCGACAAGTTGACCTTGGTTTTTTCTAGGGAGCCATCAAGATGGAACAGAGACAAGCTTATACAGCGTCGGAAGTCGTCATTTACATCGACTACATCGGTTACTAACACAACTTCGACACTGCGGAAGGATTCTGGTCATGTAATAGGGAGGCCGTCTTATTCTCCCGGAATTTCGGGGTTGGTGCGTTCAGGTACACATGCTTCTTTGACGTCGCCTGCATCAAACAGATCATCGCAGCCACGGTTTGGTCAAACAAGTCGCAGAGCAAACGGAGATCTCAACCGCTTTGGATACGAAGAGTTGGAGATAAGATTTCAGAACAAGTCTGATCGTAAAGATTTTGTGGGCTTGTGGCAGCAGCACGTGAAACAACTTGTTTTGCCGTTGCGATGATCCAAACGAAATAGTAAAGTCTAAAAGAATTCGAAGTACAGTTTAATCAATCCGTTCAGCGGTTCATGCTAGTTTGCTCGCTTCTGGCCGTTCTGTGGACTGATATGGTACATCTATATAGGGTTGTCGGATCAGTGTTACGATCGAGCTGGTATGACTACTTATAATATACATCTTGCACTGCAAAAGTCATCAACACTAAAAGAACTCTGATCTAAGTACTGGCCGGAGTTGTGCTAGTAAAATTCAGATGAAGACGACACTGGCGGTGAAACAAACAAAGCGTATGTTATCTAGGATGCAACGTCGGTGCTCGCCACTCAAGGCACTGGTTGCGCTGAGGGTTTAGGTCATGGACGGGGATCGGTGAGTTGCTCTCCTTTCAACGACAGACTTCTCTTATCCTCCAACGGGCTAAGGATGCGCAATTGGATGGGTCAAAGCAAGACCATTGGATCGCAAATCATTATCATAGACTGGGTAGTACACGTTAGGTAGTGAACATTATGGGATAGACGAGTACCATCAAATCAATTGTTTCATATCAATCCCACGATGTGTCTGGAGAGGGTCACTGTGTCAAGTCATTGCTCTTCTCCTTTTGAAATTTCCTAATTATGTTTCTAGACGAGTCCCATGCGACAATACGGATTCTTGCATACCCTAAGCCACGGCAGTTTTGAACTGTTCTGGGTACTGCTGATCCTCAACTGTCGAGGCATTTCTGCTGGTTTTTGAGCTATCAAGGAGAGGCTTCAGTCCGGGCAGCGAAACGACAATTATGGAGAGTGCCATTTCGACCATGCTCAAAGGGTCTGTAAGAGGGATATCAGCACTTTGTCACTCCTGAATCTGATGGCGGGCGTTGGCGCAAAAACTTACAGACAAGGTTCTCCTGACCAGTTCCTACTTTCAGGCAAACAAAGCGCACAATGCCAGAAATGATCGTGAGGGCACCGAGCGCGAAAGTAAGTGTGACGCCACTCGAGCTCTGGAGTACGCCTCGTGCCAAAAGTATTGCCGGGATGGCGTAGACTACCAGATAACAAGCTAGATTGAGCGTGAAGTTGAGAATGAAGGGTTCCGGCGCGTAGAACACGGAGCATGCGCCATCTTCCTGACTCCATTGCACAGAGACATCTCCGCCGCAGAAGAACGTATCGTCAAATAGGATAGTGAGGTAGCAAGCGACGACAAAGCCAGTCATGCCGTATAGCATCTTGCGCATACCAGGATGAGCGGATAAGTTGAAGTACGCCCAGTAGAAGGCCAGCATACTGAGTTTGGGGAAACCCATACCAAAGTCGTAGAAGTAATTGGATGCGAACGATATCTGCAATCAGATGTGAGCCAGGGAGTATTGGGGCCAGAATGTAAGGTAAGACACACTTTTGACAGTCTCACACTAGTCTCGTAGTCGTCCAGCACGCCCATCTGGTACGTGAGGGTGTCGCAAATGATGAGACCTAGCGCATCGAGCGCTGACGCGATCAAAAGGTAATCGGACCAGTCCAGCTTCTGGCGAAGACGAAAAAGGCGCGTGTAGATGCGTGCGGCGACAAACACGTAGGCCAGAGCAAGGAGAATCCATTCCGAGATCTGTCACAATTGTCAGAATCATTCAATATTGGGTAGCAATTTCTGGATAGAGGGCATGCGCTACAGTAAGCTGACGTACCATGACATCCTTGCCATCGATATAATGCACCATCTTGTCCGGAATCACAAGGAGAGAGAAAGCGTGTATCGAAAATGGAGGTGCAAACGTGAAGAAAAATTCTACTTTGCCAGATAGACTACTAGAAATGCATCACTGCTTCAGTGAAGGAAGCCAACCCTTGAAAGCACAGACCGAACATATCAGGATCATCGACCGAGGACTTGCTACGCTTCGGGAAGGCTGCAAAGGATCGAACCACTATGAGAAACAGTTTTATCACGCAAATTAATAAGACCGGTGGATGTGTTGTACTGGGGACCTGATCCTACAGGAGTTTGTTGGTGCAGATGGCCGGAAGAATTTCAACACTACTGTGCGGCGCGGTTGAAGTGGCGTGTCAAATGGCTGAATTACGGAACGCGGGTCCGAAGGGAAAAGAATATCTACAATGCTTCAGTGGAATCCATTGCAGAGTATATCGCACTTTTTCGCGAATAGTCAACCTTGATGAGGTTTCCTTTACTTCATCCTGACTCGTGGTGTTGGACCGTACTGAAGAAGAAGCTCGCAAGGGGACCCACAGAAAATGCTTCGCGTGTGCACTTGGCTTCCAAGACATCAAAGCTCTAGGACACGGGTCGGAACCGTTACGCGAAGAACGAAGGATCTGCTACTGTGGAGCACTCACATCGCAATTCTGGGCGGGACGGCTCGCTTCAACGCCTGCCGCCGGGGATAAGCGCTCAGCTGAGCGTTTCAGTTCCACTTTGAAAAATCGTGCAGGAGTCTCATCTCCGTCCATGCAATGACTGGCAAGTTCGTCTTAGTAGCGCGAGATGCGTAAGGATCGAAGCGCGCCGTGGCTACGGTGTGTAATTATCAGACGCGAAGCCTTAGCACTCGCTAGGCAGTACCATACCGGCAAGTCTCGCGTTTACACAGTAGGTACCTAGTCTACTGCACTCATTCCTCAAGGCAAGTGCACATGATGCAGGGGGGAGAAGCTCGTGAGAAGGTCGCAAAATGACAAACGTTTCATGATGGATCAAGCTCAGATTGTAGAGTTGTTCTAGCCACTTCATTCAACGCAATGTTGATTTTGCTTGTTTTATTCTTAAGGTTTTGAGTCCGTCTTCTTGTACTCAAAACTATCGTCGACTGGCGAAAATTGCACGCTGATCCTTCGTGTCTCGTAGATGACGTCTTTCCTGTTCAACATGTTCAATTCGACCTCGCTACCGGAATCCTCCTCATTCTGGCGTGTTCGCGAGCCGTGTGTGCTCTTGTCACTCGACGAGAGCTTGAGATGCTCGGACCGCCCAACGGGTGTGCGGTGGTGATTCGAATATGAATCACCACACGTGCGTCTTGAAGCAAAGATTCCACCGCGTCTAATATATGCTCTCATTGATGGTATGGATACCACCATGATCGCGACGGCCATTTCAGCCATGGACAGAACGACTGTATACATGTCAGCTGAGGTCCAGAATATCGGTCATTTAATCGTCCACTCACAAACATTGGTCCACGCTTCGATCACTTCTATAGTTGCAAAACGAATCACGCTCACAACTATGGTAAGTACTCCAAGAGAGAAGGTTGCGACAAGTCCCCATATTTGTCGACGATTGAGCTGCAATTGATGGAGTAGGGGAAACGGCAGTACGCAGACTACAAGAATGGTCAGACATGGCTGTGATTATGGTGGGATAGACTTACTGAGCACGTCTGTCGTGATATTCATCATCCAGTCGACCCTGAACACGACTTTGGAGTTGAACGTGCTGCAGGCAGCTTCATCAAGCGACCAATTCACTGACACTTGCCGACCGCACCAGAACGTATCTAAGAAACACGTCGTAATCATGGCGGAGGCCGTGAAGAACGAAACGACGTAAAGTGTTCTGCGCAGCCATGGCATAGTGACAGGGAAGAGACGGAAATATAGCGCTATGATTGCAAGCTTCGGCAAGTAGATGCCAGTATCATAGAAGTAGTTGCCAGCAAATTGGACCTATAGATTTTTTCAGTCTCTGTCCACCTGTAGATATCGTCAAATGATATGCGTACCTTCTTGAGACCGATGGCACGGGCAGTTGATGGCTCTGAAACAGCTGCATCACCTCCCATACCACCCCAGCGGTACGTCATGACATCGGTAGCGAAAAGTGCAACGGCATTGAAGATCGAGGCAATCAGAAAGCTGTCGCTGATCGTTGGATACTGTCGTTGCACAAGTCGTGGTATCAGACGACAGAAGGCCAAAAAGAGTGCTAGGACTAGCAGAGTTGCTTCGATGGGCTAGAACCTAGAAATCAGTACGTTGGACTCTGGATTCTCACATTTTTCGTTAGAAGTTGTTACTTACTATCACAGCTTCTGGAGCAACTGATTGAACCATGGTTGCTAGTCAGTGAATGGAGTTCGATTCAGCATACCTATATTGATCGTTAGGCGGGTCGGTGTGGAGCCGCAATACCAACACTCTTTGGCTCGGGTCACCCGTTTCTTGTCCCTCCCAGCTCCCAGGAGGAATATCTGTCAGGTACCTAGGTATGGTACTTCTTCCGTACGGTTTCAGCCATTAACAGACCTGCATAAACACAGACCGGTGCTACATCCTTGCAGCACGTATGTCATTCCCAACATACTGGCCATTGGTTGCAGACCCGCAGAAAATGTTGTAGATGTTACGTGATGAGGAACGAAAGGATTCCGTCCCTGGGTTGACCGTGCATGTGCATATTGCTTGCACTCCATCAAATAGCGTCCACCTGTTCCTCCCATCTCCGACTTCCGCTTCATGTGGGTGCAATTTAGCCTGATGTTGAGTGGATCCTTTACGGTGTACCGGTAGCAAGCGGCTCGGCGTAAGCACGCGCGCATCTCATGATGCACCACTACTCTTTGATCGCTTGCACCTATCTAAATTTCACTCAGATTCCTTTCGATCGATCCACTATGGCAAATGTAGCGACTCCTCGGAAGGATACCACAAGAGTAAGCGGACCGAGAGTACGTAGTGGGTGTCGGACCTGTCGGTACGTCTCCGTACTCACAGGTTTCCCTCGACCAATCAAAGCTAAACCGTGAAGGACGCGACACGTAAAGTGTGATGAGTCGCGTCCATCGTGTCAGAAATGCATTCATGCTGGGTGGACATGCGATGGCTATGCGATACCTCTTCACAAGCCAAAAGTGGGCAGCATCGGAGCTGCATTAACAATTGTAGCGATGTCCACAACGCACGTCAAGAATTATGCGATACCGTTCAAGATACCAGGCTCGCAACAGGATCGGAGAGTTTTGCATTACTTTTGTGTGCAAGGCTGTGCTGATATCTCAGGGTACTTTAACACTCAGTTCTGGGACAAGGAGATCCTCCAGTGGTGTCATCGCGAGCCTGTTGTTCGGCAAGCACTTGTCGCACTCTCTTCTCTTCACCTCAATCAAACCACAGCCATACCATCAGATCGCCAAGTCATAGATGGTGAAGTTATTGGCAAATATGGCAAAGCTCTCCGTGCACTCGGAAGACGCATAGAGCAATCTGATTTCGAAGCGATGACTACAGCCCTGATCTGCTGTGTTCTATTCTATTGTGTTGAAGCGGGTCTCAACAATGCTGAGGCGGCAATGCGCCACCTAGAGCATGGTCTTACTATACTCAATTCTAATCCTGCGAGACAGCTCGAGAACTTTAGTACAGTGGGCCGGGTTCTCAACGGTCTGGATCTACAGGCCACGCTCTTCGACGACGCACGCACGCCACGTGTGGACCTTGCATACGCACTCGGACTCGAGGATGTCAACACCGGCAACGCCGCGGCTTTTCCACATCTTGACGAAGCTCATCATGGCCTGCTTGTAATAGAGAATCTGCTCTTTCGCTTCCTGACCGTTAACATGCCATACAAATCTTCAATCAGTTGTCAGCTGCCAGCATCCGTGCAAACTGAGAAAATCCAACTGATGCAGTACCTACATATCTGGCGACAGAAGTTTGACCGATTTTGGACCAATATCTGTCTCGATGCTGATGTAATCTCCGGCGCCCATGTCCTGCTCATCCACTGGCACATTTCCATTATGCTTCTCAGAGCAGATTATCCCGCAGACCCTCTCGTATTCGGGCAAATCCCCAACTGGGAAGCTAGTCAGATCTTGGATCTGTCCGAAGGTTTACTGGAGAGGCGCAAGTCTATGACTACGACGAGTAGACGCTTTTCCTCTGAGTCCGGTATCATTGCTACGTTGTTTACCCTAGCCATGAAATGCGCAGATGAGCAGGTGTGCAGTCGGGCTACGATACTGCTTTCAGAATGTCACAGTCGTGAGGGCTTATATGAGTCTGACAAGATGCTCAACGTTATCCAGCGCTTCAGTTCAGTGCGAGATCAACAACGGGTCTTTACGGAGGAAAACGATACCAGCGGAAATACGCTAGCTTTGGAAGTTTATTTCGCGCGAGAGCTTTGCGAATCTAATGTCCACATGGACAGACTAGCAGAGTGTTTGGACCTACTGATGGACGCTACAGAGTGACACGACACGTTGCTCGCCCGATCATGCTATCTCAAAGGTGCCAAAGTGCGACAGCCAACGCCAGGGCTGCAGGCCAGAAACTGGAGGCATCGGGCACTACAGCACTCCCCTCGAAGGGAGGCGGGGCACCAGAATCATTGAATGTCGTTGCTGCAAACCTCATTTCCTGCTTGCCAAAGTCAAAGACCGCCACCACATTGCTCAAAAAAGCATCTCCAAGAAAATTGAGGGCTATGCCCAGACCTTCGGCCGTTGGTGCGATGCTGGAGTGACATGTACCACTCGTATCATAATAAATCAGATCATCCGGGCTCTTGAGCCAGAAGGTTCGACCATCGAGTATGATGCCGACGTCTGGAGTTGTGGCGTTGCAGTCGACGATATATCTATTCGATTCTTGGTTAAAGACGCCCACAGGGTTGAATGCGGTATTTATAGATTCGGCAACATCCATGGGGAGAAGATTCATCGGGTTGCCGGTATCAACAACGGCCTGGAACGGGCTCGAGGGACCAGATGGGAGGGCCATAGAATTGTTCTTGACCACCACACCGTCGACGGTCAACGTCATGAGGCTGATCAGGCGTTGGCCTCCGGTCAAGACGTCAGGGAGAGCTTCTGTCACTTCTATTGGCTTTACCGCCCAGTCATTGGAATGTGCCACGGGAGGCAGTTCGCCCAGGCCAAACCATCCACCTGGACTTGTGGACGAGTTTCTCAGAGGCCGCAGTAGGGCAAAACTGTACCACGGCTCGACCAAGCCTTGATTGTACATGCTGACGAACACCGGGTCGTACACCACACGGTCGGAAACCAGAGATGTATTGTCGACCTCTGTACCCGGGTGTGCAGATGTGAGAGGGGGAAACCCGAGTCCAAGAATTCCACTTCCCAGACCATCACCAATGTCGTTGGTTCTGTCGACTAGGCCGATCTTTTGACCCTTGACTGTGATGCCGTTCACTGTCACATCGGCGTATGCGACCTTGCCAGTTGCAATTCCCGATCCATACTGCACACCAAATGTCTGGTTCTGGACATATACAGTCGAATTGGGGACCGTGTACGTGCTACCAAAGTGACAGTCTGCTTGCGGGATCTCAGTGTTGGTTGACGGATCAACACACTGGAAGGTGTCAACGGCAACCCAGAGGTCGCTACTTCCTGTGTCAGGGACAACGTAGAAACTTTGATTGTTGATCTTGATTTCAATCTCGAAGATGGCGCCAAACTCGGTTGAAGTGAGAGAATAGACACTGTTCTGTCGGCGACGAATAGGAAATGTCATGCTGGACGCTAGACCAGCGCATGTCAACAACGAGACTAGACGTGAGTGAAGCATTAGAACGATGTTGAAGTGGACGCTGTGTTTTGAACAGATTGATGATATCTCACATCTGCACTACAGATGTCGATACCTTATATACAAGTGACCGCGCGGTGAAGGTATCAAGTGAGCCCGCGTCAGCTCGACATTGCGTTGATGTCGCAGTGCAATCATGTATAGATCTGGTGGGCCTTACATCGCTCTTTACCTGGAAACGATGCTGATTGGCTCCGTCGTGTATTCTGATTCTTGTCGTGGCTATGTTACGAGAACGGCTACCACACCCTGGTCAAGCCACGGATGTGTGATTGGCTGGCTCGCCTATTTTCAACATGCATCCAAGGCCGAGTGCTGATATTGGACTGTATTACTGACCCGGTTGAAATTACTATTACGATCAAGATCGTGCTCACTGTCGTTCTCGCTTTAGCCGAGCTGTCACTGGTGGCATGGCTCGGCATGGCTCACTTCTATGTGGAGCGCTAGACTACCGGTGGTCTTGTATCTGGGCAGTGGAGGTAGTGGAGCCGACTGCCTGAGTTCAGTAGGAATTGAGAAGCAACTGATCATTTGCAGTGCGGTCACCTGCGGGTGACAAGTCCGCAACCCGAGGCGCAAGTCGAATAACATCCAGCTGTTCAGTGTGCTGGGGGTATGCGGACAGTCATGTATGGTTGTATGATACCATATTCAAAACGTAGCTGGTAATTGCATGCTGTCGTTCCTGCGTAGTCGAGTCATCGGCGACGCATCTTGCCATCATGTTTTTTGGTACTCTCAGCGGCTGCTCATCGGCTGAGAATTATTTTGACCGTTTACCTATGCTCGGTACTTTGCGCCCGACGACCATGGGAACCAGTCTGTCATCACCTGTGACGCATGTTTCGATGTTGTTAGGTCCCGTAAGCAGCACTGCTAACACTAGCGCCGAAGACGACCTTCAAAAATGCCATCTTCTTCAGAAGACATGTCAAGAATACAACTAGCTATAAGCCAAGCCAAAGAGGCAAAGAAAACAGCGAGGCGTTATAATGTTCTTGACACCGCCAAAAATGAAATCCTGTTACAGGAATCGAACTTTTAGCCCGACGAGGGGCTCTGAGTAATGTTAGTGCTCTGACAGATAAAGGTGATTGATGGGATGAACGTACCGAACCCTCAACCTTGAGATTAAGAGTCTCACGCGCTACCGATTGTGCCAGCCGGGCTTGTGCTGATTGATGGAAGCTCGGCGACGGCAAACATACTTGATCTCGATTATCGAGTCGCATGTCGTCTCTGTCGTGCGGTCCCTGGCATCTCCGTGTTTTCGGGTCAGGGTTTGCGTTGTTCAGTGGGCGCGGCCGGTTTCGGCGAGGCTTGCCGAGGAGCTCCAGCTCTTCATTGAGGTTGCATGCGCGTTGGAAGACGTGGAGATCGTTGAGTAACCTTTCGCGAGCAAATGAACGGTGACATTGAGTGGGCGACTCGAAGGACCATGATCAAATTGATGAATCGCTAAACGGCGATGATCGTGATGTTGTGTTGAAGGACGTCGGTCCCTGGATGGTTGCTGCCACGCGTCCAAGCTCCCGATCACAAGCCGAGGTCCACCAACACCGTCCATCAACACCAACACCATCACCACCACCTCACGTCACCTCGCGCACACTCAACCCCACCACACGCGCACCATGGCCGCACCACCGCGCTTTACATACCCTTTCGCGACCTCGCCCGACATAATCCGCTCTTACCAAAAAGACGCCTACTTCAGCGGTGTGCTCCTGGACCAACTCAGCACGCTCCTGCGCCAACTGCGCGGCGCGCGCTTCGCCCACACCTACATCTCCGAGACGCGCGTAGCCAGCGAGCTCTTATACCTCGGCCTCACCACGCTGATTGGAAACCGCACGCTGGGCGAGGAGTACTGCGACATCGTGCAGGTCGAGGGCGATGCTGGGCGACTGCCTGCGCTCGGGCGGCGCGCAGGGTACATCTTGGCGTGTATCCTCGGGCCGTATGGGCTGGGAAAACTGCTGCCGAAACTGAGGAGAAGGATGCGTGCGAAGCTAGAGGCGAATTTGCGGCGATATGCGCGTGTGCAGGCGAAGAGCGGGGACAGCGGCAAGCCGTGGGGAATGAGAGTGCAGAACTACGTGCTGGAGAACCTGGACACGATTACGAGCCCCAGTCCGGTGTATGCGCTCAGTCTGGCGACGTTTTATTTCTCGGGGAGTTATTACCATTTGAGTAAGAGAATTTGGGGGCTGCGGTATATCTTCACACGGCAGGTGCAGGAGACAGATGCGAGGATTGGGTATGAAGTGCTTGGCGTGTTATTGGTTCTGCAGATGGCGGTGCAGGGGTACCTGCATCTGCACAGCACGATGACGAGCGCTGATGGCAGCACTGCGCTGCCGGTGGGCACATCGGCCATTGTTGGTGGCGGCGCAGAGGTCTCATTGGACCCCAATGCGTATAGCGCGAACAACGCGCTGCTGTTTGATGCCTCGATGCCTCCGCCTGCTGCTGCATCAGACTTGCAGAAATGGACGCACACCCCATCAAACGACAAGCCGAAGTTCGACCTTGAGAACGAGGAAACAATGGGATGGATCGGAGGCGGTAATAGGAAGTGCACATTGTGCCTGGAGGAGATGAAGGACCCCAGTGTGACGACCTGCGGACACGTCTTCTGCTGGACGTGTATCAGCGACTGGGCGAGGGAGAAGCCGGAGTGTCCGTTGTGCAGACAGAGTTGCTTGGTGCAGCATGTTCTGCCGTTGCGAGGTTGAGAATGGTTGATTTATGACGTTACGTTCGAGCTTGTACAAGATACCCTGGATACGACAAGACTATGACACTTGAAGCGACCTTTCGCATTGCGCGGGCATTTATCCGTACTCTGACTTTCATTTGTGGTCTCCTAAGATGCTGCATCATCTCTTGAGCCGTTCGACTCAACTAGAAGGACAACAGATCGACTCAGTCCGCACCCCCCGAAGTACCTCGCCATTCGAGCGAGGACTTCACGCAAATCAACATCCTGTTAGATCAAATCAACGTGTTAACGTCCCTCAGTAATTTTGACATGCAAACGCCTGCAATCAGCATACCGATACCAAAAGACACATGTTGTGCGATCATCACGTACATTGCTACCTCGAAGCGTGGTGTTCGTATGTACGAAGGAATCGCTGTATACACAATGCAAATGCAGTGGAGCCAACCTAGTAGCTTGCACTTTATGACTTGGCGCTACACAATGCACGTATGTCGCAGGAGAAATCCTGGCGGTCATGTGGCTGCTGTGCTTTGCTATGTATCTGAACTTCACAATTAGCATCGCAGGTCTATGAGGATATCCAGAGCTTTCCTGCTACGTGCCACAGTTCAGGGTAATGAGTTCAACAGTCATGACACCTCTTCAGCTTCACAGTCACGATGCTTGCATAGTCGTCTCAACAATCAGGGTGTAGTGATTTCCATCGAGTCGTTTCATTGCTCAAATCATATCAAACATGTATATAGATGCAATTTGCAACCAGTGATTCCTTCTCGCCACAACTGTCTCATCGACTCCTTGATGGAGTAAATCTGTCTTAGCAAGCTCATCCTCCCTTGCACCACCCGTACCGCCCCAACGCTCAAACTCAAGCTTTCGTGAACGTGAAAGTCTGATCCTGGAACACCGCCGGGAAGAAGTAGCCATGCGATACTACCCGCTCCGAGACCTCAACCTCCAGGTCTGTCTCTCCGATGACAGCAGCAACTACGCGCTCGAGCTCTGTAAGCGTAATTCCATCCATCCAGGTCCGATCAAAGCGGCAAGGCGTGCGGGTAGCGATGCTCACCGAGATCGAGAGAAGGCGTGGAAGCGCATACAACAGGTTCTGCAGTGGCTGGAGGTCGACTGTAGCAGGATAACCCTCGGCTGGTTCATGGACGTATTGGATGGTGAGAGATACGTGTTCCACGGCGTTGTACTCAGTGAGGCAGCGCGTAAGATTCTTGAGCCACTTGCGGTCGCGCTTGCCGAAGTGGAGAACGAAGCGGTCGTCGCGCTCCAGGAATGAATGCTTGTATCCAAAGGGACCCAGATCGAGGGATCGAGCAAGCCCTGGCAACATGATTGTGGCGGGGCTCATTGGGTGGAATGGTCCCGGCATGGTCAGCACTGACCGTACCGAGTGGAGGATCCAGTGGCTGTTGCTACTGAATCGAGCCATGCCCTCGCGCAGGATAAGCTTGTTGGTCAAGAGCCACCTCGGCAAACAAGAAGAAGGCCACTGCGGCTGCTCCTTACAAAGCTGTCTGAAGTCCTCTTGTATTCCCTTCATGTCATCGTTGAGGTACGCCGTGATGTAGGTCTTGCTGGAGCGCTGCCAGACCTTGATCATCTCGAAGGTTTGCCAGAGGAAGTCGTATATCTGATTCCGCAGCTCCAACGGCGACTTGAAAAACAGCGAGGACGTGTCTCCCACGAAGACGAGTGTCATGATTGCATTCTTGGAAATCTTCTTGCCGCGCTCGTGCTTCTTAGTGTTGTTGCGCTTTCGAGGTGCCATTTTCAGCGATTGCTTGTATAGATGTGGGTGGTATCTTCGGAGTTTTCGGATAAGGTTGAGTCTTATGTTCGCGGTTGTGGTGTGCTGTGAGCAAGGCAGCTGGGGGCGGGGGAAATTATATGGCGAGTAGGAGCTCTCTCCGCCCCTTGGAGGTGCAGAGCTGGAACCAATTCACTAACTAGATTGGATTTGAGCAGTGAAGTGAAACGCCCTCATGGAGGGTAAGGAAGCATGTCGACATTGTATAAATCGTCAGTTGGTCGGGACGTATATATCATTGTTGCCAGAGCGGGACGACGTACACAATGTAAGTTAGCAATCCCATAGTGGAGACAGAAAACTCGCGTTTGAAGTCGCTCAATCTTCGGTGACGGTTCTGATCCAAAAATTTGCGAAAACCCGATAGTCCATCTGTCTCCACGAGTCGATGGCTTAGAAGGCGTTGGTAAGAGTTCTCACTGCGTTTGTGATTCACGCTGTTGGCCACGAGCTTCAACAGAATCTGCCAAAGGATAGCACCCCGCACAAACTGACGGTCTTGGCTGACGGTCATGTTGTCTAAGCGCTTGTGGTAGTCGGACGTCGTGATGAAATTTATAGAGAGTGCTGCTCCGTGGATCCATCAGTCATCCATATCGTATACAGCTTTCTCAGCGGTCGAGAGACTCTGGTACAGCAAGATGCCGTAATTCGTACCATCTGAGGTCCTAAATGTGGTAGCTTTAATCCATGCTACTCAACAGCTTGAACACAATGCCCTGCTCAAAGCGGCGGTGGCGAACATCCAGCACCGCGGCAAGAACGGCCACATTCCCGCGCGCTGGACAATGGCTTGAGCAGGCGTATACGATGCAGGGAGTCGGCAAAACTGGGCTGAAGGCGCTCAAGAGTATTCTGCTTACTGCGGGTCTGAACCACCGGATTCCCTTGTCATTGCTGGGGACGGCGAGGGAGGTGTTCGACGCTGCGACACGGTCATGTTCGGATCTCCGAGAGGACTGGTCGAAGTCTCTGGAATGGTATGATTAGTATCGCGGTTGCCCTGAATCGGTCGACGAAGGGCCAGGGCTGGAGTAAACGCCGTTTTAAGGAAGTACGATATATGCATCTGTGAGAGACTACTCTTTCTGAGTGCGGGGACTCTATAGTAAGCTGCGATGCACACCACATTAAATACTTTGCAGCACTTTCGTTTGTCAACTTCCATACTTCACCCTGCAAGACAGCAAACTGAACGTATAGAGTGAGTTAGACGCGTTCGACACGTTGTGGCAAACACCAATATCACGATCGAATCAGTGCAGAGCCATCTACCTTGACCCGCAATACCCAACACCAATGCTCACAATACCTCTCGACTTGTTTGAACTCAAGTCACTCTTGATTCATTGGGTCTCTGTACATCAAGCGCTGATAGTGTAAAGGCAATAACCTCAGCGTTTCCCAGTCGCATGAGTCGCGAGGCGAGTGCTTGAGCGGGTTGCGCTGCTCCGATGTCAGCGCATGGACGGTCATCAACATGCACCCATCCAGTCTCGAACTGTGGCACCTTTGTTTTCTGTTCATCGCTGTTATCTTATCCCGCCAGGTTCTTCGCTGCACTGACACGTCGCCGCGGGCTGCAGATGGGTAGCTTAGTAGTCAGTGCGAGTGTTATGCTGCAGACGCTCGTTGCTGCACTGGTATTGCTGATTTAATTGCTACTGTGCTACCATCCTTATCGTCACCTGCTTTACTTCTTATTTGCGTAGTGTTAACGAGAAGTCAGACAACTAGCAGTGTGTTATGCTTAGTGGCTAGGTAGAGAGGAGTGCAGGAGTAATCTACGACATTTTTGTACTGTGGAACGAGTCTTCTATTCCAAGCTCAAGCCCCCGGACTTAATCAGTGAGCGGACAAACGTAGTGATGGCCTTTACACCAATAGCTGCAATCCTATCGCCGTCTCCTAATCCCGGGTTAAACGAGCAAACCGTAAGGGAGGTAGGCGTGGCCTTCTGCGGAACCAGATCCATGCACCTGAGAAGGTCGTCCTCTTGCAACCCCCCCGGGCTCTCAAAGCCGTTGACCTTCCCCACCGTCTCGTCCAAGACATCAAGGTCCAGGTGGACTAGTGCGGGCGAGTAATCTCTCTTACTCAGAGCTCTTGCAAGCTCCCCCGCGAAATCCACCATTCTGCCTGCTTCACCCCAAATGACCTCGGCGCCGGCGTCTCGCACCGTCTGCTTCTGGCTGTCCTCGACATCGCGCAGCCCGCAGTAAATCATCTTGGTGTACTCGCGCCGCCGGAAGCCAGGGATAGTGTTTGCCAGCCGCTCAAAGCTTTTCCCCGCGAGCATCGATAAGCCCATGGCGTCCAGGTACCCGTTCATGTTTGTCGACGGCGTATCCATGTCGTCGTGCGCGTCGAAGTAGATCCACCCGAGCTCGGCAACATCCAGACCGCACGCCACACCGGCGCTCGCCATGCAGTTCCCGGACAGTACAAGGGGAAAGGAGTGCGCGGCGCGGACCTCCGCGACGGCCTGCGATGTGCGACGCAGCAGCTCGAAGCTCCGGCCGATCTCGCCCTCGAAGTCGTCGACGGGCGGCAGCTCGAGGAAATGGACCTGAACGCCCAGCTTTTTGAGCTGTTCTGTGACTCCCGCGGCGCGAATGCGGTTGGGCCCGTCGCCAACGCGGTGGTCCCGAAGGCCGACGTGGTACGGGGAAAAGATGATGGATATTGATTTTGGAACCATCGCGAATCAACTGACTGTAAGGAGTTTAGGAAGTAGATGCAAGGAGTGCGCAAGAGGGAATTTAATAAGGAGTCTAAATATTTGTTTTCGTACATATGTTTAGCGCTAATCATGTTTGTAGCCTACATAGAGCTACTTTTCTTGTTTTAGACTAGCTATATTTAATAGTACTTAGGCTATCTAGAGGCTATAAACCTACCACAGCTCTTGGAAACCGCACGGGATTTACGATGCATCCTCGGAATATACTTCGCTGCAACAAGTACGTAACGACTTTTGTGCCACAGGCAGAGGGCCTTGGCCTGTTTTGTAAGGGTTTTCGCGATATACCTCTGTTTTTCGTGCTGTTCAAAAAAAAAACCCTACTACATCACTATGGTGTCAGGCATAATTAGTGTAGGTGGAGAAGGTCGACTGGGGTCCCTATCGGATGCAGCAGAGTTGCTCTGTTGACTAAATAATATCCATTTCCACTCTTATTTGTATATATTACGATGCTAACAGTCTCTTCCTCTACCTCTGAGACACCACCAGGACCGCTGCTAGGCAGTAATTGACGCTCAGGGAGGTAACACAAAGCACTAGAAGATAGCTATAAGACATAACAAAGCTTAGCTTAATTTACCCGAAGAATACAGCTAAACACCCCTGTTAACCTTCTCCACCTACACTACTTAAGCCTAACACCGTAGTAATTAAATACTTCCACATAAGACATCTTCCTTGTTATAATCTAGCTACTGTAAACCCTACACCCTACACCCTACACCCCACCCCAAACCCCAAACCCTACACAAAACGCCCTACCCAGATAAACCCCTCTAAAACAAAAACACAGAGTATTACACCACACCACGAAACACAAAAACACAGCCCGCTACCAGCATCCGTGAATTGTGCATTCTGCCCCGGACCTGTGTGCGGAACAGCGAGACCCAGATGATGTGCGAGGTGGTTGATGTGGTATATGTGGAGTAGCACTGCTGAGTAGTTTCGGGGTGGGGGTGGGGGTTTGGTGTTTGGTGTTTGGTGTTTGGTGTTTGATGTTTTGGAGTTGGGATCTAGTATTTAGGAGTCAGGAGTCAGGAGTTGGTGTAGGATCTAGGATCCAGTGCTCAGTGCTTAGTGCTCAGCACCCAGTCTACCCAAGTCTACCCAGCCCGGCGACACAACGTCTCAGCACCCCGGCACCCCAGCACCCCATCCCTCCAACCCCCTCCAGCCCCCCAGCCCTGCCCCGCCACGACATCTTCCCCTCCCCCAGTCCCTCTGACCACCACAGGCGAGATCTTCCGCCCGCAGCAGCCGCGGCCACGAACCCAGCAGCCGCGGGATGAAAGCCGCGTTCCCACGCACGCAGAAGAAAGTGAACAGTGCATGGGTTATCGTGAATTGCTGCTCTTGGGTGTCAAAGGGAACGAGCCTGGATTCCCTTTCTCGAGACGCAGGATCTGTGGGGATGCGTGCGTGTGCTGCAGCCCCGTTACCCCCGCTGTCCTATTGTCGCACCCCGCCCGAATACAGCGTCTGTGACTGGACTGTTTATAACTGCGCCTTGTACGACTGCACCGTCTACACCCCCCCCCCCCCCCCCCCCCCTTTCCAGCTACGTAACAACGCTCTTCCCCTCCCTCTTCCTCCCCCCCTTCTGCTGCGCAGCCTCATGCCGCCTCAAATCCTCCGGGACCTTACTAATCGAGCTCCTGCCCAGCATCTGTCTAAGATCATACAGCACCTCCGCGTCCTCATTGCCCCAGAACGTAATCGCCACACCAGATTTCCCCGCGCGGCCCGTACGACCAATGCGATGCGTGTACGCCTCGATGCTGCTGGGCATGTTGAAATTGACCACGAGCGAGACGTCGGGGACGTCGATACCGCGGCCTGCCAGGTCGGTGGCGACGAGGACGTCGGTGCGGCCGTCGCGGAGGGACTGCAGGGCGGCTTCGCGCTGGTCTTGGGTTTTGGAGCCGTGCAGGGTGACGGCGGAGAAGCCCATGTGTTTGATGTCTCTTGCCACAGCGTCGCAGTTGCGCTTGATGTTGACGAAGACGATGATGGGGGGCGCGAAGGCGCGGGAGTTGAGGATCTCGGCGAGCCGCTTTTTGCGCTTTTCCTCGCCGGGGAGGTGCTCAGCGCGCTGCTCGACGGTTTCGACGGCTTCGCCGGCGTTGCCGATGGTGACGATGGCGGGGCGCCGGAGGTACTTGCGCGCGATGCGCTCGACGGCGGTGGGCATGGTGGCGGTGTACATCATGGTCTGGCGGTACATGCCGCGCTTCATGGCGGCGGCGTCTTCGGCGGCGTCCGAGTCGGGTTTCTCGTTGTTGACGGGGAGGGCGTCGAGGATCTTGTTCACGGGCTCTTCGAATCCCATGTCGATCATGCGGTCGGCTTCGTCCATGATGACGTAGGAGCATTGTGAGAGGACGAGTACGCGGCGCTCGATGCAGTCGACGAGACGGCCGGGGGTGGCGATGATGATCTCACAGCCGTCGCGCATCTGGAAGGCCTGCTCTTCGATCGAGTGGCCACCGACGATGACTGCCGTCTTGAAACCGAGCGGATTGGCGAACTTCTTCGCCTCGACCTCGATCTGCTGCGCCAGTTCACGGGTCGGGGCGAGTATTAGAGCGTAGGGGCCGTCGTTGCGGTTGGCGGGGCCCAGCGGGGGCAGCTGCGAGATGTAGACGAGGAGCGGCAGGATGAAGGCGGCCGTTTTACCGGAACCCGTGACAGCGACGCCGATGAGATCGCGGCACTGCAGGGCGATGGGGATGGCAGCGCGCTGGATGGCAGACGGCTCTGCATAGCCGGCCTGGTCGACGATCCGCATGAGGTTGTCTGGCAGACCGGCTTCCCCCCAGTTGCGCATGGGGTTGGGGATGGCGCCGCCCTTGGTGGCAATGTTGAAGTCCTCCTTGAAAATGCGCCAGTCGCGCTCGCGCATGTGCTCGAGCTTCTTCTCGCTCCAGTGCTTGTCCAGCTGCGCGCGGCCGCCCTCCTCCTTGCGGCGGCGCTCCATTTCGAGGATGGCCTCGGCACGTGCACGCCCGGACTCGGGGTCGCGCTCGATCATGGCCTCGATGAACTGCTGGGTGCTGCGCTCGGTGGTGGCTTCGGTGAAGCCGCCCAGCTTGCCGCGGCCGAAGAAGTTGGCCTCGGCCCTCTGCTGGTAGATGGGGTTGTAGTCGTGACTGGTGTCCTCTTCCTCGTTCCACTCAAAGTTGAATTTCTTCTCCGTAGTGCGCTTGCGCTTCTTCTTGGCCGAAAAGGTCGACTGGTTCTGCTCGGCGCCCATGTAGCGATTCCGGATCAGCGCCGCCTCTGTGTCCTCGGGCGGCGGGCGCTTGCCAGCCTTCTTCTCCGGCACTGGCGGCGGTGCCATATCTTTACTGCGTGGGCCGTCGCGCGCGGGCGCTTCATACCGCATCGACCGCGGCCCTGTGGGTATTGATGTGCCGTTGTGTGCTGCAATCTCCCGAGTCCCGTTCCCATTCCCATTCGCAATCCCATTCCCATTCACACTCCCACTCCCCCCCGCGCCCTCCCTCCTCCTCCGCGCCTCCTCCGCCTCCTTCATCCTCTTCTCCAGCGCAATCCGCTCGCGCTCCGCCCTGGACAGAAACTTCGGTTTCGCGGCCGCAGCCTCCTTCTCGCGCTTCGCCTTGAGAATGTCGTCGATGCTCGGCGGCTGCTTCTTCTGCGACGCCCATCCCTTCTTGACTTTCTTGGGGAGCAGCGCGGGGCCGAGGGACTCGTCTTCAGGTGGAGGCGGCGGCGGCGCATCGAAGGGTGGTGGGGGAGGCGCATCCAGCGCGGGCGGGGGTGGTGGTGCCCCGTTCTGCGGCGGCGGCGGCGGCGGCGGGTAGTCCATGGCGCCTCGTACTCTGTATTCACAGGCGCGGCGCAGAGCTGGTCGCGAAGTAGCGGGCGGAGTACGGATACGGATACTCTGTAGCGAGCGACAAGCGCTGTGGAGCGTCGATGCGGCGGCTTCGTGGCGCGGACTGCGGCTGGGGTTCGTGTTGTTGGTGCAGGTGGAAGGGTGGACGTGCAGAGTTAGCTGCGCGGCGCATGGGTGGGTGAGGTTTGGTTAGGTAGGCACGCTGTCACGTGCGCGTCATCAGTATATGCCCGATGAATAGATTGAACAGAACATTTCAAGACATTGCAGTTGCACGCTGGCTTCACGTCGCTTTACACTCGCTCACGCACATCACACACCTCATGAGTAGCAGACTTCTCATTGATCTCTACCCTGTGCACGCACAGCATATGCGATACCGTACCATGCAGTCATGTCGTAATGTGAAGCTCGACGCCGGCGTGCCATCGCACCCGCGCGGCCCCAGTCGTATCAGTCGTAGCCACCGCACCACGCCCGCTCAGTCCTGCCTGCCCTTCAGTAACCGCTTGGTGACCTTGTCCTTCTCGATGATGTAGACGTGCGCGCCCCAGCCGGACAGCGCGTCGCGGTCGACGGCGTTGAGCAGCGCTTGCGAGACCGTCTCGAAGAGGTCCTCTGGGCCCTGGTTGCGTTAGCCATCGTCTCACTACCCTGCTGTCACGCGTCTTACCAGATCCGGCTCCCACAGGCCCTCGCATGTGCCGAACAGCTGGTCGCTGGCGGTGCCGCTGACGATGAAGTCCTTGGCAAAGTCGATGCAGCCGATGCTGTCGAAGCCGCAGATGAACGGCTTCCCCGTTGTCTGGTTGATGCCGGCGATCACGGGGCTGACAAAGTACGGGCCGAAGCGCTTCTCGTACAGCGACGACGAGACGAGGTTGGCCATGGTCTGCGGCGAGATGTTGCGCTCCTCGCGCAGCCGGTACATGTTGACTTTGTAGCGGAACAGGTCCGACACCGTGGCCACGTCGGTCGCCAGCCCCGTCAGCCCCAGGAAGACGTCGCCGTACTGGAACACCTTGGGGAAGTTGTTGGACACCGTCAGCGCCTGCATGCCGAGTCGCAGGTCGCACGCAATGGCCACGCAGTCCTTGCCGACCATGGCCACGCAGGCACCGCCGTCTGGTGCTGTCAGTATCCGCTGTGTGTGCACTTCCGGGGATTCGTACTTATCGAGAACGGGGACGACTGCTGCGGTTAGCTGTGCTGCGTGCCGCGGCGGGCGGGGGAGCTTACCATGCTGTGAACCTGCTTCTTTTCTGCTTACTTGCAATACCGTATCAGCCGACGAGCGTAGGAGTACCCTGAAAGTATCACAGCGAGTGGGCACGAAAGCGGGGAGAGCAGCGATACGCAGCGATGGAGCTCGCGGCAGGTAGCAACAGCTACGCAACGCAGCGCGGCGACGACCCCGGCCGGACTCCGGGCTTGGCGCCTCAAAAGTTCCCCAGCACCATCGCACCCCATCACCACCACCGCACCCAGCACCCCTCCGCCCGCAGCAATGGCAACCCCCCAGGCCCTCGAGCTCGCGAAATCGCTGCCCCCGCGGCTGCTGCGCTTCTTCCAGCGCTACCCGCCGCCGCAGCTGTTCCCGGCCATCACATCGTCCATCGCCGCGGACGCATCGACCGCACCAACACCCGCGACCACACTCCCGCCCTCCACCGACGCCGCCCCCGCCCCCATCGACCCCGTCGACCCCGCCGCCCTCCCCTTCCCCAACCCCTTCCTGCCCAGCAAAAACCACCTCACGGGCCGCTGGCACAGCCCAACCTACGGCCTGCGCAAGCAAGCGGACCTAGTGAAACTCGCCTCAGCCTACGGCGTCGTGGACCTGCTGCCCTGGACGATCAAGAAGCCGGGCGAGAAAGAAGCGCGCCGGATTGAGCGCGGGCTGGCGGTCAAGGGGACGGGCGTGGGGCAGCGGGTCAAGGGCAAGCTGTGGGAGCGCACGATGAAGGGGCGGCTGGAGATGCGGAGGCAGGCTATGTTGGATATGCCAAGGTTGATTCAGGAGTGGAAACAGGTATGTGCTGTGACTGTGATGGGTTGTGGGGGTGCTGACGTGCGGACAGAGGGGGCATGGGCGTGGGTGGACGAAGTGGCCGAGTGGGAAGGCGAAGAAGAGGTAGAGGAGTGGAGAATGAGGATTGGACGGGAATGGGCCTGGGTCTGTGTATGTGTATGTGTATGGATTGGTGGGCGTGCTTTGGACAGCGGGACGGCCTGCTTTGTATCATATCAGCGCGAGAGAGCTGGAGCGGTGCAACGACATATATTCTCTGATCATCTACAAAGTCTTCGTGGTGTCAAGTGGGGTATCCGAGTAGTGCAAGCTCTCTGTGCCGGTCCGTGGAAAAAGAAAACGCCCGTATGCTGTCATGATATCTTCAAGCTGATCCATTACCAACGCCAATCCCTCCAATCACATGACCATCTCCTCATCCGCGTACATGGGCTGCTGGAAGCCGTACTCGCGGGCGTATGCAAAGGCACCGTAGTTGTTCTCCATGCTCGAGATGCTGTCGCTGTTCTTCTGCCACAAGCCGTTGCCCGTGTTGTTGTACACGGGATCTGTGGCCTGGTTATAACTCGGCTCCTTGACTGACTGCTCGTACTCGCGCTTTGCGAGCATGTCGTAGCCCGACATCATGTACGGCTCCGCGGCCTGCGGCGAGACACTGCGCTCACGAGCTGCCTGCTGCTCCTGCTGATCCTTGTCGTAGCGCAACTTCGCCATCGCCTCTTCCTGCGCCAGGCTAGTCGGTGGCCAGTCATACAGCTGTCTCGAGAGATTATAGTCTGTGCCTGCTGGGTAGCCCTGGCGGCCCTGTGGGGGTGAGATGCGCCACAGCTCGAGCAGCCGTAGTCGCTGGTCGTCGTCTGCATTCTGGAAGAGCTCAACTTGGGAGGGGAATAGAAACTCGGGGTTGATGCTGTTACGCAGGAGGATGGCGCCCAGCTCGGAAATCTCAATGTGCGTTCTCGCCGGGGGCTCAGAGACACTGCGACTTGGCACGACATGATGTGAGTGGGTGTAGTGGCTCGAAGCATACACTATCTTCGGTGCCTCTGGTTCTGGCTGCTGCTGCACTGGTGCGGGCTGTTGTTGCTGTACTTGCTGCTGCTGTACTTGCTGTGGCATGTGTTGAGAAAGCTGCATGTTGGCTGCGAACAGCTGCGCAAGCTCGTCTTGTTGCATGTTTGCCTGCTCTTCGACCTTTGATCGGACGTTAATGCCAGTTGATATAGAGCCGCACTATGACGTAATGATCAGTATGCACCATGTCAGAAGGTCGACAGCCTTACGTGTGAGCAGGCGATGTTCTGGGAGAAAGCTGATGGGCTGTAAGGCACAGCTGTGTTGTAAGTACAGTTGCAGTAGTGGACAAGCATTGGCTGCATGTGTAGATAGGGGTCAACGGTGAGTGCAGGCTACAGTCGGCTGTGTCGATCCGCCAGCATTAATTGTAGACGTCAGTATTCGCTGTGAATAGATCTTTGAACAACGTTTGCAGCGCAAGACTGTGATCTCTGGTTGTGCGAAAAGTGCTGATATAGCTTGCAGAGTGGTGACGCTTGGCAAATTTGGTTGGGCGCTGACAATGAACTTGCAACAACGGCGTCTTTATTGGAGCTGTGTGAGGCGTCCAGGAAACAAAGGGCTGCTGGGTGAAGAGTCAGGAGACAGAGTCAGGAAGGATGGCGAAGGCAGCCAGGGGCGGCGAGGTAGCAGTTCTATAAGTACTGTGTAGCGCGCAGGTGATGGGCCATGGGTCATGCGGTTGGGTCCAGGGAGAGAAAAAGGCGGGATGATTTGGTCGCCCACGCGCAGTTAGCAGCAGTTCAAAACATAAACCGTTCGGCTAGCAGGCGGAGAGCCAATGGGTCGCCTCTGGAGCCTGCAAATTGTGTTCGACAACTCATCAAACGTGCTGAAGCGGAGCCAGTCTTCGAGCCAGCTTGGGCCACGATTGGATAGCTCGGCTGAGGCGTTGAGGGCTCCGGTGGACAACTAGGCGATGCAGCGCGGGCGGAAAGTGAGTCGTGCTGCTGGTCCAAAGCCGCCGTTCCTGGACAACTTGCACGCAAAGCAGAGTGCCCCTCGTTTGAGACGCGGATGGCGGGGCTCTGTATGGGGCCGTGATGCCTGGAAATTGAGGCGCCAAAGTACGCACGGGCTACGGCGCTAGTGGCCGGCGCGAGCTCCAACACGCAACTCGCAACTGCCTGCATCAACACCATCACCGAGCTCGCCGATCCGCCCGCATCCACCGACTCGATTGCTGCCGCCGACTAGCTCCACCTCCACTCGACGGACGCTTCATATCCTTCACGCATACCCCGCCCTCACCATGGTCAGCCCCGCCGTCATGTTTGCACCGGCCATGCTAATAGCTATAGACGTCAATAGGTACGGGCTACGACCTGTCCAACTCGGTCTTCTCCCCCGACGGCCGTAACTTCCAGGTATGTCCACTCTACCACAACCCTCAAGTACGGCAACTCACTTTTCCAGGTCGAGTACGCAGTCAAGGCGGTCGAGAACGGCGGCACAGCAGTTGGCATCCGGTGCAAGGATGGCGTTGTCCTGGCCCTCGAGAAGCTCGTCACCAGCAAACTGCTGAAGGCCGGCGCGAACAAGAGGATAGCCACAGTCGACAGGAACATGGGCATCGTCTCGTCAGGCCTCCTCCCCGACGGCCGCCACTTCGTCTCCAGAGCCCGCGACGAGGCTGCTCAGTGGCGGCAGCTGTACAAGGCGCCCATCCCCGTGGCCTCGCTCGCCGACCGCATGGGAAGCTACGCTCAAGCATACACGCTCTACTCCAGTGTACGACCTTTCGGTATCACAGCCATCGTCGCCGGTTGGGACTCGGAGGCCGAGCTGCCAGTGGACGCACAAGTGGGCTCAGGGCCAAAGGCTGGCTCGGGTGGCAAGGTGGAGGGTGCGAAGCACGGCGGCCCCTCTCTGTACATGATTGAGCCGAGCGGTCTGTACTGGGTATGTTGATTCAAGCCACATATTTACACACCACTGACGCCTGACAGGGCTACTACGGCGCCGCTACAGGCAAGGGTCGTCAGATCGCCAAGTCCGAGCTCGAGAAGCTGAACCTCGCCGACGGCGAGCTGTCGCTGCAAGACGGAGTCAAGGAGGCCGCGCGCATCATCTACGTCGCACACGACGACAACAAGGACAAGGAATTCGAGCTGGAGCTGACCTGGATCAGCAACCTGGACGGTCCCACCAAGGGCAGGCACGAGGAGGTACCGAAGGAGATCAAGGAGGAGGCCGAGAGGCTGGCGAAGAAGGCGCTAGAGGGCGACGACGACGATGAGGAGGAGGAAGAGAAGATGCAGGAGTAGACCACGATCAGGTGCATCCACACTACAGCATTGACACGCCATAGACGGTCATCCATGATAACGAATTGTTCGACGAAGCGCACAAATACTTCCGTACATGGTTCCAGCGTTCACATCTTGGTGTATCACTAATTGAACTAGGCAGTCAATATCGTCTGCGTCGATTCGGCCACAGCCACGTCGGCAACATTAGCAATGCCCAGATTTGTTGGAGCTGCAACTAGCGGGATCCTGGTGGGGCAGCGCGTCATTCACCAGTCAGACGCCGACGACCACCTCGTGGCTATTAAAACTTGTTCATCGCAACAATCTTGTCAAACACCGAAAGACCTCGTTCTAAATACTTTGCATACAGATACACAATGCCGCCAACACTTATCCTCATTCGCCACGCGCAGGCGCTGCACAATGCCACCAGCGACTGGGTACGACTCATGATCAACACCACGAAGAACCATCTGACGTTGCACAGTCAATCCACGATCCCCCGCTGACTGATCTCGGCCGTCAACAAAGTGCTGAACTACATGAGAGCCTGAAAGCCAACGACCTCGCCAACAAAACCGACCTCATCGTTGTCAGCCCCATGCGCCGCACCCTGGAAACCATGACCATCGGCCTCGACTGGCTGATCAAAAAGGGCGTCCCCGTCCACCCTGACGCTAACTGGCACGAGAACGCCGACAAGCCCTGCGACACCGGCAACACCATGGACGTCATCGGGAAGGAGTACCCCCAATACGACTTCTCCGGCGTCGACCCGCTGTACCCCGACAAAACCACCAACTTGGCCACCAACCCCTACGCATTCACCCAGAAAGCCATCGTCGCCCGCGGCCAAACCTGCCTCAAGGACCTGTACTCCCGGCCCGAGAAAGTCATCGCCGTCGTGTCCCACTCGGGCTTCCTCCGCACCGCCGTCTGCGAGCGCTCGTTCTTCAACGCCGACTGGCGCGTGTTCGACTTCGACGACGTCGAGTCGCAGAAGCAGGGCAAGTTTGTGCTGAAGGAGTGGGAGCTGACGGAGAAGAAGGGCGGTGGTATGGGGAGAAGCGATGTTGGTGTTTTCGGCATCGTGGACGGGGATTTTCCGCCTGAGACGGAGGACGTCAAGACGCAGCCGCAGCTTGGGGAGGTGGGCGAGGCGAGCAAGCAGGTGCCGGAGAAGAAGAGTGCGTAGGGGTGTGTGGAAGAGTGTTATCTACGTGGTAGAGCGGTGCGGTATATTAGACCGGTTAAAATGCATAGAGCGGATAGACACAAGTAAACGCTGATCTCGCATCCTCCTCCGCCCGCGGACACGGAACCGCGTCCTCGCGACATGTCCCCACCGTCGCCGCCTAACAGCTCTCACACTCCGTCCTCCAGACGGCTGCATTCGATAATTCAAGTCTCTATGCTGGCGACTATCACTGGTGGTCAACGTCGGCCAGCAATCTTTCACTTGAAGGACATCATCAAGCCCACCTCCGTACTTGTGTCCAAAGTTTTCGGATGAGAAAATCGACCGCGCAAGAACAGATGGGCTCGGCCGGCTATCGCATGACCATGCGGAGACCTTATACCTACGCATATCTATGTGATCTGGCCAGGCGTGGACTGGACAATCAAACTATGCTGCGGTTATACAAGGGACTGGCTGTCTTTGATACTTCAATGAACGAGCTGAGTTACAATGGAGAGACTGTTACCTGTATACTCTGGAAGGCGGAGGGTTGTCAGCGCTCTAATTGTCGTGCCCCTCGAAGGAAAGGAAAATACCTACCGCCGGCGAGGATGGCTGGAAACTTGCGGCGAAGAGTTCTTCCAAGAGGAAGCAAAAGATATCGTTCTTTTCTAGCTAAATCTCTGGGTCTCAGAACTTGGCGCTGATGTGGATATGGCATAGGTGGGTGTAGCGCAAGTGAGATGGCGTGGGCGGAGAGCTCGTCGTATTCCAGAAATAGGACGTCTGGTATTGTAGGCTGGGAGGTGTGTGCTAGCGATAATGTAGGGTTCGACAGACGAACATAATATGGTGTGACATATATGTGCCTAAGCTTGAGAAAGCATGTTTCATTACACATCACATCCTTCTTTGAGCCTGCCAGTTTCTTATCGCTCTGGTAATTCCGACACTCCAATCTGGTTCTTATACCGAAAACGGGGACCTACGTATCAACAATTAACAACGAGCCTGTAGGAAGAGTGAAATAGTAGTCACTATCTAACTTCTACTGTAGCTGTCAAATAGGGCGAGATTAGTTAAAGTTGCAACACTTCCGGAAAGTCAAGTACCGTTACAATGGTTGACCTACCCTCATCTATAGCCCAGTTTTGTTTCTAGCAAGAGTTGCACCGATCCTATTCAGCAGTTCCTAGGTCGTATCTGCGCCCCAGGAGACACATCCAATGTCAGATAACAGCGCATAGCACTTTGATCTTCGACAGCAGACATGCTATGCTTCAGTTGCAAAGCATAAAGAGAAAGTCCTTTGCCCAGGGGCAAACCGGTGTGCGTCTACTCTTGAGGATGTATTATTCTAGCCAGGCTATGTAAAACTGCCGTGCTTCAGCCAACAATCCTGTTGCCCAAAACAAACTCAATGCAAGAGACGACCACCGTCTGTGTTCCCAGCTTATCAATAACAAGTTCAAGAGGCAGAACAAACCAACCAGAGCTCCCATCACGATCAATATGATTCCCCGTATTGAGCAGTCTGGGCAAACGCACTCATAGATATAGCTCTTTGACCACAAAATGCCGTAGTAGATATTATCACAGAAAACCAGCATTATGCGAGGGATCGTAGATAAGCTGACCAAGGTCGACGCGATGTCTAGGAGACACTGGAAAGGTAACTTCAGCATATAGCGTCTGTCCCGGGCAAGACACTGATGGTATAGAAACGCCTCCCATTCTTCATGTTGTTGACGAGTCCATTCGGATGAACGCCCTTTCCGGCGCCATATGTCTGTTATTTCTTCCGAAGTGTGGTAGCTATCCATTGAGAGAAGTCCCGTGGATTGTGACATTGTTATGACGCCGGAGTGAACAACTCCGCTCTTGTCGATTGAGGATACCACTCAAGTTGCGCTGTAAAGCCGTTTGTTATTTACAGTGAATGACGAAGGGCCGATGGTGGCATTTCTCACCTCGTGATTGATATACCTATGTATTGGCTACAATGTGCTCAAGAAGCATGAGGACGTAATAAGGTTTTAGCAAATCCTTTGTTTCATCGGCGGCGATGCCAGACGGTCATGTGAAGCAGTATGACGGCGCGATGGATACGTTGTTTGCAAAACACCTTCCCCCCTCCGTGACCTTGCGGGGCATTCCTCGCACGGAATCCCCGCAAAGTCAACACCCGTTTTCGGCCTAGTATGAATTGCCCCGATTGATTTACTTTTGGTCTAGCGTGGATTCCGTGACCAGTTCTATGTTCTTGGTAGCAGGCTGCATAACCACGCCAGTAATTCATTAGTATAAAGTACTCTTACTTACCTATCGTCTAACGTTAGCTATCTAATGCTAATACGAGTAGCTGCCTTGTTGCCGTTAGCTACTTATGTGCTTTTCTACTCTTCTCTTGTTCCTACCTCTCTTTTGTACGTTTACTTAGCCGTGCTAGTCTTTACAGTGCCCTGGATGCATTGCAACGTGATACACACGTACTGACATCACTCTGACAGGCAAATCAGCCCGTTTCGACGAACTGTCAGCCCCTGGGCAGGTTTCTTTGTAGGCGCATCGATACTCAGCTCTGACAGCTCCCATTTCAGGTACGGCAAGGCACAGACAATTGCAACCACTTCTTTCTGCTCTGCTGCTGGGAATTTCATGTGTTGCCCTCAGGATTGCGTGTAGAGCTGTGCCAGCGGCATTGCAACAATGTAGCTCCTGCAAAGCAGTACTCGACGCTTGCTAACGTGTTCCAACCAGTAAGAGGAATGAATAGCATGCCATGTACTTGATAAAATAAAAAAAACTAATGCCTGTCCCAGTCGCTGTCTAAAGCGCCCCAATCTTCGTAATCGCCGGAGCCCTCTTAGTCCCATCCAAGATCATCATCAAGGTTTCCCAAGTCATCGTCATACCCAAACATATCTCTTTCGATAGCCTCTTCGCGCGCCTCTTCCTCCATCTCGCACATCTGTTCGAACGTCAGGATACGCTTATTTCCACCCGAGCCCCACGGTCCCAGCTTCTTCCTTTCAGACTGCGGGTCGTATTCGGCGGATTGTGCTTGAGCAACGCGGTGTGCACTCTCCTTTTCGGCTTTCGCAAGCCACTCAGGCTTGATACGCGCCATATACATCTCACGTAGAGCCGGCAGATATACAAGATCATTCTGACAATACTCTGCTGTCTTGGGGTCCATCGGGCGGATGGAGAAGAGGTTGGTGTACGTGTGCATGAGTTTCCTGGTATCTTGTTTTGTCTGCAGCCAGCGGTTTGTCTCCATGAACCCGAGTTTCAGGTCATACTGGACACACTTGTCAAGGCCACGAACGTATGTTTTGTCGTCTGGCCTCGAGGCGTTCTCGAGCAGCTGGAGGTCGGTAATGCCGCCAAGGCTGACTCCGTAGTGGAACCACAAGGCGTCAGCATCGTTGCGTACATCCCAGATGTACTTGCGAATGCTGTGGTCTTCCAAGATAGACCGAAGAGTCTTGCCGTCCTCTGACGCTGTGCTAAAGGCTAGGGCACCCAGTGTCGAGACATCGATGAGCTGGACTTGGTTTGATGGATGTGCGAGAATACTGATGATGGCGATAGTCCCATGGCGACTTAGATTGAATCCCTCGATGTCAAAGTATAACCCACTGGATTGAGATAACACAGGGAGAAATTCTTGGAGCCCAGATTCACTTTCGATCAAGGCTGACTTGGGGCGGGTGGTCATTGTGATTGCTCGTAGCCGAATCGAATGCAATCGTAGAGAAGGTCAACTAGTTGAGTCTGAACTCCAGAAAGAAATTGGACACAAGGCGGGCATTGGCGCGCAGAGCGCGGTCAATGTACGCGCGTCACTGGAATGCAAGTCATTCCCAAACGCCGTCACCCGAGTCGTGAAAAAAGGGAACCGCATGATAGAGTAAGCGTGTGCTGGACCCTGTAAAGTATCGGCACGTAGTGGATGCAACTGTTCAATTGCTTTGCTCCTTACATAAAAAGACGTTGTGGTTACGCGTGCCAACACCCCAGATTTTCTCTCCAGACGACAGAAAACGGAGACGAGAGTGAAGACGACGAATAAGACCACGGAAAAGATAATGAACAAGGAGAGGAGACCGAAGACGATCTACGAAGCTCCATCTGGACAGCTATATGCAAAGTGCATGCGCTCTCCCTTTACCACACCCTCTACTCTCCAAGGTCCCTTCCGACTCACACCATCAGCATCCACCTCTTCCATCGAATTCTACACCGGAACTAAACCTCTGCCAATCTATTAGGAAGTTACTTTTGCTTCACAGTGGCAACACGACATTGAAGAACAATCCACCGTCCTGCTCAGTGAGAAGTACGGGGTTTCGGGTGAAGAGGATAGCGAGATGTTGGAAACGGTCTCGGATTGACACACGTCTCGTGGATCTAAAGCGTGCTTCATACGGTCACGGAGAACCGTACACTTCTCGTGGGAGAGGAGGGCTACATCGGTTGGGGTCCTGTCGATACGCAGGAAGGTGACATGGTGGCGGTCTTGAAGGGAGGAGAAATGCCGTTTATCCTGAGAAAAATTACTGAGCCTGAGCGCGCTGATGGCAAGATCTACTGTAGGCTGATCGGAGAAGCATACATCCATGGGCTGATGAATGGCGAGGCTATTGTTGCGGAGCAGGCTGGACTATTGGATTCCCAGGTGTTCTGTATCCGGTGAGCTAATGGATTAGAGCTGAATCATCGTATAAGCTATGTTCCGAAGATAGCTATTGATTGTTGCTCCTGGTCTGTAATCGAACAGGCCTGGTAACGGATACTTGCCTATGCAAGACTTGTTGTGCAGTGTTGACAAGTGCGGCGCTCTTATTGCTCCTCGCGCCTTCACTGCGATCCAGACTCGGAGAATAAGTAGGAATAGCCGAGAGGCTTTGTGCTGCATATGAGATTGCATGTTTTGGGTTTAGCTCTTGCGAGCGGCTGATGCGGTTGAATCATGTCTTCAAGGTTTTTGCATGTAGGACTCGACACATGGTAGTATTGTTATTGCTTAGAAAGGTAACTTTTCCTCCGACACATGATTTGGTTTTTCCGCGTCCGACGTCTAAGCTTAACTTACAGCTTAACTTCTCAGCGGTTCAGAATCATCGTTCTGTCCCCCCAAATACACCGTCTGTGTTTTCAGGCAATGCTCGGCGGGACCTTTGCTTTCATTCTTCCCTTATCCTTCCAGCCCTCTTGTTCCATCTCGGCAGTGATACAAATGCGACTGTATTCCACAGCAAACTCGAACCTGAACTTCCACCACTTCTCATTCCCGATACCAGTAGATCTTCGACGCTTGACGGTGCCGTCCGGACCGACGAGCTTCTGACCAACGCGGTTCAGTTCGGCGGCGTGAGCGTACAGGAGACGCGACAAGAAATGCTTTGGACTGACGGGACCCGTCGGTGATGGAGTCGAGCTGCAGGTCGAGCCGGTCAAAGAGCGAAAGGTCAATATGCCACGGAGGATTCTTCAAGAAACCAATGGTGGGCTGATCATCCAGACTGACGTCGAGAGTCAGAAAACGCATTTCTCGACGGAGCTTGGGAACGAGTGACGCGAGGAGCTGATACGGTTGTTTGAGCTTGCGAGCCATTGGGTCAGGGTTGGTCAAGACTATCTTGTGATCCAGAGTGATTGCAAGGATGAGGTTAGTCGCGACAGATGGGCCGATCAAGCTAGAGTACTGATCGTCGACCTTGTCGCAGACATTGGCGTGGCAGACCCAAGTGGCGTGCTTGTTGAACTGTTCAAGACCTTCTCGAAGAATTTGCTTGCTTGTGAGTAGCCACCTTGGCAGGCCAGACATACGACCGTCGTAATGCTTGAATTGACCGTAGTGGACTTCGAAAGCATCGCGGCGAGAATAGCCGGTTGCTGGACGTACGGGCGCTATGCCCTCCCACAAGTGGGGGTAGACCATGTCGCGAAGCTCCCGTGGAAGGTCACCCCAGGACGCTGGGGTACCTTCTGCGTGCATGGCGTCGTGTAAGTGATGATATAGCGGGCGGGGGTGGCTGTTGAGTTTGTTGGGTAATGAGCGAGGTGATGGTGAGTTGCAAGGTTGGGCAAAAGCGAAAACAACACGAGTAATAGTTAGACGCACTAGCGCGTCGGCGAGTGCTCTTTCACTTACACAACGCTTGCTGAGAACGAGGTCGATATTCGCTAAGGTAGTTTGTAGGACATTGGTAGTCTCATCGGATACCTGTCGCTGCGCGGGCCTGAGAGATAACTTCCAGTACGCGCGCAATTGATCCAACAGACCAACTATTTAGGTAGTATTTTTGAAGAATCGGACGGTGAATATGAAATCAGCTGTATGTGGTAGATTGCCCCGGTCTAGGGCCGTACTATCTTCGATTTCAATCTGACCGTTGGGGCAAACAAGTCCCCGCCCAACACGTCTGACTTCGGCCGTGTAAGCTTCTTGAAACCTTTCAAAACTCAGGGAGGATTCCTTATGATACCGCAGTATGACATGTATTGTGATTGAGTCGAGCTGTAGACTGGGCGATTCGAGCCTGGAAAGATCGACACTCCATAGCACATCGGTCAGCTCCGGCACATAGATGAGCAGCACATCATGACGGATGACTAATTCCAGGTGCTTTAAATTTGGATAGATACCAGAAATGGCTGCAGGAGAGTGTTCCCGAAATGGTGGCAGACTGAATCCAAATCTCCTGGGTGGACGATGGAGGTGGTAATCCCCCCGCATTGAGAGGACGTAACCGAACCTGGCGAAGTGCGTCGGATCAATAAGATGGGTTCGAGTACTACGAGGATATGTCTTGGGATAGCGGGGATTCGACTTGCATCTCCATGTTCCTCGGTGGAGCAACTGACGTATGCCTTCGCGAAAGACCATCTTGCAACAGCGGAGCCACTGTGGCAAGCCGCAGCTGGGAGGCCCAGACATGAAGCCATCGTAGTAAACCCGATAGAGCCTTTTGATCCTTTTATCTTCAATCGTTACTCTAGGCGTCATCATCCAGAGCTCGTGGTACACCATGTCCCGCAGTTCTCGCGGCAGATCTCCAAATGAAACTGAGCTGCCTCGAAAAGCATTGACGTTTGGAACTGGCCTGGCATACACAGTACTCGTGTCGCTGGGGCTGTTAGTACTAGCTTATGTGAATTTCTAAAGATGCGATGATCTGGTTGAATCGCGTTTGAGATAACATTGGTGTGGTGGGACGTACAGGATTAGCGCTGTGTACTTCTCACTAGGCCAATACATGATACAAGCCGGATATATGTATCAATCAAAGAGTCAGATTGCCTGCTTAAAATACTTGGAGACAACGTTGAAGCACCACCATTGAGTGGGGGAAATTGGGTATTATACTAATTCAAGAATAGGGCGTCCAGCAGACCGCACGATGAGTCGTCGATCAGAAGCGGCTAGCGCGGGGATTCACCGCGCCATGCTCCATCGACCTACTCAGACACGTCCGGCGTTGTCAATATGTACCGACGCGACCTTTTCGTTGTGCTCACTTTCATCGTCTGCCTTGTTACTCGGTGTATGGGAGTCGTACTCCATCGTCCTCTGAAATCCGAACAGCTGGTCCATCTCGTCCATACGCAGGCCCTTGGTGTCGTGGATGAAGAAGTAAGCGTAGATGCTGGCGCAGACCAAAGACGTGGCGAAAAGAACGTAGACACCCCAGCCCATCTTGGTGTACATCTGGGGCAGAGCCTTGGTGACGACCAGAGTCCAAATCCACACACTGGCAGCTGCGAAAGGGCCTGAAATCGAGCGCATAGTCGTCGGGAATATCTCAGCGGATATGATCCACGGAAGGCCGTTAGCACCGAAGCTCCTTCGCGATGTTAGTTCTGAAGGCAAGCAAAAGGACTAGGAAACTTACCAAGCGGCGCCGAAGATCATGATCATGGCTGTAGCTCCTTTGCCGCCGGCGACAGTCGAATCTGACATGGGCTGGCCGACCTTCGGCTTTCCAAGACTGATGTAGATAGCCAAGTAGTACTGACAGAAGGCACAGATCAAAGACGAGACGATCCAAGGCCACTTGCGGCCAAACATGTCAATAAACCAGGTAAAGAAGATGATGGAGCCACCGGCCTTGATGATTCCATAAACACCAGTCCAGAGGGTGACGTCGGACAGGCCAATAGAGGTGAAGATTGTGGGAGAGTAGTAGTTGATCGCAGCGGCACCAGACCAGGCTTGCCACATGAACATGATGAAGACGAGGAGGAAGCGGTTGCGCATGCCAGGCAGAGACGCCTCCTTGGCAGCAGCCTTGATGATCTGCGTAAAGCTGGCGTGCTGCTGATCTCCAACGAGAGCCGATCTCTCCTTTGCGATTTCAATCTCAACAAAGGCCACATCCTGGGCAATGTACTCGTGATCTTCGGGCAGGTTGCGGAAGAAGCTGTACACTTTCAAAGCTTCAGCCTTGCGTCCACGCTTCAGGAGCCATGTGGGCGACTCCTTTAACAAAGGAATCATCAACGCCAAAAGGCCTGCAGGAATGAGCTGGACAGCCATTGGCACTCTCCAGGCAATAGATTTGCTTCTGTCCATGTTGTGTACAATGCCGTAGTTGATCCAGAAGCCGATGACAGCGCCAGTCTGGTAGAAGGACTCGAAGAAACCAGTGAGGCGGCCACGGATGGCCGGGGGCGAGATCTCGGCGATGTAGATAGGAGACACAGCGGCGATGCCACCAACACCCATTCCGGTGAAGAATCGTCCAGCGTAGACAAGACCGATCTGGTGTGTAGGAACGGTGCACAGGACTGCACCGACGATGAAGATGGCGTCTGAGATGATGACTGTCATGCGGCGGCCAAGCAGTTCAAGCAGAGGGTACATGAACAGGGCTCCAACGAGACCTCCTGCAGAGTCTGCAGATTGTCAGTGCTACTCATCATGCCATATTCAATGTGGGTGCATACAGATTGAAGTGATGTTGCTCGTCACCTCGTTCTTTTCGGATGTCGACATGTTGTTGAGGCCGAAATCACGCTTGAAACTCTCATGCGTGATCGTCGTCCCAATGAAGGCCGAGTCGTATCCGTACGCCAGGACACCCATAGAGATAACCATAGCTGCCATGTACACTCTCCAGTTGTACTGCGACTATCGTCAGCAAGTGCTTCGCCACGTCCATGCCGTAGACTGATGCAAACATACCACTTCCGGCGGCGTAGGCCTGTCCTCTGGCGCTCTTGCGAAACCTCCCATTGTGGCTAAAGGTCAAGGAGACTAGATGAGTCGGTGTAGAGATGGCTGCAGATGGCAGTGCTGATCTACAAATCCGGGGTATGTTCGCGCTTTAAGTGTCCCAGATATTGCCGACCCCGGGCTGCAGCTCGCTTCTCCACAAAATAACCTGGTAATTCACTGGGGCGCGTATCCGAGCACAAGGACACTGGGATCGGGTGAACAGGAGTCAGCCATAGTCACCCAGCAAGCTTAGCCGCCACGCGACACTACCAGCAAGTTTGGAGACTGCGCACAGCTCACGGAGACTCCACTGGGGACTCCACGTTTGGTCGCGACACGAGGTTGGTGCGGAGAAATGAGGCGATGGCTCGGGGTCGGCTGTCGCGAGCGCTAATCAGGCAGGAGCGATGGAGCCGAGCTAGTGTACGTCTTTGGCAAGGCGCAGGCGATGGATGCCGATGCAGTCTCCAAGCCTATCGCATCATCCCAATAGTCTCGCGATGCTGTGTGCTCACCATCAACTTCCCCACGCGTGGAGACACCATCGGAATCTAAAGTCGGTGTCGGAACGCGTGTCGGAATCATGACGGTCATAATGAGTGCCGTTCGCTCTTCCCTGCTGTTGCTCGCTCTCGATCTCTGCACAATTCCTCCCACAGCATACTCCTAATCATCTACAACATGCCTTCAAACGAGACTCTCTCCAACGGCAACGGCGCTGCTCAGGAGTACTCTTTCCCACCTGGCATCCACGTCCCTTCATTGACCTGGTTCAAGAACGATCAGAACCAGGACATCGACTGGGATGTTCAGGAGAAGCACTTCGAGTTCCTCGTTGCCAACGGTGTCCACGGCATCGTCATCGCCGGCACAAATGGCGAAGCAGCAACACTCTCCTCAGCCGAGAAGACACAACTAGTCCAAAAAGCCCGCAAGACCGCTCAGAGGTTAGGGCACGGTGACTTGCCCATCACACTCGGCGGCGTAGCAGGCTCGACGCGCGATGCCATCCAGCAGACCATCGCTGCCAAGGAGGCAGGCGCGTCCGCATTCCTCGCACTTGTACCGTCGTTCTTCCACTTCGCCATGAATCAGGATGCGATTGTTGCTTTCTTCCAAGAGCTGGCAGACGCAAGTCCCATCCCCATCGTGCTCTACAACTTCCCCGGTGTTGTGTCGGGCCTCGACATCAACTCCGAGATGCTGGACATCCTAGGCAAGCACCGCAACATTGTTGCTGTCAAGCTCACATGCGGCGGTATCGCGAAGGTTGCACGCGTGTCGGCTTCCTTTAAGAAGTCTGAGTTTGTTGCGCTGGCTGGTCAGAGCGACTGGCTGATTCCGGCCCTGAGCGTGGGAGGCGTTGGCACAATCACCGGTGTTGCCAACCTGTATCCTAAGGTAAGTCGTCGCACCACATTACAGCACCAGCGCTAACAAGGTCCAGACTTGTGTGCACATGTTCAACCTCTACCAATCCGGGAAGCATGAAGAGGCCTCAGCTCTGCAGGTCAAGCTGTCCGTTACAGAGTGGGGCTTTGGAAAGGGCGGTATCAACGGCACCAAGTATGTGGTCGCACACAAGCTAGGGTACCCAGAGTCGAGCGCAGACTGCAGGAGGCCGTACCCCAGATACACTGATGAAGAAAAGAGGAAATGGGTCGTCAACCAGGTATCGGGGCTGGACGAGATTGAGGCTTCGTTGTGAGCTTGCTATGGCCTGCTGTTCGATACTGGGTATGCATCTGTGGCGTAAAATGTTGACAGTCGGTCTATGTACTAGATTTCATGAAAGAAATCATTTATGCATATCCATGTGTTTCATATGATACCAAGCAGAGTTGGCGAGAAGTAAATTCCTGATCAATCGGAGCTTCGGTGCGTTCGCCATCAACAATTTGTAACCAATTTTGATGCAACTTTGTCAGTCCACCGCCGGGAGGAAGACCGAGATATTCGCTACATCAATGTGATGGAGATATAGAGATGCGCCACTCTAACGCCGAGCTGCTGAGTAAATTGAGGCTCTCGTGACGCAAAGGTTTGCCTCAGGAGCCTCAAGAAGGGCTGTTGCCGTTGCCCAAAAGGGTAATGGTAAGAGTCGACCAATAGGAGAAAGGGGTTGCCATAGTATTACTTGGGCGCCACCAATCAGCGATGCACATCCGCCGTACACTGGAAAGGCGGGCCGGCTGCATGTACGGCATTTGAAGTTTGGAGGGGCAAGAGTGGGGTCGTCGCGAACGGGACAATCGCCGGGTGACGTCGTCGTAAGTACCAACGGACTTTGTGGATAGCTATATTATTCGCTTTGCGGCTTGGTAAATTCAACCCAAACATCGACACTCCCTACAGGCATCTGAAATACCAATTGCAGCTATGTCATCCCCTCAGACCGTCCGTTGGGGCATCCTTGCGACAGGAGGCATCGCCCTCACTTTGTGAGTACCCCACTGTCCCATCATTTATCCCACCAAGCACTTTCACTGACAGTCGCAGCACCCGCGACCTCCTCGCCGACCCGAAGACCCGCGGTGTCACCACTGTCAAGCACACAGTCGTTGCCGCTGCCTCTTCCTCATCGAAATCACGTGCCGAAGCGTTCCTGAAGGAAACCGGCTCCCCCTCAGACGCAAAGGCCTACGGCTCGTACGAAGAGCTCGTCCAGGACCCCAACATCGACATCGTCTACGTCGCCACACCGCACTCGCACCACTACCAGAATGCCCGCCTCTGCCTCGAGGCCGGCAAGCACGTGCTGTGCGAGAAGGCCTTCACCGTCAACGCCGCCCAGGCCCGCAAGCTCGCCGAGATCGCCAAGGAGAAGAACCTCTTCCTGATGGAAGCCGTATGGACCCGGTACTTCCCGCTCTCCATCTACGTGCGCGAGCAAATCACCTCCGGCCGCATCGGCCCCGTCGCGCGCGTCATCAGCGACAACAGCATGGCCCTCGACCCGGAGACCAGCTTCGCCGACGGCAAGCACCGCATGGTGAATCCCGATCTCGCGGGCGGCGCACTCCTCGACCTCGGCATCTACGCGCTCACCTGGGTGTTCCAGACGCTGTACCACACGCAGCCCGAAGCCACGCGGCAGCCGCCCAAGCTCCTCGCCTTCGTCAAGAACTACGCGGCCACCGCCAACGCCGACGAGCACAGCACCATGATCCTGAACTTCCCGCGCCCGGCAGACGCAGGCGGCGACGCCCACGCCGTCGCCACGACGTCCCTGCGCGTCGCCACCAGCCCCGGTAACAACAACGACACCCCTTGTGTCCGCGTCCAAGGGCCCAAGGGCGAGATCCAGGTCTTCCCGCCCTCGTTTCGGCCGACCAAGACGAAGCTGATTCTCAGCGACGGCACGGTCGAGGAGAAGGACTGGCCGATTCCTGGGCCAGGGAAGGGGGTAACTGGTTCAACGGGTTTGGCGATTCGTGGCAGGCGGAGGGCGAGGGGCAGGGGATGTTCTGGGAGGCGGACGAGGCGGCCGAGGCGGTGCTTGCGGGGCGCAAGGAGGGGAGGTACGAGAACCTTGCCGAGAGCATACTGATCATGGAGATTATGGATGAGGTGCGGAAGCAGGGGGGGTTGGAGTATCCGGCGAAGATTGAGACGCTGGATTATCCTGTGCAGTTGTAGGGGGGTAGAAACAGTGTGTAGAAGCAGTGTGATGGTGGATGGAGGAGGGGATACTATCTGCACCGTTAAGTGGGTGCTCAACCAAGCCTTATTTTACTGCACGTGTTGAAGTCATCGAGCCACGAGTGTTCTTCGAGCCTCGCTGACAGCACGCGCTTGGATCCAGGCATCGTGCGCTCTCACACCACCAACATCCATAGCTTCCCCACCCAGCGAGATACTCTGCCCCTGCATTCGCCACAAGCCGCCGAAAGCCCACGGAACCTGTCATCACGGTATGATCATCAAGAGGACTACACAGTACCACCCCGTTACTCTATTTTGCATGCTCTATTGCAGACTCAATATGCTCCCTGGATCCGTAGACCCCCGATTCACAATCCCATCCCGATGCAACCCCCAATCCAGACCCAATGCAATCCCAGCCGCGATGCTAGTCCTTGCTCGCCCATGCTGCTCACCCCCCCCCCCCCCCCCCCCCCTTTTTTTTTTATATATGTATCTTGCGAAAGAGATCGTCACGACCGCCGCCACCCCCCCTCCCACACCGCCAACCTCCTCCCAATATTCCCAAAACACACACAACTACAAAACAACACACTCCCAACCCACGTCACGACGGCGAGGTTCTCGTACGTAATCACGCCGGCGAAGAGATCCTGGCTGTGCAGGGCCGTCGCGTTGGCTGGCCTCCCCGCGCCTGCTGGTGTGAAGGGTGTCGATGTCGAGGGTGTTGGGAACGAGGGTGATGGCAGCGGTGAGGCGGGTGAAGGCGGGTTTACGAAGAAGACGCAGGTTGTGATGACGGAGGAGACGGCGAGCGAGAAGGAGAGGCCCGGTTTGCTGCGGTCGAGGATGTACCAGAGGGCGGGGTTGACGAGGGCGAGGGTGAGGGTGAGTTGGAGGGTGGACTGCCAGGGGAGGCGGCGCTGGATGCGTTAGTTTACCGTTGCATTGCGAGCGGGTTTGGGTGTTGGGGGAGGGGTTAGATGGAAGGCGGGGGTGTGACGCAAATGAACGGAGGAAAAAGAGACGTACAATAGCGAACCCAATCCCGACAAACGCCGCAACACTCCTCACGACGTCGTTCACCTGGTCGCTCAGCGGCACGCCCTCGGCCTCGGCCTCCCGCGCTCCCCCCTCTTTCTCGCTCCCCTCCCGCCCGTCGTTCTCACCACCGCTTCTCCCCCACAGCGCATCCACAACCGGCATCAACCCGCCCAGCACGACGCCCGCGGCCCCCCAGGCAGCCACGTACACCCACCCGCCGCGCTCGACGCCCGCGACGTGGACCGAAGCCAGGTGCCGCGTGTCGTGCAGATGGCTCACGATGGTGCCGTACAGCGCGCCGAAGATCGCAAGCGCCAGGACCTTGAGGGCGAGGAGCGCGCGGCCGCGGGCCCCTGTGCTGGCTCTCCGCTGCGCGCTGCGCTGCGCACTTCCCCTGTGCACGTCTCCGCTTCTCTGGGCGCCGTGCGTGTCGCCCCCGCGCCGCACTTTCTTCATGCTCAGCCCCTCGCCCTCCGCATCCGCGTCCCCCTCCCCCTCCCCGTCCGCCCCATGCCACCCCATCGCCCCATGCCCCGGCGTCTCCGCCCCAGCACCCCACGGCGTCTCCGCCACGCTGCCCACGTCGTCGTAGATACCGTACAGCGTGGACCCCATATTCAGCCCGCTTTTCGTGTGCGGCAGTGTCGCGCTGCTGGCGAAGCCGCTTAGGGTCCCTCCAGGACCGCTGGGGACTCCGCCAAGGGCTCCGCCAAGGGCGCCGCCGGGGTTGCTCGCATACCCGCTGGCGCTGTCCGACGGCGACTCGGGCGTCTCGTCGCCGCGGCGGGTGTGGTATGTACGTAGTAGGCGGGCATTGAGCTGGGCGAGGAAGTCGGAGCGGCGGGAGGTGAGGGGCGCGTAGGCGTGCGAGGGCGACGAGGCATCTTCTGAGTCTTCTTGGTATGTGTTTTGCTGCGTGTGAGGGAGCGGGTGTGTGTCGTCCGCCGCGAGGGACGCAGGATTAAACGCCCGGCGCGGCACGGGGCGGTAGATGTGCGGCTGCGAGTCTTCGCGGTCGCGGCTTGCTCGTACATCGTCGGCCATGGCTGCAACAATTTTCTGTGCGGTGCGGTTCTGCCGCACGCGACTTGCAGCGAAAGGGAGCAGAACTCGCGGTGAACCCGCACGTCCGCTGGACACGTGCAAAGGCCCGTCCGGAATGGAAGGTCGCCCTGCGCAGCTGCGGGCAATTAGCGCGACGTGAGCGCGACGAGCTCGGGCCTCGCAAGCATACCTCGATTTGCAACGGCGGTGGGACGATGGTGCACGATTGCTTTGCAACGGCGGTGGTACAATTGATCAGTGCACGAATGCACGAGTCGCGGTCACAAGAGGCCCGTGACGAGCGCACAGCGGGCGTCAATTGTTAAGTAGAGTGCGAGCGTGTCTGACGTCGCCCTCCACACTTCTTTCACGTGAAAGTCGGCTGACTGCCGGGACTACCGCTCACGCATACACCGTGCAGATCGTCTCCGCACCGCCCGCACTCAACAAGCATGACTGCATTCGCTCGTCTGCACTCTGCGCTCGGCACTCTACATTCTGCACGCACGGGGAGGGGGGCTGTGGTTGCAGGGTACATGTTTCTCATTAATGTGGTTTTATGGCGGCGCGGCTGCTGTGCTGCGTCGCCCGCTGTCTGGACCCTGGACCCCAGCTCTAGGCGTCGTGTGGCTCGCAGGTACCTAGACTCTCGTCGCGGGTTTTCAAAGTCGTCTATATCACAGTGCGCCGACGCCGCTGAAATGCCCAAAACGCAATGCAAGCCGTCGGCGCGCGGTTTCGTCTCCTCCAACTCAGACAGATGCTTAGTCGACAATGGGCTCGAGGATGTTTCCGCTGCGGCGTGTTAGTCGTGGTACAGTGCGGTGGATGTGTGGAGACTTACGCAACAATGTTGGCCCAACCAATCAGACGCCAGTGCTTCTCGATACGGCGCGACAGCGCGACCTTCTCGCCAATCTCCGTGCACGCAGGCGATGTGAGCGTGAGGCGGGCAGCGTCTGCCTTGACGGCGACGACCTTGGCGCCTGTGGCTGTCGAGCCAATGTTGACCATGAGCACTTCGTTCTTCGCCAGCTTGGCGACCTTGGCCTGCTTGCCGTCTGCTGTCTTGACACCGAGCAGGCGGCGCAGCAGGAAGTAGTTGACCTCGATCTCGGTGTAGATGTTGGGCAGGTGTCCGCGCAGACCGAGGACGAAGCCGACGAGACGATCCGCACGACACAGTGTGGGGTCGACGCGGGTACCGACACCGATGAGACCACCGGGGACCGCAAACTTCAGGTCGTTGTGCTCGGCGAACAGCGAGACGACGCGCGAGAAGATGGGCTTGCACTGGATCTTGCCCTGGTTGTCCTTGGACACGATACCCGGTCGGATCTCGACCTCGTCGCCCAGCTTCAATACACCCGTCAGGATAGAGCCACCGGCCACACCGCCCTTCAGGTCGTCAATCTCAGCACCGGGCTTGTTGACGTCGAACGAACGGATGACGATCATGTGGGGCTTGGTGGTGAAGTCGCGCACGGGGACGGGGATCTTGCTGATGAGCTGCTCGCAGATGGCGTCGATGTTGAACTTGAGCTGGGCGGAGATGGGGATAACCGGCGAGCCGTCGGCGACGGTGCCGCGGATGAACTTGAGGATGGACTCGTAGTGGGACGCGGCGCTGTCCTCCCGCATCAGGTCGACCTTGTTCTGCAGGATGATGATGTGGTTCAGCTTCATGATCTCAATGGCGGCCAAGTGCTCGCTCGTCTGCGGCTGCGGGCACGTCTCGTTGCCGGCAATCAGCAGCAGCGCGGCGTCCATGACGGCGGCGCCCGACAACATGGTGCTCATGAGAATGTCGTGGCCGGGGCAGTCGACGAACGAGACGTGGCGCTTCAGGCGGTAGGTGCCGGCGCAGCCGTCGCGCTCACACGGCGGGTCGACCTCCTTCTCGCTCTTGTACGACCGGTAGCATGTCGGGCGTGGGCAGGCGGGGTTGTCGCACTGGTAGATCTTCGCGTTGGCATAACCCAACTTGATGGTGATGTTGCGCTCGAGCTCGTTCTTGAAGCGCACCGTCTGTACGCCCGAGATGGCCTTGACCACCGTCGACTTGCCGTGTGCGACGTGGCCGATGGTGCCGATGTTGATGGTCGCCTGGCGCGAGATGATCTCGGGCGACAGCGGGCTCAGCGTCGCGAAGTCGATTGTGCTTGGGTCTGGCTGCTCGCTGCGCGTGTTAGCCGCTGCGTCCCGTCGTGACCTGTGACCTCGTGCTTACGGCAGCTCGGGGCGCTCGACCTGCACGGGCGCCTCTCTGGGCTTCTTGAGCGCCGACTTGGGCTTTGTCTCCTCGACCTCCTCCTCCGACTCGCTCTCGGCCTCGTGGACGTCGCGCTGCTCGTGCTCCGACTCGGAATCCATGATGGCGGCGGCGATGGTGTGTGTGTGGGTGAGGGTATGGGTGTGCGGCGACGGGGTGCGTGGGGGCGGCAGTCCTGCAATGGCGTCCGTCGTGGTCTGTCTCGATATGTTACGGCTGTTTTCCGTCCCACAGGCGAAAATGCGTTGACTCAGCACTGCCCCGCCGCCACGCCCTCGACCACGGCCCGTCGTTGATCCGCCGCCGCATAAAACTTTGCCAGCCGCGCCGCCTCCTCGCTCCATATTGAACAACGCAAAAATTCAACACACCTACTATAAAGCATTTTCTTTGGAGAGACCCGCCATCTACGGGTGGTGCGCGGTTTCCATGAGCACGAAAACCGTCTGTAGAGTGAAGAGCAGAACTGGCCGATCTTGGGTGCGGTTTCCCTCGCTTTCGAGCACATGAGGGAGAGCGCAATGATTGACCGTACATACCATTGTACCACTGTACTCTCGTACCACGTACACGAGCTGTTGCTGTCGACTGTGCGCCCGTTGATGTGACGGCGCTCCGTAGACGGCAGCAGTGACACCCATACCGCAACTAAATATCGTCGAGACCGCGCTCCATGTCTCGGCGACATTGTACTTGCGGCAGAGCGACCATTGGCCCTTATAGACGTCTAGGATACACTCTCCGTTCCGATCGCGTTTCGAGGGGCCATACATATCATCAACTAGCAGACGTGCTGGTGATGACGGTGCAGACGAGCGTGCATTGACCCCTTTCACCACCACCTCACCCATCCCAACACTCCAACCCACACCCACCACCACACGATCATTGCTGCAACACGACCGTTTCAAACCCATCACCTGCGATGTTCTCAGTCTCCACGCCAACACCGGTCGCGGCGTCACATCTCTCGCTCCTGCCCAGTCAAAGTGAATGCAGCCTGCCAAAAGCATCACAGCATCACAGACACACGGCAAAGACAGATGAATAGCTACATGTAATGAAATTATCCGGTTTGCTGCCGCCCTAAGAGCAAAGAAGCCTTGTCTCCAAACAGCATCAATACACATCAAAGTCGCTCTCCTCGTCACTCTCACCCACGTTGATGGGACTCATCAACCTATCCGCTGTCCAATCCGTGTTTGAGTCTTTCATATAGCGATTCTTCACGTTGAATAACACGACAACGGAACTTTCACGGTGTGTTAATACTAAAACGGACACATCCTATTGTTTGCTCAAGATCAAACATCTTGCAGACAAGCTGATACAAACCCGTGTGACCTTCTTCTTCAGTCTTACCATGAAGGCTCCAGAACCGCTGCGTCTCTAAGAGGTTGTTGTGGAAGACGCATAATAATGTTTTCTAGACCTAATTGAGTTTCTGTTTGAACAGCGTTGATTTCCTCGACGATCGGCTTGGTCGACTTCAGCAAATCGACGGGGCAGAAATGGTCATGTTTGCAATGGCGTTCTACACCGTTGTTTGCGACTATGTGCTGATCTCTTCTCGAAGAGTGCCAATTGACTTGACACGAGAGAAAACGCAAGGAAAGCAGCCAAATATCGATGCACAGCGAGAGCTGAGAAACGTGCACAGGTGTCCAGCACCTGTACCCACATCCCACTCGCAAGCACACTTGTCATGTATAACACCGTCCCACACCCATTCGTACGCTCGCAAACCCCTCACCCAGACAAAGCACTCACCGCACCCGACACAGCACTCGCCGCCCCCGACACAGCACTCGCCGCACCCGACGCACCCACCCGCCCCCGCGGCACAATCCTCACAACCGCCCCCCGCGCCCGCACAAACACCTCATCTCGATGCACCACCGCATGCGCCTCCCCGCACCTCAACGCCTCCACGTCCACAATCTCCACCGCGCGGTGCTCCAGCAGCTCGCGCGCCTTCGCGGCCGAGAGCCACTCGATGCCGTACGTCAAGCGCGCGTCCGCAGCGGCATCTGGCGCCGGCGTGGCGCACTCGACGTGGATTCTGAGCGCGCCGGCGGCGTTGACGTGGGCCTCGGACTCGAGGGTGGGCACCACGCGGCGGGTTTGCGGCGCGCCCTGGGTGAGGCGGGTGATGTTGCTTGATTTGGGCTTGTGGCGGAGTGGCGGGGGAGTGTGTTGAGAGGAGAGGTTTGTGGCGGACTGGTTTGGCGAGTCGACTCTGGACTGGATGGCGGTTTTTGGTGTTGCGTCGCTCTTTGAGTTTGGCACGGAGAGCGCGCTTTTCGTGTGCGGGAGAGAGTCCGAGACGCGGTCCATGGGCGGGAGCAGGTGCTCGCGCGGGATGGCTGTGCTGCTGGCCAGGGCGCTTCCGAGGGGTGTTGCGTTCGATCCGAGGGTGTCGAGCAAAGCCGATTTTGTGGGCAATGTCGATGTAGATGACGGTAGGGTGAGTATGGCGACTCCATTCGGCTCTAGGTTGATCGTCTTGTTCGGTCTCAGTAGCAGTCGTTTCAGGCTGTCTCTGATCTGATCCTCGAGTGCTGAGTTGAGGTTCAGTTCCAGCTCACTGAGGTTGGACATCGATGGCAGCTTCCATCCAGAATCCATCCGCCCATGGTATCGAGGCGTATGCATCTTTCCATGCATCAGGATGAGGGCGTTGCACAAGAAGCATGAATTCTTGCTGGAGCAGACCACTCGTGGCGGTAGTTTCGAAGCGTTCAGCTCATAGTGGGCGACAAGTTGGACTTCGGCATGTATCTTGGCTGCGCGCAATGTCTTCGCTGTTCGGGCAGCAAACTGTTCGTTCAGCTTTGACTCGCTTGTTTTCAAGACTCGACAGAGACAATAGAAGTCTGGCTCTTGATGAACAGTGCTGATTCTTGCGATCGTGGATCTTAGCTGTGGAGTATGGCCTTCGCCTGTACTTTTGCTGAAGCCCTCTTTCGGCAAGTTGACAGTAACAACTTTTGCTCGCCGAAACACAGGGACTCTTCTGGCTGTGCGAGATAAGAACCGTGCAGCCTCCCGATACCTCGATACTTTGCTGACGATGTTGACAAGATTTTGCTTTGACGTGGCGCACATCGCACTGTTTGGTATCGAGTCCATCACCGCTTGGAGACCCTCAGCCTGCTTTAGTTGATGGATGCCTCCGACTAGCCTCTCCAGCTGTGCTGGCTCCCGTTGTATGGCCCACAATTCGGAAAGTCTTATCACTTCCTTGGCTCTTTCTGTGAACAGCCCGACGGGCAGGCTGTGCAGAGTTTGAGGGTCGACTTGCCTGAGGGAGTTGATAGCTTCTCCTAGGAAGCCTCCGAGAGATTGTGTTGGGATGCCCCAATCTTTCCCCACAAGCCTTAAACGTCTCAGGATGCGGTGTGAACACATTGCGATTATTGCAGTAAATACCTCAGCCTCTATGGCTCGGCTCTTGTTTCGTTCTTACGAGTGTCATCAATGGTGAATAAGAAGATGGTTGGACGACTTACCTTTTGAGATTCCAGACAGAAAGCCAAAGATTTTTTCGAGGCCTTCTTTAAGATCTTGAAGGACGTTACTGCCATCTTCCTCGTCTGCCCTGTTCACCGCCAGCATAACATTCAGCGACGCTGACTGGGAATCTTCTTCGATACAAAGCGCTGGTGTGTGATCGGAATCATCTCTCGTATTACAGATGAAAGCCAATGTACCAGTAAGGTGTCGTTCCTGGTTGTAAGACAGCGCATAACTTCCTTGATGTGGCGAAGCCTTGTTGGTCACGTTGCTGGAAGGGGGAACTGGAACTAAATGAAGGAGATGAAGTAGGGAGATATTCTCAGCACGTGCGACCGCGGGCGTGGACATATCAGCGAGGAGCAGCGCGAATCATCAGATGTTGAGGAGGTGTTGCCAGGCTGAAGTAACAAGCACACAATCTCCGTCAAGCGGGGTCCTATAGGACTTATTTGCTGCATTGCTGCTGTGTAACAATCCTACGTCAATCTGCAGTGCTCTCAGGCTGATTGAACGAGACATCTGCTTCCAGGCCCAACGAGCGTGTGTTTGCCAGTCGTCTAATTCCCACGTCACTACACAAGTTCGATCTCTTTGCTGCGTCCATTCTATGAGGGATTTCCGGATTGAACATCTGCAATGTCAGCCTAATTCCAGAAACGGCGTGGGGTAGAAACGTGTGACAAGCTGGTTGCTGCGACCGGACTGGACCTTGAAGGCGTCTAGACTACGGCTCAACGCGCAGTACTTGGGAACAGGTTGTTCCATTCGACGCCACTCCATGCATGCGGGCTAATTTGAAAGGTACTCGAGCGTGTTCATACATAGAACTATCGACACAGCAATCAATCAAGCTTCGCCGGAGGTGGGGTGACGTCCCCATAGGGATGAGAGCCCAACCTGCGCGGTTCGCCACCCTATAGGATGCCTGCTTCAGCATCAAACGGGCCCTCCCGATGCAACCCGTGCAGTTCGCCAATCAGTGGAGATGGAAACCCAAAATAGTGAAGCAATGAGAAGAACACGTGTAGGACTCAACGAGGTCGAGCTGCACAGCACGTTGGCCCCGCTAGCGCCGCTCTAAATTTAAGCTTAAACCTATCCCTGCAACCCCACTCCCAAAATTTATCTGAACATCCACTCACCTTCGCCAGCCGTCCGTGGAACACCTGCAGCGTCCAGCACACACCACGCACCCAGCACCCCCGCATTTTACGCACACACGCACCGCCACAATGAAGCTCCTCACGCTCAACTTCCTCACCTGCGCCATCAAAACATGCAAAACACAAACCGCGTCTTTCCCGCTGCACCCCCGCAACGCCGAGCTGGAGATCCAGGAATCAGAAGTCAATCTGCCGTTTTTGAAGAACATTCTGCCGAGGCTGATGTGGGAGGAGCTGAGGACGATATGTAAAGAGGTACGTCCTTGCGCCAGTTGGTGTGCAACTACTCTTCGCGGGGCACAATGCGTGTCGGCTTCTGCATTCTATTTTCTACCTTCTCTCGCGTCCTACAGAGTCTAATGAAATCTATACTGACACACTACAGCTGTCCCTTCCCGACCTCCCTCCCACCCCGCCCACGCCTGCAGACCTCGTCGAAGGCGGCGCCGCGCTCGCAGCTACCAACGAGACCACCGATGCGTCCGCAGAAGGCAGCGCAGCAGCAACTACCACAGCAGCGAATACTACAGAACAGCCGAGCCAGACGGCGCGGGACCTGCACCGTGTGCTGCTCGAGACGTGTATACAGGAGGGCGGGCTGGTGTGCGGGTGCTGCGGGCACGAGTACGCGGTGAAGGAGGGGGTTGCCAACTTTTTGCTGCCGGGGCATTTGGTGTGAGAGGGGCAGGCGAGGAGGTAGGGCGTGCGAGGCGAGGCCGGACCGAGAGGCGCGGGAGATGTGGCAAAGGGTGGAGAGGCGAGCAGCAGCGCGGGGTATTCATGAAGGGAGCGGTTGTTCACGGCGGCACAAAAGTTTGATACCCACACACAGATTCGAGCATTCGGGGCGTTGGTCGCATGAAGATCAAGAGACGTATATCATGGTATCTAACCCTTTCAACGCGCCCAAACGCCCAACTTTTCCACGTTCCTGCTGCGCTTACAAGTCCAGCGCACGGTTGATCTGGATCTTCTTGTCCTCGCCCGCGCTCACAATGCCTACCTCCTTGTCCCAGTTCACGCTGAACACCTTGACGCCCTCGCCGTGGCTCTTGGCCGGCCCGCTCGCGCCCTGCCGGTTGATCGTGTACACGCTCTCGCCGGCCATGCCCTCGCCGACCTGACCGCCCGTGGTGACGTTGCGCAGATCCCAAATCTGGCAGGTGCCGTCATGCGAGCCGGAGACGAGATTGTACTCGGAGTTCGGGTCGGTGGCGAGCGACACGATGCCGTTCTTGTGGCCGCGCAGCGTCATAACACTAATCTGGGTGGCGGAGACGCGCGGGTCGACGAGCGTGATGTGGCGCGCTGAGGTACCAGTGGCGAGGAGGTTGCGCGCGGGTATGGCGCAGAGCGAGAGGAGGGCGTGGCCGGTTGTGCGGGTGTCGACGCAGGACTGTGTCGGGAAGTCCCAGGTCTTGATGGTGTGGTCGTGCGAGGCGGAGTAGGCGACTGTTGCGTCGTCAGGCTTGAAGATGACGCTGGAAACAGGCGCTGCGTGGCCGGTGAAGGTTGCGAGTGCGCCGCGCGCGGGGACTGTGCGGTCGGGCTTTGACAGTTTCTGGCGCTTGTTTGAGGCGGCGGTCGAGTTGGGGAGGAGGTTTGCGGGCGCCACCGGGCTTTCCTTGGTATTGCTGGAGAAGAGGGAGATGGTGCTGTCTGAGGAGGCGGAGAGGATGCGGCTGGAGGGCCCGTGAACGGCAATGTCCTCAACAGCCCACCTGTGGTTAAATAGCTCAAGGCTCGTTGTGATAGTGCGCGCATCATCATCATACTTGTAGACTCGAACTGTGTTGTCCAGACCCGCCGCAACGATCTTCTTGTCGGACAGCCACTTCGCAGTCTTCAAGCTTGTTATCCTGCCGCCATTGTTTGGCGCCTCCGATGTCGCTAGAACGTCGCCAGAGGTGTTCCATACGCGTACGAGACCGTCGTAACTAGCGCTCAAAATCCTCTCCTGGCCGCTCTGCACGTTTCCGCCTGACCACAACCCCGCCGGCGAGGATCGGGACAGCACATCTACAGCTGAGACCCAATCATCGTGCTCGAAGCTTGTGACATTGAGCGGTGGAACCAGGGCCCGTGTGTACTCGACGTCCAAGGTATTCTCTGCGTTGATACCGTTCTTCGTGAGGAATTCATCTATCGAGGTGCGCAGAAATTGGCCGTTGATGAGGATGTCGAACGGGATACGGTTTGCGTCACGGTGCAGGAGGTCGTTCACGAGGGTAGAAAGCTGGTGTCGGCTCAGAGCTATACACTTCTGTCAGCGAATAGCCTGGTGATGACAGCTGCAATGCGCAAGCATCGTGCTGTTGTAGGGTTTGCGCATGGTGAATAGACTTACAAGTCTGCACCAGCAATACTGTCGGATCCTCGGCGATCTGTAGAGCAGGATCGCGAGTGCTGAGGCGAATCTGCACCTTGGTGTCTGAGGCGGTGTACTCCATTTCGAATGCTATCGTCCGTTCTGCTGTTGCGATCGCCGTTGGCGTCTGGAAATTTCCTGGAACTTTTCGAACGGCAGGTGGGGCCACGCTAGCGACTCCGCTAGCCAATCGGCATCCGTGAAGCCTCCGTGTCAGCCTTGCACAGGTCGTTTGCTAGGTGTGGTGTGGAGTATTTGAACATCGTGATATCGTGTCTACGTAGTCGCAGCTTGTCTATTGCATACTTGTCCTCCTGATCTCCGCGATCGCTCTTCTTCTGAGATCACTGGGGGCGAACAGAGCCTCGATCAAGCCTACAACTTCTTCAGCACCCATCTCCAGCTTAAGCTCACTCTCATTCCACAGATACTTAATATCTGCCAGGCTTCCAGCCAGTATCTCACCGAGATACTGCAGTCTGAACCAGTTTTGGACGTACAAGCTTGCTGTGTCCCTGGTCTCTCCTTCCTCTTGTGTTTGGAAGTACTGATTAAGTGTCGCTAATGACATGCAGTAACTGTGCAACTTTGTTGACTCATCCTCTGCAATGTCTGACATATCGAGCACATCATTGATGAACTTTGTGAATGCAGTGCTGACAAGCGATCCAAGAGACTGAACGAGAACCCTCTGAGATACTATGCTCTGCCATTGTCGCTTCACACCGCCAATGCGGTCGATTGTTGTCGCGATGGCGTCATCGCATACCGTTGCAAATGGGACGTTGGTACATCCTTGGAAGCCTTGCGCGTCCTCAAGATGATCTTTGATAATCTGTCTTTGCGACTCCATCTCTTTTCCGTACGCCCTCCGACTGAAGCCATCTATCGTCTTGATATCGGCCTCGATCTTAGGTGTCAGGCGAACTGAAGGTCGGAGCAGCTGCGGAAGACTTGAAGAGCGGTCTTTCTCTGCTTGGTCGTGTATAACTGTCCGTAACCGATCCGAAAGCCGTTCGCAGTCGTTGTAGACGAGCATATTGCCTGCAGCGTCGGTAGAGTAGTGCACTGAAGCGGTAGCCCGATACATCGCGAGAAGTAAGCTAGGAATAGCGAACAAGCCCCCGCTCGCAGGCGAGATTGCGGATTTGACGAGCTCGGGTGAGTTGAGGGTCTCTACATCTGTGACTACCTGTAGGATGATCTCGATGATTGAGTCCGGGATAGCTGTCACAGTATAAGTTTCCCTCAGTGTGACGTGCTGTTCTGTAGGCGGCTGTTGTGTAGGCTGCCCGTTGGTCTTGCCACGTGGCGATTTTGTATGCGCTTGCGGTGAAGGTGCTGATTTTGTCTCTTCGTCATCATCCCAGTCGTTACCCCAATCTTCTGCGTCTTCGTCTTCAGCAGGCTTCTTTTCTTCTGCTTTTGCTTCAACTTTTGTTTCTTCTGTAGGCTCATCTTCATCAATCCCCCAAGCGCTCATGTCCTCTTCTTCCAGATCCTGTGCCGCAGTGTTCCCGTCCCCCTTGACAGGTTGATCGTCGTCTCCCCAGTCGGCGCCCCAGTCGTTTTCCTGTTCAGCATCTACATCCTGTGCAGGGTGTAACGCATCACCCTTCGAGATGACCTGTGTTTCCACCTTCTCCACAGTCTTCTTGATCTTGACTTGTTTCGGAAACAGCTTTTGCACTCGGGCAATGGCACTCTCCTTCTGTTTGGCTAGCCAGATCTCGGCTGATTTATCAACCCACTCGGTCAAGCGACTTTGGCCGGTCCACTCAAGCTCATCGAGGTACTCTACCAGACCCAGGACGTAGGAAAGTGTAACCTGGAAGTCCTGAACTCCGTCTGTGGAAGTTGGTACCGCGGGGTGGAGGTACTCTTTGATCAAACGCGATGCGATGATGGGTACCAACTTCGATGAGAGTGGTAAGGCAATAGAAGGTGGTAAACGAGTGCTGAGGAACTCAGCGATCTTGTGAATGTCTTCCAGGGTCGCCTTGACACTTCCATCGTTGACAGGCCCCGTAAGCTGTATACTGTCACCTTGAATATCGAATGCGGTGACGATTTGATCCTGGCCGATGATAAGGCGGTGCGATAAGATCGTCTTGTCAAAATCGCGGCAAAAGCGGGCGATCAAGTTGTCCAGGAGATCAAGCTTTGTGAGCTGCTCGACGACATCGTTGACACTGATCGTGGTTTCTTGTTCGATCGAGTCCCTCAAAGTGACCTTGTTGTTTGCAGTATCAACCTCCAACAGTCGATTCCAGGTGTCCGTGACCGTTTCAACAACGGCCTTGCGCATTTGCGACTCCTTGCTCTTCAAAACACCCACCACGCGTGTAGATTGGAACGGTCCCAGACTCTTAAATGCACTGTCCACATCCTCGAGACGCTGAATAGCATACATAACATGACCTCGAACGGCGGCATCCTGCGCCGAGTCCAGTAGTGTGGAGATGTCTCTCAGCTGCTCGACGACGCGCGCCAAACTCTCGTTGTACGCAAGCTCGGTGTGCAGCAGGCTGAGCTTACTGGCTGCATCTTGGACGTGCGCAGTATTCGCCTTTCCTTCTTCAGCGAGTTGTACAATCTCCTTGGCGGTATCTTGGGAGCGCTTGATGTCGTCTTGCAGCTTTCGGGCTTGCGCTATCCATCCGTCGACGTCGGACGCGGCTTCGCGGGACACTTTGCGCACTTCGTCCTGACATGCAATCAGTCATTATCGTCGGCGATTCCAGTGTCGCATACTTTGGCATCCTCTCTTGCCTTTCCAACCTTCTCTAGCAGCTTAGGGAGTGCGCTCGACGGTATGGTCGCAGATGCCACATCTCCATCTTGCGGAAATGTTCCATGCTCGGCTGACTGAAGAATCGCGTCGCCAAGCTGCTCATCTGATATCTGCGGAGGCATCGCGTTGGATCAGCCGATTGTCATGTCGAAAGAAAACCGGCTGCGTTGTACGTTTCCTTGTGCAACACGCGCAAACAGTCCATGTCGGCACCGATGACGTCCGTGCATCCCCAAGCTCCCATTTCACATGAGGGGCAAAACGGTACGGAACGACTACCCCGCCAACATTTGCACTCGTGCATACAGCCCCATCTTCTACAGCGGGAAAGAGGCGTTGACTAGGCGCGAAAGGGTTGTCGTAGAAATCTGGCAGGAATCATCTGGTATCGTGCCCGCAGCTTCCTCTGTCGCCAGAACAGCCTAACAGACCGGACAGTCGCGCTTTTCGCCGACCAAACATCAACTTGTTCTGCAACAATCTAAAGCTCGTTCCCTTTACTCTTTTCGTCTCCATGTAAGTTTAGAAGCGCGCTTCAGATGTTTTCGTTTAAACTCCTTTTTGCGCCCTACTATGAGCAGATCCCTTTGCCACCCAAATAGTATTCTTGTCAATGCATGTCATCATGCCACTCAAAGTCATGCATAGAAACGATTTGTCGAGCTTGCAGGTCCGGTACAAGTCTAGCTAACACAACAATGGTAGCACCCATCTGGCATTGCACAAAGGGCTGCCTGTCAAAGCGCAAACCTGCACCTCAAATAAACTTCTAAGCAACTCTCCTTTTCGACCTACGAATCTTTCCAAGCATTCAAGTGGCTTTAAATACGAAAGAATGGGCTCAATTTCTCAAGAGTCGCACTTCAAGAAGATCCAGGACTTCGAGGCCGATTACGCCGACGCCAAGTTCACCCAATATGAGTCGAAGCGTACGGGCTTAAGGGTAACGGTCGTCGACCGGAAAGGACCCAAGGTCTTCGGCTACTTTGCTGTCGCTACAGAGATCCATGATGACTCTGGCTCACGTATGTCTACGAGTGAAGGAGTTTTGCAGCGCTGACGAGTTGTAGCGCACACCCTTGAACACCTGATCTTCATGGGAGGACGCAAGTATCCATACAAAGGCTTGCTCGATAAACTCTCAACACGTTCGTATTCGGACACCAATGCATGGACAGATGTCTCAGAGACTGTGTACACTCTCTCCTCAGCCGGTTGGGAAAGCTTTGCGCAGATCCTTCCTGTCTATCTGGATCACCTGATTCTTCCTACCAACACTGATGCTGGATGCTACACCGAAGTTCATCACGTCGATGGCAAGGGCGAAGATGCAGGGTATGTTGTTTGCCCGCAAAGTGTTAATCTGGTCTGACTCAATCAGTGTTGTGTACGCTGAGATGCAAGCACGACAAAATCTGCAAGGTGACATGATGGATCTCCGCATGCGACGTCTGTTGTACCCAGAAGATGATGGGTTCCGCTCGGAAACAGGCGGCTTGATGGAGAATCTACGTGTTCTCACCGCTGAGCGCATTCGAGAATTCCACCGAGAGATGTACCAGCCGAAAAATATGCGCCTCATCCTTATCGGTGAGGTAGATCACCCAAACTTGCTTGAAGTGCTGGACAGGTTCGAGGACGACATTGTTGATTCAGTTCCCTCTTACGATGCGCCCTTCAAGCGTCCCTGGGTCGAGTCCAAGCGCACACCAGCGCTCACCAAAACCATTGTGGACACTCTCGAATTCCCGGAAGAGGATGAGTCCACTGGAGAGGTTCAAATTGCCTTCCTCGGACCCGCATCGACGGACGATCTGGCTGAGACAGCTGTGAACACATTGCTCACCTATCTTGCCGGATCATCTGTATCTGTCCTGGTCAACACTCTTGTGGAAAAGGAACATCTTGCCAGTGAAGTATACTACTTTATCAAGGATCATTACGATTCCATCATCTGGTTCACTCTCAGCGCAGTCGACACAGACAAGCTCGAAGCTGCTGAGAAGCGTTTCTTTGAGGTTCTCAAGGAGCATGTCAACGGTCCTCTTGACATGAGCTATCTACGTGACTGCCTTCATCGCTTCAAGCGACAGGCTAAATTCACGTCAGAGGTCAGCAACGAGGAGTGGAACACACCTATCGTCAAAGACCACATTTTCGGAAACCGCGACGGCTCTGACCTGAAGACTGCTATGGCGGACCTCAATGCCTTCGATGAGCTTGACAAATGGAGTGAAGACCAGTGGCGCACATTCATCAAGAAGTGGATCTCGGATGCGCATCATGTCACCTTGTTCGGGAAACCATCAGCGGCTTTGAACGAAAAGATGAAGGCGGAAGAGGTTGCGCGAGTAAAAGCACAGCAAGAAAAGCTTGGTGAAGAAGGCCTCAAGAAGCTAGGCGAGCAACTCAAGCAGGCGCAGGACCAGAACAACAGACCCATTCCGGAGGAGCTGATCGCAAGTTTCAAGATCCCCAGCACAGATTCGATCCATTTCTTCGAAACAACGTCTGCGAGATCAGGGCTTGCTAAGAAGCTCGGTACGGGGGAAACTAATATTCAGAAGATCATCGATAAGGACGAGAACGGATTGCCTCTCTTCGTTCACTTCGAGCACATTCCGACATCCTTTGTGCACTTTGGTCTAGCCCTTGGGACAGCGGGTTTGCCCACAGAGCTGAAGCCTCTACTTAGCATCTACCTCACGAACTTCTTCGCTACACCAGTCGTCAGAGACGGAAAATGTATTGAGTTCGAAGAAGCCATCACCAAGCTTGAGCAAGACACCATCGAGTATACTCTAGGCAGAGCGACTGACATTGGCAACTCCGAGATGCTCCATATTCACTTTGTCGCAGAGGCAGAGAAGTATGAGACAGTTGTCAAATGGCTCAAGACACTACTCGTTGATTCGGTGTTTGATATTGAGAGGATCAAGGCAACGGTCATCAGGCTATTGGCAAACGTACCAGACGAGAAGCGTGATGGTAATGGTATGGCACTCGCCATTGACAAGATGATTCACTACGACACTACCTCGTCTGTTCGCGCTACCACCACTCTAGTCAAAGCTCTTTACCTGAAGCGGACCTTGAAGCTACTCGAGACCGAACCCCAACAAGTCATTGACAAGCTCGAAGCCCTGCGAAAGCATCTTCTTACCTTCTCAAACATGCGTCTGCTTGTCACAGCGAACCTCGAGACTCTCCGCAACCCAGTATCGACCTTCAAGCACCTGACAGATGCCATCAAACCAGACGCCAACCCGACTGTTAACCCCATCGATGACCGCAACGCGCTTCTCTCCGAGATCGGCCGCAACCCTGGCGGTGCGCACTACATCGTCACCATGCCCATCGACACATCCTACGGTATCTTCACATCAAAGGCTCCCAAGGGCTACACTGCCCCAGAACTACCATCTCTCCTCGTCACCTTGGCCATCCTCGAAGCTGTCGAAGGACCTATGTGGGTAGCCATCCGCGGTACTGGTCTCGCCTACGGCAGCTCCTTCTATCGCGACGTCGAAACTGGCAAGCTGAAGTACGTTATTTACAACAGTCCGAATGTCTTCAAGGCTTTCGACGCGGCCAAGACCCTGATCAAGGAGCTCGCCGACGGTACCCAGTCGTTCGACAAAATGGCGCTCGAGGGCGCTATCTCAACCATCGTCCGCGGCTTCGTCGACGAGCGCGACACCATGGTCGAAGCGGCCAAAAGCTCCTTCATCGACCTTGTCGTGCGTGGCGTCGATAAGGACTGGCAGGAGTGGGTTCTCCGCGAGGTGCGCAAGATCACCGAGGAGGACGTCAAACGCACGCTCAAGGATATCGTGTCTGCGGTGTTCCAGCCGCAGGAGGTCGACGTGGTGGTCACTTGTGGCGGGATTCTGACAGAGGTATGTACACGTACTGTGGTATTGTAGGTATCGCGGTCGCTAACGCAAAGCAGAGCTTGCAGAAGGATTTCGAGACGGCGGGATTCAAGCCGCAGACTAAGGTCCTCGCGGACTTTTACGAGTCCTATGGGTTGGAGGGCGATGATGACGACGATGACGATGATGACGATGACGAGGAGGATAGCGAGGATGATGATGATGACGATGAGGAAAGTGGGGATGAGATGGAGGAGTAGATTTTATCTAGAGTATAGGATTGCAAGGAGAGTAGAAATTAGAGAGGTATTTAGTGTGCGAGGTAGCGAACTTTGCTATATGGCAGGCTGCAAGCTCGCTACTACTCTTTGTATCTGCGCAACACTAGCTCTTAATTGAGAGATCAGACTTCCAATGCTACTACGCAGTTTCACAGTATGTCTTATCAACGACATTGTTTAAAGTATGAAGCTTCCTTAGGTAGATAACTAGGGAGCGTCAAGGCTGAGCCCTATCTAGTCAGGCGTCCCCTCCTTTGTACATGTGCCACCATTCTGCCTCTCAGGTTTCAGAAAAAATGGCGAATAAGACCCTAAGCTTCCTAACTTTACAAAATGCATAACTTATAGCTGTTATAAAACTAAAAGCTAGATATTGGTCATGAATTACCTATGTTGTAGGTGTAAAAGCATTCTATGGAGTTTTTAAGTAATTTCCCTACTTCACTGTCGTGTGGTGTACATGTACTTGGCTTGTATCTTCAGTCCGTCGTTTGTTCTGCAACGTGAGAGTCTGCCCAGAAACACTCCCTTGGCTATAAAGTTTCTTCGCACGGAATATAGAATAATTGACAACGTCTTGCTCAAAGTACTTTTTGCTCGACGCAAGCAAATCCCAGCAGTCTTTGAATCAGATCAATGAAAGAAGTCAACTTAATTCTAAGTTGAGGGTTCGCTACTACCTAATTTCCACTTTCGGAATTGTACTCTACGCCAGAATCGGTCCTTGAAAACTCGTTCTTGCTCAACATTGATAGTGTATATACCTGATTAATGTAGCTCGTCGGACAATATGTAGAAGTTAGATCATTATGGACCATGCCATTACAATTATCACTTGCAATCTATCGCCCTTTTCGATCGTCGCCAGAATCGCGCTGTTGTAAAATGGGTCAGAGACTACTGTATTGAACAACATATGGAATGAGTGTAGAGATTTTAGATCGGGTTTCAATTTCGTAGGGGAAAGCTCGACCAGTCGTGCCTCCAGCCTTTGCTGCCCTCTCTGGAAGGCCAAATGGAACGAAATACCTGCCCTAGTGCGGACTCCGTAAGTTTTGACTCCGTGAGTTTTTCTTTCAACGCCTCTGCATGCTTGCCTAGTTCTCTGATGATGAAGTCGTTGCGGTCATCTCTCGGATTACGCTCAATTAACCATGACCGGCCCAGATTCCTCAAAATTTCGCTATCGCAATAGACGCCTGGTTCGCTATTATATTCACAGCCGCCCATAGTCCAAATTTTGAGATGCTCCAGCTGTGTACCTGTCTTATCCTGGTTAATGGCATAACAGATGGAACGTGCTAGTGTCTCGTCTACGGCGCAATTGATGAGCGTTTGTCTCAAGTCACCTCTCTTCTGAGGGCCTCTACCGACAAGCTGCTGGTCTTCCCCTTCAAAATTGGGGTTGTACTCAGGATTTCGGGAGACTCGCAAATTTGAACAATCAAGGGTGAGGAAGAGGGATCGCAGTCTCTTCATTTTGCTGAAACACCTGTACATTGACGTTTCTGATGGGCTTGACATGTCCCGCTTGATCGTGATGGAAAGATCCTCCAGTATCGGACACTGCGCTTCGATCTGAATCAGATGCTCCTTAGCGAATTCCATAGGGATTTCTTGATGAGGGTCACGATCTTCAGCGTAACGTGACTCTTGAGGGCGCAAACTGAGCTGCTGCAACGTTTTCCCATGACGAGACAATATAGCGTCTACAGTCTGTTCGTCAATTGCCCCATGGACAGAAAGCTGCTCGAGGGGTTCTAGTGATTCGAAAAAGGACACTGCATCCTCGCTGAAGTTCGGGCGGCCGTGGAAGGTACGATCTCGGTCAAGAGATACTTTTAGTGTTTTTAGCTGGGGAAACGAATGATTCTGAACCAGCCATTCCATTGTCTCGCCATTTAGTGCGCGTGAATTGTAATCGCGCTCCAGTCCCAGATCGAGATATCGCAGGCACTTGAAGTCTGTATGTGTAGCCCATCTCTCCAGAGTCCATTGCGACGATGACAATACTCCTTGGAGGCTCAATGATGTTAAGGATCCCTTTGTCCCGTCACGAGACCTTGGAAGACCATGCCAGGTCTCCTTGACGCGGTAGTCGCTTCCAGAACGGTATGCCATGATACACACAGTGATAATTTCCTTAAGGTTCGGAGCAAGCCCAGCGGCCAATTCTATGAGGGCATCCTCATTGAAATCATCATCGTAATCTGAGTCCCGGAAGGTGAAAATCAGCTTCGCTTTGTAAAGCAAAGGGGATGTGGCAAGTTCCATCTCGTATGGATATGGAACTCCCCATAGCAAGGTCCGGAAGCGGAAAGTGAGATGGTGTAATCGACACTGTGGATACTGCGTGTGAAGAGTGCTGAGCAGGCTTGGTGGGAATTGACTCTTGCAGTCATATATCAGATCCTTTAAGTGAGGTGTTATTCGAATCAGGCTTAGGATAGGGTCCCAAGATAGGTCTTCCTCAGAAGCTTTCTTGATGACGGGCTCATCATAAACCACGTAGTGGTAGCTTGTACTCGCCATGCCCAAGTCTGGCACTATTTCATCTAGGCCTGTAGAGCGGAACCACTCCAGCGAACTCTTGCCGTCGATTTTCGGATTGGGCCGTATATCCCCTTTGATAGTAATGCACTGGACGTAGCGAGCTGATTCAGTGCGTAAGAGAGCTTTGACGAGATGATCAATCTCACTTCTAAGAGTTGCGCGGCCGTGGACGGTAACTTCGATTCGGCGAAGTATCAGGAATGCCGAAGCTTTGTGGCAAGCCATACTTGCCAGGCTGAAGGCGAAGAGGCTAGGTCGGTATGTATGCTCGATACAGTCGGCAATCTGCTGGACTATCTCGATTGGCAAAGAAGAGAAAGGCATTGTAGCTGTGTCGTGAGTCGCTACATGTAACGGGATGTACTTGGCAGACGTGATGGTAAAGAGAAGTAGGAGAAGTTTGGAAAGTTGCGATGCACGATGACTCTTTAAGTTGTTGCTCCTCGAAATAGATGCGGCGTAGTTGTGTATAAGCGCCGGCGACTAGCGGGCCCCACAGTCACGTGGTCGATGAGTGTGACATACCGTAAACCCACAGTGGGTCAACACAGGTGAACTAGATGAATGATTGTCGTAGCATAATCTCAGGGGGGTGTCATAGTACGTGGGGGTGTACCAAGTGCGAGTTGATGGATTCCGAAGCTACCTAAGTGTGACCTCAGTCCACCAACCCGCCTGTACAGGGTGGTGCATAGTCGACTTCCATCCACGCCTCCTGTGCCTCAGTCTTGCAACACTAATAACAAGACAGGACAGCATCGGAGTTCCAAAATCCCCACATTGTCCGTAGTATCAGATATGGTCATTTGAACCCACAATTTTGAATCATCGATAATCCCCGTGTAGGTAACAACATTTGTGCTGTATATTCACGAGTATTTAAGCCTCACAACCGGCTTGATTTCTAGAGCATATCATCACACTCACTTCGATCGTCAACCAATACAACATCTTTCAGACAGGAACTGGTTTCCTCTGATCATTCATTTTCGCTCTCTCGTCACTGATCATCATCACACTACATCACTTTCTTGACTTTATTTATCTATTTTGCATATTCCTGAAGAGTCAACACAGCTTATCAACATGGTATCCGTCAAGAGAATCATCGTTGCAGCCTCGCTTCTCCTCAGCGGAGCGGTTGCGGCCCCTTTTCCGAGTGATGCGCTGAGCGCAGCCACCGTTGGTGTTGGCACCGCTAACTTAATTCTACATGAGTCTCGCGACTTGTATGAGGCCTCTGCCGTCGAAATTAAAGCCAAGAAAGATAAAAAAGTCAAGCCTACACCTACCAAGGGTAAACCCGCAAAGGCCACACCCTCAAAGCCCAAGACAACTCCCAACAAGGATCCCAAGAAGGACCCCAAGGCATGTCCTATCAAGCCTGGAAAAGGGAAGCCCAAGGATTCCGTGCAGCGCAGAAGCGGCCGCATGACGTCGACCAAAAAGCTCGACAAGATCCTTGAAAATCAGTTCGTCCTTGCGATGAACCTCAATGGCGCCACTTCAGTAACAGTCGACGATCTCAGTGGCTGCACGGCTCTCTTCTTTTGGGACAAAGTCTTCCGCCCCTCGGCCTACCACATCTTCTGCGGTGACGAGAAGATGAATGCCAGGAAAGCCGCTGAAACGATAGGCGAGCTTAACCTGGGTGCAAACGGCGTCGTAGTCGTGACTGGCAAAGATGAAAATCGAGTCAATGCAATGGCCGGAATCGAAGCATACAATGCGGGCGTTGAAGACGAGTTCAAGTTCAAGAACATTAAAACTGTGGGCTACAATTATGAGAACACTGTGCAGAAAAAACCATCGGATCCACTCTGGAGGTATTCAGTTACTGCGCACGTTGGAGACAAGACCATGACCCTCAAACCCGTGCTTGTCCCTGGTGTCTCCCGCCAGTGTCAGTAGTCGTCTGGCATGCCGAGGCACTGCTAGTCTTATCGATGCAGCAGATGCCAATCCAAATGAAGTCTCAGACGTCATCGGCAGCTTGTTGACGGCAAGAGAGGGGATTTGGATACAGCAAAAACTGGCAGTGGATCAGCCGCGAGTAGTCTTAGTAGAGCTCTTCAAGAGATATATGTGCAACAGTTGGGATGGAGTTTCTTTAGTCAGTCTGTGTCTCTAGTAAAGTACCTGACCTTGTTGGCACATAAAGTATGGCAGGGGCAGATATCGAATGTAGATCCTTAAACGCTCTTCATTAAGTAGCACCTCTCCGCAAGTCACAGTGAAGGACGCAAGATTAGACAACAGAATGCTTAGCATAGAGCTACAGTACTTCAAATATCTCCATGAGTCACTTTCTGTTACCAGCTGGCTGCCGCAAATTCTTGTATCCACATTGAATGTACCCCGGCCATGCTGTATTTTAGCATAAGAACTTTTGCGTGGTCCATTGATCTACAGACAGGTCTTACTTGACTGACCACAAGGCTTGATAATTGTGCATGACTTTGAAAACATATACTCAGACCTCATGTTCCGCAGCCAATCGAGGCAATGTTTTAGTCGAGTGAATAGTCTCACTAAGTCCCATCGGTCTCTCATCCAACAACCTCCCATCATTCTCCTCATCTACCTTCCGAAAAACGTCATGCACCAGGCCTCTCCTCGGATTACCATTATTATTATCGCTTCTTCCGCTGCGATTGCTCATTGCGCGATTAGGAACTGAAGAGCGAAGTATAGTGCTATCGCGCAACGACATGGCGACAGGCTGTGGAACCTGGAGCGGCAGCTCCAGACTCTTGTTCTCCGAGGACGTTCGGGTGGGGGCGCGCTCGCAGAGTGGGTTGACTGATGCTGTGATTGCTGCTTCGCTGCCGCCGCAGGAGTGCCGCGCATTGGTATTCTGCTTGCGTCGACGTATGTACCAGACCAGGCCGACGAGGAGAAGCGTGCCAATTATGGCACCGACGATCGCTCCGGCTAGCAGGGCGACCTGGGATTTGGGCTTCGTGTTGGGAAGGATGCGACACACCTGCTTGACTTTTGCGTCGGCGCCTTTGGGGTCGGCGGGTGCGACGACTGCGGGTGCCAATTGGAAGTTCCGCGCATCGGGGTCGACCACAAGGTAGTTTTGAGTGAAAAAGGGTAGGCCCAAGGTTCCTAGTGTGATTGCACCTGTTTGGTTCGTAACGGCCATGTTGTATACAGTGGCGTTGTCCACTTCTAGCACGCCTGCAGCGTTGTACGCCCGTGGCCGACTGTAAAGCTCACTTGCTGGAATGACTGTCTTGTACGTGGCAACTGAAGGCTTCGATGCGTCTTTGAGCGGCACGCCCGTATCAGAGATGGTAATAGTGACAGTACCCACAGGAGCTGTCGCGGCAGGAAGTTCGAATCGGCGTGATGTTCCGTTCCACACAGCAGTCGTTTCTGCGGCCGCGAGGTTCTGTAGCATCTGTGATGGAAGTTTGAGATCTGAGGAGAATGGGTCGAGATTTACGATGAGAGTATCTGTAGCGTCTGAGAAAAGGCTGGTACTCTTGCCACCAACATCATACGTTATAGCTGTGAGGATGGCGCATGTCAAACAGTTAGAGAACATAGGAAAGGTAGTTGCTGCGCTCTTGAGCCTGCTTTCGTCGTAACCCCCTATGACGAGCAGGCCGTCCTGTGGCGTATCCTCAGATTCGGATCCAACCCAGAGTCCAAAAGTCCTAGACGATGCTTGGCCAGAGTCGACGAGGTGGTTCAAAAAAGTCGAGTTCAACCCTAATGGCAGAGTTGCTTTTGAGTTTGGCTCGCCCGCCATGAACGGGTCTGCGCTGGCTATGGTTGCTTAGCAGTGTAGATACATGATTTTGGTCCACTGTGAACTCACTATCTGAAGAGCCATTGGTATAGATCGGGAAGGGTGCAAACTTGTTGGCTGTCGGTTTCAGGCCAAAGCTCATCGCATCGTCGAAGAACACGTATGAGCTCGCCAATGCTAGATCGACAGTGTCCCTACTGCCTCCCCAAGTTGAATAATCAACCTCTGCAAATGAGGTCGAGGTAGCACTGTCATATATACCACCAAGCTGACCAATGCAGCTGCTGTTCGTGGCCGCCACGCATTCCGCTGCGCTATTCAAAAACAAATTGTTCGAAGACGTCGAAGGCGTTAAAGAGAATGATTGTGGAGGAGTGCCAACTGAAAAAGAGATTCCCCTGGATAGAACTGTTCCAGCTGCGGAAACGGAGTTGTTCGTCCACGGCAGAACCAATGGCACAGAGCCATTCGGACAGGCCATCGCAACCTGAGTACCTTCGAAGAACGTTCAGTTCGGTGGTTTCGTGTATGTGTAGTAGAGTTCGCACAACACTGGTGTCTCTTCGGGTCAGCGACTTGGCAGCGCAATTCCTGATATGAAAGACAGGTTACCCATGGACTGCCAATTTGATCACCGACATACTTACAGGGCTTCAGGTTTGGGTCGGGCTCCGATGGCTAAGCCTGAGAGTCAACAGGTTGGAGCTCCATGGGTTGCGATTCAGGGCTCACTGTGATACCCATCTATCAGATCACTCATTGTCTGACACACATGACAGTGCTCTAATCTAGGCTTCTATTATCCCAACTTCTGTTGTCCAAGCTTACAGCCTTTCACTGCGTTGATAAACCTTTGACTGCATTTAGGTCTTTCCTACACGCAATTCGTTGAAATCTTGTGTTGTAGACAACAAGCAGCTCCTGATACGATCCGCCTCGCGAAAAGGCCCTCCTGTGGGGAATCTGGGTTTTTGACCAAGTTAATATTCGGACCGTTCTTTTCGGAACAATGGTAGCCATGCGCGTTCCCGCACATCGAGCCAATCAGCGTGCTCATCTTCTACGCGGCCCTTGACAAAGTGTTCGGCGATTGCTACAGTTGTGTAGATCTTATTCGCCTCAATGACGATCATGCCGATCTTGTTGCCCAACTTTGATCCTCATTCAAACCATGGCCAGATTCAGTCCCACACGCATCACAGATCTGGCTGCCATTGATTTTCATTGAGCGCCATGGGGCATTATCTATGTACGCTTTCAGGAAAAACTGGATCTGACCAAGCTGATCGCAATCTTGGCCGACCTTTGAGTGTAGCGAAAAATGAAATGCGAACACGAGACAGCTTTCAGCCGCACGAGGTACAGGATGCAATCCTGGAAGTCTCTGACTTGAAGTGCACGAGTCCATATCCAAAGCCTGTTCGGGTAAGCAATGGCTCTACTTCATACAGGCTGTACTTAGGAAATTCATATGAGTCTCATCTGCTCTTTCTAGACAGCGGCATCCAAACCTCCCAACTTCCTCGTTTGTGTTGTTACCAAGCACCCAGCCCTCTCTCTCTACTTGGTGCGCCAACCTCATCTATAAGACTCAATGACGCAAACAGACACTTCAAATCTCGCAAGTCTTGCGCAACACCCTGTGGGACAATCTTATGCTACTACTCTATGACATCATCATATCCTGGAATGATGGAAGCACGGGTAATATCATCAACCTTCAACTTCTCCGCACGTGGACGGTTCCCAATCACCCTTCCACAAGAGTCAGCGTGACAGGGCCACCTCTCAGGCACGTAGGTACTTCAAGATATCAAAGAAATTGCTCACCCGTGGCAGGATCTCCTGTCCGGCGGCTCAATTTGTAAAACCGGAGTCCGTCATTCTTTAGGTTGTGTTATATTTTTGGACAACTGTAAGTTGTTGTGGTTGAATATCCACGTCTCGCTCACGGATGCCTACGGTGTGAGATACATATCGTTATTCGTCGTCTCGTGGTTGCGATGGACAGTGCGGAGTCAGATGACAACCACCATGTTGCATGCTTTCCTCATGGCTTCGTCCCTAGATCTCTTTTATGATATATGCTTCGCTTGACATGCTAGTACTCTGGACAGAAGCAGTATCGGGGAGTCACCTCTCGTCCTCGAACGAAGAGGCGGCACGCATTCAAGGTCCCGACGACAACCCTTACTTGTACGATATTCCTCACAATCCTCCACGGAACAGATCAATCAGCTCCTCCAATCTCCTCCAGCACCCAAACAGCTGCGATCCGCGACGCCACAGCCACCCCGCTGTACGTACACAGCACCTTGATCGCATTATGCCCACTCACCATCGTCAAGCTCGAGAATATCGCCGTGCCGTAAAGATACGTCGCGTTATTAAGCAAATCCAAGCCCGCTTTGCTCAACTTTGCGAAGCCTGTGTGTGCGCATATGACTGTGCAGTTTTGCTGTTGCAAATCCCACACCCGCAGTGCACTGATGGGAACACGAGCCGTCGCTGTCGCGATACCCTGCGCGGTATTGTTGACGGAACGAGTAGGACATGGCGTTATCTTCAGTGTGAGCCGTACAAATACCACGGCAGCGATGTGATGCACCACAGCAAGCAGTAGCCATACCATAGGGTAAAAATCCGTCCAGCAAGCCCACGTCACGACGGCGTTCACGCCCAGATCGATCGTGCGCCACACGACAACAGCGGCGCCGGCGCCTGTCGCGATGTGCGCAACGACGATTCCCACATGTGTCGTCGTCACGCCCCTGAAAGCCGTGGGTGGAGAATATGTCCTAGCCTTCTCGCTGATAGCACCGTACGGCCCGAGATCGATGACTACCCGTGGCGAAGCAGACGGTAGCTTGGTGAGCTGAGGCCGCTTGTTGATGGTGGCGAGTGCGAGGAAGAAGGCTAGGAGGGGGAAGCGGGCGCTGATGCGGATTACATCTTCGTTCGAGGTGCCGAGCACCAAAAGTACAGTAGGCACCTTCAATGCATCAGCATAGAATCAGCAGCAAGGCTGTGTCACTTACGAATGCTAGGATGCCGGAGCCGCTTGAGAGAATGCTCTGTTTCTGGCTGGAGATATTTGACATGATGCACGCGAACGCATCGCCGCAATTGTCGCGCAGTGTGATGTTTTCGGCGGTGAAGGTGGAGCTATTGATGCAGGCTTGGATGCCTTCTGTTGCGATGCCTTTATAGCTGTGCTCAAATTTGGCGGTGCATGGCGCTATGAGTATGCCTAGAAGGAGTGACAAGGCTGTGAGTAGAGGCATGACAACGACACCAAGGACTGCCCGTTAATTGCGATATGCGAGCCACCAGATATTGCGTTCGCTTAACGTTTCCAATCGATGCAAAATATATAGCTACACCAAGGAGGTTCCAGGAGGATAGAACAGGCAAAAGGCAAAAGGCACAAGGCGTCTAGATGGCGAAAGGGAGCCGTCAGGCTGTAATATTACTCACCACACCTTCCAATGGACGCCGCAGTGCTGAAAGCAGGCTAAGTCATCTATTAGCCTGGCTGCAGGCTGTCGCTTACAGAACAAATAAGGAAAGATTCGTCGACTGGACAGGAGATAACAGAGCTTCCTATTCGGCGTTCGCTCAGCCTGATCCCAACAATACGTCGGCGAACGAGACAGGTGAAAGTGTTAGTGCACGCACTTTCTTTTAGCTGATCATAATGGTGAAGTGTTTGCTTTTGTAGTCTAGCAACTGCACTTGATCTGCTGTTGCGCCGTACGAATGTGGTTGTGATTACCTGTTCTGGACTAGGTAGTCTCCGTCCGTCCCTTCCCTTGACCTCACCTTCACAACACGAAGCCTCTCGTTTCGCCTGGAAAGTGTCGTACAAGCCGCACGCTCAGCATCCGACATCACGAGAAGAGTGACAAGTCACAGACCGACAGTCCCCTCAATCACCAAGAACACGTGACAAGCATGCAACACAGCCAGGCCAACGTTCATGACTGAACCGCTGCAAGCCCATCAACTAGCTGCCAGTCCTTCAACACGAGTCCTTCAATACGAGTCATTCAGAATCAGTCCTTTGATACGTACGCACCGAACATGAACCAAACAAATCAGCGGCTGCATCAACGTCACCCACAGGGTCAATACGAGTACACAACCCGAGATGGCATATATCAGTCTTACCGGCCGAGCTATCACAATCAATCACGCTTCGGATCTAGTGATCATGACCGACGCCCTGCGAATGGGCGACCGGTAAGTTCGATCTGTTATTCCTTGCACTCTTTTACTTCTACGAATACCCAGACCGGCGTACTGCTGCCCAATCGAAGGCTGGCGTTACTGCTGCCATATGAACGGATTATCCAAACACTTTTAACGGCTTCAATGTGGCAAACGCTAATTTCCTTCGTTTTTCTAGTCCTCAATTCGGAACTCAACTGCTGCCCGGCAGGCCAGAAGTCGGGAACGCTCTGCACGACACAAATTGGCTACTCAGCCAACCCCTACTCCCGCTCAGACTCGGAATCCAGCGCCATCAGCTCCCACTCCAGCTCCCGCTCCGACTCCAGTCCCCACTCCCGTTGCAGCCCCCGCTCTGATTCTAGCCCCTGCTCCGACTTGGACTCCAGCACCACCAGCTCCCACTCTAGCCCACGCTCCAACTCTGACCCTTGGACAATGCACTGCGATACCAGTATCAGCCCAGAACGATAACGACAGCGCGCGAACAGCTGCAGAGCATCTTTTGATGTTCTTCTTCCCTATTGGCTCCGAAGTGACCTGTAACGAACTCTCGATATCGCTCAAACGGTTATATCCACAGCTCGGTCCACATAGCGCGAAGACGTCACACTCGTCTTGGACAAGTTATATATTCAATTCGGTCCCAAACGTTACCAAAACGCACACTGGCAGATACGCAAGATACATCTACAATCCTCCCACCGCGCCAGCCCAGTCTGAGCCCCTGAAGTCTCCGGTCCCCTGAGGCCCTGCAGTCGGAGCCCGAAAAGGTACAAGATTGACCCGCGTCTCCAGCCCAGATACGATGTCCAGAAGGCTGTCATCATATTCCAACGGCACCTAGTCTAGGCACACATGAGCCTACCACGATTTATCTTGAGCATTCCCGCGAAACATGGGTTTCTAACGACATACAGCAACACAAAGCAACACAAAGCAATCATAACGCTATCGTTCTTATATGATGGCTTAGAAGAGACATCTCGACGTCAGCAACGCTGTCTTCGTATCTCCAGTCGGACCACCACCGGAGCATATTTACGGAGCATATTCATGCACTCCATGTGGCGGCTGATGCTTCGAAGTCTTGGCCTGGTCATATGTCACAACATGCAGCATACCGCAGCACCATCACCTATTTCACAGTCTACCTGCAGGATCTCAGGTGTGCATCGGGTAAGGCGCTTTGACTGACCTCTAGAGTGGTATGGACTCCAAGATGTTTTCTTGGGTCACTTACACGTCACTTTTCACGTTCGAGTGTACTAGTAAGCTTCTTTGTTTCCTTATTACGTGGACACAATTATGCGGCGTTCACTCAGCCTGATTCCAGCACTACGTTCGTGGATAAGTAGATAAATGAAAATGCTATTGTATATTTGTTTGCTGTTTCTGATAGTAAGTTGTTTGTTTTAGTAATTGAGCGACTGTGTCTAATCTACTATAATGCTTGCCAAAATGTGCGGACCCCCTTATATCTGGGACACTACTGCAGACTGTCCATGGAATGCCTGCATATGTGCCTATGAGTGGCTGTCTGATACCGGTCTGACAGGGCGCAGGGTCAAACCAAAGACAGGAGCCACTGACCATACTGACCAATATACATAGACTGGTACGCTACCAGTGTATACACCCATGTGCCAGCTATAGAGGGGTCCGCACATTTTGGCAAGCACCGATATTGCGCCGTACAAGCCTCTTACGCTGCAGAAGAAACGGCAGACCAGGGATGTGAGCCCAGTACACCACGCAACGGTAAAGTACGGAAAATGTAAAAGACCTCCATGGAATACTTTTTTGCCTACAATACAGGTAGTGCTTACCCAAATTCTAGCTTTAGGTATCATGATAACTGCGGGTTCTGCGTCAAAGTTTGTCAGCTCGATCAAAGGTCGCTTGTTATTAGAACCCATATGCCCAGGTCACAGGGAAGAATGGGGTATTGCATGAAGTGATCAGGCAATATAAAGAGGCTGGCTGCAGGTCGTACTGGTAAACTGCAGACTGTTCGCTACCGAGCAGGAACACTAGAGCGGAGTGCTTCGAGGATATATACTCGCCCCGGCATTACCGAGCCAGCCCAGGGAGTCAGCCATAGTGCTGGCACTTATCCGCCGTTTTTCCTGGAACGCGAGACTTCGTGTGGACTGCACTAGCGCGCACGTGCACGGAAGATACTTTCACTGTCACCTTTACTTGTCGCTGATCTACGATTGCAGCCACTATTGACCCCACTATTACCTGCTACCTTTACCTCAACATGACACTGCGATCTCAGCACGTGCGTTGCCAGGTCTTGGCACTGCAAACGCGTGTCGTGAGTCTGCTTCTTACCTATATATATCACCTGCCCGCCGCCAACCTCCACTACTACTACTACCACCATCACTGCTGATAATACGCTGTAGCGCGCGCCACATCATGACATGTGTTCCACAAGTATCACAGCATCAAGCTCTTTCTACTGCCGTGAGTCAATCGCCATCGCAATCAATTGGCTGCGCTAATACTTGCAGGCCTGAATATTACATCACAGCGGAGATAGCATCATGGACAGCAGCAAGGATGCTTGTCCTGGATCGGGTGCCGGAACAGGCGAGTGTAAGTGCAACGTTGAATGTGCTTAGAACAAGTCCCAGCTAATCCCCTCGTAGTGGAGCATGAAGAGAGCTTGCTCGACATCAAAGCATTGACGCAAATACTCACATCTGAGACAATCAACAATTACGCCGGCGTTGACTCTGAGTCTGCGACCGACTCATATGATGACAACCAACGCGGGGAATTTCTCGCGCTCTTGGCCAAGAAAATGCGGGAGACAGATTCTGTTGCGGCAGCAGCACCTGCTCCTCCACCCGTCAACGACTCCGCTGCCGCCCCCGCCGCCTCAAGCACCACAGATCAGGCAGAAGACGGTCATCTGATTGCGGGTCCAGCCGCATACGTCGCGACACACACAAAGTTTAGATAACTTCTCGGTCTTCACCAGAAGACCGCCTTTGATACCTGGCTTGCAGGTCAGGAGCGATTGGTCCTCGTCCATACCGGCAAGGAGTATCTCGAACTATCTCCCCGCAAGCGTATACAGGGGAACTCTAAGCTGCAGCGAGCTGCAAACAGTGGCTCAAAGGAGACAATGGTGAGAGGTCATTCGTGGACAGCAGGGCTCTTGGAAGAGCACAAGCTCGATGATCTCGTACGGCCAATGCCACATTGGAACGAGAAGCAGCACTACGTGTATGGCGTCACGGCGGCAATAACGGAACTTCGTTGGGCTGGCAAGTTTGACTGTTCATCTGGGGCATGGTCCTCTGGAAGATCGTGTTAAATAAGTGGTGCACAGACATCGACAAGCCTGGCACTGCCGACTGGTTTGCTTGGACCCGCGAGAAAGAGCAAGCGCGCGTCAAGAATCTGACCAAGACAAAGTCCGGGGCAGATGAAGCAGGTAAGTCAGAGATTGTGTGCCCTATACTCGGTATCCGGGTTTCTGACAGTCCCTTCTTTGAAGCAGCCAGCAGCACGGTGCCATCTATCGCCGATCCGAACGTCCCAGAGGTCTTGAAGTCAGGAGCAGACCTATTTGTCAGTTACAACGACGCACAGCTGGCTGAAGCCCTCCACGATGCATATACCGAGTCCAGAGTCGCTAAAGCGAACACTGCGAAAGCAGTCGTTGCGGCGGCTGAGGTTTGCCGCAATCTTGGCAGCAAGCTCTCTGTAACGAAAGGGCACGAGAAGCGTCTGGCGCTCGCAGATCGTCTCGCCCTATCTCTCGCGACCGCGATGTCAAGCTTCACAGATGACTTCAAGTATCTGCGAACCAGAAAGCTTAAGCACGCAAGTCACGTCTACACGACATTCACTGAGGCCTTCGCAGCCAACAGCGACGCAATCAAGGCACTCGCTCTTCTTGATATCACCCAAGAGAAGCAAGTCGCATCCAAGGGCACAGCACTCAAGATCAACGAAGCTGATAAGACCTTCGAATTGAACCAAGCACGTGCTCGCGATAGGCACCGCCGGACCTCCTCACGAAATAGGACTACTTCTAGTCTCAGTGACGCAACTGACAAACTGAACAGAGAGCTAAACTTGGATCCTGCGGATAGGACTGACTTGATTTTCCGCCAGCGAGGAAATGCAGAGCCTCCTGTCAGGTCACATGTTCGAGAGACACAATCTTCGTGAGGCCCTGGTACATTGCTATATTACCGACATCGACACGTTGCGCATGCCACACCAGAGTCCCGACTATGTTATACGCTGGTGGCAGCTGACAATGGTTAAGTGGGCCGACGAGGTCTTGTCAAAGAGCTTGACTAGAGGTGGCCTCTGTGGAGACGGGATCGGAACGGGTAAAACCATCGAGTATTCCGCTCTCATCCTACGTGTGGGTTTCCATGACATAGGCCCTCAAGATCGTCGCAACTGCTGACTCTGCTATAGAATTCACTTCACTCGCATGCTACGTACCGACAATTGGCTGAGAGTGATCAGCCCTTGCCAGATTGCAGGCCCTGGCTTGTCCTTACCCTTGCCAGCCTTGTAGGAGAAACCGCGATAGCCATCCACCGATTCGCGCCAGAGCATTTCAAGGTTGTTGCCGTCAAAGGAAAAAATTTGAGTTTACCAACGTCAAGATCATTTCCAGACAGTCTGGTGGAGTACAGCCGGCTCTGCCACACCGATTCTTACTTTGACCCCACGCATCAGGACAACTTCCATACTATAGTGGTCATGTCCTATCACACGTTCGCTTCGCACCATGGCCCAATAGCGCAGGCAAAGTGGGAAGCTAGCGGAGGATCGTATCCAGATCGGAAGGATTTGAGTTCCGGTAAGCCTGGTGGAAACCCAAAGCAAGACGCCAAAAAGAAGGGTAACGCGAAGTCCAAGACCAGCGCTCGCTCTGACAAGCAGAAGCGCAAAGGCCGAGGACGCATTTCAGAAGACCCAAAGATCCCTGATTCTAATTGGGCATTGTCCCCTCGACACAAGTTCGCGGGAATCGTATTGGACGAGCCACAGTTCTCGTTGAGAAACGCTAACCGCCACCGATTGACTGTAGAATGGGCAGATGCTTCAGAAGTCTGGTTGTTCACAGGGAGCCCTGCGCCGCGCGGCCTGCGAGACTACGGCTCCTACCTGAAGCTAATCTCTCGTGGTGACCTCGAGGCTGAGGCACAACGGCTAATGACGCCGAAGACTATACCAGGCGCGGACAAAAAGATTGTCCAGTTCAGTGTCGATGTTGAAGGGCGCACTCTCGACGAGTCTGTGAACGTGTACGAACTCCAAGAGGACGACCCACGGCGGAAGTTTGCATACACATCGGCTTTCTACTCGTTCTGGATAGGAGGCGCCTTGGATGAGGAAGACGATAGAGTGAACGATCCTGCAAAACATCACAAGGATGCCGCTTTTGCTCGGGGATGCCTGAAAGACTGGATCATGCGACGTGACGGGAAATCGAGGTTTCCCCGTGAAACAGGAGACCAGATCCTCTCAAACTTGAAGGAACTCAATCATTACGAAATTGAGACGTTGTTCTCCCCTTCAGCTCAACAACAGTATGAAGTTGGTGTCGAAGCATGGACTGGTCGCTTTGTGATAACAGACGACATCACAGGAAAGCGACGTCCGAACCCTCGTGCTGGGAAAGCGGTCAGCGCTATGGAATTGTTTCCACCCTTGAGACACTTGCACGTACCCAATTCAAGATGGCAAGCAAAACACGACGCCGAGCAGGCTGTGAAGAAGGCAGCAAAAGAGAAGAGACGAGAAGAGAACCTAGTGCGGAAGAGAGGAAAGCTTGACAGTGGTGTGATCGATGACTCGGGTGCCCACAGCCGTCTACTCAAAACCCCTGATGGTGACTACGTACCGGAGAAGCCAACCGAAGAAGACGCAGCAGAGACCGATATCAACCTACCGCATGACGATTCCGACTCTGAAGACGACGAAGACGAGAAGACAGATGTGCTCAGACCCCAAGGGTCTCTGATTGGAGATCAACGAGCCCCCCCCCCCCCCCCCCCCCCCTGATGATCTGCAGACGATTGATACATGCAGAGACTGGTTCTCATTCTTCTGGGAGTATTCGGACTTGGCTCAAGGCTTCCCTCAGGCAGCAGGTCAAGATCTGCCACAGTGGAGGTACTTGATCCGGAACATTGTCAGCACTGACACGTACAAGGAAGATGTCAGTAATGGCATTGTTCTTTTCGCGGTATCCACGGGAGAAGAAGACAGTACCACATCCGTCATCCATCCAGACGACTGGTTACTCCCCGAGAAAACCCCGAATAGTCTCTGTCAAAGAGCTTGGCTAGAGGTGGCTTCCGCGTACTAGATGCGTGGTGTTGACGTACAGTATGTTAGGGGTAAGTAGTCAATGTGTCACAAGACTTTGCAGCAGCTAGCTGTTGACAAAATGTAACCTATAGAGGTATACAACATATTTTAGCTTTAGTGTTAGCACTTCATTGTTTAGTCTGGTGTGCTCCGCTATTACTTGCGGAGATGTGCTGCTACGATAGAAGAAGAATAGTTAAGGATTTACATTGATTACTTACCCCTACTACGATACTGTAGCAATCGTGGCACTTCGCCCGGCTGACAAGTTCGCCTGCTGCAAGTCTGTAGACGACAACAAGTACATCCGGGAACGGTCCTGTGGGACACCATGTTGCTGATTGACTTGGAACCAGGCCCAGCCCAGCCTGCCGCCTGGAGGTATACACTCGTAGCACAGCCCGAACCGGCGACTCGGCCCAAGACACGGTCAGCCGGTGTTACACGAGCACCGTGGGGGCTGTCAGAACCTAAATCCGACCTGTGAGAAGCACTTCCACAGGACCAGGTGCTGGGCGTATTTGGGTTGCACGTGGCGGCTGGCGTGGGGATTGTTTCTTGGGGCGTAGTGGTACTGTAGGTGGAGTCGGGGCTCTCGCGTTTCAGGAAAAACTGCAGATGAGTAACTTTTAAGTGCATCAGCTTGAACACGGAACTTGTAGCTATCATGACACTTAATGCTGAGATTAAGTTAAGCGTTACCTGTATTGTAGGTAAAAAAGCATTCTACTAAAGTTTTTGGGATCCTGCCTACTTTGCTGTTGCATGGTGGTGGAAGGTTCGGTTCGGCTTACTTACATCCCTCGTCCGCTATTCATCCTGCAAACTGAGAGGCTGGGATGTATGTGGCGAGGACTTGAATACCTACTACGGCTGGGATAAGGCGATGTAAGCGGGCAGACAAATATTGCGTGCTGCACGCCGGGCGATCGGATTAGTCATTTGGCAGCATCAGGCAGGAAGGTTAATGTGACATCTCTCACGGGAGTGTGGGCGCCTGAAGGAGTATTTGAGTTGTGGATCTGCCGTTTCCGGACTGTGATGAGAATGGATTGATGATTACAGAAACGCCAAGAGGCTGGTCTGACGCGCTCACGTGTGGTATTGCCGGCTGTAGTGGAGTAGGCAGGGGATATATAGGCGGAACTCCGAGTCTGGACTCGAAAGCATAGGGAACGGCGGCACTCGATACGCTGAGCGGCCCCCGGATTCCAGCAACTGAGTGGTTTGAGGTCCGCGACACGGTGGCGTTGGCTTTGATACTGTTCCGTTCGCTGCGCACATGACATGTGGTTGTTTGGAGGCTTACTCTTTGGAGACTTGCTCTCAGTGCCAACTTACTCGGTAGCCGGTGACCCTTGAGTAACAGCGCCTGGATGCTGGACAGCCGATGGGGTGTTTGAAGATCTGGAAACAGGCGCTTGGCGTAGCCACCGTGGCTGCACAGAAGTGTTTCGCAGGCCTCCCGAACTGCTCCACGCCGGGCGCTCGCTGTGATGCAGCCGAGTGAAGGATTCGCGAATACCGAAGGCGCTAATATGACGCGCATTTGAGGTCGAGTTGTTTGTCGTGCTTTTGCAACGGCATCTGCCTCAGGTTACCGCTACAGGGCGGAGGGCGTCGGAGGCACGCTGGTCATGCAAATAGATCTGCAGCGTGGTCGACTACGACTGCCGCTTGCTGTACTTCATTTCCACGTCGTCGTTTGGTGACACAGAACCAGCAGCAAAAGTAGACGGATCCTGCTCGAGTCACGGTCAATTGGCAGCAAACTTCACGCGGCTAGTCATGTCCATTTGGTGGCTGCTCGCCGATTGTGTGCCTGCGCGGCGGATTAGGGTTTGGTGCAGTCTTGGGAACGGTGTGATGATCTGGGCTCGGTGCAGGCATGCTGAGGTGCGCTCGCCTGCAGGCGGCCGTTGAAGCATAGTTGCATGTGTGCATGGATCGGGCCCGAAAGGGGAAAAGGACGGAGTGCTCGGTAGCGCAGGTGCTGCGAGGTGATCGCCGTGCTTTTTGCGGGGTTGGTTGTTCCTGGCGCCCCTTCTCAATCTCGGGTGTGTAGAAAAGCTTCGAGCGACTGCAAACTTGGCGCGGCGAACACATAGGTCCGTATCTCGCAGCGGCCAATGAGGCAGTGGAGGGCACGCGTAGGTGGCCCCCGGCGGGGGGCGATGTGTTTTGCGCAGCATCCTCGACGCGATAAATCACTGTGTGTGTCGACCACGGCGAGCTCAGCCAACAGATGACCCGCAGAAGGGCGCTCCGCTTGTCAGCTAGTGATAGTGCGCACGCTGAGGGCCGCAGTGCATGCTAAAGGCCCTAGGGGATTTAGCTTCCGGTGCATGCAGCGCGGGCGACGGGCCAATAAACGCGCCAGCATGGCCTCACACAGAAGTCGCTGCAGCCAGGCCCGTCCACACGGTTTCAAAAGTGCGCGCAGCACGCGGGCAGCGACGGCCGCTGCTGGCAGCATAGCGGACATGGATGTGGGCTGCAGGAACCCACCGGAGCTGTGTGGCGAGCTCTGGAATGCAGCCGGGGCGCGGTGGTTGCGATAATTTGCGGTGCTAGGCTCGTGCTCCTGGGCGTGGGCGCGTAGGGGACGGCGAATAGGCAGTGAAATCGGAAAGCTGACTGGCTTCCCGTTCTTACACATTACCTCGTGGATCTATGGCGGGCAGCCACGACGCGTGCTGACGAGACTGGAGCAACCGGTCTTCGCAACGCTGTTTGAGACGACACACGCGGCTCCACAGTCCTGCATCGACATCCCGGCCCCGGGTTGCCAGCTAACTAGTGGTTAACCGTCATGGAGGCAGCTTTCCGCGCGCACGCCGCACCCGCGCAGTCGCAGTCGCAGTTCCACGGCGAGCACCACCAGACCCCGCCGGTTTCCCTGGCCGAGTCGATTCGCAAACTGCGCAAAATTCCCGCCGACGACGAAGCAGCCCGCCGCAAGCCAGCTTCACCCTCCGCGCCGCCCAGCATCGAGCCCAACGACGAGCGCCCACGCCCGGCCGCCCGCCGCAAACCAGCTCCGAGTCCCCTGATCGCGGCCCCCAGCGCGGCCCCCGCCTCACCCAGCGACGAGCCACGGTCGCCCCGCGAGGCCCTCGAAGCTCTGCTGGAGGAGGAGCACCACCCCTCGGGCCTGCACAGCAGCAGCAGCACGGCCTTTGCCCACCCCCCGCGCACCCTGCGCCACGCCTCCTCGCCCTCGCTGCCCGCCGCCGGCTCCTCGTCAACGATGCCGCCCCCCTCGCGGCCCTACCGCCCCGACGCGAAGCCCACGGCCCCGCGCAACCTCTCCATGGACTCGGCCGCCTCGTCTGTCGCCTCAAGCGCCTCGGCCGCCCCACGCGCCGCCCTCGCTGGCCATTCGTCGCGGCCCTCTCAGGACACGTCCACCGCGAACCCGCCCGACATGGCCGCCCTTATAGCCACCGCCGGCTCACCAGAGGCGGCGCTGCTGGCCATGTGGAAGGAGCGCCAGAACCAGGCCAATCACAATCAGCAGCTGTGGCGGCTGGTCGAGAAGCAGCGCGCCATGGTCATCGGCCTGCAGAAGGACCTCGAGCGCGCGCTGAAGGACAAGGACCGCTACCGCCGCAAGATGAAGGAGTACGTCGAGCAGGTGCCGCCAGTGCCTGGTGCATTGGCGCGGTCCGACACGTTCGAGTCGGCGGGGGGACGCGAGCACAGCGAATCGCCCGCACCCGGCGAGACACCCGAAGAGCCTGTCAGACCAGCCGAGCCAGCGCCCGTCGAGCCCAGGGTCGCACCCCAGGCACAGGCAGCAGCAGCGCAGATGACAGCGCAGCTGTATCCCGAGTCTCAGCTGGCCACGTCACCCTCACATTCCTCAGTCGCGTCGCCCACCGCGTCGAGTCTGAATTCCGCCGTCAACTCGCCGACCGACTACTCCGTTCAGCCTCTGGTCCTGGGCAACAAAGGGCTTGGCCTGAACGCTGCGTTGCAGCACAACACACTCGACTCACAAGTAATAGAGAAGCCGCGGCCGGTGACTCCACCGCGACAGGATAACGCGGCCGTCCTGCAGCCGCAACTTGCAATAATACAGGCGACTCCAGAGTTTCGTGGCGGCGGTTTCACCTCCCCTCCACGGAAGCCCGCGCAACCGCTGCGCAAAGCCCCGCCCGCTCCCCTGAACCTCTCGAAACCAGTCAAAACGAGCGCACATCTTCATCAAACGAGCAACGAACACGACTCTGACTCCGACTACGATGATACTTTGGAAGTGGAGGAGATTCCAGTCGTGGCTGAGCGGGGAAGAAGAAAGACACGTGAGGACGATGACCGTGCCCGTGAGGCAATCGTGCTGCAGGACGACGAGGCCAGGAGCAAGTCTGCGAAGAAGAAGAGTGAGAGCAAGGGCAAGTCAAAATCGACACCCGTCGAAACGCTGGACGACCCTGTCCCTCAAATGGCAGCCATGCCGACCACTCGCCAGTTCAACCTCCTGCAAGCAGGCCTGCCACTCTCGCCTCGCCACCCTCCAGCAGGCTCGCTGAATGCTATGCTCAGCCCCACAGCTTCAGAATCTTCTTCTATGGTAGCAAACCGAAGCGCCTTTGCGTCACCGTTGCTCAGCCCTGGCTTGCCCACTAGCCCGCGACCTGGAGACAGGCCACCCGGCTCACCACTACCAAGGAACCCCAAACAGTCAATAGCATCCCCGCCCATGTCACCTACAATAGCTGCACAGCCAGGGTCGCGACCCTTGCAGCCTTCGGGTCCGCTGCCCCCAAATACACCTCAATCATACCAGTCACCACCCGGAGCATATGCAGAAAGACCTGCGGTGCCGAAGAGGAGCCCCGATCTGTTGATGGTGCCGAACGCGCAGCCAAGCCCTGATTCCACATCGAGCAGTCCGACGTTGAACGACGTGCCAGATGCGGAGCACGTATACCGGGGGCTTGTTTCAGAACAATACCCAGGGCTTTTGCTTCCGCCCAACGCACTCCCTTCTATTGAGGTCAAAGTGTTTTCATCGCGTCTCCGTCCCTCCCGCCTTAGTATCTTAGCGCCTAAGCCGCAAGAGGAAGACCCTGTCTTTATTCTCGCAATCTATGCGCGATCAAACAACACGCAGTTGTGGCGCGTGGAGAAGAACATCGCCTCTCTTCCGGCTCTGGACACTCAACTCAGGTCTCTATCCGACTTCCAAGGCCGACTTCCTGACCGCATCCTGTTCAGCGGCCATGCTCCAGCCAAGATCGATGCGCGGAGAGCTGCGCTCAACCACTACTTTGATGCGATGCTCGACATGAACATGAGCGAGCAGGCTGCTCTTACAGTCTGTGACTACCTGTCATCTGACGTTATTGGTGCGCAGAACGGCGACAGGCTAACGCCTGAGCCCGCCCTAGCTCCCGCAGTCTCTATCCCAAATATCAAAGGAAACAAAGAAGGCTATCTTACCAAGCGAGGTAAGAACTTTGGGGGATGGAAAGCCCGGTTTTTCATCTTGGAAGGATCCGAGTTCAGGTACTACGAAGTGGAGGGTGGTGCGCATTTGGGCACAATCAAGTTGCTCAACGCTCAGATCGGCAAACAGTCCCAGCAACAGTCCAATCAATCACCGCAACGCCAAGACAACAATGAAGACAATCAATATCGACACGCCTTCTTGATTCTGGAACCAAAGCGGAAAGACTCAGCAAGCCTTGTGCGACACGTTCTTTGTGCTGAAAACGATGAAGAAAGGGACGCTTGGGTCGACGCACTATTGCAGCATGTGGATTATCACGACGAGACTTCCCCAGTCGAGACGAAATCTGCCGCGCCAGCACGCCTGCAAAAGCCTCCACACGGTAAACGCTCCGACCGTTCACTGAGTCGAGATAGCCCGGACGTCGAACAACAGAACGACAAACTGCAAGGCCTTAGCTACGACGACACTGTGGCGGCGGAGGCTCCGGTCCGTGGTCCCAACCACCGTGAAGCAATGGGATCCAAGCCTTCCAGAGGATCCCCCAAGAGCTCGTCCTTCTCTCAACCCAATATGGGTCATTACCCTGCGATCTCAGCACCGAGCAATGCTACTCCCATACAAAATGCGGAGAACTGGGGCAATAAGCCTGTTGCTGTAGCCTCTACACCTGTCAAGGATAAGAAGCGCAGCATCTTTGGCTTCAGAGGTCGCGGCGGTTCCTCAGATCTTGCGCCCATCCAGGTGGTCAGTACCCCGTTGACAGCTTTGTCGGAATCGCGAGGCCTGCTCCCGAATCGCAGCATCTTTGGAATGACCCTGCAGGAAGCGGTCGAATACTCGCAGCCTCTTGATCTTGGCGCTCGATTGCCGTCGGTTGTCTTCCGCTGTCTGGAGTACCTCAAAGACAAGGGGGCCATTAGAGAAGAGGGAATCTTCAGGCTCAGTGGCTCTAACATTGTCATCAAGGGTCTGCGCGAAAGGTTCAACAGCGAAGGCGATATTCCGCTCGTGGATGAGCCTTACACCGATGTGCATGCGGTTGCTTCTCTCCTGAAACTGTACCTGCGAGAGTTACCAGCCTCCATCTTGACTCGCGAACTCCACCTCGACTTCCTCAAAGTTCTCGGTATGTTGCATGTTCCGTCACGAGTTCACAGCTAACATCTGCAGATATGGACGAGCGCAGTAAGAAGATCCAAAGCTTCAACGTCCTCGTGCACAAGCTGCCCATCGCCAACTTCGAGCTGCTACGCCACCTGTCATCTTTTCTGATTGAGGTTGTCGACAATTCCCAGATGAACAAAATGACTGTACGCAATGTTGGGATTGTGTTTGCTCCTACCCTCAACATACCAGCCCCGCTTATAGCTTTCTTTTTGACCGACTTTGTTGACATCTTCGGTTCGCCCATCGACGAAGCCAGCTCTCCGATTCACGAGATTCGTGTCAACAACACACACCTCGGAGACGATGCTGTCCGTTCTCCGCGGCGGCAGATGTTTTCTGACCTGCCCACGCCGGCCTACAACGAAACCTCGTTTCCACAACGCTTCGATAGGCGACCACCGCAGTTCCAGGACAGTACTCACCCTTCGTACCCTCCACCGCAGCCTCCATCGCAGCAGTATGAGCGGGGTCACGAGCGAGCTCGCAATGGCAGCCACGACGCCGGCTTCACCCCCTTGCGACCAAGCTATGACGCCCCACAATACGAGCAGGCCTACCAAAACGGCGAGGGGTATGGAAGCCTCAACAGTGCTGTGCAGGGAAACTCGAGGGAGCAGCGACAGCGCCGACGTGAGAGTGGCATGCTCCTCATGAACATGAACATGGGCGGTCAACGAAAAGGATCGAACGGATCGAGTGGTTCCAGCCACCAACGACTTCGTGAAGACATCCGCGCAAACCCGATGATGGTTCGAGAAGAGTCCGCCTTCGACTGATCGACATATCTACACTACTACATTCTGTCTAATTTCTGAAACCTAATCTCGAAGACCCAGGGCTGGATCTATGGGCTCTGGCTTTTGTCCTCTTTATCGCACTTGTTCGTTGCATCTCAGCAAGCGAAGACAGATTCCATTGTTTGGCGTTTCTGGAATACACAGCGTTAGCGTGCTTCTATACATTTCGCATACCCGCTTGCTTGCTGCAGGCACTTTCTTTCCACGATTATGGAGGTTTACTTTCGGCTTTGACATTGGCAAGGAGCTGGTCCTTGTCAGGTCCTTGTTTCAACGGCGTATATTGGCAGACTACACGAAGGATTGATTATATCTATGGATGAACGTCGTGCTTTTGTTGAAAACTAGATACTTCATATAAATACTTATTTCTCACGTTGAGTTCATGTTGAAGCCGGGACTTGACACGATCTAATATAACGGATATCACTGGCTGTCGTGTCGCAGCTCTTAAGCACCCCAATCTGGCAAGCGCGACGGGTGACGCGCCGACGCGCCTTCCATTCGCGACGCGCAGCATATGAACATTTTGAACATCAATTCAAGCTTCACACAACAACGCCGAGCCCTGCGTCGACCTCTTCTCGTATCTGTAGTTTGAATCAACCAGATCATGGACGGGAACATGCTAAAAGGCGCGCCATTGTGAGTCCTTGCACGTAGTTGCACATCGCCGTCTAACAAACACAGCGGTAAGCCACCGTCCATACCGAATCGAGCCGAGTCGCAATACAACCCACTCCACACATTTGAGCTACCCAAAGGCACCGAGAAGAACTATGCACACCAATTCGCCGACATGTATTTCCTGCGGCTGGCGCAACTGAAGAAGGCTGTCATGCAGAAGGCGCACGAGGCATGGGATGACTTCGAGCTGGGAGGAGAGAGGGCCACATTCGTCGAGCGTGTGCTTGACGTACGGCAAGGCGAGCTCTGCTGGATTGTCGGCACGGTATACATGGAGATGGCTCTGAAGCCCAACGTCCTGGACGACATATCGAAGGAGCATTGGATCGCCGCCCCGCCGCCGCGCGAGACCTATGTCTCTGGCACACAGGACGAGATGATGCTCGAGGATGAGTCGGGTCGCCTGCGTGTCACTGGCGAGAGCCTAAACTCGACTTACGTGACCGGCTGTGTGCTCGCAGCGCTCGGGACAGAGCAAGCAGACGGCGCATTTCAGGTCATTGCGACACAGTACGCAGATCTTCCACGGCAGCCTGAGCGGTGGGAGCGCGATGATGCAGCTTTGGCAAAAGCGAAGAAGACAACGCCGAAGCGCGGGAAATCTGGCAAGATTGCGATTGTGTCTGGCCTTGAGATCACAGGAACAGACGACGACGATCTCACCCTTGAGCTGCTGGTCGAGTACCTCACAGGCGAAGCGACAGGGCCGCCGACACAGACTGGAGCAAGCTCAGTATCGCGCCTGATAATCGCCGGCGACTCGCTGGCACGCGCAAGCCCCATCCTCTCCCGCGAAGACTTCGCCGAAAAGAAGAGCAAAAAGCACAACTACGGCTACGACGCGTCGGCCTACAACGCCTCACCCGCCGAACGCCTCGACGAGCTACTCTCCGACATCCTCCCCACGCTCCCCATCACCCTCCTCCCCGGCGCCAACGACCCCGCCAACGTCGCCCTCCCCCAACAACCCCTGCACCCCGCGCTCTTCCCCAAAAGCCGCCTGTACGCCGAGCCCCCCGCCAAAACAAACGAAACCCTGCACGGCCTCGACGCCGTCACAAACCCCTGGGCCGGCGACATCGACGGCGTCCGCGTCCTCGGCACCGGCGGCCAGACCGTCGCCGACCTGCTCAAATACGTCGACGACGTCGCCGCCCTCGACGTCATGGAGATGATGCTGCGCTGGCGCTGCATCGCGCCCACGGCCCCGGACACGCTGTGGTGCTATCCCTTCCAGGACGCGGATCCGCTGCTCTTGCGCGACTGTCCGCACGTGTACTTTGCGGGCTGCCAGGCAAGGTTCGGGACGAAGCGGATTGAGGGGCCGGAGGGCCAGAGCGTGTTGTTGGTTAGTGTGCCGCGGTTCAGGGAGACGGGGGAGTTGGTGCTTGTGGATCTTGAGAGCGGGGAGGTGGAGGTTGTTGAGATTGGGGTTGTGGAGCCGGGGGAGTAGAGACGAGGGGGTAAGAGACGAGGGGACGACGTGAGAGGGGGGAGAGGAGAGAGATCGATAGTGATACCCAGAGCTACTATAAACTCGCAACCCACGCGACTGCGCCGTCTCCCACCCATCTACGTCCCTCCCCTCCCGCACCCGTCGCCTCGCCATGAAGCCCCCCTCGCGAACAAGCAATCACCCCTACCTACTCACAACGCCTTTACCCTATACTAATGTATCATACGCCCTACATGTCTCGTTGCTACAGCCGCCTAGCAACCCCTTGCCCTCCTGAAGAGTACACCAGCGAATCACTACGCCTAGTACTGTCTATCTTACGCCGCACCACGCGTTTAGAGGTAAAGTGCTGCTGTTAGTATTAACAACGCAACAATAGAAGGTGCGTGACGAGGACGGGTCTGGGTCGCTGGGTGTGGTTCCATGGGCCGGTATAACATGAGACGGCCACTGTGGTGGAGCGTGGGTAAGTCTGCGTTTGCGTTTGTGTTGGAGTGCGTGTCTGTATCTGTCTGTCCATTTGTCCGTGTCTGTTTGTCTGTGCCTGTGCCTGTGTCTACCTAACGTCTGTCCGTCCGTCCTTCTATCTGTGCCTATCTGTCTATGGCTGTTTGACCGCTTCTGTTTGATCCCCTCCGTTTTCACCCCCCCCTCCAGCCATCTACTCCCCCCCGTTTCACCCCCTCTGTTTGATCACCACCCGTGCACCCCTCTCCATCCGCCTCATCCCACCCGTTTGATCACCCTCCCCGAACGCTCCGAAATGAGCTCATTTGCGGCTCTCGCGTCTGGAGCGCTTGGCGGGTGGGTATTTTGTGGGTTTGTGGGCCTTTATATAGTCGGTGCCGTGCAAGTCCCCCCCCCCCCCCCGGGGGGTGTCTACACGGTACACGGTATTGCTGGCGGTGTTGGTTGGACTGGGTGCGTGGGACTGGTTGCGTGGGATTAGTAGGGTTGTGCATCACGTGATTAGGGGAGACAGCACCAGCAGCCGAGCAAATATGGAATGTAGGTACTGTGTGAGGGTTCGACGAATCGGGGGCGTAGGGGCGTGGCTGGATTGGGTAGGCTCTCCTTGCTCATCAGGTACTCCTTGCTCCTTGCTGTATCTTCAGAGTTAGTGTTTTAGGCCAAAGTGAGGCGGCTTGCTGCTTTGGGTTTGAGGGGTTTGCTGGGATTCTGGCCGGTTGGATGAGGCTGTGTTTTCGTGTCTAGAGTGTGCTGTACGGTACTAATATTGGGTAGGTCTTGGGTACATGAATTCAGACTCTTAGTAAACTTTTGAGAAGCTGAAGAATGTTTTGCCGGGGACAAAGGTCCAACAGGGATTTGATTGGACAGAGGGTTCTCTTTAGTATGTCCTTGACAAGTCCCGACTGGTAGGCCTTGTGCTTGTTTGTGTGAGCTATGCAGCACGTGACGGAATTGCGATTGCTGTGGATCATTCTGGATCGGACAAGAGGCACATTATCCGCCAAGCAGTTGCGCAAGCACTCCACCGGTTCCAGGTGCCTGCCTGTCTATCAGGACACGACGCTGAAACACAGATAGCCGATCGTCATGAACTGCACCGGTGTTGCTGCCTGCTATGACACAGCACCCAGCCCACGCAGCGCTGCCTTGTATATCGAAATCTAAGGCTGTTGTTTCGACGCCGATGGAAACGCAGTGGGGCGCCGTTACCCACGCCCTGAGCTCTCCGCGCGCCGTCGCACGTCCTGACATCTCCAGCGGGCATCTCCTGGCCGGCCAGGTGGGCTCGCAAGTCGTGCCGGCCGCGCCGAGGCAGCAAACCTGGAAGCGCGATGACGTCGGCCGCTCACGCCAGCGACCTGAAAATTCTTGCGTCTGATGATGCGCCAGGTATCGATAAACCGGCTGCGCGCCTGCGGCATCGCCGCGTGTGTGGCGCTGGGTGTGGCGACGTGCGCAGCAGAGCCGCAAGTGTGGCTGCTTAAAATAGAAGGCTGGGCGATCTGCATCCGTGGCCAATCACGGCGCGCGCTGGAAAGGAGGTGCTGGGCGGGGCTGGGTCCCCCTGGTCGCGACGGCTGGGAAGCGAATGGGCTGGGCATCGGTGTTGGGGGCGGAGGCTGGTCAGGGCTGGGGCGTACGTATGCTGTGGGACGGGTGGGTGATTAGTTGGCAGTGGTGTTGCGTGTGCGTGGTTTGTTTGTGATGTTGGGTGACTGTTGGTCTGGATTGCGGCCTGCGTAGGTAGGTATAAGACTTGGGTTGCGCACTGCAGTTTGGATCCATCAGTTCATCACACAATATCTGTTTATCAGTCAAAGTCCACAGTCGCTTCACTCTCACCTCACACGACTTACTTAATACCACAACCGCCAACCAATCACAACCCTCCACACCACAACTTCAAGATGCTCTTCTCCACCACCACCCTCATCGCCGCCCTGGCCGCCACAGCAACCGCCCAGTACAGCGTCGCAACCGGCATCTCACCCTCGCCCTCGTCCGTGGCAGAGGTCGCACCTTACCCCACAACCCTGGCCGTAGCACCTGCACCCATCCCCTCCGGCACCGCAGCAGGCGCCTCCAGCTCCGTCTCCGGCTCGCCCTCAGGCACCGGCGCCCCCCGCCCCACCGGCAGCACAGCACCATTTGAGGGCGCTGCCACACCGCTCAAGGGCTCCGTATTGGGTCTCCTCGTCGCCGGCGGTGTTGCTCTTATGTTGTAAGAGGTTCACGAGTTCGAGCCGGGCTTAATTGCGATGTCTATGCCGACATCGATGGAGATCGACGCCCGAGTTTTAATGCCTTAATGCCCCTTGGCACACTTCACACCACACTATTTCTGCACGACGCGGACGGGCTGCGGGCCGGCGCATCTGCACATGTTTTCAACGGCGTTTGGGAGGTACACTTCGACCTGTTCCCTTGACTTGATCGGTCAGGAACTGCATATTGCATTGCATGACATGGTGCGACATCTAGATGTAGAGACGCAGAAGACGGAGATGGCGACATCGAGAGATTATAACTAGTATATATAAGTACTTTGTACAGCAAAAACAAGACATATACACATTTAAAACGATTGAGGAAGTACTGCATGTGAAACGTGATTATCTCGAAAGTCCAGACGTGGCATTGTATGGGATAATTAGCCAAAAGAGAAGGATGTGCTACCCTCGGGTACATCCGATCAGCTACTTAACATCATCAAGTAAGGGTAACTTACTGTACTGTTTCTTGTATATACGCTTGGATAGAGCTATTTAGCTGCAATAAGTTTAGTTTATATCCTAATGAGTTTAATTTACATCTTTTCAAAGTCTTGGCTAGACGTCAGTATGTAACAGCATGACGAGGTACGGTAATTCGCCGACACAGATACCTACAGTGTAGACTATCTTCACTTCAAGGCAGATCATACATTCTCTTTACGGCGACCGTATAGAACTAAGCGTTGGTTGCCTGTTCAATCGCTTCTCTCGTCTACACATCTTGGGCGATATTTCCAATCACAATCACTGAGCATTCAACAAGCTTAGGTGGAGCTTGAAATTCAATTTTGCGAACAAACCAACAGATCCCAACATCTCCAAGCCTGACATGTGCTTAAGTGTTTGAATTATCGAAGTAGGTATCGGCCAGGTAACTCCCCTCAAGGCTAGGCGTTGATCGACTCCCACATCCCATCGGAACTTTCTGTTTGGAGCAAACGCAGAGGTTTCCACCGCTGCAGACCATTCAGTATAGACATTATGTGACAACGGTGGTGTGACTTACCCATCGGGGTACATCTCGCAATAGGGAATACGGCCCCGACACCAGTTCCGGCATTCATTCGCACAGCCACAAAAAGGAGGAGGTTAGATCTGCGGAGTAGCTGCGGGAGCAGGCGCGGAATCTGCTACAGCGAGAACCGCAAGAGAAAGGAGAGTAACGAAGGGAATCTGCATCTTGATTGAGGGAAGAGAAGTTGTCGGTTGTGTGGTGGGTGAAAGTGGGATTACTCGGTGCTCTTATGAATTTGATGATAATGTAATGAATCTGTACATGGAGCTGCGGTACTTCCGGATAATACACCGCAATCTACATAGGGCTCGCGGGCCTGACCTCGGGGATAACTCCACATATCGATAGCTGCAGGCTCTTGGCACGGCATCTTACCGAGTATCAATGATATCGTAGTGGTTGGCAGTGGTGTGAGATTAGTATTTATCATGCAAGTTCGGCCAATAGATGTTACGGAAGGTGCGGGCTATGATCTTGGTTGGGATGCATTAATCGACAACTAGATGTCGGATCAGCGAGATCTTAAACAAGCGTACCATCCAACAAAGCATTTGATCAAGAGAGTGCGGTATTCTCTGCTTTGACTCCTTGGCCTGCATCGACTTTATACATGACCGTATAATCGTATCGCCCAAAGCCACACCTTATTACTTGATAGGTGTGTCTCGCTTATGCATCGCGTTCGATAGTGAGAGGGATCTTCCAGCATGAAGTTGAGCGTAAATGGTAATAAAGATGATTCTACGATAGCTCACACCGACGACTGGGGTTTCGAAATACGTCAAGCAGAACAGGTATGGTTTCAACAGGGTCCGTGTGATTTGGTGCAGTTAATCAACATATACGAGGGAACCAATACGCCGATGACAGATCTACATGATGTGAAAGTGGTGTGCCAATGCGATGTGCTATGGTAGATGACTGAAATAAAAGTCCATCCCTAATGACTTCTGATTGCCTTACCAGAAATGTAAGTGTTTGTTATAATGGTTCTCAAGATGTGCGGACTCCCCAGTTTTTGAGATCCTGCGGCAGACTGCCTATGGAGGGCCTGCATGTGTATCTGTGAGTGGCCAGCTAATCCTAGTCAGTAGGATGCTAGGCGTAGCTATAGATAAGAGCTATTTATGTTACATTCTACAAAAGACTTGTCAGTACGCTACTAGTATATGGAGCCTTGTGCTAGTCTTGGGAGGGTCGGTACATTTCTACAAGCACCAACATCTCCTTGTGCAAACGCGAGCCAATTGACGAACACTTCGGTGTAACTTAAGTTAAGCTCTGCGGACATGCGGGTAGGATGTATCATTTCGCAATATTGTGGATAGATTGGCCTGTTTGGACTGCAGTACATTAGTGTTGAGCATCAATATCCAGCATCAAGCGGTGGTGTGCGCTCGTTGGTGCATGATACTGCCAAATCGTGTCGCTTTACTTCATGCCTATCTAACCACTACTATATGGCCATTTGCTGCATGTCTCGCGCTAAAATGAATACCGCCAACTTGACACGTATCAGACTTCAGAATAAGGTAAGAGCGACTACGTGATCGAAAGTGTAAGGCATCTTGGCGGCACAGCAGAGTTCTCAATAAAATGAAAGCACCATGGGATCACCTCTACAGCGCGAACCTGCACTGAAAAAATGCAGCTAATGCATTCAGATATGCATACCGCAAACTCGCACGTAGTACACTCCCTCATGTAGTACACACACCCCCCCTTGACCAAGTTTGTAATTGACTTATCCGGATCTTGTTTATCACACCCCTCTATGACTCGTTACGTAGTAGATCACATGTCTGCCAGCGGTTTACCTAAGGGAGCATGCCGGGAGAGAGAATTTACGGGCAAGAAGACGAAGTCACCTCTAAAACAGCAGAAGAGAGAGAGAGAGAGAAGATGTAGGAGAATAGTAAGAGTAAGCAACAGGTATAGAATTACTTCTTAAATGATTGTATAGTTCAAGTTTTTCTGTCTTTTACCCCTGTTTCTTCCCTTTCACGTGCTATTACGTAGTCTTTTCCTTGTTTTATACTCTCATTCAGTACACATCCCCCCATCCTATAACACCCCCCTAGACTAAGCCCTCGGCAAGATTTCACTTAGTACACCCGGGTTTTGTACGTGCAAGTTTACGGTAGTTGTGATGTTGTATGTAGTAAGCGCCTTAGGTAGAAAGAAGCGCAAGTTCGCGTTCCGAAGAATCGTTTCCGTCATCATTTCGGGCCGTTCTCCTCGAAATTTTGACCGTACATTCGGTAGCCTAGCTTTCCCATGATATTGCCGTTGACCGGGCTTTCAAACTCTTCGAAAGTGACTTCCTGACCATTAGGTCGCTACGTATCTGGGAGAATCACACATGAAGGCAGATTGCCGTCCTCATAATCCATGAGACTGAACTCGCCATGGGAACCCATCTTACGAAGATGCATTAGGATCACTCCGACTGTGCTGCGGCGCGAATTTGTGGGCGTTGCAGATGTATGCGGTGGAAGCGGGACCCAAGGTAGTAGAAGACGCTGAGGTTGCCGCTGCCAACCAGTGGGAGCCTGATCCGGGCGTGTGTTGTCCCACTAACGCGAACCAGTGATTTGCTCACATCATTTTCAAAGTGCTTTGATGGCTTCTTTGGAACGCATACCCACACACTCGCGGAGAGAAGACGGCGGCAAGCCCAGTCGCACTGCTTGTCTCATTGGCGGCGCTTGTCAATTTACAGTGCAATTCCCTCCCTTAGCCAGAAAATATTCCGTCTAGTTTCGATTGCATGTAAGTTGGTCTTATGATTGACATGAGCATTCGCAGGCCTGGTGACCGAGAGCTATACAAACACACGAAGCAGCCGTCATCCTCACCCGATCCATCTTGGCACCACAACTATGTCTTCCCAAAACAGATTTTCATCGGTCTCTCGATTGATCAGAACCAGCTCGATGTAAAATAAAATCATTCGCCAAGGGATCTGGCAGAAGACAAGATCTGAGTATTTTCCCATTACCATACTGCGGTCGCCATGTTGTCGCTCCATCATTCGGACCGTTGTCGTTGGGTGGTGCGTCCACACGAGTTGACGAATGTCTATCCCCAGGACTCTGGACAATCATCTGCAGGAAGTCGCCTGATACTTTCTGGATTGATTGATCACTGAGGTGGCCGCCGAGTTGCTTGATATGGTTGCCGTATCCACGATTCTTGCCGTGGATCGTCTTCTGACTATTTGACACCAGGAATTGCACAGCTTTGTCGCCTGTAGCGTGATTGTCGATGACACTAATATTCTCTTTCAAGTTCTGGTTTGCTAGCGCACAGATGTCTCTGCACTTACGGGCAGTGGCCCATTCCTCGCGCAACCTTGCAAGGTACGTCAAATCCTCTGGTGTCATCGCTGTGCTTGAATTGGACAGCATTCGATCTAGGGTTTCCTGCATGTGACTCTCTAGCCTCGCGGCTGTTTGTGCCATACTGATTCTACATTCCTCTATGCCATCGCTCGTGATTTTCTCAGGAACATTATCTGGGCCTTTGGGAACATCCTCCGCTGATGAAAGTTGGAGCTCCTCGATAAGTTTGGAGAACTGGGCGCAGATGATGAGACATTTCTGTGTGCTTGAACGCTCGTCCTTTATGCTTTGGAGTTCCGCCGATGTGGAACACGGAGTCGTGCGGTCCACCAGAGATTGGAGCTTTTCGTCGATGGTTTCGAGTCTTGCCTCAAGGTCGTTGGTGGCAGTCTTGATAAGGTCTTTGTACTCTTCAAGGCGCTCCAGAGTAACCGAGGATGTGCGACTAGGGGGAAATTAGCGACAGTTCACGATTAGCACTGGGTGTGGAGCTTTGTAACTTACAGCTGCAAATCCGTGAGCGCGATGTTGAGCGTTGACTTGTACGCTGCCAATGAGTCCTTAAAATCATCGATGTTATCTCCCATGTATCTCAGCTTAGCCCAGTCCCGGAAACTTCTCCGATCGCCCCCAGATCGTGAGCTACATCTTTGGAGCTCTTCTAGGAACTCGTTGCAAGCGCTGCCACATCGTTGCAGGGGGAGATCAAGTGCGGGGAGATCTACATCTGTGTGTGACCTCAATGTATTGTCCAATGATTCTAGAACGTCTATAAGTGCCGCTAGCTCTTCAGTAAGGTCGCGCACTCGTTTGGGATGGTTTTTGAAGCTTTGTATTGTAGTGTGGAGCGCGAGACATGATTTGTGGGCGAAGATAACAAGTGTCAAGACGCCAGAAGCAAGGCTTATGGGGTCGGCCATCGCAACAATGCGTGTCGCAGGAATGCGAATGTCCTGCCGAATACTCATGGGACTGAAGCTAGTTAAGTATGTTCAGGGTTAAGGCCATCACATCGTAGGGTGGAGGCACTGCATCACCGATTGGTAGGTTCCGCTGGTGAGATGATAAGCGCCACTAATCCTGTTTAAGAGAGCTGGTGGCTGTTTTCGCTTGCTTGGGTGTCGCTCTGCTTAGGTGACATTTATTTGCACTGTACCCTCGAGATGCTAGGCGCGCGATTCGGTATCAACTCGTGTTTAAGCGCTACCATTCCTCCCATCAACTACAGAATTCTACATACCGGCCATCTGTGGAGGCGTTGAGTATCCGTGGGAGTTTGGGACGTCGCTTGTCCTGAAGGTTGCTGGCGCTTTGAACAACAACATGTACCTATCGAACCAGGATTTGTTGTACGTAAGAGGCATCCAACATCAGCGCGTGAAGGGTAATGCAACACGACGACAGCACAGCACCTTCGTCTCAACTAAGCTAGAGATTTCAGTTTCCACACTGTTGCGCGTGTCGATTATGTCGGCAAATGTGTATCACTGATTGCCGCCTACTCAACATAGAATCGTTGGCAATGCTGCGGCCTTGTCTAGTGGCCTGCCCACGCACTTTTCAGTCGACCTTTCCCAGCGACTTGCGCATCAAAAAGACCCAATCAACTTGTGCTGTGGTGCTGACCCACGCAAGCTCAGGACGATGGCGATCTAGGCCGACACCCACAGTAAATGCTATGGGGCTGTTAAGGCCCTACAATGGCTCGACTAAACCTACGTGGGGTTCTGGGAACTGTAAAGGCCATGGTGTTGCACGAGATCAATGAGTAGCACTTGCACTGTTGTGACATCTCGCGAACTCCTCAGCCAAGGCAGCTGGCCTGCGGGGGGCGTGCCGCACGAGCAACGGACCAAGCTCGCGGCATCACCAAAGCAGCAACTGGGGCGAGGCTTGGCAACTTCCCCACTCTGCTTCTACGCGCTTCCTTCGAGGGGCTATGCGTACCCTTCAATCTGACCATCTACAATCGACCCACACAAACGAAGGACAGGCGCGCGCTTGCAGCGATTGCGCCGGCACTCCGAGGCTGGCTTCGAAACGCGCCTGGCGTATTAAAGCATGCAGGATGCTGCTATTCAGGACACATTAGACACCTTTATCCTTTCCTCTTCTCGGCTTAACCAACGCCGCTATACATCGCCGGACCAGAGAACCCTCATGGATCCTTTTAGCGTCGTTGTAGGCACTCTAGGCCTGGTGCAACTCTGCATCAAGTCGAGCGCCTTGCTTCGCGACGCCATCCAGAGTATTAATAGCGGCCACCGAGAAACGAAAAACCTCCTTACTGAAATCGAATCACTTATTGGGATATTAGTATCGCTCGAGCGGAACATAAGAGCGGAGAAGGATACTTTTAGTTCACTTGACTTCGTTTTGGAGCAATGTACCCGTGCGTGTGATGACTTGAACAAAGCAGTATCAAGAGCCCTGGGGGGTCGTAAGCAGTCAGACGGCATCAAGACTTGGATTAGACTTAAACGCCAAGAGACTGATATAGAAGAATTTCGGAAGCTTGTTGATAGCTACAAGGCTACACTGACCATAGCGATCGCAGACGTCAATCTGTAAGGCTACTTCTTGCACGAACAATGATGAAACTTTGCTGACAGAGTGTTCTGTAGCCGTACAACGCGGATCACCAAGGGATTGCTTGAGCAATATACTGAGCTATCCAAAACGGCGACGGCTAATCTGGAAGAACGCATCGAAGAATTGAGCGCAAAACTGGAGCTTCTACACTCTTCTGAGAAGAATTCTTCCTTGGTTGAAGACACGCATCTGGCTGAAGAGCAACAAGCACTAGACCAGAAAACCAGTCTCGAGCAGTGCCTCTCAATCTGTCTGAAGCTCATCGAACACATCCATACTATCAGACCTGTGGCGTTCCCAGACGGTCTTCAGGGTATGGATGCGGCCGTCAAGGACCAAGGCATGAGCGTTCCACGAATGACAAACGATGCCCTCAACGTATGCACGCAAAGCCTCAGGAACACGGCACAGCACATACGGGATATCGCAGATGAGGATAGATCCAAAGCAGAGATGAACGAAGCCGAGGTTCTCGAGCAATTGGGCGGGGTGAGAAAGTGCTTAGAGATTGTGAGGCAATCAGAGCAGAACCGCGTCAACATCTTCGAAAAGATAGTACAATCTGAGGATTCGCGGGTGGCGATGGTATCGACCATTGGGGATCTGGTTAGAGGCAGCGACATTAACATTGGGCCAGGTGCGATCAGTCTTATGGGGCAGATGAGCGACGAGAGTCTGCAGATGGGGGTCGGAACCTTTACCTCGTCACTTACGAGTAGATCGACACGTCCTGCGACTGAAAGACCTTTTGCTTTTGAAAAAAAGCATGGTTCTGGGCGGACGATGTAAAGCTTGGCATGCGGGGGTACATTTGCATGTCGGTTACAATATAGTTGGACAGCGGAAAGTGATATGATAGGGGAGAGATTCCCATCTGAGTACATCCCGAAAACCTGACTCTACTCTCTGAGAAACTGCCCTTTGCAAAGACCTAAGCCTCTCCGAACAGGCTCTTGCGGAAAACACGCTCGCGCACCTGTAGAGAACTCAACACAACCTATACACTGATCATTGATCTCTCTAGTTCTTGTTCTAACCCTTACCCATTTCCTTCTTGTCGTCATCTTCATTCTCCTCAGTCTCGCCCTTTTCCTCGTCTTGGTACTCTATCTTGCAACCCAATATATTGTTACATGTAACGATAATGCTCTTTTTAACTTCCTCTTCTTCAGTCGTAGGTTCTTCTTCAGTCGTGTGTTCTTCCTCTGAAGATGCTTTTTTCCACCATATTTTGATAATAGTAGCCCACTCCTTGGCCTCGGTGTTGTTGGGGTCGCCCGCGACGATTTCGAGCCGGACGAGTTCACAAGGGTTCCAACCATAGTAGAGATGAAACATAGTGTTACTCTGTGCTTCGTGTACTTTTGCCTTGATCCAAAGCTTGTCGTCCATGTCGCGCGGTTTATGTCCATTCAGCATCTTGGTGTAGTCGTCATGCGTGATGGTTTGGTTCCATTCTGCCGTTTCCGGTGGGGTTTCGAAGGGATTAAATGGCATCGTTGTTTGAGGGCTCAGGATGGATATAAAGGTAAGCTTACCCCAAATAGTGAAGCGGGCGCAAAATAGGTTATTGGATGGACTTGATATTTTGAGCGTTGATGCTATCAACCCATGGGTTGAGAGGGGTAAAGGAGAGCTGGAGCAAATAGCCTGGAGATGGACGACAGCGAGCTGCTGTCTGTTGCCTGATTTGGTGTTTCGTTTTATCAGCACGGCGGAATAAATCAGGTGACATCAGCAGTGGCTTGGCTTGGCTTGGCACCGGGATTCCGATGTTTCGGGTTCTTTGCGGATTCCCGCCACGCCCCAGGAGGATGGAACAGATGACGCTCGATGAGCGATTTTGACAAAGCTTTTGTACGCAGTAATTGAATTGTCTTATATTGAGGAAACTGCTACATGTGGGTGCTACTGGCGCTATCATACCCACCTAGGTACGATACATTTCTGGATGCCCAGATGCACATCAAGGTATTGCATTTTGAATCTTGAGCTGTTTGACTTACAGCAATATCGCGACGAGGAGGCATTCGAAATTGGTTGGTTATCTTAAACTCGCTGGAGATGCACCGCTGGGGCGTAGAAGTAGCTACGTCTTAGGTACTCCACTGTGCAAAATTGCCCGAAGAACAAAGCTAAATCTTGATCGCGACACAGAGAGCCAAAACTGCTACACCAGACTGAATGTCCGAACTGCGTGTCCATCTCACGTGAATGGGAATAAACCGCCAGGGGACGCCAAGAGGTGATAAGCTGTACATGACTATATAATCATACTTTCCGACCTTTGTGTAGGTCATCCAGAGCGTTTCCATACGGCCTTTCCCCCATAGACAGGTCCCTTTCTAGACTCATCTACATCCCATACATTCATTTGGCGATTCGCCGCGTTCCCTCCTTCCACCATCAAAGATACGACAACTCGACCAATTGGCCTTACAAAATACTCTTGCGGACAACATGTTTTGGCAGAAGTCGGTCGTCCTTTTGGGGCTTCTACTTGGCTTAGGTAGCCCGACTCCACTTTTTGTCAAACGAGTGAATCCCTACGATGCGGGTTTTGAGGATGATGTCTACTTCAGAGCTGATGCGTAAGTTTCCTGGAAAAGCAGTCCCAAAATCATATACAGTGTACGCACTGTATCTCCACAGCATCAAGAACGCAGTGCCCAATCTTCCGACTTCAATGCCTTTGCTGACCATGTCTTTCCAACTTAGCCGTGGTCATGCGGAAATCAAAAAAGACCAGGGGTTCAAAGCATGGTCTAAGACGAAGGATCTGCCACCCAACCTCAGTCTGTGGGACCACTGTAAGGTAAAGGAAGCAAAACACAGATTCGGGAATTTGGAGAATGATGGCTTCGTTGGCATGAGCTCAGACGTTCAAGTTACCTTAAATTGGGTAATGGACTATATTGAAGACCCGACCGGCACCACCACTATTTACAAGATCGCTCAAGACCGTAATCTTCTTGCTTGTGCCGACATACTCAAGCATCGTACGTACACGTGCCTTGACTCAATATCCTTAGTTACTGCTATGGGTGTAATACAAACTTACGATTTTCTAGACAATTCGATCAATGCTGAAAGCGAATACGTTGCCATCGGCGAGATTCCTTGGGAATAAATTATGGGTTGGTTTGATACGTTCGTTGTGCGCGGACGCCAGATCACGGATGCCAAATGGACTGATAATCCCGATTTCAACAAAGCCAAGTTCCAGGGCAAACCTTACGGTACCGACGAGTCTAATGGAGCCGATCCAAAGGTGTTTCTACCACTTGCTGGTTTTCAAAAGAATGATAAGCGATGGAAAGAAAAGCCTTGGAGCACTGTTACTCCTGCAAACTGCGGCTCGAAAAAGCGCAGCATCTTCGATAACTTCGAAGACAAGGAGACGCAACTCGTTACTGATGATAACGAGGACATCGATCTTGTGACCGGACACAGCGTAGAAATGCGGCTGGTTCCTAGCTATAGGGCCAGGAGAAGGGGCAAGACTACGAAGAGACCAGCTACCGGGAGATCCACCAGCAGAAAAGCCCCAAAAAAGAAGACTACCAGTGAGAAAAATTCCTCTAAGAAGACTCCCACCAAAAAGAAGTCCTGTAGCGCTGCGGAGAAGAAGGCTAATGGAGGTGTCTGTCTGTCCTGTACAGCAGCTGAAAAGAAGAAAAACGGAGGCCAATGTCCGCCAAAATCGTGCCCATTGCCTAAGACCAACCAACAGTTAGCACAAGAGTACTACAAAATGTACACGTCGCTTGGAAAGGGGAAGAAGGCGACTAAGACTAGTACAAAGAAGAACGGATTGGTCTAGGGGGACTAATAGTAAGATGACCGTGTTACTTAAAACTCATAGGCAGTGCCACCGAGGACGTTAAGATTGGTGGCTACATAGTTTCTAGAGATCTACTTTGCAAGTTCCTACAGAGGTCACACATTCTGGCGAAAGTGTCTGCAGGGGTTTTTGATCATCCGTCCCACCATATTTGAAATGACTAGCACGGAATTCTGACAGCATCTTCGTTTATGGGGAAACAGATGACCCACCCAGCTTCCGTTTTCTTGATCCATCAATACATGAGAGAAACTGGCCATGGTAAAGTAGACAGTAAGTATCGCATGACCAAGCAGGCAGGATTCTCCATGACTGCTCGAAGCGGCAACGACTTGTTCCTTAGTAGTCATCCACCTGAGTACTAAATCACCAGTAAGTTAGTTGAATAGAACTAAGCGAATGAGAAGAAGCCTTGTTTTCAACATTCTATAGTTGTACGTGGAAAAAACCGCTAATCGTTTTTGTCATGATCTAAGACGTGAGCACATTGCATACTCCCCAGTTCGTAAGCAAAACTTCAAATGGTGTTTGCGCTAGATCGTCTGGATTGCTTGAGACGCGCTGCAAACCCCTAGTCTCACCAGTTGTTGTTCAACGAAATAAGAGAGAAGATAGAAAGAACAGCATTTGCACAGCACATGCCCAAACACAGCAGGTGTCTGCGCAGACAATCCGTCGGTCACACCCCGCGAGAGTGGCCGCACCCACGCCAATACATTGCTACCGTACTCGTCTAGTGCCTTGACAACCTCTTGCCATTGTTTGAGGTGCCATATGCGAAGAATTGGCTCTCGTCATTGGTAAGTCTCTGTAACTCGCCTCGGGGACCGATGTGGCCTGTCATGTAATGTGTACCTCTATAGGCTGGCCAATGATACATATACCCGGTACATAGCCAGCACCAACTCTCTCATAGATGCCCGGTTTGGACGTAGCCTTGATTACCAGGATGTAATGACGTTTGTCATGGACTGGCATCTCGACCCTCTGGATTCCGAGGACTACACACCTTTGAGGGTACTGTACCACCGTGATATGCTCATCAAAAACGACTTTGACAGCTTCAACTCCATCTCTGCCTTTGTACGCACTTGCATCGTACTCTTGACTAAGAGTACTAAGCATAGTCGTTTCTTGGTCCGACGTTGGCTGTGACCATGGCGAGTCCATATCTTGCCAGTCGAATTTGCCGAAATCAGGATTGAAATAATCGATACCCCCCGAGTTATCCTTGCCGCCAGCATAGGCCATCCATGACCACGATGGCGGGGTGGCGCGATCTGGCGGGAATGCGATGCGTAACAAGTTGTCCACACCGAAGCCTCTATGCCACAAAAGGCTTCTGCGTAGCGTACCAGGTATCTCGTCATCCTGGAGTACACCCCATCCGCCCTTCACAAGCATAGTCCTAAGCAGCTTTTGCTGCAAAGCATCGATCGCGGTAGGCCGATCAAAGTCCTTGGTGAGGCCAAGTCTAGTGTACTGTTGGTAGAGCTTTTGATATCGGAGAATCCTTTCGCCTTGTTTGGCTTGTGCGAGGATCCGAGGAAAGCTGGGATCTCCAAGAAGCTCGGCTGATTTGCTGTTTTAACACATCAGCCGTGCTTCCAAAAACATAAGTTCTGCCCACCTTACTTGCTCATCTTTGTCATGGTTTCACATCGGACGCCGCGACCACACTCAAAGTACGTTTGATGCTCGGTAAAAAAGACTGTCCGACGTGCCAGTGCATGTTCCTGCAAGACCCAGCCACGGCGATTTAGAGCGCCGTCCAAGACATGCTCTTTGAAGTTATCGATTGGCTCGCAGACGTACACAGATGTATCACTTTTCGTGGGAGTCAAGGTGACGAAGTCTCGTTGCCTACGAGGCTGCAAGAATCCCGAACCATGGTCTTTAGCGCAACTAGCGGCAAGCACACAATATGCGCCACTGTATATGTTCTCCATACGTTTGGACTCGGAATGAAAGTCTCCACTCGCTCCTTGAACGATGCAGATGGAATCGATCCAGAGGTAGCGATGTCCAAGTTCACGTGTGACGATAACAGCATCGCGAAAGGTGGCCGGGAGTTCCGCAAGTGCCATCCCTCCTTTGCGTTTTTCTAGATTGTGTGGCTCAGTAGAGTAGTGAGGAGGTTCGCCCCATTGGTGAGACAGTGCGATCCATTCTGCGTTGCTATCGAAACTTTTCTCGCGCAGGTAGACCTTCTCATCACCAAATTGACCGACGTCGATCAGACGGGTGGGCATATCTGTCGGCTTTTGTGGAGTAGAGTGGTGAGAACTGGCCAATCGGCGAGCGCATTCTGGGTGAGTGTCGCAGTTTTCGAGCCATTGCCTGACGATCTCCAAGTGAGCCCAGCTGCCAGCAGTGGGAAGTTGCGGTAATCCGACTTGAATTTCAGTAGCGGGTTTGGTTGAGTCTAAGGAAGTCAGTGACACTGCAAGCTATGTATCTCCTAGGGTCAACTTGCTGATGCTTCTCAATATTGATAGTACGGGAAATTTCATGTCATCTCTTCTCAAGCCGGAGCCAATCTTACGAAAATGTAGCTCTGGTGGAAGTTGACTGGTGTCTTGCACAAAGTTACTCCAGAGTAAGCAGCACATTTTGCATTGTTTTGCATTGGCACTTGCTTGGAGAGCACCTACAGGATACGCAGGCGGGGAAGTAGGGTGCCACAAAGACTCGCGCAGCGCAATACATCTTTCGCAGAGGAAAGATGTATCCTGAGGGCCAAACGTGGAGGACGAATCCAGGCTATTGAGATGTTTCAGAAGCGGCAAGGCAAACAAATTGTCTACCTCATGTGTCCAGACCGCAGGGTTGAGCGGTGGATGAGCGTAGTCCACCTGTGCTGGGGCCTTGGGAATAAGACCTCCATTTCGGCGCTCACTGGGCATGGTGCGTATCGACAACAAAGCTGCTGGTTCTCCAAGCTTCTGAGGCCCCCGAATATGCTGCTGCTTAGAATACCAATATTCTTCTTCAAAGGTTAAGAAGACTTGTTCCAATCTGAGTTGGAAATCTTCAGCCAGGAATCTAACTCTTCCGGTAGATGTCTGAGTAGGCCTTGGCTCAGGCTGCACAACAACGGTAGTTGGCTCTGCAGGTGTGAACTTGATCGACGGAAAATCGGTTGATGGGTCATCTACAACAACCGCTTGATCCTGTGAAAGGGATATTTGGGCGCTCTCATCAGCATCGAGGCTGAATGCTTGCTCGCGAAGCTGCAGGCCTGATTTTGCGGGACTCTTACCAAAACTCATAGATCTTCCGCCAGTCTGGGGTAGGTTAATTACTAGTAGACCCTGCTCGATGATCTCGAGGACATCGCCCAAAGCTGTGGTACCAGGTCGACACGCGCTGTCCGATACCATGTGTTGGAGCCAATGTAAAACCACTCTATGCACCTCAGCAATGTATGTATTGCCACTCTTCTTGATCTGATAGAAAGGTGAGTTGCTGCTATAATCTCCTCGCACTTCGTCATTGAAGCGATTGAGCTCGTCTTGGCCGTACAACAGCCAGATCATAAGCTCAAGAGCAATGCAGCCCATTGCCCAGATATCATAGAGGCGAGAGCGACGCTTATCTCCTGTTTTTTCCGGCTGTAGAGTGTCTCCCAACGTTGTACCGAGTTCAACTTCTGGGGGTTCGTATCTTCTCGTTCCAAATTTGGCTCCAGTGTTACTACGACGCGCCTCAGTATTGACAAAATGGACTTTCGCCTCGCCCCAGTCCCCTATTTTCCAGATACCGGTTTCTTTGTCAGTGCGAAACCACAAAATGTTGGCAGGTTTCAAATCTCCGTGTCGGTACGAAGTAGTTGGTGACAGGTTGTGGGCAGCGTTCAGCGCTTTAGCAAGCCCCAGAAGCTGCTCAATCACAGCTTTGGTCAGCTCTGCAGTTCGAACGGGATGTGGAAGCTCTTTCCATAGATCTTGGAGGTTGCCGCCACTTGCCCACTCGAAGACAAGGAAGTGCTCTGGATCCTCTTGCTTCCCATAACGAAACGCTGTAATGAATCGAACAATATGATCTTGTCCTAATCGATTCATTTCCAACAGAGCCCGGACTTCGTCGTTCCAGTGCTCCGCAACTTTGTGGCGGTCCTTGTCAAGATCGATCTTGATTTCCTTCACAGCGACAACGTTGGAGTGCTTATCCTGTCAGATGTTGGTTTTTCATCAGAGAGTTTAACATACCAGCTTGACTCTATGATGGGATGCATCAGTTACGACGATGTGGTCCTCGTGAATCTCATACTTCGAGACCACGCCGAATGAGCCTTCCGCAAAACTCGCATGCTGGGCGATGAACGGCATAATAACGTTGTTACCGTAGCAGTTATTCATCTCTTCAGTCGAAATGGTGGGAACCAAGAACTCCCATTGCTTCTCTTGGAAGTCGTATATAAAGCTCTTATCCCAGATACTGTCTCGCCTCCTCGTATTTGTCCCTTGCATCTCGAAAAAAGGATGTTGTGGGCTGCTGTGTTGACTTTCTGAGAACGTTGCAGCTTTCCATTCTCTAATGGGAAGCTGGGAGTCGTCGAACTCGTGCTTCTTAAATAAAGAGACAGCGTCTTGCAAGCGCCTTTGTCTTATTGTAACAAGTATTGCGAATAACTTTTTCGCTCTCTGCAAAACGAAAGCTACGAGTTTCTCATCTTCCTCTTCCACCTCCTCTTCTTCGATAAGCATGGCTTCGAGAATCGACTTTCGAGTCAACAATTTGTCGAGTTGTCCCCGTGGCAAGAAACGGTCCAAACGATTGCCAAACCGGCTTTCCGCCCTGCTTTCTCTGATTTTCGTGTGCAGTCCTTCCTCTTCCATGATACAGAAAAGTAGGATATAAGCGTTTCGGGCAGGAGTACCTTATAGAAAAGATGAAGTGGGCTTTAGGCTACCAACAACACAATATTCGCAAAGCTGTGGGCGTAGAAGGTCGCATCAGCATGTGCATCCGGAAGCAAGACTGGAACTCTAATACACTTTATAGACTATGCATAACCTGTACACCTTACAAGGTCTGCAGATTCGGGTTCGCGCCGACTGCTGTTGGTATCCATTCATGCACGGGCATCACAGGCCCTAACGATGGCAGACAAGGACGCTACGAGGCAGGGCCTGCGGCTTTGTCCCGCCAATCAGTGTATTAGATCGTCCTCATGGTGTGCTGACAAGGGAGTGAGCCCGTCGCTGGCCATGAAGGAGTGAGAGGCCGGGCGATGTGAGGGGGCCACGCGCAGGGTTCTTTCCTTGGCAAGCGCCAAAACATCCACACCACACATTCAAATGCGAATGATCGGATCGTGTCTCATTTCATGCCCTCACAGAGCAACATAACAGAAGCCTCAAGACCTGGTAAGCAAAATGCCCCGTTCGTTGAATTAGGTCTAGGTTCGTCTTAGGCATGATCTCCTTATGACGGGCGGCTCGCGGACACTCCCTTTGCGTCCCGTCCTAATCTCCCGTGACAGGATGCCTGGCTTCCACTAGGTAGCTTCACAACACGACGCAGATGGCAGCCGATCGCGCGGGTTACGACCTACATATGGAGTTGCTAGCCAGGTCCGCTTAGTCGCTGCAGCTCAAAGATGAACTTGAGCTCCAGCCCTCTCGCTTCAGCCTGACGGCGTTGCGCCTTGCGCGCCACAAACAGGCAAATCAGGCAAACGAAGGATTTTGGAGGTCAACATCCGTCCCACCTTGATAGCGTTGACCCCAAGTCGTCAGTTCAAGGTATGAAAGCGTGCCTTCAGACGTGGATGGGGGATCTTGGCCACTATCATTGGAGACTTGGGTCCGTCGCGTGCGCATTACACGAACCCTAATTACGATAAATCCAGCGCTACTAAAGTGGCAATCCAGCTGACGTTTGGTTGGGAGTTCTTATCACCTATCGCAATGCTCGATGAAAGCGCATATCTGATGTTGTAACATGGATGTTATGCTGGAGCAACGGACGCGACGACAAGAAAACGGTATAACACCTCTGTGCTGCCGAGAGAATGACGACGAGATGTGTGGGTGGCAGGACTCTTGGTGAGCGTGCTATTAGCCTAGTCGTGGCCCCCATCTCACGCATTGTGGACTAAGACCCCGCCCCCAACTAGAGACCAGGCATTTGATCCTGAAGGACTCGTGGCTAGAGGCCCAATAATTAACCACAATCGCTCAACACGTTCTCGAACGTGTGCCACTTGAACGCCATGTTTTCGTTCGCGTCACTTCTTTTCATGCCTCCCATTTGTCCATGCTACATGCCGCTTCCATCCGGGCGTGTCTCCTGCGCCTTGTTTTGAGAGAGCTTTCAATGGCCCAACTTCAGCCTTCTGGTCTTACGAGAGTATTCACAGAGAGCAAAATTGGAGGTGCCACCTCTAATGCCGAACCGGATACCGCCCATGGCGTCGCCTCAAGCTCTGCCAGATGTGTAAGCGTTCGAATCAGCCAGCATAGCACAATCGCGGAAGACCCGGCTTCCCAGAGTATGTCCACCAGTGTCAGGAAGAATGATGTTTCAGCCTAATGGTTCCAGCACCGAGAGCTTCGCGAGGCTCCTTTCCAGATGTTGATATCGCTACATTGATTGAGCCAGATACCACGCAGCCAGGACCGCAGTCCGCAACGCCCCTCTACCAAGCCGAAAGCGCAATCCCACGAACTAATTTCGAACAGATTGCCCGTAGACGTCACAAGAAGTCCCAGTCCGACTATGTGGGTTCCTTCCTTCGCCGACGGAAAGATTCAGACGCCAGCACGTACCGAAGATCTTACATAGTTGAGAGTGCTCATGACTTATGGTCATCCGTCCGCCACTCTACAATTCAGGTCGAGGAAGCGACAACCCGCAACCGACATCGTGATCCATCTACTCCGCGGAAGATACGCAGAAAGCAGAAAGACAAGCAACAGATGAACATTGATGACGCTTCTAGTCACATGAAAGATCGCCTGAAGGAGGCCGTGGTTCACTCAGGTATGGGTGGGAACCGACGCTTCATCCCTAGGAGCGTTCTCGATAGAATCATCGACCAGAAATCTGTGGAATTCGAGTTAACGAGGTGGCAGTATCTGCCGCGCAAATACTGGCAAGCCTGGAGGCGACCTACTGCTGTAACAATCGAACCAAAGCTAGGTGTAGACGGTCAACCAATTGGGAAGACTTACCAGCTCATATTCGCAATATTACTAGCTCTCCATCGGCCGTCCAAGATTTGGTCCTTCATCGAGAACGGAGTCTCTGATACGGATTTGCCGCTTGTGAAACACTCACAAGGTACCAGACGCTTCGAGCTTCGGAGGAAGCAAGAGCCGAGAGCCCCCTTGAAGTGCTTCAAGAGGTGGACTTTTGACGAGATTGGAAGCTTCGCAGAACAGCAGTGGGTGTTCTTGGCCCCTTGCTTTGAAAGAGCCTCTGGCTGTGAGATACCACATGTACGATTGGAAACAGAGCATGTCCTTCCATTCAGTTTATGGTCTCCAATACAAGATGGTGGCTATGGGGAGGTATACAAAGCGGAGATTCCACCCGGTCATCACAGTTTCGGATCCTGCAAGGTCAGTTCTGATATATCTATATGATGCCACCTCGCGTCACTGACACATGGATCATACAGAGTACCCCATACGCAGTTGCTATCAAGAAACTCACCCCCAAAAAAGGTGAAGACATAGCCCGCGAAGCAGACGTTCTGCGAGGGCTCAGTGGCGGTTCCCACCCCAACGATCATCTCGTATCGCTATTGGCAACATTCGAGTACAACGGAGGCTTTTATCTGATTTTTCCGCTGGCCGATGCAGACCTGCAAAGGTTTTGGAAAAGATCCAAGACTTGTACAGATCCCTACACGGAGAGATGGATGCTTGAACAAAGCTTTGGAATCGCCTCCGCGCTTTACAAGATCCACCGCTACGAGACATTTCCACGAACATCAAGTCTATACAAGTCAGCCCATACAAGAAAGTCTACCATGGCAAAACAAGAGCTTGCCAGCATCCTGGAAGGCAACGAAGGAAATCCTGGACGTCGTCTTTTCGGCCGCCATGGCGACATCAAGCCGAATAACATCCTTCATTTCCCTAATCTAAACCTTGCAGACGGACTCGGCACGCTCAAGATTACGGACTTTGGCATCACTCAGTTTAGTACCGAAGACAAGAGGTTGCTGAAGGACGGCGAAAAGATATCATGCACTAGTGCCTACCAGTCTCCAGAATGTGTGTTGGATAGAAGCATTAGCACCGCATGTGACATCTGGGCTCTCGGTTGTGTTTATCTAGAATTCGTTTTGTGGTACCTGCGCGGTTATCAAGCCGTCGTGGCCTTCTCCAGAGCGAGAGATCGTGGCTATGAAACAGATACCTTCTTCAACAGGATTGGTCAAGACGAGCTCACTGGAGCGCCAATGGCGGAAATCAAACCTTGTGTCGTCCAGGTAAGTCGACCACAGTTTTGGCGTATCACACATTGGCTAACATGCAATAGCTGATCCATGATCTACGCACAGATCCATCGTGTACCTTGCCTCTGCGGCGACTCTTAGATCTTATCGATATCAGGATGTTGGTTGGGACAAACTCGAATACTATACTAACACAACGAGGAAGCCATCATGACGATTTTCCCGCCTATTCTAACGAACGAATAAGCTCAGGAACGCTCATGAAAGAGTTAGGGAGCATACTACAAGATTATGGTAGTCTGGGACCCTATGAGTTCTGATGTCAAGATTGACACAGCACTACAAGAGTTAATGACACCTAAGCAAATACGTATACTTTTCTTGCTCTTGGGAACGTACATCACATTTCACTATTGACACGAGTCCTCTCTTTGCATGTGCACTTATCATGTACGCAGGCTTGACAGAAAATCGTTCTCGGCCGTATCACTACAAACACCTGTCCCTATTCGACTTGTCAGTTGTACGCTTCAGAAGCAGAATGCATAAAGAGGTACTTGTCTTTCAAGAATCTTGCCGGCTTTGCCTTCGTGACATCAAGTTGAGAATAAGCTAGGCTTTTATGTTATGCTGCAGCACTACAAATTTCTAACCTGGACTCCAAGGTCGTCTTTGCTTCTGATCGGCTCGATATTATCCAGTTGCTCATTCCATAACACTTCGTCCAATATCCCCTGAAACTCTCTTGATTTAGCTCTTTCCCGACCTTCCAGAGGAACTCAGCCATCAGATTCAGTGTGTAGTAGAAGAGTTGATAAGACATGCCTTGTTTGATGCGCGAGTTCATCCGGGCGGCGTGGAGGAAACGGAGATGACGCTGTAAATCAAAGCTCTTTCCACAATCGCGAAGTCTGGATATGCTCCTCACAGAAAGTAACGGCGTCATCTCAGCTAGGTTGGTAGTGGCGAAAAGGACGACGATTGGTTTATTCTATTGATCTCGCTGCGGACAGCTTTGGGGCCAAGCATTGAAGGCACACATCGTATGCTTTGGTACCATTCCAGACATCTGGTAGGGCACACTTATGACAACAATTGCGGACATCTACAAGCCTAGGTATTGAAATGTACCTCGAGCTCACATGTACAATCATCAATAGACATACGACTGAAACGATAATATCAATCATTAGTGCTATACTCTAGCCCGGATGCAGTCTTCTAAGCGTGTGCTATGCAGCAGACCAAAGATTGACTTACACAGTATTAGAACCTACGTCTTGTTACCGTTAAAGTCCTACAAATACGACATGTTCATGTGATCTCCATCAATAAATCCATTGAATGCATCGAAATCCGTCATACCGGGTTGCTGACACTGTGCGGAACCTGCGATTGGCTGCTGTACCCAACCTGATGTCCTTTCGAAGGTCGAATTTGCGAGATCATGCTGCCCGACCAGAGTTCCAGTTGTATACTGTGCATCTTCTCGGACCTGTGACAGCTCTGTGTTGAAGGAATGATCTACAGAAGAGATGCTGGCAGTATGCTGTGGTGTCAACGCGTGCTGTGTCGTAAACAAAGATCGTGGTGTAGGAGGCACACCGAGTAGATCTCTTGACGACTGACTTCTACTGTCGCTATCGTCGCCAAGTTTGCGCTTTTTCCTTGGTGGTCTGCAAGTGGTGCCTGTTCTACTCCTTTGTGCGAGTCTTTCCGATTCTAAGTCATTGACAGCTTTGTCGAAAATCGACCGGATTCCGTCCATGTGCTCCGCATCCAGCGGAGGTACCGTATCCAGGGATACCCCATCTGTTAACCCAATTTCGAAGAGCGCTAGTAAGCGACGATACTTTGCCTCGTGTGATTCGGCAACTGTTGAAAATGAGTTGTAGTCAGGCAGAGAGGTTCTGGTGCTTACATGGATTTGAAGGAACATCCTGAGCAGGGAAGAGAACACAGAAGTAAATGTACCATTGACTTAACTCCCTTGCTGCATTGTTCTGCGTCACATTTGACTGTCCGATGTAGAAAGGGATATTCAGTGTGACCCAGCTACGAAATCGGTCTTCGTCGCGGCCGCTAGGCAATGTCTTGTCAGTCCTGAAGTCTTTCAAGGCATTCTTCACCGCAGTTTCCATATCTCGGCTGATACCAGTGCGCTCAACGACGGTATTCCGGCTCTGTATCTCCTCCTTAGTCGGTATGATACATGGTGAACTTGATCTCAAGATCATCTCATGCTGTTTGGCCGCCTCTTCGTTAGAGAACAATAGCTTACAGCGTCCACACGGGAGAGGCAGTTTATGAGTATTCGAGCCACGGGATATGGCGTGGTCGCTACATTGACTGTCAGTACCAACAGTCCAATTCGGACAACGTGAGAACCACTTACGTGTACAAACGACGGGCACTAATAGAGCTGCCACGATGCCCCTTACATGCAATGCCATTAGCAGCGTGCCAACATAGCAATTCAAGCGGCCTGTAGCTGGCTGCTGGGTCCTTCTTGTCTTCAACAGCCACTCGTGTATCATCAGCCTGATTACTGGATTGAGATCGTAGAGGTTGCGATCCGTCAGGGAGATCGCTAGTCGACAACGTCGGATCACGATTCTCTCGACTCGACTCTGCGCCACATGCATTCTGATGATCACTCGATCTCTGTGAGTTTTCGGATTCCTGTGAGTCTTCAGAACCCTGGGAGTCTTCAGATCCTTGTGAATCTTCGGACTTCTGCGAGTCCTCGGGTTTCTGCGAGTCATCGGATCTCTCGGAGTCTTCGAAATCGGTCCAAAGCCCAAAATACATGAGTGTACGGGAGTAACTCTCGACACTTTCTGCCGTTCCATCACCCTCCGAGTCTTCTGTATGATCACTATAGCTGCTTTCCGTCTTGATGCAGCTTTTCAAACTTACTCTGCGATCAAAACAGAGTTCTTACTCTCTCGTGTAAGTCAAATCTACTATGGATTTGTCTCTGGGATTCGGAACTTTGTCCTGTTGAGTGGCATTCCGAGTCCCCTTGCGCTTGCATGGATCATCTGGTGACTCCATATCGACAAGCTTTGAGTCTTGTGAGGTCTGGTTTCTTTTACTGATCTTCGAGGAAGTTATCTCGGGAGAAGCAGCATGATGAATCCCCAGACTCCCTTGCTCTTGCATTTCAGGATCATCGTACGCATAAAAGACATGATCTTCGAAGCCTTTGGGACTTCTGTGTTTGATCTGTTCTGACTCGAGTGCGTGGTTGATAGAGAGTTTGAGCTCCACGTCAGAAGGCAGAAGAGGATTCAAAGGTTGACAACTCTGCGGCGAAAGTGACACTTCCCTAGGAGAGCTGCAGTGGACGGCCTTAGTGTGCCTATTCATGTTGCATTTACTAGAATATTTGCGTCTACAACCCGTTACGGGGCAGCGAAAAACATGGTCACCCCTGGGGTGCATGTTGGACAAATGACGTATGTATTCATATCGGTGATCAGATCTCAAGTCATCGCAGTCTTGATCTGCACACTTGAACTTTCCAATAGCTGTACCACGACCGCGTTTGTCGTGCCAAGAGTCGCCCCTCGACATCGGCTCTGTCTGTGATCCGTGAAACGACCCGTATCCAGAGTCCATCGACGACATTGCGATATCGATGTGGCGTTCCAGAGATAGGTCACTCTCTTCCGAAGCCCAGTCTATGGTAGCGGGTGGTTGAGTGGGTGGTGAAGACATTGATACGTAGTTTTTTGATGCCTGTGCATGTCGTGAGTTATGATTCAAGGATTGAAAGCGCTCACTGTGGCTTGACCCATGGTATGAATCTGAGCCTATACAAGTGTCTGGAAGAGGCCCAAGCGTGATGTCGCCGTTACGAACCATATGAAAGTAGGGCCGTGTAATTCGTACACTGTCCACAATCTAGAGGTGTGATGAGGTGTGTCAGGCTGAGTCGAACAGGCTTAAACGCAGCCCTATAGCTCTGGTCAAGAATGAGTGCAGGCTAAGCGTCAGAAGAAAGACTTGAAGTAGAGTGAAGATTGTTGGAAAAACTTTTAGAGGGTAAAAACAGCAAAGGGCACAACGCAGGCTGCTCTCGTTGCAATGTACTGTCGATGGTGGCTGTGCGGCGTACAGGTGGGAGGCATTTCTCTCAGGCTGACACACTTGTGACCAATCAGGCCCCATGAAAGTACAGGGGTATCTACACAGCCCGCCTGCAGTTTTGCTCTCTGAGGCCTATGATACTGTCGAATACTGCGCCATGGCACGCCTAAGCCAAGACGCGAAGGTTCGCATTCCACCTTTCTGCAGGCATTCGGAAAGTCGCGGAAATATGTTCACACAGCTTCTCAACTCACGCATCTAGTACTGCGTGTGTTCACACTCGTGTACATAACTCTTTCAAGTCCATCTCGACAATGTTCGCATTTTGCCATGGGATGTATATACATGTGACAGTAAAAGACGTTTGACTTGTATGGTCCATTTTTGAACGTATCGCCTACTCGAGTCCAAATCGACAAAGCTGTCGGCATGTCTGTAGAAAACAGCTCTCCGACTGGCAGTACTGCCTCGCATCGCAACACCCACCACGATGAGAATCCTGATCAAAGAATCGAATGGCTCCTGGCTATCCCGAACGGAAACAAGAAACGAGTATCAATACACGTGCTGCAAACCAAACGTGGGGAGACGGGTGCAACCATAATGAGCTCTATCAAAAGAGAGTACGAAGCAATCAACCCTGCCCGGCGCTGGTTACCCTCTAAGATCGAACTAGAGGATGCCACGATATCTCTCGTGCGTTGTCAGGCCCCGGTACGCGAACTGCGGTTGCTAACCGAGACAGCTGTGCATTGGAGACCTGGAAGCCCAAGACTACCCCCGAGAAGTCATTGTCGAGACCCACACACCGCGTTTGGATCTGACCAAAGCCTTCAAAAACCCTCTTTTGCTTCGTGGTACGGGCTTTGCTTCGGCAAATGAACAGTTCGTATTACCTGCAAAAGGTACAATTTGTGACCGCGAGGTTCATGCAATACTTTTCAAGTCAGCCACCTGTAAAGAAGGAGTAGTAGCGGTGCTTGTGGTATTGGTTCTGTTCTCTATCATGATAGGTCTGGCTGTTGGCTTTTGGACCAGAGATGCGAAGACGGGATTGGCTGTGTGTGCGGGAGCGATTGGAATATTTGCATTGATCCAAGCTTCACTGGCTGGTATTGAAGCGATGAAGTCAAAGGCCCACCTCTGAACTCATCTATGATACTCTGCGGGCTCTTGTTATACTTACTTCAATCGAGTTCCAGCTATATCGTTCATTGTATTGGTGTAATGTCGCGAGTGATGATCGAGGTTAACGCGATGATGGAGGGCCTAGTACGAGTACCTGAACTCGCTATCCTCTCTATCTGTTCCTGTGTTCCACGCCTCTTTACTCATGAAAGCTTCCTCGCCGGTCTGCACCTCCCCTCTCTTGTTATCCCTCCTCTTGTTCTGCCACCGATAGTACCCATACAGCACTGCCGTGACCACCGCACAACCAGCCTGCGTGCCCATAACCGCCAGCTTTGCAGGTCGATAGGTCGGCGCATCTCTAGCCTGGAACGTTTGAGGACCGATGATATTACCAATACTGAACGAGCCTGACACAACCGCAGCGGCGAAGGCGCGCTTTGTGGCTCCAGACACGTTGGCTGCGGTCCAGGCGTAGAGCACAGGCAGCGGTGCGACGACGGCGTTGACGAGGTAAATTCCTGCGAGACAGCCGCGACGGTTGGATAAGGGAAGGAAGGACATCAGCGCGCCACCGAGGATGGCGGGGATGATGCAGCAGATGATCCATAGCCAGCGGTTGGACTGCTTGCGGATGCCGAAGCCGACGAGGAGGGTGAAGAAGATGCTGATTACACCGGAGGGCATGTTCATGAGAGCTGCACGTTTGGGCGTATAGCCTAGGTTGCGAATCAGAGTCGCGGAGTAGGTGGTTACGACACCGCTGGATACGGAGAGCTGCGAGGGTTAGTATAAGTACGTACGTTGGGTTTACAAGACATACCAGTATGACAGCGAGAACCATTAGATACAATTGTGGATCAGCCAACGCTTCCAGGATCTGTCTGGGCTGGAACGTCCTACTCTGAATGCCAGTCCTGTTCACGCTAACATGCTTCAGCAGCGCGACCTTCTCCCTATCAGTAAGCCATCGTGCCTGCATAGGTGTATCTGGGACAAGCAGGAGCGTCGCCAGCCCGATTACTACAGTCACACATCCGAGAGTGATGAACATAACTCGCCATCCAGCGAGTCCACTTCCAGGTGCTACGTGCTGAAAACCATGGGAGATGGCACCACCAATAATTTGTCCGAATCCAAGGCCGCAATACCAAAATGAGAAACGCGGCGCTTGTTCTGATTTGGAGTACCACTGTGAACTAATGAGTAGTAAGGATGGTCCGATGGTGGCCTCAAAAATTCCCAGAAAGACTCGAGAGACTAGAAGAGTGCGGTAGGAGGTCGCTGCGGCACCGCTGGCTGTTGCGACGCCCCAAAGAATGACATTTAGACCAAGCCATTTCGCTGCAGGGATCATCTGGAGGAAGTAAACTAGCAAGTGTCAGTTTGACGGTGAGTTACGGGGGGTGAGGACGTACTGTTGGGAACTTCGAAGCAGAGTAATCCAACAAAGAGGAAGGTTGCGATATTCGAGAAGTCGTTGCCGACAAGGCGAAGGTCTTTCTGAATGCCCATGACGGCTGCGTACTGGAGTTTGATCAAAATTGAGTATGATACCAAAATGTTGAATGCGACTGACGTTGAGAATGACTTTGTCGAGAAACTGCATGGTGTAGCAGCCAAACATTAGCGGCACAATGCGCCAATCCACCTTTCGACGCAACGCGTTTATGTCTACAGCATATCCGTCCGAATCTTCATCTTGATGACGATTGAGGTACGACCATGCATCGTCGACATTCCTTGCTTCTGGTGACGCTTGGATAGCTGCCCCATCTTTGGCAATGTTCGCCATACTGGCGGCTCGTAGGGATGTCAAAGCCAGCTCGTGACCTACAGGTTTAATGACTGGGTAGTGCGACGTTGAATTAAACAAGGAGTGGAGGGGGCTGGGAAGGATTTGTAAGGTCCCTCGGATCGTTGCATGTAAGTTTGGGCGAGAGATTGCGGATAAAGTGTCTTCGTATATGCGCCAACCATGCAAACGGACATAGGATCCTGCGATTTTAAACGGTCGGTTCCTGCCGTGTATGGAAGGTACCTGGCATCGCTGCCGATCCATTGTTGGTGATAGGTTTACGCCCCGCACCAAGACCCTATTTGCTGACATGCGTCGCACAGCGCACGAACATAGCGTATAGATGTAAGATAATTTGATTCAAATCACGACAGGCGCACACAAGATGCAATCTTTGTGCGGAACTCCGGTCATGACGGCGAGGCGCAACGCGTCAATCATGGAAGTCAAGCATCATTTGTCTTCTAGTGAGCAGTGGGCTTTTCGGCGTCAGACTCGCCCAGTCGTGTGCATCGAGGCATGCTTGTCGAGAGGCCAACACTGCCGGCAGCGTTCTTTTGGCTACGCTCTGTTGATACTCCTGCAGAGAAGAACGCAGGCTCGGGGCAGTGGGACTGAGCTTAGACAGAACCGTTGTCCTTAGATCTAGTACGTCGACGATAGCATGGTTTGCACCCTCCCCTCGATCTGGATGAAGATTAGATACTGGCAGATAAGGCTTTTGATTTACACAACTCACACATTGCCATTGCATGAGCCGCATCTCCTACAAGTGTGTGTGTGCCCGCTGTAACCAGTTCCTTGTCAGGCGTGTAGTCGTCAAGATCTAGTCTTTTCACCTCGGTATCATCGGAGATGAGAGATAGAAAAGAGTGAAACGGCTCGGCCAAGCCCTCCGCGAAACTTTTGATGATGGCAACGCGTTCACTGTTGTAGACTCCAGCGACCCCGGTGGATACGGCGGCAAATGGCTCCTTGTTGATTGAACCGGAGATGCAAATTTGATAAACGAAGCATTCGTCAAGGTCCTCCGAGGATTGAGGTGCTTTCAACACTGATGGGTGTGATGTCAGTCCACTTGATGCAGCAACAAGCGATGGAAATATGACAAGTTTGTGGTGAAGGCTTACAACTGATGTACATGAACACATCGTTCGCAGACGCAGTTCCCTGTAAGAAGAATGGATCCAGTTCACGAATAGGCTCAGCTTGTGCTGCAGTCAGCTGCATTGTGAACCCAAACATGATGACCGGTATTTGATGATTGTCATGGCTCCCAGGAGCAGATTCACGTCTAACCCACGAATGGCTGCCATCGCAACCAAATAGCATGCGGCCTTGATACTCTGTACCGTCCTCGAAGCGGGCGCCAACAGCACTGATGTGATCCGATAGCCCATTGAACTTCTTACCCCACTAGAAACGAAAACAAATCAGCGCGTGTCGAGGGCCGTCAAATGTCTCACTGCGTACCTCGATGTCGATACCGGTGGCCAATAACCGTCTGAGTGCTTCTCTGGTCACTCTGATCCTCTCATTCTCCCCAGCTCGTGGACTTGCTCCCTTCTTTTCACCAGTGGTCAGGTCAAAGAATGGAAAGGTTGAGCATTCGCCGCGCTCGACGGCAGCACGGTCGACATAGGTGTCAGGAAGGCGGGCTAGGAGATCCTCAGGAAGTAGCTCGCGAAGAGCAGGTAGAGACCAATGCAGAGTTAGCCCCCAGCCCGGTCCGCGTGTGGAGAAATCGTCGTCCCGCTCGAAGATCCGGAATGGTATGCTCAACTGACGCAGTTGCTGCGCAATCAGTAACCCAGATATGCCTGCCCCAACAATGAGCACAGGAAGTTCGTTGTCCATGGTACACACAAGTGAATATTGAGGTCGAGGTGGTGGCCTTTTGAGCAATGATCCATACATGTCAGCAGGCAGCCGCGCTAGGATGATCGCGCCTTCCTTTTGAGGTCCTCGCCTAGATGCGTGCTTCTTTTGATCCTTGAATTATCAAAACCACAGTATCGCGCCTTATTCAAATGTGACGCTTTTTACACACCTGATAGCTTGGAACGGTCAATGATCTCACCAAACGCATCCGGTCGTCTCTGTGAAATAGGTCTTGTAAATTGTGTCCATGACTTCGTCCATGCTCCCTGTACAGTTGTATCATACACTGGTATACGCCCTCTCCTACATCTGCACTCTCCCTGTGCCTCCGCGCTCGATCTTGTTCAGCTTTCTCGCAGTGCCGATCTGTGATTTTGTGTTTTGACCTCGTACAGGCAGACCCATAGCGTGTCGCCTTCCTCTGTACGAACCCATGTCCTTCAATCTGCGAATATTGTCCTGCACTTCTCGCCGCGCATCGTTTTCGATCTTCATCGTCGATAATTCGGCTGTGAGGTCCATAACGACTGAGTTCTTCAGCGTCCCGACCTTGGCCCATGGGTGGATGTGGAACTTCGCCATGAGCTGCTGCGACACCTTGGGCCCGATTCCAAAGAAGCTCTCGAGCGAGCGCTGCAGTGGCGTTAGATTGTGCGCTCGCGCTCAACACGGCGGCCGGAGGTGCTGCACATACTTTGACGAGCGTCGCCTCTGTGAAACTGAAACCGTTGATAAACACCTAGACGCCGTCAGCGCATCGTCTCAGTGGTCCAGCTACATGCGTACCATGGTGCCGGCAGACCTCAGGCAGCTATGTGCGTGGTGTTGAAGATCTGTAACCGCACCTGCGTGAGGATCGCGAATCTCGAATGTCGGCCGGGCTCACTTCGGCAAGGTGCTACCAATTCGGCAAGTGCGACCAACCCCAGCATGGTTTCACGCTAGACGGCGAAGGACCACGTCTCGGAAACAAAGGGCTCCTCTACCATTCCACGGCGACACCTACTTAACCCCGCAACCTCTCCTCGTCGCAGAAGAGGCAAGCCAGGCATCATGATTTCCCTTCAGAGACTCCTCGTCTCTGCACTTCTGATTCTCTCGGTCACGTTTGTCTTCTTTGCCCAGACCGCTGAAGCCAGCAAGGGGCCCAAGATCACCCACAAGGTGTGTACGGAGCTCAATTCGTGATTTCGAGGAGCGTGTTAGCTACGTAGTAGATTGTGCGTGCCAATTGACTCGCACGGTGTACTACTTTGGCTACATGACTTTGATTGAACCACGGATACAACTACCCGAGGAGCACAGCTGACGACATTAGGTCTACTTCGACATCACCCATGGCGATGAGGAGCTCGGCCGTATCGTGATCGGTCTTTACGGCAAGACCGTTCCCAAGACCGCTGAGAACTTCCGTGCCCTTGCCACCGGCGAGAAGGGCTTCGGCTACGAGGGCTCCACCTTCCACCGCGTTATCAGCCAGTTTATGATCCAGGGAGGAGATTTCACCAAGGGTGATGTACATACACCCACACGCACGCTGGAATTCAGTTGCTGACAGATCAGGGCACTGGCGGAAAGTCGATCTATGGAGCCAAGTTCCCCGACGAGAACTTCAAGCTCAAGCACACCCGCAAGGGACTTTTGAGCATGGCCAACAGCGGCAAAGACACCAACGGCTCCCAGTTCTTCATTACCACCGTCGTCACCAGCTGGCTCGACGGCCGCCACGTCGTCTTCGGCGAGGTCCTCGAGGGCTACGAAGTCGTCGACAAGATCGAGAACGTTCCCAAGGGATCTGGCGACAAGCCCGTCAAGACGGTCAAGATTGCCAAGAGCGGAGAGCTCGAGGTGCCAGCGGAAGGTATTCACGCGGAACTCTAAGCCAGCAGCGTAGCTGGCACATGCAGGAGAGCTGCTGATATTTCCTTCTTCAAGATTTGTACGGCGTCGCAGGCGACGATGGCACCGAACTCGATGTCACCCAGAACCAGGCCACCGGCGCTGTTGATGTCGCAACTACTCCTGCCACCAGCCAAGGCAGCAAGGTTCCCATTCCTGTCATTCCCGGATCTTCGCTTCTGGATGAGGGTCTGTCTTGGGGTCAAAAGCTCTTCTTCATTGGCGCTATTGTCGCCGTTTGCGCTCTTTTTTTACGCTCGCGTGGAGGTGCCAGCACCTCCGGTGGGTATAAGCAGAAGAGCATGGCGTAGATGAGATATGACGAAATGAAAGTGCGCTCCTTTAGCAATTATTCGAAACGAACACTACTCTGTGACTGTTGCTGAAGCTGCAGGGTTACATGGTGCAAATGTCGGGCGCACCGTGTCGAGGACCCGTACATGTGAGACCAACTGCAAGCATGTGCGTCTCCCGCGGCCCCAGATCTGGCGAACCTGCCCTGTGCGAGCACGAACGGCGAACCACAGTAAGCGCAGCAGTGCCGCAAACTGCCCGCATTGCGATGACTGAAATGTCTGACAACGTTGCGTTTTGCTGCAAGCCGGAGCGAAACGAGGAGCAGCCAGTGACTATTGGTGACATGGCAGCCAGTGACGTTCACCGCCCATTTTCACCGACAAGATTGCCACTTGGTGAGAGGCGAGCGCCGAACTGGGCTTAGCGCAGCCGCCTCTGTTCAGGGCTTTCAAATTTATCAGTGCTGGCGTCCCTCCTCTCCAACACTCTACAAACAACCACTTGTGTGTATTGCACGAATTTCAACAGCACAGTTTCTGTGAAGTCCCTCTTTTGGTCTTCACTCTCCTTTCATTCTCGTTTTTCAGGACTGAGGCGTTACCTCGTTCCTGCTCAGCGAGTTTCAGGCGCGTTTCTGCCTACGAGTCTACACGTTCGTCACCCAGACGTCCATCAATATTTGTCTGTCGCTCACCGCCGAGCCAGTCGAATAGCTCTTCTCGTAATTTGCGACATTCCAATTCGACATCGACTCCGATAAGCGATCGCCGTATCACAACACCTCATCATGGCTGAACAGCTTGACATGGGTCGTCTCAACCTTAATGAGTCCCAGCACGCTCCCCAGCAAAATGGCTTCGGCCACCAGGAGCGCTCTGCGTACATCCCACCCCACCTTCGTGGTCGAGGCGCCGCACCTCCTCCGGTGAACAACGGCCCTCCCATGAACGGCGGCGGTCCTGGCCTTGGCGGCAGCGCCTGGGGCCCGGCTCCTGGCGGCCCTCCCCAGGGCGGGTACGACTACACAACTTCTCTTGAGGAGAGTCATCTGCTAACACACAATAGTCGCGGCTACGGTGGTCCCCCACCCATGAACGGCGGCGGCGAAGGCGGTAACTGGGCCAGCGCTCCCAACTTCACTCCCCGACAAGGTAGAGATGTCCCCAACGGCGCAGGCTGGGGTGCCACACCACCCAGCAAGTTCGACCCAAATGCTTACGGCAAACCAGGTGGAGGCGGCGGCGGTGCTCCCCGTGGCGGTGGTGACGGACAGTGGAAGGATGGCAAGCACGTTCCTGGGCCTTCTAACCCCCGCATCGAGCGCGAGCTCTATGGTGTACCCAACGACCCCTCGAAGCAGCAGACTGGTATCAACTTCGAGAAGTATGACGACATCCCGGTCGAGGCCTCTGGCCAGGGCGTCCCCGAGGCCGTTACCCGGTTCACAAACCCCCCTCTCGACGACCACCTGCTCAGCAACATCGAGCTCTCCGGCTACAAGGTTCCTACCCCAGTCCAGAAGTACTCCATCCCCATCGTCATGGCTGGTCGTGACTTGATGGCTTGTGCCCAGACTGGTTCTGGTAAGACTGGTGGTTTCCTGTTCCCCATCCTGGCCCAGGCTTTCAAGAACGGTCCCAGCCCTACCCCGGCTCCCCAGAACGGTGGATACGGATACGGCCGTCAGCGCAAGGCCTACCCCACCTCCCTGATTCTTGCTCCCACCCGTGAGCTGGTCTCTCAGATTTTCGAGGAGGCTCGCAAGTTCGCCTACCGCTCGTGGGTTCGACCTTGCGTAGTCTACGGTGGTGCCGATATTGGCTCCCAGCTCCGCCAGATGGAGCGCGGCTGCGATCTTCTTGTTGCTACTCCCGGTCGTCTCGTTGATTTGATCGAGCGTGGCCGCATTTCTCTCCAGAACATCAAGTACCTTGTTCTCGACGAGGCTGATCGCATGCTGGACATGGGTTTCGAGCCTCAGATTCGCCGCATTGTTGAGGGCGAGGACATGCCCCAGGTTGCCGACCGCCAGACACTCATGTTTTCGGCCACCTTCCCCCGCGACATCCAGATGCTCGCCCGCGATTTCCTGAAGGAGTACATCTTCCTTTCGGTTGGTCGTGTCGGTTCTACTTCCGAGAACATCACACAGAAGATCGAGTACGTCGAGGACATCGACAAGCGCTCTGTTCTGCTCGACATCCTCCACACCCACGGTGCAGGTCTGTCCCTAATCTTCGTCGAGACCAAGCGCATGGCCGACTCGCTCTCCGACTTCTTGATCAACCAGGGTTTCCCTGCCACATCTATTCACGGTGACCGCACCCAGCGCGAGCGTGAGAAGGCTCTTGAGATGTTCCGCTCTGGACGCTGCCCCATCCTCGTCGCCACCGCTGTCGCTGCCCGTGGTCTTGAGTAAGTTCACATCCCTTCACACTCTCCCTCGTCTTCATGAGCGTCTGCTAAACCTCTGACAGCATTCCCAATGTGACTCACGTAGTCAACTACGACCTTCCTACCGACATTGACGACTACGTCCACCGTATCGGTCGTACTGGTCGTGCCGGAAACACTGGTATCGCCACAGCTTTCTTCAACCGTGGCAACCGTGGAGTCGTTCGCGACCTTCTTGAGCTGCTCAAGGAGGCCAACCAGGAGGTTCCTCAGTTCCTCGAGTCCATCGCTCGTGAGGGCTCCGGCTTCGGTGGTGGTGGCGGCCGTGGAGGCCGTGGAGGCGGTCGTGGCCGTGGCGGCGCTGCTACTCGTGACGTTCGTCGCATGGGTGGTGGCGGCGGCTTCGGCGGCAGCGCTGGAGGCTGGGGAGGTGCTCCTCAGGGTGGCGGCTTCGGTGGCGGCGGCTTTGGCGGCGCCCCCAGCTACGGCGGCCCTCCTCCTCCCATGAACGGCGGTGGTGGTGGTTATGGCGGTGGAGGCTACGGCAACCCATCCGGCCCTGGTGGCAACTCTTGGTGGTAAATCTGCCAAGCTTCACCGCACGACGATGCCGCTCTAGGACGGACTTGATACCCTGGACCGTTGTGCCGCTACCTCAGGCAACATTTATTTGCGATTTCCTTATTGTTTCGAGCATATCTGCGCGAGTCCTTTTCGGTTACTTCGGGACGACACGGATTCCGGAATCTCATACCCCAACCAGCATTTAGACAGCGAGTGTTTACTGCGGATCTGCCTATTTTCGAGCTTCGCTGCATAACGATACCCTTCGACGACAATGCGTCGAGCTCGAGCATAGATGGCAGAGCCATCCGCCTTCCACTGAAGGCATGCATTACGAACATTTTATGTCTTTGCTCTTCTTGCAAAGTATGCTGCTTGGGGAGCCATAGATCTCGTTTTCCGGATATTCCATGCCGGCGACTTGTTTTTTATTTCATACGGAAAAGCGATTCCTTTCCCTGGTCATACCCCATGGCGACACTTCTTCGTTGTCCCGTCGCACCGCTCCCGATGATGGAGAGCATCAAGCGGCATATTTGACGATGAAAAGTTTTGCTGGTTAGTCTCGCACATAGACGGCGTTCTCGAGGGTAGCCAGCCCTTTTCTAATGAGCCTTAACGAGCAGGCTTGAGCGAAGGAAATACCCCTAGATATGTGGTGACGGTCATGACTTGGGCAAGGGAATCATCTAAAAGCACAGTTTCGAGCAGATGAATAGCTAGATAGATAGACTACCATGGGCCGCGACGCGCTTGGCCTGTGAATGCATTGTTCAAATCACTTTTGGGACAATAGATGTATGTGACTGCCCTGATGTTGCTGACGTTTAGCTTGACGCCGACACGTGATGCTGTCACATGACTGTATGTGGCATGATGACAAGACTGCTTATGGCAGAACTGCTTCCAGGCTATGGATTCGTCGTCTGCTATAAACATGAATCTGAATGATATGCGCAATGTTTACCAAAGCGAGGACAGTGTTTGGATGGATTGCCAAAAAGCGTCGTGTGCTGCGCAGAGCGTATTCCAGCACGCACGTCATAGGCCGAAGCGTCCGGAGAGCGTTCGTGATGCTCCCGCAAATAGTTGGCTTATTCGAGGGATCTCTTAGCGCAAGAAGCTTTGGCTCGTATCTGCTTCCAAGGCTCCTCAACGTTTCCAACCCATGGCCCTGCGATTCGCATTGATCAAATCGGACACCTGCGATTGAGCGTCGCGAAGCTGCAACGTGCGACGCGACTTGTCCTTGCCTGATTCGAAACCTTGCACCACCACCGGCGACGGGGACCGCAGCCATGGAAGCGAGCGCGCCGCCCGAGCCTGATTCCAGGAACAGCTTGCGACACATCCTCGCCGCGGATCCCAGCATGGACGACTCAAAGCCGTCGCCGTCGCAGGCCAACACTCCCGTCCCTGATGATAGCGAAGCGGCCACCCAGTCGCAGGACGGCTCCAAGGCGACCGACCCGGACGCCATGCCACATTACACGGCGACGACGACGACGACGCGGCGCAACGCGAACGGCAGCGTGTCGTCCGTCTACAGCGGCAACAAGATCAAGCACCTGAAGAAGGACGATGGCATCCCGCTGTGGCGCAAGGATATCCAGTTCGACTTCCTGAAGCTCGTCTTCGAGGACGACACGCGCGCTTTCACAAAGCAGTCCGATAAGACGGGCGGTCACACTTTTGCCGACATATATCTCGACGCCATGGCGAAGAGCAGCAAGTGCAGCAAGATCCTCAAGGACAAGCTGCTGACGGAGCGCCCGGCCGCCATCAACATGGCCATGGTCTGCCTGCTGGTCAACGTCGGGCGCATGAATACGACGCTCAACTGTAAGACATCGCGCGCTGCTACTTGCATGAACTGACCTCCCCCAGTCTTCCCGGAGATGCGCGCGCAACTGCGAACCTACCACTCGATCCCCTCCTTGCAGGCCCACCAGGACCCGAACGCCTACAAGCAGCTGCAGGATGCGCCGCGCCTGAAGTCCATCCTCAAGGGTGCGACCGAGGACCAGGAGCAGCCGAGCACGATCGAAGAAATCATGGCAGCGCCAGTGCCGCGGACAAACCCTGTCAACCTGATCTTCGTCCTATCACAATATGCGCCCAAGATCTCAGAGCTGCACTTCTTCCCACCACGCGACTTTTTCGACCTCGTCATGCGGTCGAATCTGAGCAGCAGGAGCCGCGCGACCGCGTTTTTGTGGCTCATGTGGTGGTATCTCGAGAGCGATTTCTCCAAGAAGGCGGCAGAGGAGAATCCCTTCGGACCCGGACAGTTCGGTCCAGCCGACGACCCTGCAACGGCCGAATTTCCTATCAAGTGCCCAGCGTTTGACTTCTTGACCCCCGAGCAGGAGCTGGCAGAGAACGTAGATTCAAACGACGAGAAGAACTTCGGCGAGATCAAGCGCAAGGAGAGGATAGCAATACTAGCAAGCGACATGGCTCCCGTCGTGACAGGACCAAAGCGCACCAACAAGAAGGGTGAGTGGGATCTTGAGTTTGTTCGTGCTTTTCTTCTGAGGTTTGCTCGAGGATTTCAAACCTCCGCACGATTGCTTCTTCTTCATTCCGACTTCACTGTTCCAGAGAGGCCTGACTCTAACTCAATGTAGTATTCAACCAGAATCCAGTATTCTCGGTCGTTGCAGATGACGGCGCCTCAACGCCTGGTCGGGATAGGCAGTCCACTCCAAATGGTATGTTCTGATCCATCGGCCTCACGCTCTAGCCTATTAACTTTCCAGGATCCGTCAAAGGGCGCGGGAAGCTCAGTAAGTCGGCCGTTGAGCGAGACTATCCATCAGATACAGATCGCACACGATCAGTCTCGCCTCCACCCAAAGCAACGCCAAACATGCGAATCAACACATTACTCAACGACGATGCGCCCATGTCCACACCAGCCCCCAGCAAAAGCGCTAGCCGTGCCAACTGGTCGCGCACAAAGAACGGTACAGGGGGACCGCGCAGCTTCCGATCAAAACTCGACGCAAACGCCTCCCAAGACGGCCAGTCACCCTCAGGCAATGCCCCAACTTTCTCCGGACCGCACGGCTTCTACCTGCCCCTCAACGGCTCCGACCCAGCCCACAAACGCACACGGCCCCTCACCCAACACCAACTAGCAGTCGAACAGTATCGCCGGCGCCGCGTCGACGTGATCCTCGACCGCGGCCTGCGCGTCGCCCACAAAGCCGCCGCCAAGCGCCGCCGCAAAGCAAACCCCTTCCTGCGCGCCTGGATCCGCTGCAAAGGCATGGCCGACGGCTACGACACCGACGACGACCCGCTGGCCCCGCACACCGACGACCACGGCACCGCCACCCCACCTCCGATGCCCGCCGGCCTCGTGCCCCTCGATTTCGGCGGCGAGGTTAACGACCATGGCGAGGAGTCGCACCACCGCGCCAAGATGCTGCGGCGCGCCCTTCGCCGGCTGGACCACTGGGAGCATGGCCGGGCGGGCGCGAAACGCGCGCGCTACCGCGACGACGTGGATTCTGAGGACGAGGATGAGGATATGCTGGATGAAGAAGAGGAACGGCGCGAGGAGATCGAGTCGGAGGATGAGGATGAGGAGATGGAGCGATATTGAGCGCTGGGGCTGGGCGCGTAGGGAACGCTGCTTATTCTTGGGGCGCTTGGGCGTTTGGGGATGGTGCTGTTTGGGCTGGAAAAGCCTGTGCAGTGCTGTAAGGGTTGGTGATAGCGATGGCAATGGCGATGGCTGTTGGCAGGGGCGATTGATAGTGGCGATGCCGGTGATGGGCAGGTCTTTGGGGCAGGTCACGTGGACATGAAATGATACCTTGAGCGAGTAATAGAATGGGGGGATTGTCTTCTCTACTCCGGTCTGCGTGCTTCCTTGCTGTGTTGTTCAGGCGTGTGGAGAGCTTTGCACCTTCCCTTGCTGAGTTCTCGGCTGTTGGACGTGGAAGGCACTATTCTAGTATATTTGTTGACAAGATGTATCTCTCACGTTGCAGAATGAACGGCGGAATCAACGGCGGACTGAGTATGTAAGCGAAAAGACCACGCGATAGCAATGTAAGGGAAACACTAGAAAACGCTATAGAATGCTTTTTGGCCTACAATGTAGGTAGTGCTTAACCAAACTTTAGCCTTGGGTATTATGTTGGCTACAAGTGATGTATCAGGTAAACTTCACTCCACAGTACCCAACTTATGAAGCGACATGGGCGCTGTGTAGTCTTGACACAAATTTCCAACTATTGACCTTGACCAGTTTATACGATATGCTGTGTGTGCACGGCCAGATATTGCCCAAGTTGACCGTAGACGTGCACTTTTTGCAGTCGTCATGCCTATGGACTCAGCTCGCCCAACGCGCGGCAATCATGCTTTCCACATGTCTTTCATTTTCGATGTACCGCTGGTTTTCACCACCACTTTCAATATCTCTTGGGTCGTATCTGCACTTTTCGTTTGCATGACGGCATGCACCACAGGCCCCATGCGCGGGCCCGCTGCACTCATATCCGTGGATCTTACAGCGGACACACTTGGAGTGTTCAAAGCCCTGGTTGCGTCAGATAAAGTCCTGGGCGACGTACGTCTGAAATCTTATTTACCTTTCTAACAGCTCGGAGTCTGTTGGTCTAACATGCGGTATTAGCAAATGCATCCAAGGAAGGCTGGGGACACAAACCGCTTGAAGATGGTCCTTTTTGCGCTGTTCAGTTATGTTCTTCCAGCGCACTGGTCGTTGCTCCTTCTCGCTCTCTCCGAAGGCTGATCCAATGAGACCGTCAGTCCACACTCCGCCTGACCCTTCACTGTAAGAATACCCCACTAGCTCTCCTTCACTCGGATCGAAGGTTAAGACCAGAAATGGTGTACCATTAGCTTGATGTCCTGACATGGAGAAAGTAGTGAGGGTCAGCTGAGTGGTATAGCATCTCGGTAGGGCCTGTTTGGGCTGGAAGAGGTTGAAAGATCGAACAGTGGAGGCCGTTTGTTGGATACGTGCGAATTGCAGGCTTTTGAGTATTACTGCATAATCGATCTTGTCGTAGTGTACATCTCCGTGTACGTGTTTGGGGAGGTTTATCAAGCGTAGCATGGCTTGGACATCATTCTGCAGAACGATCGTGTCCTTTTCTGAGACTAATAAGCGACTAAGGTCTGCAGATATACCTTCAGATAGAAGGTAGTTCAAATCGTCACTGTGCGATCGAATGGCAAGATCCATGTCGAGGAGCAGATAAGCAAGGTGACCATCCAAACCAGCCAAGTCGAGCAAAGGCCACTGCGGCAGATCGTAAGCGAAGTATGGATCGCGCCCAGGTACACTCGACTGAGAACGAAAGTTCTCGTAATCCGCTACATCTGGTGCATACGGTGACTGTCGGACGCAACAGTCATCTACCCAACAATCCGATCCAGCAGGGTAGACGAAATCCATGTCTTTGAGCTTGTCAAAAACCTGAGCTGCTGTAGGACGCATACTTCTTTCCGCTTCCAGCAACATCTGGCAAACATAAGACATCAACAACAGCTCTCGACGCTGAATACCGTGCTGAGTTTTTGTCTGATTAGAGGCAATCTTATGACACCAAAGCTTCGTCGCCTCGTGATTATTGGCGAAGCTGTTTATGCATGAGCCATTGATTTGGTAAAACTTTTCCACGCGATTGAGGGTGTGGCCGCGCAGACGCGATACAATCTCGAAGAGAACACATCCTAGGCCCCAGATGTCGGTTAGGCGGCTACGCGGGTCTTGTTCGAATACCTCGGGCGCAGAGTAACGTAGTGCATTGTGAATTGGACGACCGTATGTGGTAGATGCCGCGCTATCAGTCGTGTCGCGACTACGCATTGTTATTCTTTCCTTGTTACAGAATGACTGCTGAGGATATAGCATACCAGAATCCGAAATCTGTTAGTAGAATATTTGACCCATGTACAAGAATGTTGTTTGGTTTCATGTCATCGTGCCTGCATCATGTTAAAATGTACAGAGCGTATTGTATCCGGGCCAGGCCTACCTTATCTTCTTCTCGTGCAGGTAAACGAGAGCAGAAGTAATGCAGCCAACGGAATGTCGGAGGATGGCCATTTGAGGAGCACTCATTGAGTCGCCGTTCAAAAATTCCGTCAGATCCATGTCAGCCACTGGATAGAGAAGCATTGATACTGACTCTGTGTCTGTGTAAGAAGCAACAAGCTTGATGCAGTGTCGATGCTGAGCACGTCGCATGCCCTCAAGCTCTCGTTTGAAATTCTGCATTCGTTCAAGATTGCTGTCGGATTTCTTCATCCGCTGCATGGTCTTTCGTGCGTATAATGCTCCAGTCTTGTACCGTACGCTCCAGACTATCGCCAGGCCTCCTTTGCCAAGTTCCTTGAGCTCTTCCAGTCTCAGAGATTCCGCATCGTCAAGCGATAGGTGTCTGCCAGGTAGTTGCAGCGGGTCTTCATCGTAGAGGAACTCGTCATCTAGACAGGCTTCTTGAAAAGTACTGAAGCGTTTGGCATTCTCTTTGCCCAGGACGACTTGTAATGTCTTCTTGGTGAACGGTATCCACAGATCCGTTATGCCTTGCTTCAAGAGTTTCGCAAAGAGGTTGACTTGACCGATCTTCCAGAGCAGATAGTACAGCTTTGGATTGTCGCTCCACTCGACTGGATGTTTAGCTTTGCGCAACAGTTTACCGATCTTTGCACAGTCTTGGAAAGTTAGATGCTCCCCTATATGATGCAAATGGTTCTCAAGTAGATCTGCAGCAGAGCCGCTTGGAATAGGGTCGTCGTCCGTAGAGTAGATGCTGTCCCTGTCGTCGTCCATTGGAACAAGCTCGAGCTAGCTGGAACGCAATGTCGAGAGTAGGCTGACGAGCTTTGGTGAAAACAAGATACATACATGTGAATCTGCCAAGCATGCAATGTCAGCGGGGTGTTGCATGAGTAATCCCAGCTCAGCCTGATCGAACGAAGTTCACCTCGAAACTTAAGAGCAGGGCACGAGATTGAAGCCAGAGGAAGATCAAAAGAATAGACGCACAATGACAGGAGAAACTATTGTGGCAGCCGCAGAATAGAGCTAAGGTTTGTCCGTGGCCACTTTTCAGGCCCCGAATATGAAGCTGTGGTTGGCCTGATGTGGAAGGAGGGGTCACGGACGTGTAACCTCAGCCTTGTATGAATGCATCACAACTCGATACAGTAAAGAACATTGGAAGTGTTTTCGTTTTGGATATTCATTAAATTCATAGCGAACAATCGCTTTGTGTAACTATCATCCGGCTCTTACAAGGTGTACCTGAAGCCCTCAAGACCCTCGATGATCTTGCCACCAGCATCAGCGCGCTTGTTGGCCCTCCAGAACTTCAAGTCCATAAGCAGAGCAACCACAACGATGAGACCAGCAGCAATCATGCAAGCAGTGATGCCGGGAACGTAATGAGGCGAATCCTGAGTTCGGAAAACAGTGCCTCCGATGATACCGCCAAAGCCACCAGCACCGACGAGAGTAGCAGAGCAAAGAGCACGCTTCCACTGGCCGCGGATGTTGTTCGCCTGCCATGTCAAAACGGCGGGAACATTGGAGTTGGCGGCGGCGGTGGCGAGGAAGACACCAGTGTAGCGGACGCCGACGTTGCTGGAGAAACCAATCATGGGGAGGCCGACGAGGGCCATGACACCGTTGGCGATCACCCAGACTGAGCGAACCCTGTACTTGTCGCCGAGCCACGCAAAGCACATCATGACAATTCCGGCAAAGACGTATGGAGGCGCGATCAGGCAGTTGGCTGCAGCGGTGCTGAAGCCCATACCATCCTTGAGGATGATAGGCAGGAAGTAGGCGATGGCATAGGTAATGGTCGTTGTGAGCATAAAGATGACAGCGAAGCCCCAGACCTTAAGATCGAGTGCGTTGCTGAGGTACTTCTTGAGGTTGAACTCCTCTGGAAGGGCGTCGTGGCGATCCTGCTCGATGCGAGCTACGATGAAGTCGACCTCGGCCTTGTTGAGAAACTTTTTTCCCATGCCGGGCTTGTGGGCAAGCTCGGGGAAATCGACGATAAAGTACCATCCAATGAAGCCGATGAGTACAGTGAGAACACCCTGGAGGATGAAGATCCAGCGCCAGCCAGACAGACCAGGTCCGAAAGAGACCGGAGTCAGGGGCTTAGCCTTTGTAGGACCACGGTGAACACCGAGCCAGGGGGCGGCCTAAAACTTGGTCAGTATTGTAGCCCTTGAATAGTTATATCAGATAACGAGAAACTCACCTGAACGCCATGGCCCTGGAGGAGGGAGAAGAGATAGCCGAGAATTCCTGAGAAGGCAGATGACAGCATGCCGATGAGGAAGAACATGGTGTTGCGCTTCTGTAATTCGTATCGCTTATACCAACATGAAAGTAGGTAAGCTGAGCCCGCTTTCGTCTGTCAGAATCTCCAGTGGGTAGTGGGGGGGGGGGGGGGGGGGGGTCTTACGAAAAAAACCAGCTTCGAAGATACCAAGCAGCAAACGAAGAGGGATGAGAGTGTGCCACTCCTTGACGAACCCGAAACCAATCATGACAGCTCCCCAGATGATGACGATCGACGGGAGGAAGACTCGTGGGCCAAGCTTGCGCAGAACAACAGTCGCAGGAGGCTGCAGGGCAACGTATGTGATGAAGAACAACAAAACGATAATGCTGTAACGCTCGCCAGTGAGCTTGAGATCGGCACCCATACCAGCAACCATAGCGACACCCAAGTTGGTCCTGTCCATCAGAGAGACACAGTACATGCAACCGAGGGTGGGAATCAGGCGGAAATCGACCTTTCGGATGATCTTCTTCTGCTCCTCGGGGGTGAAACTGTTGATAGCATCATTGTTGTGCTTCGCCGAGTCGGAGGATTCGACGCGCTCAATCTGGTTGGTACCAATCTTCTCTTCCATGAGAGACATGGTGGAGGTAGTCAAACTATTGAGAAGTCGAAGGCGAGAGAGGACAGAAGAGATGTCAAACACAAGCATGGACGAGGGTGACAAGCCTCATATACCCCAGAATCGTCTCGATTCACAATAGTCTACCCCAGACATCGCCCCTCTTACCCCGGAGTTTATAGCGATACGGGGTCATCTAATTCCAAAGCAGGTGTTTGCCCGATGCTATGGTATCGGGTTCCCCGTGCTTGGCAGTCGACGACTGAACTCGATGGGCCTGGGGTGAGGAACCAAGACCCACCAAGTGTGGTAGCAAAAGCATGTTGCGATCTGGACCCAGCAACGTGGCGGCGATGCCTCCGATCGTCACGAGGGCCACGTGCTTGGCGCAGATCCGGGGTAACGCTAGTCCCGATACGGATAGACTAAGCATCAACAACGTTAGAATCCGGGCAGTGCTAGGATTATTGGAGAGGTGCTAGGAGGATGCGACCCATGTCGTTGGTTGTCTGGGGAAGAGTCGTGGTTGAGGGCTACGCGCTAGCGAGGTCTGGACCACGCCCCCCGTGGGTGACCCCAAATCGAGAGCAGTTCACAGCGACTGATGCGGCTGCCAAGTTACAACTCTGGTCTTTAGCGACCATGAGCAGTGCCGTGATCGAATGCCGCTGATGCACTCGGAAGCTGTTATAGGCGCATTGCATCGGTCATGTAGCCGTGACCACCTCGAATCGATCGGTGTGATCTCAATTCGAAATGCTGCAGTGGACATACGTCCCAGAAAGCAGAAAAATGTGGACACTGTAATTTGAGAACTCAAGAGGTCACGCCAAAACACAATGACATTTTTTGACGTGGTAGGTGGTACAACGAGGAGAACACAAATGTCCCGCCAGCCACCGACAGGTACCATTGACGCCCAGTGCAAAGCCCGCCGATATACCCAAACTTCACACAAGCTGCATATTTCAACGACATCGATTCTGATTCAGAGACCCTTTCACTTCCATCCATGTCTTGCAATTACTTGGTCGTATAGATAGCGAGGTTGAACGTAGGTAACAATCATCGACACTTTGAGATCTGAACATCAACTCGCCGCCATGAGGTCGCAATCGCACTTTTGCCGAAATATGCCGTTTCACTTCGTGTGGCTTGACGGATGTTGCACCGTCAGCGCGTCTCGTCAGACGCAGTTTCCCGCAAGCTTTGCTCTTGGATCTTGGCGCGCTACCGACTGCATGACCTGGGGGTGGCGCTCGGCGACTATCGAATTGCTGCGCTTGCGATGGCAATCTTAACACGATGGAGTGGCATTACAATTATGTGAGGCCTAGAGTATGAGCGCAGTTGGAGTGAGGCATTGCGGTGGCGATTGAGAGAAATTCTTCGATCTCGTTCTGAAGACCTCGAAGCTCCTCACTCAATTCGAATATCGAGTCTTGGTGGTTACAATCGACCGATCCTGACGTTCGGTCATTACATACTTCTATGATCCATGACGCCGTGCATCCACAACGCCGCTCCCGCAGACTTATCTGGGTGCCGACAGCTATCATAACACTTCGACGAGAAGCCTGCCTCGGCAGGCGCTGTACGTGAGCTACCAAAGACAGCCACACGGTCCCCTCTCGAGCGGTAGTATTCCGCAGTGCTGTGGTGATTCCGCTGTGAAGGTTCATGTAAGTGCGCATCAAGGAGCAAATTGTGGGAGGAACAGCTGAGACGTGTATTGCATCATGATAAGATAACAGAAGATATGACAAATTCGTCTCCAGATTACCAGATCTCACAAAGTAGACTCAGGCTCTTCAACCAAACCACTTCGTTATCTTCCCCCAAGGTAGTAATGTGTAAAGTACCGTATCCAAGCACAATGCTTCGAAATGCCAGTGCCGTCATTTTACTAGAGCTCTTTTGACTAGTAGATCTCCCTATGCTGTGGAGTGTGGAAATACGTGATGCGTACTGCTTTGTTGTGGATGTCAGCATGAACAATAAAAATCAACGAACAATTTCAAAGGCAGCTGACGGGTTTGACACCAGTGCTATCCATGTTTGTGTTACAGGCTTGCCCGACTCACGTTTCAAGAAAAGCAGCGGATAAGCAATCTTCAAACTGACCAACTCCAACGCTCACCTTGTAGCCACAATCACAAGTTAAGCTAGATCTTAGGTAAGCATTTCCTATATTGTAGGCAAAACCATTCTACAAGAGCTTTTGCAATTGTTTCCTAACATTCATGTTGTTGCGTAGTAGACTTGGCTCACATCCTCGGTCCGCCATTGATTCTGCAACGTGGGAGCCCGATACACTGAACTTAGGCGATCTTCTAGCGTTCCGGGCTCTTAACCTGAAGAGCCACAGAGACTCGAGGGTCAGATGGATTAATGACGAAACTATCCACGCGCGTATCTAAAGGAAAAAACAAGCTTACTCTGAGTCCGTTGAAACATTTAAACTGAAAACCACAATGTTGAAGCAATAAAAATGAAAGTCCCTTGTCCGATCTTGGTGTTAGATCATTCGGACACAGTGAGTCACCTAATTCTTGAGAATAGGTCCATCCAATTTCGCTCCCGCCATCCACACCTGGTACTTCTTCGTACCCGAGTCATAAGAAACGATTATCTTGCCATGGTAATCGTTATCGTCCCTCGATGTATTCAGGGCATCCTCGGTGTTCCCGTATCTGACCAATTTCGTGGCTGTTCCAGGTAACAAATCGTCAACAAAGTCCTTCATGAACGGTCCTGTCTTCACGAACTTGTCCCCGTTACCTGTCTTACCGTCCCAAACGGCGACCATTGACTGCACATTACTGGCCGCGGTGAAAGAAGACCTGACATTGGTGAGAGCCTCGAAGCCTGTCGTAGGGAACACGTCGTCGACATCTGACTTCACCACAGCTTCGGGCTGGTATAAAACAGCCTTCTTTTTCTGTGCGGCGGTGAGCTTGAAAGAGGCGCGGCCTTTGCCTGTCATGGGGTTGGTGAAGGCATTCTCAAACTGTGGGGGCATATTGTCGAACGATTGATCACCGACTGTGTGCTGCCAATGGTGTGACTGTGGCAGAGAAAGGTCAGTGTCTAGGCGTCTGAATCTGCGAGATTTAGGAGGTACTTACCATGTAGACACCCAGGTCAGAGACCGCGACTACAGATGTACCTATTATGACTTAGTTGATGCTCAATCCGTGTTTTCTCGGTTGCGGACTTGGTGGGTGTCTCAGTTGGTGTTCTTCTGAATCTTCAACCCTCCAAAGTCTGAAGGGTTGCAGAACTGAAGATCGCCTGAACCAATCACTTTGTCCCATTTTGTGACTTACATCCCATTAGATTCTTCACGGTCACGAACTTAGTGCCTTGTCCTAACGAAGTCCACTTTACGAAAAAGGACGTGGGCTGGTAGCCGTCCTCTGGCAGATGCAGGACCTTAGGAGATGACGCCCACACATCCTTGGTCCATGCCATAAGACCAGCTTCGGTCTTGGATGCGGGCTCAGAAGTAGCAGTGCGCTTGTAAAAAGTAGTACTGCGGAGGGAGGAGATGTCTCTGGTGGTCTTCTTGCCACTCTTTTTGCCGCCTTTTGCATCTGTCGCTTTGCCACACTTCTTACAATTCTTAGGTCTGCAGCCCTTTGTGGGATGAAGGACTTCCCAGTTTTTGTTTTTGTTCTGACTTAGGCACTTGCCTGCCTTCTTCTGTTCAACCGTGCACGTCGTGTCCGCCTTTCCCTTGGGCTTGGTCTTTGGGGTTGGTTTCGGCTTCGGCTTCGGGTCTCCCTTAATGGTAGTAATCTTCTCCGTGGTCTTGATTTCGATGCTCGGGGAATCTGCTGTCTTCCTTCGGCGACTACCTCGACTCATTCCGGCCCTGGCCTCCAGAGCATCGTGCGTGTTGTCTGTGGTATACCCAAAACTTGCATCAATTGACGCAACGAGAGCAATGGGCGACGTGGTATCGGAGGGGGTGGAGGTTGTCGTGAGAGCATTCTCATCTCTTTGCTTGTCGATCACCAAAGGTGTCACGCCGAAGAACAGGAGCGACGCCAGGAATGCGTTGGCGAGCTTCATCTTGATGGTCAAGGTGTAAATTTTTGGTCGAACGTTTTGTTATATTCCGGAAAAGATTGACGTATTCTGACGAAGACGCCCACAGGGCTAATCGAATCGAATGAATGTGAGAGATCAATGTGGTAAAGAAGATTGATTTGCTGGTGGATAGCGAAAGCACTTGTTTTGGGTTCTACTTATACCTTCTTGTGCACCAGTGCGTGGTCATCACAGGTACTTGAGTATCAATTACAATAGTACCCTCCTTCGGACTCCGGAGATCATTCATCACTTCGGATCAACGCTCTGTGGCACTTGCTCTTCAAAAATTCCCACCTGAACATGTACAAAATCTCCAGATGCATCAAACCTCCAGCAATGCTATAAAACCTATCTCTTTCAAAGCAAACGCAAGATATTGTACTGTGTACTCTACCGTTCCGGGTGTATAGGCATGAGGCTTGGGGCCATTCTACTTCGGTATTCTCAGATACATTCTCGTGCCCTGTAGTCGATATCTGAATAAACACATTTCTAAAATTCCGTTACCTTGGTCTGGAAGAATCATCCCGATCATGTCCGTTGTTTTGAGGCAATGTATCAACTTAAATCGCCCAGTGGAGCAGTCCTGAGCGAAGCTACTCCACTGGGCCGCTCAGGTGTGAAACAGACGTGTTGACCGGTGGGGGGTATTGAGCGGCGTGGTACTGCCCAGAGCATCGAAACTCGGACGAATATGTAAGCGCTAGTCCGTATTTAGGTAGTGCATTCCCGCCTACTGCGCCGCCCAACCACCGCCAGAGTGCCATTGAATTGTTGTACAAGAACTGAACATATATGGAATTTCTTTAAAATAAAAGATCATTTCAATCACGATAACGTACCAACAAAGCAATCAAGTGCATTCTTCAGCTACCATGGCTCAGGCGATTAACTCGACTCAACTCAATCAACCCCTGCGGCTATCACCGCTCATCTCGGAACCCCTCTCCTCACACAGTGTCGAAACAATGCTGGCTGCCTGCCGCGCCGCCATCGCCAACGGCGACGACGTCAACGCCCTTGACCCAGAACCACACATGGGGTTCAACCACGGGCGCCCACTAGACGCCTGTCTACGACAGACCCGTATGCCCGGAGATAAATCCATCATCGAGAACCTACCAGTCATCGAACTCCTCTTGGAACATGGAGCAGACCCCCGGCTGTATTCGAGAACGGTTGGGCCGCAATGTATTCCTATGTTGCTTGCGATAAATTGCTCTACTCAGGAAGTGACAGAGGAGGGCAGAGAGTTTTTTAGACATCTTCTCAAGATCTTCGAGGAAGCTATTGAACGATTAGATGCAAAAAAGAAGGAAGAGGAAGAGGAAAAGGCCAAGCTCGAAACAGAGGAAGAAGCGAAGCTAAAGACAGAGGCAAAAGATGATGTGTAAAGTCATCTCAGATTTCTGCGACACCGCTCAGATCAGGGTTAGTTTCGTACGTTGTTGCTGCAAAGAACATCGACTCACTCCGTCTATTGTTCTGACGGTTAGTCCAAGCTCTCTACACTGGTGGGTGTTCTTGAGACATGCCGGCAACCTACAGGCTTGGAGGGTTGTCCAACTAGTAGCCAAACTTCAAAAGTGTACAAGTCTCGATGTACGCAGTAAGGAGCCTATGTTGTATCGAACGATCCCACTGTTCTCAGTGATTTTGGTGAATGTTGTTGTTTGATGCTGCAATACGTACTTTACAATATTGGTGCTACAGCGCTTACTACTTTATACCCTCTTATGAAGTGTTTTTAGCAATTTGACAACATTGAAACATGGAGATGGTAAAGGTTCATCATATAGATGCGTAGTAAGTTTGACTCGTCGAAGGGACGGAAGATGAGAGACATTGCTGATGATCCGGTTCCAAAGCTGCGTGTGTAGCTGTTGGCTTAGTAACGTGGTTGAGATGTTGTGGAACATGGTGGTTTGCAGTGCGCGATGGAATAATTGTGCGATTCTGGTGATCTTTGGAAGGTCGATGAACTGCATATAGTTTCGAACAGTAAGTTCCGAGAAGCATCGTGATGTTGCTCGGCAACACTCAACTGTGTTAATGTGGTCGTCAGGGTGGTGTGAGGGAAATACGATGCTCGGAGATGGTTCGGGATATTTCCAGCGTTGATGTCGCGACACCACGAGGCCGAAGATATGCGTTGTTGATTATGACATCCGTTCGATTTGATAGCAGGCTTGCTTCTTAGCTATCTCCCAGGACGAATTGTAGATGCTGTTGGGAAGGGGTCGCCCCGTAGAAATGACTAGAGTCACGTGACGTCTTGCAGGGACTCAATTCAGCCTGAAAGGACTTCGACGAGTTTGGCAGACCGGAGAATCTCAGTGAAGATCGCGAATCCCCGGATCCTGATAAGTTTCGAGCTGCCTGCGCCCCCTCCGCAGCAGATACTCAATCGTGCCGAAATCCTTCTTGCCCACCCCTAGATTCCTGTGAAACTCAGCTCTGCAGACTATTGTTAGCCACCGTCTCTGCAAATCTAGGTCGCATGTCTCATACCTCGCGAATTCGCGGAAATGCGATCGCGTTTCCTGTCATCGTTAGTACTTCGTCGCGCGACCAGCATCGCAAGGCTGAGATGAGATGTCATACCGCGGGCTTTTCCTTCACAGCGCGTAAGCACTGGCGATATAGCGACAGCACGTCGCGTTGCAGTCCTGAAAACCGCACCATGGTGACTCAATGGTGTCGAGAAATGTGCGAGCGATGAAAGTTCAATAGGTGATGTCAGCATTCGAGGTCGAGCTCGGAGTGGCTCCGCGCGAAGCCGACGCTTTGGCCACTGCTTGTCGACATTTGCGACGACGACAGATGATGCTGCTGCGGGTCACGAAAAGTGTCGTGGAATCGGGCGCGCTGTGCAGCTGCGAGCTGGATCTGTGTAACCGGTTCTCCCACCGGCAGGGTGCTGATATGCAGACCCCGCAATGCCAACACAGCCCGCAGCCACACGCTGAACGTATCGAAGCCGCTTATAAGCAGTACTGTTCCTGTTTGTAGGGCACTGGCATCTGGGGCTTGTTCTTTGTATTGTCATGAGAGTGTCTTAGAGAGAAGAGAGGCGCTGCCTCACGATGCCTACTCTTGGGTAATCAATACAGACATAATGCGAGTACACTGATAAATTAGAAAATACATAAGCCCGATTTGCCGTGTTCGCACGTTCGCAACTTAGTCGACGAGAAGGATCAAACCTGCCCAAATACCCGAAGTGGAAAAATTGATTGTCTCTGAAGCCAGCACGCAATAAAAGAAGAAGAGGAGGCCGAGGGATTGCTACTCGCCATTTTAGAACATGTCGACCTGCGACTGCTCTCAGGATCCCTTGGAGGATTCAGGGTCTTTCAGGAACGGTATTCCCACTGCCACACATTATCGCTTGTCTGCGCATCCTCAGATTGATGTTGGCTCTCATATTGGTCCCACGTCGAATAGGGGTGAGGTGGAGAAGGGCCCACGCCTTCCCCGTACGGTCCTTCCTCGTCCGTCACCGCAGAGCACAGTGAGGGAGTGTGGCTCTCCGGGAAAGCCGCCAAAGCTTCTGAGTATGAAGTATAGCCGTGAGGTGGCGCCGGAGGGCCATTGTCTTCGCTGTGGCCTGAGATCGTACTCAGGCACGTCTCGTGTGTTTGGGTCAGCGTGCTTCCTCGCGAACGATCGGATCGAGCTGCTCTTCGTCAGTCTATGTTGTTGTAGGTTGATGTGATCGAAGCAAGAGGCGGATGGAGGTGGACGGGTGCCCTGATGGAAGACGCCTGGAAGGAGATTTGCGCGTAAATCGTTTGATACCGAAAAAGATGAAGACATGAAACATTCTACTTACTGGATCCGTTACGATGCCGAGCCTTGTTGGAGCGTTGGCGTTGGAGCTCAGTGAAGCCAGCTTTCGAGATGTAGGCGTGGTCACGTAGTGGATCGCGCGCGAGTGCTGATGATGAAGTATGCCAGAGTCTTCCAGCGTGGCTGTGCGGCAGTTCATAGGTGCTAGGCGCAGTGGCGTCAGACTGCGCCGTGGTAGCCTCATCCTCACTGACATCGACGACGTTCGGATAGATTGGGAAGGACCCCTTTCTGGACCCCGGAGGGAAGTGGGCGCCTACATATTCGAGATAGGTGGCATCGGGTACGTTAGACGGGGTCGGCGTCACTTCACCGTTTCTGATATGGGCTTCTTCTTCGCGCCTAGGAATCCGGTGAGGCTCAGCCTCAACGAAAAGAGTGGACATTGTCATAGCCGCAAGGCTGATATTGTGGGCGCTCAAAGCGGCGGTGAGTGAGACGGGAGGCGGGCGTGTGATGCGGCCCAGAACAGTCAGCCACTAGGATGGCTCGACAGAACAAGATCTGTCACGACGTGAAGACAGACTCAAGTTGAAGAGTGAGGATGTTGAGAAATTTGGAGAAAGACTTGGTGCTATTATGATGGACTTAAATACGCAGTGGGATGGTGAAGCGACTTATACCAACCTACTCAGCGACACTCACAAAGTAGGATACATGAGCGAACTACACACCGATTACTTAGGGGTATGTGCGCGATCTCAGTATGTTTCAGAGACACTGGTTCCCTCGGTCGTTTGCCATATGAGAAGATCGATTGGCTCAAGATGTAATGACTACCGGGAAATAGTCCGAATGTGTCAAGGAATTGGAGCCGACAGGAAAGGGCTAGCCCTACCGTTTACCATACAAGTGGGAGCTGGACGGGCCGCCGGTAGAGCCGCACTGGAGACAACGCAGCCGAGGCGTTACCAGGAGCGCCTGTTGCGCCGTGTCCGATGCGTCGGCGCTTGAGCCCTGTCTCCGAGAACCTCGAGCAGATTGGGGAGGATTGGCTTTGACCACCGTTCCTGGTCATTCCGTGGTCAGAGTTTGGACATCGACTGCATTAGGGCTTATATGCAAGTGGCATCACTTTTAGCTGTACTACTCTACTTTTTTAGGGACAGCCGCGTACTGAGGTTTTGAATATCGCGGACAAACAGGACCGATGGGTCAGGTGCGTCGGCGCCTGTTTGCGAGCAGGTGACATGCTCAGATTTGGGGAGCAGACGCGGTCGTATCCGATAGGGAATACGCCCCAGCTCTACATTCAAGATGAAATGCCAGGCCTAAATTTAGTCGTTGTAAACACTGCCGTGTGTCTATTGGAACCATTTCACGGTTCCGGCGTAGTTTATGATGGTGATGGAGACGAAAACCGACAAACAGACGGCGACACCTCTCCGAGAAGATCGGACCGGGGCACTGCAAACAGCAAGCGTGCATGATCTTTTAGGTGAACAAAACGATCAATTGGAGAGCTTGAGGGAGAACGCATCGAATGCAGGGTCCGTTCACCGGTTGCACGTGACTTCAAGCCACTCTTGCGCTGCCCAAGCCACAGTCCTGAAGGACTTGGATGCCTGCGATTGCAAAGACACCAAGTAAACGATCCCACAGTGCCGCCTGCGTCGATCCCCTCGCCTGACATCTTTTCAGGTACATGCCAGCATGCAGCAACATCGGCTGCACGAGCGGACAGACAGAGAGTACAAACGCTAGCAGGCAAAGACGCAGGCGAAATTAGAACGTTCGGCTGGCGCAGGTAGCCGCTTGGTGGTACCGGACCTTGGCATTTTCCAGATACAGAGTCGTCCGAACAATCGAGGATGCAAGGCGGCGTTCGCGAAACTTTTGCTACAATACGTCAGTCATGATTGTTCTTCCCGTTGATGAGGGATGTGGGCACGGTAGAGAATGCGGAGCGTCTTCTTGGATAAGAGGAATGTGTGGAAAAGCGGGGTATCTGCAGATTGTAAACTCGGGGTTGCCGACTGTGCATGAAGGCTTGACAACAGAAGCCAGCCATGATGCTGGGTCAGCAAGGCTGGCGTAGCGTGAATCTCGAAATTCCATGCATTGTGATGCCATATGCCTGTTCGAGGCTGATGAGCCGTTGTGTTGCACTGTTGCAGTCACATTATGCATTCTCTACTCGTTCGGTTCGAATGGGATGAGGAAAACTTTTGATTTCATGCATGTTCGCAAGTATGGTATCTGATCGTCAATCCGAAAACGCCGTGCCGTGTCAATGCTACGTCTCGCACGTTGGTGATCGGGGAAAGTAGAAGAGGCTCTATGCGCCGTTGCGGAGAGATCTCCTCTTTGCGACGGCAGTGGCCAATTCTTCGAGCACGGTCTCAGTATCTTCCCAGTTGATGCAAGCATCTGTGATCGAGACGCCGTACTTCAGGCCATCCTTGCCCTCCTTGGGTACCTTCTGGTTGCCTACAGTCTTCGTTAGCATGCAGTACTGTTGTGGTGCGGGGACATCCTACCCTCGTTGATGTTGCTCTCAATCATGACACCCATGATGCCAGTCTCACCAGCAGCGATCTGCTCAGCCAGCACATGTGCAACCTTGGGCTGGTTGTTGTGGTTCTTCTCGGAATTGCCGTGGCTGCAGTCGATCATCAAGCGGGCGTTAAGACCCTTCTTCTCAAGAGCCTCGCGCGCCTCCTTGATGCTGACCTCATCGAAATTTGTGCCCTTCTTTCCACCACGCAGAATGACGAAGCAGTCATCGTTGCCAACAGTGCCAACGATGGCGACAACGCCAGGCTTGGTGACAGAGAGGAAGTGGTGAGGGTGCTTGACGGAGCCAATGGCGTCTACAGCAACATCAAGGGTACCATCTGTACCGTTCTTGAAGCCGACAGGGAAAGACAACCCAGAGGCGAGCTCACGGTGGAGCTGAGACTCAGTTGTCCTTGCGCCAATTGCACCAACACTAAGCAAGTCGGCCAAGAACTGGGGAGAGATGGTATCCAACATCTCGCTAGCGAGGGGCATGCCCTTCTCTGTCAAGTCAACAAAGAGCTGTCTCGATACACGCAGGCCCTTGTTGATCTTGAAGGTATTGTCGATATCCGGGTCATTGATCAGACCCTTCCATCCAACTGTTGTGCGGGGCTTCTCGAGGTAGGAGCGCATGACGATGAGGAGGTCATCCTTGTATTTCTCCTTCATCTGGACGAGACGGTCGCAGTACTCGAGGGCGGCTTTGGGGTCGTGGATCGAGCAGGGACCAATGACGACGAGAAGCCGGCCATTCTTGTCACGGCCTTGAACGACTTCGACTGTCTCATTGCGGCCCGTCAAGACGGTTTCTCTCGACTTTGCGCTTTGAGGAATCTCGCTCTGGAGCAGATCTGGAGGTGTGAGGGGGTTGTAGCCGCGAATGCGCCAGTCCTCCGAGTTGGCGGCATCGCCAACTGACTTGTTCTCAATGTAGAACTAGGTAGCTCGTTAGAAAGAGCAACTGGTGGGGTAGTGGGGTGATCCTAGCAGGTGTGGAGACTCACAGACATGGCAGCTCTATTTCTATTCTGCGGAAGAAGTCTTGAGGGTGTGATCAAGAGACAATTGCTGGAGGATAAACTTTTATCTGCCTCTCAGCCCATTTACGTAGTTGTGGGGCAATTAAGAGTCAAGCATGTGTGAATAATGACTGTCCGGAGTCGGCCCTCCTGTGATTGGACAACCCCGGCGATGCGCCGAACGCTTGTGTCTGGAATTCGGACCTCAATAAGGCGACAATACTTGGGTCGGGCCTAGACTGCCCTTTCACGTTTCGTTAATGGCATGCGCCCAAGTCGTATATTCCCAAGATCACCAATTCTCTTTGATGGCGGTGCTCACACGATGGCCATTCGTTGTGAAGGAGGCAACACCAGCAATTGCTACCCAAGGAGTCAAAGACGCACAGCGCTGAGGTCGCACAACGCACCGGCCTCTTTTTGACATTTTCAACCGCCGCACCACACATCTATCAAAGCTCTATCGTAGCTCTATTGTAACTCACAGTCCCATGTGGCGACAACATCTCAAGCTTGAGGCCAACACCTAGGTGTGCTAATAGATTCACTAACATGCAGCTATATGCGGTCATAGGAAATACTCCACATCGACGTCATGGCTACATATCGAAAGAATGATCACGTAGTGTATGAACAGCAGCTCTCTAAAAAGTGTTCAATATTGGCACACACGCACACTCTTATTATCAACACCACCAGACACTCACAATGGGTGGCCTCGACTTCGCCTCCCTCTCCACGATCCCTATTAGCTACGCAACCTGCTCGCTCGGCTCGCCGAACTCGCCACCGCCGCTCCTCGACCGCCTCGATGCCATCTCCAAAGCCGGCTTCTCTGCCGTCGAGCTTTCCTTTCCGGACATCTTGTCCTACGGGCAGACGCTGCTGGGCCACGAAGTACAACCCAAGAACTACGGCGAGCTGGAGAAGGTTGCGACAGAGATCAAGAAGGAATGCGACAAGCGCAGCCTAGGCATTATGATGCTGCAGCCCTTCGCCAACTTCGAAGGCTGGCCACAAGGCTCGGACGAGCGAAACGACGCGTTCGAGCGCCTGCACGGCTGGATCAGAATCATGCAGGCCGCAGGCACAGACATGCTGCAAGTCGGGTCCACGGACTCGCAGCTAGAACAACTAGACCAGAGTCGCATCGTGCCAGATCTACAGGAGCTCGCCGATAAGCTGGCGCAACATGGATTCCGCGTTGCCTACGAGAACTGGTGCTGGTCAACTCACGCCCCAGACTGGAAGCACGTGTGGGACATCGTCCAGCAAGTCGATCGCCCGAACATCGGGCTGTGCCTCGACACGTTCCAGACCGCGGGCGGCGAGTGGGCGGACCCACGGACCGCGTCGGGGCTGCGGGAGGACGTGTCGAAGGAGCAGATGGAGACGCGGTTTCAGCAGAGCCTTGAGGAACTCGGTAAATCGGTTCCCAAGGACAAAATTTACCTGCTGCAGATCAGCGATGCGTACAGAGTCCCGCAAGCGCTGAAGGATGAGCGTGATGGTGACGGCTTGCTGCCCCGTGGCCGGTGGAGTCACGACTTCAGACCGCTGCCGTACAACGGCGGCTACCTTCCTGTCGCAGACGTGGCACGTGCTGTGCTCAACACCGGCTTCCGGGGATGGTTCAGCTACGAGGTTTTCGACGGCGGGAAAGACGGTAAGAGTGGCGATGTCGATATCGTGGCGTATGCGCGTGCGGCAAAAAACGTGCAGGAAAGACTGCTCGCTGAGTGCGCTGGCGAGAAGATTCCAGAGGAAGTCGCGACACGATAAGCTGTCGACAGCATGACGTCACGTGGTTTCTAAAAGGCGAGTATATGTGTAACGGAATATATATCAATGGTAACAAACGAACTGAATCAACTCTCTCCTCCCTGTACATCAAACTCGCATCCCCTGCGCAACAACATCCGCAACAATCACCAGCATCAACGTCTTCGTAACAGTCATCCGCGATCTAACTTTCTGTCAGCATTCCCCTCAACAGATGAGTCCAGGGTAAGGACACCACCCCGTCTCCTTCGGCTTCCCACTCCCGCCCGTAGCCGTCGGCGCACTCGTCTCCGCGCTCCGCGCCTCAGTAACAAGCGTCGTCTTCGGCTCTCCACAGTACACCCCCGGGAACGGATACGGACAGCGCGGATCCGCCGAGAGAATAGTCGTGTGCACCGCCGGCAGCCCGTGTGCCATCGACGACGGCCGCGCCGCTAGCGACGACGAGGTCAGCGGGGCTGGACGCGACGATGCCGAAGCCATAGAAGACGGGGGTTCCGCGTAGCTACCCGCAGAAGACACGGTCGTGGTCGACGTACCCGTACCTGCAGCTTCCGACGACGCCGCCACCTGTCCCGCAGTAGAACGCGCACCCGTCGAGCCCGGCACGCTCGCTGTGACGGTGATGTGCAGCGTGCTCGTCAGCGCGGTGGGACTAGGCAGGCGCCCGGGATCGAAGATAATCGGATCGGAGGGCGCGGCTTGCGAGGGCGCTGCGCCGATGAGGGAGAAGCGCGGGGTGGTCATTGTGGATGTGAAAACTGCGCTGTTGTTCGCGCGTGGAGTGGGCCAGGCGAGCCACGGTGCTGTTGGCGGAGCTGTGGGGGTTGAGGGCGTGGACAGGGCAAGCGAGGAAGCGGGGATACCTGATCCGCAGCTCCCGCTGGATGTGGAGGTTGCGTTTGGGTAGGGAGCGTGGCTTCCGTTGCTTGGGGCGGGGCGGAATGCGGTTTCCGTCGTGTGGATGGTTATTGTCATGTTGCGCGCCATCGACGACACATAAGGAGATGACGAGTGTTGAACAGTGGTTCTGCTCATTGCAATTTTGGTGTCGGTAAGGGAATACGATACTTCATCGTGACCTCCGTGACGCGCTATGACACGTCCCGAAGCCATCTGAGCCGCAAGGGCTGCGGTAAGAACTACTAAAAGCATGACGTTGGTCAAAAATTTGGGTTCCTCGTGTTCTTGAGTTTTAAACAGAGTCTTTCGAACTATTGAAGTGCGAAGCAGAAACGATATAAGGGAAGCGTCCTCACACACTGTGCGAAAAACACCAGCTCCACAGAGTTCTTGAACATCACAACGTCGATTGACGAACAACACTTTCTGGCCTGAACGTGAATATCACAACTTCACATCCCCGTGCGTGAACAATGCCACACCCCGTGCCCCCACAACACCATGAACCGTACTCCGAGATTCCTAACAACGCCAAAGAAAAAATATTCCGCCATCACAGCCAGAACCCGCGCCAAAGACATCTTCCTCCCCCTCTACCGCCAACGCCGGCGATCATGCTTTCCGTCCTTCTTCTTCTCCTTCTCCATCTCCTTGCCGCTGTCGACGGTGTTGGACCCAGCGTCAGCGTGGTGCCGATGAGGGATGCGCGACGCAACACCCTTGACCCTAGCTTTGAGCGCATCGCGCTTCCTCTCTTCTGGCTCTTGAGGGTAGGGGCTGGGCGCGCGGCGAGATGAGAGGAATTTCTCGCTGTAGTTTGTGGTTTCTGGGGGCTGGAAGCGGATGTGTGACATCTTGAGAGATGTGATGGTGAAGGTTGGGTTGTGAGGTTTTGGTACTGCTTTATGGGATTTTGGTCTTGATTTGTGAGGCTTTGAGATGATGAGGGGGTTTGGAGAGGAGAATGGTGGGTTTATGTATATTCTCTTGAGTGTCAAGAGTATGGGGATTCTTGGTTGGCGGTGGCTGAACCATGAATGGGTACGATACTGGAAAATGGCTTCGTGGAGGCAGACCCTGGGATGAAGACCTCCAGGCTGGGAGCCGTTGGTTCGCGTAATTGCCCACTTGACTGGGGCAAATGTTTGGGAGCAATACGGGTTGAGATAGCTGTGACACAGTGAAGTGAGCTCCTATCAAGGACATTATCACAGTCATGGATGCAAGGGTCAGGACGTACCACTGGACTCGAGGAAGTATTCAGTGTACTGTGTAGAAGACTATTTTAACGCTGCAGCCATTATGATCCTTTCAATTACTTGTATATTCAAAGCATGTTTCTTTTTAAGGACACGCCTGCGGTTCCAAAGACGGACGGCTGGTTGATCATCATCAACGACTTGGTACCTACAACGCCAAACGCTCACGCTAAACCTTTCAACTTCAACGACATGTGAACTAAGCCTCCGTCTCAATTCCCCCACCCCCACCCCTCTCCTTATGATGCACCATCTCCTTGACCTTGTTCTTTCCCCGGTCTGCAGTGTGCTTCATCCACGCCAACGTTCTCGGTCCCTTCCACTGCATCAATCCCCTATTCTTGCGATGCAGATCCTTGTTATGCTGCTTGTAATCCTTTATCTGATCCAGCGTCCCTCTCTTGCCGTCGTCACTGAGCTTGCTGTCCGTTTTCTTGTGTTTCTGCAAAAAATCCGGAGTGATTTTCTGCATCGTGGATTTGTCCTCATCCTCGGTATCAGATGACGAGGAAGAAGAGTCGTTGTCGCTATTGGAGCTCTGGATGTTGGGTGCGCCGGAACCATTGGTTTCGTCCCAGTCGGAGTACTCCTGGTCGTTGCAGACGTCGAGGACCTCCATGACGTTCAAGAGGTGCTTGTCACCCTTTGCATAGTCATCGTGGTAGCCTGATAGCCCCGACCAAAAGGTTAGTGTCATCTCGATCTGGCCCAGCTTCTCGCCATAGCTGTCGAGTATGTTGTGCCTAGCGCGATTCAGATCGCCCTTCCAGACGTCGAGGCGGACGGTTTGTTCTTCGTTGTCAACGAGATCCTTGAGCCATAGGATGCCAAAGGCTGGGCTGTGATCCCGTAGAGTTGCGTCCTGGCGGAACTCGACGACTAGCGGTGAGGCATAACGTGACTTCACCGGGAGGCGGATGGCGCGATCTCCTCGCGATTTCCACATGGTGCCGCCCTCATCCTGCTGTCTGACCTTACCATCCCTGCCCCTTGAATGGAGCTTGCCCTTACCGAGGTTCGTCGTGACCTTCAACCTCAAGGGCGCTAGATCTTGAGGCACATCTATGGCCTTCACGACAGGCTTGATGTCCAGCGTGCCGTATTCCCAGCCTTGAAGCTCGCGTGGCAGCTTCACCTGCAAGCTGCGGAAGACCAGGGAGACGCGGGCGCGTCCATAGCCAACTCCACCAGCCAGCGGGTAGATGGACACAACCTGGCTTCTTTCCTTGAACACCTTCTCAAGCGGAAGATAGATAATGCCGAGCAGAGAATCGTCTTCGTGTACTCGAGCGTCACGGACGGCAATGTGAACCTCGGTATTGTGTACGTCTCGAATAAAACGCTCACAGCCGGCGTTGAAGAAGGGCTTCGAGTTCTTTGGCTTTGTGCGTGTCTTGAAAACTTTCTTGTGGTTGATGATGATGGTGCAGTACGATGATGGTAGATCGCCGCCTTGCTCCTCTTCATCGCTGGCTTCAGCGTTCTTGTCACCCTTCTTCTTGTTTAGTGTCTCAAGCTCCAGGCCGGTAATCTGATGGATTTGTACGCTGAGAATGCCAGAGGGATAGTGTTGCGCTGGCGGTGATGCAATGATGAGCTCGTCTTGGCGCCCTTGGAAATCTTCTTTCTTCTGCTGCTCGACTTCGTGCTGATGATCAATGCTGGCCTCGCGCAGCTTGTTTTCTGCCTCCGCAAATGACTTCTTTTTCAGTTGGTCAATGGTATTGACTTCGGGGTCCTCTTTTTGTATCTCCAGCTGGTCGTCTGTGATTCTGGTCTTCGAGTAATATCCGACACTCCAAGCAAGCTTGCCTGGCATGCCTTCACCCGCTTTCAGGGCCTTGAAGCCATCTTCGCGATCTTGCATCTTACCGTTGGTCTCGGGGCCTCTCATGATCCCTTTGAGATCCAACTCAATACGGCCAAGATCATCATCAGCAGTCGTCCGGTCGGAGTCCCACAGCTGCACCCTCAAACGCTCGTCGACGTTCAATTCATCGGGAGTAACCAGGATGTAACATTCCTCGTTCCAGTACGGTTCCATATTTTTCTGCAGGACACGAGTGGACCACATAGGCTTGCCGAACTTGGCCCAACCCACTGTGATGTACGGGTCTGCGGACCCTTTTTTGAGTGGACCCAGCCCAGCATCGCCCTCCTTGAAGTCAAATGCATGATGGATACGCACTACCAGTATACCTTGTGCAACTGTGTCTTTCTTGAAATCGTCACCCATCATCATGTCCTTCAGATTGAGTGTCAGCGACTTCGGTGCCACGTACTCAGCCAGTGCGGCATCTATGGACGATTGTACGAAACTCGAGATAAGCGGTACATCCATAAGATTGGGGCCTTTCTTAATGAGGGGCACGCAAGAGAGGTTCACTTTGGGCTGACCCAAGAACGAAAGTGTGCAGACAGAGAAGAACGGAGGATCGGGGCAGAGCTGTAGTCGAATGCGCATTACGCCAACCATACCGGAGAGCTCGACCCAGACAGCTAGAAAACGTTAGTCATGAAGAGACGACGATTGGATACCTTCAACTTACGAAGCTTGATGTTGCCAGGAAGATAGAATGCAAGGTAAAGGTGGGCATTGTTCGCTCTTGACTTGATGCCGTGGCCGGACGCTGGTCTGTATGCAAACCCGATTTCCATATTGACGAAGTCGCCCTCTTCTGCCTCCATACTATCCTGTGGGGTGTCGCCTCCACTCTCGCCATCGTCAACAACAGTCCTATCTCCCTTTTCTTCATTGGCGGTCTTCAATTGTCCGTCAGCGTCAACCGATCTTGCAGCCGCACCAGTCGGCAGCCATCGCACTCCCAGAAGGCGAAGGGCTTCACTACCCTGACCAAGATCTTCAACTGCAACCATTCGGACCATGCTTGGCAAAGAGGCCTGCATAACATCCTCCAGAGTGTCGGAGATGCTGGTGAACAAGTCAGGGTTGACAAGGGGCCAAATGGATGCCATGAGCGAATTGAGCCACTGCGTACTTTCGGCGGTCTCGCTCTTGGCCAGCTTGCGTCCTTTCTGGCGCTCTGCCTGCCATACTTCAACGTCCCATACGTTCTTGATCTTGTTGTCGGTCCACTGTCTCATGAAGAGGATAGTGCCTACAGCAATTCCTGCTGAAAATGCAAGCTCAATCAAGTGGAAGAACTGCTTGGTCCAGCCAGACGAGTTGCGCGTGAACCAGAACAGCGCTCGTACGCCCAATAGGCCAACAGTGATCATCCCAAGTCCAAATTCCACAGCTCGCCTATAGACCGTTGTGATCTCTTGCCGTGTATCATCGAACTCGGGAGGTGGGAACAGGACCTGCATTGCTTTGTGCGAGTTTTGTGAGTCCTGCCGGTCATCCTCGAGCATTTCATCTGTCTTCTCCATCCCACCAGTGCCGGTCCGAGTCTTTGGCTCAATCCCTGATGGCGGTTCGTTCTCTGCTGTGCTCTTGAGATCCTTGTCTGTGAAGTCGTGAATTTTGACGGGCAAATGTGTCACGGGATCTGTGACCTCCCGTTCCGTGCCGTCGGCATTGAACTTCTTCATGGACTTCCGCGCCTTTTTGGGATCTTGTTCGGTCATGACACCCTCAGTGGTGTCTTCGGCCACGGCATCAGAGTCTTGATCTTGGGGCAGCTGCTTGTTGTTCTCCGTCGCCGTGTGCCCAGCATGGTCCGGGGCCTCTTCTCTTTCCCTGTGGATATTCTTATTTTCTGCGGCGTAGGGCTGGTCACCCTCGATGTGTTGTGAGGCGCCATGTGTGAAGGCATCGTACGCATCGCTGATCCGCTCGCGCCTACTCCGTCCGTCTTCGGTTTCTTCCTCCGCGTCTGAGATGCCGTATTGGTCCTGTCGCCGTTGCTGCTCTTCGCGATATCCCTGAATGGTCGGTATAGGATTATGCGCAGAGTATGGCTTCTTGTGCGACCGGCGCGCACCTTCGATGTCTTCGACGCCTGACATTGCGGCGTTGCGTGGTGTGGGCGGGACGGGCTAGTGTGTGGCGCGGGTTGCGTGTGAGAGGCGGTGTTGGAGGAGTGAGTGGCGTGGGCGGTCAATTGCTCATAATGCGGGCGGTTGTGGAGTCGTCGTCAGCTGGTGGTTCGTTAAAGAGAAAGTAATGAGCAAGGATTGAAACAGGTCGTAACGTCGAGGGCAGGATGGACCCGCAGAAGCTTGGAGGCTGCTCGTTTCCAGCTGCTGGAGCTGTCTACAATTGACGTAGGCTAACGGTCCCTGACAGGCTACCTCCAGGATGTTCGAACCTAGAACAGCTGCTTTGCTCCACATGCTGCACGTTATTCGTCCCGTTAGGTGCCGTCGTGCCGTTTCGTGAGGCTCGATCGTCATGCAATGACGTCGCTTAACACTAACGCGCCACATCATGTCGCGTGCGGGGAACCACCAAAATCCATGGAAACATGCTTTGCAAAGGCTTAGCTCTGCAAACAGTGTACAGTAGCGGCAGCTCTCGAGATCATCACTGTAACATACCCCCGTCTGCAGCTATCGTTGTTGCGCAACTCGTCAGCAGTCTTCGGCTCGGTCGGCCGTTCCCTGTGTCGATCGTGTGGCACTGTGGCTGCAATCCACTCACTACGCGCATTGAATTGCTACTCGGCCTCAGTCGACAGGGTATACATTAATATACAATCGTATGAGTGAAATAATACTTTGCAAGAAAGGGGTCTCCCAAATGCGTCACGGTCTCTATTATTGGTCATGGCGCTTCTGAAGCGCAGGCACAAGCATTGCCAAGGGGTTGTGGGTTGGGGAGTGTGGAGTGTGGAGTGTACAGTAAAGTGTGGACTGTAGACTGTAGACTGTAGACTATAGACTATGCTGTAACCTGTGTGCTATAGACTGTGGGCAGTCAGACAAGTGAGCGCAGGAAGCCAGCGTGCCGAAACCGTCCCCGTGGGGTTTAGAGACAGTCTCTCTCCATGTCTCTGTATGTGTATGTCTCTCTCTCTATGTGTGTGCCATAGACTGTATCTGTGGACTGTCTCTGCGTAGCGTAAACTGTGTGTGCTGCTGGGAACTGTAGACTGTAGACTGTAGACTGTAGACTGTGCATCACCATCTCCATATTTCGTACACGCCGCTATCGTATATTGTACACCCCCTGCACCCATACACCCCTACACCCATCCATCTATATCCCGCCATCCTTGCATCCCTCCGTTCAACCATATCCATGCACCCCATCTCATCCCTTCATACACCCCCCTTCACGCCCCCCATCCGTCAATCCCAGAAACCCCCAAACCCCAGATCCTCAAGCCCTTGAACCCCTTAACGCCGTGCATAAAAAAACGATGATGTGAATATGTGTGTGTATGGTATCGTGGAAGCGGGTCGTAGCGTAACGTGGCGTATAGTATCGTACACGTGCGGGTATATGCACCGTTCCATCTCATTGCCTCTTCCGCGGTCCTCGTGCGGTCGTCGGTCCTCGATTGTCGAGGCCTCGTTGTAGCTGTAGCCGTAGCCGTAGCTGCGATTGTTATTGTAGTTGTCATTGGGGTATCGTGCTCTTGCACTTCTCCCGCACCACATTCCTATTCTATTTGCACGACTGGCGATGGAAAGCATGTCCGGCCATGTGTCGTGATGGCCAGCGAGCCGTGTGTCGCGTGCTGTGTGCTTGCTTGCCGGCTGCGTTTCTTCGGGGGCGGCGTCTGCGTCTGCGGCTGCGTCTACGCCATGTTCCCCGCAAGCCCCAAGAAAAGCGCCTGCGCCGCGAGCTGCAGCGTCCAGATGCCGACCTTCTTGATGCGGCGCTTGCGCACGGTGCGGTCGTCGAGGACGTCGCGGGCGAAGGCGTCGTACATCTGGGTTGTGTTAGCACAGTTCATGAAGACTCTTTGTTCGTTGCGGTTCGCTTCGTTCGTTGTAGTTCGCTTCGTGCACGACAGTTCGGTCAATTTGACTCCACTGCAGCGCACGACGCTCACTGCGTTCACTCCGCTCGCTCCGCTCGCTCGCAATACATACCTCACGCGACACCTCCTCCATCAACCCACTATCATACAGCGTCCACGACCCATCAAACTCGCCCACATCCTTGACCACCCTGCAATTGACCGGGATAAACGTGCGCTTTGAATTAATATACGCGACAATCGGCCTCACGAGGGCATTATTCACATACGAGATATCGCGGGTGAAGATCGGAACCGCGGCGCGCACATCGTTGAGGGAGACGCGCAGATCCATGATAACAAACCGCGGGACCTCGGTGGCCTCCGGGGGCTCCTCGTCGTGCGCGTCCGCGAAATGCGCCGCGTGGTCGGAGAAGTGGTGCCGGATGACGCGGCCGTTGGCGCTGACGGTGGCTTCGAGCGAGTCGTACATGGCGCCGATGACTTTGGCGAGCGACTCGGACGAGTCGGCGGGCAGCATGATGTCGGCGACGATGTCGACGTTGCCCTCGTGGATCCAGGAGAAGGGCCCGTCGTAGCCGGCGTTGAGGTGGTCGATGGCGAGCGCGTCGATGCGGATGCGGCTGTGTTTTTTCCAGGTGGAGGCGGCGTCGGCGTCGGCGTCGCGGCCGTCGCGCAGCTGGGTGCCCGTGTAGTTGTGCGTCTGGCGCGGGTGCACGGTGAACAGCGAGCCGTCGTAGGAGCCGGACATGAGGTCGGCGGACAGGAAGTCGTAGAACAGCCACTGCTTGCGCAGCTGCGGCAGCTCGCACGAGTAGATGCTGACGGGGAAGGGACGGAAGCCGTCGGGCTGGTGGATGGTGACGAGCAGGTCCTCCATCTTGAACGAGTCGAGCTCGAAGTCGCCGGCGTCGTGCTCGTGCTTGTAGGAGCGCGGGTCGACGCCCTCGACGGTGTGGACGGCGGTGCGGTCGATGACGCCGCGGATGCCCTTGATCTCGACGTCCTTGAGCAGGCCCTTGCCGTTCCACCACTTGGAGAAGGACAGGGTGACGTTGACGGTGTCCATGGACACGTCGAACTGGGTGTAGTTGGTGTCCTCCTCAACGACGTCGACGCCGTCCTTGGCGGCGATGGCGGCCTCGGCGGCGGCCGACGTCTGCGAGCCCTTGCTGACCTTGCCGCGGCCCTGGCCCGGGCGGCGCGAGACAAAGACTTTGCGGAAGGAGATGACGCCGTCCTTCCACTTGGGCACGACGGCCGTCTCGAAGACGACCTTGATGCCGGACGACTTGGTCAGGTAGTTGCCGATCCACTTGGCGAGCGTCTCCTGCGAGAAGGCCGTGTTGATGAGGAACACGGTCAGCATGAAGAAGGTGGTGGTACCGAGGATGACCCAGGCGACGTGGGCGGCCAGGATCCACGAGAACAGGGCGTACAGCTCGTCGGCGTTGAAGTTGCGGTTGCTGCGGATGGTGAGCCACTTGAAGCGCACCTTCATGCGCGACCAGAAGCCGGACGCGGCGGCCAGCAGCTCGGCCTTGGAGGGGCGGTAGAGGTGTGGGACGTGCGGGAGGCGGTCGAGGAGGCCGTCATGCTTCGCGTCGGGCGTGGGTGCGGGTGTGGGTGTTGGTGTGGTTGGTGGTGTGTGGCCAGACGTGTTTGCGTGCGAGGCATCTGCCGCAGGCGGTGTGTGTGTTTCCGCGCCCTTACTCCCAGGCGTGCCCGCGGGGGATGTGTGTGTTTCCGCGCTCTTGCTGCGGTCGGCGGGCGACGAGGCGTGTCTTCTCCACGCTGCGCGGGCGGCGACGGTGACGCTGGCGGGTCTGACATGTGACGGGTGGACGGCGGAGGGCGTCTTCAGCAGCGGCGCCGCGACGCTCGCCGCGGGCGTCCAACTCGCTATCGTCCGGCTCGGGGCCCATCTCCTCGTCCCGCAGACATCGAGGCGCGGGACGGTCTGGCGCAGCTGGGGCAGGGCGCGCCGCAGCACGGCGGGCGACGGGGCGGCATGGCGGCTCATGGTCGGCTTCGCAACCACATGGCTACGCGGGATCGGAGTCGCGGGCGTCGGGCTTCTGTTGAAGAAGCGATTGAGGAAGAATCGGGCGCGGGTTCTGTTCGCAGCGGAGCTCCAGGCGCGGTGCCGTTCACGTCGTCATGGGCTGAGGAATCTTGATGGGCGGACCGCCGGCCGCAGCCGCTAGCCGAAGCCAACCAACCCAGCGCTTGAAATTTTGGCTTATCGATAGCCCCGCCCGCGACTTCGAGCTTTTTGACATCCGCAGCACTCACCAGCACTCGATACCGCAGCACTCACCACCACTCAAACACTCCACACCACGAACAACCCACCATGCCTGCCCCCACCGCGCTCCAGCGCCGCCCCTCCGAGCTCGCCGCCGCCTTCGCCAGCCCCGACCTCCCCGGCGACGAGCCCACCGCCTCGGCCGCCCTGCTGGACATGCACGCCGTCGCCTCGGCCGCGCAGCCCGACGCGCCCCTGACGAGCGACACCGCCATGCTGGACGAAAGCGGGCGCCCACAGTTCGCCCCGAGCGCCAACACGCCGCTCGCCTTCCGCCGCGAAACACGCAAAGTGCCGATCCCGCCGCACCGCCTGACGCCGCTCAAGACCGCCTGGCCGAAGATCTACGTGCGTTTGCCTGCTCCGCACAGCGATATAACATATGATATGATATACTGATACAATCCCAGCCCCCGCTCGTCGAGCACCTACACCTGCAAGTCCGCATGAACACGAAAACCCGCAGCGTCGAACTGCGCACCTCCTCTCTCACCACCTCGCCCAGCGCCCTCCAAAAAGGCGCCGACTTCCTGCGCGCCTTCACCCTCGGCTTCGACGTCGACGACGCCATCGCGCTCCTCCGCCTCGACGACCTGTACATCGAGACCTTCGAGATCAAAGACGTGAAGACGCTGCAGGGCGAACATCTCGGGCGCGCAATCGGCCGCATCGCAGGCAAGGACGGCAAGACGCGGTTCGCGATTGAGAATGCGAGTCGCACGCGCGTGGTGCTGGCGGATGCGAAGGTGCATATCTTGGGCGGGTTTAAGAATATCCATGTTGCGAGGGAGAGTATTGTGAGTCTGATTTTGGGGCAGAATCCGAGTAAGGTGTATGGCAACCTGCGGACGGTGGCGGGGCGGATGAAGGAGAGATTCTAGGGGAGGTGTGTGTGGGCGTGCATTGCGTGTTGTGTGCAGTAGGGACATGTGCATTTCTGGCGTTCAGGGGGGGATATCCGGCGTGTTATGAGGCAGATATGGGTAGACACGAATTTACTTCTTTGTTCACATGCAACTCTGCCCGTTCTGATGCAATGCGCTCTGATCTTGTAGATTGACACGTCTGATGCACACATGTTGAGCTGCGAGATATACAGCGGCTTGTGCATGCGCAAGCGGTATGAGTGGCGACTCACATCCAACACAAGGAACCTAGTGAGTAGGAGTAATGGAAGTATGGCAAGGTATAAGGAGTAGGATGAGTAGTGAGAGAGCGGGAAGAACTACAAAATGCCTCCGTACCGCCATACCGTCATATCTTCATACCTTCGTACCATCATATCTTCACCCGCAACACCCCCATCAGACATCAACCCTCCTTCACAGCACCCCACTATACCTGCAACACCCCCATCTAAAACCCCCCCAACCCCCCCTATACTCAGACACAGAAAACCCTCACTACTGCATCACCGAATCGCGCCGAAGCGCCAACCCCAGCGTCAGCGGGCGCCGGGGCGCCTCGTCCACGCAGCACGCAGCGGCAGCCCGGCGCCGGCGCAGCTCCGGGCCAGACTATGACTGGAGCTTTGCTAGTTTCTTGAGGACGCCTATGAGGCCTGTTGAGCGTCAGTACACATCCCACACGTTTACTTTACTTCCTTCCCGACGTTATCGGGGGGAAAGGACGGAAAACTCACCAGTAGTCCCGTTCGGCAGCGTCGAAAGCGCGACCGAATTGCGATCGCCCACCGTCACCGTCTGCACGTGCGGCACCGCATTGTCCTCGCTCAGCTTCTTCGCCCACTTAAACACCACCTCGTCGTCGCGATCGTTGCCCGCGACGAAGAGGAAATCTGGCGGGGACGCGTGCTTGGCGAAGACGTGCTGGGCCGCAGTCGACTTGTCAAAGTCGATGGGCTCGATGATGACGTAGTCGCGCGAGGGGATCGCTTTGACGCGCTGCTGCTCGCACGCGTCGTTGATGTGGTTTGCGCAGTCGCCGGCGTGGCGCGTCGAGGCGTCGGGGTCCGAGGCGTTGTCGTAGCGGAAGAGGATCGAGCAGTGGCGCTCTTCGACGCGGCTGCCTTCGACGCGCTCGAGGTAGTATTGGAGGATGGGCTTGACCGAGTCTTTCCACTTGATCGTCTTTTCTTCGTTGGGGAACTGGATCCATTCGTCCGAGTTGGGCTCGCGCAGGAAGCAGCCGTTCTCGGCGATGATGCCCAGGTTGGGCAGGCGGTCAAACAGCAGTTCGGTCTCTTGGACGGTGCGGCCGCTCATGACGTAGACTGCGTTCTTCTTGTCGGCGACCAGCTCGCGCAGGACGTCGATGACGCGCTCCGTGTTAGTCAGGACAGTGCTCTTGACCGAGCCGTACGAAGCGAGCGTGCCCTCGTAGTCGAGGAGGAAGACGCGTCTCGACGTCTGCTCGTACGAGGCTGAGAGCCTGCTGGTTGACAACCGGGGGATGGACATAGTGTCGCGGCGGTACTGCTCCTCATGGACCTTGGCGAGGAACACGCTGAGATTACTGACCCAGTAGTCGCCGGTGTGGTGCATGACCTGGTTACGCAGCTTTGCGTAGCGCTTCTCCTTCTCCCCCTCGCTCATCTCCAGGGCCTGCTTGAACGCCTCGGCAATGCCGCCGTAGTCCCAGGGGTTGACAGCCAGCTCAGCACCGTCGAAGATGGACGCACTGCCCGTGAACTCACTGAGAATGACGGGCGCGTGCTTCTTGGCGCTGGCGCGGCCGTCCTGGCAGATGACAAACTCGTGGCAGGTCAGGTTCATGCCTTCGCGGAGGGAGGTGATTGCAAGAGCGTCAGCGATAGAGAGAAGAGCGAGGTACTGCGAGAACGCGATGTCTTGCCTGAGGAAGACGAGCGGGTTATGCGTGAGCGTGGAGTGGACTGCGTCGATACGAGTGACAATCTCAGACACAGTCGCAGCGAGCTCAGGATCCTCTGTTGTCGACGTAGCAACCTGGATGAGAACGACCTTGTCTTTCCACTGCGGGTTCTTGTTGAGGAAAAGTTCGTACGACAGCAGCTTCTGGCGCACACCACGGATGTTGTCGAGCTTGTCACGCGCGACAATGACCTTCTTGCCTTCGTAGCGCTTCTGCATGGTCTGTATCCACTCCAAGACCTCGGGCTCTTCGCGGGCGATGGCGAGTGCGCGGGGGTCAATACCAATGGGCGAGGACCAGACGTTGACGAAACGTGTGTCGAGCTGGACGCCCTCCTCGGTAGCTTCAACAGAGAGAATACGGCTGCATGTCTGGAGGAAGTGGTGTGCGTACTCGGGAGTCTGGAAGGCAACCAGGTTCGAGCCGAGCATGCCGTCGAGCAGCTCCTTTCGCGCAGCCAGGCAGCGGAAGACTTCCGACGAGGGGAACGCAGTGTGCAGGAAGAAGCCAATCTGCGCGTCTGGCAGCTTCTGGCGGATCATCTGGGGCACAAGACAGAGGTGGTAGTCGTGCACCCAAATAATATCACCACGCTTATAGTTTTTGACGACCTTGTCGGCGAACGCCTGGTTCACCTTGACGTAGAAGACCCACGAGTGGTCCAGGAACGCCTTGCTCTTGGGGTGGTCGGGAATGACATAGTGGAAGACGGGCCACAGGATGGTCTTGCAAAAATGCGCGTAGTGGCCGTCGAAGTCCTTGTCGCTGACGAAGACGGTCAGCGCGGCGTGCTCGTCCTCCAGCTTCTCGTAGATCTCCGACTTCTTCTCCTCGTTGATGCTGTCGGTGGGAAACCCGATCAGCCCCACGGAGAGCACGTCCTTGAGGCACTTGTTGTCGACGGCCGCGCGGACGGCGTTGGCCAGGCCACCATTGCCCTGGACCGCGGGCACAACTGTGTAGTCTGCGGCCCACCGGGGGTCTGCGAGCCTCTGCTCGGCGTGCACGGGGCCCTTCTGGCGCTCCTTGAGGATCTGCGCCCGCTCCTGTGCCTTCGCGTACTCGAGAATCGTGTCTGGCGGCGCGGGGTCGGCTCGCGATTGCGGCTGGTTGAAGAAGAGGCCGCTGCCACCCCACTCGGGAATGTGGGCGTCGCTGCGCACCAGACTCCGGGGGTCTTGCGGCTTGGGGAAGTGCGTCGCGGCGCTCGGCTGGGCGGGGGTGAAAAAGTCATCCTGCTCCAGCATGGACAGCGGCGTCTTGGGCAGATTTATGTGCGTGGGCGGCGCCTGCCGAAGGACGCTCGGCGGTTCCTGTGCATCTTGGAGGCTGTTCTTCGAGGATTGTCTCCCCGCGTCTATCAGCTTCTTGGGCGGGGCAGCTGAAGCAGGCGCATGCTTGGAGCCGGACTCTGCTGATTTCGACTCGTGGAAGTCTACTGTGTAAGGAAGAAATCTTCCCAGTCAGTCTGAGGCTGCATACAGAGCAGAGCGCTTACAATGACACCACAAAGGTTGTCATGGTGGGCGGTGGTCCGACGCACTGGCGGGGTCGCGGCGTCGCTTGGTGGTAACGGTATATAGGTGAGGACGTTCTTATGGCGGCTCACTCGACCTCTAGGTGAGTCGCAGGCGAAGTCGCAGGGGCGGTTCGAGGGTATAGGTGGCTAAGTATGCACTGCAGATGCGAGGAATCTGTGAATGGTCAAGCACTCCGCCCGAAATATATTCGCGACGCTGAGGGCGCGCGGGAGGGCATGACCTACGGTTAAGTAGTCACAAACGAATGAGGGTGCGCCTAGCGGGCGGAAGAGAACTTCCTTGGTTTTGCTGAGCGAATGCGAGCGTGGTTGAGCAGGGGCGTCTCCAACAAAACGTGGACCCTCACAAGCTTTAGGCGTGGGCAGGAAAACATTGGAGCACCCCGCGACGCCTGACGTCACCCACACAAAGTCGCAGATAATACCGCGCACACAGTGTCTGGCCGCGGACCGCTGAAATTGACCATCACTATATATCACGCTCACATGCAACCTGGCACCGCAGCGCCCAACCAGGTTGAAAACGTGGGAGTTCATAGGCAGACAACGAACCTCGCAGCTTCCCAAGCCAATCACGGCGGGCCGTTACGCTTACAGCCCTGCGCACGTTGGACGGCCTCGAGAGCTACCACTGTCGCCGAGAGCGACCGCTTCAGACGCTCGGCACACAGTGAGGCTCTTACACGTGGGAGACGGCGCTGAGGCGGCTAGCTAGGGCGATGTTAGTGAGCCATCGTGATGGCATTCTCTGACAATCCGATGTCTCGCAAAATTCTCGATGATAGGCGCATGCAGAAAACTCTGCTTGGGCGGCCGACCGGTTTCTTGCTCGCATCGACGTTTCAGGTATGTTCTACGCAAGACCCGCTTCGAGCTGGTGCTGGGAGGTTCTCGGGTCGCTGCCGACATGGCACGCTTTCTCTGTGGTGGACCCTGAGCGCCTTGGTTGGAGCGGCATGCTGCGCCGTACAGTAAACAAACAAACAGATCGTCTGGCGGAAATCCAAGCCGGAATTAGTAGCGGCTGGGGTGACAGAAGTTAATCAGACTCCAGCTTGTTGGTACAACTATAGTCTACAGCAGGCACACCCGCGTAGCTCCCTCTATGACGTGATTCATAACTTAGACGCGCCGAGCATCGAGAATGTTCTGTCTTAGCCAGCATATTGGGCGATTTCAGAGCCACGCGCGAGATCTGGCAAGATGCAGCGACGGTAGCACATGCTTAGATTGAACGGGTGCGTCAAATATGTACGCGAAATGAGACGTGGTGCCTGTCCGAGCACGATCTCTCGTCGGTGTGAATGATTGGGCGGGAACACTTTCCACCTACTGCCGTGTCGTGACTTCCCAAACAAGCAGGTTTGCTGCTTGCTGTCGAATGCAGGGGAGACGTTCCCACCAATGGTCACGCTGCATGTCGTGGTCGCTTGCTGGAGCTTCACGGACTCTGCTGGTTCTGAGACCACCAAGGAATTGCATGAACACGTGTTTATACATTGGTATTCAGGAGATGTATCTTGTGTGGAAATGACGGCGAGGCCAAGATCAATAGCATCGCTTGGTGGTGTTGCAATTGCGCCCTGGTGTTTCTCCTTGCATGCCAGAACTGTTCCAGCACGCATTTCGCAATCCCACTCCAAAGGCATGGCCACCATATCCTCTCCAGCCTCGCCGTTGCGCTGCTCGAGTATTCCACCGTCGAGCATCCCGCTGTGAACGCTGCCCGTATCCCCAATTTCTACGTGCCTTAGCGTATCCCAGCGGCCTCGGACCGATTGAGCCTTAATGACGCCTCCGAACATCCCGGTCATCTACCGGCTGTGGTTCCTCTGGATCGAGCCGGCCATGGCGTTAAATGGCGCCCGGTACCTCTGGGTTCATCCAACAGTATACCACGAATACATGCCCATCACCACAGCGTGGCATCGGGACTCTCGAATTGTATACGACCAGCTCGCTTCAACGTACATTTTGTTTGCATTCAACCAGGCTGTCACGCTCCGTGTGGTGCACGACGTGCACGTCTGGAAGGTGCTCCTCTTCGGGATGGTGCTGTGCGATGCTGGGCACCTGTACGCAGTGTGGGCGGAGGTAGGAACGCGAGAGATGTTTTCGCCAGGCAACTGGCGCCTTCAGGACTGGGTGACTTGGGTGACGACTGTCGGCCCGTTGTTCCTGAGGCTTGCATTCGTGCTTGGCATGGGCCTGGGCCACAGCGGAAGAGGGAAAAAGGGTTGGGCAGCGAGCAAGCCCTTACTTCAGCGGTAAACACAGGTCTGGGGCCGTCGTGTGAACAGCGAGATGGATGTTGTGATCCTTCATGTACCATGCCAATTTATCGACGCTTTGGCCCAGGTCGCACCGAGTTTCGTTCAACCGTTATTGTCATTTCTCCACGCTGCCATCCTTCCGCCACAACACTGACTCTGAGACTGCCATCGTTCGATACTTCATAAGTAGCATCATCACCGTAATCCCGATATCCTTCGAACAGGAACATTCGGGCGAGTAGCAGGTTGGCTTCTTGCAGGCTCCCAGAGCTTCCGATCACGCTATGTTCTCCGCGTTCGCCAGTAACGTGCATCACAATCTCGTACACAGTGTGCGGCTCGTACTTGTGTTCATATCGAGCACACTCTTCCAACGCTCGCCGGAGGTCTACTGGGTATGTGCTTACGTTCCCAGGAAACGGCCTTTCCCATTGCGGTACCGAAGGTGCTTGTTGTGGTGCATGTGGTTGCGAAAGGATCTGCAGTGGTCGAGGATGCGACGCGGTGTGGTACTTGGTGGTCGGCACGTTCATTTGCGTCGCGGCGGCATCGATGCCGGGCATGGCCTGCGGGACCTCAAGTCGCGGAACAGGACTGGGCAAGCCAGAGGTCCGTCCATCTCGACGATGGCGAAGCAGAAACGCCCGATGGTGGTCTAGCTGTGCGCGTATCGTGTCGCTCGTCTTCTCGAAGCATTTCGCCTGCACGCCCGGGCCGAGGTTTCGTCGATACAGTCTCAAATCTGCGCTGCAGTCAAGGTTCAGCAGGTTCCGTGACGCCGCAGACGCGTGCTGTCGTGTGGGCGGCTGCGCTACCGCCATTCCACTCATGTTGTAAAGGGACCAAATGCAAAGTAAATGAGACTAGTGAGGAGTGGACGAACACACGTCCGAAGGAACATGACGTGTTCGTTATGTTTTATGTCGATGCAAACTTTAATGGGCTGTCTGCTTCCGGAGTTTCGCGCACTCATGTGACGTCCTCGTCGACACGCTATGCGGCGCTAGGACCGACCGTACATAGTACCGTGCTCAAGCTTACAATTCTTGCTTGATGAGTCGCTTGAATCGTGCTGTGACGTCTGCCGCATGCGGATCAATGGTGAACGGCCTCCATGCACGCATTGCAGATAAGCTTCCATCTTCCTGCTGTTGTTTTTCACGAATTGCTGACTGAAATGTACTTCGGCCCCTTTCTGAGCTCGTCAGGATATCCAGGTAAATAAAGGTTGCGTTCGCTTGCTAAGCGACCATCGAAATGAGTGCTACAGATCGCGTTTTCTATTTGGCCGACGTGCGCCTAGCTATACTTGCAATCCGAGCCTGGAAATCCAAAGTATATACAACACCGAGGTGGACGTTGACGCCAAGTAAGATTCAGCATCGGTGTTTCGCATGTACTTCACAGTACAAACATCTTCGGCATTTATCTCTCATTAAAGCTGGTACACCTTGGGCAATGACGAATTGCGTTGACTCTCGATAATACCAAGAGACGTCCTCGCAGTATTCCACTTTCCTCCCAGAAACTTCAGCCTGGTCACGTGCGCCTGCGCAAACCCTTCCAAAGCAATACACAAAGTGGTGGCTGTGCCAGACACGAGCATCGCCATCCCGCAAAAGCCGGGGCGGGCGATTTCAGCCTTGCGCGGCCCAGACGTAGTCCAACGTAGAAGACTGGGGGATGCGTCCACGGGTCCACAATGACCGGTAAGGCGCGCAGCAAGGCTTGCCACGCGTGTCATAGCGGGGCCCAGTGCTGTCTACAGTACGTACGGAGTCACTTGCATTGCAACTGATAGGTGAAACATATCAATCATGAATTATTAATATTCCATCGATGCTGCACGCTGCGCTGTTCTGATAGCGGGCCCATGAGGCCGAAATACCTAGTGGATACGGGTATACCTCCCTTGATAAAAGCAGAACAACAATAATTTTGATGTAACCGTGAGGTCGTGACATAAGGGGTCGTTAATCGTGCCTGGTGATGCAGGTTGTATAACGTATTTCAGTGCGAAATGCTGTAGGAGCGAACAATGAAAGTGCACAGTATCGCTAAAGGCGTATCTGAGTCCACAAGGACTGAGGATAACGTTGTAGAAAGAAACTTTGCTGGGAGCGATGCAATTATTGCGGCATCCAGAAAGACATCAAGAACTTGCCGACGAGTCGTGCTGTGTACTGTGTCTGGTTGTCGGACGAAATACTAACAGCTCCGCGGTGCTGGAGGTAGTCGGCTGTGACGTGATTAGCAATTTGCCGGAGATACTGTAGACGAGGATACTCACTGTTCTCCTTTACCAACTGCGCGACCTGGCGTACAAAGCTCACGCTTGATGCATCGCCAAACCCAGCCTCTTTCTCCCAGTCATGGTCGGCGTTCAGCAGTGGGTTGTGTTTGCGGTTGTACTTCCATCTGAACACCTGCTGGATGAAATGCATCTGGGCATCGATGTCCCGATTGGCGTGGTCCGCCTGGGCTTGTGCATCGCGCACATCAAGCCCCTCTGTCGTCGACTTGGTCGTTTGAACAAGGTGGATCGTCTTTTGTTGATCCTCAAGCGCCATGCACATGCCAACGATGGTGATGAATGCAGCCAACCACTTGTCGCAGCCTTTGGACGACTTGAAGATCTGCTGCAGCTTGTTCAAAAGCGCGTTTTGGATAGTCCGTTGGATTCTGGAGAAGAAGTATTTGAGCTGACGGTTGGTCATGCGTGGTGATGTGTAGTCCTGGTCGTGCCCATTGAAGGAATGCATGCGTGCCAGCGTGGCGTATTTGGTCTCGGGCGCAATGGTGAGGGTATGCGACATGATGAAAGTGACGACGATCAAACGGTTGACCTCACGGAACAGTTTCTGCTCGTCTTCGTTCTTTGGCTTGACCCTTGTCATCAGTCTGAAAAGCTTCTGTTGAAAGTCGTTGTCGTCTTCTTTCCAGCAAAGCTCGCCAAAAGCATCCAGATGGTTGTCCACGATATCGCTGACATACTTCTCGTACTTCTTCTCTTCGCCGTAGTTGATGTGAACCATTCCCAGCGGTGGGCTCTGCTTCCGATACATGACCCGCTTGTTCGACCCTGGATCTGTTCGATACTGGATCTGGCACAAGAGCATATCGCCCTTAGGGATGAATTCGTAAACCTTGACTGGGATTCGAGGCATGTTGTCCTGACCACAAGTCATCATGACCGTGAGTTCCACGTGGTTCCATTGATGGATGTGCTGAGTGACAAACGCCGTCAGGAAAGAGTCTTCGTGCATTTGCGAGACCAGGTGGGGAATGAATGCAGCGCCCAAGTCGATAAGCTTGACACGTGAGCATCCCAATCCACAGTCGGCGTTTGGTCGTTGCGACCTCTTTTGGCACCTCTCGCAGGTATCTCCGGGTCCGCACTTGTCTCGTTGAAGCACACAGTGCCAGCACGCTACAATCTTTCGCATGTCGTGCGCAGATTTCGCAACTCTGGGGTCAAGGTGTGTACCTAGCGCCCGACCACCTGATTTGTTCATCATTTTCGAGGTGGATTCTCGTCTGAGGTGCTCAGGCTCCGGGGATACATCGAATGAGATCTCAGGAATAGGCTGCGCAGGCGACGCACTCCCCCTGGTCGATGACTGAGAAGGCGGGAACATGGCTATGTTCGGTTGATGTGTCGGTATGGTCTCGAACATTTCGAAGTCTGAGTGTTGATGTGAAAGCTTGCCGTCCGAACTTCCAGGGCTTGGCGCTGAGGCCTGCGGGCTGGCCGCGGGCTGGTAGAACGATTGCGAGTAGTTCCCAATCGAAGATGTAGACGGCGATGTTGGGATGAGCTGGTTTGGTACAATGTAGCTGTCTGTAATGAGGGCTGATGATGCATCGTAGTTAACAAAGCTGGTTTGATTCGGCGACTGCAGTGCTCCATTGAAGCGCATTTCTACTGGGCTTTGAATGAAAGACCCTTGGGATCCGCGATGCTGTGGCCGGTGCGCATAGTTCTGCGTAGTGAAGCCGAACATGATGTCCTGAGGTGGCACCATAGGCTCGCTCGGCGAGACGAGGGCGGTGGGATCAGTGAAGTTTGCAGTCCAGAAGTTGACGTCATCATTGAGGAAATCCGTGTACAACGTAGGGTCGGAAACGGGATCAAACATGACATGACCAGGTCGGGGAACCATCCCAAACCTTGAGGGACCTTGGGCATTCCACGGCTCTTGCTGGTGTTGTTGAGTTTGTTGATGTGGTTGGGTAGTGTAGTTTCCGCTGAAGAAAGCACCCTGAGGCTGAGCGGACATGGTGTTCTGTTGCTGAGCAGCTTGCATACTAAACTGCTGTTGGTAGTGTTGAGCCATGGAGGAGTTAAGAGCCTCTTGAATTGCTAGGCCTATCAGCATAAAAGTGTTCAAACCTCATGCCTAACTTACTGTGGTCATTGAAGAACATGTTTGAGTCCACAGCCGGGATGTTGTTGTGAGGGCTCTGAGTCGTCATGATGCTGGCGTCCTGTTGGTAGAACCGCCCGATGTCTGAATCCAGCATTTCAACTTCAAAAGATTCGTTATCCGGTGTCCTCACGGAAGTTGGGGAGTTTGAGAAGCTGCCATTGTCCCAGAATGATTGATCCGGCAGTTGCTCCTGCGGTGGTACTGGCTGCTGAGACGGGTTGCGGCTTAGGGGCGGCGGCGTGGTTATGAGAGGACCAGGAGAGTAACCACCAGGAGAAGAGTATCCGGTATGGCCGATCAACGACTCTGAAGGTGTCTTTGACCGACGGGCGCCATTGTGGGAAGACTGGAACACAGACTGCTCGTAAAGAAATTGTGGCTGATATGGGTACTGGGGAGGGAAAGCGGACATGATGCGCAAAGGATCGCTATGAGCGCCCAAGCAGGATCAGAGGACCCTCAAGCCGATGACTTTAGCTCCTGAGTTGCCTGACAAAATGATGCGCAGCGCTCGTTCTTCGGCCTGATGGCCCTAAGTGTGAGATCCGCAAAGATTCACGGCTTGTGATACTTCGAACGGGCCAGACTGCACGGTTAGCAGGCAGGAAGAGACGGGTGGTCCGGGCAGACAGAGGGCTTTCAGCACCAGTTGGGGGAGGATGCGCAAAGAAGAACCACTCCAACGCGGCTGAGAATGAAGAGTGAAGGATGCACGACTGGCAATTCCTGAGCGCATCTCACGCCCCACGTCCACCGGTGAGGAGGATGGCGCGAAATGCAGCTATTGGCTTAGCTGCAGTTGTCTGCATAGCACCCGGGTCGCACCAAACCGCAACGGACGCTCGCGCTGCGCTCCACCCGGAAGTTTGAATCAGAATTCGAGATGCAACTCACCGTCGTCGGCCGGGCTTGCGCTTGCTGATCGCGTTTTTCGCAAGGCAGTCAGGCTTCGATTTTGAAACGTACCGCTCGAGCGCTATCAGACCTCGATATTAGCCTGAGGCCTCGAGGTTCCTTTCGAGCTGCACTGCGCCTCGCTCGCTAAGCTCGGGTTTCATCAAAAGGCGGTGTTCGCGACGCAAATTGCAAGTCGCACAGCTGCTGAAGGCGAGGGAGAGACACAGCCTGCTTGCTGTTATTGTTTGCGGCTCTGTTGCAGCACTGGCTGACATTCACAGCCAGCATTTGCTGCAGGCGTGGGAAGGTGGCAAGTCTCAAGGAGCTGGAGCCAATGGTTTGCTCCAGGTGATCTGCAACAGCCCATGTCAGCCAGTTGACGCCAGCAGTGCCAGTGTCATGGGCACATTGCAGCCGTCGATTGCCAACGCACGGCTGCGAAACGTAACCGCATCCGCTGCGCAGCTTTTTGAGTTTTTGACATTTTGACAACTCTGAAGTTGGCAGGTTGTACATGCGTCGGTTTATCACAGACGTTGAGATGTTGTGAAGCCGTTGGAAAGGCACCGCATGTTTCAGGCTGTCGAGGGGTGGCTGTTCACCAACTGTACTGTACTTACGCTGACCGCAACTTTGCGAAGGTGCCTTGGTGAACGCCAAACTCAAGTGTAACGGTCAGCAATCAGATTTTGATGCAAAGATCCAACAGGCAACATCAAGCAACATTTGTGACTGCTTCAAGTGCTGGCACGAGCTGCAGACAAACAAAAGCGCAATTATGCCGATGATCCACTCTTTTATAGCAGTCACCCAATCGTTGGCCGCACTTGCTGTGTCACCCACTCGGACTTGCGATGCGCTCCACAGTCGGAGTAAACTTTTGACTTCGGAGTCATGAGAACGCGACATGAGCGTGCAATCTCAACAGCAGTACCTAGGCCATTGTACCTATTACTATTGCGCTCGGCTAGTATCGGATAGATTTCGACATGTCGAGGGAGCTCAGAAGGAACGGAAAGCCTAGAAGGTTTGTTAATATTCCGAGACATGCAGCCAGACTGACCAGATCCCAGCTGTGAACCGTGCAGGATCTCAAAGATTCGGTGCGATCACACCACACCAACATGCCAAAAATGTCAAACACGGGGCATCGCCGAGCAAGTGAGGGCGTGATCGTCATGAATGCGCTGCAACATGTTGACCATCAAAGTGCTTCTATCATCCGAATCCCATGACAAAGCCTGCAGGCACTCCACGCAAGAAGCCTGAGCCTCGCCGTCGAAAGCTCAGTGGGCATCCTGGAGGTTCTGAGAGACTTGCACCCTTGACACTAAGCCCTCCCACACTCAGAAATGATCTGGTCAATTCTTGGCCAACACCACCAGAGACCACCGCAAGAGCAGGGGGTACTAAACCTACCCAAGACCCTACAAGAGGGTTCTTCCTTGGCTCTACCAGCTATGCCAGCGTATTCGTTGAAGAGCAGCCACTGCCAGAAAGTGTGCACGAGCAACCGTCAGAGAGGACGAGTAGAACACCTTCAGTTTCTGACAGAACTGTTCTCGGAGGCCGCCATTGTCAAATCGGCATAGGCCACTCCGTCGTCACCAGGCTTCTGCCAATCTCCTTTTTTGAAAAGACTTTTAACATGTACTTTGAGCAACAGAAAGCATCCGCATTGATAGGCCCACTTGTCATATCTGCTCTGCCGCAATTGAGACTCGACCTGGCACAGCTCGCGAACACAGAGAACGACGTGGTCGCCATGTACGCAGAGATGACGAGGAATACTGCGCGACCAATGAGAGTACCAGCCAATATGCGCCCGTCAGAGTTTCACACGCTATTCACTGGGAAGAACTTGAGATGGGAGACATTGGGACTTATACTGGCAATCGTGTGCTCCAATGCGCAATTCACCTCACCACACGACCCAATTTTCACCCTTGATGATGGGACCAGGCTTGACAGAGATGAACTAATTGAAGATATGATCCATGCGTCCAATGACTGCATACACCTTTGCCAGATACACGGAGCTGTCAACGACATCATGGTGTGGCTAATTTACACAAACATGCTGATAATTAGTAACTTCTACGGCGACAATTGTACGTACCAAGCTTGCCGGTCTTCATCAGACAGCTAAGACGAACTAGATCATGGTACATGGCGGCGACTAGGTGATAGTGTGTCGGCTCTGTATGCCGCGGGTATGCATTGCGAAGCAGGATACACGGAGCGAGCCAATACTGAACCTTTGTTCCTACGCGAAGCAAGGCGGCGAGTCTATTCAGCCGTGTACCGAATCGACAAAACCCTCGCCACTTTCTTCGGTCGACCTCCCATGATTGGATGGCGATATAGCGACCGTAAACAGCTACTCGATGTCAGCGACGATGTCATCGTTTCTGAGGACCCAGAAGTCATCAACATGGCACTGTCGAGACTGGATGGAAGTGGCTGGAACACAGACGGTCACATTCATCCGTCAACCTGCATACGCTTACGCTGTCAGCATGCAGTCTTCAAAGAGCGACTATTAGAGCAGTCATTGTCTGGAGAGAAAGACAGTGACGTAGCTCACAACATGAGGTATGCCCAACAGTTTCAAGGGCTCACTATCAAAGACTAATAGTCTTGCAGAACGATATCAGCCGAATGTACTCAGTATTGGGAGGGCCTTCCAACCCACCTCCGCTACGAGATGTACGACGACGACTCCGCTTGGCACCGCCTCGGCGCAGGCATTACGGTCCGCTTGATTTCTGCCTATCTCGAATATCTTCACACGCATTTCCAGATCCAACGACTCCTCCAGCGCCAGACACAACAAGCGCTCCCTGCCCTCCTTGACGTCTCCCTGAAACTCCTCTCGACCGCGCTCGTCTTTACTAAGCCCCTCAATGGCGCCTATGAGACGAGACGCCACTTCGCAACAGTCATTATGTTCTACTGCTTCCCTGCTGCCGGCGTCCTCGCGCTCGAACTCCGCAAATCAACCATCGAAGGCGTGCCCCTTCCCGACACCGTCTTCCGTGCCGACGTCATCCGCAACCTCTCCGTTCTCACCTCCTCACTCGAATGGCTCATTCTGCCCGGCGACGGGAACCACAAGCTCTGCACCGAACTCAACAAGATGCTCGCCATGGTACTCGACGAGGTGCTGAACTACGAACCACCGCCCATAGGTAGCAATCTAGGGAGCGAAGTTGGCGCTCTGGCACCCGTTACGGGCTCCGGATTCTTTGATATCCCCATGCTGGACGGTATGGAGCCTATTCCCACGCAAGCAGAGGACTTCTTGACCTGGCTGGATGGCGCCGCATGGAACAACACGCAGGACCTGTTTTGAAAAGAGAAATAGAGACCCATGTGACTGGGTCATTTTGTATTACGTCGTCGCGCCAGCCTCTGGCTGATGTCTACGGACCAGACCTTTCTTCTACCAACAAAAGCATTCCACATCTTCTCAACGGCGTTTCAGGCCCATATTATCAGAGTGTCGAGTAATAGCTCGCCCGCGCTGCGTTCCTGATACTCTTCTCCTCGTTCGTCAATCCATCCTTCCCAATTGGTCCCCTTGTGGTCGGCACCGGTGTGCTGCTGGACTTTGCTGCTTGAATTAGCATATAACGACGAAGTCACTAAGATCCATGACGTACGTTGCCGGTTGAAGACGGAAAGTAGATGCTTCTTCACCGTCGAAGACGTGCTCTTGATGGAGGAAGCGTCTGATGGCGCGTATGACGAAGGCGCTGTATATGTGGGTGTCGACGAGGGAGATTTTTGGGCGGACGAGCCGTTCGATGCATGTACGGAAGACATCGTGTGTTGCTAAAGGTTTGGGAGGTTGTTGCGACTCAACTACTGCAATAGAGTGTGGAAATTGAAGATGTTGAGCGACGGCCCTTGGACTTTGAGTCTGCTTTTGCTGCCGCTGGAATGCTTAACGAGATGCTTGATGTGATGCTCACCACCACGCGCTCCTCAGTCTTATGTACGGCCATCTCACCTTCCCTTACCTTGAAAACTTCTATTCCAGCTTGCTAATCCTGCGTCGGAATGACTCTTCACCACGCGCCCTAACACTTACATCTCCGTCACCGATCCTCTCGTGGCTTGACCCAACCACTTGCAATTCAAGCTCAAGACGCCATCCCGCATCTGCGCCAGCAGCCAGGCGTCAATGCCGACGCGTGCGTCACGCGTCAAGCGAGCGACCCGCCATGTGTAGACCCACTATGTGTCCGAAAGCTTAACACACCCGCAGTAGCGGAATAACAGGTGCGGTACTGTCGTTGAATGGCCAGTCACTGCGGCGGTATGCGATATGGGATTTCATAGGTGTTCGGAGTGGGGAGCGAGTGCCGCTAGTGGGTGGAGTTGGGGTATTCCGAGATGCAGGGTGGGTGAGTCAGCAATTGTTTTGTCAGCGGGATGAGAGTTGGTTGGAGTCGTGATGGGATGGGACGGGGAAGTAGGAACTTGCTCGTGGTTGGGGTGGATTGGGTTTATTCCGATGGTGAGCACGAGAGTTTGGAGGGGATGTCGTGAATTGTATGCCGGATTTCGAGTACGCTTGAGCGATATAGGTGCCCCGGTAAGTTGACATCGATGATTAATTGTGTGCTGCACCTATTGGTTTCAGAGTTCTGATTTGATTTGGTCGTATTGGGCATGGCGCAAGGTGTTGGTCGCGTTTTCACGTGTTGACTCATGGAGTGGGTCACTATCACCAGCATCAACTGTTGGAAGTCGCTGTGGGGTGGCTGAAAAATCACGGTGGATGGCAAAGCGCAAATTCCCTTCCAAAATGGGCTTTTGATGAGTCCGCCTCCTGAGATGGGCATCCACAGACTCTCCGAGGTACAGTGGCATGCACTACAACATGTGAAGTATAGCTCAACTGAACTTTGACAGTGCATATCACCAAGATGTGATACCCAAAGCGGCTGTCTGGTCAAAGTCGCGTCGCTCTTCGTCTTTCAGTCACTCAGCCCAGCAGCTTGCATTGCTTGAGATGCCTCAACGGCCCTGAAAGTTTCGTTCATCGAGTAGATCTCACCAGTCAGCACACCACCCAAGCTTTCCTGACATTCCTGCCTTCCTTAAACACCTCTGTCTCTTCAGTGTGCTGCTGAATATGCGCTAGCGAGAAATGATACGGTCACAAATCATTTGTGTTGAAGTGTTGCTTTCCGCCAATGCGAATCTGAGTCAGAAGAGTACTAGGAGGGTAGCTCAACGTACATCTCAACACAGACTATACACTCCTTAAGAAGTAAAGACAATTGTCCTAAGTGGACCCAGAACATGCTCCTAATTACGTGGGGGTCTTGCTGCAAGGATAACGCATTGGTTGATTTAAGCAATCTCATAGCAAGCAATAGACCTCAAGTCGTCTGCAAAATGCTCATAATGATTTCTTCTGCCTGTACTGGGTTTTCAACAGTAGTATTCCAAGTAGAGACTTTTGGTATAGGGATATCCGAGATGGTTTGGGCAAACTTTATCGTTATTACTTCTTATGAAGTAGTTAAGTACTTCTGGGCTAGCACTGGGGGGAAGGATCTTTGCAATAACCTTCCGATGGTTGATCACCTCAACGTGGTATGCTCTGTTGTAGTTGCCTTTGCCAATCCTGGAAGACACTTCAGTACCTGGGGTGCCCCGTCTTTCCGCACGCCAATTTTGTTTTTTGAAATTCAGTCCTTTAGGTTATTTCTTGCGTTTAGCTCTCTCGATCATTTCTTTAAATAATTTCTCTGGATTGTTTCTTAAGTTTGTTTCTTAAGTTTAATTCTCCCATGGCTAGTTTGTTCTCCAAATTAATTGATCAGGCATAGTCTCTTAACAAACTCTTTAACTGAATCCGTTGCCTGTATTGTTGGGTTGCATTGTCTGACAGGTTTTATTAATTAACTCATTTGACGAAGTTGGTTGATTGAGTTGTTCGGTAAAAGTTGGTTAATCGAGCTATGTAGAACACAAATTGAGTAGACTGTTTGACGAATTCGATGGGTTAAATTATTCGACGACAGTGTTCTACTAAACTATTCAACAAAATCGGTCAATTGAAATCCCCTACCCGAGTTACTCGCCTCCGTGGTTCTGCAAAATCCTTGACTATACTGTTCGACAAAATCGTTCGACAAACTCGTTCGACCATGTCCCTCGACCACGTCCTCCCACTGGTGTCCCCCAACCCACCCCTCATCCTCACACAAAAAAAAACAATTTCCCCTCACATCTCGAGGCCGGACGTGCAAATTGTGCGCAACCGAGCCAGCGAGTTATTAATTGCATTGCTTTAACATCCATTGTGACCTACAGCTTCGCCTTCGCGGCGCCGTCCATCTCCTCCTGGGCCTTCAGCTTCAGCACGCGCCGCAAGATCTTCCCGGACACCGACTTCGGAATCTGCCGACTGTTAGCACCGCACCGCGATATCCTCGCAACCACGGGAAAAGACTCACCTCGTCGACAAACCGCACCCCGCCGCGCAGCTTCTTGTGGTGCGCGACCTTCGCCCCGAGCCACTCGACGATCTCCTGCGCCTCCTTGTCGCCCTTGCCTAGGCCGCTCTTCGGCACGATATACGCGCGCGGCAGCTCCGTCGCCTGGTCCTTATCGTACACGCCGACGACCGCCGCGTCGTCGACGCCGGGGTGCGACACCAGCAGGCCTTCCAGCTCGGCGGGCGGGACCTGGAAGCCCTTGTACTTGATGAGCTCCTTGACGCGGTCTGTGATGAAGAAGTTGCCGTTCTTGTCCTGGTACCCCACGTCGCCGGTCTTGAAGAAGCCGTCGGCGGTCAGCGCGTTCGCGGTGCCGGCGGGGTTGTTCAGATAGCCTTTGAACACATTTGGGCCCTTGATCCACAGCTCGCCGACTTCGCCGGTGGGCAGCTCCTGCTCGTCGGCGGACATGTATTTGGCGGTTTGGTAGGGCAGCAGCGTGCCGACGGAGCCAATGGTCTTGTTCCAGTCTTCCCACGGCTGGGTGTGGGTTGTTGGGCTGGTCTCGGAGAGGCCGTAGCCCTGCTTGATGGGAATGCCGAGGCGCTTGTTGACGGCGTCGACCAGCTCTCTTGTCAGCGGCGCGGCGCCGGAGTTCATCATGCGGATGGTGCTCAGGTTGTACTTTTCCACCGCGGGGTGCTTGCCGAGGAGCAGGACGACGGGCGGGACCACGTAGGCGAATGTGATTTTCAGGTCCTGGATGAAGCGGCAGAAGTCGTCGAGGTCGAACTTGGGCATCACTACGAGCTGCAGGCCGGAGTAGAGACTCTGGTGGATCATGCATGTCAGGCCTGTGCTGTTAGCATTCGTTCGAGGCAAGCAAATAGATACATACCGTAAATGTGGAAGAAGGGCAGAAAGGCGATCAGCTTGTCGCCTTCGCCGGTGGGTCCGCCGGTGGGTAGCAGGTTCCCTGCCTCTGCCGCCTTGATCATCATAGTGTTCGAGACGATGTTGCGGTGTGTGAGCATGACACCCTTGGGGTGGCCGGTAGTCCCGGAAGAGTACACCAGGAAAGCCAGGTCCTCTGCCGGGTTCTTCGCTTTTGTGCGTCGCCACTTTGTCGAGCCTGCAGTGTTCACAATACTTGTGAAGTGCTTGACTGTGTAGGAGGGGTCTTTCTGGTCGCCCATGATGATGACCTTGTCGAGCGGAATTCCGACCTGCTTTGCTGCTGCCTGCGCATTTTTGATGAATGGCAGCTGGGTGACAATTGCCCTTGCGCCAGAGTCTTTCAACTGGAACGCGAGCTCCTCAACAGTGTAGTTGGGGTTGGCAGGGCTTAAGATGCCTCCAGCCCAGTGACAGCCCCATGTTATCGCCGGTGTGTCGATACAGTTCGGTGTGTAGAGTGCTAGTACCTCGTCTTTCTGCCAATCCCATAAACCCTTCAGGCCTTTGCCGAACTCGATTGCTGTGTTCTTGACTTGGGCATATGTGTACGAACGATTTGTGTATGGGTCGAAGTAGATTACTGGGGGTGTCAGTATTTCAATTTCCCTCAACCATCCCGACATGTGTACCTTTGTCGTCCGAGAAGTTCTTATCTTTCCTCTCGAACAGAAACGCCCACAGGTCCACGTCGGGAATAGGTGCACTGGGAAACTGGGATTCGAAAGGCATATTGAGCTGTAGCTTGAGACTGCCTAGATTAGAGAGAAGAGCAAGTCACGATGGAGGCGAGGAAGTTTGAAGTCATTGTGGCAGTTACGCCAGTGACGCCAAACTCCGAGACGGAATGCCGTGTTGTCGGCTAGCTGGGGCACAGAGTGCCGGAGAAGCTGGGGTCCTCCCCCGCAACCGCGGCTCTTTCTGTTTTCGGCGCTAGCGCATCGGTCCTCACCAGCCATGTAGTTGCTGCATCGACTCGGTGCGCCCCTGTCCATCCGATACCGTGCTTGGTTTGCGGGAGTGTGTCTTTGCTCTGTTGTTATCTATTGTTTCTGTATCCTGTCATCCGTCAAAATGCCCGGCTGGGAGGAAGCGACCGCGGTACAGAAGGTATCGACCGACACATATTCGTGCGTTCTGCATGATGACTGGTGCATCGGCAGTGGTAGGTTCAGAGCTGCTGTGAATAAGAGACGCGATGCTAAGTATGCTGTACTAGTACCGAATGGCGGCTACGTAACCGGTTGTCTGCTTGAGGCTGTCAAGATGCACTTTGACACATCTCTGGCGAAGCAAAACCAGCCGCACACCATTGCGTTGCATGTTGAGTTTCTGCGGCGCACTCAGACTGGCCCGGCTCTCTTCAAAATCGAAGATGTGAAACTCGGCCGCCAAACGTCTATTGTCCACGTGAGCATGGAGCAGGAAGGACGCCAGGAGATTGTGGCCTACGTGACCAACTCCAACATCACTGCAGAGGAGGGCTTCACGTTCGACACACAGCACGAGCTGCTGCCCGCACCGCCTCCCGTTGACCTGGCCAAACTGGAGACAGACACAGATCCACTGTGGAAGTGGACAGAGGTCCCATTCGCCAAGTTCCGCAGGGCGACAGCACAGGTCAAGTTCTACCTGCCTCGAGGTGGCTCGGTGAAACCAAACATCGTAGATGAATGGATCTGCTGGTCGGACGGGCGAAACTTCAACCAAAGCTCAATAGGCTTCGCGTCCGACATGTTCCCGCAGATTGTCGAGAACTTCAAGAACACGAACAAAGCCTTCTGGTACCCGACACTGCTGCTGAACCTCGACGTTAAGAAGTCGCTTCCAGCCGAGGGTGTCAAGTGGCTCAATGTTCGCGCAGAGCTCAAGCAGGTCAAGAACGGGAGGATGGATCTCGGGATCTGGGTCCGTGACGCAGCTGGCGAATTAGTTGCATTGAGTAATCATGTTGGATTCGTATTGGATGCATCGAGGAACACTGCTGCTAGGAGGAAGCCGGACGCGAAGATATAGACGTGGTGGTGTTAGATGGTCAGATACTTGAATATACCTCGGCGCATTGACAAGTGCACTGTTAAATCGCTACAGCGAATGAATGCAATTTTCAAGACTAAAGTTCGTCGCGTGTTCCTGGACGCCTGCTGGCAGAGTTTGATGTTCATCGTCCGGACCTGCTGCGGGGCTGCTTACGGCTAGCGCTGCCAAGCGCACCACGCCCACAGGCGAGCCCAAATTATCATCGCACACTCTTCGAACCTCCAACTAACCCATCGACAACAGCCAACATGCCGAAGGACGTCAAGCAGAAGTCCGGCATTATTGCCGGCATCAACGCTGGCCACAGTACGTCTTCCCGCCCGCCGCACACCGAACACCCCGAACCGACACCGCGCAAATTTTGGAGGATGGCACAGAACAGAGGCTAACGGTCACGCAGAGGTTACCCCCAGGACTCCTGCCGCCAGGATCTCCAGGAGGAAGGGTTTCTTGTCCAAGCGCACCGCTTTCGTCAGGGAGATCACCCGTGAGGTCGCTGGGTACGTCGAACTGCAATTGGAGGTGGACGACAGCAATATGCGCACGCAGAGCCTGCCGCCCGCCTTCAGCCTCGGACTCCATTCGGACTGCGCTAACAACCCCCCAGCCTTGCCCCCTACGAGAAGCGCGTCATCGAACTCCTCCGCAACTCCAAGGACAAGCGTGCCCGTCGTCTCGCGAAGAAGAGAGTACGTCTCCCCACCCGGACCGCCTCCACGCACTTCCCATCCACATCCACGCACATGCACTAACACAACCCAGCTCGGTACCTTCGGCCGCGCAAAGAGAAAGGTCGAGGAGATGTCCAAGGTCATCGCCGAGTCGAGGCGCGCGGGTCACTAAACGGCCGCCGCTCATGACGGACGAAACGCAAGCATTGGGCACCACTTTTCCGGTTCTTTTCGGGTGTTAGGTCTTTCCCTTCCCTTCGCCGGCGGGTCGACTCGCTACGTCACAACACCCCTAAGGCGGGCACATGATCGGAGTAGGCGACAGCGCCGGGGCGTCCTCGGTTCGCGTACCTAGCAGTGTCGCTAAAATCATGAAATGTGACGACGGTTCACGCCACGTTTTCTCTGCTGTGCTGTGAGGTGCGCTGTTGCTAACCTGGGTGTTGCTGTGGAGAGGCTGTGGGTGCGGTGGCGCCGCGCGGTTGTGTGATCTAGCATGGATGTCAAATTCCAACTCATGCCTTTTCCAATGGCTGAAGTATGGGCCGAGAAATGCTTATATTGAACGCGCCTTGCTCGCATAGTGTAATACATTACACTGAGGCTGCTTCCAGCCTGCTCTCCCTGTGGGTAAAGCCGGAAGCAGAGGCGCCTACATACCCTCCCTGTCCTCTAGATACTGTCCAGAAATACATCCCCTCATGCCACTTGTCTACACACGTTCACCAGTTGCCACAATCTGCCACTGTCATGAATTGCTCGCCATTCGCTTTCACAAAGCTACTGCCAACCCCGCTCACCGTTATGACGAGTCCTACTTCCTCTTGAACAACCCCTTCCCCAGAATATTCTTCAGCTTACTCTCCTTCTCCTCACCACTCAGCACCTTCCGCTTCCCCTGCGCAACCGTCTGGCCCTTGGTCTCCACCGCCGGCTCCTTGACAACCGGCTCCTCGACCTTCAGCGTCTGCGCCTTGGCCTGCCACTCGCTCGCCAGCGCGCTCCGCGAGCTGCGCACCGCCGCGCTCGCTGCCTCGCCCCACTGAAACGTAATCAGCTCGTTCGTCGAGAAGCGCAGGTCCTGGATGAGGCGCTTGGGCGAGGGCGGGATGGGCACGAGACGGCCGGTGGGGCCTGTGTATTTGAGGTCGAAAGGCTCTTTTTTATGCTCGAGGAGGGTGGTGACGAAGGCGTAGAGATCGGACGCTGTGTCTTGCTTTGTGAGGTTCATTTGCACGAGGGAGCCGTCGGGGAGGCGGATGCGCAGGGAGTGGGGTTTGTTTGTTGCGGCGGTGAGCTTGGCCTGGCGCTCTGATTCTTGAGCCTCGAGTTCTTTGTCTGAGAGCAGGCGTTGGTTGCGCGTGCGATTCGAGAGTTGGGCTTGGTGGATCTTGGCGTGCTCGACCGTCGGTTGGTAGTCGCTCTCGTTGAAGGTGTTGCGGGCTGCCTGAGGGGTGGAGGAGGAGGATGCAGAGAAGACTTGGACGTTGCGAGGTTGCGGGGATGCTTCAGCTTCGATTGGAGCTTGTGGTGGCTCTGATGTTGCGGTCGATGTCGCTGCTGCTAACGCTGCTGCTGGGGAAGTGTTGATGTCATCTACAGACGCATTGTTCTGCTCTGACACAACTGGCTCAGCAACGGATTCTGTTGTGAGTGGTGTGTCTACATCCATGAGCTCAGGCTCAGGCTCGTCACTCTTGATCGTCTGTCCGGCCACTGTTGTCGTTGCCTCCGGGGCTGCAGTATCTGGATCGGGCGCCGACTTTTGCTGAGCAGGTTCCGCAGCATGGGCGCCGGGTGCTGTGCTCGCAGCTGGCTCGCCTACCTTGAAGTACTGCGTAATCTGGGCCATAGCCTCTTCCAGGGGTGTCCCTGAGTTCTTGAATGAGAGCTTGAGCAGCGCTGACCCGCTATCGAACCCAAGCTGGCTCAGCGTCTGTTGTAACCCTACAAATGATGACTGTTCCTTGTGGCTAGGCATGACTGTGATAACTGGCATCTCGTAGCACAGCCTCCCAGAGCCTGAGGCGCCGCTCATCTCAGGGACGGCGCGTTGTGTGAAGTTGTAGTTTGCTCCATCGCCGCTCTCGAAGTATCGGAGGATCTCCCATAGCGATGTGTTGTTGGCGAACTTCTGTGTGAGGCGAGACTTGGGGAGCTGGAGGGCGACGGATACTACGGTGGGCGATCTTGAAGCTTGTACAAGCTCGAGGCGAGCGCCTTGCGGGAGGTTTGCGAGTCGTATTTGCTGGGACAGCGAGATGGGCTTGTTGTTGTATCTTGAGTGCTGTTAGCTACATATGCAAGGGCAGAGGTTTGCCGCCTACTTGAGTGTGAACTGGTCCTTGCTGACGCCAAACTTCTGACACGCCTCGTCGCGCACCTCAGTCAAGTACTTGGTGGGCGTTGTGGGGATCTTGAACGTCTTTGCGAACGAGTTGGTCACGACTACGTGCGACATTATGCCGGGCGGAACAGTCTATACAGCGCGAAGGAAGCAAGAACACCGACAGGCACGTTGGCAAGCAGGGCGGCGTGCGAGTGCCAGCAGTCCGGTCTGTAAGCTCTGCTGGTAGCGACGCAGCGGTTGATAACGAGCACCAGGTTGACGGCGTGGATGAGCTTGGCTTCGGCAAAGTTGAAGTACAGATTGCCGGGCCCTGCCATAGACGTACTGCTGTAGTGAATGTGGAGTCGAGGTCTAGCGATACTACGGCGAAGGGCGGTTTGGTGTGTAATGCTGGTGAACATTCTCGAAACCTTGTTCGACCGTCACGCAGCTGCCTTATTCGACCAGCACCAGCTCGCGGGGTGAGCTTGCCCCACTTACGTCTTCCAGCCGCCCGCGACGGTACATGCTACAAACACCAGCACAATCGCAGCCATGTCTGGCAGTGTCGAGATTTCGGGAGCGCCTCAGCTGAGCCAGCTGATCTCTGCATCGCGCATTGTTGTGCTCAACTGTACGTGTCAATGCGCGCACTGCGCGGCGTGGGCCGGCACTGATGTTTGTATGCAGTCTACAACGAGGACAACCAATCGAGCAAGGCCATCGCCCCGGTCTACGACCAGCTTTCGGAGAAGCTTTCGCGACCCAACCGCATCACGTTCGCGAGGGTCAGTGTGAAGAAGCAAGCACAGATCGCCGAGAGCTACAACATCACCAACACACCCACCTTTGTCATCTTCAAGGCCGGCCAGCAGATACGCAAGTTCAGCGGGTCAAACCCCAAGCACCTGTCCGATGCAATCAAGAGTCTAGCACAGGAGGCCGAGTCTGACGGCGGTGCGGGAGGATTTGGCGAGGCAGGCTCGAGCAGCGGAGGTCCCTGGCGCGGTGCAGGACTGCCTCGAGGATACACAGATGTCACCGAGTCGGTCGACGTGCGCGGCCTGGATCTGCTGAACGCCGACAGCGACTTTGCCGGCGTGCGTACGCTGTTTGAGAACACAAAGCCAAGCTCCCTGAGCAAGGGCAAGGCCAGCGCAGACACCAAGGACTGGGTAGAGAGCGACGTCGACAACCAGCTCATGCTGTACGTACCCTTCACCTCGACGCTGAAGGTCCACACTATCCACATCACGTCCAACCCGCCGGTCGATGAAGACGACGACGAGGTCCCCGTGCGGCCAAAGACCATCTCCATCTGGACCAACCGCCAGCACAACCTGGGCTTCGAGGAGGCAGAAGACATCCCCGCTACGCAGACGATCGAGCTGAAGGAGTCAGATTGGGACAAGGAGACTGGCACGGCCAAGTTGGAGCTGCGCTTCGTCAAGTTCCAGAACGTCTACAGCCTCGTGCTGTTCGTGCAGGACGGCGACGGCGACAGCGAGAAGACGCGCATAGACAGGATCCACTTCATCGGGGAAAGTGGCGAGAAGAGAGACATGGGCAAGCTCGAGAAGATTGGCGACGACTCATAGCCGACGTTCCAGCCATAGGCGCGTCGTGTGCATCTTAGACATGCAAGTCCACAAGTAGACCATAATGCGATCAACGACACGAGCAAACTCCTGCCGCGCACCCGCTGCACATGTGAACTCGCCCACGCGCCGTGCAAAGACCAGCCCACATCCAATCTCCCAACCCACAAACATCACGCCAGAAACTAAAATATGTTCGAGCTTTTTTCCAGCGAAACCGCCACTGTGTGTCATCCGACTCAGGCGGGCCCGCAAAGTGTATACGATCGATGATGCAATATGTTCTCTCTTGGAGGTCATTGACGCCGTGGGGCACCATAGCAGGCACCGTAGCAAGAGGGGAAACTCTGTAATATGACCTCCGCCGCAAAGAAAGCGAAGGTTTGGCGCGCCGCGCGAGGTTTTTATCACGGCCTCGGTGCTGCGGGTTTCGCCGCGCCGGCGCTAGCGTGCATTTCTCGTCGTTGCTAAAAAATTTGTGCGAGAGCAATGTTTTTGCTATGGCCGGAGATGAATTCAATAATCATGATAGGAAGAGAATGATATCGCTTGCGGTAACTGATCTCACCATTTTTACTGTTCTGAGGCCTGTTTTCGCGGCTGCGGTTGCGTGCGGCGGGGTGCGCGAGCGCGCAGAGAGGCTGTGTCGGCGTGCGGACGCAGCGAGCACTGTTCGGCGTCGCCGTGCAGTGGCCGTTGCAGAGCTGCAGTGGCGAGGTTGGAAAGACTGGCAGACCTACCGCATTTGCGTTGTCGGTGCTGCGCGCATGGTGCAGTGCCGCATCAGCGTGCGCGGTGGCGACGTTCATATTGCCGTCATCTGGGCGCGGCGGTATCTCACAGACAGCACTCGCAGCATGGCGTCAGCTTCGGCGCTCGCGGGCACAGTCTGGAAAGTCTATCCTCTGCTGCGCCGAACGGCGGACGCCGCGGAACAGCCTTTTATCTAGCAGAACCTTGAATGCCGTAGATGACACACCAGCATATCGATGCGAGAGTGTTTGCGATGGCAACGGCTATAGCATGGGCGGATGGCATCATCGGATCAGACGTCTCGTGTGATATCATCTCAAACGTTTCCTCCGCCGTTTCAGCTTCATGTCGGATAATTTGGCGTGCCGGCGACAGTTCTTTTTCGCTCTGACAGTTCATGCGATGGGACATGTCAACCACGCGACGAGACAAGGATTTGGATTTCTGATGCGAGACGGCCGCAGCTGGTCGACAAGCTGTTCACACGCATTTGAGGTGGCGGGAGTTCGTAGCATGTCTCGTCCGGTGTCGCTGCTGGGTAGCCTGCAACATTCAGTAGGTATCTGCATATACGTGCCTTGCTATAAGACGAGTCTGCCCAAACGAGTCGCGACGTCAAAAGCAGCGTCGGCGAGTTCATTGCGTGTCTATGGCGTCTATCAGGTCGGGCTTCCAAGTTTGTTGAAACAAGCGCTCGCGTGGTTGTACGGCATGTTCCAATGATGACCGCGTCGTGGATGCGACTGCAAGTCACACGCATGGCCATGATGGCCCGTAGACCCTGGGCTTCCTTGCTTGACATCACTCCGGGACCGGCTATCCTTGACTTTGTTGCCACTCAGGCCTCAATTGCGACTTTACATGTGCTGGCGGCGAGCGTCACCGTGATTGCGATCCTCAATTTCACCACCTTCGTGCCCAAAGATCTACCGGATCGGCGACGTGCGGTTCTCAGCGACCTTCTTGAATCAAGCCGCCCTAGGCGGGCCCCTCCCGATACCGCGGGACCCTAAGGGTCTCTTGTTCAAGCTTCCTGACACGAGGGCCGCTACATCGCCGACTGTGGTGTGTTGCCATGAATCAAGCGCACGGCCAACAGGAACTGCAGGAAGTGATCCGGCTGCGGGCAAGGCCTGAGGTTCATGATTCGTTGATAATCGCGACTTTTGGACGGCATCCTCTGGCGGTGAATACTTTGGGCTGCACGGTTAGTATTCTCCGTAGTGTCTCAAGGTGGAGCACTATCCTGCCAATGGCGGTCGGGCAAAGTGCTCAACCTCATGTGGCGGTGCGTTTGCAAGTACACATTGACCATCACCGGAACCAACAGATTTGTAAGTTCGCCATCACGGCTCCAGGGCGGCCCTTCCGTTCCCACTTCCCGTCTCAGATTAGACGAGACACGTATCTCGGCGTTCGCTCGACCAGCGAGGTGGTCGCGAGAACGTCTGAGCTGGTCGTATGGAAAGGGCTTCCCTTCCATTAATTACGCCGCATGAAAACTTAAACCGTACGTGCACCCTCAACCTCGCATCACTGTGGAGAAGTCTTCGAGAAGGCGACGCCAGGGACCAGTCGTGCGGGTGCCTTGCGGCTGGTTAGACGAGCAAGCGCCACGTTGCCCTGCTCGAGCATAAAAATCGAATCTCGTTTGGATGGCCCTGCTCGGCCGTGTCCAGCACGGTGCTGCACCCCAGCAGCCGTTCCAGACTCCCCGGCAGTAGACAGGCCTGCCACAGACTGCCAGCTGCCTCTTCCGGGCCACACACCGTTGGCAGTGCCTTTGCGGCAATTGCGAACGCCCTGTCAAGGTTTCACATCTTCGATCAGTTGTGCTGGACGGGATCATGGGGAGTCGGGATCATCCAAGCGGACAGGCGCCATGTGTCATTCGGCTCGACGCAGCAGATAGAGCAGACCTTGACTCTGATAGAGTGGCAATCCAGAAGCCTCAGTGTCAGGTCATCTCAAGACAGTTCCACGAAGCTATTGCGCCTGACAGCCGGCGTCGTCTTCAAGTGCTAACGATGTTGGGCTTCCGGGAGATTTGAGAACGACGCTTCGGTACAGCTAGTGAGTGTTGGCCAGTTGGGTAGGAGTGAGGCGGCTCGTTTGGCTCGTCAAGAACACTCTCGGAAGAGCGTCCATGAAGCCAGAAACCTTCCAGGAAGATTAAACGAAGATCAGGGTGCTCCGCAAATCTCGACAAATGATAGAGGGCGATCGAGTGGAGCACGGCCAGGGCTAAGGAAGCCAGCGACAGTTCCCCGGCGCCGACCTTGTGGTGAAGCCACGCCGCGCGACTGTCCACGGCAGCGCCCAGCACAGAGCACGACGGAGCTGCTTCCTGAATCGTGCCGTCCTCCTCCACGGCCTGTTGAGTCGTAAGAGAGCCCCGCTATGATGGACGTTCCAGAAATCAAATCCTACGTTATCACATGGAAATGTAAGTGCGTATGTCACCGTGCGATGCACAGAGGAGCGCACCCCACGAGGGTCCAAACAGGCAAAGCCAGGGTCGCGATAAGGTGTTGCTCATTGTTGCCAGACGTTGTGTTCCTGCAGCGTACCTGCATAGGCGGCGGCCTTCTCCATGCAATCGGCATAGGACCGCCGTCATGTGGGGTTGGCTGAAGTCATTCAAAGGCTATTGGCTCCGTCTGAGTTGGACCACGCCGCTGTCACGCGCAGACGAGCTCACTGGACGAGGTGACACCACTGACAGGGCCACCGTAAAGCAGCGACCGCGCTAGGCTTTGCTGGGACGTCCGGCGGGGCTTATGCAAGAGTGGGAGATGTGCAGCTGCATTAAATTCACGCTACGTCTCAAAATAGCAGCCGGACGAGGAAGGTGACGATGTGCAGCAGCATAACATTTATCGAATGCTGACAGATATACGACTCTCGGGCTGCACAACTTGCGAGCCGTGGAGGGTGGGATCGTGGCCGAGGCATCACTGTTCGCTATCGCTATCGATATCGATATCGGCTCGCCGGCGGTAGAGGCGTAGTAGGGAAATTGAACATTGCCATACAAACTCAAGACATGTCTGAAATGTGTAAGAAGCTGAGATGCGGTTGCTTGGGCTGTAGGCAGTCGGTTCTTGTTAGGCGGCCCAACAGTTTTAGACGTCTGTGATGGCATCGAACGAAAAGCAGCCATGTCGTACAACACCCGATATCGTGCTCGTCTTGAAGTCGGATGTGAGTGGGCGGGCATCCACATACGGACGCTACCAGAGGTTCCCCGCCATCAGCAGATTGTCAAACCGCCTTGACGTCTGCAGATTCAGAGTCTGGCTGCGTGCGCGGCGGCGCGGTCAAATCTGCAGATGCTGAAACACACGACTCTACCACAGCTGCACCGCGCGAGCAGATGCACCGGTCCCACCAACCAACGAAGTTTGGGTCCTGCCGTCCAAGAAAACTGCGTGGTGGCGAGATGCAGCGCGCATTTTGCTCTGTCGCACCATTGCTGGGTGTAAGCTGCCGGACCCAACAACACGCCGTCACCGAGCAAATCAGCTGTAACGGGCGACGACCTGCATGCAGCACGACCATGTTCCTGCATCTTTGAGTCGTCTTGGTGGTGCACTACCGCACGCGTCCTGCTTTCGGACGGTAAACAACGCGCCGTGCTGCTCGCCTATCGTGTGGAGGTGCGGTGAAGATGCACTGCAGTCACCTCGCAGTCTCTCCATCCACCAGCGTCAGACCTCACAGGCGGCTGCAGCTCTGTAAGACTCGCGTAGCCTTTGGTGACAGCCCGTGGTGGCACCGCGGCGGAGGCGTGCGATTCGGCGTCGAAACGCTGCGCTCGTGTGACGGAGAGCCGCGGCGTCGTCATGTTCACATCCTGGTGGAGGGACGCGTGCTGTGTGGTGAGCTGCAATGTTTCGAAACCACCACCCAGAGCCAAAGACGTCAGCAGCGCCCGTCACTCCACACAGCTCCCGGCGGCCATGTTGGAACAGGGTCCTGGCCAACGGCGAGTTATCACTATCGATTGGGCGGATAGGCTGATCTAACCCCGGCGGATTATACGGCTGAATGGCAAATGGGAGGCGTGAAGCCAACGTTGCGGCCAACGGGCCTCTGTCGTCGGACGAAGCACAAGGTCTCGCATCACCACGACGGTGCCCACCACCACTCATGGCCTCGCCATCGCAGCGGCCCTTCCGGCAGCGGGGCTCATACCTCAGCTCTGTTACTTCGCGATGATTTCTGTAGCCATTCGGCGTGTGCGTATCGATACGCAGACTGCGTGTACCCTCCAGCCGCTGTGGCCAACAAGCCAATGGCTGCACAAGTTGTGCCGGCTGTGCGCGTCTTCATTTCGCCTGTGCAGCTCATGCAGCCACACCAGGCCTTGCATTTGGCGACCAATTTTAGTGCATAACTTATGCTCTGCCGCTGCCCTAAGACACTTCCGCGAGTCGACAACCCTGTTCTCAAGCGCATGAGTCTGGCAGGGGTCAGTACTGCATGGAGACCACCGCGATGGTTGGGCTTGTGGGGACGCTTGCGCTGCGCCCCGACTTCCCTCCCACAGCTGCAGTCAACCAATTCCGAGCGTCCGTCGGCCATCTTTTACTTTTTCAGTCCTGGTCGCTGTCTCGTCGCTCGCTGATCTAGGCTACTTATCCAGGTCTTCCCTTCCCATCGTTACCCTTTCCTTGTCCAAAGGTTTATCAACCTCATCGCTTGTCTTTCTCTTTCCCCAGTACCCTTCCTGGCTTCCCTTTTTGGTCTACATTTGTACAGTCCTCCCGTCGATTGTGCATTGTAACCGTTCCCTCCTTTTGGATTATCCCAATCTTCGTCCACGCACGACCCATGACATCTTCGTCCCAGTAGATCCACATATTAGTAGACAGCTTCATCATCTTGAAGTAGTCGTCCAGTCACTCCCTGAACCAACAGCATTGCTACATCACTCCACCATACACTCCGCCTAATATAACACCACTCCACCTCGTCCAAGGAACCATCTAAGGACCATCTAACACTTGATCTACCAGCACAGTAAGCAGAGTAAAGCCACTCATCACACACCCCACTAACAATACCATCAGTCCTCACAGTATTCGCAATGGAGGGCTCATATCACATGCACCCCATGCAGGCCACATCAGCACCATTCTTCTACTACAACCCCGAGCCCCAGAGCGAGAGGCCTACTCAGCACGGTCACTTCACACCCCAGCCTGCCGGCCAGCAAGCACTCCAGCAACAGATGTACTACCAGAGGCCGTCGTCCGCACAGTCAATGTCCTACCCTCAGACAGCCTACGCCAACCAGATGATGACACCCGTAGCATCGCCACAGCCAATGTACCAGAAGCCAGCAATCTTTGTCCACCCGCACGACTCCCCATTCCTGCAGACACTCGACACTGATTTCTACGCGCCTGCCACACCGCCGCTGTCGTCTTGCGGTAGCAACATCAGCAGCCCACCCTCCACATACGACCTCCTGCCCACACCTGTGAACGCATTCTTCCCTAGCGAGGGCATCGAGGGCGTGAAGCAGGGCTGCGAGGGAGAGGTGTTTGCTGAGCTCTTGACCACTGGCATTGAGTGGAGGTCAGCCACCCCACCTATGACCCCAGGTAAGCATTACAAACAGTCGTTGGTCATGCACGCGCATACGTGACTTACCAACGTGGCGGCTCGAAGGGATAACTGACTGGGATTAGTGTACATTCAGCCTAGCCAGGGATCATACCTGCTTTCCGCTACTTCTTGCCCATCGCTGTCGCCTTCACCTTCACCGCTTCCCCGCTCTTTCTCCGCCGAGGCCGAGAACAACTTCTGCAACCCCAGGGACCTCACCGTCTCTGCGTCTGAGCAGCTGACTCTCTGCCCCGTCGACGAGGAGCACAAGCTTGTCTTCAAGGGTGAGGTTGCCAAGGTTGAGGAGACTGAGTCCTCTTTCACCTTCACTGGTCTGCCCACTTTCGAACCCCTGTTCGAACTTGATTGCGAGGACGATTTCACCGGCCTTGTTGCCTTCCCCACCTCCGAGATCCAGCTTCCCACCGGCAAGCGTCAGCGCACCCACGAAGAGGATTTCGTCAGCGAGGCGAGCTTCACCGACTTTGAGGAAGACCTGAGCCTGCCCCTCACTCCTGCCGACAGCGAAGACGACGACATGTCAGTTGCACCCACGAAGCGATCCATGAAGCGGGCGCGCTCTGAGCAGAGCGAGGCGGAGTCAGACTTCAACAGTAAGCAAGACAACTCCGGTGATGATAACACCTCATCTGGAGCATCAAGCCAACAACAATCAGGTCACTCGTCAAACGACAACGCTGCCAACTCCAGCTCTGACGAGGCTCCCGCCGTCAGCGTCGCGACCTCTAGCCGTCGCGGCCGCAAGCAGTCGCTGACCGAAGATCCCTCCAAGACCTTCGTCTGCACTCTCTGCTCGCGCCGCTTCCGCCGCCAGGAACACCTCAAGCGCCACTACCGCTCGCTCCACACTCACGACAAGCCCTTCGAGTGCACCGACTGCGGTAAGAAGTTCTCTCGCAGCGACAACCTGTCCCAGCACCAGCGCACTCACGGCACTGGTGCCATGGTCATGGGTGTCCTCGACAGCTCCGACCTTCACCACGACATGGGCCACCAGCATGCGGGGTCGTTTGACAACCAGGACCCGGCTATGATGGGCCGCATTCTCTACGACGCTGCTGCCGGCGTCTCCAGCTCCAGCTCTGACACATACTCCGACCTCGAGCCGTCGTCGCTGAAGATGCGCAGCAAGAGGAAGCGCGATGAGTAGACGGGTTCGGCCTTGCTCTTCTCAATTCTTCTAACGACCCTTTATGATCCAGGATCGATAGAAGAACCCCATCAGCTCCGTCTATCCAGACAAGCGGTACAGTTCACATTGGCGACGCGGGTATCTCGGCTCGACGTTGCGGCAAAAGTTCGTCTTCCTTTCTCACCTGTATTCTTTCGTCACACTTTGGCACTCCATCGAGCAGCCAGCATCGGGCTTCACATTTAGCATGGGCACACATCAGGGGTGCATTCGGGGATCTTGCGATCCAACACGGTTAGATTTGGTTGGTGTTTACATTTTGCGGTTCTACATCTACGACGACATGACCCATTCTTACCGGGCATCGTCGCCGCGCTTCCCTCACTCCCGAACCCCGTTCAGCGTTTCTACTCTCGTTTTAATCGGCTGCGGTTGCGCAGGCCAAACATTCTGAGAATTTTCGCTTCTTCCTTCATGTAATAGTTCGATCTTCCCTACGCATTGCATGGTTCTCTCTGCGCGGTTTGTAGGGTGGTGCTGGCACTTCCAACTATACAATGTCCAAATACATACGACTTTGACTCGAACACATTGACCTATCGTGACGTCCTGCTGTTACCATCGATGAAGTCTGTTTCGACAGTGATGTTTGGTCGACTATAAAACTAGCGTGCGGTCTTTAGCGAATCCCATGAACCAGACTCCCAACGTATCTCAACAACGACATCGTGTTGACGACCGCCCGACCCCAACACCTCCCTGTAAACAATGGCGTTGAACGTCATCGCGTTGGTCTCGGGCGGGAAGGACTCGTTCTTTTCGATTCTGCATTGCACAGCAAACGGACACAAGGTCGTAGCCCTCGCTAACCTGCACCCCTCGACCCCCAGCGATAATGAAGATACGAACAGCTACATGTACCAAACGGTGGGGCATTCCGTGATTCCGCTTTACGAGCAAGCCCTGGGGATCCCGCTGTACCGGCAAGAAATCACCGGTAAGGCCGTTAATGCGGAGAGGGACTACTCGGCACCGCTGCCGGAGCAAGAGCAGGACGAGACCGAGGATCTGATTCCCCTGCTGCAGAAGGCCATGCGGGCGCACCCCGAAGCCAACGCCGTCTCCACAGGTGCTATCTTGAGCACTTACCAGCGCACCAGAGTCGAGTCGGTGGCCGTCAGGCTCGGCCTCACCCCGCTAAGTTATCTATGGCAGTACCCGCTGCTGCCGCCGTACTCGCAGTCGCAGCTGCTGCTCGACATGGCGGCGGTTGGCCAGGAGGCCATTGTCATTAAGACGGCGTCCGGCGGCCTCGATGAGCGTATCCTTGGCTGGAATGTCGCGGCCCAGAGCACGATTACGAAGCTGCAGAAAGCAATGGCGCGGTTCGGCGAGGAGAGCAATGGTGCGGTGCTCGGCGAGGGCGGTGAGTTTGAGACGCTGGCGCTCGACGGGCCAAGGCCTTTGTGGAAGAAGAGGATTAGGATTGAGCCCGGCGCAGCGGGCGTTAGTGAGGGCGGACAGTCGGTGTTGAAGATGCGGGCGAGCGAGCTGGAGGACAAGAGCGAGGAGGGCGAGGAGCTGAATCATGCGCTGAGGATCCCGGAAATGTGGGACGATGAGTTCAAGAGGCTGTTGGAAGTACTGGAGGGCAGCGTCGACACACGCTCGTTTATGTCGGACGACGCAACGCTCCTGAACGAACCCGTCATTTCAAGATGTTCATTCGACGACCTACCCCGAAACGCCTCTGCGGACACCCCGACGGTCTTCACCTACGCCAACCTCGCCGACACATCTCGCTCGTCCATCCACGACGCGCCCTCGCCATCCCGCCAACTCACCAAAATCCTGCTGCGTCTCGACCACGTCCTCAAGCAATGGAACCTCTCCCGCACAGCCATAAACCAATGCACGCTACTGCTGCGCTCCATGTCCGACTTTACCGTCCTCAACCCCATCTACGCCCAGTACTTCTCCTCCGCTAACCCGCCCGCCCGCGTCACGGTCGCAGTAGGGTCCTGCATGCCAGAGTCCATCGACGTCATGCTCAGCATCACGCTCGACAAACCCGCCCCGGCGCCACACACCCGCAAACGCAAACCCCCCCGCCCCACGCACCGCCAGGGCCTGCACGTCCAGGGCCTCAGCTACTGGGCCCCCGCCAACATCGGACCCTACAGCCAAGCCATCTCCGCGCCGCTGCCGTCGAGCCACTCTGCCAGTCACTCTCCCGGCGCCACGAACTCCCCCGAGATCGTATATGTCGCAGGCCAGATCCCCCTCATCCCCGCCTCAATGCAGCCCCTCACAGCCCACGGCTTCGCCGGTCAAACCGCCCTCGCCCTCCAGCACCTCACCCGCATCGGCCGCGCCAAAGGCGTGCGCTGGTGGACCCACGGCGTTGCATACATCGCCAAGAGCGAGACACCCGAAGAGCGCGTGCGCACTGCACTCGCAGCGTGGAGCGCACTGCATTCCTCCTCTGACAGCGTCAAGGGAGAGATAGATGACGACGAGGACGACGACGAAGACGACGTGGTCGATCCGTGGGACCGCCGCAACACGCACGCGCCATCGTTCGTGGACGCGACGCGGCGCGCGCCTGTACCAGACCGGGTTGTGTTGGCGGGGGGTTCAGGCCGCGTGCCGCCGTGCTTCGTGGTCGAAGTTGAGGGGCTGCCGCGGGGTGTAGATATCGAATGGAGCGTCGCAGGGCTCGCGATACCAGAGAGCACGTCGCAGGCGGTGTGTCTGGCACGGTCGCCGGTGCACCCGGGACTCACGCTTACGACGATTGTGCCGAGCGAGGGCGGCGGTGGTGGTGCAGGGAGCAGTACCCGCTTCCTCACGCTCGAACTCGCGACGGCTGCCTCGCCTACTCTGCTCCGTTCTCTTGGTGCGGAAAGCGTGCGCGATTGGACGGCGGCGACGCTGTATGCTTCGCCTTCTTTTGAGTGGAGTGCGGGCGTGAGGGCGAGTATGAGTGAGGGGATGAGCGAGAGTGTGAATGCTGGGGCCAAGATGAGCCTCCGCGGCGTGCAGTGGGTGCCGTGTCGGCGGGTGTGGGGCGAAGGAGGGAGGGAGGTTCAGGGTGTGGTTGTGGGGAGGTGCGATGGTGGGGGAATGAGGGTTGGGGGTAGAGATTTTGGGAGGAGGGTGTCGAGGGGGTGAGGGAAGGGATTGGAGGAAAGGAAGGAGACGGACTGGAAGAAATGGGTAAGGGGATGTAATCGAAAATCTGGTTGAGGAATTTAGTCGGAGGACTAAGTCGGAGAATATAGTCGAAGGATATACTCCAAAAATCTAGTCAAAAGAACAACCTAAGCAGAGGAAATAGTGAATATCCTCATGTAGCAGTGCTCTCTTCACCAGCTAGTCTGATAGCGCTCTAAATCAAAGTCTCCGTGAATAAAATAATAGGGAATTTAATGTGTATGGTCACGGTGGTTCAGTTCGAACTGTAATGATGGCACTTGGTAGTTGCTAGATGTGGAGGTATAGTACTTTCACAAGTTGATAAACCGTAAATCGAAGCCAGACCAGCACCAAGTAAGAACGAAACCAAAAACGGTAAAATCCGATACTGAATCCGCGATCGGGCCTACATAGCGCCAGCGGCGATTTGGGACCAATGATTAACTACCAGTGATGCAGACCCATGTTATTGCGGCGCGGACGCCAGCAGGTAGCCCATGTTGGTGGCTGCAACGCTCGAATCCTCACGAGATACCACGACGAGAAACGGAAAACGTTTTTGAATACTGAGAGCAGAGAACAGAACAGCACAAAATGAACCCTGCACCATGGTACGTAAATAGAACAGCCCTTGGCCAACTTACTTCTTAAGCGCCCATCTCGCTGTTTTCCTTCTCTGCTTCATTCCATCTCGAGATTCCCTTCCACACCACCGGGCATCAACGTCAAGACAATATCCGAGACATTTGTATCGCATCGAAAACAATGTTAGCACTGAGCGCCCCAAGCCGTCTTAATCGTGCGCTTACACCGCCAGAGCACGCCATGCCCGAACTCAAGAAGCGCAAGCGCGAGCAAGGCCCCAAGAAGCTCTTCCATCTCTCCATAAAATCAGACGGCACCATCGCATTCAACCTCGCCTCGAAATTCGACGCCTTCCCGAGAAAGCTCACGTCCCAGATCATACGGCAGATCATCGAGCGGCACGGCTGCTCAGTCCCCAGAGCGGTCTTCAGCATATACCACACTGAAAGCCTGCAGCCGTACCCTGCCGCCCCGTACGGCTTCCAGAAGGCCTCGTACTCGCTCGTCGGTATGGCGAATTTGCTTGCTTTGGACCATTTCTGTGTCGAGAAGCTGGAGGGCTGGGATGTGAGGGAGGCGGAGTGGGTGAGTCTTGAGCCGCGGGTGTTGGTTGACAATCCGCACTTTACTGAGCTGCATGCTCTTCGAGTGGATGATATTGGGTGGGGGTTCGATCGGAACGGTTGTTTGTCGCTGTCGGTGGCTAGGGAGGAGGAGGTTTACGTTCGTAGGTCTTCTGTGTATGTGCAGAGGCTCGTGCAGTCTGCAGAGAGCTGAGTGCCGACTGGGGCATTTACGCTCTTGTGGCGAGCCGCAAAGTCGAAGATAGCAGAGTTCGTTTCGTAATGCATGCACGATGATGAGGTTCGACTTGGTTGATTGAATGTTAGTATCGTATGACTGAACCATTTCTCTCACCTCCATGCTCTCTTACGTCCATGCTCTCTTACGTCCATGCTCTCTTACGTCCATGCTCTCTTACGTCCATGCTCTCTTACGTCCATGCTCTCTTACGTCTATGCTCTCTTACCCCATGCTCTCTTGCCCCATGCTTCTCTCGCAAAACTCAAACTCACCTTATGAGCGGTTATTCCCTCACTACACAGTTGAGAGGCAGCCCTTGGATCCGCATTCAATCACCTGGTATCTGACCAGAAGATAATCTCAACCTCCTCCAACCAACACACATCCACGATCGCCGCCCTCACCCTCTGCCTGCGCATCTCGTCTTTGTCCCGCATATCAACACCAGTAGACAAGGTAACTCGAGCCAGTTCACGTCGTCTCAACACAATCCATCTGACCCAACTCTAGACCAACATGCCAATCAACAGTAAGAGACCAGCAGCTGAGCAGGCAGGCCCCACGAGCCCAAAGAAACCGCGAGCGACCGACGCAAAGGACATGAATGACGACGACAAGTACGAGTCTGTTCAAATTTCGACGGAGCTTCACGACAAGTTCGAAAGATACCCAAAAACACTGCGCCACATTGTTGAAGAGGCGTACGTGACTGATGTGTACGACATCATCGAAGAGTTCAAGGCTGGCCGTTATCCACCACGACAGTCCAAATATCACATCGTCCGAGCGGCTCGTACACAGGGTGGTGACAAGACGGACTACAAGCTTGCCCAACTAGAAGTCTTCCCGAATACAAGTATGGCCAACGTCGCTGTGCTCGAGCAGTTTCGCAAATTCGCACCCTCAAAAACATCGAAGTTTGTCAAAGCTCCCGAGGTCGATCTTGCGAACCCACAATTTGCAGCACTACACTCGGTGCCCCCAGGGCAGATGGGGTGGGGGTTCGACAGTTTCGGGTGCATATCACTGCATCTGACTGTCCTTCAGGAGAATAAGCTGAAGCATTTCTCGATCTACGTGGAGCGCAAGGCCGTAATTGCGGTGAAGGCGGAGGCAGACGACGATTGCTTGATCGTGGACAATCCGAATACCGTTTAGGTAGACCAGCGTGAACTGGCACCACGACGCGAGACTTCTCACTGGAATCGATTACAAAACCGACGAAGATACGAAAACACTCAATCAGTATATGTAGTTAGTCGTTCTCAGCACAAATGGAAGATGACACCTGTAAAGTGTACACGAAGTTGACGTGAACGCGACATTGTGTGTGGTTCACCACGACCGTCGCAAACACTGGGTACGCGCACGCAATAGACGAGCTGAATACATCCCGCGGACGGCAGCCGAGAGACGGAATCAAGCTCGGGCGAGAGCCGGCTCACTTTACCGCCAGGGGCCTTATGAACTCACAAGGATGATGCACTAGACGCATATTCGATACACGCAACGAGAGAAGCGGGGGCGGAGGGCGCGATTCGTTCGAGGTTGCGGGCGATTGATGTTGATAACTTGAAGTCGGGGAACGACTGGGGAACTATATCGCAAGGCGCGAGACCCTGACTAAGCTGGATGTTGGTAGGGCGGTGAGCGCGGGCACAAAGAGTGAACCATGAACGCCGCGCTTTCACTCTCGAGTCTCCCACCATACCACCTCGCCTACTTGCACTGTGTCATTCGCGCCCGACGACCGCTTGATCCGGAACGTAACGCTGAACGGGATAACACGTCGCTGTATCTTGATATTCACGAGTAGAAAGAGCCAAGAGAACTCAGGATGAACGCGCCAGACAGGTACGTTCAGATACTCTCCTCTCTCCAAATCGCTGCATCGGGCGTCCTGGGCGGAAATAGTTGTTCGGCGATGAGGGTGGCATACTGGAGACAATTTGGGGCGACGGTGGAGATCATGCCGATTGTGGCGCTCTCTATGCGCCTGCTGCGCTTCTCAAGCACGCATGTGCTCTATGGGGAGCTAATCCGGCGCCGTGTGTTAAGGGTGCTTCTGCGCAGCGGAGAGAGATCACCTCGAAGCCCGTCTGCTGTTAACGTAGCGCCATGCCCATGACCGCACACCAGACCTCTGAGCATGATCTTCATCGCTGTAGGATGAAACAGGGCGACGACGCGACGCAGCGAGGCGACTTGTCTATAGCTCGCAGACCAGAACCTCATTCTGACGATGTGCTGGACAGATTCGAGCTCTTCCTGCTGGACGACGGCCAGCAGAAGGTCGAGTACAAGGAAGAAACCCGTAAGACTGAAGCGCGCAGTTGACTTCCACACGCTGACCGTGCTCCAGGTGTGCCCAATACCGCGATCTTCACGTTCAACAAGGAAGACCACACACTCGGCAACCTCCTCTCGCAGCGCCTCCTCAAGTACGAATACATTGTCTTCTCCGCCTACAAAATCCCGCATCCTCTCTTTGCGACCTTCGAGCTGCGCGTTCAGACCGACGGCACTATCACACCGAAAGAGGCCATCATTCGGGCTTGCAAGGATATCGTCCAGGATCTGCACGTGCTGAGCAGCAGCTTTCAGACTGAATGGCTCGGCAAGAAGATTGTCAGCGAGGGCGAGGCAGACAGGATTGCGCGTGAGCGTGACGCTTTCTAGAGCGCTTCTGGAAGAGGCAGGAGAGAGTGCATACTACGGCGTTTGGGAAGCAATTGGCACGTTGCTAAAAGACTGGCGTTGTGATTGGGTACGAACAGAAATTAGCCACAATGCTTGTAGTATCATAAATGTGAGTTGGTCATTAAAGGTGTTAGATACCTCGAGTATGCGCGTACGTCTCGCGCAACAACAAACAAACAGAATAAAACAAGTGTGTAGGAGCCACTCTGATCATCAGATATACTTACCACCTTCGCCGTGGCCATCTGTTTGACCCCGTGATTGTCCAAAACATGCTCGCACAGGGACTACCTGGCCCTGAGAGCATGGAATAGAACCATATCCTCCACAACACACTCCCCCTGCAATCGTGCAGTTGCAAACAACTGACCAATTGATGCAATTTCGGTCACATAGCGCGCATGGTGTGTTTAGCTTCCGACTTAGTTTCGCCACGACGCCGTAAGTTGCTTTTGGAGCTGAACACAACCGGCCCTTAAACCACACCTCAACCCAGACTTCACCTTCACACCGACATCGCACAATGCGATCCATCTGATCTGCGCGTCTCCACGTCCGTGTGCCGCCCATCCACAACATGCGTGACCAGAGTCATGCCCCGAGCCCGTCTGGCCGGTATCCCCCCGACGCCAGGGGTGCGTCCCACATCCCGCGCGGGCCACCACTCCCTACAACGGGGCGCCGTACACGTGACTCGGCACCGTGGCGGCTCCCTTTTCGCAGATTGCCTTGTCTCGCATCTTCGTCCCTCGTTGCACAGTTGTTTCCCGTTGTTTGCGCGTCGCTATGCATTCCAATTCGTCTGCGTCGTCGTTTTCCGTCTTTACCATTATCCAGTATGCGTTTCTAGCGCTTCTCGCGTATGTTTTTGCGGGCGCGCCGCTGCAGGAGATTTTGAGAGGGAAGGGGGGTGCGTACTCGCGCGATATCAGCCCTATGAGTCCGCAGAAGCTCTATAGTATTGTCGTTCCAGATGCAAATTTAACATGTGAAGCGCATGCGTTTAGGAGTGTGCATGTTATGAGTAGAGAGCCGTTGGTTGTGTACATTGAAGGGTTTTTGGGTGATAAGGAGGTGGATGAGGTGGTGACATTGAGGTATGGCTTGACCCTTAAACATGCGCACCTGAATATGTCTCATCTCCATTAGCAACCCTCTGTTCGAACCTTCCACCGTCTGGACTTCAGGGAAAGAGCGCCTCGATACGAGCATTCGACATTCTAGCAAAGCAGCTGTCCCGCGTTCGCAAACGGTACAATGCATAGAGTCGCGTGCGCGTGCGTTCCAGGGATGGCGTCCCTTTGTCTTTGTAGAAAAACTATGGGCGCAGCGCTACGGTCCGAACGGTCACTACACCTATCACTACGACTGGGCAAGTGCGAGTCAAAGCATGGGAAGAATTAGCAGCTATATGGTTTGGCTGGGCGATGCGTGTACAGGAGGTGGAACGCACTTCCCGCGGATCAAGAGGCCAGAAGGGGACGAATGGTGCAAGTTCGTGGAATGCGATGGTGAAGAGAAGGAGGGTGTGGTGTTCAAGCCGGTCAAAGGCAATGCTGTCTATTGGGAGAACATTCGACCTGATGGAACGGGATACGACGAAAGTTGGCACGCCGGGCTTCCGGTCTTGAGTGGGGAGAAAATTGGATTGAACATCTGGAGTTGGTTTCAGGATGGGTATGTTCTGCCGAAAGAGGAGGAACAGGGAGCTGGACTGGACTGAGAACGTTGAAGGCGTCAATCTTGACGCAGGAGCTGTCGTACCGATCGATTCCAAGGCGATTGTTTGCTTCGCTTCGCTCGTACGATGTCCTGAACCACATGCGGTGCAGCAAGGGGCTCCCCACAAACAGACTACTCGTGGTCACCACAAGTCTGAAAGTCACGTTATTCGCCACGGGACATCATTGGTTCGATCTCGAGGCGCAGCTTCGTTGATTCGTGGGGAAGAGCAGCAGACTGCAGGTGTTTCTCAGCCTTGTGGCCTCCACCACGGAACACATGGGTACTCAGGTCCGCTGCAGCCATGACTCGGCTGGCAACCAGCATGTATACGTCACTCGCATGACTGACTCTCAGCAAACCTGAAAGGATCTGCACCGCTGACTACTTACTCATTCTGCGAGCAGGAGACTCGGGAACGAGGAAGTACGCATGGACTTCCAACGCACAGACAGAGAGGACTTACATGTGATTCACGACGGTGTCATCGACATGTCACTGGACTAGGCACTTCGGAAAGCTTATGGCGGTCAAAACTTTTCAACCGGCGTTTCAGCCTTACGCGGCAGCCAGTATCTGAGCCATCACCTCCCAAGGAGTGTTATGGTAAAGGTGTATGTAACATGGGCTATTATACTTGGGGAGGGTTAGCAAAGGAGCTCAATAAGCTATCTGCATAGCTGATCTAGCAATTTGGGCGACGTGTTTCTTGGGGGCAATCAGACATTGTTGACTTGAGGGTAGATCAATTTCGCAGTGCTGCGAACGAGCTCTATGCCACTCTGACTATACTTAGTATTGCTCTGGCAAGCGAATCAAGATACCTCCGGCTCGACACGAGCCATCACTCTGAATGAAAAAAGTGGGTCGGCGTATGGACGCGACGAAATGATATCGTAGTCGTACCCTCCATCGACCAGCCTCATGCCAGCAACGTTCTTGCCGATGAGTACTTAGCCAGTATACATACAGCCATGTTGCCATTACTATCATTCTCGACCGACTGTGATTCTTTCTGAATCTGCAAATGAAAACGAGTCTGCAAGTTACCGCAGCCTTGCGCTCTCCACGCACCATCCCCCAAACCCAGCCCCCAAACACCAAGACAGTAGCGCCCGCAGCATTCTCGACTACGGCCATATTTCCAAGCCGTCGCAATAAACTCTCGGTGACTAGCATACACCACGCAGCGTAAGCGGTGTTGATCATGTCCAGCCCCAGCTATCTCCACAGCCTACGCGGCCAGCCCGCGGCACGAGCAGTCCCTCACACGCACTTTCTCTCTCTGGCCCCGCAAGCATCCCTGGGAGCGGGAAAGTCTTCCATGTGCGCCGTGCAATCTTCCAAGACAAACTGGCAGCAAAGTGCACTCAAGGCTGAGGATATGCGGGATAAGTGCAGGGGATAGTGAGAGAGCGATCAGTCTGACGCGGCCTTCTGAGACAACTTGATAGCGGTATACACACCAGGCTGAGACTGTGGGGGCGGCGCGAGGTATAAGAAGAGGAGAACGACACAGCCGTTCGGACTGACCATCTTCACACTCCACCCGAGCATCATTTCTTCTCTCTGGCAATTATTGAGAGTCTTTACCTGAGCCTGTCAGCCACCTAAGAGCGTCAACAATCTCATTCACTTCGTTCACCTACCTCCAAGCCGTACTTCACGCCACACTCTTCTCCACCACCAATCATCATGTGCGAGTGGATCCTTGCCCCCTTCCACTGCCTGTTCAGCTGCCTCGACTGCATGTTCAGCTGGATGGCGTGCTAGAGCCTCGACGCGGTGCTCTATCCTCTTGCCCTGTGTTTAGGCCTGCCTGACGGGTAGACATCGCCTTAAAACACCTTGATAGGGATTGGAGTCATCAGAGGTATTGTTCCTCCTTCAGGCCGGTCAAGTTTACATATCAGAGCCGACGGGTACCCTGGGTACGATTGGGGGTTCTGGTTGGAGACAAGCAGGTTGAAATGCATACTGAGGTTCTGATATAGTGTGCGGGGAATATGACTTCGAAGGTTTCTTTTACCTTACACCACGCAGATAATGAAGCACAACAATGTTTCTTTCATCGTTTATCATCTAACATTTCTCGTGAAAATCAGCTTACACGGCTTGTACCTCGTCGCTGTCAACGTCCTACGCTCCTCAACACCTCCCGCTACTTTCTCTATGCTATAATCCCCCCATACACTCTTCACCATCTCCATTATCTCGTCAAATAGCTCTTGTTCGAACAGCTTGCCATATCGGACGCTGTTGCGAATCAGCTTGGAGTCTAGCAGCTCCAATTCCAAGCACTCCAACTCCACGAGGACGCGGAGCAGTCCCTCCAGATGCGAGAGGTCAATCCTAGGCTCCGCTGATCTTACGGGGAGGACGTCAGCGTGTGGAACCTCAAGAGGGATGACAAGTCTCTTGATTTGGTTCTGTTGGTGGAGGCAGTCAGCGAGTCTCTCCAGCCCTTCAGCCTCAGCTTTGTGTAGCTGGATGGTGACAGGCATTGGCTTATGCCAGTGTTGCATGGAGGGACGTGGCAGCGGGGAGAATGTCATCTTGGTGAGCGATATCGACTTTGCCTCGCTCAGTAGCATAGGGAGGGTGTCAGCGGACCGCGATGCATGTAGATGCTTGCAATCCAGCACCCAGTGGCTCTTCGTGTTGAATGCAGCCATGGATTCGTGCAAGAACGTCTTGCTGAGTAGTAGCCACTTGGGCAAGGGTCCGGGGGTCGACTTGCCAGCGTGTACAGACATGCCGCGCATAGTCTCCACGCCCTTGGCTGCGTCGTCCAAGTCTGCATCAGTTCTGGGCTCAGAGGACCTTTGCGTGACGGCGACAATGCCATGGTCTTGCCACAGTTCGACATAGACCATATCGCGGAGCTCCTGAGGCAGACTGAAGAAGCCTGGAGTGTCGGTAGTGAGGGCTAAAATGTCTTCCGCCCGTGGTACATCGACTCGCACGCGCTTTTGGAGAGACATTGTGGTATACAGTGTGGTAGATGTAGTTAAGAGTGATGTGTGTGATCGGGTTTGAATATGCTAGCTGCTCAGGTGAATGTAGTCGCGAACAAAAGGCGTAAAGAATTACGCGTGCAATACTCAAGGCTTGATCAGTTGATGGTGATATTAAAAACATATTAGAGACACGAATGATCTTTATAATGGCAGGAGAAGAGAGGGCTTCCTCTCAATCACTGGCGCGAGGGTTTGACGAAGGAAGACCATCAGCTGCGGCCAACGGGAATTTTCCTGATCAATCGTGACACTGGTACTGTTTAATTGAGAAGTAATAAGATATAGGGGTTTCTGGCGATTCTACGACACCCTGGATGCTGAGGCTGGTTCGCGTATTGCGGACCAAATTATAAACTCAAAGGCATCTTCAACCGATAAGCGCATTTGTCGCAATAGATGTCGACGCATAGGTTGTCTAACAAGTCTGAAGTAATATGCAGACCTCTACAACCATGGAACAGAGATGTACTTATAGGTAGCAAGGGCCTCTGACTAGCTAAAAGAGTCTGGTTAGATGTCCTGCAGGACAACAACGCAGGAATTAACCAATAATAGGATAATTTGTTAATTGCTACCACAGTGCGTACCTACATTGTGTAATCTGTTCCATAGTTGTAGGGGTCTGCACCAAATCGCCAACAATTATAAAGGAGATGTACGGTTGCAACATTGCGCAATTGTAAGATGCATTGTGGATAAGAGGGTTATAGGACCAACGTAGCTGCCTCTATATACCATGAAAAGCAAGCGCGCACTGATCAGGTGCTTTAAGTGAACAGTGCAGATAAGTAAAACACATGATGTGGATCCCGTTCTTCCGACTACATGTTTGCTAGTTCAAGGATATATACATAATTAGAGTCTTCGTCAGCTAGCTGGTCCTTATGTTGTCATGCCACGCTGGGAAGTTCTGACTGATTCCTTATTAACTGTCAACCCTAGGAAACACTCCAATACATATGCGAGAGTAGGCGCTTGAACAGCTGCACATCTGATATAAAAAATCACCGTGCCGCCCTAACCTTAATAAACAGCGGTCGTTGCCTTTCGGCGCGGGAATTGAAAACGCTTGGGAGGAGGCGTCGCCGGCCTACTTGACTGTGAGCCCCTGCGTGCTCGAGGCTTTCTAGGCTCTTCAAATATCGGCACGTACTCTGGTGTTGCCCGTGGTTTTGGGTATGAGCCTTGCATACGATGTAAAGGGCTTGGTCCGTTTGCTGGATTGTGTGAATGAAGTTGTTGTTTCGAAGGCCCAGATTCCTCATAGGTTGGCCCATGATCTGGTGTGGGAAAGACGCGGCCTGCGTTCGTGTAATATGGTGGCCGCGCAGGTGTTGGTTCGTCGTCGTAGATTGGTGCGTATTCAGGATGATTTCGTGGTGTCGGGTATGCACCTTGCATAGAATGTAAAGGTTCATTGGCTGGTGCATACGAATAGTGTTGTTGTGCGATAGGGGTTGAAGTGGGAGTAGTGCGAGTGTAGAATGGGTTACCGAAACCTTCATAGGGCGGGGCATAGGGCTGAGAATAGGGTGGGACATAGTATGGCTGGGAGTGCGGGTCGCAATTATATACCCATAACGGACTTGGATTCGGAACGTGTCGGTAGCCTTGAGGTTGGTAGTCCGGATAATGTGCGGGATACCCAGGATAAGTCGCTGTTGGTGAATTGGTGTATTGGTATGAGGGAGCTTGATGAAAATCGTTGGTAATGTAACCCGGTGGCATGGAAGCAGGTCGGATGTATGGGTCTGAGCCTTCTGCTACGTAAGGTCGACGGACAAGAGTATCGTCATCTTCGTCATCGTAGCGATGAGCTCCAACGGTAGCACAATCTGACCGGATGTCATACTCAGAACCCAGAGTCGAGGGTGCAGAAGGCGGAGATTTCTTGGTTGCGAAGTCCGCTGCAAAATGAGCACTTTTAGTAGTTCTGGTGTTGCTGTGAGGCTGGACAGGTTCTGGTGTTGGTGTCGGGGGATTTGAACCCTTGGACATATGGACGGTGGCTGCTGCTGAGCCATTACCATCATCATCGGAAAACCAGTCTTCAACGTAGGCTTGATAGGCTTTTGACTTAGTCGATGGAGCGGCTGGGGATACAGCTGGAGAATCCGGTTCTGCTTCAGACGAGTTTTCGAGATCCCAGGAATCATCAGTATCATAAGTGTATTCATCCGAAAGACCAGCCTCAGTATGGGAATCGGATTCGCTCTCTGCGGGCGCACGGCGACGATTCTCCATGTCCCTCATAGGAGAGAAGTAACGCTTCCTGTTAGGCTCCCTACTACAAGATCTTTGACGGTGGTAATTTGTTCCAGTATTAAAAAACACCCATTGTTTAGACGTCACGCCTTTGTTGTGTGGATTTGTACTCGGTGTGGATGTAGTTGTGCCCGACTTTGGCTGGTCGTTAATCTTCTCTGATTTTGGCATATCGCAGTTGACTTCACGAGCCAAAGACGTCTCCTCATCCTCGACAAAAGGCTGGGGCGGGTAACGCTGCCTTTGCGTTAGGTAACCTCTCGCCCTCATGAATCGGCTCCGCGACGCAAATTGTAGGTTTGAGGTGTTGGGCTGCTGATGTCTTGGATCAGCTCGACCTGTCTTAGAGGGCTCTGTAGTCGGCATAAATGCATCATCTCGAGCCGATATCCCAGTGGCAACAGATCGCGAACGTGCATTGAACTGCTGACCTAAATCCGTTGGCCTGCTAGTGCTGAGGTCATGGGCGTTGTGACCTTTTTCCATACCAGATAAGCGTTGTTTGACAGACGATTTCACCGACACACGAGCCAGCGACATCGTCTCGGAACCACCTTCTACTGACGATGCGACACTCTCGTCTGCATCATCATCTTCCAGACAACAGCGCCCAGCAAAAGCGAAGGTCGCAGTTGGATCAAGACTGTGCTCGTAAATGTAGTCTTGTATAGCATGTGCGTTGCAGCGATCTTCCCGTTTGAGTTGCAGCATATTGGAGATCCATGGTGCTGGGACCTTATCTACTTCAGGACCTGGAAGGGCTTTGATGTGCTCGATCCACAAGCCAACGCTCTCGAAATTAGCGCTGTACGGCGAAAATTTTGTACCAGTGCTAGACATATGCTCATGCAGAGCTTGTATAGTGTTGCGGTTCAGCACTGTCCATATCTCGAGGAACACGCAACCGAGCGACCAGATATCGGCGGACCAGTTGCGTTCGGCGTGGTTGGCAACCTCAGGCGCACTATATCGCGGTGTTGCCCATGTTGGTCCCTCTGTGGTACTGTTGTTGATGTCGTTCCAGTCTAAGGCGAGCCCGAAATCAGTGAGTAGTACTCGCCCTTCGTGAACGAGTACGTTTTGGGGCTTGATGTCTTTGTGTCGGATACGATTATCGTGGAGATAACCTAGAGCTGTGGCGAGACAACCGAAGAAGGTTCGTAAGAACGATCTTGCTCCAACATCCAAGTTTCCCGTGAGATACTCGTGCAGATTACAATCCGCGACCGGGCTTGTGATGATGCCAACATATCTCGGGTCTGTATAACTGCCAACGAACTCTACAATATGTCGATGTGCTGATAGCTTTTTGAGGCTTGATAACTCTTTCTCAAAAGATCGCAAGACCTCTTTTTCCCTTCTGAAGGTCCTGCCTCGAGGAATCAACTTCCTCGCATACTCTCTGTGGGTGATGGTGCTCAACACGCGATCAACAGAGCCAAACCCACCCTTGCCTAGCTCACCGGTTGTTCTGAGGGGGACTTCGGATGCATCGCGAAAATGGCTATGCTTTGCATGGACTCGCTCAAAACTCACTGCTTTCGCATTGAAAACCAGGTGTTGATTATCGAGAAAGGACAGCCGTGCAGGATGATCATGGAAAGACGTGGGCAGACTTTTCTGAGAGAAAGGGAACCACACATCGGTTATATCTTCGTCTAGGAAGTGGCTAATAGCCTCAACCTGACCGATGACCCTCAGGACGCTGTAAATCCTTGGAATCCTGCTCCAAGCGTCCTGCGAATCGCGCACCAGCAGCTGCGCGATGTTCCGAATATCCGTTTCGTGCAAGTGTATTTGCTTTGTACCTCCATCAGCCGAGAACCAGGCTTGCATCAGACTTTCGCAGTCGATTCTCGCCATGGAGGGTCATTCAAGGCGGGCACGGTCGTAGACGAGCGGCGCGCCGGGTGGGGTGCACTTGTCGGCTCGGTCCGGTGCGAGGACATCGAGGCTGGCCGGCGGGCTTCAGCCTAACAGCGCAGGCCTGTCATTTGCGACGGTACACGACAGGTCGGGTGCTGGATGGGGCAACGAGTGCGTTGCGCAAAACGTGGTGTGTAATCGGAAGAGGGCGGTTGCCACAGCCTGATTGCTCCATGCCGGGGGCCTGGCCGAGGTGCTCGCTTGCAATGCAGCTTCCCATTCTTGGAAACTCGGTTCGCGAGGCTGAGTTGACATTATCTCACGCGCAAGGTTTAGCGAAGTACATCAAATAACTGATATAACAGTAAGTATTTGTCTACCTAGGTACACCCAGGCTGCCTTATAGCAAGCCTCCTCAACTCCAACTTTTTTACTCTCATCCTTGCCGCCATGAGCGTGTAATGCCTCTACCACTTGGTGCCGTTATCTCTGGTGTGAAAAGCCGCGCTCACGCTGGTTGATACAAGGACAGACGTGTGGTGATTTTTGCTTAATCGCGCCTTGCTCGGGAGGAAACTGGTGTGTGACCATGCCAGACCTCGTTTGCTGCTTCGATTGTTGCGTTTTTGGGCGTGCGGTCTTGGTCTAGCGGAAGGACCCAGAGTGATGTGCTGACCCATGCGCTTCTCGGACACGGATAGAGGCGTCGATTGGCCTGTCTGAGGTGTGGAATTCCGGATTCCATCGACCATCCAACAACGCTATGATGCCACAGCAATCCTCGATAGGGCGTTCACTCGACGGAGTGATGGGCGTGGCTCTTGATCGTGCTGTACTGTCTCGTGTCGTGATATTTGAAGGTATACGGTCTTTGATGCGTCGCCGGCAACGTATAAGCCGTCCAGAGGAGTAGTCCTTTCGTCGATGTACTTCGTGATGCAGAACGTTCGACACGGCGACGCTCAAAAGCGTGGCGTACCTCCACCTCGATAGGCACCGACCGGTTCGCCACCCAAGTCAATATGTTCAGGTTCCATAATCGTATCCGTCTCTTCATCCAATGTTATGCTTGTCCATCTCCTCATCAATCCAGCTCCCTCTCGGCCTCGCCGACCCTGCCCTCCTCCGCCACCGATCCCGCTCCTCCTCGGTCGAGTTCTCCCACCCTACCTGCCCGCCATTGCGCCACAACACATCGGCCCTGGCATGCGTCACGTCGCCGCTGACGTTTCGAGGGTCGACGAAATCGGGGTAGTACGAGGGGCTGACGAGGGCGGAGGGAACGGACGCGCGGCCGGTGCAGGAGCCGTTGCTGGTGCCGCGGCTGGTGTGTGCACTAGTGGTCTTCTCGAGGGTGAGGCCCGTGCAGCGGTGATCGCAGGAGCCGGTGGCGTTGCAGGGGCTGTTATTCTTGGACGAGTTGCGGACGCGGACAATCTGGACGAGTTTGCCGAGCACGGCGAATTCGAGCTTGAGTTTGATGGAGTAGACGACGCCTTTGAGTGTCGTCTCGATCAGGTACAGGTTGGCGTATTCGGTGGCGAGGAGCGCCACGTCCATCAGGATGATGATCACGTTGATGGCGAGGATTTGGTACATGGTCTTGCGCACGCTGGCGCTGCGCAGCGGACTCGTGCCATCCTCGAAGGAGTTGACCTCGTCTGGCACGGCTTCACCAAGGCGGAGCAGCCGGACCGTTTCGCGGATGTAAATGACGGAGAGGATGAGTTCCTGGATAAAGAAGCCGGTCATCTGGATCTTCTCCATGATGGAATAGCCATTGACGAATCGTCGGAGGACTTCGTCGGAGAGATTGTTCGAGTTCGAGGCGAAGGTGAGCACGGTCGTGATCGAATGCAGGAGAATGCCGTTGGTGATGATCATGATCAGTGTCCAGCGAAGGATCCTCCGGGAGTTGGTGAGAAGATGCAGACGAGACCAAAGCACCACCGACTGGCCAGATATCATGGTCCACCACCCAATTGTAAGAAGCACTACAGCGACAAAGCCAGGGTCGTCGTTGGGATCCAGCAGCTGGAAAAACTTGATGATGAAGCCAAGTGTGTACGGCAGCACTCCGAACCCAGCGATCAAGAGACTCCAGAAGTATAGCCCTTTATACCGCTGGAAGGTAACCAGGACCAGAACGATGAGCTCGACAGCATTGTAGAGAGATAGGCCAAGCAGTACCGCGATGATAATCTTAAGGCTGAGGGAATCACCTGTGTAACCTGGATATCGTCAGTATAGAATGAATCTAGTGGATCCATCAACCATACCTCCGGTAATACCGGCACCAGCAGATAGCAGCGCACCCAGAGCCGGCGTCGACTCTTCAGGAATCGAGGACTCTGTGGGGCTAGGGATCGCACTCATTGACACCGAGATGGCGATATCCATCTCCTTGTATCAAATCTTGATCCACCAGCGCACCTCCCATCACACCACCACACAAAAAAAGCGCCTCTCTTCCACGGCACTGGTCACCGTCCGGGTAGTGGAGCGAGAATGTGGATGCAGCGGCAGCCGTCGCACAACAGGATGGGTTTCGGGTCGCCTCCTTCGACGTGGAGAAAACTCAGGTATAAGCATGTCGACACAGACCGGCGCGGCTCGACCACCTAATTACCGCGCACGCGCGCCCAACGTGGTGGGAAAAACACGCTGGCTTTCGAGCGTGCATGACGTTAGCCGCTCCACCAGCTAACGGCGTTGGGGCTGGCTGGGCTGGGGAAGTCGCTTGTGCGCCGGGACATCCTCGCTCGATCGGCGCTATGAATCCTGTGAGCGACTCTTCCTCCGCTTGTGGGCACCTCAAAGTGGCGTGGAAGCACGTCTCGTGGTGATGCGACCCTCGAATTTGCTCGACTGCCTTTCTCAACACCGTGAACGCAGCATCCAGCATCGATGAACGAGGCTGCCCAACGCCCCTTTCGCAAGCACACAGCCGTGAGAGCCACCGAGACGAGAAACGCAGAAGTGAGGCCGACAGCACCGACGACGTTTACTCAATCGGACCGGTCCTCCCGCCGGCTCACCTCCAAATCACGCCTGGGAAAAGCTTTCACACAGGCCATGCGTTTCAAGCGATGCGGGGTGCTGAACGTTTGACTGGAACAGTTTTCGCGCTGGCTCATGATTAAGTTAGCGGAAGCGAGCACACGATCCGGCGTTCGAAGCGCACTCGACGGTGGGCTTGAAGCTGGCGAGCCTGTGCGGCTGTGACTCGTCTGGCAAACCTGGGAGAGTCTGGCAAGCCGAACCTTCCATGTTCCGGCGGCGTTAGATTTGCGCGATCGCTTCACCGCAGATCGTCCATCGATCGTCCGGACGGCACAGCCCTCTTGTCTCATACTGATGCGCTCCCACTCCTTGTCCAGTCGTCGTCGTACAATGCTCGGCACCTTTTCGCTGCCAGGAAGGTGCGGCTCGCTGCCCCAAAGAGCCACGACATTACGCAGCTCGTGCTGCGACTGCAGGGTCCTCCAACCCCTTAAGCCCCAGCGGTGTAAGGGGCTTTGATAAGGCTTACATATAGTTATCGACGATGCATCTTAATTATCGGCGATGTGCACGCTGTGCTTTCCTTGCCTTCTGCACCGATCCAGAACCAGTCAAGAGACGAGAGCGGGGAGGCGATCTGCGATCAGCGCATCGCCGTCGCGAGTCGTGGTCGCGGTTGTGTCGCGGTTGTGGTGCGTGCGACGCTCACTTCAGCTCCAGCTGTGGCGACGTGACGTCCGTTTACACCTGCCGACCGAAACCATGTCCTTGCGCACCCATATCAGAGCCAGCCGCCATCACTATTATCTGCAGGTGTAACTCAAACTCTGTCCCTTCGACGTCCAATCTAGGCGCAAAAACTCGAAGTATAAAGAGTACGCTGCCGCACTAGTGATGCATCAGCACGATTGTGAGATATCCTCATGTACAGCGCCTGAGTTTCGCCGACAGGAGTTTGCACAAAAGAAAAAATAAGTAAAAGTAGTGCAGAAACAGCCGTTCTTTAGTGGTGTTTATCTAAATCCGTCGCAAATAGACCAGAAAACGAGCCTCTAGTGCACAGTTCCTGACTGCACTAAGTGCTTCGGAATCCATCGGGTGCCCGTTGGCGGAACTTAGTGACCACCACCTCCACTCATCCCCGCAGAACACACGCACAGAACCGCATTTACACCACTACCTAGAAAATCTACTCCTTTCGCAATAGCTCCCCCACCGGCCCCATGACCCACATGCGCGGGTCCTAAACTATCGTTCCAGACCCTGACAAGCACGCACAACCTACCCATAGTACTCCTCTACTTTACGATCCAGAGCGACCGAGATCTTGTGAATGCGATTTTCGGAATCTCGGGAGCACGGGCAATGGAAGGGGATACGGTAGCAGCACCCGAACGACTCTTGGCCGGTAGGTGTACCAGATATCGAAACGCCGGAAACTGCGGCCTTGTTCCTGCTATACACGGCAACATCGACTTCCCTCATCACTGCTACATCGGGAAAACACAATGTCCAAAGAAGATAAACCCTTGCGCTCGCAGCAGTGGCATACCTCGCGGAGCCCGCCTCAGGTGCTGTGAAAGCGAGTATTTCATTCCGCCACGAGGTCCTTGATACTGTGGTACTGCAGCATCGCGGCGGCAGCAATGTTGCAGTGCCAACATAAATCACACATTACAACCACCCGTACACCGCCTACAAATACTCCTCACGCCCCGGATATACCTACTTCACGTTCCACTCCCGAGGCACGGCTGTTGAATCGCTCCCAATATTTGGAACGCTATATAATGATGTTTCAAATCCGTCTCTTCCACATACGACCATAGGACGTTGAAAACAAGGCTTCCCGTTCGCTCAGCCCTATTTAAGCAACGTACCGGTGGATTAGTACTCAGGTGGGTGACCACTGGGGAATCCCCACTGTTGTATGTCATTCATTTTCTTTTTGCATCTCTTGGGGTCTCTTGTGCTTCTGTTGTCGCGGTATTGTGCGGAAATCAGGATTTCGAAGAGAGTTTGCAAGTGCATAATGTGGCATGGAGATAATTACTGAACTCCTTTATCAACGATAAGCGCATTGTTCTGCATTGAACTGATATTCAACAAACTTACGCATAATCACTCAGTGCAGCCTGTCATCTTTGACTCTTATTCTGTGTACTGAGCCAGTCGCAGGAACCGACGCTTGAGTCTCGCTGTTGGCTCAAGGATGGCATTGAAAGTCGACAGCCGCAGACCAGGCACTGGATCTTCTGGAGACTGGTCGACATGGATCAGCTCATGAGACGCGACCTCTTCCTGGCCAGTTGGCGCGCTGATGGAATCGTGTGGGTGTACTTGGGAGTGGGTGACAGACGCCTCCACCTGAGACACAACTGTGGAACGATCTTTGTGGCATGCGCGGGTAACTGGATGGTCTTCTCCGAGGATACCGCTGTGCCGGGCGCATGCTCTATCGTGCAGGGCGCGGGACTTCTTTTATACGAACGTCTTCTTTCCCTCCTCTTCCCGTAGATACCTTCTCTGTCTCTGTCAAATGCAGAAACGCCCTTACACCCCCTACAGTCATCTCTCACGCCATGGACCTACCGGACCGGACGCGACAAGCGGCGATGCAACTTATCGAAGACAGCGACATCATACCAATGGACACAATGGACAAGACAGCTCGAAAGGACTATGAATGAGGCCTTTTGAATGTTGGCTTGCAGGAGAGCATTGCAACCGTGCATCATTCCCAGGGGCAGAATCGGAATCAAGTCAACTTAACGCCCCTGCAGCGGGGTGTGATCGTTGCTGTTGACGTGTGGATGACAGTCTAAGTTGGACGTCTTCGCCTTCCATACCGGTTAGAAATTGATTGCCATGGGCATAAGTTCTAGCACTGCTATTTCTGCTTAGACTGGGGGTAGAGTACAGCCATGTCCATCCAAGACTGGCGGAGGGCAAATGTTCTCTGAGGTGCATACTCAGCGAACGGTAACATTAGGTGAATCTCGCTATAGATAGAACTATGTAGTTATTAACAGTATTATTACAGCAACACAAGAAATGTTACTCGGAATCTTGACATCGCACAACATCCTTGCAAAGCTTCTACACTTGAATGTTTCCAAACGTCCGCGGCGTTCCATTGTCAATGGCTCCCACCCGGTAAGAACTTCAAGAAGAAATCCCTTTTCTTCTCTTTCTTCGCTCTCTGTTCTTCGTGTCCTCTTTCGTCTTTTGTATTGATCCTTGCGTAGAGTTTTTCAAAAGCTCTCCCTGCTTCACTACCCAATCGTCCCTTGTAGCGCTTGTACACAAAATCTGGAAAGTGAAATTTGGCGGGGGATACGCAGAAAAGTCTTAAAGCACTAGGATCTCCTCCTTTCTCTGAGGCCATTTCAAGTACAGTACGACCGCCACATTGGAGATTGGTGATACCCCGGTCTGCATACTCGAGGAGCACCTCCATTGCTTTGTATGACTGGTTCTTAATGGCACAATGCAGGGGAAACGTGTTCATGGAATCAGCGCAATGACGCCGTAGTTGACTTGGATCCTTTTCCATCTCTAGTCGTACAGCAACTGAGTCGTTTTCCCTGATCGCAAGGCACAAGCCAGACGTGTGGGCATGAGCTGAGCGTGGCGTGGAGAGTCCACTATTGCTGATATGATTGGACAATGCACGAAGAGTGTCTACTTGTATCGGTGATGTTGGCGGCGTCGGTATACTAGCAGCGCTGGACTCGTTTGAGAACACTGGGGTGGCTGTGGGTGGCAGAGTCGAAGCCCGTGCGAGAGGTAGCACGATGTTGTCGGCTTCCTCGGGCGATCTCGATCTCGTAGTTGCTGATAGCGGCATAGGCTGTCGTGTAGGAGATAATACGGTGTTTGGCGGAAGCAGCGGGGCATCAGCGATGGTCGAAGGCCTCGGTAGCTGTAGACTTGTGGGACGAACTCGTTCGGTTATCGGGGCGACACGGCGCTGCTCATCGTATTCCCGATCAGGCAGTGCATCTGCAGTATTCTCATATTTCGTCCATTGATGCTGAATTTGCCGTAGTGTAGCGCATAAACCGCGCGCTCGTATCCGCTTTGTGTGGTCAATAAGCAGAGCATGACGGAAGATCACTTCTAGCCATTGTTTGATGAAGGGTTGTTGTGGCTCACCGTTGGACCTCTCATACAGTACATTCGACCATTCAATGACTCGAGGATTAACGGCAGCGTCTAGTTTGTTGTTGGGCACTGGTCCGGTGACTGGCTTGAAGTCCTGCAAATATCGGTATGGCGTTTGCTCTACATCGCCTTTCTCCCATGGATACGAGTCGCTCCTGATGTAAAAAAGACTTTGGTCACCGTCGTTACCAAGAAATTCGACCTCCAGCCGACTTTTGAGCTTGTGGACTCCTGACGATCCATAAAGCATGAAAGCCAGCATCATAAGCGTAACGCATCCGAGAGACCAAACGTCGCTGCCTCGACCCGCACGGCTGGAATTCGTTTCTTGGATCTCAGGGCCTTGATAAACACCTGCTGGTCTTGTGCCTGACGTCGCCGACGACCGAGAAGGGTTCAAGCTCGGTTCAATGTCGTTGTGCCCCTTTCTTGGCCTTGTGCCGATCTTGCGCGCTAGACCGAAGTCACTGATCTTGAATACAAGTTGGTCGTAAGCCTGATTATCCGGATGACTGGCTCCTCTCTCAAAGACCAAGATATTATCTGGCTTGATGTCAAGATGCAAGACATCCAGGTTATCATGCAAGCAAGCCACAGCGTCAACAACGTCAGTGAGGCTTGCAAGCAGAATGCTCTTCGTGCTGTATACGTCGGCTCGGTGCTGATTCATAAGGAAATCTGCAAGGTTGAATGATGCCGGTTCAAAGATCAGGGCATGACTGAGTGGGGTTCCGCTTTCGGTGAAGATGGTGAAGCTTCCAGAGTCGAGCATGATCATCTTGTGCCTCACGTTATCTCTCTTAAGTTCCTTTAAGATACCATGCTCAGTGTTGAAGTCTTTTGTGGTTTCATCCATATTCCGGGTTGCGTTCTCCTTGAAAGTTTTTACGGCTATTGTCTTAGGTGCATCCAGATTTCCGAAACTAGTTCCATCATTGATAACAATCTCCCAGTGGCCTCTTGCGATCTTCGTCGTCTGAACAGTACCCGAAGAACCACGCTTTGCATCAGCCAATGTCTCGATGAAGGGTAAACGCTCGTTGATGTTCACGTCTAGATGTTGATTCTCCCGTATACAGGCGACCCTGAACATGGGCTGCGCTTGAACAATCTCTCTGCAATAAGTTCTCTTTATGCCAAGCGCTTCCCAGCCTGAAATCGATAAAGGCAAAGACTCATCGGTCGGCGTGTTGGGGTTGGGAGGTAGGGGCCAGCGCATGAAAACGGTGAGCAATGCTTTGTGTTTCTGGTATAACAATAGCGCGAGTAAAGCTTTTCTCGAAGGATTGGTAGTGGCTTTGACATAAGCATCGATAATAGTGTCTTCGTTGTTCGGGGACTGAAGAGTGGGCTCTGTAGCTTGCTCGTTCGTTGAAGGTGCTTGTGGCACAATAAGTATGGGGCTCAAGAAATTAGGGTTCTGCTTGAAGAACTCTTTGAACAGTTGTCTCAAGGATGCGAAATCGAGTATGCGATGCAAGTCGTATTTGGTGAGAAAAGCCCGCCCATCCTGTCTGTCTAATCCAGGAATTATCTCGACGGTCCGGTCGATCATATCGCAGATGCGCTCAGCCAGCCTTTCTCTTTCAGATAGATCTGGTGCTGAGGAGCAGCTGGAGTGCCGCGAGGGCACTCGTTGAGCTATAAGCATTGCGATCGGTTGCCCATCAGGCGATTAGATCCCGAGGTCGTCTCCAGGTCCAACTTGTACGACGGGATTCGTCTGAGGAAGCGCACATCAAGTCGCAGGCGGTGTAACAGCGCTTGCGTGCATACAGGCACATGTGAGAAGACCTATGTAAATGACGTGCGTTTGCTGAACGCTTGGCAACAACATGCAAAGAAGAGTGAGGGTTCCAGCGACATGTCTTCCGGCGCAACAGCAGGCAGCAGGCAAATAGCTGTGTGAGTATGTGCCAAGTCGCGTGGCAGCGCAGGCAGTCACAGGGGCGACTCGATGTGTCGAATCGGGGCGTTGGCCCCGGCGCACACAGGCGCTTGTGACGGGCCGCGAACGCAGGTTCTCACCCCGCGTGCTGACACCATGCGTAAATAATTCCACCATTGTTTTCTACTATTCCAGCCTACCGCCTTGCGACAACGCATGGTACGCTTCTGCATGGTCTAGGCCAAGCTAAATGCTCCTTCAGTGTGTGGGCGCTGTCGTGCCATAAAGACTCAGACCAAGACACCAATCTGCCTTCCGTCGAGCCTTACTGTGCCAATCACCATGGTGCGCATCGAGCTTTCGAACAGCTACTACAGCCGAACAGGCCTTCTGAAATTCCTGCGATCAAAATTTGGCGATTTGAACTTCAAGTTGACTGAAGTTGATGACGCTTATTACACCTTTGAAGTTCCCAGAGAACTTACGTCAGTCAGTGTTCCTTCATGCGCGAGGCTATGACCTTCTAGCTAAAATTGATAGGCGGAACTGAGGTGAGAGGCTGTGTATATCGTGCCTGCGACCGGTGAAGACTAACGTTATCGTCTCTAGTGAAGCGAAGGACAACTAATGCATCAGTCCGCATTTCGTTGGAGCAAAGCGGGGTCGTACGCAGTGCAAGTGCTGTCCGTAGCTATCGTGATTGAGCTGTCTATATAGATCGGGCAACGCAGTCAGTCCTTGACACAAGGCTATACCACTTCTCTTGTGTGCTTCTCTTTAGTATTTTGGGGGCGCAAGATGTCTGGTGTGCACCATGATCCTAACCAGGCTTCAAGCAGCTTGCAGCGTCTCGTGTCCTCGGAGTCTCGGATACGGGAATCAGTCATGCGAAACGATCTGCTCTTTGCCAGATCCTTGGATGCTCATTCAATCGAGCTGACAAGCGTTAATTCCAACCCTTCTTACAGTCCCGACGAGATCACATTCAGGGATCACATCCATCTCTCCACTTATCTTGTACAAGATGCGAGTCGGACTTCCAACCAGAATACCTCGATTCAGCTCTAGTAAGTCCATTTACTTAGTGTGCGTCCCCCGGAACTTACCAAGAGTTCAGCTCTATACATCAGAAAAACACGTGGGCACCGCTAAGCGCAAGCCGAAAGATGATCGCTCTACTGTCCGACCACTATCAGCTTACGACTGGTTTCTTCCAAATCCTGGCTCATTTTCAAGACCGACACGTTGCGACAGAAGAATCATTTGCGGGGGCCTCGCGCTCTACGTATTCGTCCAACCGACTAGGTAAGTACATCCGCTGAATAAGTCAAAGCAAGGATGCTGAAACACAGGAGAGTTTGGGTGGATCTACAAATATTCTGAAAAGAAGCAGGTCGGAGCTGGGAATCCGTGGCGCATCAGGCATACGGGCATCTATCACGTATTTGACCGCGCACATGGGAGGACGACTCTCTTTGTCATAAGTCCTCGTCCCAACGCCTATTTTGCCACCCATGTCAAGACAATCATGCAGCAGGCAAAACATAGAGCGTTGTTACTCGCGAACCCAATGCTGATACATCCAATGCTCGTCACAAGCCATCTGTCCTTATGGCAAAGTTACCTTGAATACCATGAGGCTTTGCTCCTCAAACTGGTGAGAAGAGTGCAAATCTTATTGACGCATCTCGGACTGACTATCTCCCAGGATATGAAGCCAGCCTGCTCTTCGCTTGGCCAGTCTTCAGTCACATTTGAGACACTGAAACAGGTTCGAGAAGTTGAGAAAAAGATCATCCCTCTAGATTCCTTATTGACAGTGCTGGAGGGCCTGATCGATGATGTCCGAGAGGCGAGCCGAGTGTTTGAATCTCCTCGCGACTCTGACGATAGCGTGCTGGAGAGTATACAGGCGACTCTCAAAGATTCAAGAAGAGAGGTTACGTCGTATAAACTCCAAGCGTGTTATCTGCAGAGAAGGGCTCAGTCGAGTGCGCAGTCAGTTCTAGACGCCTTGAACCTGGGCTTCCAAAAGCTGGCCCAAGAGCAAAGCAGAAAAACCTCTGTCATGGCAAAATCAGCACGAGAAGATTCTGTAGCTATCAGAGCTATAACGCTTGTTACGTCATTCTATCTGCCTTTCTCTTTTGTTGCGGTAAGACAAAACTCCTACCTCATTTTTCGTCGCCAATTAACCGAATCTCCCAGACTGTGTTTGGTATGAATCTGGTGGACTTCAATGCGGAATCTCGCAACCTTGTCGTGTCAAGCCAGTTCTGGCTGTACTTTGTGATATCAGTGCCGCTCACCGTAGTCACGTTGGCATGCTGGCGCTGCAGGATGCAAAGATATCGAAAAGGTTATGTGAAAGAAGATACGGAGATGAGTGACGATGCAGTATGGACCGATGGCAGTGTGGATGTGGAGAAAGTTTAGTTGGAAACCTAGTCATTCTACCCGGAAGTGATCCATCGACCTTGACTGCGAATCTTGACTAGCACAAGTCTTGCCTAGCCGTGCTGTGTCTTCGTTGACGTCACGCGCTATTGTCGGTCCTCTGCTTGCGCTGCTTCTCTTGTTTGTCCCGATGCTTCTTGTATTCCTCCACAGGCCCTCCAGGTTCGCCGAGATAGCCGCACTCTTCCCAGGCCTTACGTCCATACTCGCGAAGGTACTCATGAAGTTGGGACGGCCTCTGCAAGAAGGTTTGGATTCGATGGCCAAGCATCCAACCGAGAGGTATTTCGAGTACCGCAAGCACATCTTCAAGAACCTCGTTTCCGGTGCTGGGTACCAACCAGAAGCAGAGACCCCACGCGATCATGTTGAGCCCAGCAAAGAGCAGAAGGACGCCAAGTTGATCCATCTCTTTGAGAAGCCAGGGGGCAACGACTGCTAGAAGGCCAGCTCCTATAAAGTTCCAGAAGACTGCAAGGCTCATTCCGAGCTCGCGGTTAACTAACGGAAACACTTCCGCCGAGACAACAAATGCTGCAGGACCTGCTCCTAAAGAGTAGGCAATTATAAAAAGTGCTAGGAAAATGTAATGACTGGCGATGGTGCTGACATTCGGCTTACCAGCTACAGCTTCGGGGGCCTTCAGCACCAAAGCTGCACCCAACAGCGAAATGGCCATGCATGGAAAAGAACAAAGAAGGGAGAGCCGTCGGCCGTTACTTCTGTCCATGATGAACAGTGCAGGTATAGTTGCAAGAAAGTTGAGTAGCATCAAGCCCAGGGACGCGCCTAACAGCTGAACGTTCTCGCTCGGACTGGTATTATGGTCGTGGTGGAAGAAGGAATACCGGAAGAAGGTGTCAGCAAGAAACGCGATCAGGTTGATGCCGCACAACTGTTGCGAGATCATAACGGCGCCGGCAGCCATATGTGCTCGTCTGGCAGGACCGCGCCGGAAGAACATCAATTTCAACCGTGGCCACCAGCCGATGTGACCGACAACTTCGCCTAGCACAGGATCTACTCTTTCTCTCTCCTCACGTCTTTTAGAAGATAATGAGTGCTTGAGTATGCCCTGTTCATCGATCAAACGCCGATGCAGTAAGAAGATCTCTCCAGCAGCCAGCACTGGGCTAGCTTCGCCGCGAAGATCGACGAGTGATTTGTAGGCTTGCTGGATCATTGCTCGTCGATGCATCATCTCGTTGTCGCGGCCCGCCCTGGCACCACTCTCTTTCAAGAGCCACCGTGGCGATTCTAGAGCAGTCAGTAACGTCGCTGGAGCTGGACGAATTCGAGTGAGAGCAGACTTACCAGGTGAGAATAGGACTAGAGAGAGCAAGAGAAGAGCAGGAATGAACGCTGCGATGAACATATATCGCCAACTGGAGTCAGTATCCAGACGGTAAACGCTGAAGTTCGTAATCGAGCCAGCGGCTAGCCCAAAAGCAACGAAGAGCTGCCAGAACACGAGCAATATACCGCGTATATTCATAGGTGAGGTTTCTGACAGCAAGATAGGCACAATTGATGCCTTACCTGCCATACCAGCTCCAAGCAGAACCCGAAAACCTAAGAGATGCTCCCATTTGTTTACTGATGCAGAGCCAATAACAGATACGAAGCTGAGGACACCAGCAACGCATATGGCTCCTCGACGCCCAAAACCCAAGACCGAAGTGATGGGGTCCGTCATGAGTAAGCCGAGAATGGCCCCAGCAAAGAAGGGAACCCCAACCGTCAATCCAAGAAGCCACGTGTTGTGGTCCAGGCCAATGTTGGGGCCGCCATTGTCTGCGCGTCGAGTGGGGATAGCAGGATGACTGCTTATGATCGGTTTACCGAGGTCCTTCATCACCTCGATGGCAGCCCCTGTGAGAAGTCAGTCGGAGTCCACTTGCGAGTTGTTTATGCGAATCATACCTGCCATGGCAGCCTGATCCCAACCTCTTGTTATATATCAGCATATGTTCCAGCTTGTGAACTTGTATGAGGAACTTACTGTGTCATTGCTGCGTATACACAAGTCACTATCAGTAGATGATGCAACCTTGAAAGGTTCTTGAAAGTCTCCCACTGACTGCTTATCTTCTCAGTCTTGGTCCATGCCGCATATAAGGTCTCGCTCTCGAGTTCTGTGTATTCGAGATCGAAGATCCTGAGAGGAATGGGTTTATGCGGCGTGTGATCAGCAAGCGGATTATCTTTGACTTTCTCCTTTTCAATGCTCTCCGCTTCCATGTCCTCAATAAACTTGTGCTGTAGTTCAGGTTGGTGTCGAAGCGCGATCACGCCACGTTTGAAGACTTCTCGCTCTATGGGAAGCTGAGCTATATCGTAAAACGCTTCGGCATACTCTTTAGTAACGCCATACAAAGGCTCGTGTTGAGAAATTCTGCCCTCTGTCAGTACAAGAGTAACGCATGCTTGGGGCATTGATCGTACACGTCATCAGTAACTTCGATGGAGAAGTGACGCTCTGGATCCCTAGGACGATGCTCTACGGGAGTAGGTTTTACGGGAGTAGGTTTTACGGGAGTAGGCTCAACGGGAGTCTTCATACCAGCAAGCTCGATAGGGAGTTGGCGGACTGGCTCTCTGGTAGCCATGATGCGAACAATATCTGCAGGTGCGAATAGTAATGGAAGATATACAGGAAGTCAACTGTAGCGGAGTAGAATACAGCAGAAAGTGATACGATGCTGGACTGCCAAGCGGAGATCCAGCAATTCAGCTGAGCCTCATATCCACCATTGCACCTGAATTAGTTCGCATTAGGATCGTGGGAGCTACCCGTCTCCCCGCGAGTTGAGACCATGCTACGACTTCTTCTACGCAACCAATATGGAAACGTCTGGCCCGGCACGGGCAATTCCCAACCGGTTTGAAGGACCATGGAGGACTCTTTGACGCTCGTAACATACGTCAGTGCAGTAAGCCGACCAGTAAGGCCTAGTAGTGGCAACCGTCACCCCCAGTGGTAGTATTACCACGGACCGCATTGAGGTCGTGTTTACACGTACAAGAAACGCGTATCTTCACCGGTCACCCAATCATTGCAGAAACGGGTTAAGTCGCTGTCGAAGGGGATCAAAAATAGCGCTGTAATTTATCTGCGCTGTAGGTGGCGCTCGAAAGACGCGTTGACCTGTGTTTTTAGGCGAAGAAGGCAAAAGGCAACAAGCCAACAGGCGCCGAGCGCACGGCATGCTGGTGAAACTTTGTACGGTCAGGCAGGATGTCACCAAGTCAGTTGGGCTAGTGCGCTGCTACAACGCCAGTAAAGGAGCATTCGGAGACTGAGTGAGGACGTTGCGTTTTGAAAATGGCAACGCGACTGCAGAAGCGGTGATCAGGTGTTCGCCCACAACTCGCGCCAAGGCAGAACATGGGGTAGTCGTCACACGGACCGCGTTGCTGGGAGCATAGGGTACAAGGATCAGACTCATATGAGGGGTGTGTGAAGGACTGCGGGAGCGAGGCTGACAATGAGAGGCGACGTGCGCTCCTCGAATCAGCGGTCTTTCCGATCCCGCGTTCACCGCTTGATCCCCACCCTGCGATAAGCCCTTCACCCCAGGCTTTGAATACAAGAGTTTAGCCTTGTGGAAAGTCCCTCTCGGTATCGTATCGTATCATGGATGCGATTACGCTATTCCCTACTCGGGCATCGATGGCTGGTGCTTGGGCCTGCCGCCGCAGTCACCAGGGCTGTGAGGCTGGGAATCTGGATAGAAATGCCGTGCAATCTCAGTATAATTGCTACGCACAGACGGTGTAACATCGAATACTTGCCTCTACCATATCATAGGGTAAGGCTGATGATGTGGTGGAGTATGGAGATAGACGCAAGCATGGCGTTGCCGATCAATTCAGCTTTAGGGTCGGTCCGTACCCAAGAAAGGATGTGGCGTGCAGTCGCTACACCCTGCTTTCCGACCTGGCTTGAAACACAAGAATAGCGACGCGTAGACAGCCGTTACGATATGGATAACGTTCGCAGTAGCTTCCCCAGCATCCCTTGGCACTGCAGCACTGTCTGTTTACGGGAAGAAGAAACGAAAAAGACTATGTATACCGCACCATAGCTCAGAGAAACACAAGACCAATGGATAAGCGAATAACAAGACGCATAAAAAGACCACCAACCAGCGGACTCGGATGAATACAGGGGGGGTATTTCTCCGGCTGATAGCTCACGGGTAACCATTGAGAGTTTGGCTAATCCAGAATAGCTACACCACTATCCTACAGTAGAGCTTTTGACTTGCTGGATGCATGTCGCGCCGGCACACTTTATCAGCCCGATGTGCCCCCCCCCCCCCCCCCCTCGTACCAAGCAAGCAACAAACAACCCCAGTTTGACATCAGCCTAACGAAAGAACACAGCGAACGATAGAAAGGTTGGTTGCGCGAACGAAAAGCCGCGTTTTTGGATAAGCGGGCACGTGGGCTGGATGGACGGACACTCTGTGCATTCCAGGTAGCATGTGTTGGTAAGATGTGGCACGGTGCGCCATGTCTGAGCACCAACACACCGCGCACAAAGGCAAAGCGGTGTGGAGGAGAGGAAAAGATGAGAGGTCTGTGTAGGGAGCGGAGGCGAATTGTTGAGGATGGTATTTGGAGCTCGATTAAGGTAATTGGTGTAATGGCGCCTTCGGGTGGACGCACCTTGCACCTAAGCAGCTCGTTCCGCAATGACCTACCGGACTCGAGGTTCGAGTCTCGGTCATGCGGTTTCTTTGCTTCTTGGTCCTATCTGGCGGTAGTGATCAAGAATGCAGAAAGGCAAGACAAAGCCACAAAGATAGGTTTAATTCACTGCTATGAATCTACCATAGAACCATTTGTTATTCGAAATATGTTGCACATGGATGGCATTCCTCTCCACGGCTCCTCTCTTTGACCGAGCCATACACAACGGTACCGTATATGTACCTCGTAGCTTCCATACATCATTTCTCACCACCACTTCTCGCACAAACAGTGCCTGGTTTGCGCATCTAGCACATGGGGACTCCGACGAATTGCATGAACCCGTCAATACCAGTAAGACCGCACGAAGCATCGCAAGGGCCCTTGTGCGCATTGCCATCATCCGGGTTATGAGCATACGCGTCACCTGTTCTTACGTGTTAGTCTCCAACCAGCCCTCGAGAACTCCCCCACCCCGTAGGCAGTGCAGTCGAATACTTACCCGTGTAAACCCTGCCATTGATCTCGAGCCCGATCTGGCATCCAAACGCACTCGTCGGGCCAGACGAAGTCCGCACCATATTGGCGTTCTGACCGCAGATGCGCACGCCGAAGGGCAGCTGGTTGCAGATGTTGTTCACGTTTATACCATCGTAAGTGGTGGAGCGCGAGCCGTCGCAGGGCGAGCCGGCGGAGAAGACAACGGGGTGGTTGATGCGGATCTTGGAGGCTTTGTAGTCGCCGGCCAGGCAGACGTTGCCCGCTTCGACGGCGGCGAGGAGGACAGAGAAGAGGACGAGGGCGGCCTTCATGGTGGAAGTTGTATGTAGAGAGGGCTTGAGTGGGCTCTTGTTGTTTGGGCCTGGAGAAACCGGTGCTTTTGCTTGCTGGATACTGTGTCTTGTTGGAGGAGTCCAGATGGCCTTTATATATGCGCTTGGAGTGGTCTTTGCACGAGGCTCCATCTACACTTCATTCTCTTGCGGTCGTCTGTGTGATGTCTTGGATTTCTAGCCAAGATCTCACTGCTTGGCGAAGGAATGAACGAAGAAGCTCGTTCTTGATGGGGCATTACTAGCAGGAACAACAAGTAGACTCGCCCTGCGGTGCATGCTACTACAATAGCAGAACGCTGATATTAATTCTCCATTCTACACAGCAAGATAGAGAAGTATCTGTACTAGACATCTATGTTAGCAAAACGAATTTATCTTGTTGTAAGAATAAGTCATAGCAAGTCGAAGTTGGAAGGGTATTTTAGTGGGCCCGCTAGCGATGCCTCGAGCTTCTTCTCACGAGAAGATTACTTCCCTTTTTCGACTAGTGTACACCGCGTAGCATTGACTAACCCTTTTACGGCAATTCTTCATTCGACCAAGTGGATTTGGGAACGCGCTCGTCAGCACTACAGAAAGAGGGATCTCGGAGGGAAGGGTACCAAGTGGATCTGGGGAACGCGCTCGTCAGCACTACAGAAAAGCGCATCTCGGAGGGAAAACGCAGCATCAGAATAACGCCGCTGTTCGTACCGCATCAACGCCAGAGTGTGTACATGTAGATGCCGGCATTCCAACGTTCCTGAGGTCTATGCCAGATCTTGGGTAGTATTACAACAAGTCCACGTTAGTCTACAATCATCAGTTCTTCGCCGCAGAGCAACGCATCTGCACCACCTCCGTGATGATGCATTCATTCATGGCAAAGCCGCGCCGGAAAATACCCGGCACAGAGTAAGGCCTTCCACACGGTACACCGCAAGGTCTCCGCAACGCGGCGGTCCGTCAGGCCTGACGCTGGATCCGCAGGAGCTCTCTTTACTGAAACACGATATGTAATTTGGTAAATATCCGACGTCACAAAAATTGCAAGCACTCCGTTGCAGTTGCCAGAGGTTTCTGAGGTCGCCAAGGGGGAGAACAGAAGGGGGGGGGGGGGGTTCGAGATAGCAATGAAGCAACCACGACAATCCTCATGAACACGGAGCGATGAAAGCCGATGCAAGAACCAATTGCCCCGAGCCGGTAGGATCCACACCCGTAAGACTTTGACACCGACGATATGCCCCAATCTCCGGGGTGGTATATGCAAGAATACGTGTATGTACTGCGTCTCGCAAAACGAGGAACTAGGAATGCGTATATGAATGAGGTACACAGAAACAGAAACAGAGTGGTATATGCCAACGCCAGAAAACCGCACCACCCACACACACACACACGTCCTCAGAAACCCCCCCTCCTCTCCATATCCAGCTCAGAAACTCACGTCACTACTAAACCCCAACACCTCGACCCCAACATTCACCGCCGTGCACACAACCCACACAGCCACCAACCCCCACCCAATCACGCGATCCATGCGCCACCGCCGCACAGGCACCGCGATGAGCAGCCCCGCGAGCGTGACAAGCAGACTGGCGCCGCTGATAACCAGCGTGGTGCTAACCGCAATATGATACGGCGAAAATCTAACCGGTCTATCGGGGTGCCTATCGTGCCTGCGCTCGCCCTTGACGAGAATCATCCAGGACCCCGACAATCCAATGCCGAGTAAGATATTCAGCATGGGCCCGCCGAAGCACGCGCTGAGGGCCATGACGGGGAAGCCGAGGCGCGCGACGGTGATGTCTGCGACGAGGTCGCCGAGCGAGTTGCCGACGGCGAAGATGGTGAGGCCCAGGATCGCGTCGGACATGTTGAGGATGACGCCGAGTGTGCGCAGGACGCCGACGACTTCGTTGGCGATGGTGCTGATCCAGGCGATGGCGACGGCGAAGCCGAGGAAGCACAGCAGGGGGCGCCAGGGCGGGGGCCGCGAGGGGGAGGTGGTGAGGAGGAGGGCGGCGAGGAGCGAGAGGGATGCGAGGAGGCTGAAGAGGGTTTGGCGCAGCAGCGCGCGCGGGTTGTCGGGCGACACGTTGGCCCAGATGATCAGGATGATGAAGAAGGGCGCGGTGAAGATCTGGGTGATGACCAGCCAGCGGTTCCAGTCCTTGGACGCGGCGGGGGCGGGCGTGGGGAGCTGCTCGGGCGAGTTCATGATGTTGTCCGAGGTGGTGACGAGGAGCTGGGGCGGGGCGGAGGCGGTGGTGGTGTGCGAGGCGTACGAGGGGTCGTGGGGCGCGGCTTTGTGCAGCTTGAACGGGTCGGTGCCGGCGCGGGACGCGGGGGCGGAGCCGTCGAGGCGGAACTGCGGGTCGAAGGTGTCGCCGATGGGGGTCAGGGCGGGAGGGAGCCCAAAGTCCGGGTGCCCAGGTTGCAGGTCGTCGCTGGTTGCGGGCTCGGCGACGGGCAGGGTGATGGTGAGGAGCAGGACTGGGGGCGCCGCTACGAGACCCAGGATCTTGTCCCAGATGTTCTTGTCGCGCCAGCTTGTCAGCGTAGGGAACAGCGTCGACAGCAAAACGTGCGGCGCGGGAAGGACCCGCGAGGGCCACCACCGGGGGGTCCGGGCGACATCGTAGACGCCGAAGAGGCTCTCGTTGTGGAATGCAGACTCGGGCGATGCGCTTGGAGAGGGCAGACGGAGACTAGGTGCTCGAGACGAGCTATGTGCCGACCACGGGAAGTCTGTGTACGCAGGGAACGGGATAGGCGGGGACGAACCACCAGGTACGGTCAGCTTCAGATTCGGACGGTCGCTCGCGTTGAGGACTGGCGACGACAGGGGGCTTGGCGTCGATGTCCCTGAGCGCTGCGAGAGACCCTGAGAGTCGAGGCCGGGAGGGGCCAGCAAGTCGGAGTAGCCTCGATTTCTCGAGGGCGCTGGGCTCTGCGCACGCGACGAGGCCTGGGAAGGCGGTGGCGACAGCGAGATGGTCGGCGACAGGGGCGCAGCGCCTGCTCGACCAGTCATACTGTCTCGGAAGTCGGGCGTTGCGGGCGCGAAGCTGATGTGTGGGAGGTTATCGAAACGAGCGTTGTCGATGTCGTTTGTGGACACAGCCCGCACGCGGCTGTTCTGCTGCACCTCCAACACCGGCCTCACAATGCTCGGTGACTTGCCCGACGACACAGAAGCGACGTCAAACGGCGGCCGCGGAGCAGGATCCGAGATGGTGGAGATCAGGTCTTGCTGCTGGGCGGTGGTGTAGGTGGGGTCGTCCGAGTAGCGTCGCAGGTTGATGGGCATGGATTGGATGTTCCTTGACTTCTGCAGCGACGAAAGTACCGCTCTGAACTCGAGGGCTCCTACTAAACTAGGTCGAATGGGCGTCTGGGTCGGTCGGCGTTGGCCCAGCGGGGGCCGACTAACACGCATGTTGTTTGACATTTCGCCCATCCAGCGTTCGCGCTCTTCCTCGTTCTCGTCGGCGTCTATAGTTCCCCCGCCAGCACGCTCAAGAGCGTTGAGGTCGTCGATTGAGACACCGCGTGAGGGTGTTCGGGGATTGGTGGGCGCCCCGTCCTCGTCGTCGAAATATTGGGGGACCTCCTCTTCCTCTCCACCAGGCGTGACGTAGTGGCTGCGGCTGGCGGCAGCTTTCAAGCGGCGGGCCTTGCGCTGGTTTAGCCACCAGTGCCAGACGACGACAAACACGACGTAGAACAGATAGAAGGCCACCATGGCGATGGCCTCCCACAGGTGCAGCTCGCCGTCGACAATGAAGCCCATGCTGAAGGCGGCAGCGACAATGAAGAAGCCGACGTCGCGGACAAAGCTCTTGCGGGCGACGTTGAAGGGGCGGATCAGGGCCATGGAGCCGGAGACGACGGCGGTGATGAAGCTGGCGGCGCCGATGAGCTCGCCCACGGCGAGACTGGCGGCGTGGGTGCGGAAGGCGGCGAAGGTCGAGAAGACGTCCGGGCTGCCGTTGCCAAAGGCCAGCAGGGTCACGCCAGCCAGACTCTCGCTCATGCCCAGCATGCTCGCGATGGTGTTGAGGTTGACGCAGAAGAAGTCGCTGGCGGCGATGCCGATGGTGCTGAACAGCAGGGCGAGCCACAGGGTCATGGCGACGAAGGCGACGGGTTTGGCGTGCGGCAGGCGGCAGTAGTAGAGGGTCAGGTACGAGACGACGCCGGCCTCCTCGTCGGGGCAGTTGGCCAGCACGAAGGCGCATTGGTCGTGGGCATGGTGGACGAGGCGACACTGCGTGGGTTGTCAGTGACAGCAGCTGATAGTAACAGCGGGTGGATTCGCACCTCCTCGTCGAGTATAGTGACGTCTCTCTTGCGCAGCACCGCTCCCGGGGCCTGTCCACGCTGGTCCTTGGCCCACGCGAGCAGGGTGATAAGGGCGATGGCGAGGATGGTGAGGGCGAAGGGGCGCGCAGAGTATTTGGCGCGGCGCCACCGCTGCACCGTGTGCAGGAGCGAGCGCTCGTCCATGGTCAGGGCATTCTGCTTCATGCGCGCAGGTGCCTGGCGGGAGCTCGGTCTTTTAGCTGCCGCGGTCGAATGCGCTGGCGGCGCGGCGCGGACTATGACGCGGGAGATGGCACGGGAGATGAAGCGCGGGGGGTCGCAAACGTGCGGAGGGCGGCAGGCAGGGACAGCGGTCGCTGTGCGGCGGGGCGACGATGCGTGACGGCAGCCCTGCAGCGCGCGGGCTCTTAAACACGGCGGGCATATCTTGGAACCGGTTGTGAAGCGTGGTAGCGTGATGGAGCAGGGCGCGCCACTGTGGCAGTGCGGGCTAGCATTAGTGGCAGTCGCAGTCGTGGTCGAGTGCCGGCGCTAGTGGGCTGCGCGGCGCGGGTCGACGTCCGTGTTGACAAACAAAGCGACGACGACGACGACATCGTCACCGTCACCGTCCCGTCGCCACCGCAGTCGCTCCACAGCCATGGCCCGCCCGCGATACAGCCTGGCGCCGCAGGGGACGCCCGCGCGCGGCACCAAGTAGGCGCCCGCCCCGCGACCACGCTGCGATACTATACTGACACGCCCAGGGTCCCGCTCAACGACGACGACGAAGAGCGCGCCAACCGCCGCCATGCCTTCGCCGAGAAGCATCGCAACTCGCTGCGCGCCTCGGCCACGCCCGTCAAGAAGGCGCGCCGCTCGCTGGCCGCCGCCGACCCGCACACGCCGTCGCAGGACCACGACCCCGACCACGACCAGGACATGCCCGATGTCGCCGGCAGCGCCGTCACCCCCATGAAGCGCGTCATGCCGCTGGCCTCCAACTTCGAGGACTGGATCAAGATGGCCACCGACAACAAGATCAACGCCACCAACTCGTGGAACTTTGCCCTGATCGACTACTTCCACGAGATGTCGCTGCTGAAAGAGGGCGACGGCGTCAACTTCCAAAAGGCGAGTTGCACCCTCGACGGCTGCGTCAAGATCTACACCAGCAGAGTCGACAGCGTCGCCACCGACACCACCAAGCTCCTGAGCGGCCTGGCCGAGAACGGCAACACGAAGCGCCGCGGCGACGATGAAGACGGCGAGGACGACGAGGACGGCGAGGACGCGGGCGAGGACGGTCAGAAGAAGAAGCGCAAGCGCGCAGCCCGCTCTGCCGAAACCACGCTCGCCGCCTCGTTCGAGCAGCTGCAGAACAAGAAGATGGACCTCGAGCTGGCCCAGGACCCGCTGTTCAAAAAGGCCACCGCCGACTTCGACGAGGGCGGCGCCAAGGGCCTGCTGATGAACCACCTGGCGATTGACGCAAACGGCAGGATTGTCTTCGACAGCAGCGACGATGCAGGCGACAAGACAGCAAAAGACGTGGGGGACCCCTCTGCCCCGGAGGAATCACCCGAGCCGGAGGAGCTGGTTGAAGAAGCCCCGAACGAGGCTGATATTGATGTCGACATCTCTGGACTGGCCGCCAAATTCTTCCCCAACCTCGCGCTTCTCGACGAACAGGACGTCTGCCCGTCCATGAAGACGTTCGACCTCGGCGACGTGAACGGCTCCATGGACCTCCCCTTCCTTAAGGCCCCTGAGGACTGGCGGCAGGAAGAGCAAGACGACGCCGAGGACGAGGCTGGCAACGTTTCCGGCGTGTTCCTCGACGACAACAACGCCGGCGGCTTCGACGACGACGACGATGACAATCTGGGAGGGCTGGACATGGGCGCTGATGTTGGCTTCGGCGAGGGCGGCGAGGCTGTCGCTTACCAGCTTGCTCTCGATCCCAGCGCGCGCGTACACAACAAAGAAGAGGGGGAGGCCGGCGAGCCCGTAGAAAGCATCGAAGGCCAGCCCGGCCCCGACGAGCAGGGGTATTCCCTAGCCATGCACCACCTCCGCGGCCAGGAGCACGAAAACATCCTCAGCTACTTCGACCAAGCACTCAAAAAGAACTGGGCCGGCCCCGAGCACTGGCGCATCCGCCGCATCAAGGACGCCGGCAAAACCGCCCCGCCCACAAAGCGCAAAGAAAAAGAGCCCTTCACCATCGACTTCCTCGCCCCCATGTCCCAGGACCTCGCAACCGCCCTCTACACCCCGCCCGCCTCAGCCTCCACCATCTCCCTCCCAAAAGCCCAGTGGATCGCCAAAGAGCGCCACCTGCTGCCGCCCGACCGCAACTTCAACTCCAAAAACCTGCTCCAGCTGTTCCTCAAGCCCAAAGCCCGCCTCGGCCCCCGCCGCACCCAGCGCCTCGACCCCGCCGCCAAACAACCCGACCTCCCCCGCGAAATCGACGAGGCCTTCTGGGCCGCCCGCGCCGACGACGCAGAGGAACCCGCGGCTGCCACCTACGACGCGGATTTCTTCGCCGACGACGCGCTGCCGTTTGCAGGTGGGTTTGACGACGACGACGACTTCGCCGACGCGCGCGAGCACTTCTCGCCCCCGCCCGCCGGCGATGGGGTCCCGGTGCCCGGTGTCCCCGAGCCGGGCGCGTTTGGCGCGGATCTGGTCGCGCAGACGCGGCGGTTTAGGCCCGAGTACATGAATTATGCAAGGACGGCGAAGAAAGTCGATGTCAAGCGGCTGAAGGATAATCTGTGGGGGAGCATGGGGCTGGATGTGCGTTGCCTCCCTTCACCCCTTCCATACCCTCGTCTTTGGTTCATGCTAACACTGATACAGACACAGCCCACACCCGTCGGTGTGCCCGACGCCCCCGACGCAGACCTTGACGCAGATCCCACCGCAAACGCCGAGAAGAAAGACCCGACCCTCAACTTCACAGACGTCGTCCAGTCTCTCGCAACCCTGTATCCGCAGAAAGCCCTCGCCGATATCTCAACAAGCTACTGTTTCATCTGCACGCTGCATCTCGCGAATGAGCAGGGGTTGGTGATTGAGAGTGTCGAGGGGTATGGCGATTTGAAGATTCGGCGGGATTGGAGTGCGGATTTGAGTGTGGGGCATTAGGAGCATAAACCACCAAGACAAGGAGATATGGAGGAGACCCCGGGCTGAAAAGGGACGAGGCGAGGCAAGACACAGGACAAAGGGAGGCGAGAATCCAAGGGAGCAGCTTCCATGCATTGTTGAGTAATTAGTCACGGCGTTCACGGCGTTCAGGGCCCAGGGGTGTGTACATATTAACACGGAAACGGAAATTGGGGGGGGGGGGGGTTTAGTTATGTGCATACGATACGATACCTTGCTCACGTCGCTTACTCTACTGCTCTGCTCTGGTTCATCTGAGCACTCTTTTTCATCCTCGGAATTATGGCCTGTGCGCAGGTGCGTTGTGCTGTGTTGTGCACTATCTACGTCTTCTCGCTTGGAGGTGTGCTTTGAGCGCCTCGAGGTGTGCGCTCGCTGTGATGGATGCGTATCGAGACTGGTGCGCCTCGAGACCGATGCGCCTCGAGGCTGATGCGTACTGCCACGCTTGTGCGTTGGGATTCGATACTTCTATCGCGCCACGACGGATGGATGGCTTGGGGTTTCTTCTGCTTGCGTGTGCTGTGTGCTGTGTGCTGTGTATTGTGTGCTGTGTGCTTTTGCGTTTTATTTTTCTGCTCTGATGTAGGGTTTGCCTTCAGCCCGTGATTTGAGATTCGTAGTCGTTGTAACTGATGGTCTTGAGATGGGCAGTCCTCGAGACAGACACAAGACCGACGGTCCTCGAGACCGACGGTCCTCGAGACAGATACTCTTCGAGCCTGCCGGTCGCTCGTCCTGATAGTCTTCCGTCTTCCACGTCCACATGGAGACAGAGACGGAGTTTCCTGCCCATCGACTGTCGGCCGTCGGCTTCGGCGTGTGTGCGGTGCTGTGTGCTGCGGAGCTTACTGCGGGCTTCTTCCCGTAATGCCTGCTCCGCGTTTCAAGGCGTGTTTCTCGTTCAGTGCTTTTTTGTTACATACTATACCTTGAGATAGAGATCTTGCATATATTGTACTTCTTGCTGTAGAAAGTGTACTTCTCGCTACCTGCCTAAAATATCATGGCTCTTGTAAGGTTGAGGTGGAAGAAACTATGCAAGGGAGTTCTTGTAGTGTTCTAGTTCTGGGTAGGTATACCTACCGTTGAGAAGTATAGGAGTTTGTTGCAAATACATCTCGTAACTGACTATGTACTCGTAACCTACCTACGTACGTGTTCGTCACCCAGTGTGCACTCACCATTTCCAAGGAGACTGCATTTTCGCCGTGTCTTTCCCCGCGCAATTCAACGCAGGACTTTGAGTTTCGCCAGCGCGTCCTCGGTACCGCCGGCGCCCGGTTCTCGCGATGTTCCGGTGTTGGCCATCTTGTCTTCGCACTGCAGCTTTCGGCGAACTGGCGCCACGCTGCCGTACGCGGTGCGAGCACAACTGATACCTATCCGTGATTTGCATATCCGGATGGTATCGGCCACGGACGCGTAGACATAGTGACTGTATCTAAGATCGCCAGCGTCCGGGTCTGCGTCGACGAAAAACGGCACGCTCGCGGTACATACCGCACAGCCGCAGATGCGATGTGACGGACCGGATCTGCGTCAGTGTGCGTTGTGGGCCGTGGGCAGATGCGGGCAGTCAGTTCCATCGCGTTGAGGCTCGAGGCATGGTAGACCATTAGGTGGATTACATGCAGGCTCTGTGGATGCGGGCATTCCGAAAGAGAGAGCGCAAAGGCGGGTTCGACGGTGTCGTGTTGCAGCCTCGCGTGTCTTGTGTGTGGCTGCGTGCCCAAGGCCTTTTTAGCACTGGCAGCAGAATGGAAGCGTGATGACTTCTTGCTAGTTCTCGATGCGGATTTTGCTACTTGAGGGAGTGTTTAGCGTTTGGTTTCCGGATGTGAGCCAAACACAGTGCTAGTAACGAGAAAATCCGAGCGCGCACGTTATCAGCACTTAGTCTGGCTCTGTCGAGGAGATACATCAGACTTCTTCACTGCAGTTCGTGCGTTGTTTGTGTTGCAGAATCCTGATTCGCAGGCGGCACATGTGTCTATTGGAGAGAGGCATTAGTCTCTCGTCAAGACTGGCGTTTGCAGCTATGAGACTGAAGAACTAGGTCCTGGATAATCCACGCGCGGTCCCAGTATGGCGAATTGCAGAAAGCGCTGAAGCCTACTGGAAGCAGCGCTGCATGGACGCGGTATGAGGAACATTCTGACGACATCGCCGCATCCAAGCCCTGAGATGACTTCTGTGGTGCCACAGTATACGGCCTATTTACTGCACTTGGTGGTTACGCTCAGCGACTGTTGTCTGGTCGATACTCGGCGCATTGATCTACGGCCACTGGGCTTGGAAGTGTGGTTTTTGTCTTGCACAGGCCAGAAAATCACACAGGTTGTGTCGGAGCTCTGGCGTTCAGATTTGTGCATCTTGCCTGTGCTTGGATCCCCCCAAGCGTAAGAAAGACAGCTGTATTTCCCGTCATCGTCGCATGGCGCAGGTCACGTTGGACCAGACCATCGTTCGACTTGTCAGGGTGCAACCGTATCAAGCGTATAGATCGTGGTGGTCTAGAGGTGAACAACGAAACTGTTGCTGCGGAGGTGGCGTGAAAGGTGGGGTCGATTGCCGTGGTCTTGCTCGTGAGTGTGCAAATTCAATGCTGTCAGGTACGTATCAGGCCCGGTCTTGCACATACCTAACTAAACGATGAACTCCGCACTCGCAATCCTCCGCGCCCCTCCTTCATCTCCACCCGACCTCCCGGTGCGATGCATAGATGACCACGCCACCGCCGAGCCTCTCAGGAACAAGCGGGTCTCGAGCGTGGATGGGCGATGGCAGCGCGACTTAGAAACGGCACTAGAAAGTCAATAAGGTGCGCGGGGCCATGTTCGAAGATCGGAGAGATGGGAGGAGCGGGCTGCTGGTACGTCAGGCAGGCGAGCGCGCACGTCGGGCAAGCAAGTGTGCTTCATTGCTGTCACGCTCCTTTTCGATTCATGACGAAACGCATGACACGGTCTGAGATTGGTGACCTAAATGTCATGAACAGACTCAGTGCGTAAGGCTACCGCAGTGAATACGCTCGTGATCTTAGTCCAAGAAAGGATTTAACTCGCTGTGAGATGAGTAGCACTGCTGCGGATTATTGGTGGTTTAGACTACATAGCCATCACCAGTCGAAACATTGCCGCAGACTGAAGCTGACTTTTGCAGAACCAACGCAGGCTCGATCTCCACAAGAATCTGCATCACATCTCATCGTCTCAAGCATCAGAGACTGTTACGATGCTGAAAATTGCTGCGACGCAGCAGTGAAATGCAAGGGGTGTGAAAGTTGCAAGTATCATCGCGCTTGTTTACCTCCCTGCAAGTCTGGTGGCTTCACCATTCAGTACCGAACTTCTCACTCTGAACTCAGTGTTACTCGGTCTGCACCAAGGTCTCGGTCTTTTCGTCGCCTTGATCCTCACGTTTACAATGAGCACCATTCTGGCAGCGTACTTCTGGTTGCGGAGGGCCCGACCACCATGCAGACGTGCCCAAATCAGCCGCCCTAGCATTAATCTGGCAGATCGGAATAATGTAGGCTGTCACACCTACGTCGGTCGTCTGATTTTGGGGTGCAGTACGATCAGCTCGAGCACGGACTGAGAAGACGAGGGATTTAGTGGTCATGTTGTGGTTTCTCAATGCCATTCTGCTCTGCTCAAACACGACCTCCCAATGTCCAAGCTAAAGCCTGGTCACTCGACCTTGTTGTTGGCCTGGAGAGGCCCGTCGACCTATCAACGCTGTACTCTTGCTGCACGAGGATGCCATTCCGTGGCTGCCCCATCGGCGCTGCGGAATTGGCTAAAGGGCGCATATCCTCATTCGACCTGAACGAACGAGACAATGACTGCTCGAACGAACTCGATGCCGGAATGTTCTGCCCGGCCTTCGCCTCCACGTCCGCCTTCGTCTCAAACCCGTCCAATTGAACAAACTCGTCCTTGTCAGCACGACTCCTCCCCAGCGAGCTGAAGAAACGCGATTTCGAGTCCTTGCGACTACTTTTATTCATGCTGTCCTTTGAGTGGTCTTCGTAGTAACTTGGCTGGGAGGCGGGCTTGGGGAAGAGCTTTCGGTGGACGGAACCGAGCAGGGCACGGATGGCAGGCAGACAGGCGACCATGACGCCGACGTGCGTTTCGACAGCCGACCAGTATCCGATAGGCAGATAGTCCCAGGTAACGTTGTCTGTATGGGCGAACTGGACGAGGTACTTGAGGCGCAGCATGCTGACGACAGTGATACTAGACTGGTGTTAAACGGACAGGACCAGAAAAAAGGAGGGCATGGACATACAAGAGACCACCCAGAAACATAAGCATGACGCCGAACTTGCGCCAGCGGTCCATTTTGAGCTTCATGAGCTGTTTCATCGGCAGCAGGATGACGATCAGGTCGAGCACGATGTTGCCCGCAGCAGAGCACCACGCATCTGCATTGAGATCGATGCACTTCCCGTGGTGCTCGCCGTCCCAGCGCTCCCAGGCAAAGCGAATGGGAAGACACTGTAACGCGGTTGCTATGACAAAGGCGATGATGTATGCGATGCAGAGCCCTATCGTGAAATAGATCTTCTTTCGAAGCGACTTCTGCGGGAAGATGCGCAGGTAGAAGAGCAGGATCGAGATCTTCGTCAGTGCGACGGACGCCAGGTAAAGGAGCTCGGTATAGTAGAAGATCTAGAGAGGACAGTTGTTAGTTGTGGGCTAGCGAGGATATTTGATATCTATTACATACCTCCAAGATCTTGGTGATGTTGTTGAAAGGTACGAACCACATATCTGTGCCCAGTCCAAGGACGTTCAAGAGGTACGCGCAGATGGTCTCTGGGATAATGAGCACCATAGCGACCGTCATAACCCAGTCATCGGCACCCCAGTTGCCTCCGAAGATAGGCAGTCGAGCGATGACTCGTAACAGGAAGAATGCCACAGCCGATCCACCCACGATCAGGCACGTCAGTGTTCCAAGCCGCGTCTTGTTACGAACTGGCGCGTCCAGCAAGGTTTCTAGAAATTTCTTCGCAGCTGTCTACGTTAGCACGCCGTGTAGTCGAAGTGGTCCAGGTGATTTACTAAGTGCATCCCTGATCTTGCAGCTGGACTTGACGCATACACTCAAGTCATTTAACATAGGTGTGTTGACTTTGATGCATGCGATGTCCGTAAGTTCGCACGGCGACGCTCCAACAATGCTGAGCGTGCATTTCAGCTGTACACCGGTGGTCAGAATCGATTCGCGTTTGTGGTCCTCCGTACTTACCGCGCATGGAGGCAGCTCTTTGATCGCAAGATTCAGAATATCAGCACCAGTCTGGTTCTGACTCTGCGCGCAAGAGAAATACGCAAGCTCAAGAAGCAGAAGCGCGGAAAGGAACTTCATCTCTCCAAGCTCTTGCAGCGATCCAAGTCGCGCTCCGCTCGTGGGCCTTGTGAGGCAGGCGTGATGAAAGTCGCCGTCGAGGATGGAGTAGAATCAGGACATGCCAAACATGACAGGCAGTACCAGCTAGACAAGCCTTATACCAAGCTTCGAGCTGTCAGATTCCCATGAGGCGCTGGGACTTTGTCTCCACGAGTCAAGGTGTGGCGTTAGCTTGTTACAATCTTTGGTACCTACACTCGGGGTCGTTCGGCAGTCCTCAAGCCGCTCTCTAGCCTATATTTTCCTAGCTATGAATGTCGATCCTCCAGGTCCGAAGATCAGTCGAGCCTTGAATGAAGTCTGAGGCTACTGGAGCGTTACTTTGCCACACTGGCCTCAAATGCTGTCAAGGTTGCGTTTATGCACTGGATGAGGTCATCAACCACAGAAACGGCTTGAGCACAGAAACAAGAGGAGTTGATTTGAGACTTTGATAGTGTGTGTAGAACTCTATTCGCGCCAACATTTGCGTAAGATTTTATTCAATATTGTTGCAGTGCTGCTATCTGTTCCAGGGTTGATGACCTCATCTATCTAGCGGGCATAAATTATTGCACCCCTAGTGTATGTACCTGCTCGATGACGACTGCCGGGACTCACTCCGGCGAAGGTGCATTTCACGTTTTCTCGGATGCGGTTGTGGCAGGGACGAAGATCACCCGCTACCCAGGAATGCAACTTTATTAGATCGGGCTTCGACAACACGGTGATTGACATGGACGAATGACAGCGGTCCATGCTGCTTCAGTCGGAGAAGAACCGCCCAGACCACAGCAGCCGCCTGCAATTAAGGTTCTCGTCTATCACAGATCTGCGCTAGCCGCAAAACCGGAAACGCTGGCGTTCGTACCAGTGCCAACACCGTGCAAGTCGCTGGTAGGTTTGGGGGAAGGAATTACGAGCGACTGCCCGCCAGTGGCCTTACCGCTGCAGAGTTTCCAGAAGATCGTACTCCTACGGGCATGATCGCATTCCCGATGTGTCTCGTGCAGTTGCACCACTTGTGTTGGATTGCTCAAGGCCTTTGATTGGTCCGGAGATTTACAAGTACAACTTTGGGATGCAAGGCGAACGGTTGATCATTCTGGGAATAGCGTTGTTTGCGCAACCAGTTGTCCTACCTTCCTTCTTCGCTGCCAAGCATTGACGTTGCGGCTGACATTAGCACGCTCATGGTCGATTTAACATATGCTCCTACGAAGACGTTGTAACATAGAGGCAGATTATAACGGCACAATGAATGCTCTATCTCCTGCGCCAAAGATAGTCACGCACCGATACTGCACCAGGCCCAGACAAAGCTGTGGTAAACTCCGACCTCAGAGATCCTGGGAAGAACGCCGCTAGCGCTACACCCCTGCGAGTGTGGGTTTACAGGGGAAGCGACAGTACAGGCCTAGCGACAGTACAGGCCTAAAAGTGTGCATTATTGCATCCTTCAGGCCAGGCAGCACTCGCTCACTGCGGACTTGGGAGGATTTAGGCCTTGTCTCAGAGGAACGCATCCCGGGAATTCCGCGGAAAGTTCGCTGGTAGAGTGATGCCATGGCTACATATGATCATGAACTGAGCCCTCGGCTATTGGTAACCTAGCTTCTGGATAACGACCTTGCGATCAAGGATTGCCAGTCTCCTCAATCCGCAGCTGTCAAACGTCACACCGTCGTAGCCTACGTCCGCTCAGCGAGCAGACGCACGCCAGATAAGCGCGCCATCCTAGCCGACGGAGTCATCGGCTCAGGCACCGACAGATCCGCGTTGAAAAAGCGCCATCCTCGAACACGGCTGCAATGCCGTCTTCCACGCCGCCGGCGCAGCGCTAATGCTCGGCCGCTCCAAGACAGGCGAGTACAACAAATTGTTTGTCACGGTCGTTGCCGCTATTGTGGAAGCGCGCGAGGAGCGCAAAGGCCCCGCGATCCGCGCATACCTAGGCAGCTCGTGTCTGAATTCCCTATGTTGGACAGCGCGATCCCGGGGCGTATGATTGGGGACTACATGCCCATGTTCCCCGAGCACCAGGACAACTTGTTCCTGATTCAGAAGCAAGATGAGGGAAACATCCCGTGGTTGCTGTTCCGTGCTAATCAGATGAGCGCTAAGTACAGGGAGGTTCAAAGTCTCCCATAGAACGACTGCTCCGCGGCAAATGTGGGTGCCGGTGCCGACTCGCCTCTTGAGTGGCGCGGTACGCTCAAGTAGATCCCATTGATTGGGCCGTACTTGATAATCTTCAGTGTAGCGGGGGTTATGCGACTTCACTGGAGGATACGATGGACTTCATTGCTGCCGACTTCGAGAAGGAATTGCAGAGCGAATTCGTCGGGAAGAGAGTGGGATTAACAATGAAAAGGGGGGCTTCCTGAGTGCGTGTCTGGGTAACTATGTTGCTTGCTGTCTTGTGAGCTCGAGGAAGGAATTTATTGGATCGGCCGCCGTTGTAGACTATACCGCCTGTATGTATCAAAGCCTCGTATCACTGCTTACGGTTGGAGAAGTGGGCTTGTGAGACAAGTGCAGTAGTAGGCTGTAGAATGAAGCCACACAGACAGTATATCGATCTCTGTGCTTTGTATCGATTAAGGTCTTTCTTCATCAGTGAGGTGGCGAGATAGGCCATGTAATGTATTGGCTTAGATGAGCCTCCCAACGCATGGACCTGACTGCCCTATTCACATACACGAGGACGGGCAGCTATTCTGACTCTGACCCTGACCACCCAAGCACTCTAATTCTTGGGAGGCTGCATCAAAGAAGCATCGCCCAAGGTCCAGATCACGTTCAACACCAACTTCTTAATCCTCCACACATCCTCCCCGTCCTTGACCAGATCAACAGAATACTCTCCGCCAACAGTGTACTTAATCCCATCTGGATCCCTGCCAGTGCCCGGCGCCGCATGCTGTGCTGTCGAAGTCGCAGTAAGCGATGCAGTATCGGCTCCGTCCTGGTAGTTCACGCGGACCATGCTGACGTTGTGCGTGGTATCCATTGGACCGACTCTGTTGAGCACCGCGCTGCGGATCAGCGAAAGGCCTTCCAGGACGCGCTTGTCGTCGTCGTGGATCTCCATGACGACTTCTTCTCCTGCCCAGGCTGAGTCGAAGAGTGCTGTGTCATGGTGGTCGCAGGCGATGGCGGCTCGGTATAAGGCGTCCGCGATGGCTTCGCGTGTGTTGAGGGAGGGGAGGTTTTGAGGGAAGAATTCAGACATTGTTTTCGTCTTGTTTGATGGGAGAGTGGAGATGTACTTGCTGCTTTATAGTTGTGCCCGGTCCATTAGTTTTAGCCGCGGTTTATACCTCATGTTGAATCTGGAAATTCCGTGTCCGCACAGCGTTCTTGCCGCGGAATTCTCGGGGTTTCTATTTATAATATAGTGTAGTGGGCTCGTGATCCAGTCGTTCAATAGCAAGGAACAATATCTGCATGATTGAAATGGATTTGCAGATGCTGGTACTGGGTTGAAATTGGTCAGCGTGGTCCAGCCATTTATCAGCGCTATGTCGGTAGTGGAGGTGATCCTGAAAGATTGATCTTCTTGAAGTTGCATAAAGTAGCAACGAGAGTATTGGGTGCAGCGCTACTGCTGTGTCTCTCTTGAAAACTTGGCTATCACAGCGTGTAATGCAGACAGATTTTTCCAGGATTTGGAAAGTGATGCCAAAATATCGATATGCGTGTCAAAAACTCACACTGAAGAAGACACTGCGCGGATCGACTGGGAAGGAGAGACCTTCTTTGACATGGGAAAAGCAAGGTAATCTTCGATTTAGTCTACGTGACCAGCCTGATGAAAAGACCATGATCCAGGTGCTTTTCTTCACAAGCTGAGCTGATTCTTCACATTGAGCGTCATTCTGTCAATCACATGAGACTTCGCGAGGGGTGCACCAAACATATCAATGTTTCTTCCATGCTGCATGCTCTCCATCTGGGGCAATCTCGAGAATCAGCTTTCCCCTGGCTCTGCACGTCTTCAATCTTTGATAGGCTTCCCTCAAATCTTCAAACTTGTACTTTGAGTCGATGACAGGCTTTACCTTGCCCTCCACCATCCACTGGGCGATCTGCAAGAGGTGTCCACGATCCGGTTTGGCGAAGACAGTTAGATGCTGTCTTTTTGCACCGCTCAGGTATGTTGGCATGTATTCAGCTGCCAAAATATACCGTACAAAGCTCCAGTGGTGACTTGCTGCTACTGTGACGAATTTCGCATGCGGACTCGTATATTTGTCTGCTTCCCAGAACAGACTGTGGTCGTTACCAATGTAGTCTACGACAAGGTCGTACTTTTGCGGCGAGTCTTTGAGTGCCTGCAACACGTTGTTTTCCTTGTAATCGATGACCTCGTCGGCACCCAGAGATTTGCAATGCGTGATATTGGCAGTAGAGCACGTCACAGTCACATGGCGTCCCTGGCATTTGGCAATCTGGATACCGAAACTTCCCACTCCTCCAGATCCGCCAATCAAAAGGACTCGCGAGCCCGGCTTGGAGTGTGGTAAGATAGATTGATAAGCAGTGAGCCCAGCTATGGGGATGCCGGCGGCATTGGCGACGGACAACCCTGTCGGTATAGGCACTGTGTTATCGACAAGCGCGATTCCATATTCTGACATGGCTCCTCCATACATGAACACCGTCCCGGCGCATCCAAACACGAGCTGACCCGGCCTGAGCGTTGAATCTGGTGCAGGCTTGACGATGTAGCCCGCAAAGTCATTTCCAGGAGATGCAGGTTTGGGAAAGACCATTCTATGGAGGAGTTGAATTTCAGAAAGTCTGTAGTCAGCTGGATTAAGACTAGCAGCAAGAATCCGGACCAGATGCTGGCCGGGCTGGGGCTGAAGCATAGGAACCCTTTGCAGTGTCAAGTTGTTCTCAAGGCCACCTGCTGTGGATGTGTATTGCCAGCGGCGAAACGAGGATGGAATAACCTTGGTAGCCATGATGATTGTCTCGTGTGACTGAGAATTCCTGAGTTCATAAGCTCTGCGTTGCTGTCTTGTCCTGTCTACCTCGCTAGTCCCAGATGAGAATTCCGCGGAATTTTCAAGATTCAGAGACATCCTCTTCGTAAATTCCAGTAATCAATCCGTTCGTCCTGACAGGTTCAGGATATAGGCTGACGTCTCGGTGATGACAACCGTTTCGATCGCCTCCGCCGCTCCCTTGGTGCACGTGCTGTAGCCATCACAGTAGTGGACCGTCTTGACGGGGTGAAATGCATGCTGGGCTCGATAGCCTTCGGGATGTCAGGATCGACCAGCCCCAGGCACTGACGCGCCATGCCCTTCAAGGCGATAGTGGAGCCGAGCTCTATTATGTCTAGAAACTCGGCGTTGCGCTGTCGTGGGCGGTGGTTCGTCCGCCTTGGTAAAGGTCGTTGCTTCGGGGAAGTTCAACGGAGAAAAACTCCGCCGAGCTTGCCGCTCACTCTGAGAACTCCCAAACCCAACGTGACCATTACTTTCCGCGGCGTGCGCCGGTACAACAACGGCATTCTCCCAGAAGCTGCTACAAATCCACGGGGAAGGCCTGAACGAATGTTTACACAGTTGGGTTAAGATGGACAGACGAAAGACGGGTCGCAGCGCCAGATGGGGCGCTGCCTGCGCTGCGTGTGCGACAGCAAAGACACGCTGCATTCGCACCCAGCCTTCGGGATCAGAGCAATGTGATCGATGCCGAAGCTTGGCGAAAGAATGCGTTAATCAGGCTTCTGGTTTGAGGAAGAAGAGACGGGCTAAGCCTTCGTAAGTTCATGTTCATGCTCTGCCATGCCGTTTGCGCATCACTATTCTACAATACAGTGGGGTGAGCATGAGCCCTGTCAATAGCGAGCTCATAGCCCGTACTACTGCCCTTCATATTACACTATGATCTTCGTCGGGGCTCAACCGATATGCATTCGCTGAACTGCTTTTCCTTCATCCACGTTGGACCCACTGTTGACTCTACGTGACTAGTCCTAGTTTCCACATGAGAGCGGCTCCGCTAGAAGACGAACTGAATACGTCTAGAGGGGAAACCTCAAATATACATGCCAGCTCATCCAATCATAGTCTGCATTACATTGCAAACAACCATTCAGCATCCTCGGTTAATACCGATTCCCAAGCTCCATTCACTCCAAGCCAGCAGCGCGAAACTGCTCTGACTTCCCCAGCGCTTGAATCCACCTCGACTACACCTGTGGGTCCAACATGCACCTGCATGGCAACAGTAGGCATGGAAGATGTTCACCCCGTGGAGTCTGACGAGACTTTGTTGTCGATGTACAGGAACCAGCTGTCTGGTCCGCTGCCTTTTGTCATCATTCCTGCTGGCACAACGTCAAGACAATTACAGGCAACTCGTCCCTTCCTCATGAAGGTGATCAGAATGATGGCTTCCGTCCGCCATCTTCGATTGGTAAGGGGTCTAAGCCGCGCCGTTATGGAGCATATTTCTCACAGCATGCTCATGAAGTCTGAGCGCTCTTTGGATCTCCTTCAAGGCATTCTGGCTTTCTTGGGATCCTATCACTATCATTGCATGGCTCATACGCAGTTTAACAATCTAGTCCGCCTAGCAGTCAGCTTGGTTGAAGATCTCGGAATAAGTACATGTCCCAAATCTCAGCAGAGGAGTCAGCTGCCTTTGGCGCGCGCTGAGGAGCCTATGTCTAGAACGAATGAAGAGAAGAGAGCGCTACTTGGCGTCTGGTATATGAGCTCCAAGTGAGTACCGCAACGCCTCAATGGAGCTTTATGTAGGGCAAAACTGATTCGATAGCAGCGCTGGTCTTGTCGTGAAACAGATAGCATTCACAAGATGGAGCAAATATATGGACCAATGCCTCAAAGATCTTGACGACGCTAAGGAATACAAGACAGACCAGCTTGCCATACAGTTGATCCACATCCAGCGACTCACGGACAAAATCGCGAACTTCCACAGTAGTGATCCGCCGATGGACAGACAGCCAGGCTCGCCCGAGCCTTCAACTATGGCGTGTCTGGACGCATTCCGAGTTGAGCTAGACAGCCTCCGAAACGGACTGCCCCCGCATCTGACATCTGATTGTATGGTTTCCAACATGCTACCAACGTCGCCGACGGTGTTTCGCTAACGTCTGAGAACCTAGATCTTCTATCTTGCTATCACAATAGTGCCTACCTCCGAATCTATGCGCCTCTACTGGAAGGCTCACACCTACCAGACACCGAATCTCAATCTTTCGCCGCGCTCTCGCTTTCAGGCGTGCCGATATCCGATGTCTTCTCCCATTTCACCGCCGCACTCAAGGCCTGGCTCGAAAGCTGGCTTGCTGTTCCGGTCTGCTCCTACTTCTACATGCCTCAGCCCGCCTACGTCCAGTTGGTTCATGGCGCCACGATGCTCTCTCAATGGGTCCGCGTAGCTGGGCCCGGCGCGGTCAAGCGTCCCAGCGCCAGCTCGTCGATGCCACAGAAAGAGTCCACAGAGCCGTGGCAGCCAACACCTGCGCTCAGCGGCGTGCCTGCCTGTCCGGATCTGAGCTCGCAGACACCTCCAGCCCCAGTCACCGCCCAGGTCGTGTCCGCCCAGATCCTGAAGGCGCTCAGAGCCCGGGTCGCAGCGCAGCCCAACCTCCAAGTCGACATTCTCGGCATCCTGGAGACCATGGGGGCTCGCTTTGAGGCCGCGAAGAAGGAGATCGCCGCGGCGCAGGGGCTGGACTGGGAGAATGATACCTGGGACTCTGCTGCAGCACATTTGAAGATGAAGAAGGTGAGGATCGAGGAGTGGTGTGAGATGGCGGCTGATAGGGAGAGAAACATGCCGACCGGTGCCCACGACAGCACTTACGAGGGGAGTAGCGAGGGCACAAATTCGTTGCCAGGACAGAGCGAATACGATTTCGGATGGATGGCATCAGGCTATGATTGGGACAATATGCAGTGGGAGAGCGCCATGTTCGATGAGCTGTTGCAGGACATTCACGCTTGAACTGTGCTGGGGCTCGCCGACTGGGAGCCCTGGCATGCTGGTCGAATTTGTGGTTTGTGAGCGGAAAGGGGGGCGTAATAGTTACGCTCGAACTCTCCATCGATGCTGCCGATAGCTCTCTCCAGACCGATCTTCTGTCAAAGTCGAACAGATTACAGGGGGCTTGCTATGATCGGAACACTGTCGGTTCCTCATCACTGGAGCTCGGAGGCGGTCATTTACCTCACGTATATCACTAGGACCTCGCTGCCCTCAGCTGCGTTGCATCTTTGGTGCACATGACTCATTCGGCCTGCCATGAGTTATTTCTGAGGGTGTTGTAAGGGCCCGTGACACCTTGTTCATCAAACCTCTACACAGCGTAAAAATCTTCGTGCTCGCATCTCCTTCACGGCGACAGTATGCCTGCAGATACTTGCCGTGGTCTCCCCGTCCTAGGGTCCAGGGGTTTAGGGTCTAATGCCTGACAGTCCAATTCTTCGACACCGACACCGACTTTCCCACCTTCTTCACCGTACATCAACAACGCCGCCGGTGAAGTTCGGGTAGGGCTGAAGGGCTGAAACAGTGGGTTCGTGAAACAATGGGCTCGTTGAAACGGTGGGTTTGCCGAAACACTGGGCCAAAGATGGGTATTGTACTCGTCAAGGATCTGCCGTACCGTTGTTTGCGGGCGCTTAGATTCGGCACTCGAGATAGTGCACGGCATGAGATTGTAGTGTGAATTCAAGATTCGAGATTCAAGATTGGTCGTGGCATTCCAACGTCGTCCTGGTAGGAACACCGACCTGGCACGTGCGTGTGCGAAGCGGGTAGTCTAGAACACACCACACCACACCACACAACTGCATGGCCATCACACATGAAACATTCACCACCACCGCGCGCAACGCAGTAAGGCTGACACCCCTCGGGCGTTCGCGGCCACACCCCACCCACAGAAACTGCCATTCGCGGTGAGGAACTAAGCACCTACCAGCCAATCGCTTGCGTGCTATGTATACATCCAGGAACCTACGTGTTGAGTGAGCGGTTGAGTGGTAGCGATTCCGTGCTAGCGAGTCCGTGCTAGCGATGCCGTAGCGGCTGTGTGGTACCCAAGTCTATTCACAGCGGTCAGCAATAGTATTTGCGAGGCGGCGACTCAGAGACCCGGGTGTGCTGGAATGCAATAATGCGTATGCCAATCGCTGGGGCATTGTGCGAAGCGTCTCGCTACGTCGGCTCGCTACGTCTCGCTACGCGGCGACAGGTGTTGTACCGGTGAGCCGGTGAGCGAGCCCAACGAGTCTAGGTACCTACCTGTACGGGGAGGGTCCACGCGTTGTGATGTGGTGCATCATGCTGCTGGGTGGACTCGCCCAGGTACCCAGATCCCCAGGCTCCTGTACCGGTGCCCTCAGACCTGCGGCTGCCCAGCGAGGTTCCAAGCACCGCCTCGAGCCTGTGAGCCTCACATGTCACGCCCCACACGTGGCATCCTCCCCGCCAACACCCTGCCTCTGGCGCGCAGCCGGGCCCGCGGCGCACACGCGCTGGTCGCCCTGTGTCACGGTGGACGTGCGTGCGGTGCGGTGCGGTGCGAACGGGGGGAGCCTCGGCCACGGACGGGGACGGGGAGGGTTGTGTGGAGAGGGGACGTTGCTTGGGTCTCGTGGATTGACTACGGACGCGCTCACAGGCTCGCAGGCTCGCAGACTCGCTCACAGGGCTCGCAGACGCGCTTACAGGACTCGCATTCGCTCGCCACGCCCACAACCACCTGGGCTCTGCGGGCTGCGGGCTGCGGGCTGCGGGTGTGTTGGGCTGCATCAGCGACCTGCACGCCTCCCCGGGGCGGGCATTGGGCAGCGGGCACGCGTGGGCGGCAAAACACTCACAGTGGGGCGCGGCGTGCTGCAATTGCAGCGCTCCACGTAGCTCGGAGTCATATGACGACGGGTAGCGTGTTTTGGGTGCTCTGAGTTTGCGGTGCGAGTGCGGTGGGCTGGGGACCGGTGAAGGGGGATAAATATCGATTCGGGGGCAGTGCGAGACAGCTGCATACAGTGCTCTCGCTACAGTACTCTCGCGCTCGTCCTGCATCGCCCGTCTGTTGTTGCAGACTGCTCGCTCTGTTCCGCCACTAGCCCTTCCCGCTCCCGCACAGCTTTACACATGTCCGAATCAGCCCAGGCGACTGTTGCACCTTTCTACCTGATTCGGCGAGCTCGGCGCAGGCCCTGAGTTCATCAAGTTGCACTGAGACTCGGACTGAAGCTCGATCAAGCCGCACTGAAGCCTTGACTAAGAAGCCTCGAACTGAAGCCTCCCAACCTGCTGCACTGCTCACGCTGTTGTGGCCGATCTGCAGGCTCTGTGCAACCCTCGCTGCCTGACATCTGCCCACGGACCGTCAGACGCTCAGCGCAGACGTCATCTGTGTGCCTGCAGCGCACCCGCCATTTGCTGGCGCGCATCCTGGTGTCGCATCACTCGCGCCTCGCTTCGTGTTATCGATTGCAGCGCCGTCCTCTTCTTGCGTCTCTCCCGCCTTCATCCCGCCTGCGGTTAGCACTGCAATCAACCTCTGCCGAACGCCCTCTGCACTGCGCAAGGGACTGCTGCCCGCCCAGCACTGCGACGCCCAGCACCGCGACGCCCTAGCCTCCAGCCCTAGCCCTCCAGCCCTAGCCCTCCAGCCCTTGCTGCACGGGTCTTTCTTGTGGCTCTACCTCGCCGGGTCGACTTCGCCCGGGTCTCGTCGCCCGCCGCCGACTCTGTTTACTGTTTACACGCTACGCCTGGCCTCGCCCGAGTCGCGATTGGACCGGTCAGCTGGACCCCACCTCGACCGTCAGCCGCCCAGTCAGGCGCAACACCATCGCCAACTTCCCCGGCACCCGCACTCGGCCGTCTGCGAAACGGGCTGGAGTCGGGACACCGCCCGTCAGCCTCATGCCGTTAGTCATCGCCCTTCCTCAGCCCGCCCGCCCGCCCGCCATGCCCTCGCTCGTGTCCCCCAAAGTGCGCTCTGCCGTCTCGTCCCGTCGGTCGGTCTCAGGCCGCTCCGTCCGCAGCAGAGCCTCGCAGTCCACCCGCACCTCTGCCACGCGCTCGACCGCCCCCTCGAGCGCCTCCGTCTCCCCTGCGCGCACGCCTGCCGCGAAACGCGACACTAACATCACCATCAGACAAAGTCGCTCCCACAAGGGCATCGACATCCGCGTCGACAACCACACCGGCACCTACGCCGACGACAGCTACTCGGACGAGAGCGAGCTGTCCGACGAGCGCTTCCACAGCGACGACGAAGAGGAGTACACCGACGACGACGACGAGGAGGAGACGAGCTGGGACCTGATCGAGGACGAGATCCAGCCCTCCGACTCGGCCTCGCGGCCCCAGCACGCCCGCCGCCACCCCTCGCACCGCGCCCCGCCCGCCCCGCCCGTGCCCGCGGCGCCCTCTGCGCCCGTCGCCGCCCGTCCGCGCACCTCGCGCCGCGCCTCGTCGCGCCACGCCGTTGCCGCCCCCGACCCGCACTCGGCCCAGCACAGCAGGAGCCGCAGTCGAGGGCCCGAGCCGACCGCGCACCGCCCCCGCCGCCGCCGCCACCCGTCCGCCCACCAGCAGCCCGACAGCCTGGGCGAGGAGGACACGGGCGACGACTACCCCGGCTACCCGCCGCCGCCGCACCACGGCGCGCCCCCGGGCCACCCCAGCGCGCAGTGGTCGCACGTCCAGCCCGCGCCCGGCTATGCGCCCAGCACCATGTCGCACTACGACCACCCCTTCTTCCACCCGCCCGCCGCCGCCTCGCCCGCGGGCCAGGTAGTCGGTCCCGGCTACTACGACCCGCACCGCCAGAACGGCTTCAGCCCGCAGCAGCCCAACCCGTTCGCGACGGGCCCCGACTACTTTGGCGGCCCCAACGCGCGCGCCGGCGGCAACCCCAACCGCCGCTCCATGGGCGGCGCGCCGTCTGCCTCGTCCGACGCCATGATGCCCTATGGTCACCAGCCGCCCATGGGCGCTCACCCCGGCTACCCGCAAGGCTATCCGTTCCCCTACCCAATGCCGCCGATGGGGTACCCGCCATACCACCAGCACCACTCCCCTCCCCCAGAAGACCGACCACGTCGATCTAAGCGAGGTACACCGCGACCGCAATCTTCTCATTATGATTATTCTGACGACGATCACCATCAAGCTCCTGCACCGCCTCCCCCTCCGCCCCCCATGCCCGTCGCTGTTATTCCTCCACCACCTCCCCCTCCGCCGCCACCGCCGCCAGACAACGCCAAGGAGAACGCCATGCTCGAGAAGCTGAACGCGCTGCTGCTGGGCAAGGAAGAGGAGGAGCGCAAGAAGGAGGCCGAGGCGCGCAAGAACGCCGAGCTGGCCAAATTTGACCGCCTGGAGAGCCTGCTCATCGCGCAGCAAGAGGCCCAGATCGCCAAAGACAAGGCGAAGAAGCAGGCCGCCGAGGACGCGTCCAGGGCGGCGGCTGATGCGAAGAAGCGCGGCGACGAGGACAAGCTCGCCAGCCTCGAGAAGCTGATCCTGGCCCAGAAGGACGAGCAGCTCAAGCGCGAGGCCGCCGCCGACGCAGCCCGCAAGGCCGCGCAAGATGCAGCAGACGCCGAAGCCAAAAAGGTCGCCGAGGAGAAGAAGGCGCAGGCCGAGGCCGCCGCGCTGCTGCTCGATGCCGCCAAGAAGGCCCGCGAGGAGGCGGAGAAGAAGGCTGCCGCTGAAGCCGAGGAGACGAAGAAGGCGCACGAGAAGGCGCTCGCCGAGGCCAAGGCTGCGGCCGAAGAGCTGGAGAAGGCGAAGAAAGCCGCCGAAGACGAGGCGGCGAAGCTCAAGCCCTCGGATGCGCCCAAGGCGCCCATCAAGTTCAAGGACGCCGTGGGCAGGAAGTTCAGCTTCCCGTGGAACCTGTGCAAGACATGGAAGGTACGTTCAATCACGTCTGTATGTTGCAGCAGCAGCTAACAACCCCAGGGCATGGAAGAGCTCATCAAACAAGCCTTCCTTCACGTCGACATCATCGGCCCGCACGTGCACCAGGGCCACTACGACCTCGTCGGCCCCGACGGCGAAATCATCCTCCCCCAGGTCTGGGAAACCATGATCCAGCCCGACTGGGCCATCACCATGCACATGTGGCCCATGCCCGAGCCCCCGCCCCCGAAAGAAGAGCCCCTCCCTCCCCCTCCCCCCCTCGACGCCCAGCAGTTCCTCGCCATGCACCCCGCCGCCGGCATGCGCCCCCAAAAACCAAAAAAGAGCTCCAAACACAAAGTCCCCAAGATCCTCGCCGATCCCCACGTCGTCATGGTCCCGCCCCCGCCCCCCGGCATGCAAGCCGGCCCAGGCCCCGTGCCCCCGCCCCCGCCCCCGCATCCCGCGCTCGGCGGTATGCCCGGCATCCAGGTCCTCCCCGTCGGCGGCGGCGGCGGTAGTAGTAGCGGCAAGAAGAAGAAACCCGCGCCCGGCGGCTTTTTCGCTTGGGCGGCGGGCGGGAATGGCAGGGCGGGTGCGGTTAAGAAGAAGAAGGCGTGAATTGAGGGGTGGCGGCAGTGCGTTGAGGAGGCGGGGGAGTAGGCGGTGGTTGCGAGGTCGTGTGTGCGTGTGTGTGTCTCCTGTGCTGTGCGCTGCGGGGCTGGGTTGGCCCGTTTTCTCCTTCTTGTCATCTTCTCCCCTCCCCCTTTTCTTTTTCGGTTGTCCGAGCTGAGCCGATCTGAAGTGCGTTATTCCAAGCGCTTTTGTACGCGATACGTTGCGTACGATACAGCGCGATATGCGGCACTACGCGGCGGTGTGCTGGTGGTGCGGATTCCCCCTTTTGCTTCTTCCGTTTCCCGTTTCTGCTTTTTCCAGGGTTTTTTTTGGCGGCGTTGAGCGAATTCCCGGCGGTTTTTGCGGTTCGCGTGAGCGGGTTGATGAGAGACGAAGCGATGAGTTGACGAGCGATGTTTTGGATGTTTGACGAGCGATGATTTGGACGAGACGGCCAAGATGGGCACAATTGGGTAATCAGTTCGACTTCCGCTATCTGAGTTAGGGGGTTTTCCAGCTCGAGATGGGAGTGTCGAGATGAGCGTGTTGCGTGCTTGCGTGAAGAGCGGTGGAGTGTTGCAGTCTTGCAGTGTGGCAGTGGAGCAGTGTTCGCGATCCATACATTAGCATTATTACCCAAGATTTCTGTTCTATTAGCGAGATTGAGAATCTATGGACTATTTGTTTTTCATCGTCGTCGAGTTGAGTGCAGTGCAGTGCGGTGTCCTGTCTGTCTATGTAATCATCTAGCCCATTTATGCTATACAAGGAAGGCGCTTTTATTGTTAAGCTTGGTACGACTACCGAGTAAAGTGAGGTAGCCCGTGGGGCAAGTAATGCTTAGTCACGTGCCGCTCCGCCACGTACGACGCTTACCTGCGAGGTTGAACCATGTTATCGCACAGTTGCCAACGCCCGGGGCCGACAAGGAGGAGATGCAAAAACCATATCCTAGGTGTCATTTCGAAACTTACTCCGGCCCTGACCGCCGGGCACACGCACAGCCCTGTCAGTGATGGAGCACGCGGATGAGTGTCAGCCTGGTCGAGAAACGCATACCGTGAACGACTCGCTTTATGTCGGAGACGGGGCGCCATTTCATCGTGCGTCCAAGGAAGGTCGAGAACATGTTTCGAGACTCACGACGAGCGATGCATACGAGAGTAGCCGTGAACTAGACATGGCACCAGATACTCCGCCACGAGCATCTTCTTCGCTCCCAATCAAAAGCGGTGACCGCTTCCCCACATATCTTTGGAGCCGCAGCTTTCCTCTGGAAAATGTACACGAAGAGATGGACTCAGAACATGATAACGATGCGCCAACGATTCTCGATCATGCAGACTACGGCGACACTTACAGCTCATCCGCACGCTTAAAATCCACTACGAGAGATTCCCCCTCACACTCCGTAGAGGGACCCCTTCTGGACACGACCCGAGAGCGTATTGTGGACGGCATTTATGAGACGACGGCATCAGATTTCTTCAATCCCTATGTAGCGGGACTTTTACAATCTTTCAGTGGCCGTGATTTAATTGCATCACGACTTTTTGTCAGTTCCGGTACATCAGCGGCGCTGCCTACTTCCGCTTCCCGCGTGGAGAGTCTTACAGGATCACAGACTTTCAAGACAGCGCGTTCTAGCTTCGCCAGTTATGCAACAGCTCCAAGCGGTCCGTCCAATCTCCGAAAGTTGCTTCATCGGGATGATGCAACCCGTGTTCCTGAAAGGTCTCTGGCATTCAGCAGTGCGTGGCTGGATCACTTGCGGGCCCGAGGCATGATCTTAAGTCCAGAAGAAGCACTCGACTGGTCCGGTCGCGGCCAACACGTGGAATATCAACCACATGAAGCAGCCGCAGTACCGCTCGTCTCGAACGGAAACCTAGGGTATGGTGCTTCGGGTTTCGTCGATAGAGTTAGATGTCGCCGGATCGACCTGGCCCGCAAAACAATTCGATGTAATCGACGACTAACCAAAGAGGAGGCTGTTACCGAGGTCGAACCGAGGTCGAACATCTCCAGCGCCTACAGCACCGTCACATAGTTCGATTGGTGGGGACATATTTGCTGAAGAAAGACCTTGTCATTTTGCTGTACCCGGCAGCTGAGTGGAATCTGGAAGAGTACATGGATGAGCTGTTTGAAGGCAGATCCGAGATCGCGAAGACAGATGCTGCCACTTTATCCACCTTCGTGGGATGCCTTTCAAACGCCATTCAATACATGCACAACAACAACGTGAAGCACATGGATATCAAGCCAAAGAACGTCCTGATTAGGGATGGTTTCTTTGAGCTTGAAGTTTACGTCGCCGACTTCGGGATTGCACGAGCGTACAAGTGCGCCGACGATTCAAACACTGATTCGCCAACACCCTTTACTAGACTCTACGCTGCACCCGAGGTTGCTGCTCAAGAATCACGAGGGTTTCCGGCAGACGTGTTCTCGCTCGGGTGTGTCTTCATAGAGATATTTGCAAGTATCATGACAACAGCTAAACAAGACGAACGGGAAGAGCTCGTGAAGGTCCGCAGTCAAGGAGCAGAGAGAACATACCATGCCAATGCGGAGGCTGTCATCGAATGGTACACCGATTTGAGAAACTCATCGAGACTGTATCGCCGACTCGATAAGGCCACAGCCTGGAGGAGTGTCCCGTTTTCTGCGATGCTAAGTAGGATACCCTCACGACGTCCCACTGCAATACATCTCAACCAATCTTCGGCTATAGCTTTGATGAGCTGTAGAAAGTGCAGTCACGGCCCTAAGCCATTCGAAGCAGCTAATGAACACGGTTGAGAGACAAACCGTATCTAAAAACACGCCCTCTCCCCAGTTCCCAACACCGACAGCCGACAGTAAGTCATCCAGGCACCCTTGTGCGCACGTCCCACCGAACCCAGGCCACGGCGACTAGTCTGGCGCGGGGAAAAGCGCGCCAAATGCGCGCGTTCTGCGCCGGGAGAGTGACGCATGGCGTCAAAATTGTTGCAGTGGTCGACGGTGGTCGATGGTGGTTGGGACTTGCCGCTTTGGGAAGGCGTGGGCTGTGTGTTGGTCCTGCGCGGTTCGAACACGCCACGGGGCGAGCATGAGGCCGCACTGCGAAGGCGAGGGTTGTGCGATGCTAGGGTGCGGTTTACAGGGGGGCTTGGGGTGCGGGTTTGGCCGTACATACTAGACAGCTTGGCGGCGGTACACTGTGTGAAGTCGGTGACATATCGATATGTCATCGGTGAACGGAGACATAAAATATGGGGATCGAACTAGCTGACCGTTCGCATCCTACCGTCGAGACGTTAGGTTTTCTAGTTGTTCGCCTCTTCTTATTCAGTGTCACGCACAGCTATGGCTTGTGGTGGCGGTTGTTGCGGCGCTGCTCAGCCAAGTGCTATGGCTGTCGAGCCTGTTGTCCAAGGAGAGACTCTCTCTGAAAGTCTCCCTGAGGAAGGCGGCACTGGCTCAGCACGCTCGTCAAGTGAGACGCAGGGCGCGTCTTGCAAAGATGATGGCTGCTGCAAGCCGGACCAGAAAAACGTGCCGGAGCCGGACTATTGCTGTTCGCCAACGAATATACCACAAATTGCCACAGAAAGCTCCCGCAAGACAGTCACAGGTGGTTGTTGCTCAAAGAAGCCTTCGGCGAACAGCCGCGATGATGAATGTCCACCAGGTGGTGTTCAAACTGATACACAGCAACGTCCGCCTCCAAGAGTCACGAGCTGTTGTTCCGAAACGGCGAGTAAACCGGCCTGCTGCACAACCGAAAAGAAGTTAACGGCACTGCCGCCAGTTGTCCTAGACCATTATGTACAGCAGGGCGCGGGCGGGTGTTGCGAGAGGGGCCCATCGGCGAGCAGCTGCGCTGATAAGAGCCCAGCAAGTGTTGATCAAGCAGACCCATCCCCGAACACCACGGGCTGCTGTCCCGCAACTCTTAGCAAACTGGCCTGCTGTGCAACCAAAAAGAAGACCAACACCGCGATATGTGGCTCCGAAACCACCAGCAAATCGAACTGCTGCACGACAAAAAAGAAGACCAGCACCACAGTTGCCGCCCTCGAAATCTCATCTACGGACCACAACCCAATCGACGTAGAAAAGAGCAGCGCGGGCATCGAACACATCGTCCTCAGCATATCCGGTATGACCTGCACTGGCTGCGAGACCAAGCTCCAGCGCACCCTCGGCACCCTGCCCTACCTGCGCAACCTCCGCACTAGTCTCGTCCTCGCACGCGCCGAGTTCGATATCGACCACCGCATCGCAAGCGTCGAGGACGTGATTCGGCACCTCTCGCGCACGACTGAATTCAGGTGCGAGCAGGTCTCGATGCAAGGCTCGAGTTTCGAGCTCGTGTGCAAGGGGAGGGCGGCGGTGGTTGCGGATGGTAAGTGGCCGGTTGGTGTGGTCGAGATACGGGCGCTCGACAAGGATACGGTGCGTGTTGCGTATGATGCGAGTACGGTGGGGGCGAGAGATTTGGTGGAGAGGGGGTGGGAGAGTGCCATGCAGCTGGCGCCAATGCGGCTGGATGCTTCTCTTGACGCTGGGAAGAGGCATGTCTGGCACATGGGGCTGATGACGCTGCTGTCGGCGTGTCTTACCATCCCGGTCCTGGTTATGGCGTGGGCACCGCTTCCGCGTCGGGAGGTCGCGTATGGGTCTGCCTCGCTTGCTTTGGCTACTATTGTGCAGGTGTGTGTTGCGGGGCCTTTCTATCCGAAGGCGCTGAAAGCACTTGTGTATTCTCGGGTCATCGAGATGGACTTGCTGATCGTGCTGAGTACGAGCGCTGCCTACGTGTTCTCGGTGGTGTCGTTCGGGTACATGATTGCTGGCAGTCCGTTGTCTACGGGGGAATTCTTCGAGACCAGTACGCTGCTGGTCACCTTGATAATGGTCGGGCGATGGGTCGCGTCGCTGGCTCGGCAAAAGGTTTCTCCTCCTCAGTCGGCATGCGAGATCTCTTCGCTAACCATGCACAGGCTGCCGAGTCCATCTCTATACGATCTCTTCAAACACCTACTGCCATACTTGTCGAAGACAATGGCCAAGGAAAGGTCATCGATGCCCGACTTCTCCAATACGGCGATATCTTCAAAGTAGCACCAGACTCACAAGTACCCACCGATGGCACCGTAGTCGAGGGATCGTCTGAAATCGACGAGTCGATGCTGACCGGCGAGTCGAAGCCCGTCGAGAAGCACATCGGCTCTCCCATCATCGCAGGCTCAATCAACGGCCAGGGCATGCTCACAGTCCGCCTGACGCGCCTGCCCGGCGACAACACCATCACCACAATCGCGAGCATGGTCGACGAAGCGAAGCTGTCCCGGCCAAGAATCCAGGACATCGCAGACAAAGTCGCGAGCTACTTCGTCCCGGTCGTAGTCGCCCTCACGATTGTGACATTCGTCGTTTGGGTTGCGGTAGGCGTCGCGGTTCGCAAGCAGTCCGGGTCGCAGGCCACCATCGAAGCCATCACGTACGCCATAACCGTGCTGATCGTATCGTGTCCGTGTGCCATCGGTCTGGCAGTCCCGATGGTTATTGTCATAGCATCTGGCGTCGCCGCACGCCGCGGCGTCATCTTCAAATCTGCTGCCAGCATTGAGGTTGCGTACAAGGCGACGGATGTTGTGTTTGATAAGACAGGGACATTGACACTCGGCCAGCTCACCGTTGTCGAGCACTCGACTGTCTACGCCGATCAGGTGTTGAGTAAGTCGCTACTACTTGGGCTGCTAGCTAATATCAAGCACCCGGTCTCCGCCGCTGTCGCATCGCATCTAGTCAGAGATGGTGTTGCCGCAACCGCCGTTCAGGATACCAAGGCTGTGACTGGAAAGGGCGTCCAGGGCAGCTGGCAGGGAACTGAGCTACGAGCCGGCAACGCACAGTGGCTTGGTCTAGCCGCACACCCAGCAGTCCAAGCGTTGCTAGACAAAGGCCTGACAGTGACTTGCTTCACCATCGACGGCGCCATTGCAGCCATCTACGGACTCCACGACACCCTCCGTCCAGACGCTGCAGCGACCATATCAGCGCTTCAACGGCGCGGACTCACCATCCACATCCTGTCCGGCGACGACGACGGCGCCGTCCAAGCCGCCGCCCGCCACCTCTCGATCCCGCGCAGCAACATACGCTCCCGCTGCTCACCAGCAGACAAACGCGACTACATCGCCGCTCTCGAAACCCAATCAGCGAGCAAGAAGCCGCGAAAACCAGTCATCCTCTTCGTCGGCGACGGCACCAACGACGCCGTCGCCCTCGCACAGGCCACAGTCGGCATCCACATGTCCAGCGGCACGGACATCGCGCAGTCGGCCGCCGACGTGGTGCTCGTGCGCCCCGAGCTGGCGGGCCTGCTGACGCTGCTCGCCATCAGCAGGAAGGCGATGCGCAGGGTGGCGTTTAATTTCGGGTGGAGCTTTGTGTATAACACGCTGGCGGTGCTGTTGGGCGCGGGCGCGTTTGTGAGTGCGCGGATTCCGCCTGAGTTTGCGGGGCTGGGGGAGCTGGTTAGTGTTCTGCCGGTTGTTGCTGCGGCGGTGCTGCTTAGGTGGTCGAAGATCTGAGGGGTGTTGGAGGATCGGGGGTTTGTTGTGGGTTGGAGTGGGGGTCTGGGGAGGGATGGGGTTCTTGGTCTGGTGTATTGTTTCTGCTAGTATCTTGTTGTTCCTTCGACCTCATGCGACATTGAGGCATGGAATGTCCGAGAAAGATATCTGGCACCATAGGTCACGTTGAGGGACGCGTGAGTGAGCTCAGACTTTACTGCTCCAAGTGCCTACTTCAAAACACTCTTCTCGGGATTCTCTATCCAAGCTGATGATGTCATGGTGTAGGATGTCCTTCGTCTCATGCACAGTATTCATGTACGACACCTGTACAAGAATCGGACCAGGCCTTCGAGTCGCCATTGCAAAAGTCTGGAGCAGGCGAATGAACACAAGAATTGATGTAGCAGAGATACTAACGCGGTATGAAGAAGATCGTCCTCATCCGATGTCGGTTCGGAGAGATAAGATTAGATGGATCCACTTGCGCTAACGAGAATCGGGCGGACCACACTCGATCCTGGCGTGAACCCCGCGGATTGTCACACCACCCAATGCCCTCCACTCCAGGTCGCAGATCTTAGCATGTGCTCATGCGCTTTCGCAGATTTCTCGTCGGAGGTTGATGCGCTCTTGGCGTTACTGTTTGCCGAGTTGTTGGAGAGTTTGGGACTCCACTGTTAGGCTTGAACCGGTAGGTATGAACAAATGCCTGCTTATCCCGCGGAGCGAAGCGAACCCAGACAGCTGGTATGGACGTCTCTTTGAATACCAAAGACACCCCTCCTGTAGACAAGTTACAATCACAAGTGGCAAAAGGTCACCGCCGCGAATTATATCCGGACAAGGCACCGTATTAGTCGTTCGCCATGCGTCTATGTGGGCAACCCAACGCGTTCCTGCCGTCCAGACGCACCTCGACCGGCAAATATCTCTTGAACCACGAAGCCAAGCCATACACTATCTCGCCCATCAATCAGATTAGATTTCGCTGAAGATTCTGATGGGCGAAGGAGCACCATGGTAAGGCATCCCGTCGACTAAAGTCTTAGCAAGCGCCGCGCCAGTCCAGGTACGTACCGATAGGTACTCACCACAGGTGCCGAGAATTCCGCGGTTCCTTATCAGATGGAGTTTATAGTCTGAGCATCGCGACTGTGAGGTTGTGCAGCTCTTTCAGTTCCAGGTTTTGGATTTACCAAAGAAGTCGGCATGGCTACTCTAGGGTCGGATCAGCCCGTGGTCGGGCGCGCGGTGGCCGGCAATACGCCAACGAGTGATGTGCACGCAGCCACACCATTGCCAATGGTGCAGATGGATACCGAGAAGGGTGCCAAAATCGATACTGCGGCGGAACCAGAGGATCTGAAGGCGTTTCCAGACGAGGTGCCGGATTACGATGCGCAGCGTGGTGTGCAGCAGATTGAAGCCACGACGCTCACATGGAGTAAATGGTCGCTCGCGGCTTTGCTAATCAAGTGCGTCAACATCGAAATGATTCACTTCAAGATCAAGTAGCTGACCACGTTCCAGCATCTGGCTCATCTTCCTGACCAACGGATTCCGAGGCTCGATTCTGGCTGGGCTGGTTCCTTACGTGACGAGTGACTTCCGATCGCACTCGCTGATGACAGTCATCGATATCGTCTCCCGGGCAATCACCGCCTCGGTCTACATCCCCATCGCAAAGCTGCTAGATGTGTGGGGGCGTGCGGAGGGATTTGCGCTGATGGTTGGATCGGCGACGCTGGGCGTGGTGCTTATGGCTACTTCGCAGAACCTGGCCACGTTCTGTGCTGCACAGGTCAGTCGTCAACAATCTTGGTCCAAGATCAGCCGTCACGGGACTAACAGAAATTCCAGGTCTTTTACTCCATCGGATTCTCGGGCGTTATCTACACTGTCGCTGTCCTTGCGGCTGATGTCACGTCGCTGCGCAATCGAGGTATTGCTTTCGCATTCACGTCGTCGCCGTACATGATCACAGCATTCGCGGGATCGAAGGCGGCAGAATCCTTCCTCTTGTACGTTCGGAACTGGCGCTGGGGCTTTGGCAGCTTCGCTATCATAGTCCCAGCCGTCTGCACTCCTCTTTTCGTGCTGCTGAAGCTCCAGCTTCGGAAAGCGGAAAAGAGGGGGCTGATTGCTGAGCAAATTCGCAAGTCGTGGTCGCTGGATAGGATCTGGAACGCTATTGTCGCGTTCGACTGTAAGTATTCCATCGTTTCTCCGATCTCACAGCTAACGAGTATGCCTGCAGTGCCCGGTGTCGTTCTCTTCGCGGGCGGCTTGACCATTTTCCTGCTTCCTTTTAATCTCGCCACACACGCCCCCAACGGCTGGAAGACCGACTACATCATCGCCATGATCATTGTTGGATTCCTCCTTCTCATCGCCTTCGGCCTGTACGAAACCTATATCGCCAAGCAGCCCTTTCTCAAGAACAAATTCCTCCTCGACCGCTCCGTCATTGGTGCCTGTCTTATCGATATGACCTACCAGATCAGCTACTACTGCTGGGCGAGCTACTTCACATCGTTCCTACAGGTCGTCTGCAACCTCTCCATCGCTGAAGCCGGTTATGTACGTCCCCCAATCATATTCCTCCCTTGATAGGCCAAGCTAACACCCTCAGGTCAACTCCACCTTCCAAGTCGTCTCTGGCGTCCTTCTCTTCATCGTTGGCTACCTGATCCGCCGAACCGGCCGCTTCAAGTGGCTCTTCTACGTCACCGTGCCCATCTACACCCTCGGTCTCGGCCTGATGATCGCCTTCCGCCGCCCCAACCAACACATCGGCTACATTATAATGTGCGAGATCCTGATCAGCATCGGCGGCAGCGTTTTCATCCTGCTCGTGCAACTCGCGTGCCTTGCCGCCGTCGACCACCAGCACGTCGCCGCTGTGCTCGCACTCCTCTACGTCTCTGGCTCCGTTGGCGGCGCCATCGGAAGCACCATCTCCGGCACCATCTGGACCAACACGTTTGCCAAGGCGCTCGGGATGTATCTGCCGGAGTCGGCGCAGCCGCAGCTTCTCACGATCTACTCGAGCTTACCCGCTCAGTTGGCGTACCCTGTGGGCTCGCCCGAGCGCATCGCGATTCAGATGGCGTATGGGTACGGGCAGGCACGCATGCTGGCGGCGGGCGTGGGCGTGTTCGGGCTGTCTTTTGGTTGGATGTTTTTGATCCGGAATCAAAATGTCTCGAAGAATGGGCAGACGAAGGGTATGGTGTTCTAAGCGGGAGGGGTTTGAGTTTGGGTGTGGGATTCCAGTGGATGCATCGTCTGTTGGAATCAGGCGATACGTGGAGCGTGGTAATGCAACGTCTTCAAGAGCGAGAGCTCTTGGTCAAGAATCCAACAATCTGATTACAATGTCGGCCTTGCATCTATGTCCACATTTCTTCTGCAGGGATCGGCGGCCGGGAGATGATGTAATCGCTCCCAGCCACCCGTGAAACATCTGAACGTTGGCAGGGACAAGGTAGTTGGGGCCGTTCTCAGGGCACTCTTCGCATTGCGACTCTGCAGGAAGACTGAGGGGATCTCGGATTTCCTATACTAGCTTCTCCCCGACTTGTCCCCGACGAAGACCGACCACCGAAGACCTTTCCAGCATCAGAAGAACGGGAGTATCTTGGAAGCGTTCGGCAAGCCGCGGCAAGCCGATCGGCCATTTCCTGGCAAGCATTGGCAGATGCAGGCACCGTGACATCAAAGATGCCAATGGAAGCTTCAAACGAAAAGCTAGTGGCCCGCAGCAAGCGGTGATAAGCACTACCAAGCTTACTCAAGCTTTGCTCACACCTGCCCTTTGAGGCTTAGGTAGCTCCAATCTGCCCCACTTTCGACGGCTCAAACGATTATGACGCGAGTGGTAACTGCAATTGCATCCTTAGAGCTCGGGAATACGATGCGAGATAGTTGTTAAAAGGTCGCATAGTCCCTTCCCACTGCACGACACCAAGAGCAACCTGGAAGCTAGGAGGTCACGATGAAAGCACCAATCTTGTTCAGCTTTTTGGCCGCCATTGGATCCGCCACTCCGGCGCCTTCTCAATGGCAGGAAAAGAGAGCAGCAACTCCGGCGTACGAAGCTCATACCATTGATCAGCCGGTATGCTCTATGACCTGCTCATTCGCTTTTCTCACACATGGTAGATCGATCACTTTCAGAATTCAAGTCGCTATGATCCGCATACGAAAGATACGTTCAAGCAGCGATACTTCTTCGATTCGTCGTATTACAAGCCCGGAGGACCAGTGTTTCTCTACATCGGTGGAGAGACTAGCGGGGAAAGTCGGTTCTCGAACCTTGAAACTGGCAGTATGTATGCAACTTGCGACGTAATTTTCTGAACTAATGTCCGTAGTCATTCAGATTCTGATGGAGAAATTCAATGGTCTTGGTGTCATTTTGGAAAACCGTTACTACGGCCAAAGCTATCCGTACAATAGCAGTTCAACAGACGAGCTGAGATTCCTGACAACAGAGCAAAGTGAGTCAAGTAGTGTCATCTTTAGCGAAATTCGTTGACATGAAGAAGCCATTGCCGACAATGCGTACTTCAGACAGCATGCTACTTTCCCTGGAATCAACAGCAGCCTTAGCGGTCCATATGTTCCTTGGATCATGTACGGTGGTTCTTTGGCTGGCGCACATACTGCATTCACTATGAAGACCTACAACTCGATCTTTGCTGGCGGTATCGGCAGTAGTGCCACTACGCAAGCCTTGCTCGAATATCCACAATGGTACGATCCAATCATCAAGTATGGCCCCTCCGATTGCGTGTCCAGGGTCATTGATATCGTCGACAAAATTGATACTCTGATTGACTCTGGTGATAAGACAGGAATCCAGCAGCTAAAAGAGGTCTTCGGTCTTGGTAATCTGCAGAGTCTCGGTGACTTTGCTATGACGATCGCGTTTCCCATTGGCGGTCCTATGAACTATCCCACAAACACCTGGCAAGAGCTCAATTGGAACGAGACCTACGGCTCAGATGACTTCTGGAACTTCTGCGGGAACGTCACGAACATCAATCCTCCAGCTAACATCAGTCGCATCGATACCGCCCTCTCCAAGTACTCAGATGGCGAACCTTGGACAGGGCTAGGTGGCTATGCCGACTACATCAAGAAAACTCTGATTCCTTCCTGCGAGAGCGGCAGAATCAACAGCACAGACGAAGGATGCTTCGGTACTCAGAACCAGACCTACTACGCCGATGTCACAAACAGTGCTTCTCGCTCCTATCTGTACTCGACCTGTCTTGAGTCCGGAGCCTACCAAGTCGCCCCCAAGCACGGCCCTTCACTGATCTCCCGTGTGCTGCAGAAGGACTACACTCAGCAATGGTGCACATGGGCCTTCCCACCCGGCCAGCACAACAAGATCCCCAAGTCACCCGAGCTGCACTACTACAACAAGTACGGCGGGTGGAACATCAAAGCCGAGAATCTTGCGCTCATCGATGGGAGCACAGATGTCTGGCTCGATCTGTGCTTTCACTCGGACTTGGCCCCAAAGCCAAGGGTGAGCAGCGATAAGTATCCGAGCTACCTGATTGCTGGGGCTGGACATCATTGGGACAGCTATGGTATCAAGGACATTGCGGCTGAACCAGCGTACATCAGAGAGGCGCATGAGTGGGAGATTCGGACCGTGAGCAGGTTCTTGAATTTTTGGGCAAAGAAGCATTGAGTCACACGAAGCTTACGAGTACTATGACAGGAGATGGTAGTCGTCAGACTTGAATTGTAACGACAACTCAGCGTTGTACGATCGCATCAATTGCCAAGCCGTTCATTTGAACATTTGTACAGTGAACAGACTGCGAAGCCATCCATATCTTTGTGAAAGTTCTTCTATTAAAGTACGAGGAAGGCGAGATCTATTACCTGCCTTCAGATTCCTTGCCATCCCTTTCCATCTATCTCCCTTCGCCTGCTACTGGTGTAGTCTGATATGTAGTTGCTTCTTTCTCGTCGCTTATACCTGAGAAGATAGAAGTGCTATTTCTTACGAGCTGCGAGCTACGATTGCTCGAATTGGCCTCGACGTCTTGCTTGGAGTCACCATTGGCCTCACGTCCCTCAAACAAATCACCCGGGAATGGGAAGAGAGTCCTGCGACGAGGAGGACTCTTTTCTTGGGCCGTCATCCACACGAGAGCTGTAATGTCTTTGCCGAGAGCTTCGATGATAGGCGTAACGATGGGTAGGCATAGGAAGAGGACGGCGTAAGACGTGACACCAACGATGGCGACGTTGATTCCGTACGTGAAGCCACGCTCGGCGAGGAATATCATGAGCCAACTACCCCAACTCCAGAAGACGAGACCGTGGAGAAGGTAGATGGTGAAGATGTGAGGAAAGAGAACAAGCAGTGGCGGAGAAGAGAGCAGCCATTGTACGCAAGTAGAGAGTTCAACGACGACTTGCATACCACCCGCAAATAGAAGACCATTCAGACGCGGCGTATAGTAAGGAGGGTAACCAGCATTATCTGTGTGCAAGAGGGCTTCGCCGGTCGCTTCGTCGGGATGGATGTCATGCTCTGCAGTCGCAAAGTTGAAGTCCATCCAGTTTGGTAGTAAATTGACCACGAAACCGGCAGAAACACACAGCCAAGCAAGTGTGAGAAGCGGATAGTATGATCCCGGACGCGCATACAACCACTTCTTGTACTTGTAGGTAATGTCAAGGTCGGTGAGAAGTAGACCAAGCCACAGGTAAGTGCCCCATGATCGTGCATACCAGTGGTTGACCATACAGAAGATGTAAAATGCGATACGCTTCCAAGTGGTCTTCATCTCTCGGACAACTATTGCGCCGAGGAGGACGAGCCAAGAGCCTTGCAGCTGGACTGCAATTGTCCAAAGTACACCAGTGCAATAGTTGAAGGTGATCTGTGGCACAGCATTCGGTACCAGAAAAATCAACTCAAGGATTTCAGAAATGTACTGGCCAAAGTTCTCATATCGTGTGACGTAAGGCCAGGTCGACCAAGTCAGAGACGGGATGTAGCGGAGATACGAGGTCGCCCCAACGTCGATGAGGAAATACTCCAGCAAAGCGATGGTAGCGACAGGGATCATGAGACGCGGTGTTCTGCGCACGGCAGCCTTCGCAATTTCCTCGACACTGCCCTTCCTCAGGTAAGAAGCAGTCAAAAACCGAGTGGAAGTGGTGAAGAACACACCAAGCCACATCTGATTCAGAATGAATGGGGCGACGATTTTCTGAGCCCAGTACTCGGACTTGGCGTGTTGTGGAGCACCTGGAATGACGATAGCAGGAACGAAAGTCAGACCGAAGTGCATGATCGTGACAACAATGGCACACAAGGCTACAAGGCCCGCCAAGTAATCAATGCGTTGACGCGGTGGTGGCGGCTGTGCTCTCATGCGAGGTGCGGGCAATGCTGATTCGGTCACCGTCTCCATACGGATCTTGTCGGTAGTTTGCTGTGAACAGTGAGGGATAGCGATCGTCTGCTCCGAACCAATGTTGTTGAGATATCCCCGATGTCCACCCACCATGGCGGGCGAGAATCCGACTCGAGACGAAGAATTACTTCCGTCCACGGTAGGTAGACCTTCCTTCCCTAGCTCATATGTGCTGTTGTATGGGGACAGTACACACGGCGTTGTGGCACTGCTGTCGAACCATATAGAGTTTGGGCGTGAAGGACCACTAGGTGTGGCACCTCCAACCACTGACGTGCCAGTGCTAGGGCCCATCGGCTCGATGGTCAGATCGTCCGATCCATATTTTGAAGATGTTGGCCGGCTCGACGCTGGTGACTTCTTGATCAAAGAAGTTGAGTGTAGCTCAGTGACTTCCTGTGTAGCAGTCTTCTCGTTGAGAGTTGACGGAGCTGGTGCCGGACTGCCTCCGTGACCAGGTATCTTGGGCTGTGTCATACGACGAATAAAAGTGTGAATGAGAAGGAACGTGGATAGCGCAAGGCAAGCTATAGAGATCCAGAGCGCCGGCATGCGCTTTATGCTTTTGTGTGGGTCTTGTCGCCATTTCTCGGTAGCCTCGTCAGAGAAAGCAGTTGATCCACGTAGAGTGTTGTCATCGATCATACATGCGTCTGTGACTGAACATCTGGCGACAAAATTTTCGCGTGCAGCAGTGTTCATGGAGGATGAGTTGAAGAACATACGAGTCCAGCCAACTTCCGCGACTGAAGCTCGCCTAGGGGGACCTTTCATTGAGAAGCGATTACCGGTGGACCAGTGTTTGAGGTACAGAGGTGCAGGGACCGAAGGCATTGCTTTGTTGTCTTTGTGTAGAATCTGTCGAGTCAGATTACCGCCGATATAGAAGTTGATGTAGTCCCGAGTCCAGTCGATGCGATACTCAGTGAAGTCCCAAGGGTTGACGCTGCCGTTGTTGAGGCCACCCTCCAAAGTCGTGTAGTTACGGTTTGCTGTAGGCTGTTCGAGAAGCTGTGTGTAGTTGATGCCAAGGTCTCGCGTGGTGAACTCTCCACCAACAAAGGTCCCAACCCATGCTTCAGAAGCATCATTCATGTTCATGACGCTGAGTTCCGAGACTTCAGTTTCATTGTATTGCCACATCATTGACATCGCCGAGCCTGCGGATGTGTGTCTTGGCGATTTGATCAGCGTACGGAAGGAGCCATGCTGGATATCACGTCGCGCTGTACGAAGGCCGGCTCCCTGGACGATATGATCTTCGCTGGGGGGCTGCACGGTGAATTGCAGGGATCCATTTCCAGATTGAAGATTCTCCGGGTCAGCGCCCTGACGGTAGATAGCGTTCCAGTCCTTTTCATACTTATTGCTGTACTCCTCGGCAATGAACTCGGAAGGTAGGCCCTCAGTCTCATTGAAATACACGATGATAGAATCTGTAAAGAGAGACTGAGTCCCGCTGTCATAGAATCCACATGTACAATTTCCGTTGTCACCAACGACCTCGCTCGCTGTGAGAACAGCGTGAAAAAGGGCCCAGGTAAGGAGGGTGATAATGAACATATTGAACAGGCTGGGGGAAACAAAGAGTGCTGAACAACAACGGACAGTGCAGATTCAAGAGAGATCAGGCTACCCATACACGCTTTACCTGAGAAGAGATTTGCAAAGGATCATCAATAGCAGCTAGCATACAGCTGTGCAGTGACGAATGGAGTCTGGTACAAAACCAGCCTGACGGACTCGAAAGGAGCCGTAAGATTAGTTGCAGCTCGAATGATGAGCATTCCGTCAGTACCTACTTTGGATTCACCTATCAAACCCAATGTGTACCCCCTGCTAGGGGGCCAAGATCGGAAAGACCGTCGAGCAAGTCGCGGGTTCTTCTCTCCGCCAAGGCCTTCCTTTGCAAGCTTTCTTGGCCATTTCCATCCGTGGTTGCACCGAAAACGGAAGGGACAAGGGCGAACGGTGTGCTGCACGGCCTGTGGGTCTGCGGCCAGCAACGAAAGAGAAAGAAAAAGTGATGCTTGCCAGGGAGTGGGGCGTTTCCGCGATAGCGTCAGGTACTAGCGGGGGTTGCGCGTCCCCAAAACACCAGCTCGCACGGACACTCCTCTCACGCACCTCATTGATGATCTGTTGAGCGCGACCTGTCCTAACCTGCACCTTGATATTCGTCCGCGCCGACATTGGCCCCCACTGTAAACATGCACATGTTGACTGATCTTCACTCGTCCCCATGACACAAAGTCGTACACCCCATCAGGATGGCGGATGCAGTACCACCTACAAAGCCCTGTAAGCCTGCAGAATGCGTTACCTATCGTAAGACCCAGGAGCACCAAGCCCAACTAACCCTGCACTGCAGGCTATTGTAGGGACGGAGTATTGCAGTCGGCACAATGATACCACACCCGATCTTCCCCCCACGGATGTGCCGCGCCGACAACATGGTCCATTATTGCCAAGGTCTACCGAAGGCGACGATCGGGATTATGCTGAAGCACATCTTGCAATTTCGCGTCTGCAAGATAAACAAGGATGTGCATCGCAAGGCTCTTATCCAGCCCCGCTTTCATTCGTCGTTAAGCCCGGTAAAACCAACAAGAGCGCGAGAGTCGTGACAGACGCGAAGTGCAGTGACTCAATCTGTTCCGAAGCCAAGTCATCATTCAGCTTTGGTATCCATTTCCTTGCCAACCAACAGTCAATCATTTCTGCTTTTGTTACCCCGTTCTATCCTCAGCACGAATTGTGCTGCCCCAGCCTCTGTACTTTTGACTGATGCTCTGGACTCGATTACTGCAGCTCAACCACTCTTGAAAGTCATCACTCACTTTGACTGACGTTTCACTGGACTTTTATCCCTACGCTTTTGCCATTCGCCGCGCAGTTGTTTCATATCCACCATGTCAGAGACCAAGGATTTCACTGTCGATATTGGCGAGGTTGCGCCAATTGTACCGACCGACCAGCAAGGCACAGGGAAGGGAAGAACGAGCATGCAGGTCACTGAGAGAATTTCTTCGTTCTTATCTGAGTGGACCCCGTTTTGCCTCGTGGCATCCTACTTCATCTTCTCGACATGCATGTACATGTACTGCAGCGAGGGCCTGATTGCCGTGTTTTGGTTCATCTACATGTGTACGAACTTCTACATTGCTGGAGCGACCGTTATTGAGGCCTTCATGAGTATCACCCCTTGTCGCGAGGCGAGGAAGGTTGTTACCCAGGCGGAAGAGAAGGGCTGGTTGTTTCCCACAGCCCACAGCAACCTGCCCGTTCTGGATCTCATCATTGTGGCGTATCTACCAAACGAGAGAGACATTATAGTAGACCGTGCTATATATGCCTTGGAGCAACTGGACTATCCTCAAGACAAAATTCGAATCAACATCCTCTACAACACGCCATTCCCAATCGAGCCGCTGGAGACCGAACTTCACCAACTACCTTTGAAGTACCCTCACGCCAGGATCATTAAGGTTCCAAACTCCAGCTCCAAAGCAGATAACCTCAACTACTTCCTCACGCTCGACACCGGCTCTGACATCATTGCCATTTACGATTGCGACCACTATCCGCATCCAAATGGTCCTCGGTGGGCAGCCGAACGCTTCATGGCCGACACAGAGGTCGATATTGTCCAAGGCCGATGCATCATTTTCAACTCCAACGACACGTTTCTCACCAGCATGATCGCTGTTGAATTCGACAAGATCTACGCTGTCTCTCACCCTGGACGTTCTACGATGTGGGGCTTTGGTCTCTTCTGTGGGAGCAACGGCTACTGGCGTACAAGTCTTCTCCGTGAAATGAAGATGGATGGCTCCATGTTGACTGAGGATATTGACTCTGCACTGCGAGCTTTCTCCCGTGGGTGCAAGACTGTACACGATCTCAACGTCACATCGTATGAGTTAGCACCTACAACCATCAGCGCATTCTGGAAGCAGCGTCTTCGATGGGCACAGGGTTGGGCCCAAGCTTCCATGCGACACTTTAAAATGATTTACAACGGGGTCCAGGATCCGCTCCACGAAAACACCAAGAGAAACTTCACAGCCAGGTTCGGCGTTCTTTCGCTACTCCTCATTCGCGAGGCATCATACTACCTCGTCACACAATACACGTGTCTAGTGTTGTCGTTTGTCATTGTCAAGTTCCCGTCTTCCGGTGAGGAGTTGTGGAAATTGGTATACTTTCAGTACCCGGTGTCACAGTGGCTATTTGTCATTAGGTAAGTCCAATGTTGACCCTCCAGATTGAATGAAAGTGCTAATAACATCTGGCAGTGTAGTGTGCTTGGTAGCCACGCTCTGGATCACCAATCAAGTCAAATCCGAATTCATTTCACGAAAGATGATTATTCTGTTCTCGATCTCATACCCATTCTACCTGGTGTTATCTGCAACTATTGGACTTTACGGACACGCTCGACAGATTGTCAAGTACAGTTCCTGGAACCCCACAGCCAGGAAATAGCGTTATTTCGTTACACAACTTCAGGCAACTTCGCAGCTTCATTGTATCTACTTCTCACTTTTGCGTTTGACTGGAATCAGCAGATTGTTATCGAACATAGTACATGCGCACAATCAAACATCTGTATCTACTTTCGGCATCTGATCGACAGTCTCAGCCTAACTCGGTGTGACTTACCTTTACACCAGTAATATGCATTGTACAGGTGCACAGGCTAGAATGCACACCGACTTCTTGTGTATGAAGGGTGATCTTCGTACCTGTTATCTCTATCGGCCGGGTTTCCTAATGCGACAGTAACTTTGCCTAAATGACTCGATGTCGAGCAGTCTCTTGTCCTGTATTGGTCTGATCGACATTTACTTTCGGTCGCGAGCTCTTCTGATCAGCGTTGTCTCGCCGAATCAACACAATCGATTAACCTAGCTTGTGGCTCCAGCTTTGACTAGCCCCTGCAGAGCCTCATCCGCTGGAAGACGTTGATCTTGGAACACGTGGAGAGTACAGGGCGCTTTGACATTTTGGATCCACTTGCGCTCGTCTACGGTAGGACCCAGACGCCAATGCCAGCCGCTTGCTTGTCAGCTAGAAGCAAAAGTCTTTTGGTGGTTGATGCACCCCTGACATGGATCTAGGATCTGCATCGGGAGATTGTGATTGCTACCACATGCAATCCACAGAATGCATCCCCGGTGTGGTACAGTTTCAGGCTACACATTGGAGTGCTCCAGTTAAAAGCTGACCGCGTAAAGAGCGGCACGCGTCCTTCTCAGAGAGCTCTTTATTTGAATCTTGACGTGTGTGACAAAGAAAATTCTGTTGTTTGCCGATGATTACGAGTGTTCTGCCAAGCCTGACAACATCGCACTGCAAAACCCAATATTGTGATCTGCTTGTCAACAAGATAACAACGTTGGTGGCTCGGGTCGCTCCACCGACACATGTCAAATTCTAGTGTGCGCTAGCCGCCGTAAGCACCCATATGTCTATCTATCTAGAAACGCAATCAAAGTATCTACTCCGCCTTGGCGCATATACAGCTTGTCATGACTCTCGGGTAGCAGCTGAAATCTGTTGACCATTTTGGCACACCGTGCGTCAAGATGTTGTGCGATTGTGACGACAATCTGTGCAAAGCCTGTCAAGCCTCCGAATACCAAGGAGCTGATCTCGGGTCTCCCCACGGAAAAAGCGGGCGCCAGTTGTGCAACAAGCAACACGTGTATTGGGAGCCCCCAGACTAGCTGAACGTCGTACGCAAATTTCCCGCTGCTGTAGTGTTCAACAAGGCCGTTGTTCTGATCCGTTCTGAGAGACTGTCGTTGAAGCACCATTTTCCCATCATGAAGTCGCAAGTTCTGTCCACTCCTTTGACTTCGGTCTTCTCCACAACAAATTCTCTGTCGTCAGATCGAATTGCATCGCAAGACTACCTTATCGGCCTTCGCGGCCTTCTGGTCCTGCAGTCTTTTCTCTTCGTCTTTTTCCAAGTCTTCCTCCCAACCGCAGTCCCAGACTCCAAGAACAAAGATGGGCCACTGTACCAAATCATCCTCCGCAAATCCTTCTCAGTCATCTTCTGCAACGAATCTCTGATCTACTCATGGATCATCTTCCTCTCTGCCCGCACAATCGCCCTGCCGTACCTGGGCAACACAACACGCGAGGTTTGCGCATCCAGCGTCTTCCGTCGTAGCATTCGCTTGTGGCTCCCGACCTTCGTGGCTTTCTCGATCTCAGTCGCGGCCTTCACTGCTGCTGACACCGCGTACATCACCGATTTCCTCACTCAGACGGGTAATGTCTCCACTCAGACACCCATGCACATGCGCAACTTCTTGGTGTACTTCAATTCGCTGTTCGACATCTTCTGGATCAACAAGCAGTACAACACCCAGGCTGCGAGCAGCGCGTTCCCGTCGGGTACGATGTGGATTGTGTCTGCACTATTCCAGCAGAGTTACACGGTGTACATGACCATGGTTGTTGTGCCGTATACACGAGCGTCCTGGCGCACCAAAGCGCTAGCCGTATTCATCCTGTCAGCGTTCTGGGTTCAGAGCTGGGCGTGGTACAGTGTAACGGGACTCCTGATTACTGACGCTGTGCTCAACATGGATCTACAAGTCAAGTCGCGGACCGGGATCAAAATGGGAAAGTTCAGTGTGCCGATGTGGCCATTGTACGCAGCATTCGTGTTGACGGGGATTGTTTTGCAGTTCCTGTTCATCGCCTGGAAGCCGAGTATGCGCAATAACGAGCACCATGGCCACACCAGTCTATACACAGAGGGCTTGAACAATGAGAAGCAGGATCTAGACCAGCCATTACCTCGCGTCGACAATTACCTGTTCATGCTTGGAGTCATGCTCCTGATTGAGACCTATGATTTACCGCAGAGGGTACTCCGGAATAGCGTGCTAACGACGCTTGGAAGGAGGAGCTTCAGTAAGTGTTGATGAGGCGATGTGTTTTTCGACTCGAGCTAACCACGTTGCAGGCGTATTCCTTGTCCAGCCCATTATCATTTACACCGTTGGGATCAAGTTGTGGATGCACATGGATCAGTCTGGAGCGGCCAGCACAGTTAGCACGTTGGCGAGCTTTGTTGTTTGTGCGTCTGTGGTCGCGATCGGGTCGGAAATCTTCTATCGTGCCGTGGACCTACCAAGTATCGCTGCGGCGAAGTCGTTCTGGTCATTTATGATCAACTAAGGTTCCATGCGAGAGTCTAGACTTTGAGCAAAACTTCGCCGCTCCAGTTCCCATATAATATAGTACAGCATCCCTGGTCGGTGCCCAGGCCTTCTGAGTTTTCAATAAAAGAACATGCTCGTAATCTGCTCATCGCTTCGCACTCTTCCTGCGTTCCAAATATTCCAATGTCGGGTCGCTCCTCTTGTTGCGCTTCCTTGCCTCCCTTCGACGTGCATTTTTGTCCTGCTTTTCATTCCACCAACTGCTCTTCAAAATCACTCCAAGTGCAGCCAAAATTACCGTGAAAGGGATCCCGGTGGCAAAGAACCATTTGTATGTCGTTGCCAGCGCCGCGATGTCTTCGTTCATACTGAACAAGCCAGTAACAAACGTGAGCGGAATGAAAATTGATGCAAGCCAGGTCAACCGAGCAAGTGAGTGATTCTCTTGCCCACTGCGTCTTGCATCTTCTAGAGATGCCGCGGCGTTGATCTCAGCAGTCAAGCGCTCGACCCGGACTTGCAGGTCGTCCACGATTCTGAGTATCCTGTCAAATTCAAGTCTAGTCTCGTCGAAATCATTCATCACACCCGATGTAAGGTGTACCGCGACTGGTATTGCTTGATCTAGAGTTTCTGTGATCATCTCGCGGAAGATGGGGATCTGGCGACGCCAGGTGAATAGACGTCGTGACGAGTCCTCGATTCGTGAACCAGCACGGAAAACCTTTGGCAGCTCGAGCTCCCACTCGATTTGGCTGAGCCGTGCCTTGACGTAGTCACAAACGATCAGCCACTCAGCCGAAATCGTGTATATCGTAGGGAGTGCGAACACTCGAGGGTCAACCGTATCATGATCGCCATGAGGTTCGAACCACGGATACATCAGCGTCATTTGGACGATATCCTTGTACCATGATTTGGAAAGCTTTGACAATTCAGGCATATTGGGTTCTTTCATGCTGAGTGTGGGCAGCCAACTGGCACGATCATACCAAAGTGGCTTCCCTTCCTTGGTGGTAGGATCTAGAAGGACTATGCACACTGTCCCACCTGTACGGTTCTTATCCGCTCCAATCCAGATGGTTGATTTTGTCCGTGTGATCGATACAACAGCATTATCCGCATCTCTATACTGCCAATGATTGTTGTCGTCGTCCGGTCGGCGAAGTACGTTCCAGTAATTTGCTTCCAGTTTCGCAGTCATGAAAGAATCGGAGTCGGCGTAATACCGAAGTCTCGCATTACGTACGCGGAACCATGATCGTCGTTTTATGCTCGACATAAGACTCGGAGGCATCGCCCATGGGTCGCGTGTATTGTGCCATACATAGTCTTCGATATGTTCACGGAAGAATAAGGGATCGACGTCAAAGGCCGAACCAAGTAATTCTATGACCTCTCGCGAGAGATCCTCGACAATGAACAGCCGAGTGGGTGGTATTTCGTTAGGCTCGTGCTCAAGATTGGACAGAATTTCCTTCAAGTCAAGAGCTGTTGTGACCAGTTTTGCCGTTGGGTCCTGTCCTGGGTGATACTCAATGATTGTAAGATTGGTCCGCTTGAGTCGCTCTTCTCGCTCGATTTGATATTTCGCTTGCTTTAGATACTTCCATTGTGAAGGTGCGGTGCCGATTTGAAGCCAATCGGCCAGTTGTTGCAGCGGCCTCCAGGATTGCGAGAGCAGCTTCACATGAGCTAGATAGGGCTTGTCGGCTCTAGTGTTGATTAAAACTGTCGCATGCGACGAAGATGGCTTTACTTACAAGTCGTCAACATTCCATTCCGGAGCTTCGCGTCTCTCCTCGTTACATGTACCAATCAAGGCATATGGATCGCTGTATTCAGGCGAGTGTAGCATTTTCGGTAAACGTGTGTCGAAATCTTGTCCCTCCTCACCCGGCGGTGAAGGCATATCGATGATTTGCGGTCCAGAATAGCCACTTACTGAGCTCTGTGCTTTATGAACAGCTGGCATGTGTGCGGACCAATGACAAGAGGTTACGCGAATTTACAGTGATAACTTCGTTGAAGTATATAGCGGGGAGCGAAATGCGGCCCGGAACGGTCCATCATATAGCCCTGTGCTGCGGCCCTTCAGGCGCGCATGGGGCCAAGCCAAGGTAGGCTGAGGCTGAACGGCTGAGGCATCACCGGTCGCGGGTTCATGTCAACTCAAACCCGATATATGCCCGTAATATGGTCAGATGGTCATAACCCAGACATGTCTGATGTTCTTTAGACGCATGGGTTCACAAAATGAACCCTGTTGCCCTTGACAGGTACAGCGCAGCCATTGGCGGTCGATTGATGAAATGGTGGCGTTGAAGGTTTTGGAGATCTGATACAGCTGGCGGACCCCGCAGGCGCGCTTGTCAGCGCTAAGCCGACCGCGCTTCCCAGCCCCTTCTTTCTCCTCCGTCCTGCATGTCATCAAACTCTGACACACCACCAACACTGGTGGTAAGTGCGTTTGAGTGCCACATGACGCGTCACGACGTGAAAAAGCTCGCCGATCGTTGTTAACTCCTTGTGCTGCTATACACAGAGTGATCGATCTACATTTAGTCTGGGAGGACATTGATGATTCAAAGGAGATCAAGACATCAAGGAGGGTATTACATTATGTTTGGATAGAGGGGTATAATGACAGCGCATGCATCCGTCTTCCAATACGGAAAAGGCAACCTCTTTACGTCTCTATGGTCTACCTATCCAAAAAGACGACAATGTCGCGTGATCGCTGTGCACACCGCGCAGCGCCTGCGACACGCCCGTCTCACGCTCACGCACCTACGCCGTGGGCAGAGAGTCAGTGCTCCCAGCCTTCTCGATGATCGGTGGCGGCTTGATAACCTGCTTGCGCAAGATATGGCGCTTGATGAAGTACGGCAGCCAGACCTTGGTCTCATAGTCAAGGTACTGCTTCGTTGGAACCGAGAAGACTTGGTCGAGCTCCTCAAGAGTCTGCATATGGTTAGCAAACACTCCAAACGTAGAGTAGAGGCTCAGAGCAGGAGACTTACAAGCTGCTTGGTCTCGCGTACAAAGCAAAATATCATGCCCCAGGCCACCAGATTCAATCCAGCATAGAACCCGAACGCGCCCGTTGGTGTCATAACGGTCTGCATACGCGGGAATGTCAGGCCGAGAATGCCAGCGAAGGTGTTGTTGATGCACACTGCCCATGCCATGCCCTGCTCGCGGTGGATCGTAGGGAAGACCTCAGCGCTGTACTGGAACGCTACAGGGCCTTCGCCGAGCGAATACATGATGGTGAAAAGGTACACGAAGAGCACCACAGGCCCAATTTGAGCGCCCCGAGGGCCCGAATCATTCAAAAGCGAGAGACCAGCGGCAAGCAAGAAGATGCACATGAGCGGGAATGTGATCAAGCACAATGTGCGCCGACCTTTGGTGTCGATGAGGAAGAGCGTTGGGATTGTGAAGACGACCTGGACCGCACCGTAACCGAGAGAGGCGTAAAGGGCTTCCGTGTCGGTATAACCGGCACGCGTGAAGATGGATGCGGAATAGAAAGAGATAATGTTGACTGGTTTTCGTTAGCATCCAGGCTTTACAGGCGGTATATCAATACTCACTTCCACACATCTGCTGAGCAAGCATGACTGTCGAGGCGCCGTAGTTGGAGCGTCGGATTCGCGGAACAGTGAAGCAGTCGCGAAGACGGGTGAAATAGGTGCTGTCGCCTGCCACGCGCAGCTCTTCGGCGTAGATGATGTTGGAGTAGTAGTAGTCCCGTGCCGCAATGATGGGGTGAGCGCGCAGTTTATTCATCGATTCGAACCCCTTTGCGAACTTTCCGTGCTTCATCAGCCACCTGGGAGACTATGGATTGTTAGGACGATGAAATGTCTGTCAACCAAATATGAGCTTACCTCTGGACAGAAGAAGATTCCGACACCCAGAATAAACGAGGGGATGAACGCAGAGCCCAATTGCAATCTCCACGCAATGTCACCCGCGCCCATGACGATGACATTGGCGCAGAAACCCAAGAATATACCAATAACGACCCACAATTGCCAGAACATGACAAGAGCACCACGGATACGCGCAGGGGCCATCTCGGCGCTGTAGATAGGTACGGTGGCGTTCTTTGCACCGATACCAATGCCCATAATAAAACGCGCGGCGAAAAGGCCTTCCCATGACTTGGCGAATCCGGAGCCGATTGGCGTAGCAGTGAGACAGAGGGCGGTGATGAAGATCTCTCCACGTCGTCCGAAGTAGTGGTTTAGCGGGTCGACGATAAATGCGCCGATCAAACCAGCAGTCAAGAAAATGATAGAGTTGATGAGACCAACGATCCACTCGTTTCTGGCGCCTTCGTCAATACCGAACTCCTTTGGGAAAGAAAGATTGGCGCCGTTCGAGCCAGTCTATGTTGTGTCAATACTTGCTGATTGCTCACGAGGCTGACCGTTACTCACCTGGTCCCACCCTTGTGTTGCGGCGCCAATGGCGCACAAGGAAATCGAGTACCAAAGCATCTTCGAACCGTGCCACTTATGGTCGCGCTCGTACTTTAGAGCCTCGAGTTCGTCGGCTTCAAGCTCGGTGATGTTCTCGAAGCGTTCCGGATCTCGCGCAACCAAAGCACCCCTGCCGAAGAGAGATGCATGCTCTTGGAGCCCATTCGCCTCAGCCCATTCCCGAGCGTCAGAGGCCGTGTGTGCTGGAGATTTGCGCTGCAGAGGTTAGCATGTGGCCTGAGCGCAAACGAGATCTCATTCGCAAATCATGATGTATACCTTCAGAGGGTTCTCGACGATGTTGAGCGCAACCGACTGACGACGGCCAGTGTCCTCCGGAAACTCATCATGTTTTGCAGTCGAATCTTCGATCTTCTCGTTGTGAGTCTGTGGGGCCGGGCTGACGGTCTCAAATTCCTTCGCGTCGGCCATGATTGGCAGTGCTTAGCAGCAGGCTTAGCAGTTGACAAGAAGTTCACAAGAGACTTGTGGGTAACGGGTTCTCTTGGACAACGCTGGGCTTCACACGGAGATTATATAGCTCCCCACCATCACAGTGGGGAGCTTTGCGGAGGCACTTTGCCCGCGTCTAAGGTAGAGGCAAGTCTCCTAATCCCGGTCGTTTGTGCTACAGCGGCAGGCACGGCGTGCGACATCGCGATCATTGGAGCATTGTCGCCTGATAGACAGACGGATTACTGTATGCAGACAGCTTTGTCGCGAGAGGATGACGTATGTCACATGCCAACCCTTGGCAGCAGGTGCTTGTAACATTGGGTAGTTTGTCCAGGCCAAGTTTGTGGTCTCGTGCTTAGCTCCACATTTCGATGACCCCAACAACCCCAACGACCCCAGGCTGGAGTCGGGCACGCCGATGCGGAGAAGATCCACAACATCGAATCGAATCGCTTCAAAACCGCCGCTGAACGCACTGAAGGATCGATGTGAGCATTCGCACACACTCTGGACGGGGTCAATATCGCAATGCACGTTGAAGATCGGGCGGGGTGTAATGCATTTGTACGACTTTGAGGCTAGCAAAACGGCGCGCATCCCCCCCTCCACCCCATGTCAAGATGCAGCACCGGTCAGAGCTAAGGGCACTGAGTCATGCGCAGCCGCGAAACAAAGCCGAAAATGCGACGATGTGCAAGTGATTTTGCGATGCAACACCAGCCTCCGTGGACCCACGAAAACACGATTTTCTCACAAAGCTAGCGCTTACCTACAGCGTAAGCGCGGCAGCGATCATGCCAGCAGCACCAGCAACAAAAGCCATCATGCCTCCAGGTAGAGGAGTTCCAGCAGCAGCACCGGTCGCTGCAGCCGTGCCCGATCCAGAGGCCGTGGTGTTGGCGGAGTCAGACTGAGACACAGAGGCTGTAGGAGATGCAGAGTTGGAGGCTGGCTGGACGACGCTGACAGTCTGGATCATCGAAGATTGACTGGCATCGCTTGCCTTGATAATCTCGGATGTCACGCCCGCAATCGAGTTGAGCTCAGCGAAGGTGCCGCTCTGGGTACCAGTGCATGTCAAGTCAGCAGTTGTGAGCTCTCCTTTCCAGGCGCAGTTCATGTCGGCAGTCCATGCGCCCTTGGTGGGGTCCTCCAAGTGAATTTGGACCGACGAAGGGCCTTGCTTGATGGTAATCGGTTCACAGAAACCACCGAACAAACCACCATCATCCTGACGGCGGAGACGCGCGGCTGCTGTAGTTGCCGGCGCAGAGATAGGTGACATCGCAAGAGTACCTGCCGGAGAGCGCACGCTTGATATCAAGGATGAAGATGCCGAGCCGGACGCTTCTGCCAAAGGTCAGTACAGCTTTGAGAAAGCGCGTCTGGAACGCAGCATACCGGGAGTGAGGAAAGAAGCAGGAATTCCTTCGCCAGTGCACGAGTTGACATAGGTCGTGGTGCCTGAGCTAGACCCGATCACAGTGAGAGTGGGTGCGGGCATGATCCCATTCACAACAACTGCGGACGATCCGGTAGCAGCAGAGCCCGTGGACGACTGGGCTGCCGCTGCACCTGCGAAGAGGGCGACGACTGTAGAGGATCGCATTTCTGATGACTGTGTGTAGACGTGAAGTTTAGGTCTGCGAATGATGCAACTATGTTGGGTATGGAGCTTCGAAATGAGACTTGAAGGCTGACGGTCTTAGCAAACTTTTACTTGGATCTTATACAGCAATACACTGCCCTCGTACACCTTCTCTTTGCCGCATGATCCGAGCACCAGAGAACGCCGCCCCCTGGTGGTGAGGCTGGGCGGAGTCTGCACGGAGTTGTGAAACGCCACGTCTTAGGCGTACCTATCTGCCCCAACACCGAGATCAATTGTGCAAGATTTGGACATCAAATTGCGGAGCATGAACGAGAGACTCCGAGAGAGTTGGATTCTATTTGCTGTTGGGCTGCGCGCTGCGCCAGTATTAGTGGGTACAAGACAAGGCTCTTTCATTGTCTGCATGCTGGCATGGCAGACTTCGATAAGGCCGCTAGTAGGATCAAACACCCAATCTGTGGATCTCCAGGAACCGGTAATCCTAGAAGTCCGAGTCGCAAGAGGATTTCCGGTTACGGCAGACAAATGACTGCTGAAGGTCAGCTCTAGGTACCCGATGCTTGCGCTCACGCTCCCAATGTTGGCTGCATTGACGCTGCAGTACTGGACAGTTGCTATACATGCGAGATTCGACTGCGCTAGAACGGTTTAGTCGATATACTAAACGCGCATCTGAGCCCACCCAGAGCGCACCCGAAGCATTGTGCTGTGGTGAGGTAAAAGCTCGTTGCGGATACGCGCTGATTGGCGGCCGCGGCTCCGTTGCGCCCGCACCGCGCCTTCCTCCACCATTATCGCGACTTGTATGTCTACGCAACTTCAATGTCAGAGCCGTTGACGCCTTTAATGAAGCTCAGTCATCTGTTCTCAGCACAAGAGAGAAGTCACTTGCGGAGGGCTTACACACAGACAGTCCGAAGCGTTTTTGCCATTGTTGGCCGCCTTGCGGTGCCCACATTGTCCGCCCGTCTCACAGTGTGATCCCCGAAGCGGCACAGTCGAGCTATTCTAGGACGCATGCCGCAGCACAATCACCCCACACTTGAGCTACACTTCAGCAAGCGACTACGGATGTCTATTCCCCTACTGTCGCTACAAACACAATACTCTTTGGGATATGAGCCCGCAATTCTGTTAGTCGTGCAGGGGTACAACGAATTGAAAGATGCTCAACGTACCTTGATGAGTTGGATCAACGGAATGTAATTCACGATCGGGGTACGGAAACTGCGATGCGATGGATTCGCCTGCTGTGCCGTGCGCAGACCTACATTGTTCAAGCATGTCCTCAGAGCTGACCGAACGATGGACATCGAGCACTACGGACATTGAACTATCATCGTCTTGGCAGTGCGAGTGGTTGCTTGCGGAGATTCTACGAGTATGACGGCCTTCAGGTCTCAGACGAGGCCACTCTTCTTGTATACAAAACGGTCCTTCAGTGTCACGAAAATGATGTCCAGGCTTCCAACACACTCATTCGTTGCTGCGGTTTTTGCCATTTCTTCAGTCATTAGTGGACTTCCATCTCCGATTCAGTCCATTGCGCAGGCTTTTCGTCCTACAGTCGTTCATAGCTTATATACACGGTCCAGCCAGCAAGCCTGACACCATGTTCTTTAATTCACGCAGTCTTCTGAGGCTGGCCCTCCTGACTGCCTTCGTTCTCGAAACAGGTGCTCTCAAGTTGGACCCCTGGGGCACCGGTCTTAACCCAGACAGTGTCCCAGGCAAGCCAGCCAAACGAGCACCAGCTCCTCTCATATTGAATCCAATTACTAACCCGGAAGATGTCAAAGTCAAAGTGGTTGAAAAACGAAGCCTACCTGCGGTGCAACTGGAACCCATCAGCGACCCTGGTGTACTGTTGAGAGGCCGGTCTGAGAAACGCGAAATACCCGGAAACGGCGGTTTCGATCCTGCCAAACATTCTACCTTCTTCTGGGGAGGATATGGTATGTACATCCCGCCTCTTGAATCCTTTGTCTGACTTTCAAAGCTGGCGATAATATTTTCGTTGCAAACTTTACAATGGCTGCCCAAAGAGATGACGAGTATATTCTCGCTGTCGAGAACTTCGCAAAGCGCATGAAGTCCATAAACTGTGGAGCTCCCGGACAACCCGTGACCCTGGAGTTCGGCGACGTTGAGTCCCTCCAGTACGCAAAATCGGCATGGAAGTGGACCGACGACGCGGACATCAATCACTTTATTCTGGTCACAGAACCGAATATGTGCTTCCAAGGGGACGACCGATCCCCATATCTCGTTAGCGGGATCAAATTCAATGATGCTAAGCTGACAGCTGAGATCACTGCACAAGAGAAGGAATGGGAGGAAGTAGCACAATCATTCAAGCTTAGCGTAAAACACGAGTACGTTGATCCGGCTACCGCCAATGTCACTCACCCGCATCTAGCACGTCGCGGCGATGATGATGAGGGTACCAAGATGGACATCTCGAATACCTTTACGGGGAACATTTTCAACTACGCCAAGGATTCGAAGGAGACAGCCGGAATGGCTCTCAGTGCCGATCTCGAACTGACAACCGAGGGCAGCATAATCGCGGATTTTGATGTCGAGAAGAACTTTTTTGGAATCCCGGAAGATGTTACATTTACAATCCACCCGCAAGGTGTGACTGGAGTCATGGAGCTGTCCCTTGACGCTGATGGAAAGCTCGGAAAGGAGTTGCAATGGGACATGAAGCCCGAGATCGAGATTCCAGTTCAGGCTCTCAAAATCGCGAAGATAGTCTCGATTGGTCCGTTCATCACTATGGGCGTTCACTTCGGTTCATCGGCTCTTGAGGGCACAAGCCAGATGACCATTGGAGCTAAGGCTACGTTGAAGGACGAAGCCAAGGTTAATGTAAGGCTTTCAAAGCCAGAGGAGAACAGTATCAGTGGTTGGGAGCCAGTTTTTGAGAAGCTTCCCCCAACTTTCAGCGCTGAGGTGGGTGGGAGTATCCGCGCATGGAGTGAACTAGGAGTTCAGATAAAGGCTGAACTCTTCGGAAGTAAGTGACTCCTTAGACCCATCTTCCCACCAAGTATACTAATGAGTGATAGAATGGGGCTATCAAGCCTCTGTGGATGCTCAACTGCCATTCTTCGAGGCGAAAATGTCTGGCGTGGTCGACACCGTTGGTGTCTGTGAGAGCAAAAAGACTGTTGGCGTAAAAGTTGGTACCGACGTCGGTATCAACGTGAACCTCAACGCAGGTGATGTCAATGAAGCTCCTGACTTCCGGAAAGACCTGTACGAGACTGCCTGGCCACTCTACTCAACATGTATTCCAGTTGGTCCCGATAACGCCAAGCCAACCGAAACCCCCGAACCTGAGACCACGGAAGAAGCTGAGCCTGAGCCAACGGAAGATACAGCCGAGCCTGAAATGACTGAGGAGCCATCGATCGAGACACCGGTGTCCGAAGTAGGCCCGCTTGAGACTGGGACAGGCAACATGCCAATGATGACGGGTGCGCCGAGTCTCATCACCGGCACTGGTACTGCTTCGAGTGGGTGGCCCATGGCTACTGGTAACACAACCTTTCTCAGAATGGCGCAACGCAGGCCTACTGCACTCTTTATGTAGGTGTCTTTGCGAGACATCTTCCTGTTAGCTTTTCAATTTTTAGTGGATCTTGCATCTCCCATAGATGTTGAATAGACATTGGACAAGTCGTGCAGCCCACACACGGTGTTTCGCGGCGTTCCACGGCATCATCGGTGTCTTATTAAAATCAATATGGTAGATCTACATGCTACGAATGAATGGTGACCAAGCGAGAGCTAAGCACGTCATACTAGCCTGATATGAGCTGTCGTATCCTGCCTATAACGGCTATCAGCTCCACAACAGCTCTCACGTCAATAGCTACCCCACTGACGTTAGGTAGTCTGCAACTTCCCCTCCAAACAACGAGCTAACAAGATATAAAACTCTGATCATCGCCCTGACTATATTTTGACTGTATAAAGGTATCTTATTATTATTTATACTGACTTCCACGACAACAACATGGCTATCGCAGAGGTTGCACAGCAACCAGACATTGGCTATACACCAGATCATGACAAATACCTCGCGCGAGTGCAAAGAAGCTTGAAGAGCAAGGACCTGAGCAAAACACTACCCCCTGGATTCCCCTCGGAGCTTAAGTCTGATCTTGTCTGGGACAACACGGACATAGCTTCCCGCTTCAACTGGAAATACGAGCTTTCCACCGCAGACCTAGACGAGCTCGAAGCAGCGCTACAACACTTCGAGAGCCTGGGAAAGCCGTTGGGCCATGTGAACCAGGAAACATTCCCACTGCCAAACCTGCACAGCAAACTGCGACAAATCTCGCATGAGATCCACCACGCTTTCGGTTTCAAGGTCATCCGCGGCCTGCCAGTATCGACACACACACGCGAAGACATAATAACCATCTACGCGGGTCTCGCGTCGCACATCGCGCCCATCCGCGGCCGCCAGGACAACCAGTACGATGGCAAACCCGCAGATGTCGTGCTCAACCACATCAAAGACCTGAGCAAGGTCTACGACGCGAACAAAATCGGAGCCCCAGCTTACACCACCGACAAACAGGTCTTTCACACCGACGCGGGCGATGTGATCGCGTTGCTGAGTCTCGAGGAGGCGGCCACGGGTGGCGAGAGCAAGTTGAGTAGCAGCTGGCGCGTGTACAACGAGTTGGCGCGCACGCGACCGGATCTGATGCGCACACTGGCCGAGCCGTGGCCGGCTGAGAAGTAAGACCGCGCTCCTCCCCCAATTAAGCTGTGTGCACAACTAACATGTCCAGTTTCGGCGATAAAGCAAAGCCGTACATAAACCGCCCGCTGCTGCACCACCAACCCGCGACCCCGACGTCTCCGGAGCGCCTGATTATCCAGTACGCACGTCGCACATTCACTGGCTTCCAAGGCCTACCGCGCTCGTCCGATATCCCGCCAATCACCGAAGCGCAAGCGGAAGCCCTCGACGCACTACATTTTCTCGCGGAGAAGCACGCGGTGTCGCTGGACTTCAAGAAGGGCGATGTGCAGTTTGCGAACAACCTGAGTATCTTCCATGCGCGCGATGGGTTCACGAATACGGAGGAGAAGCAGCGACATTTGGTTAGGCTGTGGCTGCGAGATCCGGAGAATGCGTGGGAGACGCCGGAGAGTCTCGCGGAGAGGTGGGAGAAGGTGTATGGTGGAGTTGAAGAGGAGAGGCAGGTATTTCCTCTTGAGCCGTATATCAGGAGTACGAGTTTGGGGGCGGGTGGGGAGAGTAAGTGATGTTATTGGAAAGCGGTCTCCCAGAATATGGTGTTTTCGTAACAATGCTGAAGTTGTCCATGCTGTTCAACTCGCTTGGTCTTTGCTCGTGATTGCCGAAGTGGTAGTCTGTGCCTTACAATACTGTAAAATTCAAAAAGAGCTGTTGTACATCTTGACGGCGATATAGCCACTGCTTCATTGACTCTGGGACACGCGAATCGATTTCCAGATTCCGACACCCTACGCAATTATCCCCGTTCGGCGTCTCGACCCGCGTTGCTATTCCAACGACTCCCACGGGTTGTCACTCGAGCCATCAGACTTGGCTCGTCCCTCTCTTTCTCCATCTTCGCATGCCAGCTAGCCTCGGCTTGTGCAGCGTTGCGCTTGACGCGTGCAGTGTTCCAGCGCATGAAGTAGCAACATATCGGGAAGAGAATGGTGTCGACAGCGACCCAGGCGAACAGAATGCCGAAGTTACGACCGACATGGGACTGCTGCAGATCGAAGAGGGTGGAGCGGGTGAGTTCGACGACTGTGATGTGGTTAGTTTATGCAAACTCGGGCGGGAGGTGTGCAAGAGAGTGAACTTACTGTTGTGCATCGGCCATGCGTACCCCCAGCGATAGAAATTCGGCGCCAGTTCGAGCGAATAGAAGCCGGTGGCTACGTTCGAGATGACCCAGAAGATCAGCCACAGCGCCGTCCATGGCGTGCCGAGAAGCATTGCCATGTTCTCACTGGCAAGTCCGAACGCTGTCATGCCAACCCAATTGCACATCCAGTATACCACAAATGTACCGCGTCCGTATGCGTTTGCGTTCTTAGCAGGCCAGACATGGCTGGCGGGCTGGTTTGACATTGGCATGAGGTAGGCCAGACTGACGAAGCTGTAGATAAGTGACAAGAAGAAGTATGAGCCAACAGTAGCAATGTAACGCCATGCAATCAGGTGACGAAAGAGCAGTGGCGGGTGGCCTTTGGGCGAGAGGTACTTCATGTGGATCGGCAGAAAGAAAGTGAAGCTGAAGAATGAGATGATGATCAAGTAGATCAGACCGACGCTGATGGCGGGTGTGGCGATGGGCGGGCCAAAGGGTCGTAGGTCATAGACCGTGAAGTCGATACCCGGCGATAGCGCTTGGGGAGCTTCAGTGGCGCGTAGATCCTGCAGGTTTGACCCAAGGTGCAGAATCCACGAACGACCGAACGTGGCACCGACGCGTCTCTGAAGCGCAGTCAGACTGGGAAGGATGAATGTTGACGTTGTGATCTGGTCGCGCGCAGAGCTGTAGACAATCTGACATGCTCCGGCAGGATCGTAGGTGGTGTTGCCCTGCCTAATGGCATCGTTGAGGAGAGCGGTCGCATTGGGATTGATAATCACTGCAGCCCATCCCTGCATATCGTACACAGCTTCGCGGACCTTCAACGGGTCATAGTCGAACTCGATGGGCGATTCGAACGAGTAGGTGGGGACTATGCCGCCTGATGCAGTCATGTTCCGAACCGCTTCGGTCACAAATGGTCCAACGAATGGGACCGTCTCGGTGAATGGTGCGCTGCCGTCAAAATCGACCACAAGAATCTTTAGATGTTTGACGTTCTCATTCTCGCGAAACAGGGCGCCCCAGAAGAGACAGAGGAAGGCCATGATGGCAACACCCAGAATGAGGTCTAAGCATTGGTTAGTATGAGCGCTCTAGAAGACACAGATTCCGGGCACTCACTTGTTCGAAGCCATAGTCGGAGCACGTGCAAGCGTACACCGGCCTGTAGAATTAGCTTGAGTACTACCAGCAGGCTTGGGGGCATCTCACCATCTTCCAGTGCCAGAAGCCAACTGGAGTTTGTGCAACATCCTTTCGACTGCGTCTTGATCTTTGAGTGTTTATTTTGGAAAGAGCTGGTGTGATGCCACGGGAATGCTGGGTCTCAGCTTTCTCTATGGCTAATGCATCGCGGACGGCTTCTTCTTGCGCTGGACTTTCAGCTTCGCTCCCTGTGCCAGTACCGTCGCTTTCGCTATCGCTGTTGTATGGCCACTGCTCGCGGTCGTAGTGAGGCGCAATTTGGCAGCCAAGCGTAGGCTCAGGCATTGTAGCCCGATCAGAGCTAGAACGAGCTTTGATTGAAGATCCGGGTGTAGAGTGTGGTGAGTTTGAGCAATCGAGAGATTGACCTTGCACACGTCCGTCCATCTCTTCTTGAGACGCCTCGAGATGACTTGCCGCCATTTGCTGACTGATGTTCTGAGGATGCTACTAAGAGGAGGAATGGGCGATCAAAGGATGGTGATTGGGCGCCACAGGCTTTGTCATGCATACAGATGAATGCTAGAAGTATTAAGCTTTACGCATCACGAGCTTTGCGGGACTTATGTAAAGCGATGAGCTCGCCCTGGCCAGACTGAATCTGATGATGCATCTAGTGTACTACGGGACCCTTGAGTACTCCAGGGATGTGGAAAAAAAAAACTGGTTCGTGCGAGGTGACTCAGCGACAGCGCACAGAGCTGCTATGTCGGGGAACATCGGAAGCTGCATTTTTGATATAGATCTGTTGGAGGAGTGTATGTTGAAATAGCTTTGTTTGCCGGACAAGGAATGCGGAATGCGACCGTTGCGCCAGCAGCTGGGAGCGATTATGTCAGCAATCGGTCTTGAGGTCGTGACTTCGCGTGCAGAGTAACAACAAGCACCATGTTTCGCCATGACGCGTCGCAACAGAAATTGGTCGCTGTCGCTGCGACCGCCTCACCTTCACTTGGCTGCGCATTTGGATAAGCGCCTATTTTGTAATCCGCCATGTCCGTGAGAGGCCCACGTGGAGGCCGTGGTCGCGGCCGCGGCGGTGGCAGAACAATGATAGTGAGTCTGCGCCATGCGCCAGCCAGCCAGCGTTATATCTAACACGCGCAGTGGGAATGGGAGACCTATAAACCGTCGCCGTCCGTCTATGAGAACCTTTGGCACGTCCGCCAAGCGCCTGTCGCCGTCACGCCGCATGTGTCTAACGACTGTCCTATACCTGATGCTCGCACGCGCATCATCGAGCGCCGCCAAACCGAGGACTCCTTCGAACGCAACTTTTACTTCGTCGAGATCACGTACTTAGGTGGCCAGGAGCCGACCAGCACATGGGTGCAGAGCAGCGACAATAGCGAGAAGAGCGGGACTGAAGTCGAAACCGTTGATGTTAGCAGGATCTTGCAGTATGTGAGTCCCCGCGAGCTTGAGCGGTTCGAGAACGAGCAGTTCAGGATTGAGGCCGAAGCACAGGCGGTGGCAGACAGAGAGGACGAAGAGGAGCAGATCAGAAGGCGCATGCAGAAGAATGCGCGCGCAGGCGGTGGAAGAGGTAGAGGTGGTCATATGCTGGACAGCTTTGGCATCGATCCTGAGCTGCAGACATCAAACACATCGAGAGGCCGTCCAAAGGGAAGAGGGCGTGGGAGAGGTAGAGGAAGGGGCAGCTGGCGCGGAAAAGGTGGGTTGTTGTCTGGCGCAATGAGGAGCCTCGAATTCGTGCAGGACGAGATCGTCGACAGCGAGCCTAGTGGGACTAAGAATCACGAGCCGCCGATATCACGAGACGAGATTGCAGAAACTAGCTCCGAATCTGAGAACGACCTGCCAGGACCATCGTCGCCAGGTCTCATGCGCTCGGCCTTCATAACCAGCAGCGCGCTGCCTCTGTCTCCTGTACAGCCTCATCGGCCTGTTTCTCCAAACCCACTACGACGCGCCAACCCGGAAGTTCCAGACATTGGCACTGATGCCAATTCTGAGGAGAGTGAACATGATTCCGTGTCAAGTGCTGCCATGCAACTCCAATTTGAGGACGACCTTGGCGAAGTCGCGATCGCAGTCACTGTATCGGAAGGCTCAGACGAGGGAGATGGTCACCGACGGAAACGATACAAGACAGAGAGCATGACACCGCAGCATACCCTCATGTTTCCGCGGTCATCCCAGATCGAAGAATCAACCTCAGAAAGCGAAGACGATTCTGTACCTGCAGACCCTCCACCGACCATCAAAGGGCACAAGAATCACGACGCCAGTCTCTATACCCACACAACAGTTCCTGCTAGCTTGTCAGCCCCGCACGAGAGGGCATTAAGTGTGGACGAGACGCCTAGTGTCAGCGAGGACGACGAGGACGACGACGACGACGACGACGACGCAGAGGAGTATATTGTCGAAGAGATCATCGAGCACTACCATGACGAAACCGGCAGGAAGTTCTACCTCGTCAAGTGGGAGGGTTACAAGGACAGCCACGATTGGCTGCCTGAGGAAGATCTGGCAGGCGCTGCTGAGCTAGTGACAGACTATAACGAAAAGGTCAGGAGGCGGAAAAGAAAAGAAGCAGTCCAGTGACGAGCAGAAATACATTATTGTCTACATATTGGTCGCGGAATGTGAACGATGATTGAGCCCAATGTTTTTGCAGCCAGACCCAGAGCTTGCCAACATAGCCGGAGATCCCACATCGTGGAGCGGAGAACACGTTCACAGCAGGCTTCGGGATAGAGCACAGCGAGATCATCAATCTTACAAATTGAACTCAATACGAAGTTACCGACGTGAACATAGGTTTGCCTAACATCTCATAATCCATATCCCTCCACACTCACACAGGTACATCTCACTTCTTGCCCTCAACGCTGTACGCCGGTGGAGCATCTCCATATCCATCATCTGCGCCCTCCTCAGTCAGCGCCTCCTGCGTCTTCACCTTTACCTTCCGATCCTTGTGCACGCCCGTCTGATTCCTCGCGTTCTCCAGGCCGCTGCAGTCAGTGCAATTACTGCAGTTGACACAATTAGAGCAGTTCGTATTGTTGTGGCCGCCGATGCAATCCGTGCAATTCGTGTTATTGTGGCCACCAGAGCAGTTGGTGCAGTCTGTGCTGTTTTTCTCTGAGGTGCAGCCGGTGCAGGACGTGCAGTTGCTGCAGGATGTGCAATCTAGAAGCGTTTGATGTCAGGTGTGAATCTAGGCTGGAGGAGCGGGGTTATGGGCGAAGTAAATAACATTCCGCGTATCGAAATAGTGAGAGAACAAGAGAAGAAGGCGAAGGCTAGTAGGGGGACCCTACCAATACAGCCCGTACAGTTCCGACACCGCACGCATTCCGAGCACGCCGTGCAGTTGTGACTGTCACGGCACTGGGCGTTGCGTATGCAGTTCGAGCAGCGCTCGCAGCCCGAGGAGAAAGTGCAGCTCGAGCATGATACGCAGTCTGGAGCCTCAGCGATGACATACACGTATGAGCCGTGTCTGAGGCAGAATGCAGGCCAAAGAAAGGATTCTAGTTCGCGCACAGATAACAGAAGAGAGCGAAAGATGACGAGAAGACGATCCAAGCGTGAAGGCTTATGATATTAGATTACGAGATGAATAGCATACCAGTGCAGTCCGTGCAGTTGTGACAATCCGTGCAATTGTCACAGTCTGTGTTGTTACCGCCCCTGGAGACGATGGTGGAGGATTGCGAGCAGCCCATGATGTCAGTGAGGAGTGTAGTTGTGCCAACAAGGTCCTCGAATGATATTGTACTAGACGACTCGATATTTCGCAGTAAGGTACAGTACGGCTTTGAGATAAGCTCCCGCCGTTCTCTTGAAGTAACTCTTGTGTTGCTGGTTGCCTGAGCTGCAGGATCGCGACGTCATGTGGCTGCTGATAAGCCAGGGCTGAATACTCGGCTGATGTTGCTATTGGATGCTGAGCATGAGAACCGTTTTCTCTAGGCATGTGAAGAGTGTCTGTTTGTTAGACTATGTGAGGTAATAGGTTGAGTATGTGCCGCGCCTCCTGCGCTTAGAAGTCGCCTGCCAAGTCAAATGTCCAGAAATCAGGAAAGGTCCACCCGCTCAAATCCACGTCCATATCCTCGAGAGGATCGAAGTTGCTGTTCATAATATCTGGGGTCTTGTTGCTGCTCGAACCTTCATTCATGGGCGGGAACGGCATATCTCCAATCATACCGTGTCCAGAATGACTGCTAGTACTGCTCGTAAAGGCCCCTACGCCTTTCGTACCAAAGCTTCCAGCCGACCGACTCGAGAGTATGGTTCCTCTCGACTCACTCGGAGTCCGCGCCTCACTCGGACTACTCCCGCTCATGCTGGCCCTCAGTCCTGCGGCAAGGCTGTTCTTCGGATCACGTTGCATCGCCAGAACGCGAAACGCAAGGTTTGTGAAGCGATCGAGAGCAGTTTTGCAGCGCTCGCGCACTTCGTCTTCGTTGCTGATGCGATGCGTAATTGAAGACGATGTTCGAGGAGGCGGAGTCAGCGGCGGGAGCATGCCGATTGCTGCACTAAGGAGCCAGTATTCCATGTAACCTGTGCCAATGCGCATTACCTTGCGCTCGAAAAGTTGAAGAGTGCGCTCGAGAATATCGATGGAGGTCTTGATCAAGGTCCGTGGAAGGAATTCGTGTGGAAGGACTGCGAGGTACGATTTATGACTTGGAGGGGCGAACCCTCCCTTGTTCATGAAAGGAACATCGCTACTTAACGAGGGAATATCTGCAATGTGTCTGTTAGGGTCTACCAGCTGGCTTTGATCGCGCATTGTGGGGAGTCCCGATGGCATGAACTCATGTCTTGTGCAATTGAAAGCAGCGACTTGTGAGAGTGTCATGCCGACACGGACCACATCATTACGGAGATGATTGAGGATGAGGATCCCTTGCGAAGCAAGTTCGTCATGAGTGCTAATGATGGAGCTTGCTGCGTCTACTGTAGCAGTAAAGGAATATGCGAAGCGGTTCTCCGAGGATGCTCGTTTGGCATACGGGCTATGCAGCACGAGTAGATATTGTCGAAGCTGGAATCCAAGCAGTGCCAGAGGTATTGTTGCACGCGAGTCTGTCCATACCAATTGCTCAGAAAGAGCGGCCATGAGCTGTTCGTCGTAATGGACAACGTCGGTATAATGCAATTGACTCGACGGATTGTTCAAAAGCTGAGTAAGATGAATCCGCAGTGGCAGTGATCGCTGCGCGGCGATCAGATATGATGTCGACGTGAAGCATTCGATAGGTCGGCTGACTGGCATCTCTCTGGTCTCAAGCGAGAATACCTCATCTGGCAGGTTGGAAGGCGGTGGTGTATCGAAAAACAACCCAGTCAAAGAGGATTGTATGCCTTTGTCAATTGAGGATTGAATTTCGAGCTCTGCGATAGTGTACCACAGGCGTTTCTTCATTTCCTTCTCATACTCAGAAATCCGGCCGATGCTGAGTAAAGACGGGTCGCGATGCATTCCAGACGCGAGAGCTAGACGCACAACATCACCTGCAGTCAACCAATCTTGTTTCAACTTGACGCAATTTGTTCTCTTCGCGAGCAAAGCCAGACACTGAAGCTGGAAGAATGGTAGTGTGAGCCGCTTTCGCGGTTGCCTATTCAGCCACATCTCGCATGTTTCGATGAGATTGGATGCCGCGTCTCGGTCTGAGGTACTGTCGCCAACGAAAACATCGTCTTTGACCGTGGAACATTTCATGGTTGCGGCGATGAGCACCAGAATGGTAGCAAAGCCAGCTTGTCTGTCATCTCGTCGTTCCCAAAAGCTGTTGTACTCCTGCCAGAACGTTGGCTCATGCAATATCCGGTACGTGTTTTCGTAGGTGCGAAAGTATAGTGCGACTTGAACGTCAAGCTCGTGTTTTGGCGGGAGTGACGCGAAGATCTCCTCATCTGTACCGTACGTCCTTGCGATTCTCTCCTTCATCAATACTTTTCTCCGGTCTCGGAAAGCCTTGAAATCTTTCTTGACTCGTAACATCGAGTTGTCAACTGCTAGCGTCTGACGAGTGAAAGCTTGTAGGTCACGGTACTATGTAGGTTAGTGGCAGTTTCAATAACAGAGGAGTCGACGGGACTACCTGAGAAATCATGCTCATCACGCTCGTTGTGCCGTGGAACTGCGTCTTGAACCCTTTGCCTCTGAACATCATCTCTTCCGTCATCTCAGGCTCTTTCACAGATATATCCTTCAGCTGCGACGGGTTGCCGCTCTTGGATGTCGTTGTGAGCGCCTTTTCCAACATCCCAATCCTGCGCTCTTGCATCCTAAGCATCCAACGTAAGGCTTCTGGAGCATCATCCTTGGTATAGTCTTCATTGACACCACTGTCATGCATAGTGAACATTGTGTTCGCATTAGTCAGCGGCTGGCCAGGTTGCACGTGTGCTTCTTCGAGGAGTCGTGGATCATATGAGCATTGGTCAGCCCTGCCTGTCTTTTGGCACCGCCCGCAGACTGGATATACACGATCGCATTTCATTTTACGGTTGCGACACGCATAGCATGAAAGCACCTTACGCTTCTTACTTGCGCGCTTCTCTGACGTATCGTCATGGTCTGGTGAATTGTCGCGTGACTCAGGTTCTGCGCTCCTGGTCGACATATCGAGTCGTGCGCGTAATCGTATTCCCAATGTTGTCGCGTCCGATTTTGTGCTTGCCGTGTGCTGGAAAGGTTCGGAGGAGGCGGAGATGGGAAAGGAGATGAGGCGCAGCGGTCGGGGATGCACCCTTTACGAAGTGAGTTTCGGACTTCGGCTCGGACATTGGTGGCGGCAGCATTAGCGCCGAACGCAACCGTTGGCTCAGCACTTCGTAGATGACGACCAGGCTCCTATGTTGGGTCGCAGTATCTTTTCAATCCAGCCGGCATACAGTGAGAAAGATATGGGGTTTGAAACGGTCATTGAGATATCCGAGTGCATGTACTTAGCACTTCGAGTGTGGCGGTGAGTGAATGGAATCGATGATCGCGTAGTTCTTGGTCGTGGCACCCAGGATATTGTGCGTAGAGTCATGCGGTAAAAGACGAATATATATCTGGCATTGTTTGGCGACCATGAATATAGTCCACTCAGACGCGCACCGATGCATTGATCCGGAGAAGGGGCATACATGTCGTAGTTGCCGTTGTATGACAGCCAAAGGATTGTATAAGCAGCTTACGATCAAGCCAGAACATCGCGGGATTATCATGATGCATTGCTTTCGAATTTAAAGTTTGGGACCAGTCCCACTAGCAAAAGCCTTCTGTGAAGGTGTCGATATTTGTCGGCCTCTGCCCCCTTGCAAAAGCAAACCTTGCCTTTGAAACAGCTTTGCTCACCTGCCTCGAAACTGCGCTGTTGGCACATGCTGCAACCATTGACTTGCAATGCGGGTCATCATTCACAGCTGAGGTGACGATGCGTAAGATATCTGGGCGTGAACCATAGGACGTACTTCCAAATGACGATGAACTGGACTTGCGGAGCTTTTGACGTTGATACTGCAGGAGTGCACACTGGCATAATTTCTCGTCTGGCTTCTTTGTATGCGGCAGAAGAGGAGATCGAACAGGCGATGGAAGTGGTTGGGCCTGATTCAACGCCGCGGTTTCGTCCATCGTCAAAGATACCTCTGATAAGCTCTTACTGCGACGATAACTCTGTGGGGATCCTGCTACATCGAGCAGTGTGCTGGTCTCCGAACTGGCATAGCCCTCACCGTCGTACGGCGCAACTGTGTTGTCGTCATCAACATGGGCCGTATCAACTTGATTCGCGTCTTCGAAAGGGTCGATATCTTTCATCTGCATTTCTTCGAGTGCTTCCATCTCTGCCCATTGTCGCTCCTCTTCCTCCCATTCATCATAAATCTCATCTGGGTTACGAATGGTAAGTGTGCGGTCACCAGAGCCGTACCGTGGAAGCCGAGGGCGTAGGTGTGCAAATTGATCGACCTCGGTTGTGTCAAAGTTGACATCGGAATGTACGCAAGTGGTGTACAGCTCTGTTTCTACTCGCACGCCAGAGTCCTTGAGCATGGTGCTGTATCGCTGCAACATTTCGGCAACAGTCGCTTCGAATTGAGGGTCGATATGCCGAGTTATCCAGATGAAGTGTATGGTTTGAGTTGCTAACCTCGGCGCGTTCGAAAGGCATAGCTGCTCCAAATAATCCATAATTGATAGTGCGAACGAAACCCCAGTCGAAGTGGTCACCAACACTAGATTTTCGTAGTCTTCCCAGGCTGGGGGGCTGCCGTATGGACCGTCAACATACGCTGTCAGCGAAGTAGCACTAGACGATAAGGTAGCATTTGGACATGGGAGCTTCAGCCATTCTGTATGGAATTCTTTGAGACGTCGAGTGAGACCATTGTGAGCGCGTATCATTAAGAGAATGTCGCTGGTCCGGCTTGATGATGCGGCTACTATTGGTTCTCTACACTCGATATCGTGACTTCTCCTGGGCGGCAGAGGAGGCGGCACTGCTAGATTCGAGCAATTCGCTGGGGTGAACGGGTGCATCTCAAATACGCCCAGTGCTGGAAGGTATAATCTGATGTGTTGTCCGGGTTGCCACGTCATTGGAATGTTCCGGAGGCGAACTACGGTCATCGAGTTCTCGGTATCAGACGACACGCTCGAATTGTGTGGCTCAAGCATTTCCACAGGATATCCAGCCACTAGTATGGCGTGCCCTGGAGCTCGTCGAAACCTGGCGAACCGTGGTTTCAAAGCACGTACGGAGACATTGACCTTGAGGAACGATACGGAAACCATCATCTTGTCGAGCAAGACGAAACCGAAGGCTAGATAAATTGGAGTCGTAGCATGTCTAGGCACATGCTGAATGACGATCATTAAAAAGCTGAATGTTGAGATGCCATGGTTGATGTAAAACGCTCGATAGCTCCATCTGCGAACGGGTAGAATGCTACTAATTGCGATCCAGAGTAGCAAGCAGTACGATCCGATTCCAAAGCGGACAACAGTCGCACCTTCATCTTGCGACAGTAGAACATCCGCAAGCGAGATTGAAGATTTCATGATTGCCACGTGCGTGGTGGCAGAAACGAAGATCATACGGCCAGCCCATTTGTGCAACCACGCCATCCGATCATACGAGACATTGGCGAGGATGTTGATGGGTCCACGTTTCGTTGATAAGAAGAAGAGCAAGGGGATCTGCGTGATGGTGACCCAAGCCGCTCTGAAAGCGACGTCGTCAATAAAATGTGGTGTCGAAGTAGGGGCATCGACCGTCAAGAGCAGTGATACAACGATGATCATGTATATAACAAGACCAATAATGCTGCCCAAAGGCAGGACGAAGAGAACGCGCCCCAGTATCCGTGGAAACGGCGCGACGAAGACGGCACGCACAAATTCCCATGCACGAGCTCGAATCGAGTTGTCAATATGCGGTACAGACATAACATTGTGGGCACGCGAACTGTGTACTGTCAGCGAGCTTGCTGAGGAGGAATTGTGGGCTAACTCACACGCGCCTGCTCCACCAGGTCAACAATGCTCGGGTCAGTCTGATGAGTACGAAGACAGCTATGCACGACCAAACGATCCAAAAGATATGTTGGTTGGCGCTACCGCGGTGCTCAAGATGATGCTGATATCGGGCATCATCAATATTGCCGTTCATCTCAGACATGGCTCAGGATGTCGGTGGGAAGAACAAGGGCCTGCCAGCAGGGCCTCTATTATGATTAGTGTTGTGAAGTGACCCTCAGATGCAAACGAATGTAAAATTGCGTTGGCATCAGACGGTGACGGGCCAAAGAACAAAAGCTTCCTGCCGATCAGGCGCAGTACCTGTTGGTACAAAGGAAACCAAATGAGAAACCGGCGAAGAGCTTAGGACGACAGACAGCTCCAAAGCCATTCTGTTGACAGCTTTGGCGGGGCAAAACAGTGTTTGGGCCTATTAATGGACAGTGTGTATCAGCCAGTAGTCCTGAGACGCGGTGCGCTGGTCGAGGGCGCTGAAACCGAGGCGCCAGTGAACTTGGTCTTGTGCCTCACTGCCCTGGAGCTTTCATGCCTTAGTCACGCATGCCTTAGTCGCGCAGCTTTGTACCGAACAGTGGGAATCTTTTCTGTACAGATATCATGGCGACTATCAACGAAACGTGCACCGTGACAGTCGCTGTGCGTGATGGAGAGATCTCATGGAAGACGTTCCCATAGGTCGTGACATCATCGCCTGTTTCAGGACCCTGTCGCGACGGCGCGACGCGCCCTGAGGCTGACTAACGTAGCCAAGTCTGTCTCAACGGCAGCTTTACTGGACGCAAAATGCAGGAGTCGACAGTTTTATCACTCGTTAATAAAGGAGGAGGAGAAGGGAGGAAAGGTGGGGGATATCAGCCACGCGACGCTTGCGCTTGGACCCCAACCTTCTTCAAACCTCAAAAGACGTCAGCTCCACACAATTCTCGACCATCACAGATTAGTGCTTCTGAGTCAAGTGAAGAATGACGATCGACGGAGCAAATGCATTGTTGAATGCTATGGGGATGTAAGTATCACTTGAAGTCCGTCAGATTGAGGGCGCGCTAATATTGCCAAACCGTTCTACCATTCGAAATTCTCGAAAGCACATCGTTTCTTCTTTCGCCACCAAAGAGCTGCAATGCTTTCACCTCCCTTTATCAGCCCGCGTATTATCCGTACTTAGCTGAGAACACCTCAATGGGAAGAAGCACCTGGTAGAAACTCTCGACCCCCTGTTGCCGGAAAAGTCGCTATCGAGCGACTTTAGTCACAGCCATCAGATTGGAGATTGAAACTGGGTGAGACTTGCCCCAGGTGATAGGTTGGCACTCATAGAGATCTCAGCTGCCGCAATTTTGCTGGTTGCGGGCCACAAACCGGTGATGGATGAGACACCAATGGAAGTGATGATGGGGGAAGCAATTGATGTCAGAATTCAGACGTCCACAGACACTAAACGAGAGGTTAGTGGGGTTTAAGACAATACTGCTAGGCAAGTGTTTAACCAGGTGCGGCGGTCACCTTTGACCTTTCCCTGCGACGCGATGGCGATCATCTCCATAACAAAAGGCAGGTGTTGTGTGTCCTCAGCTCCCTAGGAGAACGCGCAGCACTGCTATGTGGCCGACGAGAGTGTTTATATGAATTCGGCGGATGTGCTTGCGCTTAGGTGTAGGGAGAAGCGGCTGAAGCAGGTGTAAAATTGAACGATGGCGGATCGTGGAGATGTTCAAGATGCCTGTTGGGTCCTGGCATCATCAAGGGATCGCCTTAAGAAGGTGTCGGTGCCGATGCGTGTGCAGTACGAAGTGGTGGAAAGCCTGCGCGGGCCAGTGTAGCCTCAACATTGCCAACATGACGTTCGAGCGCGTCGAGTCGGAGTGATGATTTTACTCTGTATCGGGCTAAGTTACGGCGTGACGCGTCAAGCTATTGAGCAAACTGATTGCGGGAATTGAAGGCAGCGTCTTTGCGGGCGTCCATTAAAGATTGTTGGCGACGGGAGAGATGATGTAGAGGGGATTCTCTGTACGTGAACGCGCGAGCTCGTCAGATACCGCTTAGCGCCTCAAACCTAGCATCAGAAGCCATTGCGTCATCACCTACCTATGCTATGAGTCGTACACTTTGCGTCATCCAGAGCGCTTGAATGGGTATCTAACACTGTGTCAGTGCTCTGAGCCCATAGGAAGTTATACTCCGGTCGCTGTTATACCGAACAGTGTATAGCGTATGCTCATACAGTGTAGGTGCACATCAAGTCACATTGATTCTTACACATACCGGAAGGCCCCAAGTCTCAACTCCATGGTGTTTCAAAGAGTTTGATTGGGAGTAAGATAAAGTCTAAATAGAGTTTCGTTTGTACAGCCTAGATGGAAGACTGCACTAAACAACCTGCAACCTCCAGACCTCTACTCCTCCCATGCTCACATCCTCTTTATCACCTACACTTACTGACTTTGTTCAGACGCATAAGAGCTGACAGGGACCGACGGGTATCGGGTGAAAGGAAGGAGTAGGGCACTGAGAAACGCAGGGTCCAGGCCTCTGTTGCCAACTCTGCCCTCATGAAAGGCTTGGGCAACAATTGTTTGCCAGTTTTCGTAACGATCTATGGACCTCAATGATTAGTCGTGAGTCTATTATGCATGGATCCTTTGAACTCACCCCAGAAAACGGGCATACAATCGCCGCGATGCTCAGCCTTGACGGAGCACGAAGTGTAGGTTCCGGTGATGACACGGTTGTGGGCCTCACACCAGGCCATGTGGCCTTGACGGAAACATTCCGAGTCAAAGGCGTCCTTGTGACAGCCTGTTGTCGAGCTGTGAGTGGTTTAGTGTCTGACTACAACCTATTTATGAGGCGATGGACACGTACCACTGCCTCAATGTGCCCTGGCGGCGGAAGTGGTCACCCATGACCGCAATACTCTCGATTGCAGTGGGCAACAACAGAGCGTTATCGCCCGAGAGTCTTGCGTAGTTGTAATTGGTTGGCGCGGTGTGAGGAGGAGCTACTTGAGAGCGCAGAATCGAAAGCTCAGCTTCGAGAGAAGAGACTCTCTCGTGGAGAATCTGAACTTGCGAACGAAGCCTGTCAACCTCCATGACGAGACTAGTCCTGGCGTTGCTGTGGTTGTTGTGAGGACCGTGAGGATACATTTTGCGGAGTACTTGGCGATCGGTTCGGGTAGAAAAAACCTTGGAAGGTGGTGAGAGGCGCTTGATATATGGTTGAAAACCTTGGAAGCAAGCCCACCGCCAAGGCTGTCTTCACTAAGAAAGCCAAACCCTGATGTCACAGGTAACAATCCTTCTCGAATGCAAAACTGTGGCGAGAAAATCAAAATTTGGCCTCCATCATTACAGATACATGGTTATTCACAAGGTGACAAGATGATCAAAGACAGCTCAGTCATGCCCTCAACATGGAAGCTACAATCCGATTTTGAACCGCGTATCATTTGTCTATGAACCACAGAGAGCAAACACGATTCCGAAGCCCATTTAAAATGCTTGACAAAAGCTGAAGATTGCGCCATAAAGATTTTCCGAACAGGAAACTTCCCGCAACTGTCATGCCGTTCCCCCTACACCCCTTCTGTCGGATGAAGGCATATTCCATCTGTCGCAGTGGTCAATAAAGTAGGCCAGTTGCACAAATAGCACCGCTTACTATCTGGTTGAAGGGGTCCGAGGATACGGTTGAAGAACTGATACTGCATTCGCAGCATCTCGCAGTCGGCCTTGATGTTGGTGTCCGGATGCACACGGACGTGAACCTCAAGCTGGTTCAAGCATATCTCCATCCTTAGCTTCGTCTTGTGTAGGAATCTCTCGTGTTCGCCCATCCAGCGAGCGACTTCACGGTGACTGCTGCTTGGGTCCAGCTCCAGGATTTTATCGTCGATCGCCCTCTGGTGCGCTTTGGCACGGCGCAAAAGAACCTGGAGGCGCACTGATTGACGCAAAGAGACATTCGGACTGGGAGAATGTGATGAGTTATCGGTAAACGGCATCTTAGTTCCGGTGCTCTGGCTGCGCTGATATGAGTAGCAGTGAGGACTTGAAGGCACGTAGGTCGCTATAGTGAAATGAGAAGGAAATAGTGTCAAAGAGAAGGTTGTCTTGAGGGCGATAAGCAGTGAAGGTACGACGTGAAAGCAGCAACGAGCTCGCTCAATCTGGAGTAGCGCCATACCCCATGTGCACATCACCGTTGCTTTGCAGGCGTTGGGGACCGTCACATGCACCGCTAGCGCCGCCCAGACCTTGAGCTATAAGTACAGCTCCCCCTGCCTCCGTCTCCGTCTCTTTTCTTCTCAACCTCCTCCTCTACGATGGCGAAGAGTGCGCCGGCATCATTATTGCTGCGTATGCTCTGGTTTCCTGACAGATCAAGGTTCCCTTCCAAGTCTATCCTTGCAGCGGATAACCACGTCTGCTAGGTAATAACGGAAGGGTACATCCCGAAACCTCAACGGCTTCTTGTGATTATTTACATAGTCAATACATTCAGTCGTTTTATCCAATTGCGAGTTCCATTCCTCGTGAGTACCTTGTGATTGCCGCCCGGTTGCCTCCGCTTTACTGTGATTACGATTGCGTTCATATTGGGACTCGTTCGCGGCACTGAGTTGGTACATACTTGAGTACTCACGAAGCGGGGGATACAAGCTCCAGAACAGGGACGCCCGAAGGGAGTCCTCAGTCCCACGGTGAAATGGGTATATCTGTGGCAGGCAGTTCTGCACATCTAACCTGAACGGAGAGAAATGTAAAGCCAACTCTCACGCGAAGCCCCGAGTCCCAAACATTTATGCTTTTTCTGAACTTCGACGTGTCACGATTTGGTGTGCAATGATGATAACGCGAGCAGATGTTTCACGCGTGTAAGGGTCACTGGTCAACAAGGTTGATCTGGCAACGCGTGGCGCTGTTTCCGCAAGTCATGAACGCAGTTTATACCGCGGAACAACCATCTAATCGTGTGCTATGGTCAAGTTGAGCAAGGTCTCTTGGAACTCCGCCATTGCTCGGTAGATGACACAGTCAGCTTGGAGCAGACAACGTGCGATTTGCTATGCAGCGTGTTGATGAGCAAGGTGCTTCTAATAATTTAATGGCAAGAGCTTTTGGAATCGCGTAGAGCGGCGACTCGGTTACTTGCTTTCACTCCACGCCGCTTTTCAAGTTTTTCTTTCTGCTTCTTAACCCCAATTTTGCAATTGTACGCCCCACTTCGAACAGATAAAATACCCCAGTTCACCATTGAATTTGCGCATGCGCACGTTCAGACCTCCCGCTGTGTCTCTTGTAGATTGCGCATACCTGTCTGCCGATACCATGCCCTCTGATACACAGGGTAAACCATAGCGACACTATCTCGAGTCTTGAGGCAGTCATCTAACACCTCCATAGAGCCACCAGACTATCTGTTCGACGACACTGATGCGCACGCGAATATCGAGGCTCGGAGCTATCAACAAGAACTTGTGAGGAATGGCGTCGACGATAGAGGACGAGCCGAGTAAGGGGCTCATGGCTGCCTTGGAAAACGGCGAAGCCGAGGACCGCCAACAGCTAGGATCACAGGTGTCAAACCCCTCTCATGGTTCGAGTACAACTCCGGTTCCGACGTCTGCGACTACTCTTATACCATCTTTCAATGTCAGGCGATCAAGGATGTCTCTTCGAATCCATAACTTGAACGGCTTTTCGGTTCGAAGAGACGCCGAAGGCACGGAAATTACCTCTTACAAGGAAAAACCATAGCTCAACACACATGCGCTTGGTCCTCAGGGCAATTAGACCTTTGCAGGCAGGAGGTATATATTTTACAAGAGGCTTTGAGCGGCCTGTGGTCTTTATATCCGACCATGTCTCTCAGCAGCAGCAGTACGAGACAGAAAATCCTCGGCTCAAAACGGACAACGCGGTCGGATTCCTCGGTGCAGCAGACAAAACACATGACTGAAATCGCACAAGAAGGGCCGTATCAGGTACTGACGAGGGACCATAGGATATGGAGATCTGCCTCGACATTTCGATGCGCGATCACGAAACATATAAAGAGGTTGCTCCTAGATCGCACCTACCTCCTCCCATTTCGACTTTTGCAAGCACATCATCCGCCCTACCCACCGACTCTTGCGCAACTTGCTGTGAATCAGAACGACTCCCAGTACCGAACGACCAAGAGGCCTTCGAACAGCCCGACCCCTATTCTATAATCCTGTCCTTTGGCAGAGTCAAAGAGCAGCAAGCTTAGAACATCTCACGGATGTTGCAAAGCCAGGCCCGAGTGTATCATCGCAATCAGCAGCAGGAGCAGACGAGGCAGTACCAGCAACAACGCACACAACAGCGACAGGCTTTTACCATATTTGATAGTGCAACTACGACGTCGAGCGCGCGGTCATCGACTCCTGAGTCGCTTCTCACGACGAGTATGCCTGCATCGACTGCACTCACTCTCCAGAAACGCAGGGCTGAAGATGGCCTTGGTGAGCTCATAATGGGAAACGCATGATGGACTGAGGCTTTATGTGCGTTGAAGAAAGGGATGCATGAACAGACCCAACACAATCAGCGTTGTATCGAAGGTTGAACCTACATGGATTTCTCTCCTGACCCTTCCGAAGTCTTTTCAGATTTTTCTATGATATCCGAGCGGAAAAACTTGTTGCGGGCAAAATTGAAGTGGCAGTGTCTTCCGAGGTCGTGATAAGAGTCGTGCTCGTCGGCCGACGAGACCTTGACAAGATTGTACCAGCGATCAAAATCGAGTTGACCATGTCGCACTCATGAAAGCGAACAGTCGCGCATGCCCCACACGATGGTTTTGTCAACCCCACCCAACATCTCTTCCTCGAGCGATGACGTCATTGGCGCATTTCCGACACTAGTACGGACATTCATCTCTCGGCAATACCAGCACAGCTTACATGTTACTTCATAGATGGAATTACCGAATTTCGGCGGCCGCTGTGCTGTCTCCGTGCCGCGCATGAGCCCGCCGTGCCGGCCCAATCAACCTGTAGGATCCGAGTCGACAGCACTAACTCGAGAGTTTCACGCCCGGATGCTGTTTCCCACGTCGCCCAAAGAAGCATCTTTAGTCGACCGTAGGTACTTCCCCGCAATATCTGTCTTGGCGATGACAGATGAAAGCACCCAACGACCACAAGGACACCATGACTGTAGGTACATTGGGCGTTACTCGAGTAGATCCTTAATAGCTCTTGATCCTGGAACTCTCGGAGCATACCCTCAGCCATCCACATATCTCTCTGTCCCGCCATTCTCATTCTCTCGTTTACTGCTTCATAATGGCCGAGCACGAGAAGGACTCTGTCCACCAACAAGATTCGACGCCGCAGACATTAGAAGATCTCAAACACACCAAGACCGTCGACACCTTACATAACGATGAAGCCCTACGAGTACTCGCCCAATATGCTGGAGATGCAAGTTGGACACCAGAAGAGGAGAGGAAGCTTGTGCGCCGACTCGACAGAAAGTTGATCTCACTCTTGATTGTCACGTATGGCCTGCAATACTACGATAAAGCCATGCTATCGCAGGCTGCCCTTTTTGGCCTGCGGGATGATCTCAGGCTTACAACAGGCAACCGGTACTCTTTTTCGTCTTCGATCTTCTACCTCGGGTTCATTGTTGGGAGCTATCCAGCAATTCTCATGTCTCAAAGATGGCCCATTGAGCGAGTGGCAGCCGGTATTGTTGCGATTTGGGGCATTTGTCTGATGTGCTCTGCTGCATGTACCAATTGGCAAGGTAGTCAGCGACCCTCGTCAAGATGCTGGGCCGTTAACATGTATCAGGTTTCTACGCCCAGAGATTCTTCCTTGGCTTCCTTGAGTCCGGAGTGTCACCTATGTTTATGTTGATCGTCGGCGGCTGGTATAAGAAGCGCGAGCAAGCACTTCGAATGGGCGCCTGGTACTCGGCAACAGGCTACGTCTCCATGGTGTCTCCACTCATCAATTACGGCCTTGGTCACATCAGTGGCGGAGGTCTCAATTCGTGGCAATATATGTACTTGGTTGCAGGAGCAATCACGGTTCTATGGTCTCTAGTCATCCTCTTCTTCATGCCGCCAGATCCCATCCGCGCACGAGGCTTCAGTGATCGCGAGCGATACATTGCAGTCGCCCGTATGAAGGAAAACAACTCGGGTGTGCGAAACAGACATTTCAAGGTTGCTCAGCTGTGGGAGTCACTTTATGACATCAAGTTCTGGCTGATCTTCAGCATCGCCTTCCTCATGATGATCGCAAACGGCCCAGTGTCTTCTTTCATCCCTATTATTATCTCAGGTTGGTCAACGGTTACGAACTTACTACAGCGTCATGCTGACGACTATCACAGGATTCGGCTACAATCGCCTTAACTCGTTGCTACTCACCATGCCTGCAGGAGCTATTATCGGCACCATCGAGCTTACTGCACCCTACTTCGCCTACAGGATCCCTGGTATTCGCACATGGCTCATCGTCATCTGCCAATGCGGCACCATAACAGCATCCATCTTACTTTGGCGACTACCTCGGGGCGAGAAGGGCGGTCTACTGTTTGGATGTTATATTCTGGCAAGTTTTGGTGGAGCATACGCTGTACTTATGGGACTGCAAATTGCCAACACTGCAGGATATACTAAGAGATCAGTCACATCTTCTGGAATCTTTGTGGGATATTGTTTGGGTATGATGAGTATTGATCCGGGTATGTGATTGCAGCACTAACGGCATTTCAGGAAACTTTGTCGGGCCCCTACTCTTTAAGCCAGAAGACGCGCCGGCCTACGGTCCAGGATTCGTTGCAGTACTTGCAACCGCAATCGCTGCTGCTGCTCTTGCTGTTGTTTATCGCTACGTCTGTATATGGGAAAATCGCCGCCGCGACAAGTCCGGCACAATGGAAGGCTTCGATAACGCCTACGACGATGATCTCACGGATATGAAGAACCCACAGTTCAGATACACGCTATAACGTTTCAATGTCTGCAACGCAACCGCGCTTGACTGGAAGTTGAGGAGCAGGAAAGGTCTGCTGAGCTTGCACCATTGGGTATTACCATAGGAATGTCTGCATGCGTCGAAGCTCAAGCGCGCGTTCTCAAGTTTGTTGGTTCCGATCGTGCCGACTTGCAGCACGTTATGACTAGCGGTCCTGGCTCACAGGTAGGTATTGCGGCCAGATCACGAGAACATCATCGGTTTCCACGTTTTGTGGACGCGCGCTGTGCGGGGTCGGTGGAGTTTACTGGTTTTGAAATGCAGAACCGCGCCCTTATCCAAAGTAGAGCCACGGTTAAGTCTTCGCCGCCCCACATCATGCCGTCCGGACCACCAACAAGTATAGCAGCATGCAAGAAACAATCCCCACGGGAACGAATTGCCTTTATCGAGCCTACGATTGCGACATGTAAACCCCTCTTCCAGTAGCAACAATGCATCATGTACAGCCCGACTATTCCCTTTGCCAGCTCCGTAGGCAGCGTTATCCACACGACTGTTACAATCTCTTCGAAAACTGACCAGTCGTTACGGTCTTGCAAGCATCTAATCTCTCTAACTTGTTGTACTGTTTAAATGTTGTTATGAATATGCAGCGCGAGCGCAAGCGTTTCTTTCGAGGTGTGAGTTGATCCCTCATTGACAACATACATTTTGACCTGGAAACACTGATTCGATGCAAGGTATACGATGCAATGCGTCTCCCAGGTATGATCAAGCGAAAGAAGTCAACATCGACACTACCAGATGTGTTCCCAAGCAGTGCTTCACTGTTCGCTTCATTTCCGCGCCAAAGCCAGCAAGGCACACTGGCACTTCCCTCCAAGCTTGATGAAGTGGCAGAATCGATCCACGAATGTGTTCCACAGCAACTTCCAGGAGAGAGTGCGAGTCAAGACGATGTCCGCTACTTCCTCTATCAAGTATTAACCCTGAAGGAGTACAATCTGGCGCGGAAAAGTCCGCAGTGGGTACTGGAGACTTGTATGCTTTGGCAAGGGGACGGTAATAGGCTCAGATCTCTGCCACTCGACGCCTTCCAGCAACTTTGTCCCCTGCATCCAGGATACGCTGCTATCGACTGGACCGTCAAAGGCTCCAAGTATCGACGTCAAGACATACCGCCATGTGGCGTTCGTGATGAGATCGGACATCGCGTCAAGACCATAGTAGAGGGCTTGAAAAGAAAGGAGGAAGGTCATCGAGGTCCAGGATGGCAGAACTTAAGCATGTCTAAGCCTGGTGCAGCCCCGCCCGTAGAGATGGCCAGAACGCAGAACCCAACTTTTCCAGGGAATCACAGGTTTCAGATGGCCCAGTTTGCACCCACTTCTGGTTTTCCTGTCCAAAACCATTTTTACAGTCTTGGAAATCATTCTATGCCCCTTTTTCATCAGGTCCCACCTGTTGGTATCCAGCAGAATGCGCCTTATATGCGGCGTCAGCCTTCCATCACCGCCCCGCACTATTTACCTCATGTTGCCGGCATGGAACAGCATCAGCCCATCGCCGCTGGGAACAGTCAGCACATCCCAAACGGTGACCGCAGTTCTCCAGTCTCTTTGTCGGGTTCACCAATATCCTCCTATTGTCAAACCGGAAGTATCTCGTCTCGACTTACTGAGTCTACTGCCAAAACATCACCTCCAATTTCGGAAAGTGAGCATCAATTTCGGCTTTCAAATATCGACCAGTCATCATTAACTACCGAGTCCATGAGTGGCAGTCAATGCTCTTTGTCGAGTTCGTGCCAAGACTCTCCCCGGCGGACTCAGGCGGTGCCACCAAGCCGGTATAGAGGCACTCAGCCAGCTCCACATTCTCGTCTGCACGATCAATCTTTCCATCCAGCACACTATATGACTAGTCTTCGATCTCCATCGTACAACGGTTCGATCTATGCTCGATCCGAAGCGTCTTTGACTCCTTCTGACAGCGCAACGAACAAGTATGGATTCCGACGCGATTCAGCCATGCCACCAGAAACAATACAGCAAGTCGTCAGAAGTCCATCTTTATACTCTCCTTCGATCATCTCGAACCTCTCTCGGCCTTCTACCCAGCAATCATTCGTGACCGCGCCACCTTGCCCACAGAGTGTTGCTTCTCCTCGGCTAGGCACTGCGACACCAACCATACATGGTCAGAACACCTTCGCGCGTCCCATCAACAACTACAGAGTCGATGCTCACGCACTCGATAAAGCTGAAATGATCGGTTACAAGTCGATGTCAGGACCAATGCGTTCGCTGATGGCCGACGAGGAGAGGACTCGCAAGCTTACTCGAGACAAGAGCGACGCTAGGCTCAACACATGCCAGAATAACTCCCCTAAAAACGTCCTTGGAGGGGAAGATCCTGTAGGCCCCCTTTTGAGATTCCAAAATCCTAGGACAGGGCAGCCTAGGCTGACGATCTACGAAACAATAGAGCAGCAAGAAAGGCTCGGCAAACAATACCTCGATAATCAGAGACGCGGAGAGGTGCAGCAGGGACGATTGAGAACGGTTTACGAGACGATTGAAGAGCAGGAACTTTTAGATAGAAGAGCTCAACGCGGTTTGGACAATTATGTAGGGCAGAACTGGTCAAACTACTTGTGATTAGCTCATGAATAAATCTCCAATCAAAAAACGGGTGTAGCCAAGAACGACCGCACGTTTGTGAATAAACATATCACTTTGAGAATGATGCAGTCTCTCTCCAGTCACATTGCTTGACTCCTCACTGACGCGCGTTTCCATGACAACGGATGCTCCCAGCCATAATACCTTCATATGATGATCACATACGCGCTGATCCCCAATCTGCCGGCTTTCGTCATCGCATCCAGTTCGCGAGAATACCGCCTCCTCAAGCTCGCGTTTGTGGTGCATACAAGGTTTCAGCGGCTCTTTACGGCGATCCTCGGCGCTTCGGTACAGACTCGTGAGACGCGGAGCGTCAAAGATTTACCGGAAGAAAGCGCAGTATTCAATGGAATTCTCAACGAATCGCCCGATAAAGAAGGAGTGAGAACATTGAAAGGGGGAGAAATGGAATGTTTCGGTACTTTCCAAAGGCTTCGGAATCTGGGGTTAGTGTTGATACGATCGTGAGGTCATTTTTTAGTGTTTAGGACCTCTGATATGAGCGCTTAGGGCACGGGAGTATACTTTGATCATTGTTGACTGTGCAAATAGAGACAAACACATGAAGCTGTCGAGTCCCATCGGCGAGGAGTCTGACTACACTGGAACGAGTTTTCGTGAAAATTTCAGTCTTAGACTACTATCCTTGGGCACTAAACTTGCTTTTTGACCAGAATTTCCTCTTTCCTAAGCTTTCACAGGATCTCGGATCATGATTGTGTTCGTATCCTCGCCCTGGCCCCCGTATTTTGTAAGATCGAATTTCTGTTCCAGCCTAGGCGTGAAGCCGTATCTGGCATATAGCGGCCGACCCATAACCGAAGACTCAAGGAAGCAGGGTAGCTGATCAGCATCGGCTTGCTCTGTTCCCCAGCGAACAAGCTTAGCACCAGCCCCGCGACGATGATGCGCAGGATCTGTGATGAGTATGTGTAGAACTGACAGATGTCAGTATTGACCCGGTATGGTGAGCAGTTCGAATCAGGTGATGCTTACAATAGAAAGGTCTAGTTCCCATGAACTCCTTCCTGGACTTGGTTAAGTACCACATGAAGTCAATCATTGCCTGCTTGCCATTCTCTTCTTTACCTGGTACTGGCAGCATAGATTGTATTTCTTCTTCCGTGCGCTCTTTCTGGTTGATGCGCCACTTGGCGCCAGCGATCATTTGGCCATCTAGCTCGGTGTCCACGACTTTGAGGTACGTGATGTCTTTCTCTTCTCGAATCGACTTGACGTGCTTGTCGACAGATTTGTTGATGTAAGCCTCTGACGGTGGGTGCTCGACCATAAACTGTGTCATACCTCCACCTTCCCCTGTCCTGAATTAACGGTGCGTTGCCGAGGGCCAAAGATCGGTACCTACCGAAGGCGGCGATTTGGATCCGGACAAACTCTGGGATGTCCATCTCCGTGCAAGGGCGAAGCTCGAGAACCATATTGAAAATATTGGAGACAGTCTGTTGTACCAGTGTTGCTCGTTGGAAGTTGGTGTTGTGGGGTGTCAGATCTTAAGGCAATGAGGCTGCACGGTTTGCACCTTCCTCCATTGGCATCGGGCTCCCGAAACCGCAAGGTGTGAGTCGAGCAACGCCCTTTCACGAAGCGCAATGACTCAGCGTCAGCTCATAACACCAGGCGACGCCCTTCTTTGTTTCTGAACAACTTGCGAAGCCCGCGGAGGATTGTCGATCTGCTTGTGGTGTTTTCACTGCGGGGCACGGCCATGACGTCGCTGCCGCAACGGCCTCACCAGCAACCGTGACCGACGGATTGCAGCACAAACATCAACGGCAAGTGCCACTGAACAGTAGTTTCGATGGAATAAAACTGATCGAGGGACACAGGGGTAGGAAGCAATGCAAGATTCTCAGGTCAAACCAGCTTTGTCAGTCCAGGAAGCTACGTTTCCCACTCCGGCGAAATTCATGGTTCGGACGTCTGAATAGGCTCACCAAGTTTGAGGGCTAATCAGTGCATGGCCATTGCCCAGCAATCGTGGATCAAGATACTGAGATCACAAGGCCGTGCGTATGGAACGCCCCAGCCACGTTACTGAGACGTATCGTGGTTCGCAAAACAAAATTCTGAAACCGGCCACAGGAGTGCGACACCCACATACCTACCATGTACAGAACTCGTCTACAGTGATTAGAAAGAGGAGGCATCGCCAACGTCATGGATAATGATGAATTTGAATTACCTCAATATGTTCATGGTCCTTCCCAGCAAAGACCTTAATCGGTGACCATCCTTCGAATTCTCACGAGCCTCCGTTCAGTACTACGCCAGCTCATGAGCGTTCTCGTCGTACCGCGAAATCTGATCCGTAACGTTATGTTGCACACCGCATATTTTCACGACGCCAAGCCCCTCCTGTCTTCCTCAGAGTGCCGAAGCAGCCGTCCAAGAAACAGCATAAATGCACCGAAGATACCGCCGCTCTGCCTCGGCAGGTAATTGCAAATGGGAAACCAGACGCCCTCCTCAGATCAGCAAAACATGTCTCAGATCTGCCGGGACGTCCCTTCAACGACTGTCAAATTCAGCCCTATCCGGTAGCTTCGTCCTAGCGTCGTACTATATTCGTCGAAGGTGAGCCTTTCCTGGCATGGAGTAGCCGGCTAGACGTCTGTTACATACGTCTCAGCACTTCTGACAGAGTGTGCTATTGTGGACTTACGCATGACGGCCGACAGCACTCCAGAGTCACCTCGATGTTGAAACATGACAGATTTGAGTTGTGGTCTGCCTTCGTGATCAGTCCTGTGCTTTCAACCTCGGCTTGCAAGATCAATAAAGGTCTGTTCTTTATAAATGCGCCGCGAAGTACGTACCGATCCATCAGGGGCTCTCATTCATCTTCAATATCATTCACACAGACTCAACTTTACAACACATAATCATTTAATTTCTCTTTTTCAGATCATCTGCAACTACCATGAAGTCATTTGTTCCGTTCCTCGTTCTTGTCCCTCTTGCCTCTGCGGCTCTCTCGTCCACAACTCAGAATGATGTCACCAACGGCAGCGGCTGCAAGGCCATGACTGTTCTCTTTGCCCGCGGCACCACAGAGGGCGGCAACATGGGTTCGGTCGCAGGGCCGCCGTTTGTCAGTGCCATTGGCCAGATGATGGGTGGGGCGCAGAATCTTGCCGTCCAGGGTATCCAGTACCCTGCCGACATTCCCGGATTCCTGGCTGGTGGTGATGCCGCAGGTAGCGCATTGATGGCCAAAATGGTTGGTCAGGTCATGGCTGCTTGCCCTAACACAGCCCTTGTCATGGCTGGATATTCGTAAGTTTTGTCTTACCACTCATGTGAAAGACCATGACTAATTATATAACCACCCACAGCCAGGGAGGACAACTCGTTCACAACGCGGCCACTATGTTGACAGCCGACCAGTCTGCATTTGTAAAGAGTGCGGTCATCTTCGGAGATCCAAACAACGGCGATGCTGTTGGCAATGTCGGCGCTGCCAACACCAAGGTCATCTGCCACAATGGTGACCTGATCTGCGCTGGCCAGTCTGTCATTCTTGCACCTCACTTGACATACGGTCGTGATGCAAATACTGCCGCTGCATTTGTTATGTCGACCGCCGGCGCTGCTACGGCAGGTGCTGCTGCGGCTGCTGCCAAGGTTGTGGTCGGCAAGGTTGCGAATGGCTTCTCTGCTTGAGCGTTTTGAGAACCGAGTCATTCCATTCAATTCATCAACAGATGTACATAAATATGTTAAGAATCGCTGCAGGTCGGCTTCAGTCTCCTTTGACTTCTAAAATACCGAGATGAATGTACTTTGTAGACGGTGATGAACAGGGCTGGCACTCACGCTAGACTAATACTAGTTAGTCACCCTTGAGTACTTGTGCCTTACTACTTTCCTAAAGCTCATGTTTGTTACACCACGCAACACAATGACCACCTCCAAGCTGCTCTCGAAGCTGTTCAAGCGTAAGTCCAGGAAGGATGAAACCAGTGATACAGCCACCGCATCCGCGTCTCACACATCCTCATCTGTGAGCACGCCAGCTCCAACACAGCACCAGCTCGCGCGGACCCTCCAAACTCGTCCACAAGTTGCTTCCCCATTCTTCTCACTTCCCGGAGAACTCCGCAACAGGATCTACGCCTACGCGACCTACCCCTCCTTGCTGAGCATCACCATCTTTCAGAATCCAGAACCCGTGCTCTCGGCCAATATATTCCACCTCTGCCGCCGCATTCGGAGCGAAGCCATCTCACACCTATGCTCGAGCAAATCCATATCCCTCGCTGACTTGCGCACCGCAAACAAGTTCTTCGAGCTGGTGCGGGACGAGATGCCGAGTCTGCGGCACATCACGATTCGCAGCGATTCTGCATGGCGGTTGGGGACTGCTGAGGTCGAGGTCGAGAAGAGTGTGTTTCTGGATTACCTTGAGCTTGCCACTGGACTGAAGAAGTTGGAGATGGTGGTCGGCCAGTGGCCGTTGAGTGTACAAAACAGGGCACAGCTTTGCGACGCGGGATCGGTTGGTGCTGGGTTTCTCTACGCGGTGAGGGACTTAGTTGATCGGGAGGTGGGTGGGGAGGAGCTGGAGAGGGTCACGATGGAGAGGTTGCTGGCGCTTTGCAAGAACTTCAGTGCGCCGAGGGCGGTGCAAGATCTCAAGGCGGCACTGAACGAAGAGTACGAGCAGCGAGAAGTGAAGGTATTTAGACTGTACAAGGTGACGAGCTTGGAGGGTGGGATCGAGAGGGTGGAGCTGCCAATGAGGATGCCTGGATGTTTGATATCCACAGAGCACGATATTTTGAAGTCGATATCGTAAGGACTTGCTGTAGTGGACAAGATGATGAAATTTGAGCATTCTGCATGCCACTCAACTACGACTTGGGAACCATCAGACGATCCACATCTGCACCATACCCTCCGTTCACACCGACGAACTTGATCTCGTTCGTGCCTGCTTTTAAATCCACGTTCAGCACACTGCTTCCTGGATCTCCACCACCATGAGGCAAGAAAGCAACCCTTTGTGTCCGACCATTCACGCTCACATCGGCGACACGCTGGCTTCTGTCTCCGTTCAAATGCTTGACCCTGATGCTCGTTTTTCCCGCAACATCGCTCTGCACGTTGCTGAACACTGCAGCTCCGCCGTCCGGACCGCCGATATACCCTGCTGCGTTCCCACCAGAGCACGACGAGCACGCGATGACACGTGCATTGCTACTCAAACTTGCAACCTCGCCTTCGTACTGGTTCTCGGTCGGCCCTGAGCTGGCTGCTCCAGTGCTCGGGTTCAGCACCCAGTTCACTTGATTCTTCACGCTCGCTGTGGTTCCCGAGATGGTGAGCGGGAGCCATACGTAGGTGCTGCGCATCAGATTGTCGCTGACCCAGCGGTCACCCATGTACACGAAGTTGTCGCCGACAGGTAGCACAAAAGTTGTCTGGGAGGCGTACGTGTTGGAGCCGCTGTCGGCAAACTTCTTCCAGCCTGACCAAGGTCCAGAGAGGGAGGTTGCGGTGCTGTAGTAGTTGTCGTTCGGATTCCAGCCTGTGAGCTGCGAGGCAAACATGAAGTAGACGCCGTTCTTCTTGACGATTGCAGGCGATTCATACTTCTCGGCCCACGTATACACGTTAGAGGTTACGGTGAGGTAGTCGGCTGAAAGGGCATTGATGCGGAGGCCATTTTGGCGCTGAATATATTAGTGTTTGGACAATGTGTATGAAGCAAATTGAATGACTTACATCTTCGGTCAGAAGATATGCCTTATCATCTGTATCGACATAAACACCAGAATCGCGGCTTTGAAAGCCCAGCGGCTGTTCGCTGCGCAGATACGTGTACTTTCCGCACACAGTGTTTCCAGTGGCGACGCCAATCTTGGCTTCTTTGTAATCGCCGCTGTCGATGTGCATCCACATCACATACTTGTTGGTGGCTTTGTTGTAAATGATCTTCGGGCGCTCAATGACACGGTTTGGTCCTGTATCACCCGATGCGGTTTGAGAGAGAAGAGCGCCTTCGTAAGTCCATTCTACGAGATTGGTTGAGGAATAGCAGTTGACATTGATGAACGAGGTGCCGTTGGTTTTGTCTTCCCCAACCCTGAATGGGTCAGTCAGCTCGTGTGCTTCTATGAAATTGGTTTGAGGTGCACGTACCAGTACCACTTCTCGCCAACTTTGAGGATACCGCCACCATGAGCCTGAATGTGTTGACCGGTGTTCGTCTGTCGGGCAAATCAATTATTTGCACACGGTGGTGTTGACGGTTGCGCTTACCGCGGTCCAAGTTGCACCAGGCACGATCTGCAGCGAAGCTGTTGCTGCTGAAGCGAGAAGGCCCAACACCGAGACAATGATTGAACGCATATTGCTGTACTTCGAGACGTCAAGCTTCAAGGTGCCTCCGTCTTAACGCTGATGCGGACTTTCTTCCACACTTATATGCGAGCATCACGGAGCGAACGGGCCTGTGCACTCCGAGGAATTAATTTCGACCACCCGATTCGAAGTAGCTAGGTAATGGTCATCACGAGTGCATCGGTGCAGGTTCGCCACAGAAGGTATTGTTCCGGCCTGCTTCGAAGAACGTGGAGCAAAGTATGGGGAGCATTAGCTTCGGGTAACGGCATTGCTTGTTTGGGGGATCGTGATTGTGCTCTAGAACATTTTCCCGATGCCCGTTGTCATATCATGGCTGTTTTGAGTACAGTGCGACCTAGTCATGTGGTGTTGTGGGTGTGGAGCTCGTAAACAGCAGCCTCCTGAATTGGGAAATGCGTCCGCCGGCACTCCGAAATTGCATGGCAAACATGGGTTGCAGCGTGCCGAGTTAAAGTGGAAGTTGATAGGAAGTACCTATTGGCGATGGCTCCACACCCAAATTGATAACTTCTATCTCAGCGAAACTACATTCTCCTGTGACACTCTAATTGCCAACGTTGTTCGTGAGAACGACGCCCTGAGGCCACTGTTAGAAAACTGGCAGTATCGCCTCATGCCCCAGCGGCCTGGCGAGCGCGATGATCCTATGTGCCGAGTGTAATCGAACCACCGTACACAGTAGTAAGTCGTGGCCAAGATCTGTGCTCAGCCTGTTCCCGATTGTCACCGGGTAGGCAGTCGTTGTATGCGCCTTTAACTCGACTCGCCTTATCCTTTGGTGTATCTGGCTGGCTAAGACACCGCTGTTGACATCTGTACCATCATTCCGCGGCGAACACGGATACGGTGAGGATGACCACCATTGCAGTACGATGCTGCCTGACTCCGGATATGTTGCAGGCAACCGTAGGTGACGGAGGAAGCGGCAAGCTGAGCGATCGGTGCAAACCCCGCCATCCGCTGATGAGCTCCGGAGCAACGGCTGCCCACGCACACATCTCTGGAATCTCTAGAAAGCTTTGGGCTATCTTATGATACCCTTTTGACTCTTCCAGGCAGCTTCCGAACTCTTGCAGCCACCTTGTTGCGGTGCTGCTGGGGATGGTGCTGAGGGCCACTTGCGAAGGTTGGCCGCCAGACTCAACACCAAGTGAGCTGTCGCCAAACTCACTCACAGCAGCCTCCACCCAACCACCCCACCACCACCATCCCACCGTCCTCTCCTAATCCTAGGGCGCGCTCGTATGTGAGATGGGGAGCTCTTCCTTCTGAGCAAGTTCTCTTCGGCGATGCCTGCTTGACGTGTCGGCAGCTCCATGTTCCTTTTGGTAAAGCTTCGTGCTTCCTTCGGCTGAGCACATCGGCCTTGCACGACCTTGCCTGGCCTTTTTACTTACCAAAGAGCTTCTTGAGGGCCTTGACCAGCTTCGCGTCGACTGTGATAGCTTCAACCAAGCTTGCCGTCGTTACTACAGCCCTGTACGGCGGCTGCGGGCCTCCGGCAGACTGCCAGCAAAGCGACAACTCTTTCGCAGCCTCTTCAACGATGCCAGGCACTCAAACCTACTGCAGTAAGTTCCCAGAAGTTCCGAAAATACCATGAGAGTCTCTCGCAGATTGGCTGACTTTACCTGCGAGCAGCCGCCATTGCGGTAGCGGCAGCGGCAGCCCCGCCTCCACGACATGTCTCGAGACATACCTTGTGCAATGCTTCAGTCAGAAAGGAAGCCTCGAGCTCGACCACGACGTTTAATCAGACAACCTAAACGCCTTTTCGACGTCTCAACACCACAAGGACATAGCTGAACGGTAGCATCTACAGACAAGTCAATGCCCGCCAGCGCAGGTCCTTCGTTACCCAAGAATACTGGTGATGGCTTCGGATCGCAAGGTACTTGCTGAATGGTCAAGCTTTTCGTGCTGTGGCAGAAAGAGAGTATGACCATGTCGGGTGGCGACCGCGCAATCGACGCCGCTTTGTGATTCTGAACGTTGCACACAAGCCATACCCATCCACCGTCTCGATCGTCAGCAGTCAAATCGAACAGCCTATTCGGTAAGGGAGTAGTCGTTCCTTCTGTTGCTCGCATCTCGGTATCCATCTCTTTCATGTCGATCATCTCAACAAACGCGTCTTTCATATCGATCGAATTCTTTCTCGCTGCTCAGCTCACCAACGCCTCTTCTGGTCGTAGTTCGCGTCGACCTGACAATCTTCTCCTTCTCGCGATACTTCCAACACTCGATAAAGCTGCTGTTGGCACTCAACCTCTCTTCACACATCTCGACCACGTTCTTATCTCATTGCCTCCTTACATACAGAAAGGTAACATGGCGATGGCGGTTCAACCTCTACAGAAAAGGTCATTGTCACGAACGGTCTCCCTTGAGGCACAGCGCGCGCTTAGATGAGCAACCTGTGCCGGCGGCTGGGGGGACCCGGAGCTGGCACGCCCCGTGTACGTATGTTATGCAAACCGGTCCCCTGACACGTCAGCTGTTAGGAGACATTGAGTAGATTCGTGGCGCGACGAATGTTGGCGAAGATGTTGAGAGCGAGCGCGGCAGTGTTTGAGATGGTCATCAACAGCTACCCACACCGGCGTGTTTGTGTGCGCCATGAAAAGTCTGTACAGCAGCGAACAGCGCGTGCGACTACGATGCCGGTGTCATTGCCAGACCACTCCTTGGAAGAGTGGCACTCGGTTCATGCAGTTGCACCTACTTTTGATGCACATTTTGCTTGAAGACTCACCACAGCCTGATCGACTGAACTTGTCTAGCCATCAACTGCCATCGCCTGGACAATGTAGCAAATCTCGTGCTGGGATCTGGATGCTGCTGGCCATCAAGGTATGTCGCATCTGACGTGTGTAAGTTACTGACAGCCATCGAGTACGCGAGCTTACCTGAACGCTTGTTCGTATCGAGCCCACAAACCCGCCCCTCGCATACACTTCAGCATCTCTTTCCATTCTTCATCCCTTGCCCTTCTCAACTCTTGCTCTTTTTCGTCTCCTACTCTGCCTCATTCCTTGCTCCATCTCTTTCTTTCAGCTGTTTCTGCTTCATCGTTGCATACCTCATCATCACGTACCTCATCGAGTGCTTTACCATCGCGTACCTCCGCTCTTGCTTCTACTTATCTCTCTTTTTCACCGTCACTTACTTCAGCAAATCATCTCGCCTCACTCCAGGTCTTCTTCCTAAGTTTCCCGTTAGATCTTTGCCTGTTCTGCAATACCGCATCGTTTTCAGTCTTTCCTGTGTTGGCTTCTGCATCTCACCCTTCTTCGTCGATCATCAGCTTATGAGCTCAAATCCTCCAGCTCTCTCTCCCGTCTTCGCAATCTCTCTCGCCTCTCTCTCGCCTTTCTCTCGTCTCTCTCTCGTCTCTCTCCCCCTCGTCTTTCTCTCTCATCTCTCTTTCTTCTATCTTCCTTTCTCTATATCTTCCCCGTACACTCTCTTCCTCACGTTCGTACTCTCTTATCTCTTGTTTCCCACGAACATTTGCTCGCTCCTGTTGGGTCGTTGACGCTGTCTCGTCCCACCTTCTTCACGCGTGTCTTTCGTCGATATCCTTGTCGAGCCTTCGACGTCGCATCTTCAACACCATCATCTCATTACTTTTGTGCTTCTTTTTCTTCATTACATCAGACCCCTCCATCATGTGCATCCTGCCCCTTCCATGCATATCACATGTTTTTGATATGAGTACCTGCAATCTAGCTCGGGGATAGTCCGTAGTGATGAATTCTGGTCGGGTATGGAGTACACAGTCCGCTCTCCGCGACCTGGCTGCGGTGCAGAAGCTCGAATGTTCCAGTCCGAGGGCCATGTGTCATGTGACTTCTCATTGACAAGGACCAAACCCAAAGCTACGCTGGGGACATTATGAATGGTACCTGATCGGTACCCGATTGATACCTGAAGGAAGCTCGTCGGTCGCCTGACTACAGTCTCTGCTCGGGGTCTGCTCAAGAGTCGCATACGTGCCGTCCGGTTGCTGTACGACCGTTACATTGAGACAATGCGATAACTGAGAAGTCACGGGGGTCGTTTCCGGAGGTATCGACGGTTGATGCATTGAAATTTTGAAAGAAATTTCGAGCGATTGGCTGCCGCGCTCGCGGTGGCAGTTATGGAGCTGCCATGCACCGCTCTTCTCGGTCTACTGCGCCCCAGCGTTATCTTTTGGTTCCGTTATTGTCCACACCATCGACTCTGGTGGTGATCGGTTCTTCCTTGCCCTTCTGTCTTCCTTGTCCGTGCGCCATTGGTCAAAACTCACAGCAAGGGATGCATTGTGGCGTCTATCTTTGTTGCGCCCTTGAGCAAGAAGTGCACACAGGCGGGATCCTCGCATCCCCATCTGATTGTGGTTTGACCTTTCTCCTCTCTGGACCAGAATCGTCTTGAATGGAGGCGTTAGGGTATCAATTCATCCTGCATCTCGCCAAACCTTTTCGCAGCCAGTATTGATACGCAGAGAGGCGCGCTATGCGTCAACAGTGCCTGTCACACAGTCTCATGAGCCCAGGCTACCAAGCGAGACTCACGTTGCGACGGCATGACCTGATCCATGTCCGACCTTATCACAAGATGAGCACGTTCGAAACAGGGAGAAGCCAGAGAGGCTCGAGGCTGCCGTCGCGGGGAAGTTGGACTGTCGATGAGCACGCCACTCGAGTGTTGTGGGACTGGTAGCTGAACCTTTCAGCAAGAAGATCTGCCTCCTAGTTCTCCGAGCTTGCAGGACACAAAAAAGTGGTCAAATCGGCAACACCGCAACCGAGAAGCCCCCTGGATTTCTGTATGGTTGTCTCGCTGATTTGCACGTATCAAGATGATTTTGGTCAGCTTGGCCTTCAATCTCTTAGCTGTAGTCTACCGACTGAGTCTTCGAGAGAATGCTGGCCGGAGGCTTCAATTCAAGCTCGACTCGAACAAGTCAGGCTGCGTTCCCTACAATATGGGTCAAG